AATGTACACAGCTTTTTAGAGGTGATATTATTTTTCATTTTATTTTTTAAAATAGATCAAGAGTAGCTCCCCACTTACTCCGGCATGGCTTCAGCCCACGACCTATTGGAAACAAGGAAAACGTCTTATCACTAGATGTGATATTAGTAGTTTGGAATGAACCTATGGACACCATGTCCAACACATTTCAACATGGAGAGATTGTTCAAAGTGCTTCGCCACCTAATATGTATTGATTAGGAGTGTTCAACCAACCGGTTAGCTGATTTACCCGTTAATCGGTTTCATTTAATTTTATTTTTGTGATTTTTGGATAAAACTGATTAACCAGTCGATTAAGTAATCGCTTTTATAATTTCCGTTTATCAATTTTTGGTTTAATTATCGGTTTCTACCGATTGAATCGATAATATTTGTCATATTTTTTTTTCGAACAAAATGTAATTGATGTTTAGACCCATCAAATAATGAAACTCTTTTTTAAAGTTTAAATCTACAATAAAAATAATTAAAACCTTTCTTTTTTATAATAGTCTATTCAACCAAAAAAGATGTTATTACAATAAAATTTTTAGTGAAATAATTTGAAAAATATTAATGATATAGAAATATAAGACACATAAAATATTTATAGATTTATAAATTTTAATTACTATAATCCATTATTCGGTTTAACCGAAAAAAGGTATAAACAAAACCGAAAATCGAACCAATTAACCGATAAAAAACCGTTTAACCGGGATCTGTTAACCGATTTTTCAGTTAATCGGCTCGGTTTTATGTCAGTTTTTGGTTCAGTTAATCGGTATCGGTTTTTTTGAACACCCTAGTGTCGAGACATTTAACAATTTTCATAAGAATTAAGGTATAAACAAAACCGAAAACCGAACCAATTAACCGATAAAAAACCGTTTAACCGGGATCTGTTAACCGATTTTTCAGTTAATCGGCTCGGTTTTATGTCAGTTTTTGGTTCAGTTAATCGGTATCGGTTTTTTTGAACACCCTAGTGTCGAGACATTTAACAATTTTCATAAGAATTAAGGAGAAAAAGGAGAAAAATAGTATCCAAATTTAATTAAACCACTATGACCTAATCTTAGAATAAAAAATGGAAAATCTTTCTAGTTATATTGGCACAGAATTCTCTGTGACACTATCGCGTGACACAATACAATTACTTCTTATAACTTATATAATCCGTGTTAATACAACTAATCTTTTAAATGTTTAAAATTAAGTCCATTGGTGAGGTAATAAGAGGAATGATTTGATATAAGACCGCGTTATTTATTTGTTTTACAATATTTTTGTGTATACCTCTGAAGTTCGTTTTGTTTTTAGTTCAACAAAATAATATTAGAACAACTTCAACTGAGACACAAAATTTGGTGTAGACTGTAGAGTTTGCCCTCCCATGAAAAATAATAAATTAGTATGTCATTTCAGTGAAATGAATAATGTGAAATCAAATTTGGTGTAAAGTGTAAACTGTATATAGTATTATCTCTGTGCACTTTCTTTCTACTTTGAAATAGATACATGGTTTTTTTTTACAAAATAGATTATGTTATGAAAGTTACGTCATATTAAACATATTGTCAAAATTTTCGAAATAAGACCTAGAGGGACGCTAATATGTATTTACTTTTACTTAAGAAAAAAATAGAAAAAAAGCTAGAGGAGCAAATGAAATTGTTGGGTGCAAATTATCCCCTTTTTTTTTTTTACCAAAAATCTAAGTGTCAAACTTTTCTAAAAAATCTCCCCCCCTAAACCCAAAAAACAATAACCCGGTATAACTTATCCCAAAAAAAGGACTAAAATTTTTCTGTAAAACTGTTTTTAATTTAACCAAAAAAAAAAAAGAGCTCGTAACTAACCCCCAAAATATATTTAACCCTTATATTCATGATTTCAACAGTTAAATTTTCAACTAAACTATGATTATGTTCTCAAATAAACTTCTAAAATCTATAATCTATAATCTATCTATGATTAATTTATCTATAATCCATCTATAATCCTCATTATAGCAAAAACCATTTCATTTTTTGTCCAAAAATCCAGGTGTCAAAATGTCCTAAAAAATCTATCTACCTAAATTTAAAGAATTTAGTATGGTTTAATTTATCCTAAAAAAAAAGGCTGGTAGTTATACTTATCCAAAAAAAGACAATACAAAAAAAACTTTGTATTTAACCTTCAAATCCATTACTTCAAGAGTTAAATAAATTATAATTCTCTATTCTCAAATAAAATCCAAATATTAGAAGTAACACAATAAGAGTATTGTATGGAACTTAAAAAATTTACAATTTCAATATTTTTTAAACTGTGCAGCCACTGCAAGTGATGCAATGGAGGGAAAACGACTAAAATGAAAGAGAAAGACATAACACTCTTTGTAAATGTCACACAAAGATCTTTTATTATTACACTTTAAAAGTTGTTGTCAATCTTAGTGGTACAAAATTATAATTCAACATTTCAAATTTATTATGTGTTATATTGGCGAATTAAAATTATAATTTAAAATGTGTTAAAAGAAACAAAAAATATTAGTCATTTTATATACCCGTATCGCACGGGTCTATAACCTAGTAGATTTTTATTGGTAAGATATAAATACGTAGCCCGTTTTCCACCACTCGAGGGAGTAGACTCAGGCAGGGACACGTGGCCGCATAAGAAGAGAGGACCACTGGGGGACCACGCCAAGCACGCGCGGTGGAAGCAAACAGCCAATCAGAAGCGACCAATTCAACACCCTAATGAGATTTCAAAAAAGGCTTTAATACTAATTACATTTTGAGTTTGACTTTTGGATCCAGGTCCAGTATTTTTTTTTTTTTGGCTTGGCTGCCCCAATCATCAAACCCGGGGTCCCAGTATTTGTAGGGTGTCTATTGAGTAACAATGACTAAACTCCCTTGCTGAATTGCAGGCATCTCGATAGGTGGATAGCTGGCCAAAAAAATTACTAGAGTACATTAAAATTTTCAATTTATATAATAATAATCTACATTGAGTATCAAAAGCTACTATCTCTATGCTCTCCCGAATATAATAGTAATATGATGAGATGGGAAGGGAAACCAAAAAAATCACAAGTTTTGTTTTGAAAAGTCAAATTGTGAAAATGGTCCCCTACAGTCCTACACTAGTAAGTAGCAAAGCCAAAACTATTTGTTTTTTAATGAGGTTGCGTTGCGTGTGGGATGGATGATGATAATGTACATGGTCCCCAACCCCCCTCTGTTACGGTAACAGTAGTACTAGTATTATTAGCACCCCAACATCTTTTTTTTTATTTTTTATACTACCATCTAATATATACCCGTCCCTCAGTATATTAGTGTTTTCTAATTCGTCAATGGATTCTCCTAAAATATCACTATTTTTTTTATATGTTAATTTTAGAGCATCTGTAACGTTTTGTGCCATTATTAAAAAATATCAGATCAACATTTTACGCTATTACACTTTTTTTTTTAACCCTACATCAGTTTATGCTGTTAAATTGTACTAAAAACGAAATGTACATCAATTTACACTGATTTACTTAACTTATCACAAAACTAACATCGGAATTCTTACATTAGTTGATATTATTACACTTTTCGTCTATATAATAATTACGAAGAATGTAACTAAATAGTAATTATAACTCTCTATTTATCACCAAACATTAAAATACTATTGAAATAAGAAAATAAATAAGATGATTATTAAATAAAACAATACTCCTTCTGATCCTAATTATATGACATAAATTTGAATTAAATTTGTGCTTTAAAATTAAGAGCAGAGGGGGTAATATATATATATATATATGTATGTATATATTTTTAAAGAAGGGTATTCTTATTTACTAATGGTTGAGGGGAGATGAGTGAAAAATGGGATGTTTAGAAATTCTGTTGGATGGAAAGTTGGTTGAAGCCTTGAAGGGATAAGATCGGCCGGCCGGCCGGCTGGCTGGGGGAGGGAGAGGAAGAAACTTCCAATTTTGGTAATTTTGCAGTATGTCAACTGCTCCTTCTCTCTATGATTCTATATACAGGCATCACCACTTTGGTTTTTCAATTTTTTTTTTTTTTGCGTTAATTGTATTTTTGTGGGCTTTACCCCAAAATTAGGCTTTGTTGGATGGACCACAATTGCACCCATTTCCTACGAATTCATTCCGAACCTTTCTTTCAAGTTTTTTTTTGGACTGGAGTGTGGACCACTTTCTTTCATTTTGTCATCCCCCCAATATACTGTACAGCAACACATCTCTCTCTCTCTCTCTCTTTTCCAAATCCATACTGCCGCTGTTTGTGGGTAGCAAACTTCCCATCCTTTTTTTCTTCCATTAAAGGATGATTTAGTGTGCTTCCATATTTGTTGTTATTATCATTATCCTTTCTATAATGACTTCTTAGATGCTCTCTCCTATGCCATAATTTCCTTCGGATCATTGCATGCTCCAAAGGTAAGAAAACCAATTTTTTTATACTTTTTTTTTCAGAAAAAAATAAAAAATAAAAAGAGTTCAATTTCTTAAAAAGTTAAAAATCCTTGAATACACAATTAATGTAATATTGGATGAAACAGATGCAATGTAACACCTAGTATCCCCGTGTTATGTGATGGCTGAGTGAAACACTCAAAATACAATTCTTTTTTTTTTCTTGGTACAACAAAGAAAACAAAACACACTCTATTGAATAAACATACTGATTACATCGTATTTTAACTTTCATTACAGCTTGATTGTTACCTAGATGGCCAGATCCCATGCTCGTTTGAATCTCATAATTCAACTTAAATTTACAAAGAATCGTTTACGGCTAATTTGGATGCACCAAACAAAATAATAAAAAATAGGAGTAAAATTTTGAATGTTATTAGTATTGGTAGTTGGTTAAAAAAAAAAATCAGTTGAAGAGAAGAATTATTTACAATATAATATACACATTTGTGGAATTGTGTCACAAAATGTGTACTGCTATAAAAGAAACATTAGCCTGAGGAGCTGTCAGTTTGATAAATTGAGAAAGAAGAGATTTGGGCTATAGAAACTCAGCCCAAGGCACAAAGCGGGCTTTTAGTCTTCAGTGACCCGCATCACCGACCCATGTTTATATATCTCTTAGTTTTAAACCCTAACCTGAAAAACCCTTCCCACCCACCATCGGACAATCGGTTCCTCTCTCTCTGTCTGTGTCTCTATCTGAGCTGCCTCTTAGGTATTCTTTTGATTTTATAATTAATATTCTTGGTTAACTTTGGTAACTGATACTAATTCATTCAATCTGAAAAAAGTCTTGAATCCTTTACTCGTTTTGGTGGTGGTTGGGGGCAGGTACCAGATCGGCGAGAATTCTAAAGCAGGAAGGATGTACCTTCAAGTTTATATCAACGAAAATGGAGATAAAGTTTACACCACCAAGGTCATCATCCTTCCATTCCGTTATTGTTATAAATATTTTTAATTTTTTCAATGGACTAATTTTTAGAATATGTATGTTGGTTCGTTCTGGACTCCTTGGTTTTGTTTGAAATCAAGCTTTATGGCTTTAATACCTAAACTTTATCTTTTTATATATTTCTTACCTGCATCAAACTGTCCCTATTTGTTTATACTGTATCACTGGGATGATTTCCTACCCTTTGACTGCGGATGTGTAGATGAAATTGGATTCGGTTTTTTTTTTCCCCTTTCAAACTCTGAAGATTTTTTTTTCTTTCTTATTATTATCTAAACCCTCCTAAACCGTAATTGATCAGCTTTGGTGAAACTTGAATTTTCTTGTATTATTTTAAAGTGGCATATTGGAATTATTATTTGAGAATCATTATTTAGATTCTGAATGTTGGATTTGAATATCTAGCTAACCTTGATAGTAGTATGAAACTCCTGAATGTTTAGGAGTCCGTTTCAAGTCAGGAAAAAATGACGTTTGTCTGATTAAGCATTTTCTTTAGAGCCTGAACTGAACAAACTGAGTTGATAAAAAATAATCCATTTATTATCAATTAGTTTAAAGTTTCAATGTTCGAATCTGAACATGTCCTTAACTACAGTTATTCAGTTTATCAAAACAAGTAAAGTAATTACGTAGAAGATCACCTAATGATTCTTATTAATAATTAGTTTGGGGTATTCTTTTTTTTTTGTTAAAGAATAAGGACTGTATTTGAAATTTACAATGATTTATTTATGTTCTAGAATTATGAACCTTAGTCTTGAAATGAAACGCGGAAGACTTGAAAAATCCGGAGTTGATTAGCTATTTTTAAGGGTCCTATAATCATGTTTTATCGTTTTTTTTGCATATATTTTTCTTACCAACTCTTCATTGGTATGTAGGTTATTTTGGTTTTTACAGTTTGCCAAATCGCTCGTTGAATCTCTCAAAATATATGTTCAAAACAAGACATGTTTCCTTGTAAAATCAAATTCAAGATCCTTTGTTAAGATGCTCGTTTCTCCCATTGTTTGAATCTTTTTTCAAGATTTCTTTTTATAAATCTATTCTTTGTTTAACTCGAGTCAATGCATCTATTTCAGATTATTAAATGAATTTCTGATTTGTCCGAAAATTCGATTTGAACATGGCATATTAGTCACTGAAGAATCTGGAAATTTTGATTTGAAAATTTGAATGTAATCCATGATGATGTTTATATATCTTTTTCCCTGTCCGAAAAAGGCTTGAGTTCATTCTTCTTCTATTCTTAAAATTCTATGACGAACTCTATATAATTTGTTACATAATTCTAGGTCTGTTAATTTTTTATATTGTATATGTTATAAATACAGAGTTGAATGATGTTTAGTTCATTTTGATGGTTGAGGTTTTCATCTTCTATGGTTTTTGGGTGTGCTTACAATTTTTTCAAGATTGGCACTCGTCCTAAATGTCTATCTCTGTGCTATTTCCTTCATTTGAAAGCTTCTATTTGTGGTTCTTTGTTGATATTTGACTGATGGAAGTGTTTAAATTTGATTTGTTGTTACTTTTATGTTATTTTCTCCAACTTGTAAGATACTTAAATCCATTATGAGGAACAGTTATAAAACCTTTTGACACATGTTTGGGAGCAACATTATGAACTAGTAATGTTGGGAGCAACATTATGCACTTTGGTGGTATATAGGTTGGTGAATTGGATGGTATGTAGTTCGTACAAGGTTTTGTATCTCCCATATCAAACTCTTTTTCTTCATTGATGGATTCCATTCTGCAATAGTTCACAGGAAGCTTAAGTTATTAATTAACATAAAGCATGCAGAAAAGAGAAGTGAGTCAGTGAAAAAGTTTCAAGGTCAATCCACTCCATCAAATCTGAAAATTCAGAAATTTGCAGCAGCGATGACCTGTTTTCATTGTCGATTTCCCATCCAACCAAATGTCCGATTGGGAAGCCGTTAAAACCAGTGAAAACTAGGTTAAACATAGAGTAGATTATGTGAAAGAAATAAGGGAAAACGATTTGTTAAACAGAATATGTCTGACTTCGAAATCAGTACCCTGCATCAGGAATTTTCAAAATCAGTCCATCCGTAACGAATGGGCATTTTCAAATCCAAATTCTGAGCAATCCGTAAGTCCGATTGATAAACCGTAAAAACCAAGTTAAACTACATTGAATGAAGAAGGTATTCATGAAAAGAAAACTTTAAAAAGGTTTTCAGAGCTAGGAGAACAAAGCTCTGCAAAACAGCTACTCAGACTGGGTAATTTCTGAAATTTCAAAACTAAGCATGCATAAATGGACTTCCCTTTTTGAGACTATCATCACTACTGCAATGAAGAAACCTAATCGACTAAGCAATTCTAAACATCTGATTCACGGATCAACATTCAACAGACCGATTTTCTTCTACTTTTTCAGTGTTTCCGGCTCGATGCACAATATTATTCGCAAAATGCCTATGTTTTTGCGGACAGAAATGATCCTGGGAAGTTGGTTTTCTTTTATCGGGGTTCGGAATGCGGTTGGGTCTTGAAGGTTTGGGGTTGGGTTTCGTACCTTGTTGTTGGGTTGGTTTTAGCTTTTGTTCATGTGCTTATTTATGTGAAGAATAGGAATGCGTAGAGGATCATGATGGTCTTCGTCTTTGTTTGTTTCGTTCTAGGCATGCGTAAAGTGGTTTTCTGGATAATTGGAAGACAGGATATGGTATTCACGCCTACTGGCTTTTTAACAAAATCAACTAAACATCTGATTCACGGATCAACATTCAACAGACCAACATTCACGGATCAATATTCAACAGACCAACAGCCCCATAAACCATCAAACATACATTACATTCAACCAATCAACCGACAAGAACCAAAAATTCTTTTTTCGGAAACAAAGAAGCAAAATAAAGTTGCTCGAACTGAGACTTGGGAGTTGGGAGTTGAGACTTGAGAATGAGAATTGAGAAAGCCTACCTTGTGTTTGAGATGAAGAAGAGAAGAAGTGAAGGCCACTGCTCGAACTCCAATCCGATAACACACGCGACGGCACGACTGACGGCACGACCGACGAATGCTCGAACTCCAATCCGAATCCACTACTCGAAGTCAATGAGCGGCCAATCTTTGATTCTGGCTTTGGGCGATTGAGAGATATGAGTGATTTGGGAAAACGAACTCCAATCCGAGAACACATGCGACGGCACGACTGACGGCACGACCGACGAATGCTCGAACTCCAATCCGAATCCACTACTCGAAGTCGATGAGCTGCCAATCTTTAATTCTGGCTTTGGGCGATTGAGAGATATGAGTGATTTGGGAAAATTTTTTGATTTGCTTTGGCCTTTGGGTGTTGGACGGCCGCCGCGAATGAAGTTAGGAAATTAGGATGAAACTGAAAAAATGAGAATTGGGATTTCATTCGACTAGTGTGGGACTGTAGGGTTTCTTTGCTGTAAATTTCCCAAACTAACCCTATAAAATATATATATATATATATATATATATATATATATATATATCGGGTTATCCGGGTAACCTGCCGGGTTGATCCTAACATGACCTGAGTTCGACTTAAACCCGACCCGTTTATTATACGGGTCAAAAAAATCAATCTGAATTCGGAATTTTCGTATCGGGTTAACCAGATCGTGTTGGAGGTTGGCAACCCTAATGAAGGGTAGTGAAAAAACAAAAAGTAAAAATAAAAATAAAAATAAAACACAAAAAAAAAGAAAAAAGCATTTTATTACTCTGATTAGATTAACATGTAACTAGTTTATACCCGTGTCTTGCACGGATTGACAAATTATCCTTATGCAAATATCAAGTAACAATGTTTTGCAATTGTGAAACTTTTCAGTAGTGATGCGGTGAAAAAAAAAACATATAATGTTGGGGACACATTGATGAAATGAATCAAAGTCGGTAAAACTAATAAACATTTATATCCTCTGGAGTGCTTTATTGAAGAATTCTATGACGAAGTCTATCTAACTTGTTCCATCATTCTGGGTCTGTTAGTTTTTTATATTGTATATGCTGTGAATACAGAGTTACATGATGTTTAGTCATTTTTATGGTCGAGGTTTTCATATTCTATAGTTTTTGGGTGTGCTTTCAATTTTTTCAAGATTGGCACTCGTCCTAAATGTCTATCTCTGTGCTCTTTCCTTCATTTGAACGCTTCTATTTGTGGTTTTTTGTTGACATTTGACTGATGAAAGTGTTTAAATTTGATCTGTTGTTGCTTTTATGTTATTTTCTCTAACTTGTAGGATACTTAAATGTTTTTTCATTACGAGGAACAATTATAAATTTTTTGACACATGTTTTGCAAGACAACATGAACTAGTAATGTTGGGAGTAACATTGTGTATTTTGGTGGTATATAGGTTGGTGAATTGGATGGTATTAAGTTTGTACAAGGTTTTGTATCTCCCAGTTACATGGACCTTTAGTATGTTTGGTGTGCATTTGGTTTATCGTGGATGTGATTGGAATGTATGTTGGCCTTACTTTTCGGTTGAAGTTTTTGTTGGTTTGGAGTTTTTGACGAGAAATGGTTGGTTGCAGTTTAGATGTTAAATTCCGATTTGGTGAATGCTTAAGCATAAATGTTGCCATCCCTATCCTCCTCCTCCTTGCCTACCACCCCAACTTCGTCTTCTGTTTTTATTTTTCTAAATACTATAATGATGAACATATTGAAGAGATTTTTACCTCATTTAGTTGCATGTCATTACTAGTCACATCAATGATTAGAAACTTTTCAGAATAGAGTGTTGCAGGTCTACTATAACAGTCCAAGCCTCCTCAACCTATAGTGTTTAAGTGGTTTTAACAGTAGTTAGAATGAATGTAGATGAATATGATAATTTAAAGCAACCTATGAATCGTTCCAATTTATATTTTGAACGCCATTTTCTTGTTCAACAAATAATAGTTAATGTTTTGGGGCTAGGATAGTTTATTACCAAGTACTAAATCATTTTCAAAATTTGCAGGAGCTTAGTCTTATCGAGGTTTTGTAGCTTGTATACCTGCTTTTGGGCAGTAGGAATTCTATCCACCATCTAAGTTGGACATTTAACACCATTCATAAGTAGATTATACTGCAGATAAGTGATGTCTCTATGTAAACCTCCGCTTCCTCGCCTTCTTCTAAATAATGTATCTTGCATGAGAAATGCTCAGCAAATCCTGCGCCATGTAAATGCCTCTATTCATGATGGCAGTGCACTTGTTCTGACCGGCACAAATGGCTCAGGCAAGACCACTTTCTTGCGCATGTTGGCAGGATTTTCTAAACCATCTGCGGGTGAGATACTATGGAATGGACATGACATTACAGATTCTGGTGTTTTCCATCAATATAAGCTTCAACTCAACTGGCTCTCACTCAAAGATGCCATCAAGGAGAAGTTTACAGTCCTTGACAATGTTCAATGGTTTGAAGTTCTTGAAGGTAAGGACGGTAGCAGGTCTTTGCTTGCTATAGAGCTTATGGGGCTCGGAAGATTAGCAAAAGACAAAGCAAGAATGCTTTCGATGGGTCAACGGAAAAGGCTACAGCTAGCACGTTTACTAGCAATCGATCGCCCAATTTGGTTGCTTGATGAACCGTCTGTCGCATTGGACGACGATGGGGTGAAACTGTTGGAGTATATTATTGCAGAACATAGAAAGAAAGGTGGCATTGTCATTGTGGCTACTCATTTGCCGATTAAGATCGAAGATGCAATGGTTTTAAGATTACCGCCAAGGTTCCCAAGGAGGATGACTTTGGTGGACATGCTTGATCGAGGGGGACTAGATTGAGACGGCGATATTCGTGTACAACATGTGCGAGATTCCACAAAAAACAGTGCATCTCAAGCTCCAAGGAGATTTTGAGAGGGAACCCTTGTTAACCAACTTGATGGCCAGCTCCTTGGTGTTAGACTTTTTGAATTGTTTCTTTGTGCTGCGTATCGTTATTCTTTGAAGTTTACTTGCTCTACTTTTAGGTAATGATAGTTTTTATTTTTTGTTGTGTATTTTTTAACAGAAAAACATTTTAGTGCAAGAATGAGAAAAACTGATCACCTTCTAGACTAAAGGAAAAAAAGTATCATTGGAAAATAGTGAGCATAAAGTTCATCTATAATGTTTGATGATGTTGCTTTGTTGGAGTTTCAAACTTCAATGGTTTTTGTTCAACTACGTCGAGTTTATCCGATGTTCCCGAGGGAAGGAACTTCATTCGTATATTAAACTTTTGAGTTCTTCTCTCTCAATTCAATTCGGTTTGACACTCTTATTTTGGAACGTCTCAAAAACAAAAACAAAAAATCATTTCATTTACTAAACTAATTTCTTTTTTTTTTTAAAAAAAAATAAGAATGCTCTAATCTGTTTTTAATTTGTCAGTTTTTTATACTGCTCTTTTAAGTTTTACTAAAATTAGTACTAATGCCAAAACAAGTAGATTATTTGTCCGGCCGGAACTATAGGAGAGAATAGTAACTTAACAAATTGAACTAATTTGACAAAATGGGACTAATAGCGCCAATTGGCATTATTCATGGAGTATTTTGGAAAAGTACAAAACTAGACTCGTAATTTCGCCAGAGATGAGAGAACTGAATAGTGGTAAAAACTGAAGTTATCCGAGTAAAGGCGATTTGCCCGCGCTGATAACAATCAACTTAGGAGCACAAATCCAGATTTCTCCATTTTTAGGAAAAGGACATCAAACTATATCATGTGCTCAAAGTTACTGTAACCATGGTTTTGTGAAATGTGTGATTCCAGATGTCGGAAGTTGGAGCACACTATGACTTCAGTATTTATCGGATCTAACGTCAGTTTTTTAATCATTCGATTTGTCTGATAAAGAAAGAGAAAAAAAAGAGAAAAAAGTTGAGGGCTTTCTTTTTGGGAGGCTATGATCTGATTAAGCTTTTGTGAGATTGAGGGCCATTTGATAACAAAAAGAAATGAAACAAAATTCATGGGTTTGTACTTTAGCCACTCAGATTTCCCTCTGGTTTGCTCTTTACCTTGCATTCAAGGTGGGTCAACCTCAAGAAGCTTTCTTTGAGAATGGCGGGACTTCTGAAAGCATTAAATCCTTTGATTTCTACTTCATCAGTGTTGAAGGAGATTTTAGGCCACAAAATGAACAGGCCCTTCTTCTCAGACAGGTCAGCTTGTTTGAAGTTATCTTTCTTTCCCTCTGTTCGTTGATAAAATTTGCTGCGCTTTTACAATGTTTTTCAATTATGTAGCTTATAAAAATCTGTTTGAGCTGTTGGAAACTTTTTGTACGTCTATGTTGAGATTTGAGAGTTGTTTTGGTTTTCAAAATTGTGTTCTTGTGAAATTGTTGAGCAGAAATCAGTTTGTATCACCGTTGATTAAATTCATTGAAATTATTCTGAAGTATTGGCCTTCTGTGTAGTAACAGTTTGTAATCCATCCAATCAAGGCCATTCAGTTTTTACTTCCTGTCATTTCTGAATAAGAATTCTTCTTTGCATATGATGGTCATGATCTTCACTTGTCTTCTTATGTTTGTTGCCTGGTTGAATGGAATCTGTGCCATGTTGATGAAGATGGCAAAGGTTGCAGAATTGTTCAAAGCACAGTTTGTGTTGAGCATTTGTGAACTTGGACAAGCTGATCCTCTACGCCTGAACGTAAGATGTGCAAATTCTTTTTCCTAAATGCTCTTTGCTAGATTCTTGAACTGAATTTTGGTCATATATTCAATGAAATGAAGCTTGTCTAGTAGTAGTTCTGTGGTGTTGTGATAGTCCAACCCGAGGTGCTCGAGAATTCACTAGCTTGTTTTTTTTTAGCTACGGACCACTAACATGTAATTCCTAACAGGGAACACGGTATTTTCGGTCTCTGAAAATTCCCTGGTACACCATCCTCCATAATGTTTGTATTTTGCCTGTGTAGTGCTGAATCTTCAAGATGGTTTGGGAATAGGTTTTTTTCCCCCTCGATTTCTTTTCAGCTATCTTAACTTCTAGGTACACGACAAAATCATCATTCGATGCACAAGGAGCAGATACTTACCTCAATCGTACAAAGATTCCATATCGAAAGACCTTGGAGATTGTTTTTGTTAATCATGCTCATCTTTGGAAACTCGACTACAAGCATTTATTACATGAATTAGGATTCATGGTGATGCGGAACAGGAACGAGAGGAACGAGAGAAAACAGAGCCGCCTCTGAATTTTCAATCTCAATTAAATTATCAATAAAAAACTGCCTAAACGTATCACTACAGACCCTTAAATAGCCAAACCCTAAACAAAATTTATTAAAAGAGAAATTACCAAAAAGACCAATCCGAAAACTACTAGAAGACTCCAGACTTATCTAATAAAGCTTTTCTAATTTAAATTAAATTAAACTAACGTGAAATTCTTGCATCAACTATCCCCCACTAAAAAAACTCGGCTCCTGACGAGTTGAAAAAGAAAAAAAAAAACCACTAGGACACTGGGGAGGTTTTTCCCCAACAGCCATCTGTCCATCTTCATCGACATTCTTCATAGGATGCACAACCAAGGCCGTCCCAACAAGATGCGGCATGCATCCATAGGAACAACATTAAACCAAACCTTTTCCTCAAAGTAGTTGCCAATAGCAAAATGAACTAAACATCTCGAAGTGATAGGAATATGACGACCCTCGCTCAGCCACGCCACGCCACTTTGTTTTGTAAGGATTAGGAAGTTTTACTTTGGCAATTTCAGGTTGTTTACTGCCTCCTTCAAAACCAAGTTCCCAGTGCTTCCATCAACTACCAAATTACAAACTTTTCCAGCGCACATCACTCGTGTTCTAAAAATGCTCCAATCCTCTTCCTCGAGTCTTCCTCTTGTTTGGAAACAGAGGAAAACTCGAGGAAGAGGAACCCTAAACCCTAAACCCTAAACCCTGAACCCTGAACCCTGAACTCTGAACCCTAAACCCTAAATCCTATAACCCTAAACCCTAAACCCTAAAAACCCTGAACCCTGAACCCTGAACCCTAAACCCTAAACCCTGAACCCAAACCTAAACCCTAAACCCTAAACCCTAAACCCCTAACCCTAAACCCTAAACCCTATAATATTTAATCAAGTAATTTTCAATAGTTAAATAAAACTCAAATACCCAATCTACTTTCAAATACCCTAAACCAACAAATTCTTTTGTCCACTCATGGTACTATAATATTTCGCCAATTAAGTGTCAATAGTTAAATAAAACTCAAAAAATTATTATTCTATCATAAGAAATTTATGTCATTGACTTATCCGACGACTTAGATTAGTCAACGGAGAAGTCGACAAGTTCCACAAAATCTGGTTTTTTATCATTTCCAATATTTTTCATATTATTTTATGGTTTTTAAGCAATAGGCAAGGTGATAGCCAACCTCTCACTTTTTGTTGGAATGGAGGATTGAACTCAAGATCTCCTCTTGGAGCAAGGGTAATGTTATCATTTAACTAACTCTTCATTCGCTTATTGATTCAGTCTTGAAGATATGAAATATTTACTATTTTTAAAAAATCTTTTGTCCACTCATTCGGTTATTCATTAACTTTGACGAGGATGGTTCAAAGGAAACGTCAACGAAAGTTTAACTCAATTATGTATTATGGTTTTTAAGAATTATACATGGTACTATAATATTTAGCCAATTAAGTGTCAATAGTTAAATAAAACTCAAAAAATTATTATTCTATTATAAGAAATTTATGTCGTTGACTTTTTCGACGACTTAGATTAGTCAACGGAAAAGTCGACAAGTTCCACAAAATGTGGTTTTTTATGATTTCCAATATTTTTCATATTGTTTTATGGGTTTTAAGCAATAAATATATTGATTCAATATTAAAGATATGAAATATTTGCTATTTTCATAAGTTCTTTTGTCCACTCATTCGGTTATACATTAACTTTGGCGGGGACAGTTCAAAGGAAAAGTCAACGAAAGGTTAACTCAATTATGTATTATGGTTTTTAGGAATTATACATGGTACTGTAATCTTTAGCCAACTAAGGTGTCAATAGTTAAATAAAACTCAAAAAAATTATTATTCGTTTGAAAGAAATTTATTTCGTCGACGTAGATTAGTCGACGGACAAGTCAACAAGTTCCACAAAATGTGGTTTTTTTTTTTATCATTTCCAATATTTTTATATTTTTTAATGGTTTTTAAGCAATGAATTTGTTGATTCAATCTTGAAAAAATGAAATATTTGCTATTTTCATAAATTCTTTTGTTCACTTATTCGGTTATTCATTAACTTTGACGGGGACGGTTCAAAGGAAAAATCAACGAAAGTTAAACTCAATTATGTGTTCGGTTTTTAAGAATTATACATGGTATTATAATATTTAGTCAATTTAGGTGTAAATAGTTAAATAAAACTCAATAAATTATTATTCTCTTATAAGAAATTTATGTCGTCGACTTTTCCGTCGACTTAGATTAGTCAATGGACAAGTCGACAAGTTCCACAAAATGTGGTGTTTTATCTTTTCCACTATACTTTTTTTTTTTTTTATGGTTTTTAAGCAATAAATTCTTTGATTCAATCTTTTCATATATTCTGTTGTCTAGTTCTTCGGTTATTCAACAACTCTGACGGGAACGGTTCAAAGGAAAAGTCAACGAAAGGTTAACTCAATTATGTACTATGGTTTTTAAGAATTATACTTGGTACTATAATCTTTAGCCAATTAAGGTGTCAATAGTTAAATAAAACTCAAAAATTATTATTTTTTGAAAGAAATTTATTCATCGACTTATCTGTCGACTTAGATTAGTCGACGAACAAATCGACAAGTTCCACTGGATGTGGTTTTTTTATCATTTCAATATTTTTATATTGTTTTATGGTTTTTAAGCAATAAATTTATTGCTTCAATCTAGAATGTATAAAATATTTTCTATTTTCATAAATTTTTTTGTCCACTTATTCGGTTATTCAACGACTTCGACGGGGACGGTTTAAAGAAAAATCAATGAAAGCTAAACTTAATTGTGTATTACGGTTTTTAAGAATTATACATGATACTATCCTTAACCAATTAAGGTGTCAATAGTTAAATAAAACTCAAAAAATTATTATTCTTTTGAAAAAGATAATTAAAGTCGTCGACTTTTCCATTGACTTAGATTAGTCGATGGACAAGTCGACAAGTTCCACAAAATGTGATTTTTTTTTATCATTTTCAGTATTTTTATATTGTTTTATGGTTTTTAATCAATAAATTTAATTATTTAATCTTGAATATCTGAAATATTTACTATTTTCATAAATTCTATTGTCCACTTATTCGGTTATTCATTAACTTTGACAGGGATAGTTCTATAGAAAAATCAACGAAACTAAACTCAATTTTATATTATTGTTTTTAAGAATTATACATGCTACTATAATATTTGGCCAATAAGGTGTAAATAGTTAAATTTTTGACTCAATAATTTTTTTTTAAAGGATTTATGTCGTGACTTTTCCGTATAGATTAGTCGACAAGTTCCGCAAGATGTGCTTTGTTATCATTTTCAATATTTTTTATATTGTTTTATGGAATTCTACCCCCTCCCCCTAACCCAAAAAAAAAAAAAAATGGATGGAATTCTGAAATTTGCCAAAAAGTTTAGCATTTCAGATGAACAAGTTATGAAAAAATCCAAATTGAAAGACACAGTACGTAACCAAATTGAATTTTTAAACAGTACGTAATCAAATTGAATTTTTAACTAAATCAAGAATAGCAACTTAAATTTTTAAACAGTACGTAACCAAATTGAATCAAGCCAAATTATTGATGAATATTAATCCTTAATTGAAAGACACAGAAAGATGGTGCAGTCTTCTGCTTTTCTGGTCCTCTCTATCAAGCTTTGGACTGGGTCATAAGAGATTGGGCTTCCGAGGGTGTAGGGAGGGCCGGAATGGCCCCTTTCTGAGTGGTGCAGAGTGCGCCACATGCATTCGCCAGCGCTAGAGCCTCTTTCAGCTTACCTTCGTCCTGATGATATGATGAATAAATAATATATTAAGAATTCATTCAATCAATATAGTTTTGTGGATTTTTATAATGACATTCAAACTTGTATATATATACAAGGGGAAAAGAAAAATTCATCCCATCAACATAATAATAATATTATAAACCTGGAAAATAGAAGGATCTTTGGCAACAGAGCAAAGCAGGGAACCAACGAAAGCATCGCCAGCGCCGGTAGTGTCAATGGCTTTGACTTGGTATCCAGCTACTTTTCCTTTGAAATTCTGATGGACAAAAATTGAGCAAGAAAGAAAAAAAAAATGAGACACAAATAGTGTATAATATACTATAATCATTATTTATAAGACATACAATAGTAGCAATATACATGTGTGCAGAAAGAGATTATTAATTAGAGGGGTACCTTGGTGTAATATCTGCAGCCCTTCTCCCCATCAGTAACAACGAGCAGCTTAAGGCCATCGTGCCAGAGCGACTTGACCGCGGTTTCGTCGTCGGCGCTCTTCTGAGTCAGAAATTCAACCTCATCGTCGCTGACCTTGATAAAGTCGGCTTCGTTCCAGATGCTCTTGATACCTTGCCGAGCAGCATCTGCGGAAGGCCAGAGCGGGAGGCGGACGTTGGGATCATAGGAGAGGAGAATCCCGGCTTCCTTGGCAGCTTTCATTGCTGCCATGTGAGCAGACCTGCAGGGCTCCGAGATCAAGCTGATGGATCCATAGTGAAAGATCTTGGATTTCTTAATCAGACCCATATTGAGTTCTGAATCCTTGAGCAGCATATCCGCGCTTGGGTTGCGGTAGAACATGAATTCCCTCTCCCCATTGTGTTTCAGTGTCACGAATGCCAGCGCGGTTCTTGCGTTCTGGTCGAAACACACCCCATCACTGTTCACTCCGTTCTTTTTCAGTATGTCCACCAACATTTTCCCAAACTCGTCATCACCCACCTGGATACATATACATTAATTTGGAATCAAATTAATTACATGCAGTGATGCACAATCACATTTACAAAAAATTTCATATAGAATAAGCATGTAATCATCGTACATTTAATCGCCATTCTCCATCAATTCATAAAAAGAAAATAAACATGATGTTAAACAGTAATCCTTCTGTCCTAAAATTTAAATTTTATTTCTAGTATAAATTGAATAGAAAGTAAAAATGACAATAATTTGGGAACATACTACTATGTGTTTAACATACGAAAAAACAAACCTTGCCGATGAAAGCAGAGGCACCACCAAGCTTGGTAATAGCACAGGCAACGTTTGCAGGAGCACCGCCGGGGGCTTTGAGAAAACCCTTCGATTCGGCTAAAGAAACACCAGAAGTATCTGGGACAAAATCAATTAGCATCTCCCCAAAACAAGTTATTAGTGGACTCCCCATCTTCTTTAATGCTCTGGATGGAACAACGTAGGAATCAGAATAAGTGTATATATTTATATATATCGACGAAGTTTCTCAAGTTTATTGTAGAGAAATCTGCAGAGTACCTCGTTCATATATATAGGATACGATAATAGGATTTAATAAATTTAATCAACTGCGCATCCCACAAAATCTTATCTGGTTGTTGAATTACCAGATTTGGTCCAACATCCCTAACCTCCTCTCCCACCCCCGGAGATTATTATGGAGTTAACTTTAATCTTGAACGTGTTTACGGTTTATTTATTTATTTTTGGACTTACAACAATTTTAAAATAATACGTATTCTTTTATAAAAGAAAATAATTTGTGGAAAATATTCAATCAGAAAGTACGTACGATTTCCTAAGAATTTTAATTTAGCTATTGAGAATTCAAAAACCAGCATCTTTGAAATTTAATGGTTCGATTGAGAAATTAATTGTACCGGATGCATGTTTATCCGAAATAAACAAACTATTCTTAAAGATAAACCGAGCCGCGGCAATTTGATCTCAATATTATATTGGATAAAGTACAAGATTGATCAAATCAAACTTATCTTCATTCATGTTTCGTTTATATAAAGAAAATGTCTATGTATAGACTCAAAGTAGCAATACAGGCGCAAAAGGCTGGGAGATTGACTAGCAAATAATTTATCCCTTTTTTTTTTTTGATATTTCAGTTGGTTTTCCGTAGATTGCGGGCAAGGATTACATCATTATCTACCATCATCATTCATTTTATATTAGCAGAAATATCAGGATCTTCTCTGGGTCTCTAACTAGAGTCCAGTGACAAGTATAATAATGATGCCTGCACTTGAAGCAATAATCCAGAGGACACAAGTTGGTGGGTTACCTTACAATAATGATAAATAGAAGCAAACCAACGCGAAAGTTAGATGGGGAGTACATCAGTACACAAAGGGGAAAGCACTAACAGTAGTAGAATTAATTTTAGTAATTGATGAGAGGCTTTCGCCGCAGAAGCTCTGTGGAGCAGCAGACTTATCTAGTTAACAGTCTTACAGATAATTCTGAATCAATCTCAGTCCCCCAAGTGGTAATGCTTTTTAACAGCGTCGATGACTTTCCAAGTGATCTTCATCCCTTTTGGAAACTCAACCAGATCTCCACCCACAATCTCGAAACAATCATCCTGTCCTTCTTCAGCTACTACTTCTTGACAGCATACCTTCACTCTGCCCTCCAGTATGTACATTGTCTCTTTTGTGGTAAAAGTCCATGGGATTTGGCCAGGACTGCCTTCCCACCTGCACAAGCGAGTGAGCCCCCATTAACAAAATAATCACACCACACAAAACCCCCCTCTTACATAATAAGCACATTAATTAAGCATAAAAACAATGTAGCACACTTGGAATGTTTACATCCAGCTCCACCATACACACATAGGTAATCATAATCCTACTCAGTTGATTTACTCACCAAACGCCACATAACTGATACATACTTAAGCATATGCCCAAGTTATTATTAATAAATAAATCCCCTCCAGAAATTAATCAAAGAAAAAAGACTGCAAGCAGAAACGAGAAACAATTCAACGGGTGGTTTGGTCAATTTGTTCCATCTAAAAGATGGGTTCAGCAGCAATGCTGAGCAGGGCATTACTTTACCACAATCAAACAAATCATCCGGCTCCTTGACTCGGAAGGCACTTTTTTTAACGATAATAATTAATAAATTGACTCAAAAATCAATGGAACTGCCCTTCATCAAGTGTGCTTGAATACAACTACAAATTTAAAATTGGTCGAGTAAAATTACCAAGACCAACAACCACGGGACCTATTTGAGGCCGAATACCATGTATGTACATGAATTAGGTAGCAGTAGTAGTAGTAGATGGCAACGAAATCCAGAAGGAGGGTTAGAACGGGTATACGTACGTGGGCCAAGTGGAGATACCGAGGTCGTGAAGCTTGGACTGCGATGGATTCTTATAGATCTTTACTCCCAACACCTCTTTTACATCACCATCTTCCTTGCCTTCCGTTGCTGCCATCGTGTTTGTTGATTCTGGAAGCAAAATAGACCCGGGCGGCGACGGCGATGCCGGCGGCGGCTGGGTGACCGCACTACTACTCATATAATTCAAAATCACACCGCAAACCACCACCGCTAAGATCAATATGTGGGGTGAATAGTAGTAGTAGTGGTGGTACTTGCTGCTCTCACTTGCCATCATAAATCAACCAAGGATCAACTTCTGCTTGATACCCACTTTTTTCAATTTGCCTCCTAATAATTCAATCTAGAGGATACCTTTTTCCAATTTATTACTCCCTCTTCTTATTATAAGGCATTTTGACTTTTTTTAAAATTTCATTTAGTATACAATTTTAATTGACAAAAAACTTTAAAAATATATTTTTATATTCGTTGTGTTTGGTTGATTATTATGATATATTTTAAAAGTTTTTTCGTGTATTAAAAATAAATACTAGATTAAATCTAGAACAAATCAAATTGACTTATATTAAGGACAGGGAGGAGTATTACAGTACTTTTTTTTTTATGCTATTGCTTTTCTGGAAAAAGAGGGAAAAGTTTTTCTGATTTATTATTATTACTAGTTGTTAGACCCGTGCGATGCACGGGGTTAATGACTTTTTTTTTTGTGTTTAAGTGATTTAAAAATAACTAAATTGTCGAAGTAAAGCGTATTAAGTACTGTATATGAATAGTAACAAATTATATATAAATGGAAAATTATAACTATCGTTTTATTTTTTTTTAAAAAAAAATGCAAATTTCAGTAAATTGTAAATAAGAGAAAAGCGAAATATTAGAATAATTGTAAATACTAATTGAGAATAGAGTAAAGTATAATGTAATTAAAGGTTAAATGCAATAAAAACTTACTGGGTTAAACGGAAAAGGTAAGTAAACAGTTGGGGTCGCATTTTACATTTGTTTATGTTTGTAAGCTGTTTGTGAAAATGAAAAATGTCAATATGTATTATGGAAAGTCAATCGTTGCTTTCAAAAAATTCCAGATTCATTTTGCCAACTATTTTGTTTGCTTTATGTTGTGCTGAAACACATTAGAACATCCAAAATCATAGCCAAGCGTAATAATTTTCATATTAAAATTTCATTCCGACAAATAAATGAGCGAGTTTACTCTTTATATTTTTCCGACGATGACGACGCCGTTCACATGAGATCCTGCCGAGATAAGACACATTCAACCGGCGGCGACGGAGGCGGAGGAAGGGGAATACGGTGCTAAGTGAGGATCTTTGTTAAAACCATCGGGTGTTTCATTCTCGCGACATATTAAATCGGTCGACTCGAAATGAATATGAGGTGGCCGTTGACGAATTTTTTGCAGACCGATTTTATCCATATGATTGGATAATCCGCAAAATGGTAATTTTTTGCCTTTGATTTAGTTTATTGTTGTTTTACATGAATCGATTTCGTTTAGTTTTATGACCTATTTTTGATTAATACATTTGATTTACTCCCGGATCCATTTGTCCTGTTGGGTAATTTGTTTGAAATTGAAGATACTTTGTGGCAAAATCATAGCAAAAGTTGAAGATCGGCCTCCGATTTGTATTGATAATAAAGCGGATGAAAAGAATTAATAGTCTTTCTTTCTTAGTTCTTAGGGATACATCTTCCTCCCCCTTATATGAAATTAGGCACAATAAGGCTCACTAATAAGCCCATCCATGCGTATTTTGCCCTTGAATCAGAGAAGTTATGTATATATATATATATATATATATATAAATGAATTTTGGGAAATTTAAGAAAGAAAGAAAGAAGGAACAGTGTTTTTCCCCCCTGTGCTTATACTAAAATTAGACAACTAATACAAAAATGCGTGTTATTACCATTAAATGAAAATTATGCTCAATATAAACTGAAATGAACCCTGAACTGAGTTAGTATAATGAACCAAAGTTAGTGAGTAAGGTGAGTTTGAGTGAGATTTCTCAATCGGTGAGGTACAAAACAAAAAGGGTCCATCATCATTCATTCTATGTAGTTCATTGAATTTGCCACCATCTAATTTTTTATTTTTCTTGCTTGAATTTATTTGTAAATAATAATTATATTGCTAAGAGAGGGATTTTATATTGTAAATTTATTCTCTTCCTTGTATAATTTATTAATTATTTATTTTTCCAATGAAATGATCCATCTATATTTTCATCCACTTGATGCGAGACCTATATCGCTTGTTTTTTTAAGGTATTTCCCATGGAAATATATCCTTTGTACGGTTTTTGATAAACTATTCATGCGTATGATGTAATTGGAAAATGTATAATTGTGTTTATAATGATATATTAAGATATATGTAAGAATTTAGGTTCATGTTTCGAAATGTGCAAAGACGATAGATAAAAAAGAAGTTAATCTCAAATAGTAACAGTAATGATACATTAAAAATATTGCATAGGCACTAAAGGTTAGACAGAACCTCTTTGTAAACAACATTGGTTGTAACATTTGTATACTCATTGTCACCATTGCATATTAGAATCTTCAATCCTTCTCTTGACGTAACCCTTGATAGGGCGACATACAGTTGTCCGTGGCTGAACACAGGACGTGGCAAATATAGCCCAACTTGGGACAAAGATTGTCCTTGGCTCTTGTTGATTGTCATTGCGAAGCATAATGATATAGGAAACTGCCTTCGCTTCATCTTGAATGGGTAGCGAGTATCTGATGGTGTTATTGATAGCCTAGGTATAAAAGCGTGTCACCTACATTCTTTGCTGATATCACCTTTGCTCGAAGAACACGTCGGCCCAACCTAGTAATTAGTAATCTCGTACCATTACATAAGCCACCTCGCTGGTCAATATTCCTAAGTAACATTCTTGGAACACCAACCTTCACTTTCATTTATGGTTAGGCGGACACAGACACTTAATCTTGTTGAGAAAGTCGGGTGTGTACACGCTATCGTTAACATCCACACCACCATCAGAGCTGTCTATGCTATCTGAACTCAAAAATGTTACCTCATCACCATCTATGAATCGAAGCATATGCTCATTGATAACATCGACATCTTCATGTGTAGGAGCAAGAATGGCTCTTTGACCTAGGTAATCCTGATTGCCCAAATTTTGAAGAAAATTTGGGAATGTAGAGTTCACAATTGCATCAATCGGATCACCTGTAAGGTTTAGCAATGTGAAAGTTTAAAATACAAAATAATATAAGCATGGTGTATGTTGTATTAGAAAAATGTAAATTTGGATGGAATTTATAACTTTGTAGGTCGTATGATAAGATCATCCGGAATCTCAATATCGCCTATCCCATCATTTGGCTCAAGAATTTTACCCTCACCTACTTTTAGGATCCATTCAGCAAATTCTCTCACATTGTCCATGTTTTCATTTGTACCATCTCTTTGTAGTCGCATGTTAATGTCGGTTTCAGACTTCGCAATGATGCCACAAGTAGGACGATTTTATAGCAGCATCAACAATGTCCCGCCTTGATCCTTTCGAACAATCGCGGAATTTGACGAAAATCTCCACCCAACACCATAACTTTTCCTCCAAATGGCACTTCTGAGTTTTCTGGATTAGATGAACGGAGAATATCCTTCAAACTTTTGTCCAAAGCCTCAAAACAGTGCCTATGGACCATAGGCGCCTCATCCCAAATAATCAATTTAGTTCTTTTTAACAATTCAGCGATTCGCTATTGGGTTTAATGGCACATGTGGAGTCTTCATTGACAACAATAGGTATCGAAACCTTGAATGAGCGGTTCTCCCTCCGGATAAAAGTAAAGCTATTCCACTTGATGCAACAAGTAAGCACGATCTCACCTTTACTTCGATAGCTGCGATACGATTCTCCAAATGAATGTTTTACCAGTACCACCATATCCGTAAAGGAAGAAAACTCCTCCTTCATTACCTGTTACTGCATTCATTATACGATCATAGACTTCTTTCTGCTCATTGGTTAATTTATTGTAGAGCTCATCATGTTCTGAAGTCAAATGCGGTACATCATATTGAAGCTCATCATGTATTAACTTGTTGTAGTCTTCTTCTTCTATATGTTCTTCTGGATATGGGATGGTTTCAAAATTTTTTAGACTACTACCATTTCGGCGCATTATCCGATCAATCTCAACCAAAGCATACATTTTCTTTGCTTCATCTGGGAGCGTCCACGTGTCTGACAGTAATAGTAGTGCATAATTTGATGTTATAAATTTGTGGTTATTTAAAATAAATAAAAAAAAGGTAATGAATTATTATGGAATTTGTAAAATGGAATGTATTAATATACACCTGTTTCATTGTAAATTCTCCTCTGCATGTCTTCAATATCTTCGGATAGTTTGTTTCCATGTTGCTTCCCAAACGACTTCAGTTTGGTTAGCCTCTCGGTCATTAGGAGCCTAGCAAACATATTCCTCAAATAGCTTGGAAATCCCCATATGCTCGCTTCTATTATCCCGTCTATGAATTCGCTATCATCATCAAGTAGTCCCATTGCATCACAGGCACTTTTGAATGTATCATGGACTTTACCATCTACTGTTCTAATATCCTCGTAACACTGTGGCCCTCTAACATGATTCAACAACATACGCAGGTAGTAAAGTTCCCCTGAAGATGGAGGGACATGGTGTATTCTGCCAATTGATCTCCCTCTTTTTCTTGGCTGCCATTCTTTCACGTCTTGATGCCAAACAAATTTTGATGGGAACTCTACATATGTCAGTTGCCTGACATCTTCGTAAACAGTATTACAATTCAACCACGATAAAAACTTTGTGTAGTTACTTGAAGGTTTGGATATGATATCTTCAAGGGACTCATCTTCATCATATAAGACACTTTGATCATCAGGAAGATGGAAAGGTAATCTTTCAACAGAAGGATTCCTGTAGTGTATATCAAATTGAAAAATTCTCCACACACCTCGCAAGCGATAGGTACCGCAACTATAATAATCTTGGATCTCATCAATTGGTTTATTTATAAATTTCTCCTCCTCCCCAAATTTACAAACTCCGAAGCTGATTCTGTCTGACCCCTTGTTAATGTATTTGAACAGGTATTTGATTGATCGGGACTGATTACACCATTCGACATTAATGTGTGCACGCCATTTCTTCAATAGGTACTTGTTGTAACCAACAACGAATCTGTAATGAGTAAACATATTAGAAATGTTTTTTTTACTGTATTTAATTGTGCATGAATTAATAATCCTAAAAAAAATGTATTTGTATTTATAACCTGTTGTCTACGGTGATTTTGTTTTTGTCAATTGTGTGCCCATTTTCCCTTCTTCTGTACTTTGCATAGCCATCTCCATCGACCATTGTTCGTTCAATGAAACTTTTAGGGAAGTGCTTTGAACATTTGTTATCCACCATGCAGGGGCTATTTTTATTTGCATGACCACAAGGTCCGTGAATCATAAACTCATTAACCAGCTCATATAGCTCAGGGTCTTCATTAGGGTCTGGAATCTCAGCACATATAAATCTGTCAATATCCTCGCCCTGTCTTCACCTTATCATCGGGGTGTAAGAACAAACATACATGTGCATGAGGTAAGCCCCTTTTTTGGTATTCAACAGTATAAACAACTGCATGTAAAGGAAAAGATTTAATGTGTAATATTGGGTTCCATCATAAAAGTAGTTTCGTTATATTATATAACTTAATTAAATGAAAGATAATGTTTTTAATACTTACCTCCTTGAACTCTGCCAAACAATTCTTCATCCTTGAAATCTTTTATGAACATTTCCAATTTCATTGCGAAAATCCTGCAAACAACGTCCAATCTGTCTTCAGGCTTGAAGCCTCTCTTGTTGCAGTACCTGGTGATTTCCGGCCATTTTGAATTGCATGTGAAAGTTATAAAAAAGTCTGGATATCCGTAAGCTTTACATAGAGCCATTGCATCCTGGTAGTTTTGCATCATGTATCTTGAACCACCCGTAAATGATGATGGTAAAATTACACGTTTGCCTAAGGATGATGCATCAGTTATGCCTCCATTTGATGCATTTAGTATGGCCCGGTAGGATTCACATCTCAGATTGTCCTGCTTCTTCTTGACATAATGCAGCCGTTCTGATTCAACTATGCTATATCCATCAACTACAAATTGTTGAAGCAACTGCCTTGCATGCAAAATCATTGAAAATTCTTTGTCTCTTTCTTGCAATCGGTAAGCAAACCACTCTCTAATACTCAAACGTATTCTCTTTTTATTTTCAGCATCTGTGAAGGTTAAAGGCTTGTCCTTTAATACAATGCCGAGGTGGTAACCATCTTCACCATATGGAAATAAGAGTGGATATTGCAGCGGAATGTAAGATGGATGTAGCTCATTGATACGTTTCAATTCGCCTGACTTGTATTGGATGACGATGTCTCTATAGTCAGATTCCACACTGCCATCACCAATGATTAATGCTGCTATTTCGGAAGCTTCAGGCATGTTGTACTGCCTTCCATCTTTTTTTCTTGTTCCAATGATGACCAACCTAACTTGTTGCTCACTGTTTGAGTTGATTGTATCCCTTGCGTGTCTAAAACTCTTTGCCAATTGGTTATGATCATCTACCACTTTTGTTAATCCCTTTACCAGTGTTGTATCAAAGTTTGCAGATAATTTTTTTTTCCATACATACCTATGAGATAATCATTCTTAATAGGATTCATGTCATGTATGTAACCGAAAGGGACGAATTCAAATGAATGTTTTGGGATGGACTCATTGGTACATGGTTCCACCCTTGTGTTGCGCATGAAAGCAATTTTGTAGGGATGCTTGTTAGACTTGTAATTTCCCGTGTTTTCGGCCAAATCAAAGTTGGTGATTTGTCTGGTTTCTCCCTCTCCATCTTCAAGAAATTTTTGAAATTTCCACATGAGTTTTTTGTGGAGAGAAGCCTGAATTTTACTACCCTGCCAATATACATATGAAGAAAAAATCAATTTTAATCATTGGGAATCGGGGTAAAAAATCTATAAACAAAACATCAATTCACAAAAGTTCTATAAACTATAAAATTTAGTAGTTACCTCTTCATCCATAAGTAAAGCTTCGACGGATGAGTGCACCCCAAAAGTTGTTGTCCATACGTAAAAGATTCGAACATTTACTTTCCAGTCAGACTTGACAACCATGGGGGTCAAGTCTTTTATGAAATCAACAACGTTGTTGCAGGTTGACATGGATTGAGGTGTTTGAGATTGTTCGTAGCGATGAAAGGAAGGATTGAGTGTCTGTCTTCTTTTGTGGTTGTGGGTTTTGTTATGGGTTTGAAGAGTATATATATACCATTCCCACATTTGCATAGTAATAAAATCTGCCACGATTATGGGATTAAGTGATTTTTGTGATTTTTATCCATTAATTGCGTCATGATAGCACAAATTGAATGCGAACATAACCATACTTCCCATAAAAAAGCAGAGCGAATAGTATCCACGTATATGACCATGCAATTACGGGTACGGGTTTGTATCGTTCGAGTCACTTGGCTATCCATTAATTGTGTCGCTAGGATTTGTGTAATTATTAGTATACCTATTATCTTGAATATATGGTTTTGATCATTAAAAATCGAGCTAAACAAATGGCTAAGTTACAATTTTTAACTAATAATTGCATTCATAACTTTCCGATGTGGTTTTATGTGACCAAATCACCTTACCAAATTTGATTTCGTAATATTTCTTTTCCATCTATTCATGATCACACAAACACAAAACATTAAAAGAATGCCATTCTCAACAAAGTGGTGGCTAAATATTAATTTTTATTACAAATTGGGTCATATATTCGGCCTAGATCAATCGAAATTAAAGGGTAATACACCCGAAGCTTTAGGATTTCTGAGGTTCCACTCGGATAATTAAAATATTTTTAAAAATAACAGCAATTAATAATATTAAATTAGTTTCCAAAAGAAAAAAAAAACAAAAAATTATCCTACATTGATCCGCAATCTTCTCCGTTTTTTTTAATTGAAATTGAATGACGCTTCATTTACGGGAAAATGAAAAAAATCGTGCAATTCCATCTATAAATTTTCCCTTAATTCAAAATTAAAATAATCAAGTTCAATGCTATTCAATGTAGATTCTTCCCACAAAAATCAAAACCATACAAACACATCAACACTAATAAGCATTTTGGTAACCACATCATCCAGCAACTACAATTTAAGATTACATTTAATGCTAATTGATAATCACCGAAAATGGAATTTATTTTGATCGGAATCAATTTTGATCCCTTTTAAGGAATTTCCTATCACCGATTTTATTTACCAATTTGACCACAACATTTTATCATTATACATTAATTGTGTAATGAAGTAACTATTACTTTTCTGGAAATTCAAAGAACCTTTATTGCAATAGTTGTAAATTTTTTTTATGCCCACCAATAGGAAAATGACACGTAGGATTTTGTCCTATGTGTCAACGTGAGGAGAAGTTTGATTCCCTCTCTCTGGTTTCTCTCTTAGTATAATACTATAGATTATTTTCCTTTTTCTTTCCCCTCTCCTTTTTGGAAACTATGGATAAAAGAACTGTACAAGAGAGTCGTTAGTGGATTAATGGATTGGGTTTGGGCTTCTTCGCTCTTCATATTGGTTTGGGCTTTTATTCCGATTTTTTAAACGTGGTGTTCTGGTTTTTTAAAAAAGGATAGATTCTGTGGGGGGTGTCTCCGTCAGCAGATGTTTTTTTTAATTCTTTCTGGCTGTTGTTCATGGCAATAATAGAAGTACGTATCAGACGAGAATCTGGGAAGATTTGGATCTACATTGCCTTACTGAAGTGTTTAAATGGATAGGATTGGAGACACTTCTACTAAGCGTTCTATTTGTTTGCAAAGCATAGAATTGGTCTTGAAAATGTTCAAAACATCAGCTGCCTGCAGTTTGTCACTCAATTTCAGTTTTTGGCTCTGAGGTTCTCGATTGCCGGTTTTGTGGATTATAGGCCACGAAAATTTTGGCCCAAAAAATAAAATAAAAAAAAAAAACCAAGACAAAAGTAAGGCGCTGGAAGTTTGTGGGTTTTGGTTTTAGCACAATTAGATTATAGAATCCAGATTGATTGCTTGTTTCGTGAGTCGTGACAAAAGGAGAAACAGAGACATTCAAATTGTGCACAGTTCAGAGATATTTAGTCTGGTATTTTTATTTTTATTTTTAGAAAAATAAACTGCTTTTAACATTACACTTTTTATTCTTATTCTTATGTGGGGTTTTTTTTTGGGGGAATGAAACAACAATACACCACTCCAAAGTAAATTTACTCGAACTTGTAATGCTTGTCCACAGCCTCAGATACTTCCCAAGTGCAGCTCATACCCTTTGGGAATTCAACTAAATCACCAGCTCCGAATTCTGCAACTTCATCAGACCCATCCGGATATACTTTCACCTTTCCCTTCAGCAGGTAACATGTTTCCTTGGATGAGTATGTCCAGGGAAATTTGCTGGGAGCGCAACCCCACCTGTATAAGTGCCATCATCATCATCAGATTATAAACTTGTGAATCTGCTATGAACCGTGTTTTTCCCTTTTCTATGTCCTCAAAGTCAACATGATGGATTTAGATTATTGAACCTAACAACAAACAATGTGCCAAGACTCATCATTTCTATACACAAGAAAATGATCTCATGGGTAGTGCGAATCAATTCAAACAAGAAAGACCCTTGAGTGAAGAACCAATCTGAACAAATAATATTCAACAAACCATCCAGCAAACTTCAATTTGTTGATTCTAGTAGGCCAATTAGGGTACCTACTTTGACGCTGAATTTTCGTTCTCCAGAACTAAAACCTGATTCGCAAATAGACAAATACTACCCAAGCCCCAAAGGGAAAAAAGAAAATAATAAATCAGGCAGACACAAACACAAAGTCAATTCAGAATAGATCTAGCACATTCTCTATTTATCATTCTGCTATTTCCAAATACCGTAGATCTCGTCACCACCCCTACTATTCAAAGGTTCAGTATATATAATTTATTAGTCAGTAGGAATGGTGGAAACCCCTCATCTAAATTCCTATTGGAATCGTTAAATGAACAAGAGTATGGAAAAACAGTATCAAATGGAGGTAAAAACTAACTTGGGCCAAGATCTGACGTCCAGCTCGGTGAGCTTGGACTCTGGCGGGTTCTTAATGATTTTGATTCGGGAAACCTCGGTTGCTGACATTGTGTCTGCTTCTGCGGCAGCTCTGATTCCCCGGTGATGATTTCTTCTGGTGGTTATGGTGAGTTTTTGAAGGAGTTTTGTAGCGGTGCTGGTGGAGGTGGTGCGGCGGCGGGGATAGTTCCCAATTGATACTGATTCACCTAATCCACTCGGCTTCCGATATGTGATACTTAAGCTAGTTGTACAAGTAGCAGCGATGCTTGTACCTAAGCATGCCATATTTTAATTTCTTTGTTTTAAGGAATAAATAAACAAAATCCTTAATATCAAGGGAAGACTATCAAATTTGGGACAAAATTGGAATAAAAGCCAAGCCATCCGTCCGGCTCAAACACCACCCGTCCACTCGATTCTTATCTTTTATACCAGCGCAACCTTTTCCACGTTCCAAATACATATTACTCCCTATCACAAAATAAAATTTGTTCTCTAAATTTGAAATGCACTCCGTATAACCTTTTAATTGCGTCAACTTAAATAAGTTACAACTCATTTTATACTGCAAACTTTTATTAGTAATTCCCCTACTTTTTAATCTCTATCCATCCTCCGAGAACTCCAAGTCTAGTAAACCAGAAACGACATATTTGTTTATTTTATTTTTTCTTCAGTCAGAAAACAAATATCTGTCACTTCCAGTGGCGTAAAATTCAATTGGGGCACATCCATATACATTAAAAATATGACAAAAAGTTATTCGGACAATTGTGGTAGGGGTTTGGTGTTTTAGCATTCTTGAGAAGAGATTATATAATATTTCATCCGATACTAATTATAAAATGGCTATTGCATTTTCCCATGCTTGTTGAGTTACCCTTGGCTGATAGGTCAAACTATAGCCAGAAATGTCATTTGATTGTACTGTGTGTTAATTTAAATGTGTTAAATTATATCTACCTCGATATGTAAAACAAGATACTCACAATTTTTTTTTCTAATAAATTGATTAAACGTTCATACTTAAATAAAAACAAGATACTAAAGATGACTTGAACAAGAAAATATATGATCAATCATTATTCCATTCACAAAATATTAAAGAGTAAAAAATATGTTGATGCTTAAAAAGCTGAATGTTTGACTTTTAGGTGGCCTCTTACAAGAATGAAAAAGAGTACTGGTACTGTGGTAGACCCCTACGGCACATTGTAAATTAACATAAAACTAGCGGAACCTAAAAATGGCCTCTTGCAAGAATGAAAAAGAGTAGTGGTACTGTGGTAGACCCTACGAAACATTTATAAATTAACATTAAACTAGCGGAACCTAAAAATCGCGATTGTGCGACGTCATAATCCTGTCCAGATTGAAATGTGCCATAATTTTACCAAATCTTAATACGTGTTTGGAGTATGGTGATAGAAAATGAGATTACATGAAACGGGATAAAATAGAATAACAGTTTAATTGCTTAGTTCAAAACATAAACTGAAATAGCTAATCCAACGATATCATTAATACCCACAACAATAGCAGTAACTGTAACAAAATGTAACCCAAAAAAAAAGGGCATAACACTAGATAGAATTGCATAAACATTAACACTAGATAGAATTGCATAAACCCAACCAATCAAAAAATATTAACATAATTGTGAGAAAACAATCATTATACAATAAGTAGACAAGTATTTGAAGTTAATGATAGTTTGACAACAAAAGCATGGATTATAGCTTTATATCAAAATCGGAGGTGAGAATGAAACAGAATGCCAGAGCTGTTGCAATCCAAATCATTTTTCTTGCGGAACAAAAACTAGTCGTTGTCCATGTATCGGGTGTAGCAGAGCCCTAAACCCTCATCCTCCTCGTCCTCCTGCAATGGAACATATAACAGACAAAAGCCAAATAAAGGGTACTTTCAAAACTTAATACACACCTTTAGACAAAACTTTACCATCTCCACCAAACCAAATCAAACCACAACAACGACATTAATGATGCAAGCCATATGCAGCATATTTCCAACCTTCAAATTCATAGCTTAAACTACACTTTATCTGCCCAACCAAAATTATTTACAGAGTGTAGTAGCAATTCCAGTAAACATTTCTTCTCTACAAGACATACTACAACGCATAAAAGTTTTTCCCCATTTTCTTAAAACTTACAGTTTCCGTTTACAAACTTTACTCAACTTATAAAAAAACTAAAGGCTTCGAAGTACCGAACAAGGAATGGAAATGGAACGTGGATCACTTTAACATAAGCTAACAGATTCACTAGTTCCTAAACATCAATGAATTTGTCTCCTCCTTCAGTTTTCAAACCCTCAAAGGATCACTCTTTTTCATGAAAAAAAAAAGACAAAAACTAAAATAACAAAACAAATCCTCTTCATAGTAATCATTCAAGATGCTAAGAAAAGAAGCTAAAACTTAAAAAAGATTAATACATGAAGTTACAACCGTAGTTTTAACCATCTCAAACAAACAAAACTGAATTCCCAACTTCACAACAAAAAAAAACGGTAACATCAAAACATGAGAGAAGCAAGTAAACTGTTCATTCATATAAATAAAACGTAAAACAGAGAGGTGATTAGAGGAGACAAAAAGTACCATTGGGGGCCGACTAATTGTTCTTGACAGAGAGATGCGCGGACACTTTGAAAAACTTTTCTGTTTGAAGGAGCAGAAAAGCAAAAGCAAAAGAATTTCTTCTTCAACTAAACCAATTGAAAAAAAAAAAGAAGAAAAAACAATACAAACACCATCATAAATTCCATTTCATAATAAACCAATCTTATAAACAGAGGAAGTAAAGATCTGAATTTTGTCCATTTTCTTTTAAAAAAGAATGAAATAAGCATAAAGTACAAGACCTTGGGATGGTGAAGAAGATGAAGGATAATGTTCCTGTGTCGGTTACTTTTTGGAGTTCTCCACTGACATTCTAGGCAAAGTCCCTTTAATTGTCGTTGTACAAAAAATAAACGCTTTAAATTCAAGATCACAATAAAAGAAGGGAAAAATAAATATTGAGCAAGCAAACAACAGAGTACTTACAAGTTTAGGATGGCTTTTGGATATGGATTTCCAGATAGGCACACATCTGCCAATTATAGGCATACCGAGTATCACTCCCATAACAAAGAACTTTTTGGATCTGTAATAAAATAGATAAGGAAAAAAACAATGAAACAACTTGGAAAAAAAGGAGATGCAAGTAAGCGACCTGATTTTTGCGGATTTCCAAACCCATGCCTTTGCTTCTCGGACAAAACAAGGGCAAACCCGTTGCTAAAAAAGATTCCGACAAATAGATTTTTTTTTTCCATTAGCGGAGGAGGAACGACCAGGAGCGCCTTCCAAATCGATTTGAACTTATCTCAATCTAAGAACCCATTTTGCAACATCAGATCACCAGCTTCGTTGATACTTGATACACGGAGTAAGACATCAATCCGATATGGAGAGACATGATTAAGGTTGAGCGGCGGCTGAGAGCTCCACGTTAATAGTAGAATCTGTATTGCTTTGGAGAGAGAAGTGAATTTATTTTTGTACTTTTGTTGGGATAAAGAAAGGTGAGTCGACATACGCCTATGAGGGAAGTAAGGTTGGCAACACCGATCTCAATCGGAAATAGAAAATTGATCGAATATTTTAGGTGAGATTATGGTTGTGCGAAGGAGAAAAACTCTCTGAATTGCAGAGAGAGGGTGGGAAAAGAAAAAAAAGAAGAAAAGAAAGAGGCATGACAACATCGTTCTTGAAATCTTTTACTTTTAGCATTGGGATTTTAGGATTAAAAGTTGTCTAGGTGAGATGTACAAATGATGGTTTTGGCAGAGAATGGATGATTTATTGGGAGTTAATGATGGTGCACTGATGTGTAAAAATCATAACAACACGTGATGGAAATCACTATAGTAGCACATGGAGGGGGGAAAGCAAAAAAAGTGACATGACAGGACATGATTAGACGAAAATACCAGCGGAAGATGTAATATTTACAAACAAAACCGGGACAATACAAAACAAGATTTGCTACAGTTAAGGACATCCACGGTCATTTAGATGTTAACCGACCAAAAAGCCCATAAATATTTACCTTATCTACACTTTTTACCAGCCCAATCCCATAACTTCCATTGCTACAGTTAAGGACGTTGACGGTCATTTTCACCCAAAACACATACCAATACACCTTTTCGTCACATATCAACCAAGCCTTTATAATTATAGGTTAATAAGCCAGAGAAGAGTGAACAAAACTATGCATGTTTTACATTTATACTGGAAGAAAAAGCTATTACATATATATACACACCCTGGACGTCCACTGCCCCCCACTGTAGCTCCACCTTTGGCCACCTTACCTTTTTCTTTCCTGCAACCGGAAAATGCAAATCTGCTGCCGCTGCCAAGAGCCTCACAAACAGCCAAGACACTTTTTTTCTCTTCCGACTTTATTTCTCACGCTGCTTTTCTCACCGTCCTGCTGAAAATGTTAAACGGACTGATCGGCCGACGATAACTTAATAAGATCGTCGATCTTCAAAAGACAGAAAAATAAGATGGGAGAATCCACCAGCTGCAAGTTCACTATGGAGATTGGGCTTACGATTCAAAATTGATAGCCAAAATTTTTATCATGAAGATATTTAAGTCATTTTAACCAAACTAATTTTGATTTTTTGTGAAACTATACTATTTTTTTGGAACAAAAAATTTTATGAAGCTGGACTATTTTTTTAGAACAGAAAGGAGTAAATTTTTTTTTTTTGGTCAAAAATATTCTTGGAAAATTTTTCTATATATTATATATAATTATATATACTCATTATATTACATAAAATAAAAAAAAAGATACAAGTATATAACCACAAGAGTTTGGTTACAGTTGAATTATTATAATACGTTTTTCTTGTTATACATAATCATAGAATCAGTGATACAATCCTAAATTTTTGCATAGAGTTACTTCAAACTAATTTGACATGATTGTACCAACATTACTGAATATAGAGAAGATTTACCAAAATTTATACGAAGACAAAGGAAAATCTCTAACAAAAGATAATCAAACTAAAATCTAACGAGAGTAAAATCGCAAATTTGACTCTATGTCTCATATCTTTTTGAGCCTAAAAATTTCATATTTGTCATCGTTTAATCCGTTGTCAATCTTTAAAGTTCTTGTTCCTTTACATCCACAACAATAACCCTGGATCTGGCATCTCTCTATCAAATTTGTTGAAAAACGACTAGATAGAACATATTAAAATAAAAATAATAAACAAGAATTGAAACTTTAAAAAAATAGAAGAATGAAGACTCTCAAAATTGAAAGAGCATTACTTCCAACAAAAAGAGGAGAAAAAACACCAAAAGGGTGGCCTAATCTACAATTGAAATAAAAATCAAACCTCCACAACCTCCATTAATTAAAGAAGGGGGATAGGAAGAAAAAACTTTGTTGGGAGTTCTAGAGAGAGAAGGAGGAGAACCGAGGTAGTAGAGAGCGAAAAGGACCCCGTTGGTTAAAATATTATCCAATATTGAAAAAAGATTTAGCTAAGGTACAAACTTTACATAGAATTTAGAATGAAAAAATAAGTATTAATTTTATGTTAAAAACATATTACTCCTTCCATCTCATAAAATTACATTGTAATTTAAAATCCCTGCTCAAAAAAACCAAAAAAAAAAAAGAGCGCGCGTGCTTATCATTTGGCGGGACAGCCAGGGATGTTAAAAAAAAAAAAAAAAAAGGAGGAGAAGGGCTATCATTATAGTGTCTGTCTGTATAATTGATGTCCGTATCATGAGACTGCCCTTTTTCTTTTCCCTCAATTTTAATAAGCTTTCCGCCTTTACCTTTCGCTTTCCTATTTCCCTCCTAATTCTCTCTCTCTACCCCCTGTGGATCTCGCTGACCTAATTCCTCCTCTCTCTTCCATCCTCTCAAATCCTCATCTCGCTGCTTCTCTTCCGGCAGTTTCTTCCTCCTTCTCTGATTCATCGATTTTTCAACCAGTACGTACTTGTTTTATCTGCAGCCAAACTTAAGAGGGCTTTTGATTTGAAGAAGTGATCTAAGAAGTATTCGAAAAAGTGTTCGGAAAAGAAGAAATTGAAAAGATGACTCCGGCGAACTTAGCAGGACAGTTTGGAGACACGACCTACACCAAAGTGTTCGTAGGAGGACTGGCTTGGGAGACTCAAAAGGACACCATGAAGAAATATTTCGAGCAGTTCGGTGAGATCTTGGAAGCCGTTGTTATTACTGACAAGACTACTGGAAGATCTAAAGGCTATGGTTTCGTATGTCCCCCTCCATACTTGTTCTTATTGTGTATTTCTTGTTGGTGAGATTTTTAGACAAAAGTATGCCGAAATGAGGGATAAGTAAATGAATATATATACATACAGGTAACTTTTCGGGAACCGGAAGCTGCAATGAGAGCATGTGTGGATGCTTCTCCGGTGATCGATGGAAGAAGAGCCAACTGTAATCTTGCTTCCTTAGGTGTTCAAAGATCTAAACCCTCCACACCTAAGCAAGGTTCACTTTCCTCTTACATATATATTTGTATTCACTTTTCCCGATTATTTAACCCTAACTTATTTGTGCTGTTGTGCAATAACTAGATCTACCTGCAAACGTCACGCGTGTCTGATATTGTTGATCAAAAGAATTTATAAGAAATAGTACTACTATAAACTTATGTTGGTGTCTTGAAATGTTTGGTGCTGTTCGGTTTATTAGCTTTTCCATCAACGACTGATGTTCAATTTTCATCTCTTAAATTGCTTGAGTCGGAAGTCTCTCCTATTGTATTTCAAGATATATATTCTTTAGTGTTTCTGATGGATTCGAAAGAAATTCTTCTTCTTCTTTTTCTTTATTAGAGAAAAGTTGAGTTTATCTTCTTATATGTGGAGTACGTACGTATGATTAAAAAAAAACAGAAGGATATTATTGGATACATAAAATGTTTAAATTGAAAAAGGAAAAAAGAAAAACGCAGTAATGACAGCTCATAATTCGACTGTGGCATGACATTCTTTTGCTTTTGTGGCCTTCTGTAATAATGTGTATCTCCTGCATGCTTTTGCTTTACTTTTACTGATAAATGATAATGTATGTAAGGTGCATGTTACCTATACTTAATTAGTAGCCATCGGTTAATTGAAAATTGTAATTTATGTTCTCTGGATCTCGTAATTAATTTCTCACTCATTTAAAATTATCCTTCCTTAAATTGCATTACAGGAAGTGGAGGAGGGAACAGGAACAATTTTAGAATAATGAGCGGATTCCAGGCATATCAAAATGGCGGGGGAATGGGAACGGCGGCAGCATATCCATCGGCGGCAACCTTTCCTCATTATTCCATCCAACAAGGCGTCCCTTATAATGTTTACGGGTACGAATTAATACCGCGTTTCGCATGCTTGCTACATAGCTTTTTGCCTCTTCTCTCTCACACGGTTTCACTTTCATACACACAAACACACAGCAAACACCCCACACACACATGCTAAAGAGAGCTGGCTACCACGTGCTTTGCCAACTCATGCAAAACCCAGCCAGCAACAACAATAACACTACTTATTATGCTATCCAAAAAAAAAAAAAAAACAAAAACAAAAACAATACTTATAACAGTTAATAACTAAATACACACAGCTCAAAAATCAAAGTACTGTATTTGGTTACCTCAATAACAAGAATAATGTTAAAGAAAATAGTGGGAAGGCAAATTGACAAGGCAGACATGGACACAGTTACATCCATTTCTTCTTATTTTCTTTTTCAATCAGTGTTGACTGAGGGCACATGCACAGTCTTCAACATAAGTTTGTTATTTTTTTTAGCTTTGTCTTCAACATAATTTGTTTATACGTAGAAGAAGATAGAGTTGGGGGTGGGGGTGGGTCGGGGGACTGTTGGTCTATTTTCATATAACCCACATTGAACTCATCACATTAGAAGAAGAAGAATCATAAGTGGGTCTGCCACAGTGTAATATTTGGCCCGTGAGCGTGAAGAGAAAGTGAAGAAAAGTGTTCTCTCCATACTATATCTCTTTAACTCTTTTGTGTGTTTTCCCCGTTATTTATCTATATATGTAGTACAACTGCATATCATCATATCAGTGAACGAAGATTTATACCACCTTGCACCGTAGGAATGAAGAATGCTCCATCACATTCCACATGCAACGACTAACAACTTAGTTGTATTGATTAGATTTGATTCTTACATCGAATTTGACAATGCCCATGCCTTTTATCATTCCATTTTCTTACCCACATTCGTACCGGTCTTAACTTCATTTCTGCCTTTTCTTTTACCCCTTCCTGCAGGTACTCTCCATACTCCGCTGATTACGCTTATCCCGCCGTACGTACTGAGCTTTCCTTACTGATTCCTTGTTTTTCTTCTCTTCGGCGCATTTGCCCGTGTGTTTTTCAGAGTTGAGACATGCATGTTGATTATTACCTAAGTTACGTTGTTTATTTGATAAATCATATTCCACCCTAAACTCAGAAATAATGGTTTAGTTAAGATTTTCACTTTCAGTTGAAGTTTAATTAACTAAAAGTGAAAATTCAAACTAAACAATCATTTTGGAACAGAAAGAATACCTAATCTTGATTTTCATGTCTGATATAAAAGTGAAAATCTAAATTAGATAATACATTAGGAATATGAATTGTATATAAAGATAAAATGCGGATTTAAATAGACCGATTAATTAAGTTGGAATATTGATTATATATAGAGTGATTAAGATATATGACACAAATATTAATTGTATATATGTATCTATTGAAGGACAGCCATGAGATCTTTTGGATTAACAGTTATGTATAAACTTGAATTTAAGGTGATTTATGTGTCACAGATCAAGTTAAAAGTTGGATTTATGACATACATATTTGTGTGATCACCGCACCAGTTATATATGGTGGTACTTAGTATAAGGTGATAGATTAATTTGATTAATGGATGTCTGGGGTGCAGCAGAGTTATTACAGCGTATACGGTGGTACAGCATCTCAGTATCCAATCTATGGAACTACCACCAATGGTGCCTCAGGGGGAATGTCTATGATTGCTGCAGCTGCCGCTGCTTTCTACCCTTACCTGAATTTTGCCGAAGGCACGGGAGGAGCTACTACTCCGGGTTACGCCTCCAGCCATGGTGGCTATGCAGGTGTTCAGTACCCACACCATCATCTCTTCCAATATTCTGCAACAGCTGCTGGTGCTTATGCTCACCACTATGGGGCTGCTACCACCCCAATGTCACTCGCTCCTTCCACTCCACCACTGTCATCAGGTTTGTTATTATTCCCATCAATTACCACTAAATTAACTGATAATTTAATCCCATGGTTTTAATTATTTCTTGTAATTCAACCGTTGATATTATTTGATTGAACCATAGTCACTCGCATATGTGAACCTTATAAACGGTAATTATGTATTTGTATTACATATAGGTATCACTTTGCGCGATCAGACCAAGTTAGTAAGGATTAGAAAAATCTCTAAGTTTAAATCTCTATATATAGGTATCACATAGTTTACAACTTTTTTTTAAAGCATAACATTGTTTACTATCTCCATTGTACCAACTACATGACTGAATGACTGAATTTACCAAAAGATAAAAAAAAGGTAAAACACTTCGCTATGACAAAAGAATTGATTTTACCAGTTGATATTGATAATGTAGTGATACTAATATCTTTGACAGTATGTTTTGCTGTGCCGCAGGCGTGAACATGGTTGTGCACGCAACGATCCCACATCGTTAAACGTCAAGCAACAAAGGTTTTCTGTGCAACTACCAAAAGTAACAAGCAACCCAACAGGTCGAGATCACGAAGCTACCACCTTTGGGCTAAGTGCCTAACCATGGTTATTCTATCAATCTCTTTCATTTTCCCTCTCTTTCCCATATGGAAAACCATCCCAGTATTTGGTTGTGGGGTTTTTCCATTTGCATATCAGAAACCCCCCGTAGGGGTCACCATGATTATGCCGGGAGATCAAACCGAACTCCATCATCCCCCTTCTTTTTGCTTATCTCGATCGGCAGGAAAAGGTTCCTATGCGAAAGATGCAAAAAGAAAACTGCATTGCATGCATGAATTGTGCATTATCATCATCATCATTCATTATGACCAACCCGGTCTAATTACCTACAACTTCCTCCGTCCATTTGTCTTGCCCGGCCCCGTTACTCATGTCGCCAAGGCGTACGTCCAATTAATTTGGGAGGAAATGCTATTTTGAACAGCCCTGGAAGGCTCTTCAAATATAGGGCACCCTTGATAATGAGTTTCTGCTTTTTGTTCCTTTTTGTTTTTCCCCATCTCCCAATTCCGTACTTAAATTGCAGAAGTAGCCTACATAAATTATGTTTGTAGTTGGAAGAATAACTCATCCCCCCAAACCACCCCTTTTAGCTAGTCTTCCCAGTTGCATGAGCAGGTCACTTGAAGTAGGTAGTCCTATTCAGCATCAGATGTTATCCAATTTGGAAAACCACTATATGATATAAGTATATATGCCCCTATATCCTTTTATGACTAGTCTACTTCTTTTAAACCTCTGTGGCTAGTAATATCTATATCCAAAAGTCCTTTTTTTAAGTGTAAAAAAAATAAAAAAGGGTCTTTTTTCTTTTTTTTTTTTCTCCCCTCACAATGAAATGAAAATGTCTCCTTTCTAATTTTGGGAGTTTTTTCAATACTCACAGTAACTGTCTGGCATTAGCAAGACGACCATGCCACATCCTAATGGAAAAAGGATGAATCCGTGTTTTAACTACTACTTTGCAAACTTCTATAATTAATCTGTGGCTGAACTTTTAGGGAGTTGCAGTCTTTTCTTGTCTTTTCTTTTTAATAAGTTCGCCATTAATTAGTAGTTATTATAGGGATAAAGCCGCACATCTGCTTCTGTTTCATCATCATCAGTCTTCTCTCTTAATTTTGAAAGAGCTTCAGCACTGAATGGATAAAAGTGCTTGGAGATCGAGAATACATCATCAAAGTACTCTACCCACTAGGAGGTTTTGAATAGTCCCTTTTGGGTTTTCTTGTCTTCTCTACCTAACAGTACTACAGCCATGGTTAGAACTCAGGTCCTTTAGCCTTGCTTCTTCATATTCTCTTCTTTTTAGCCCTCATTATCATCTTCATCTTTCTCTTTCTGATCAGCTGCACAACTTTAATTGCTACTCTCTACTATCAGTATGTGTAATCCTTTTGGTTTGTATTAATGTATAACTAAGCTAGGGAAGAAGACTGGGTTCTTCACTTATTTACTTTTACTTTCAATTCGTTATGAGATAATCAGACGTTGTATTTCTTCAACTCTATTCGCAATTGCAAATTTGTTGTTGCCTTTTTTTTATTTTTTATTTTTAGTTTGTTTTAATTACATAATAGAGAAGCATAGAGCCGCATAAACAATATGGATTACTCTGCTTATGATGAAATCACCCAATTTATAGCGCCACTAACGGCACGAACGAATTAAGTTAACTCATTCAATTCCCTTTCGATCAGTATATCTAGCTAAGCTAAGTGACAACTTGTTCAGTATGATCATCAACTTGGCCTTCATAATGCATGCCATCATCTAGTTCGTTTGTTGCGCCACATCATGATGCTGATATAGTGCAGATGTTGCATGGATATTAGAATTATAATTAAAAAGAATAATGATAGGCAACTTACCTAAATAACTCACCATATCATCTCACCTTATGTGGCTTGTTAATTTGGCTTTGACATGTCATCCCCTTTACTTACTTAAAGTAGAAACACTCGAGGACACTTGGCAGTTCTACAATCTATGTTTTCCCTCCAAAAACTAAAAGTCTTTCACAAAAAAATGGACACGTGGCACATCTTATGGGCTGGAAACAAGCTAATTTTTTTTATAGAAAAACCTCCCTTTTTAATGATAACTACTCCTGATTAAAAGGAAATTGATCCTGCTTTCAATGCTCAATGAAAATCAACTCCAAAAATGGAATAATCCTAACCTTATTAACCAGATCCTCATGTTTGATATTCAAATTGGATGATTAGTTTCCAAGTTCAATTGAAATTCTTCTTTTCTGAGATGATGTCTCTTTAAAAGAACCAATCTATTTTTAGGATAATTCTTCTCTTCTGCAAAAATCAAGCCGCCTAGAGGACGATTGGGATCCCCAATGTTAAATTGAAAAGAGATCCACCTATGAAGCAAATTGAACCAACTTCAACAACCTTCAAAGTAGATCCAGTCGACAACATCGATGATTGTATTACCGGTATTAAAATGTACTCTTCAAATCCATCGTCGTCTTCCGCTCCGATCAACAGATCCCGTCGGTGATTTTATATTAAGATTATATTTTGTTTAGTTCTCTTGATTTTATTTTCTTTATTATTTGGATCATTGAATGTGAAAATATATTACAGACTAAAGAAAGAGTTAATCTGGTGTTTCAGGAACAGATTCAAGCGACATCAACAATTGAAATTAAAAGCCAATGACCAACAACCCCAAAATTAGAGCAGTGGGAAGGAATCTGACGGAACCAAGATCCGGCGAAGTCAACCGATCATATGCAACGGAGGCTAGCAAAGGGAAAATTATTTATTTGGGAAAAAAAATCAAAACCTACGCTCTGAAACCGTTAAGTCCGTTCCCAGATCCTCTTCTACCTACATACCCAATATGTAAGATTTTTTGCTACCTTTTTCGCATTTTTTGTTAAGCTATTCTTCTCTTCCCTACAAATTAATTGGCCTTTTGTTTAATTGTTTTTCAATCTTTTTTTTTTTGGGTCTGGTTTTGCTGCGAGCGAAGGTGAGAAGAACGAGGGATAGCAACTCCTACGGGCCTTACCGCTTCGAAACCACTAACAAAAAGGTACTATAAGACATTTGCCTCTCTGAGTTCTCTTTTCATTCTTAGAATTAGGGTTTCTTTAGCTGTTCACTTTTAGTCGATGAATTTGATGTGATATGTTAATTGGAACAATTGAGACTTTAATCGAAACGTGCACTAATGGAATCAACTTTGTTTACCTTCCTTGGACTGATTTTGTTTGTTTTGCTTCATTCCAATAAAGGTGAGACCCCTTCGAGTTGACGACGACGACTACTCTGAAATCGACTATGAGGTACAATTCTTTTTGTTACTTAAGTTGATCTTTCAAATAAGGGCAGTCGTGTACTTTGATGGGAAAAGAGTTGTAGGTATTTGAGAGGCAATGTCAGTAACATCTTAATCACCTTTAGAAGCAGACAATAATCACTATTAATTATCACCACACAAGATGGTGTTACAATAACTCTATTGTTGAACCGTAAATTTGAGCTTACCTAACTGGAACCATAAAACTAGAGAATATTTGCCAAGGTTACCAATAACCAAAAACCTCACTTTTTTTTTCCTGTTCCGAGTTTTAGTTGATTTTCTCATATTTTTAAATGAGTTATTGATGGGGTCTTGGCCAGAACAATTTTGGCAAAGTTCTATATCACTTACATTTATTCTTTCCTTTCTTTTGATTATATATATCTTTCTCGGACAGAAAGTGACTGTAAGAACTGCGAGAAAGAAGCAATTGGCCAGTTGTTATTCTGCCTTACGAGATTTCGAGGATATCTACCCTGGGGATGATGATGAGTTTGATCACAAGGAATATGACATTAAAGATTATGACCTTGATGCTATTGTTCGTTCCTCTTTTCTTAAAATACACTCTTAAGCCTACTTATATGGAAAAGATTTTCTGAGTTTTATTTGGTTTGGTTTGTTTAATATTTGTGGTTGCCTTTTCAGTTTAATGATCAGTTTAAGATGGTTTTCTTTAGTTTATATTTTCGTGGTTAAAATGTAGGAAAGGTGCCATGACATATCTGGTCTGCAGATCACTGATAATTGTATGGTTGTAAATGAGCATCCTTTTAAGAGAAACACTGATTCAATTTATAGTAATCAAGTAGAGTTTCTGTTATCTTCTGTTTTTTTTTTTTGCGTTTTAATTTAACTATTTATTTGAGTTACTTAGAGTACTATAGATATATGGCAATGTATAAACTTTGATGGAATTTTACGATCAAACTTGATTTGTCTAAGGTTTGTTTACTATTTGATCTTAGGAGTTTAGAAAAATGAGTTTTTAATGCACTGATTAGAACTTTAATGCACGTTTGCTTTACCTTTCTTTTTTTTTTAATAATGAATCATGTTGGTTAAGTATGCTTAGGGTTGAATTGTCATATTTGTTTTCTTCTTAATTTTCAGTGGAAGCAGCGAATACGGTTAACAGGGATCAGGGACAACCGTCAAATTCCAGGGAGAATACGCCAACTGCAAAGTTTGATATTAAGAAGTGCGAAAATGCAATCACTATTTTCTGGTTAAATCTCTGTTCAGGTCACTCATTCATTACTACGCCTACTGTCACTTCATGTATATCCTAAGTGGATTAAGTGTGAATAAATTGTGATAAACTAAAGCAGAGGTTATCAATTTTGCTGAAAGAATAAAAGCAATCAGCACTTGGTATGTACATGGACCATACATTTCATATGGATGAGAAGCTTAGAAGAAAGCCATCAATTTTTCTACGGTTTCAGCTTCATATCACAAAGAATGCTTGGGTTTTAAAATTGATTCTTTTATGCATATATAAGTTCTGAGTGGTGAACTTCTACCTGCATCATGACCATCATTGCAACATAAGTTAGTATTCAGGGATGATTGAAATCAGCCTTTCTAGGTTCTAAGTGTTGGAAAAGCATATTGCATATTTATACTAGGTTGGATTAATTCCTAGAAGAATTTCTTACTGAAAAAACTTGCAAAAATTTTCTTTTATTTCCAGAACAAATATATAGACTTTAGAACATAAGATGCTTTCACCCAATCTAACAAAGGTGCTTATGGGTTGGATTAAGTGCAAGGGTCTCATGGGTTACTATGCAAACAAGGTGATGTACTCTCCCATCATGATATATTTGATTCAAGCTTTTGAGCGTAAATTCAGTTTATTTGTTTTTAAATTTTTGGTGCTTCTGTTTGTCAGGTTACATCAAAAAATGCTTCTAAGTCCTTTTTGGAAATAGAACTCATATCTTGGGAGCTCTGATGAGATTTGTTGCGTAATAATGATTTTTTACTCTAATTACTTTATCTAAATAAGCAGTGTGGATGTATCATATGACTACAATATATTATATAATTTTTTGATGCATTTTCTGGACCTTTGCAACTTTAGATGCATGGTTCTTTTTCTGGTTGCTCCATCGTAATGGTAGCGGCCATCATTGTGTCGATATATGCAAAACAACGATGTGCATTTTATCAAACGTTTTAACAAAACTCAAATTTTTTTATTTCTCTTTTGCATTTTGTAAAAAACTTTAACGGTACACTCGGATGTTTGAGAAAATTTTATCTTATTACGTATATTATCATAAAATATATTGATTTAATTGTATGATCATTTTTTTTCTGATTTAACCTGTTTAAACAAAAGGAGCGGCCGGGCATTAGCCCGGAAAGTCTTTTTAATTTTCAACTGTATTTTTGGCTTGGTCAAATATGATATATAGGTAAAAACACTGTCAATAACAAGTTGAAAGTGTGTATAATTATGGTATAAAAATTGATAATGGATCGATTAAGTTATTTCATGAAGACGATTTGTTTTCCTAGTAAAAACAAACTTAAGAAAGCCAGGCATGGCCGGGACCAAACATCGAGTAATTTACATATTTATCTTTATTATTGGAGGAGATTAAAAAAAAAAAATCAACCCGGGGAAATTATTCACAGGTGAGGCTCTAGCGGCTGAAACTCTATCAGGCCACTGTTCCTCTTCGGGCGCAACAGCTCGATGTTGGTTTTGCCTGTGTGAGATTTATTGGCTGAGCCACTAGGAATCAAAATTCTACTAACGGAAAATAAAAGTTGGCCTTGCCCTTCTTTTCCGGCGACCTGGTACTACTCCTCCGGGATTTTGGCTAAGTTGTTCTTTCTTATCTATAGATACTAATAACTTAAGCAACGGGGCTCATTGTTTTTTTCTTCCTTTGTGTCTGTTATACAAATAAAAGAATTTACAATTCCCATCGGAATTCAACCTAGTAGTATATATAGAGATGTTTTAGAAATGAATCCACATCTAGATTGATTCAACCTAGTAGTATATTTAATTAATTATTATTGAGCTTTAGCATTGGAGGATTCTGATGAGTTCTCAAATGGAGTGGGGAAGACGACGAAAATAGATGAAGAAGGGCAAAACAAATTTGATTTACCGCGGGTTGGAATTTTTTTTTAATCTCCTCCAATAATAAAAATGATGACATGTCAAAGACAAGTTGGCAAACCATGAGATAGGAAAATGAGTTATTTTGATGAGTTACTTAATTACTCAATTAAAAATATATAACACATATTATCATCTAATTCATTTGTTGTGCCACATTATGATGCTGACGTAGTGCATCTGTTGCATGAAATATTTTCTCCATAAGAAGAATAATGAGTAAAAAAGATAAAACTATTTTCGGCAACAATGACTTTGGCAAGCCTACTTTCCCAAACTTGTGATGTCATTTTGTTTATTAGAATGATTTGTTTGCTTACGTTCCAATGATACCAATGATAAAGACGGTGAATATTCAAAGTGATATGAGATGATGAGACAAAAATATCACACCGTTTGTTTCGATAATACATACATATATATCTTACTATATTAGAAACAAAAACCACACTTAAAAGAAAGCACCATCATTTGCCATGTGGTATTTCTATATCATATTTTTAAAATAAATTTTTATTACCACGTCTCCTAAATTTAAAAGTCAAATGCAGTTTAAATTCACTTCCGCCTCCTATTTTCGTCAAAACAAACAAAAAAAAAAAACCACGGATTCATAAAAAACCCAAATCCCCATCCCCATCTCCACGACAATCGACTCCTTAATCAATCCCTTCTCCACAATTAAAAAAAAAACAAATTCATCATTAATCATCAATTGAGAATATGTGGTGAAATATACTCCTTTCCTATTAGTATGTTGAATCTTTTCATTAGTGATAATCAACTACATCTTAATCGGATAAAATTTCAATTTCAAAAATTATTCTCTTTACCTCTCTATACAAACATAAAGGAAAAAAAAATTCTCATTGATCTTACTTCGGCCGTTGTGGTGGTGCCATTACATGTATTAAAATTTAAATGATTTTATTTCCACAGATCATTGGTTTGGCTTTTATTATTTTTTATTTTTCCCGTTCAAGAATAGTGTTATTACTATTATTTTTATGCGTCCATCCGTTACAGCTACCGTAGCCGTTGTCAGGTAGTATGATGTGATTTTTTATTTGGTTAGTTAGCCTATAATTTTTGTATGATTTTAGTTATGTTTGGATTGAATTGATTGATTGGGTTTTTGTTACAAAGTGTGGTTTTTTAAATTTGTTTTTTTATATTTCATTCAATTAGAGTGGTTTTTTTTTTAATTATGGAGTCTCGGGTTTTTTTTCATATATGGCCAATTATGAAGTGTGTTTTTTCTTTGTTTAATTGCTTTTGATTTTGTTTCATACTCCCAGTTGACCAATTATTATTATTATTATTATTATTATTATTATTATTATTATTATTATTATATTATTTGCAAATGAAGAACGTTTCTTTTTTTGTGTTCGGGGTTTCAAGAATATACTTTTTTGGATTTGGTTTTTGGACTTTTTTTAGTTCCTCATCACATAAATAGTTCAGGTCACTTCTTTTAACTAATTTATGGAGAATCCTTTTATGAATTTGAAGTGGAGAGGGAAGGAATGATGTTTCTACGTTTATTTGTGTTGTTCTACATCATTTTTACCTACAAAAAAAAAAAAATTCTCAAATTTTAATGGGCTATCTTTTACTCTTTTTTTTTATTTGCCATGGTGAGGTGAGTTCTTTTTTGCTATATCTCGAAACCTATGCAAATTTACATTATTTTCATTCTCATATTTGTGATCAATCAGTTTCAACAATTAACTAGTTTCAAAATCATATTTTTGATATTTTACTACCTATAAACTTTTGGAAGAAATAGTTCCAACAATTAAGCGTATACCTTTGGAGGAAACTAACTACAAAGCTATTATAAATCTCCAAAACTAAGTATTGTTTAGCACAACCAATAGAGAACATCAATAAATTATCTTATTAATATTTAGACTTACTAGGATGCTTTTATATTTTGTCTAGCATTTACTTCAAGACATATATTTGATCAAGTTTATTTATATTTAAGAAGCAACATTTATAAAATATTTCTAAAATCTTTAAACATTTCTAAAACGTACCGGGCCAAATACAATTTATTTTTTTGCGAAATACAAACATCACACTTATAAAACATTTCTAAAATTCTTCAAATATTTCTAAAATATATCGGGCCAAATACAAAATTATTTTTTTTCAGATACAAACATTTCTAAGATCTACAGATATATTGGGCCAGGGTCGCGTATTGTGCGACCAGACATCACTAGTATATATATATGGGAGTGACTACAGTCCAGTTGACTAAACCGTTCAGTCATTAATTTTAACCGTTAGATTAGAATGAATCATTGTGACTGTAGGATTAAATGTGGTGTATCATAAAAGATAAAAGGCCTAAAAACACAGAATAATTTATATGAATTATACGATATTAGTTTCTCTCACAAGTTTTATTTATGTCAAGATTCCCATAAGAAAACAAAATTATCCATATTTCATCCACTGATGTTCTAATCTTAACAAACAGACTTAGTCCTTAAAAAAATAACTTTTTTTTTAATGATAGAGTTCAAATAAATCTATCCCAATTCATTTTTTAGTCCGTCTGTTCATCAATTAATAGAACAAATTTGGCATTAACGAGCAGCTGCAATATAAAATACACTAATTTTTGAAGAAGATCAACTACTTTCGATGTCCACAGAAGAGATTATCGACGTATCAATTAATGGCGCTGACAAGGCTGCCCTTGTGTTATCTTACTTTTGGGACCTTGGAAACAACAAATAGAGGAAAAATAAAAATAAAACTTGAGCAGATAGAAAATTGGAAGAGTTCTTAAGATGGAGAGTCCAGTATATTAACGAGGGAATCCGAGAACTCTATTTCGGTCCTGGTAGCTCAACTTCTTCTAATGCTCTTGGTCACCTTAACCTTGGATTGCTGGGGACAAAGACCAGAGTTTCGGAGCTCATGGAAATACCCCTGCGAATTTTCATTAAGATAATTTTTTAATTTATCTTCAATGACTTATCGAATTAACATGTCAATAATTAAATGGTTTGTTAAGGTGTTGTACACTTTATAATTAGAAATGGTGTATCTCATTTTTATTGGATAAATTTTAACTGGATGGTCCAGTCAAAAACTCATGACTGGACCATAGAATTTCCCATATATATATACATACATATATATATATATATATATATAAAAGAAGGGGTGGTTAAACATATACAAATTAAAATCACACAGTTTCTTAGGGGTAGAAATGATTTTTTGCAGTTTTTCCTTTTTGCTGATTTCACATACATCTCCTTGGGAACACTTTTGATAGTTGACTTGATAGTTGGGGATATTTTTTTGATATTTTATGAAACAGTACTGGTAATTTAGATAATCAGTTAAAGCTCGGAGGTGTTTTTGATATTATCCCAAAATCAGTTGTTCGGCGCTGAAACTGCCGGTTGTTAGACATGGCGGTGGTAATGCCTGCGGCGAGTTCTGCTTCTTCAAAATTCAGCTCTTCTCCTCCACCTTCTCACTGTTATGGAGTTAGAGTTATTGCTGAAATCGGTCGGTATAATGATTATAGTTATATTAGTAGTAGTAGTAGGAATATCATTAAGTGTAAAAGCATATTTCTTCAATCCCCATTGTCATCATCACTTCATTCCATCTCTTGCCGATCTTCCTCTACTTCCCTTCTTCCTCTTACCCACCACAACGATGGCATTCAATCTCTTTTTCAGGTATTTTCCTGCTTCTCTTTCAATTCTTCTTTTACCTTTACTTACCACCGCCACCGCCACCGCCAACGCCACCTATTAGGAGTCTTAATTAACTCCATCAAATCTTTGATTATGAATTCAATTAGATGTACAAGTCGCTACTATGTCACTACCTTTTTTTTTTTTTTTTTTGATATGTGATTGAACGGAATATTTTAGAGTAATTTTTAATTGCTGTCCAAATTTAGGGGTGCATACCTAGCTGCTGCTCTATTTTTAATATGGAGTTACCTACTCTGTTTTGCAGATCCTCCCTACTGATCTGCGTGACATACTTTTGTGCGACCCCAACCAATCTCAGCTATTAGAGGTTCCATTTCCAGTCGAATCCTGTTGAATTTTATTCAAAGTGATGACTCAGTTGGATACTTTGAAATATCCGGCATCTTTTCTTGCTAGGTGGTTCTGGACCTTGGAAAGTTGCCACAAGCATGCTATGCTGGTGACTCCGGGAGGCAAGTCTTAAGGAATACCCAAGTACTATCACTGACCGTAACTACTCCAACATCTTTACCTCGAGTTTAATAAGTGTAGACAAGGTTTTTAACTTATTCAATTGGAGATAGCCTACTGATTTCTTGGTTTGCGGTCGAGCGTGTAATTCTCGGATTTGATGTTAATAATACTGGTGGAAGAGATTTGGTTTTTCTGTGAATACGTTCTCTAACCAATCTAATAACCAGGTCACTTGGCAAGAGTTGGAGTATGCTCAAAATGCCATTGGGACATTTGGAGATGACAATAGAGCTGGCATTGCAGGCACCCTGCACCGGATATCTGCAATTAGGAGTAGAGAAGGTGCCGTTATTGGATTGACTTGTCGAGTTGGCAGGGCAATTCAGGGACATATATGCATGGTTCGGGATTTGCTTGACTTTGGCGAGAGCATCTTATTCATTGGAAGGTCAGTCATCATGCTACTCTCCCATGGAAGCACTGCAAGATTGGATACTGAAATTTCTGTCACAAACTCTGATAACTTGATTGCCCGGCCAGTACTTCTCTAACTTCTATTTTAACTATTTGATCTATCTTGAACACAACAGAAAGCCTCTTTTTTGGTTTTTTTAACCAGCATTGTGGAGTTTGTTTCTTATGCATTTGGAGTAATTTAGGTGGAACTATAGGTCCAATCCTACAGAAAAAAAATGATCTTATTTATGAGAACTGCTGGAGTTAGAGGGAGACTGATCATTCTGTATCAGGACCACCTTCACATATTTTGTAGAATTGTATGCTAAAATGCATAAACAATACCTGTCTTTCAGTTGCTTGCTTTCTTGATGTAGGTTTCATTTAGGCCATTCAACTTTGGTATTGCATCCACTCTTTTGAATATTCAACTTGTATATAACAGGCCTGGTGTTGGCAAAACCACAGTGATACGGGAGATTTCTCGTGTCTTGGCAGATGAACTTCACAAGAGAGTGGTGTGTTGTGTTGGAGAAGTTTTGCATTATCTACATCCACATCTAACGCCAAAGTGCTGTTTGTTAGCCTAAAAATTGATAGCGAATTTTTTCTTATTTTTCCTTTTCTTTCTTTTTATAGGTAATCGTTGACACCAACAACGAGATTGGAGGTGAGGGAGATATTCCACATCCTGCAATAGGAGATGCAAGAAGATTGCAGGTTTACAAACCATCTGTGCAACACTTAGTAATGAGTGAAGCAGTTGAGAATCACATGCCCGAGGTGATTATTGTTGATGAGATTGGTACAGAAGCTGAAGTTAATGCCTGTTGCTCCATTGCACAGCGAGGGGTAATGCTTATTGCTACTGCTCACGGCGAGGTCCTGGAAAATATCGTTAAGAATCCGATTCTAGCAGACATGGTCCGTCTTTAAAAATTCCAAAATTATCTTCTTGATATCATGGTCTTTCTTTGTTTACCTTATTCTGGGCTTAATTGTGTGGATAACTTGTGATATGAAACCAAGTTGACTTCGTCAATTAGTGGTTTTACCGTTAAGAATCCTTACCTTTTAATGTGGAGTTGAGACTTTGGCATGAGTTTTATAGTTGTTGCACTACTGAGCCTTTTATTTTGTGATTATGCAGATTGGAGGAGTGAAAAGTGTCACATTAGGGGGTCACGAAGCCCGTCTAAGACAATCCAAGAAAACCATTCTTCAGAGAAGGGCTTATCCAGCATTTGGCTTTTTGATTGAGATAAGGGAGAGGCATTACTGGGTTGTTCATCGGGTTAGTTGCTCAAGTATTGGTTAGGTATTGAATTCGCTTGGAAGATCAAATGTGTTTATGTAATAAAATTTTCTGTTTCTTCCCCTCAGACAGCTAGGAGTGTGGATTTGTTCCTTAGTGGGAGGAAACCACTCGTTGAGGTAATTTTGTTATATGCTTGTGTCATTCTGAGCTTTTTTGCTATGCTCGAAAAGAGGATAATTTTGATATATGGTTGAAATTTTCCGAGCTCTTTAGTTATGCTTGACAAAGATTGGTGTAATACATGATATGCATGCAAGCAAAAGGGCTACTACCTTAGTAATAATGAGCTGGAAAGAGGGGGGGAAAAAGAAGAAGTAGAAGAAATAGCTGGAAAGAGGAAGAGATGAGTCTATACGTGACCTTCTTATGGTTTGGCCGTTTGGGTTATATGTGATTATGTAATACCATGTTCAAAATTGTCTAGTGTGGCCTGTAGACTTTAGGACAATAAAACCATTTGGTGAAATCTGGGAGTTTTTACGACCAGACACTTACTATTTCTAATCAGGAGAAATTTAGAACTTTTGCAGTATGGTTGCAGATGGACCAAATTACGTTTTGGAACTTAATGTTTGCATTAAAGTTAACATTGTGAAGGACAGCTTTGTTATCTCTAGAAATATACCTTTAGCAGAAACTGTCATATTGGAGGGGCTGTGGGAACTCAATGTTTGCTTCGATTTTTGGCAGATCAGGAGAAGAGATGAAGATTCCAATGTCATCATAGAAAGATGGAGGACAGAAAGCTGAGTTAGGTATCGTGCAAATGGAGATATTAGATGTCATTCCAGTGAGACAGGTAGGTCAGGGTCTTATGTATCTGCTAATTCTGTGATGTTCTCCATTTAAGAAGAAAAAAAAAAAGCATTGGCACCACTCAAAACTGTTTGAGAACTTGCATCACTAGAAACTGTCAGAGAACTCGCGCTCTCCAATAGTAAAACCCCTTCTGATTTGTAAATGGTTGATCTTGGTGTTAGATAGTTTGGTGTATTTTGGTAAGCTCACTTAATGTTCCATTCAGCAATATATAGGTCACACTGCCGGGGAAAAAAATTCATTGGTTATATTTTATTTGACTGTATTTCCGATCGTCGGTGCATTATCTTTGATCTCTTGGAAAATGTTTCGCTTCCAAAATGTCGAATGGCTCCAAAGACCAAACAACATAAACTTCTAACGATACGCGGAACAGGGTTTCCTCACAGCATCGAGCTAGAACATCAATGTTATAAACAACTGATATTCCATAAACTACAGGGGAGAATAGAAGACAAAAATGGATAAACCTGTTGAGTGTTGACCATAAATGGTGAAAGTACAACATATTTATAGGTAGAATCCAATTTATTTCCCTTCAGACTGGTTTTAGATTGTCTTTACTTACACCATCAACTAGTCCAGTGGTCTCCATTGTTTTCATGGTCATCCTTGAACCATTAATAATGGAACACCGAGTCCATCAAATCAGGGGGTTTCAACATTTCTATGACATTCATAAGGTGTTTGTCTTTTGCTGAAAACATCATTCAAAAGCAAATGTTTTCATTTTATATCATAGGCAATTTGCCACCTCTGTTGTAATAAGAAAAGAAAGGGAAACTAAGGAAAATGGTAAGCCGAAACTTGTATTATGCATTACATAATACTTTCTGAAATGAAAATTCAAATTAGATAATTATTTTGGGACAGAAATTAAAGAAAAAAATGATGGGTTGTTTGGCCAACATTTTGTTTTAGTTTTTGATTTGAGTTTGAGATGTGATTTAAAATGTAGTTTTAGATAAAATTTAAAAAGTTATTTGGGTAATATTTTAAATAAAATAATAATATTTTTAGACCACCATCGAATCACCTCCACCATCGGCGCCCCGGCAGGCCGGATTCTGGCTAAATTCCGGCGAGTTGACCGGAATCTGGCCGACCGATCGCCGGTCGACGACGGTCCGGCGGCAGCAAGGGGCGGTCCGTGCAGTGGCGGGTGGTGGTGGAGGTGGTCCGGTGGTAGTGGACGAAAATTGTATAAAAATAATTTTTAGAATATTTTTTAAAAGGTGAATTGAAAAATTGTTTAGATAGTATTGTAATTTGTGTTTGAGAAGTATTTTGAAGAGATAAAATGACATAAAAAGGCAAAATGAGTGTCGGGAAAAGAAGACCGATACTACTATAAACATAACTAGATGCTTGGCCCAGGCAGATGCCTGGGCGCCCCTCTTAATTTTATGTTAATAGATAAATGAATTCTTGATTTGGAAAAAATAAAATAGCTACACATTTGTTTTTTTTTTTCCTTTTTAGCAAAAAATAATTATAAAAATAAAAAAATCATCTGCCAAAGGAGAAAAAATATTGAAAAGTACAACGATTCAGAAATCATACAAAAGAATATGGAGTAATAAAGAGGATAAGTTTATGGACAAATTTAAATACTATTTTAATTTGATTGATAAATGATAAATGTTAGGAGTTAAAATTGTGTAGCTATTTTTGTAAAGTAGCTTTTGTTTTTCTGGATAAGAATTTTTTTTTTCTTTTAAAAAGTGATGACACGTGGCAGAATGGTTAATACAATATGGTGCATTTGGAGCCAAAAATTTTTAATAAGAAGTTGCCACATCAACATCCTGTATTCTGCTTTAATAGGGTAAAAGGGATACTATTATCTTATGTTTTGCATGCACACACATGTACATAATAATATTTTTGACTATTTTCTTTTCTACATTTAGGCAAAAACACATTTTTGTTACGTGCATGTATTATACTTATTATCTATACTATAATTTATTACAGAGTTAAAAACAAATTGCAGTATTCAGGGGGCCCAACAGAGTAAAGGTACCAGAAACAGGAATTTTCTGAAAATTTTGAGCCTTAATATTTTACTAGATACTTGGCCCGGACAGATGCCCGGACGCTCCCTCTAAATTACTATTTTATTAAAATCTAATTGAATTACTATTTTTTGAGGAATTAATTTGGCGTATATATCATTTATGCAATGGTTTGGGGCTTAAAAAAATATACCTATAAATATGAGGTTATAAAGGAATAATAAATAATTAGTTTATAAGGCATTATTCTTAATTGCTGGATTTATGTATTTTTATTTTTTGTATATATTAAGCCCGCAAAACTATACGATTGGATATTTGAATTTGAATTAATATATCCATTCGTTTGAAATGTAACTGATCCTTATTTGTAGTAAAACATGTGTTTTTTTTTTTAAAAAAAATTATATAACTTCTAATTAAAAGAGAGTTACACGTGGCAAAAAGATTTCTAAAATCTGAAATTATGGTGCATTGGAGCCAAAACAGATGCATACGTAGTTGCCACATAAACTTCATGTCTTCTGTTTTAATAGGGTATAAAAGGGATAATATTGTTTTATTTATTTTTCAGATTATTGTATTGATTTCTCAGTTCTAAGGGTGCAGTGATCAATACTGAAGGGAGTATTATTGATATTTATATACAGGATATATATTACCAAAAGCGGGAGAAAACCCCAGGAAAACAACAGAAACATCGTGATGTTCAAGAAGGCAGTGGAAGCGAAGTCGCAACAGCGCCTCTCCGGCGCCGACCGGAAGAAGCTTAGGCGTACAGTCAGAGATCGGTTTCCCTATGCGTCCGATGCCGATATCGACGCCTTACTACCCCCTAAGGTGCAGTGTTACCTTCCGTCTCAAATTTTCGTTCCCTCCTTTGGGGATTATTTATGTAGTTTTTGTGTTTATGATATTTGCAATTCCTGTTTGTTTGTTTCTTTCTTTTTTGGGGTTTATTGTGTTGAACTGAACTGTGTTTACGTCTCTCTCCTTTTGCTGGGGCTGTCTGTTTCTTAAATGCTCCAGTAAGGCTTTTTTGGTTTTACTTTTTTATTCTCTTCTAATTGCCCCTGGGAATCACTCCTAACTATTTAGTGAATTTAGTGAGACTATGCGGTATATAGATAACCAGCCATGTAATAGTAGGGATTTATTAAAGGTTTCTGGTGTGAGGTCTCCTCCTATAGCAGCCCACACTGGTCATGTCGGTTATAGGCTAATAATCTTAGCAATGGACTAATAATCTTTCTGAGAACAAGCTAAAAACCGGAATGATATATTTCATTTTTTATTTTACAATATAAAGTACGGCTCATTCAAATAAACTATCTACCAAGGTTAACAATTATCATCGCATTTTGTCAACTTTAATTTGTTTGTATCCTAGTTCTGCTGATCTTTTGGATTGGGGAAAATTTACCATGTCATTCTGTGGAATGAAAGAAAGCTCTATTTGTTTTGATTTAAGAAGCTTTCATTTGTTTTCTGTGCGAGTTTCGTGATCAAATTATTTATTACATTCTTGTTATGGCTGTGTCAGGCAGAGATAACCATTTCCAAATTTCCAAATCGAATTCTTGTCTACGGATTAGAGGGTGGCTATCCCATGTTTTTTGACACCGATGGACGTGGTCAAGATATATTTCCCACAGGTATGAATTTGGCACATACATTCCTTTTATTCAACTATGCATGGGTTTGCATTTGTGATGCAGCACTAAACGTCGTGGGTAAGAAAATTAGGATGGAGGCTGATTAAAGAGTCGTATGCAGCGGAAAATCAATAGAAAACTGTAGGGAATAGGGGTAGAAATCACAGGGAAACAAGGATAATCAGTAGGAAGAAGAAGAAAACCTAAGAATCATTCTTAGGGCCCTTTGGCATCACACCGCAGGATTCCTAGGCATTACACCAAGGGTTTTGTTGTATCACACAACAATTGCAAAAGCAAAGCTTCATGCAGGAATTTTTATTAATCATAGTCTGTCAAAAACCCTCAAAAGAGGTACATATATATAGGCCTAATAATAAAACTATAAAATAGGAGATTAAGTCTAGTTTCCTAAAACTGAATTCCTGAAACGACCTAAAGCTTAACCTGTAAGGAAATTACACTAAATATCAATAATAGGGAACCAGTACTCCAGAAGAATCCTGCGACCTAGCAAAATTACTGAAGTATCCTTATTCTAAAATATTGAAAATTAAACTTATTCCTGCTTTTAAAACCATTTATGAATATTAATCTAACCAAAGTTCTAACACTTTGGTTTCCTCCTCGGATCATGATGATCCCTGGGCATAAATATGGAAGAACCTACTGATAGGGTTCTTCTACCATTCCTTGTCCCCATCATTCTCCCCTGGTTCAAAAAAACTCGACGAGTTTTAAAATGTCTGAGAATCAGGAACCAAAAAATCTGCATCTTCAGCCATCTATTGGTAGCATAATCCATAAGAAAGAACTTCCTTTGCTTAAGTCCATATAGAATCAAAGAAATTAGAAGCCTGTTCTCATGCACGCACCCATGGGCCTCCCCAAACACAAAATCAACCGTGGGAACTCCAGGATCATAAACTTTCACTTGACCTGGTTCTAAAAATTCGTCAATATCAGACTTCATGCACAGTGTTCCCAGATAATGTCTTGTAGCAGAACCTTCAATCATCATTGTGACTTCTTTGGATAAGAGTATTTAATGTCTTGAAGTATTTAATGTTGGGTTGGCTACTTTGGAGCGATACTTTGATAGGGATCATGATGATCCCTGGGCATAAATATGGAAGAACCTACTGATAGGGTTCTTCTACCATTCCTTGTCCCCATCAGTTTGTTTCCTAGAATTGTGTTTGGCTTAACTTATTTTAGGGCTTACTTCAGAGTCCTCTTAAATGCATGGTTAACTGATCAATCCTCAGGTTACTTGAGCTGTATTTTAATTTTCTCCCATTGAGATTATGGACACCATTTCGTAGTAGGCATTGCCCCTTCTTAAGATGTTATTAATGGTCAAATATGAAGCTATTAAATATCCAACTCGGAGAGGATGACATAATCATAGTTGGTGGTTATTTATTGTGAAACTGATACTCTTCTTTATGAATGTTCTGTGTTTGTCTCGTCTCTGTCTAGAGGCTTACTCGTTTAAGAATCAAGGTGTCTGTAATAGAAGTTTAGATGCTTTATTGTTTTATGCGATCTTTGGGAACGTGTAAAATATAATTATTGAATCTTTTGTCCCCTGGTTTTTTGCTGTTTATAGTTTTCGTGTACATTCTTAGCAGTTTGCATCTGATCCTGGCAGTTTATGCTCTGTGGAAGGCTCCTGATCTTTTGCCGGCATTTTGGTTGAAAGGTGGTGAGGTTTCTCGTTATGTAATTGGAGGGGCTGACTTGATGTTCCCTGGTATTTACATACCTCTTGAAGGTCTTCCAAATTTCTCAGCTGGGGAACCATGGGCTGTAAAAGTTCCTGGAAATCCTGCTCCTATTGCTGTAAGCTCTTATCTTTGCATTTAAGTTTATGTTTTTTTCTTTTTTTGGTTTTTCTTTTTGGGGGTATTGTTTAGATATTAATATATTCTAATCAACAACTGATTGATTTTTAATAAGGTTGGCTTGACCACCATGGGTTGCGATGAAGCTTTAAAAGCTAGCTTACGTGGAAAGGCTTTAAAAATATGCCACTTTTACAGAGATACACTTTGGTGAGTTACCATACACAATGTTTCCTAGAATTTGAAGTGAGAGAAGTACTGTTGGGTGATTTTTCTGGCTCATTTCCAGGGAAAATGTTGAAAATCCATACGTGCCAAACGCGGGTTTCCTTGAAGATGTTGTGTATGAGGATCCCTCTTCGATAATGGCTAGTGAAGTTTCTGATTCACTTGAAGGTGATGAGGATGGAATTGCAAGTTACAAAGAAGTTGGAGATGCATTGGATTTTAAAGAGGATCCTCATACCCCTTGTTCGACTGGACTTACGAATATGGAAACTGAAGGCACTGAGCAATTAATCTCAAGCATGGGTGGTGTAAGGGTTATAGAAACAGCTGAAGCAGATGAATTAGATAATACTGAGGAGCAACATCCCTTGTCTGTGGAAGAGGTAGATGAATTATTGTATAAGTACCTTCTGCAGGCATTACATACAACAGTTAAGGACGACGACCTTCCCATATCCGGGAGCACACTATGGTATGGAAAATTTCCCTAAACCAGTTTCAGCATCTTGGCATGCACTGCAAATAATTCCAGGACCCTAAACCCTAAACTCTAACCCTCACCATCTTGCTTAGTTGCATTCTCCCATTCTTATTTAGTTAGAACGTGCAAAATGCTTGATATGTGGTTAGGTAGCTGTTCAATGTTTGCAAAAGACTTGATGTTTGCTGGCTTTTCACAATGGTTTCTAAACTTAAATTGTGATATAACATGTGTGTTTCAGCAACAACTTGGCTTTATTCAATTCTGTTATGAGATATTGCAAAATTTACGCTGTCGGTGAACCTTTCAATCCCCCTCCTTATCTTGAGTTTAGAGCTAGGAATGGAAGAGTTGGGACTGGCAACTACACCCAAAAGCCCAAGCAGGCGGAGTTTGTGATATAGCATGTGTTATGTGTAGAAGCTTTTTGCTTCGGCTTTTTGGGTGCGCATTACCAATGAATAGGGTCTTTAGGCTTGTGGTAGATTCCAAGCTGAATATTTTATTTGTCTTCAGTACTAGGAATATTGAGTAACCAAGCAGGATTATCATATCCTAATGTGATAAATTTGTTTTTTGTTGTTTTGTGCTATTTATAGGTCAGGTCACGTGCTACCTTGCAGACCTCCAGGTGTCACAGTAGACGTGAAGAAATCCTCTTTTAAGAAATTGTCAAAGTGGTTACTAGCTAAAGCTGCATCTGGGCTAGTAAGTTCTGTTAACTTCTTAAGTTTCCTCTCTAAGTACTGATAGGATTCTGCAGCCTGCTGCTTCTCTTATCTTGCAATTTGCATCTCGTACTCGGCCCTTAGTCAAATTTAAATGATTTGAACCTTTGGTGGTGTTTTAAACATTTCTTAGCAACTGTTATTGCTTTAAGCCTTTCAATACCTTTGATATCTCTTCGTTTGGCTGTTCCTGTAGGAGTTTATTCTTGGATAATATTTGGCTTTAACATAGAGTTTAATAGTTTATTTTGTTTAAACGTTGTAGGATATATTTGTTTTCTGTGGAAAGTCTCTGGATTCTTTACTTGATGAGAATCCTAAACCTACCGTCTAAAAACTAGCAAACACCATGAATGACATGATCCAGATTTGATCATAGAAAATATTTCCTGACAGTGGAAAGGAGTTACACTGTATATTCTGACCAAAAAACAGCTGTGTGATTCATCTCCTCAATCATATTTTAAAAAGGCTTTGTTAATTTCATGTGTTTCCATGTTAAATAGGTAATACTTCAGGCTTGCCGCGCCTTTTCTTTTGTCCCCTTAGTGAAGTATCTTGACTTTTCTGGTGGGTGTTCTAAATAATTTCATTGCCACTATTCTCTGAAACGTTTGCGGCATGAACAGATTTCAGTGAAAGAAGATAAGCATAAGAAGGAGGTCAATTTGTTTGCTGTTAATCGTAGTCATCCAGACTATGTATCCTTCAGGCCAGAGAAGAAGAAAGTGGTCAAGGGTGGACAATCATCTACAGAACAGGGTACTGTTGAAGGACAGTCACCTAAAGTTTTTGAAGTCACTGAGGTTTACAGACCAAGTCATTATGTCAACCCTATATTTATCTCTGTTGGTGCTGATATGGGGAAAATTTACAGTAAGAATGAAGCATCTCAAATAGCCTTCCAGTATGTTGAAAAGGAAAATCTTGTCAAGCCAACTGACAAATCAAGGGTGATTTTAGACGGAGCTCTTTGTGATGCTTTATTTAAGGGAGCCATTAAGAAGGGGTCATCTTATCCAACCGAAATTCCTAAACAGGAGTTGGTGTCAACTTTTATCAGCCGGATGCAAGCCCATCATAAAGTGACCAGGGATGGTGAGACTGTTGTTCGTAAAGGTCATCTTAGGCCTATCCAGATAATGACTGAACGGAGGCAAGGGAACAAGAAGGTTACTAAACTTTCTGGTTTGGAATCATTCTTGATAGATTCAGAGGCAATGTCTTCAGAGCTGCAGAAGAAGTTTGCTTGCAGTACAACGGTGGCTGAGCTTCCAGGTTTGTTGTTTTGACTTTCTAGGTTCTGTAGCCCTAGTGGCTGAAAATGTGTCAGGGGTGTCTAAAGCATTTTATAATGGTGCATTTAAATAGTCGACAGTTTGAATTTGACATGTGATTTGGGTTTTCTGCTTAATTTTTGTAGGAAAGAAGGGACTTGAAGTTCTGGTTCAAGGGGGTGTCATTGATGTTCTGGCGAAGCATTTGATTGAACAATACAAGATACCTAGAAAATGCATTGAAGTCCTTGACAAAACAAAAAAATGATTATTTGAGGTTAGATCGCTAATATTTTGAATAATCTTTCACATTGTTCTTGTGCTTGTTACCCACTTTCATCTAGTCGGATAAACATTTGCTGTGCATAAGGAATAGTTCAAGCTTCCGTCCTATAGACAGGGAAAAAATTCGAACATTCACGTGTGTTCGAAAGGTTGGAGATTTGACACAAATTACTTTCATGTAGGTGATTTGGCAAGAGAAGTTGGTTTTTGATTGGTCTACGTCTGTTATGTACTCGTTGGATTTTGGTTGGTCTATACTCTGTTGGATATTGCGTATTGCTTTTGACTTTGCGGGAAACAGGGGTTAACACAATGGAACGCTGGATCTAGAGAATGGTTACAGTTGTAGGGGAGACCTTTTTCTTTGGATACTCCAATCAGCTGAAATGGTGCATCTCTCGATAATGTTCGCTCTCAAGGGAACAAATTGGAACATAGAATTGTCTGGAAAGAAAATGTTCAGGCTTCAACCTCTACAAGTAGCACTCTTAAAACAGTTTTGAGCTCAGTTTTCATATTTGTTAAAATTTACAAAGCTAACTCTTTGACCAGTTATGGTAAGCATGTAGGGTATATTACTAGAGTGGGTACGGCTTTCACCAATGCTAAAAATATACGAGCATAACACAACATCAGAATCTCAGATTGAAATATTATTTATAAACTCTTTTGACTTTGGTGAGAGTATTGGGATAAGCGCATAATAGTACTCCTTCTATTTTTGTTATAAGACATTTTGACTTTTCTTAGGTTTCACCTAATATATATTTTTAATGAACAAAAAAATTTTAAAAATATATTTTTACGTTCGTTGTATTCTTAAGATTGTTATGAAATATTTTTAAAGTTTTTTTGTCGAATAAAAATATGTATTAGGTTAAATTTAGGATAAATCAAAATATTTTATATTAAGGACAAGGGGAAATACATTATTATGACGATAATAACTTGGTAGCGAGTAAAATTATTAGATGATTTTGTTGGTTCTTTTGTTCCTTTACTACTCTTCCTTGAATGTCAGAAAACTAACATTACCCTTCGTTGAGAACACAATACCTTACCAGAGAAAGATTCTTAAATTTAACAGCCCAAACAATATTTAAAAGGTCAACTTTATTTCATCAAACCATGGTTCTCGTATTCCATAACCATCCGTCCCCCCTTTGCTCACTCAAAATAATAACCACGGAATACTGCCGATGAGATATTGAAATTTGAGAAGTTTTTTGATAAAAGAAAAAGTGGGAATTGAGAAGTTTTGAATTGATAAAGACGAGGAGAAGCTTTTTAGTTTAGTGCCTCCAAGTATTTTGTCACAGAAGTTGTTAACAGCTTCGATGAATCCGACCTCTATAGAAATCCACATTCTCTTCGGTTTATCAGCGAAAAGTGTTGGTAGCAGAATCAGGTCAAATGAAAGTACCGAATAGACTAAAATGAAACAATGGACAAAACAGGATTGAGTCTCGATTTTAGTAGCTTCATGTATGGATAGGAACCAACTTTATGACAAGTGACTGGATTTAGAGATACCAAACAAAAGAAGCTAAAAGCTGAGGCAGATTACTGGTTTGTGTTAAATTTATATTCGCAGCCAGCACTGGAATCTTACAGCAATTTCTCTTTATCTATATTCTTGTTTTGGTAGAGGGTAAATATACATTCCCTTTGTCTTAATATGATTGTTCAGTTTGGATTTTTATTTTTGGTTCAAACTGAAAATTCTCGACACAATAATAAAACTGAAAATCCAAACTAGACAATCATTTTAGCACAATGGGAATATTAAGATCAACAAAGTAGTCGCTGTTTACATATTAAGTCTTTTCTACCTCCTGCTATTCTATGACACCAATACATTTCATTGAAAGTACATGCCATTAGCATCGCTACATTTTGGAACTCTGATTTTGAAAGCTTGCTGTCTAGGTGATATAACATTTCCTCAGTGCGCACTTCTATTCCTCCCAAACGAGGTATGCATGCTGCAAAAGCTGCTTGGAAAATTAGTCTTCTCACTTTAAAATAAATATGAACTGGTGCTTTTGTGTATTGTGGAAGGTTACAGAGGAGAAATTTGAAATGCCTACACTGAACCTGGATCGATCGACATGGATTCATATTTCATAGTCCTTCATGCGTGCAGGTGGTGACAACAAGGAATTATTGTTAACTTGAAAACCAGCTGGAGGATATGTGCAGGTATATCTGGTATCTTGCCCGCATGAAGGAAAATGTCCCTTTTCAACTCACTTTTGATGCCACTCACCAAAATATTTCTGCAAAAGACACTATAACAATTTTCTACACTGCTTATTGCAGATAGCTTGGATGACGCAGAAAAACTTGAAAAATGCTGACTTGAGAGACAGACCAAAAATCGACTGCTGCAATGTGACCACCTCTCAGAAATCTCAGAAGGTGAAAGAAAGAAAACTGATCCCAGCCAAACCATATCGACGTACGGATAATATGACAAGGTTGAACTGATTCAAAATTATGGTTTATATTCATCATGAAAGTGCCGACGATTACAAATTCAAGAATTATGTTCTATACAACTGGCGCCACATAATAATGGTACAAAGGCTTTTGCATGTTTTCCCTACTTTCTATGCAAGCAGTGGAAACTGATAAGGTAATTTATTGATTTTTCCGACATTGTTTCGTGATGTTTGAGTACAGATGAGTTTAATAACCTACCCCCAAAAGCCATGATACCGGCAATATCTTTTCCAGACCCTAAACATGAAAACCTGAAGGCTATTGGAGAACGCCAGCTTCTTCGGGAACTAGCCAATCTGGTAAACCTTGCCACATTTAACTTTATTCAACCAAATTAATAATCTCTTATCAAACATTAGTCAAAGCTTTTTATGGTAGGCACTTATACTGGGGAATAGAGATGATATAGAAGAAATGTCAACAGTTGTCCTCATCACAGTATTTAAGCTCACTGATAATTATGACTTGCACGGTCAAGTGGCATATCCAAAACATCATAAGCGACAGGAAGTTCCTCAGACCTATCAGTTGGAAACGAAAACTAAGGTAAATCATTGAGCAAAAACTTCATCAGTCTAAGTTGCTGTATAACAGTCTCACACTGTCTTCAGTAGAGCAATTCACTGAGGGTTTATTCAGTTGAAACACAATTCAATGTCAAGTTTACTCTACTATCCAGGAAGGAAAATGAACTGAGACATTAAAGGAAAGGAGATGAACTCAAGGTAATTTCAAAATGCCAAGAATATTACTTTGCGAGACTTTTTTTTCTGGAGTTTTTTTATCAATTCTACTCCTGTAGAACCTTTCTGTTTGGCACTTACTGAGGTAACTCTGATATTACCTTCTCAAGCAAAGTGCATAAGCCCATTATGCCACCTAAAAATGTTACTCCTACAATATGTGAACTAGGTAACAAGTTCTTTTTCGCAGGCAGCAGCATATGGTTTACCTGTTGCGACAAAGAATGGCGGGCCTGCAGATATATTTTAGGTAGATGGCACCTCATGAAATTTTTTTTCTCATTAGGCCTATCAGCATATTAGTTTTAACCTTACACCTTCAGTGCTAAGGACTAATGTTGATGCTCTTGATGTTATACTAGCATCAGCAACTAATCGTTTAACAGAAACTCAGGACAACTTCTATCTTCCAGGCACTTAATAATGGTCTACTCGTAGATCCAGATGACCAGAAAACCACAGCAGATGGTCATTTGAATCTTGTAGCCGACAAGTATCTCTGGCTTGAATGCCAGAAAAGTGGGCTGAAAGTATCCATCTGTTCTCATGGCCAGAGCGCTGCTGTAATTACCTCTTGCATATTGAGCACTGCCAATAACATCATCCCACCAATCATCTTGAGGTTGTTCTAACTCCTGAAGAGCCTATGACTGACACCTTAAGGAGCGTGGAAGATCTCTCTAAGATTCTCAATTCGAAGGAGAAATTGAGGTCATTGGAGACTTCAATGTGGCTTCAAGACAGCAGGATTTACAGAAATTCTAACAAGAAAGGCTACTACTAATGGAAATTCCATCATTAACAACTATCCAGGAAACATATAAGGGTGTGTGTGGTGGCCACTGACTGTAATGACAACCCTGGAAGTCCTATGGAAACCTTAACTGCAATAATCCGGAATATAATGCAAGTAATCCATCCAAGTCTGGCCAGATAGGTTTAATTAGTATTATAGAGTATTGACGAGCTTAATTTTATCAGAGTTATGTGTAGCACTAAAAGGCTCTTGAATGAAATTGTAAGATTTCAATCCATTGGTTTGTAGTAGTGGCAGCAAAATCTTCATGGAGACTTATCCATAGATGAGACTACGAAGCTCTTATTGATTACAGGTGGCCCAGTGAGCATGCAAAATCTATGGCAATTAAGCTTAAAAAGATACAAAGCATCTCACTCCCATAATCCACTGAAGCTTTTAGGATCACAGTCTTGTGTAGGCTACAAGCAGATCCTCTTAATCTTTATGACCATCAAATTGAGAAACGACTAACAATAGTGTGTAACATATTCTATTTATTCAGAAAAGGATTGAACAGATGACCATCAAATTGAGTGAATCTGGAAATGAATGAGCCGAAATGAAGAACTATTCTCTAACGCAATCCTCTGGTCTAACATTAATAGATCAACATTAACAGCTACAAAATGCCAAAAGACAACAATAAAATTTCTACTTTTCGGGTAATAATAATTTCTATTTGTTTATAAATCATGGGGTTTTCTTATTTTCCTGGACAACTCATCACATCTTATCATTTGCAACTAAGCAAAGACAGCTATTAACATGTAGAGAAAACATCATGCTATTCTAACAGCTTTTGAGAATGTGACAATTCCAAAAACAAAAAAGGGATATGAAAGAAAATCTAGTTACCAACCAATTAAACCCCCAATATTTCATTGTTTTACATCTACCTGCTCTGCAATAGCCTCTGGCGTTAATCAAACTGTAACAAGTTCATTTCTTGTGCAACAACTTTCCACAGTATATCTAATGAAATCTTCTCTAGGCCTCAATTCCATGCCCCACTGCTACATTATACTGCTTTCCACAAGAACATTTAACTGTTGGTGAGATTTCCTGGGAAAAGGGACAAAAGAATCGAACTCATCATTATTGAATATGTAAAAGATGTCTCAGCATTACCATAATTGACATCAACATGCATTGTGTAAATGAAATGCACCTTCAGATAATTTGCTACAACAATCATAAAACCTAATGGCCAGCAGAATCCAGCTTAGCATGTAGACACCGACTCACTTCAAAGAGCATTGTCTATAAAGTTTGACATTGTGCCTACCTTCAATGTATTAATTTGAAGCTGTAGAGACTGGAGATATTGAGTTTCCCCATCTTTGTCACCTAGAAGAGCCTGGAGTTCCTCTTCCAACATTTTGTGATCCAATCCCTGAAGTTCTGGCTGAGATTGATGAGCAAAACAAAAACCTTTAGTTTCAGCACCAGACTGTATACAGACCTCTATCCCCTTAGATTCCATCTCAAGAATCAATTTCCCATGTGCATACAATTTTGAGTTTTCAGCAACTAAACTTGATGCAGGACAAAAACGTGGTGGTTAAGAAATCAGAACTTAGGCTGATTAAATAGTAGTATGCAGCGGAAACTAAAAGAATCTGTAGGAAAACAAGCTTGGAAATCGCAGGAAAACAGGGATTAAGGGTAGGAAAGGAAGAAGAGAAGAAAACCTAAGAATCACTCTTAGGGCCCTTTAGTGTCACACCGCAGGAATCCTAGGCATCACACCAAGGATTTAGTTGAGTCACACAACTATTGCAAAGCAAAGTTTATTGCAGGAATTTTTATTAATCAACGTCTCTCAAAAAATCTCCTCATATGAGGTACATATAAATAGGCCTAAAACTTAACCTAAACCAAAGACAACTAGGATTCTCACCTAATTTCCTTTTTATCCCAAGAAATTCCTGCAGCATAGCTAATATACTAAAATACCCTTTCCTAAATATTAATACTGAAATAAATAATTAAATTACTGCTTAATAAAGGATTAACTTAACCAAAGTCCCAACACTTTGGCTCATTCCTTAGATCATGATGATCCTGGGCATAAATATGGAAGAACTTACTGATAGGGTTCTTCTACCATTCCTTGTCCCCATCATTCTCCCCTGGTTCGAAAAAACTCGTCCTCGAGTTCTAAAATGTCTGAGAATGAAGAACCTGACAATCTGAAACATAAGCCATAGCACTGCAGCATATTCAGCATGAGAAAACTTATTTCGGCCAAATGTAGGTATAAGAGTAGACATTTGGAATGTACTTGCTGGTTTGTGGTCATAAACCTCTCCAAAAATGAAATCAACTTTCGGAATTCCAGGATCATAAACTTCTGAATGGCATGTCTTTAAAACTTGATTCAACTTCACAAAATTTTCATTCGGACTTGTAGCAAGGTTTCCATGAATCAAGTCAGTTGACTTCTCACATGAACCAGAACCTCCCTCCAGTTTAGGATGCAAAATATTTCTCAGTAGGGCTCCTCCTTTAGCTACGTCCTCTTAAATCTCACCAAGATTGGGAAGTTGTACTTCTTTTGCCTTATTACCAAACGTATTAAGTTGATAAATCTCAGGCTTATCAGCGCTCTCAGTAAGCTTACTTTGCTGAACTTCTTGAACTACTTCTTTCACCAATACATTCGTGGCTTCTCCTTTATGATCCTCTTTAAAATCCTGAACAGTCGTAGATTTATTTGTAGTCTCCTTAGTAAACTCCTGAACCACATAGATCATAGGATTGTTATCTTGTTGAACCACATGATCAGTAAGTTCATCATCAGACTTTTCTAAAGATGCCTTGGCAAAATTCTGAACCTCTGAATCTTCCATTATAGTAGCCGCAAGGACCAGCGAGCTACTGTCTTGAACTAATTGAACAATAGGTTCATCCTTGAACGTTTCTGCAGACTTAACCAAATTTTGATTTTGAACAGCCTCTCTACACACATCCTCAGCAATGATAATGAAATTATGTGTGAGTCCTGAAAAATCAGGTGGTTTTGGAGGTTTTTCTGTCTGAAAATCAATAACATTAAGACCAGGTTTTCCATCTTCAGTAGGGCAACTAAGAATTTTCTTATCTTGTTCTACTTGATTCTGGACAAACTCAATTGTAGCTTTGGTAGAATTCTGACCTGAAACTTTTTCGTCCTCCTTAGTAACATTTGGAGCTGAAACCTCAGGAATCACTTGATCACTTTTTTGCTTAGGTAGGTAATGCTTCATCATATATTCATCAGTTTGGGGCTTCAAAACAACTTTTATGTCGTTGAAGTTAAAGGAATAGGTGTTGGCTCTACCATCATGCTCTACTTCCCGATCATATAACCAAGGTCTTCTTAAGATTATATGTGAAGCATTCGTGGGAATAACATCACACCATATAGAAACAACATACCTACCTCTTTGATGTCTACCAAGCAACACTTCGTCACAGGAATAGTTGTGCCATTAATCCAACCAACCTTATACATGGGTATGGATGTGGCTCTGTTTTTAAATTCAGCTTTTCAACAGTGGATTCAGAAACCAAATTCGCACTACTACCTCCATCTATAATCACTTTCTTGACATCTTTCGCACAATAAACGAATGTCTGAAAAATTCCTATCCTCCTCCAATCTTCTTCTCCTGTTTTTGGTGCTCTAGAAATTCGCCAAATTAGTGAAAGATAGGACATATCAACATCATCTTCTACCTCCTCCAAATCTTCAGTATCAACCATGCCCATCTCCTCTTCATCATCATTGTACTCCTGCTCATCCTCCTCAACGATTTCTGAACTACAAGGCAAATTAGGATAACCTACGCTATGGGGATTCATAGCTGTTGATTTCTAAACCCTTTTGAAAACAGAATTCATCCGGAAAATCAATTCCAATCTGATCAAAAAAGTATTAAAAACCCCAGGAAATTCGGCTCTGATGCCATATTGACGCAGGGCAAAAACGTGGTGGTTAAGAAATCAGAACTTTGGCTGATTAAAGAGTAGTATGCAGTGGAAACTAAAAGAATCTGTAGGAAAACAAGCTTGGAAATCGCAGGAAAACAGGGATTAAGGGTAGCAAAGGAAGAAGAGAAGAAAACCTAAGAATCACTCTTAGGGCCCTTTGGCGTCACACCGCAGGAATCCTAGGCATCACACCAAGGATTTAGTTGAGTCACACAACTATTGCAAAGCAAAGCTTATTGCAGGAATTTTTATTAATCAACGTCTCTCAAAAAATCTCCTCATATGAGGTACATATAAATAGGCCTAAAACTTAACCTAAACCAAAGACAACTAGGATTTTCACCTAATTTCCTTTTTATCCCAAGAAATTCCTGCAGCATAGCTAATATACTAAAATACCCTTTCCTAAATATTAATACTGAAATAAATAATTAAATTACTGCTTAATAAAGGATTAACTTAACCAAAGTCCCAACACTTTGGCTCCTTCCTTGGATCATGATGATCCTGGGCATAAAATGGGAAGAACTTAGTGATAGGGTTCTTCTACCATTCCTTGTCCCCATCAAAACTACTCATCTGGAAAGATCAGTTCTCAATACGAAGCACTAAGCAATCTTCTCGCAACGAAAAAGAGCAAGAGGGAAATGGAAAGGAAAAACAAAAAGAAACTAATACAGCAGCAAATCAACTATTTAACCTGATAGATGTTTTACAAAAGAATGCTGTTCTTTTTTGGCTTATAAGAAGATCAAGAAAGTGAAGAAGTCTTGGAAAATTATCAAGGTGAAAATAAGAAATCAATAGCCAGTAAAAGTTGCAGGCACCAACTGACCTCAAAGTTTCCCATCTTGACCTTCACAAGCTCCATGGATTGATTTATCTGCGGAAGAAATTTAGCTTACATTCAGAGAAGTGAAGAGCAGTAGAAATCCTCTATTCAACACAAAAGGGTCAGATTTTAGTAACAAGTAATCATTAAACTTGCAGGCACAGCAAAGAAAAGGATCCCGGTTGTGAATGGTCTACTGAGCACAACTAACCAAACTACAAATGCATTGTAAGACGAAGCGGGTAATTTTTGTCCCGATTAAATTCCTCGTAAATAGGTAACTTCACCTTGCTGTTCTCCAAAACAAGGGTGTTTTTCATCTGTGACATCTGGTCAAGTTTAGCTTTGGCAGCATCCACCTTTGACATTATGCTGTTTAGTTCATTAGGCTGAAATTCTGCAAATCACTAACATCTTATTAGTGGAGATAAGAAAGAACCCTGCAGTGAGGAAGGAGGCATATAATGACAGTGGTTAGTGATAACATCTTGAACGGATTACATTCATTAATTCATTGGTCCAAGGGGAAACTCTGTCATTTAAAATTCATCTAGCGCATCGCTTCACTGATTTTTATTTTCTCAGGTCTAATAGACTAATAAGTTTTCTACCACATACCCTTCTGATAGCAAATACTTCATAAGTGACAAACAAAATTTACCTTTCTTTCAAATTTTTATGTTAAATACTAACATAAGGTTCCCAGTTAGTCCCAGACCCATAAACCTCTCATTTCGAAGTAATATCTAATATATATCCTACATGCACAAAACTTAGATATTCATTGGGGATTTCCAACAGGAAAGCGATTCAATAAAATCCAGTAATCTGTCTCAAACAGAAACTGAGAGCACTTTCTGGTCATATGACTTTGTAATTTGATTCTAAACCTTCCCATGCAGTTCCTTAAGCGAAGACTTAGTACGTAGAACCACATTATTTCTTTGAGAAAGAGGACATGTCACTATTAATAATATAATTTGTCCATAAGCATACCTTCAGTTTCACAAGCTCTGCTGCAGCTTTTGTCCTCCACCTGAGTTGTTTTAACTAAACACGTGGACACCTGACCAAAGCATGTATTTGAACATTAGATTCGGGCAATGACTTTATAACAGTGCAATCGCTTCTTATTTCATACGCAACTTATTACATTCATTCTACAAAGGCTGAGATATAAAAACATTAGATTCGGGCAATGACTTCATAACAGTCCAATCGCTTCTTATTTCATACGCAACTTATTACATTCACTCTACACCTGAATTAAGTTCACGGGTTTCTGTTTCACCCTCCAGTGCAACTGAAAGAACTGTACAGTATATTATCTTTCCTGTTAATGGGCATGCACATGTTGCTCACAACCTTCATCTTTTCATCAATTTTAAAAATGTCTGGAAGAAATAACACATTTCTGAAAGCAAAAATAGATCTGGAGTGAATTAAAAATCTGTAGAAACTCTACCCTCAAGATGGAATTCTAAAGTTCCTAACTGCAGCAAGATATTAATTCACCAAATCCTCTAAGATAGCCAAGAGGAACATAAATATGAAGGGAAGATAAGGAGGCCACCAACAATAGAAGGCCATAAAACTAAGAAAGTCTTCGAAAAGCTAGCAACCTCACTGATTAATGATTTGCTGAATTACGGTAGTGGTAAAAAGAAAAAAGAAAAATCAATAAGACAGATATTGACTAATACCAAGCCGTTCTCTTTGATAAGGGAGCTGTGTTTATGAGCATTAATCCAATCCTACAGGGGAAAAGGTCTCAATAAGAATTAAAAATGGTAAAAATCTTTGATGCCTAGCCTGGACAGTAAATTTTTGCAGGATATCAAACCTGTTTATCCTTAATTTTGCTTGCAATATCTTCAACAACTTCTGTGTAATATGAGCTGTAAGAAATAGTTAAAGTCACTAAGGTTTCTAGAGCATAAGCTATAATCATAATGAACACAATTGATAAGTAAATATATATATATATACTATTCATGCATTTGATTCCTCAGGTTACCTTTTCTCTTCCAACCTTGCTGACAGGGTCACATTTTCCTGTTGCAAGAGATCCAGTGTCTGAAAGCAGATTAATAGCAGCAACAGAAACTATTAGTTTCTCATATCAAAGATTCAATCTTCTATTACTCACATGCTCAGTTTTATACCAAAGGTGTAAAGAAATCAAAGTAGTTTCATGCAGATTTTCAGATTTTTTTTGCTCAGATAAGTTATTTTTATCTAGAGCCCAACAATGAAACTAATTTTAATGATACAGTTGTTCACTGCCAAAAATGACTTTGAGATTTCAAAATTTGAATGATGATACGTGCATTCAAAAATTGAAATTTGGATTTCATATGATCCCCAGTGGGAAAAGTCTTGCTCTAGTTGTCCCCTGTTTTGAGTGCTATTGTGACACAAGGAAGGTGGATCGCTCAGCTCTAGGCATTTAACATGTGAAGTTACTTAGCACCGGAAACTACTATCTGTGACAAAAAACAGCAAGGTTCCAGTCATGTGCTTCCTATTATTTAAACATATTTCCTCATTTCCACCTGTAGGGAATTTGGGTAAGGGTGCTGCCTCGCAAGGGAAATAAATGACTTTCAAGATCACTGACAGAGTTGTTATTAAATATCAAAGCTGTTATTAAATATCATGAGATAGGAGGTTACGAACCTGGCTGAGATTATATGAATCCGATTCCAATGAAGATATTTTTCTCTGTTTCTCCAAGATTCCAGAACAGATTATCCCCTTTGACTTCATAATGCTCTCACATTCTGCTTTAACTCGCTTTGTTTCATCTTTAACTACGATGACGATTGTTTAGAAAATTACTAAGAAACTGAAACAAAATCAGGTATTACCAGATTCTATGCAATGGTAAAAGGTACAACAAGAACAACTTTTCCAATATATGCAAAATTAAGAACAAAATCAAGTTACATAACACTACACAGAAAGAAATAAAAGGAAGAGAAAATTACCAATAAAAGGAAGAGAAAATTACCAAAGAGGAGGTCCTTCTCCAAATTCTGAACAGTACTAAGGTGCATCTGCTCTTCTACTGATATCTTCGCAGCTTGATCCTCCACCTCTGCAATCATTATCATCAAACTTAATATAATTTTCAGATTCAAAAGCTAGCATAAGTACTAAAACCCCTGTGTGTGTAGAAAATCGCAAAGATAACCTAAATTTGAAAAGTATAATAATAACCCTGTCTCATCTCATGGAGTGATTCATGTTTCGAAACGTGAGATTGTTAAATACTCATGCTTAGAACTTTTTTCCCTTAATATCGTTACTAATTTTACTTTTAGGATAGAGGGAGTAATAAATATGAACAGATTCCTTCGTCTCTACCTAACTATCCATAAACCTCCCTACATTATCCAAACTCAACCCCTCGTCCACTTGAAAAATGGCTATACACATGTAAACAATCAAACACCAGGCCTATAATTTAAAAAAATAAAGAAACAATAGCTACAGATTCCGGCACATCTGAGATGTTTATCGGTGTTTTTCCTATATTGTCAAATTGTAAGACTCACGATATACCAGAATACAGGCAAGATCACACAAAAATCCTATAATTCACAAAAGAAACGACGATACATAATAATAGGAAACAAAAGTAACAGTGAATCGAAAACAGCATCAAAGAATAATCATTACCGTTCATTTGAGTGCGGAGAGTCTTCATGTGCTGTAAGTACTCCTCCATATTTACCCTACGTTAACTGCAGAAATAACCACACAGATCAAAAAGAATAATTTATGTTAAAAGAATTCACTGAACGCAAACATTTCAGCGGCGATAAAGTGGAGTTTCCAATTTTAAGTAGCAATCGATGATGAAAGACTCGAAAACAAACAAATTTACCCGAGAAATTGGGTCAAGTTGATTCTTCGGATGATGAAAGCTGCTTCGATTGTGTGTGTGTGTGTGAGAGAGAGAGAGAGAGAGAGAGAGGGAGAGAGAAAGATTGATTTTAATTTTTAAAAACTCGGGAGGGAAATGTTCGTTTCATCGGGGTCGTTATTTAGGAGATGTGGCTCTTGACCATAAAATTGAGGGAGTAAATTGCAAATATTTATTAATCAGGTTGGATTAGAGTTAAACTACATGTGACCTGGCGACGGGCAAACCAGAGAATGGTGGTCGGGGTCCTGTGGAAAAGGAACAGGCGTCGACGGCTTCCTGGCGGTGCCGTCGGGAGAGGCAATGCCGGAGTATCCAGAAGACAGATCATCAGATGGCTTGTAATCGGTCTTGCATTCTTCGCTATATTACCTCCCATTTTCTTCCATTTTAAGCTCAAACGCTTCCAACAGGCTCGTGCCTTTTATCCCCCTCTCGAATTTTACCCTTACATTAGTTTCTGTTCGTTGGATTCATTTGCCGCTCTCTTCAATGATGCATTTTAGGTTTAATTTTGCTATATTTCCGATAGTGTCTTATACTATTTGTTTATATGATTCGCCCCCAAGAGAATCGTTTTTTATACGGTTTTTCACCTCTTTGTAAATGAATTTTTACTATCTCAAAGTTTTTGCTGAGGAGTTGAACTGTTATTGAATCTTCATATTGATTTCTACCGTGGTTGGCATATTTCTCTCTTCTAGTTCCATCGCAAATGGAGATGGAAGAGTCATCTTTCACAATGTTTTTAGCTTTAATCTAATAATGGACTAAATCAAAATTGCTCTATTTAATTCCATGCTTCTTCTATTAGTGAAGTTGCTGGAAATCAATACTTCTAATGACGCAATGTATCTTGGGTCGCAATGGAAACAGCCTCTTTGTATAATTACAAGGGCAAGGCTGTGTACATCTGACCCCCCCCAGACCCCAACTTGGTTGGAAACATTCTGGGTATGTTGTTATTTGCTGGCATATTTCTCTCTTTCAAAAAAAGGTAGAAGAGGAAATTTTTCAGATGCTTGACGAGTTTGTGTGGAAATTTTCATTATTTTGCTGCTCAAACATACAACAACAACAAGACTTAATCCTACTGTCTGGAAGCTTTTGTTCCTTACACAGCTTTTTGCAAATTTATCCAAATCCTTTTTTATGCAGATGCAATGGCGTAGATGCAGTTGGCTAAGAAGTCCCCCACTTGTATGTGCTCATGGTGGTGACTCCTCCAAAGCCTTCCCTAACACAGTGAGCATAACCTTTCTTTTCTGGTTGTATTGAAAGCAGCTTCTCTACTTTTGATTTCCTAATTTTGTGCTTTTATTTCCCATCAGATGGATGCGTATCGTATCGCTCTGCATTCTGGAGTTGATTGTATTGAAATTGATGTTTCACGTACTTTTGATGGGGGACTTTTTGCTCTTCATGACAGGTGCATACATGCTTTGGTTCTAATACTTGATCCACCGTGCTTCTTGTTCCGATTTTGTTGGTCTGTTTATGCATTGTTTGATCACGGACATTGATTTTTTTCAACCATTGCTGGACTTGCTGATATAAGGACATGGTAGTTTTTACGATGCTATATTGATTCCTTTATCACATTCGTACATGTACTCACGCTGAGCTGAAGACATTTCACTTTATTCATGAGAAATTCAGCAGAATTAGGGTTATTAAGCACACGCAATTTGTAATAATAAGAAAGACCCCGTGGATGCATGCTATCCCTTTTATTAAACCATGATACTGTGCTTGGTTTGACTGTCGTGAAGCCTAAGTTTTCGTTCACTTAAAATCGTACAAGGAGTTGATTTTCACAAGTTACAGACAGGGACTTGCAGCGAATTTTGGGGAACAGTACGACTAAAGTTGGTCACTTGAGCACAAAGGAGGTGACATATTATTCCTGACTCGCCTTATTTTGCATCTTTATAATCATCTGAGCTGCTAAGCAACTGCATTTGTGGGAAACTTTAAACCATAAAGAGAGAATTTATCATCTATCTACTTTATTTTGTAGATCAAAGAACTTAATGCCAACCATCATCGTGCATTAAAGTTTCACGATGTGTCCATTCCTTCCGTTGAAGATGCATTGAAGGTAAATTTGCAATTACTCGACCCTCTATCCCTGTGCATCAGCTTGTGGCTCTGAAGCCACAGAAATGGTCCTAAGAGATTAAATTATATTTTATTTTAGCTTCCCTTTGAGCCATACTTGATCAGCAGTATTTGTCTAACGAAATAACTTACAGACGATATAGTTACTGAACAGGCTATTTATTGGATTGTTCAATGTATCTATCAACTAAGAATCTTTTATCGAACTAAACTTTGGCCTTCTTTGAATTTCAGTTGGTTTCAGGCTCAGTTCGTCAAGTAATTTTGGATGCAAAAGTCGGGCCTCCACTATTTGAGAAATCACTGTCCAAGGATATTATTACTGCTGTAGGTCCAATTAACCTGTCTTAATCATTTTCAATGGACATGACATAATTTTGATAGTTTGTGAGTTGTGGCCAATGCTTGTCTCACCCAATGATTCGTATTTCTTGAGTAGGAAACACATAAAAATTCTAAATTTAGGCCTGCTACCATATGCAGGTGGAAAATATGAAGTGTAACAATTGCCTTGTCTGGGCCAAAAGTGACAGTCTAGTAAGGGACATAATGAAGCAATCTGCAGATATCGCGGTAATCAGCTCATTCAGCTGCTTTTCTTATTTTCTTAATAGCGTTTGCATTGGTGCTTGTTTCTTTCCTGCAATTGGTTTAGAGTTTTGTGGTGCACGGTGTTGCTCCAGATTGGCTATATCGTCGTGATGGACCCTACCACAGGAACTAGAACGAAGTTGCTGAGAATGAGAGGCGCTCAAGTAGTTGGCGTTTACCATCCTTTGATTGATGAGAACCTTGTCAAAATAGTGCACAGGTTATGATACACCCTTATTCATATGTCCTCCTGCAGCTATGGCCACAAGTTTGCATTAAATTTTCATGCAGATAATCATCATTTGCTGTTTGTTTTTTACTAGATACATTTGGGGTTGGTTATGGCAGGAGAAAAAAGAAGGTGTATGCGTGGACCGTGGACGAGGAGATAGCAATGCAGAAGATGCTATTTGAGCAGGTGGATGCAGTGGTGACTAGCAACCCTACCTTATTTCAGAGGGTGATGCAAGGCATTAGGACAGAATGCCTTGAGGGTGGATTTTCTTTGTCATCCTGAAAAAACAAATGAAAGATTGATAGATATGAAAGAAGCTCCTCTCTGTGTAAGATGCTTGAGGAGTTTGATCAGACTAATAAATACAACCATCATCAATGGATTCTTCTTGGAACCGCCTCCAGTCACGTAAAAAGGTGTATAAGTCAATAGTTGAGCAATAAACTCACTCCCGTTCCTTAGATTTGGACCTATTTGGGACAACAGTTTTATCTCAGTGTCATATCCATACTACCCAATTGTATACTCCTCTTGTCTTTATTATAAGACATTTTGATTTCTCTTAAATTTTATTTATTGATATCTTTTAATTAAAAAGTTAAAATTTTACAAATATAATTTCACATTTATTGTGTTTTTTTAATGATTATAAAACATTTTTAAGATTTTATTTTAGGAAAATAGACGCAAAATATTGTATGATGTGTTCCATTTCATTATTTCTGCATTTATATATTCCCTTTGATTCTTATTATACGATATTTTGATTTGTTCTAAATTTTATTTAATTTATTTTTTTAATTGATAAAAAAATTTGAAATATATATTCACATTATTATGTTCTCTTAAATAGTATTATAAAATATTTTTAAGACTTAAAGAAGCATATTAAAATAGTAATTTATACAGTACTCCGTAATAAGCACCCGGGGGAGGATATTTGAGGCCTGGGCAATCTCTTTCCATATGTAGATGCCCGGATTGTGATATCTACGTCGTCGTATTCTACCCCTTGCCGTAAGCAGTAAGCACCTTCCTTCTGCCTTAAACCAATAGGAATGAGTCCATTACAAACGGTTGCTTCTCAAAAATAGAATCGGCTCAAATTTCCATTCCAGAATAGCAGCAACAAGCTAGTCTAGGAATTGGTCCATTACCCACGGGCCACGGTTGCATTTTTCAAGAATTGGCTCAAACTTTCGTTCAAAGATAAAGCTGCAAGAATCTGGTCGTAGTAGCTAGCTTGATGCAGTTACATAGTTGTACAAACAAAGACACCCTCTCAAATTAAAAATCTGGGTTTTGTCCAGCTTCGCCGGATAAAGAGCTCAGGAAGCAGCGGTTTTTTCTTTTCTTTTCTTTTTTTTTTTTTTTTTTTTTTTGTGCAAGGGTAAACAATCCCCAAGAAAATGGCTGACACAATGAAGAGATTTGGGAAGGGAATAGTACCTTGGTTTAACAGGAAGTTAGATCCTCTCGTCCAAATTCTCAGCAGGTAACAACGCTACATTATCTGACTCAAGGCTCCTTTCTTTTACTTTACTACTTTTACCTTCTCAATATTCACACTTTAGTTCATCGTATTGTATGATGTGATTCAATCATATTAAGGAGAGCCCAGATCCACTTCTTGCGATTGAAAGAAGATCCAATCTTTGTTCTCACCATTAGTGTCGATTGTAAACTGTATATACTACTGTAATACTGATACTCTGGTTTGGTTAACTTTTATTCTTTTTTCGGTTATCTCAGGGGAGCAGAGCCTAAGCAACTGGCACTTTCAGGGGCACTCGGAATTACATTTGGAATCTTTCCCATCTGTGGTATGTGTTATACTTGCCTTTTGTCTTTCTCCATTTTCTTATTTGCTTTTGATGTTACTATCTTCTTTCATGCTCGCTCTTGTTTTGATTGTTTGGGTGAGTTTGGTTTGCAATCTTGTCACGATGTCAATGGTGTTTGATGTAAATGGAGGCATTTGTTTTTATGGGGCTATCCCAATGCTGCTATGGATCACTCTGTGCTGTAATTCCATAAGCTGGCCAAGAACCTGTTGGTGTTTTTGTTCACAAGATCCTTGATTTGCATTGCCAGCCAAATTATGAACTTCTTATTCATCAATCTGGTCAACATTTCTTTACGCAGCTAAAGTTTCATAAAGCTCTCTTTTAGGATTGGAGGTGACATTTCTTTTTATCCGTGTCTGTGTATTTGTTACTGTTATTAAACTAGTTTCTAGGTTTGTGTCTATTGTTCCCAGGTTAGACTTGTTTCTAGATTAGACTTTTGTAACTGCCACAGAGTGTTGAAAACCATCATGAAGAAAGAAAAGAATGTCAGAAATGACTCATTTGATATCTTGTAAACCTCTGTGTTCGAAGTCTAAACGTGTGAATTACTATATTTGACATCTTATAAATATAAACCTCATTTGAGTTTTGTGGGCTAGGTTACAAGTTGCTTGCCTGTTATTTTGGTTTGTTTCTCAGGATGTCATTAGTGGTTGGTAACTTAGACAATTTGATTGGTCTGTGGCAGCTGCTGTTCTTAATCAACTAGGGTTCAATATTCCAGGAGGCAAGTATAGTTTTGCCATGCTTGCAAACATACAACAATGTATTTTAACCCTCGGGATCCTTATGTTGGAGAGAGTGGTGATTTTTGAATCACATATCAGATTTGTTTTGACCATTTTTAGTTAGTGAAAAGCAACCTTTTAGGTTTTCTTTTATTTTATTTGTCCGTGAGGAAATCTCAACAAGCTCCCGCCAACTTCTTTCTCCTCAGTTTTGCTTTTTCTTTTTTAACAGGGGTAACTGTCTTTCTTTGTGGAATGGCTATTGCCGTACTTAGATCCTCATGCCATGCTCCTACGGTGATGTTGGCCAATTTTATTGCAACCCCAATCGAGCTTAGGTAAAAAAAGATAGCTTTTTTTTTTTTTGGGCAAAATGCATATGGTCTTCTCATAATCTCTTTCTTACCATCTTTTTAACCCCTCAAGTTGAAACTGGTCATGCAGCTGGTTCTGTTTTTTCTTTCTTTCCTTTTTTCCCCTGTTTTCCTACCAATGTGTCTTGAATTTTTTTGCAGTTTGATCATTTTGTTCTTGCGCTTTGGCGAACTCATTACTGGTGGACCCCATTTCCCTCTAACTTCTGATGCATTAAAGAAGGTTTTGACTGGACAAGCTTCAAGAGAAATAGTGCGGAGCATCTTCAATGCGGTGGGTAACTAATTTGGCATGGTTAACACATTTGGTTTATCCTTCAAATATACAGTTTCGCCTGCGCACGCTGAGATTCCCACAGGCTATATAGAATAATCATGTCGCGGCATCTTGTTCCATCAAAACTCATATTTTGTACATTTCTCTCTTTATCCATAAATATACATGTCTCTGCATTCCAGTAATGGCTTCATCAGTAGGCATAAAGATTTTATTTTGCATTTCCTCGTGTTCTAGTTACAGAAGTTTAAAGAATGGTAAGCATGACTTGCTGACCTTCCTTCGCACACAAAATTTTGCAGTTGTTAGGATGGCTTGTCGCAGCACCATTTATCTTTGGGATCCTCTACATCTTGTTCTTGCCTTGTTTTAAAGTGCTGGTGAGGAAGTTCAGTGTTGCTCCTACAAGCCCAAAGCTACCAGTCCATTCCAATGCAGAAGCAAGGGTTAAGGTTAGAGATGTGTGAAAGTCTAAATACTCTCCAGAATAAATGATCCTCTACATCTCGTTCTTGCCTTGTTTTAAAGTGCTGGCGAGAAAGTTCGGTATTGTTCCTACAAGCCCAAAGCTACCAATCCAATTCCATTGCAGAAGCCAGGGTTAAGGTTAGAGATGTATGAAAGTCTAAATACGCACCATAAGTGATGCAGTCGGCGGGTCCTGATAATGTATTGTAAATACCACGTGACCAACTAAGGAATTTTTAAATCTGTGTAATTTTAGCTGTGACATGATCCATTGTCCTTTACTGTAGTATTATCAGTTTACCAAACAGAATGGCATTGAGTAGAACCTGGAAGGAGAAGGGAATCTGTAAGAATATAGCTATTGCAAAAGAGAAGAAGAAACAGTTTTTGTTGTTGCCTTAACTTGAATTTGATGACTTATATTTAATCGTAGTTTACTAGGTTTCTTTCTTATATCATACGGTCATGATGTTTTGTTAGCATACGAGTTCTCGCTGTTTGTGTCACTACGTTTTGGTTGATCATTTTTGGAATGTTGAGCATGATTTTATACCTCTTCTTTTATTCTTTCTTCGTTGGTTCCAAGAAAATATCTTTGTTGTTGATCTACAACGGCGTGCAAGTTCTTAGTTATCACCTTAAATAGGTTAGATTAGATAGATATAATCGAATGGTGAGAGTGACTGGCAATGCTCATAAGATGTTCAGCTGGCCATGAATGTTACAGGATCGTTATTAACTTTCAAATGAAATAATTATGATACACACACACACACAAAAGAAGGAAACATTCGAGGGGTATGAAGGTAAAGTTGGAACAACTTGCAAGTTTCCAATCCGCGCAGAGGCTAATATATGTATATATAGATTCCCTGGTACATGGTTGCAAAAATAACGATCTTTAATTCTGTTCACGAGGTTATCTTTATCATAATTTGTCCTAATCAGCTAATTACTTGATGTTTCATCCGCATCATAAACCAAGAACACCACCAGAAGCCAGAAGCCCGAAGAGAGGAAGGAAAAAAAGGGTAAAAAAAGAAGGAAAAAAAAAAAAAAGTTCTACCTTGCAATTTTATCGAATTCATTGATAATGTTTGCAACGACGAGGAAGTTTGTAAAAGTTCAAGAGAACCCGACTACTGCCTTCTTTTCTTTATTCTTTTTTTAAAAAAAGAAAATAAAAATAAAGTAGTAGTATATTACTGTAGTTGTTTTGTTTTTTTCTTCCAGATCTTGTTTTTGTTTAATCACAAATTAAAACTGCTCTTCCTCCTTTCCAATGATACTCTTGGCTTCCCCTTAATTTTATTTCCCATTGCTGTTGCAAAATTTGCAATGCTGCATTGATGGTGGTAGGCTCAGCTTATTCATAAATTTCAACTTCCCTCTCCTCAAAATTACTCATTTCTGCTTTCCATAGGCCTTTCTACAGCAGAATTTTCAGACTTTATATCACATCAATCATTGTTCTGTTGTTTTGGGGTGTCACTGGGATTTGTTTCTTGAAAACCAAACGGAGCCTAAGAAAGGAAAAAGTCGATCATTTCAGCTCTCTCGAAAAGATTCGAACTTTCTATGAATCAGTCACCATTGTGTTTGTTTGTGTGTGTGAATGGGAATTGATTTGGGTTTCAAGAAAAGAAAAAGGCAACAACAGAAAAAGTACTCAATCCGGATGTCTAATACAATTAGCTATTCAGTCCCACAACAGGAAGCAGCTAATTCTACTGCCCGACAAGCAGACTCACCTGAGCTGAAACTGTATCAAGCTTTCATCTTTTCAGTCCCAGTCTTCTTCACTTTTGTGCTTCTCTTCCTCTTCTACTTGTTTTATTTAAGATATAAAGGGGTTGATTGGAACTCTCTCAGGATGAGGACTTCTTCTACTACTTTATCTGATGAATCTGATGATAGCTACTCCAGGCCATGGGTACTTACAATTATTACCTAGTGCCATTGTTGTTATATCTTTCCATTTGAGCTGCAGCAATGAGTGATATTCCTTTTATTTTCCCTTTTATTTTAAGTTTTTTTTTTTTTTGGCTTGGGCTTGATTCATGTTCTGGGAATTACTGCAGACTGAGATGGGCTTAAAGAAGGAGGTGCGGGAGATGCTTCCCATAATAGTGTTTAAGGAAAGCTTTTCTGTCAATGATACACAGTAAGTGATGCATTTCATATTTTTCTCAGGAAATTACCATTACCTTATTAATCTGGCTGATTTATCTCCTGATATGGCCTCTCCACATGCTGGCCGTTTTTTGATTTATGTGTTTTAAACTTTTTGAATGTGGCCTGGTGAATTTAGCCTATGGAGAAGTTCAAATAATCCCTTTTTTCTTACTGATGATTGCAGATACAAGAACCTTTAAAAGTTGATGTTTTTCTGACGTTAGTTTGTTGGATTTGAGGAGTTCCTTCTGTTATTTTGTTTGAGAATCTGTTCACTTTCGTTTGCTTATTATGAGTATTTGGTTTGGTTATGTTGGAGAGCGCGGGCCTGCATTGAACCTATTGATTATGTTCTTACATAGTAAACCGAAAATATTGTGAGTACTATACTTATCTGTTTCTAAAGCAAAGAAGATTTAGCTTAGTTGTGTGCTTTTAAGGAGGGATTAGGAGTTCTAGCTTTCTTGAGTAGATGCTTTCAAGCGAGAGTAATAAGGTTTAGGATGTCAAGTGAGATTATGATGGTTTTATCCGTGTTTAGAGGAAGACGGAATATATCATCACCATGAAAGATGGGGACTACTGCAACTATAGTAAACCAATAACTTCAATATGTCAGGGACGAAAGCAAAAACACTACAGTTAATCAAAGAGTTTGATAGCTTGCTTGTATAAGTTATATTGAAACTTTAGTCAGTTAGTTGCATTTAAAGATGAAATTCTTATTAACAAGGGGGGTTGTGTTTTCCGTTTTGATATGTTTATCCTCATCATTGAGAATTCTCCAATCTTGGTTTGACACGCTTCCAAAGTTGGGACTCAACTTTTATTGAATTTATCATCTACAAACATAACATTCATGAATAGGTGCCTGATGAAAGGCTTTCCAAGAGAACTCTTTAAGTAAAATCCTGAAACTATTATTGACTCATCACCGGACATGGCATTTTCATTACCTAATACATGACCTGATTAGAAGCTCAGGCTAAAAAAAAGCTACATTCAGTTCATTTGGTTAGCATAATTCACAACGGATATGACAACAAGCTTAATGTTGTGTTTTTCTCTTTTTGTTGCAGATGTTCTGTTTGCCTTGGGGATTATCAGGCTGAGGAAAAGCTCCAACAAATACCTAGTTGTGGGCATACTTTTCACGTGGAATGTATCGACAACTGGTTGTCTACTCGTGCAACATGCCCACTCTGCCGCCAGTCCCTTGTTTCTCCCTCTTCTGCTAAAGATGAAGCAGAATCAAGTACTACTGAATTAGTGCTAGTTGTCCAACAAATAGATAATAATAGGGCAACTTCAGAGGACAATCTTAACGATGATGATGCTGGCGGAAGTCCTAACAGAAACAGCAGCCAACAACGTCACGATGATGATTGTTGCTCTGTAGATCAAAGAATCCTCAACCCATGGCACTGATGATGCTGATGCGCATATTTCGTATGGTTGCAGAGTTTTCGATCTGAGTATGTCCTATATATTCACATTTAGACGTGAATGTTGGATCTCCTCCTCAAAGTTTTGGGATGAAGCTGCTAAGAAAGAGTAGAGTTGAGGGTCATGACATTTATCTTTTTCAGACATCCAAACATCTCAAAGAAATCACAATTTTAAGTTCCAAATTTAAGATTTCATTCAGAGTTCAATCAGAGTCATTTGCCATGGTACATACTTTGGTTCTTTATTTCATTTCCAACATGCCAACATTGCATAATTTGCTGTCCCTAAAAAAAGGGATGGAAAATATTGTATTTGGGGGTATTCTTTGAAATGAGGAATGGAAACCTGCTAAAAAGAATCAATACCTCTTTTAAAGATCCTTTTCATCCGGAAGTTATCAATGCTAATGATATCCTGATCTACTCTGTGAAATCGTGAATTAAGTGTAACTAAAAAAAAAATGGGAACAAAGGACCAAGACACAGCATTTTGGTCCCCACCTTTGTTGCCTAACAGAAATGTTTTGCCTACATAAAAGGCGTAGTCAAAATGAACCAAAACAAAAGCGCCCCCAGTGTAACAAAATTGAAATGGCTCTACCAAAATCTTCCCTTTAGTTAACACGGTCAATTTCTTCACCATCCGAGCTTTAATTAAAAAAAAAAAAAAAAGCTTTAACAGATTATGCACCATAATTTGCTTAAATTGTTGCTGTGGTTGACTTGTCGCCTGCCCTACATCCCGAATGCAGTCTCAACTCTCAAGAGTCTTCTTGGATGTGTGTGTTGCCATTCATCTAGTCCACAGGTAAAAGATTGATACTTCCCCTTTAATATTTCATAGTCGTTGTAAGTGGAAAGATTGGAACTTTGCTTCTTCTGGGATTTTTTAGCTCTAATCATTGCTATCTAAATATATGAAATTGTTTCGTTTTGAGTGTACATAAACTTCCATTCGTCACTCAACCTTCGCTCATCTGTGGTTTTTTGAACTCCAATTGCTGTTGTGTACTTATAGTGATTTGGAGACTTGAATTAGATTTTTTTTTTTTTTCGTTTCCAAATAAGGTAGACTTTTAGTTTTGTAAAACTGATTTGCTTGCCTATTTTTGTTGTACTGGTGCCAAATATTGTAGCAGCTGGGATATAGTATTAGACACTTGGAGAAACTAGTCTTGAGTCTTGAGAGTGCTGATCTGAGCCGAGTTTGATGATTGCGTAAATGAATTGAGCAATATTTTTTTCTACTTTGAGGGTATTCATTACCAAGATGGGATCTGTTTATTATTGTTGTATATGGAAGAAGGGGGGTGGGGTTGTGTATGCTTACAACGGTGGAGACCCTGAAATTGAGAATCTGGCGGCATTGTGCTTGGAGAAAACCCCTCCTTATCATAGATGGTATCTTCAGACAATGGGCAGAAAGACATTCGGGTTTCTGATGGATGCAGAAGAAGATGGTTATGTATATTTTGTGATTGCTGACGAGGTTATTGGGAATAAAGGAGTTCTAAGGTTTTTGGAACATCTGGGGAAAGAATTTAGGAAGGTGACTAAGAAGGGTTCAAGTAAGAGTCATAATGGTGAGGCAAATGTGAATTCCTCCTTTTCCATACAAGACCAACTGGTTCCGGTTATCCATTGTCTGATTTCCTCGTTCGAGAGCATGTCCAGAATTGGTGGTGGTGATGGCGGTAGTGAAAGGCCAGAACAAGTTCCTGCCCCGTATTCTAGTGTTGAGCTCTCTCCTTCACCTAATGACATTGTTGGGAATGGCCAAGTTGATGGTGTTCCTTTGTCAAAAGCACCATTGTTAGGCAAGCCTAGCAAACAAGAGAAGAAGAAAATGAAGGAGCATATAATTGGGATCCGTGACATTGAGTTGGAAGAGAACCATCGAAAATCTGCCGATAGGGGAGGAGGAGCTAGGGGGGTTTCACACTTGGGAGCTTTTGATTCTAACAGCCAAAGCTCTTCTTCAGTTTCTCCATTACAGAAGGATTTTGGCTCAGCCCGGTTCAGGTCTTCAAGCTCTCAACTTATCCAAAAGAGATGGTGTCGACAGGTGAGGATCATTCTTGCAGTTGATATCATTGTGTGCCTTGTGCTGTTTGGAATTTGGTTAGGCATATGTGGGGGCCTTAAGTGCATTAGTTGATCAGTTTTGTGTCATCTCAATCCGAGGATTGCTTCTCCTCTTCATCACCTGCCGCCTCCTCGAGCAGATTAAAGAAGCCAGAGTTTAAATGTGTACAAATTGTCTATGATCCATCATGAGAATTATGTTTTATGGGAGCTGAGTAAGTGGTGACACAACCCATGCTGTCCCCCCCCTGTACATAGAGATCATCCACAAATGCTGTTGTAGATGAGAGGGCACTCAGCTATATAGTTTTTACGTATTTGATGAAACTATATTCGTGAGTTGTGTATGATTGAATTGCATGGTCTGCAGTCTGGCTCTTGAAAATTGAAATACTTTTCCTTCTGCCTCAGTGTGGTGGTTCTGTCTGGCTTGTGAAAATCTGAAATACTCCCATCCCTTCTGCCAAGCTTTATGCAGATTAGACAGTTCTTCAGTTCAAAGTAGATTGAGGCTTTTGAGGCGTCAGCATTCAAGCTTGAGTTCCCTGTTTATACGCGTAGTTGGATGTCAATAGCATCTTTTATTCCATCAAAATTTTACCATCCTTGGTCATAATATTAGATTTTATTTAATGTGTGCGCAAAATAACTTGTGTCTTTATGAAGTATCATTGTCCAGTGTCATTATGCAACTAATATCTGAAGTCTAGTTTGCAATGTTAAGAAAAGGGGGAGATATGATCAAGGATAAGCAGAAGTACAATCCCTTCTGAACATGCATCTTGATGGAATACCAATCTGGGAGAAAACACATTTTAACATTTCCCAGACCACAAAAGCGAATCATCTTTGCGAGTATCATGAAACAACTGCCACACTCAAAACGATATTTTTATGTTTGGCTAAATAGGGTATAGATAACTAATACAGAGACACAAAAGAGTTGCTAGCTAATACATAACTACTGTGCACAGAGACTTCATCTTTCCCATTCAGAATCGATCAGGTGCGGGAGCACTTTTGATGAGTTGGAGTTTGTGATTCCACCAACTTGCTGGTTATTGTACTGATCCCATCCCATTATGCGCGGCAAAGCAAACTGCAAATCAACCATAAACTCAGGTTCTCCAGAAATCATATGAAAAGTACGAGAGAGTAATCATTAAAGTTGGAAACACGTGCAGAGAAAAGGGCTCTTTCAACTTACACTGAAAGCTGTTCTCATGACTGCAAATTCAGCAGATGATACAGGAACAACCATTCGCTCATTCGTTTTCAAGATATTGTTCACAACGCCTACAAATGTGCAAACAACAACGTGATCAGTTTCAAATGTAAAAGCGCATTACACCTTAGTGTATTAAAAGCACATTTATTATGTAACCTTCTCTGAGTGCTGAAATGGTACCCGGAACATATGACTTTCAAAAAAACATAAGTTTGGAAAGGATTAATGAAGTAACTAGAGAGTGTAATATACACATTGAAACAATTGGGGACTTACTCAGCGAAAAAAAATAGCCGCTACCATCAGTATGAGGCCTGATTGATAAGCTCTTTCTAACTTGACCAGCATTGCTGTATGTCAATAACCAGCAAATTCTTTAAAATGAACATCAAGATGATAGTAGTGAAGGCAGAAAAGTGAATAAAATCATCCTAGAAAATGGAGTGTTTCGAAGTTAAACAAGAATCCACCTTGATAACATTGCAGGATCATGAAAGAATTCACAAGAATCTTGAGGACCCAAATTTATCAATGATCCAACCTCTGTTGCAGATAAAGCAAAAAGCTGGGGTGGGCACATACAATATTTGTTAGTCAAGATTACCTATAAAAGTAGTACCAAGCAAGCATGCAAATTTTGAAAGCTGCAAAAAGAAAACCATCATCGCGGTTTGCATAAATTGCTTAAAATGCCGACCTATGCGCATGTGATGCCTTTTAGGCAGCCACAATGGCATGCATAACCTACTTTAAGCTTCAAAAAGGTAAAGAGGAATATTCATGTATCCAATGAAAAGGACTCTATTGTTAGCTTCTATTCATATTAAGCAAGTTATTGTAATAGCAAACATCTGCAAATTACCTGCTTCTTTTCCCAATCATACTTACGCTCGCCAATCGCAGGCCAAAATGTTAACATAATGGTGCCTTTACGATCAACCTTAACACCACCTGACTGCATCACACGAAAAGCAAACCCAATGTCATCATATTGAGCTTAGTGTGAGGTGTCTTTACTCACAAAAGATATACAAAGCATCATACTTCCAACTTTGCAAATGTTGGGAGTCTTGGTGAAGCAGAAAGTGCAGCTTTGCCCTTGTAGACTGAATATGAAGCAAATATCTTATTCGAGGAGTTCCCTGAGTTAAAAAAGAAAAACACAGTTAGAAGATCAATGATCTGAATGGCAGGGTAACAAAATAAGGGTCTGAGTGTGTGTGTGTGTGTGTGTGTGTGTGTGTGTGGGAGTGTGTGTGCGTGTGTGTGTGATGGTGCGCGCGGGTTGCGCTTTTTTCCAAAAGAATCAATACCCTCTGCTGCATGATTTTGGGCAACTGAATTAGATGCTGCAGCTTGTGTGGCAAAGGAGCGTGACAAAAGATAATTTCCATGTTGTGGAAATGACCACTTCTCAAGGGTGAAGGCCCTGCAATTTTGGAGGAGTAAAATCAGTCAAACACGGGAAACATGAAGCACCCAGAGAAACTCAAAATTAAAAACACTGAGAAGAGCAAATTGACTATTTGAAGGGATAAGGAATCTTCATTTCTCCCAAAACTACCACAATCAACATCTTCAACCATACACACACAACATCGCGAACAAACTAAAATGACAACCGTTAAGAATTTCTCAACAGTTTCCCTAATTTCACACAAACCCTCGGGGGTAAAAAAATTTCATCCTTTCAAGGCAAAATAAAAGGCTGAACTTTGTTTGTTTAGTTCAAACAACAAATGCTAAATAGAAAATGAACAACAAACCGACAGGAAAAAAAAAAAAAAAGAAACAAAAATCTTAGTTAATCGTACCTACTGAACAACAAACTAACTAACCACATACAACCCAAATCCAAAACCCAGACTTTTCTTTTACTTATAATGTGAAGAAAAGAATAAGTTTGAAAAGGGTAAAGACAAGTCCGAGTAAAGTATAGGGAGATGGAGAGTTTGGGGGATAGCAGAGAGGACCTGGAAGTGAAAAGCTGCTTTGATATCCTGGACAACATGTTGGTGGACCTCACCGGAGCACCACCCCGTTCCGTCGGGCGCCAACTCTTCCACTTATTCCCGCTACTACTAATAAGCCAGCCAGAGAATTAACACCGATTTGTGCTACGGCCGGCAGTCTTCTTTTGTCAATTTTGAGAAATTTTTTTGCCCAAATCCAACCAGCCAGTATGGATCGCCAATTTATTTGGGCTAAAACTTGTCACTTACCAACGGCCCAACTGGACCTCGTCCCACAAGAGGATCCATCAAGTCCCAATTGCTCAATTGCTTTTGGCTGGTGATTAGTGATTTTTTTTTTTTTTAATATTGCAAGGCGTCCACGTCCCGTCGTTGTTCCCCTCCCAAGGACAGATTCTTACGCATTACTCACTCGTCCGCCACTGGAAACACCACTTCCCGTCCGACTTCGTCTACAATAGTGACTAATCCCTTCGCTAGTAATTAATAATTACTGATTAATTAATAACCACCGCACAGAATCTCCTGCTTTACTCTTCTTGAGAGGGAAAATTATAGTGAAATATAGTCAGAGAAAAGATGCATCCACTCTTTATATTGACTACTTACACACCTAACCATCTTTACCAAAAGTTTATTGCGATTATTCTATTCACTAAAAAGCAAGGGACAAGAATAATAATACATACTTTCTCCGCATTTGAAAAATAATTCACATTGTTGAATTGATTTATTTTTTTCGGAGACAAGGAAATTACTGGTTTAAATTGGTAAAAAAGTACCAAACACTGTACATACTGATCACATTGCATATACACATTTGCCAATCTTGAATTGCAAACTCTTTTATTCTAAAAAGGTTCAAACTCAGGGGAAACACGTTACACCTTAACTTTCTACTGCTCATATATATTCACATATATAGTAGTCTATCAAGAATTAGTTTTTTTTTATATATATAAAAAAAATACAATTTAATTAGCAAGATATAGCTGCTACCTAATACTACTAATTGTCATCTGTAGCTGATGTCTTGGACGTCAAGAGCATCATCATCCGTGGTCATGCTGTTGTGCTGCTGATGTATTGAGTTGGGAGATTGACAAGTATACCAATTTGACCAAAAAAGATAGTTGAAGAAATTGATTAGGCTAAGAGCAGCCAACAGCCAATAGAAAAGGTCCAATCTGTCCTTGTTGAGATCATTGTCACTCAGCCATCCGCCTTTCCCTGCTGAGGCTAATGAGGTAACTTTATTTACGGTAGAGACTAACACAGAGCTCAAGTAAAATCCAAAGGAGTAGGAACAATATGTCATGGCGGTTAGAAATGAGTGCATCTGCATCCCATCCGTGGATTGCTTGTAGAAGAATTCCACCAATCCCACCGCCGTGAACATTTCCGACATCCCGAATATCAAGAACTGGGGAGCTATCCAAAATATGGACAGCGGCTGATCCTTATTTAGCGAGGAGGAGGATCTTCTTTTGTGCTCAACAATTGCTGCCGAAACCATGGAGAAAGTCGCAATGAAAAGGCCAATCCCAACCCTTTGGAGGGGTGATATGCCGGATGGTCTGCCTGTGAGTTTACGCAGGGCCGGCACGAACACCGTCTCGTAGAGCGGGACCAGGAAGATGAGCATAAAGTAAGGGATGGACTGCAGGGAAGCTGGTGGGATTTTGAAGTTGTGTGCGATTCTCGTGTCCATTGCGACGCCTTGCTGGACGGAGAATGTTTGGAGTTGGGCTAAGATGGTGTTGAAGATGATGGTGCATGCAAATATGGGGACAACCGAGATTAGGATCTTCACTTGGGAGACTTGGGATACGCTGCAGAGTCGCCATCCACTCTCTGATGATGCTGCTCTGATGCAGGCCTTATCTAGGAACCTGAAAGGTTTTTTTTTTTTTTTTTCTCAACTATTCAGTACGTGTATACTCTTTCTGTCCCAAAATTATTGTCCGTTCAAATTATACTAAAACTAGTTTGGATTTTCATTTTTAGTATAAATTATATTAAAACCAGGTTGGATTTTCATTTTTAGCTGGACAATAATTTTGGGACGGAGGGATTACTGTGTATATGTTTATCAGCTCTCTGAAAATTAAGTAATTCATTGAATGGTAGTAGAATGTATGTATAACCTGAACTTTTGTGTATGGAGGAGCTGGACTGCAGGGGCATCGCCATCGGCATTATTATTATTTGCAACAGAATTGGAGTTGTCCAACTGGGAAGGGCAAACTTGCTTTCGCTTTGTGATTGCAGCAACAAAAACCTGAGCGATTGGGATGAATATGGGGGTCCCCCGAGGAGGGGTGTTAGCGTAAAACGGAGTCCCAGAAATCAAGCAGATCAAAGCCATCCCCATGACCGCAGCAGAAACTCCAAAACCAACATCCATCCCGGATCGGGTTTGAACATAAACTAAGAGGGTGAGCGCCACCAGCTCCCCGGAACAGAAGGCGAAATATGCACAGTTGAAATAGGTGGACACCTTCTTCTTCTGGTGATTGGAGCCACCGCTGAACTGATCGGCTCCGTGAGAGATGATGTTGGGCTTCAGGCACCCGCTTCCTAAGGCCACCAAGTACAACCCCGTGAAGAATATCCAGGCCCTATATCCGCTTGCTTCCACGCAATCATCGTCCTCCATATCCATCCTGCACTTTGGTGGCTGAAGCCCCGGGAAATGAGCCTGCACAGCTAACACCACGAATCCCTGCAGCGCCAAACAAGAAGATTAAGATCAAATTAAAAACGTGAATGATCACACCCAGCCAGCATGCAAGCATATACTATAACATACCGAGAGTTCAATTAGGCCGAAAATCAACATGGTCCTGAAGCTGCCGAGATAAGAATCAGAGAGAAATCCACCAACAAGGGAGAGCAGGAACACGGTGCCAATGAAGTTTGTGACAATGTTTGCGGATTTCGACAGAGGGAAATGCAGGTCATTGAACACATAGGTTATGAGATTGTTCCCAACTGCAGCGATCGCCATCATCTCCAACGCCTCAACTCCTGCAAATTAATTAACACAGTTCAACACAATCAAAACCAAATGAAGAGACGAAGGGAGAATCAATCAATCAGATTGAAATGTATTCATTCCTGCAGAGTGGACACTTGCCAAGTACAAAGGAGGCAGCACTCATTCCACCATGCTTGTTGGGTACGCAAGGTCTGCCTTTCCAATCAACTAAATTCATGTCATCATTTACTTTACAGCTCACTTCTTCTCCTCCTCCTCCTTGTTTCACCGCTACTACAACTACTTCTGCTCTTTTTGTTACTGTCATTTCTTCTTTCTTATCCATCGATCACTAGCTAGCTCCCTATAAGGAATCCCTTTGGAAACCAATTAATATATTCTGTTTTGTGGCTTAGGGAAACTGCATGGCCTCTTATTTATAAGCCTAAATTTTGATGTGGGACGATATGATCATATTTAACTTTTTACCTTCCCGGCCTACAGCAGGAGTTGACTCTATGGAATGCCATAGTTAGTGGATAGGGCCCCGAAATTAATGCACAAAAATCTTCCTCCTCTTCCTCAGCTTCTTCTTTCTCCTCTTTTTTTTCCGCATCTTTCAAACCAACCAAAATTACACGGACCCACGCACTTGCTCACAAGGAGGCATAACACCATCAAATCCATCATTATCATCATCACTTCCAATTTCCATTTTCATCCTACCCAACCCATGCATCTTCTCTTTTATTCATATTATTATATAATGTGGGTGCGTTTTGGTTTTGGTCAATTGGGTATAACATGTGTATATTGTCTCCCGTCCAATGATCCATCCCCTCAACAAGTCAAATCATGGCATACACGTCAGTGTTTACTAGAATTATTCCCGTTCGTTGCAAGGATTGAATTAGATATATGGTATATGGTGTAAGATCGTATAATTCTTCTTGCGTGTAAGTGAAGTATTAATGTCGCAATATAATATAATTTGTATCGAGTTTTGTCATTATATAGTAATTCTTGACCTTGTTGTGTTCTTTGAATTTACATTTATTTTTTTTACAAATTTTATATTTAATATTTAATTTAGTCTAGATTTTAAAGAATTTATAATATTATTATGACTCATTCATGGTACAGTTTTTGAAATAATAATTACTTACTCCGTCCCACAAAAATAGTCCATATTGAATTTTGACTTTTGCATTGTTTTTAGTAAAAAGTTAAAAACTCAATGTGGACTATTTTTGTGGGACGAAGGTAATAATAAATTACATAATAACACGTTTATCATGAACTCATAATTTTTTTTCAAATAATTTCAATAAAGTCACTGTAGGTTTTAGTGAACTCAAAATAAAATAAATGTTTAAATTAATGTAACTTTTAAAGGTTAAAATATCTTTTTTTATGTTAAAATCAAACCTTTACTAACTCTTTATACTTTATCCTACGCTAAATTTTTTCAAACTTAATATATAAACCAAACATGAAAATACAACGAAAAAAAAATTAAAGAGTAAAAACCTGAATAATTTTTAACAAAATTATTATTCAAAATTATCATTAATGTGTTATGAGTGGGGGTTAAAGAGTGTCTAAATATATTTCTTATGGAATCATTAATTACATTGATACACAAGCATTAAAAGAAGCTTACTTGAGACACAACCGGTTGACGACAAATAATAACAAGCACTTAGGCATACTTTGCAAGGTGTACCTTATGGGAATGTATAATACACTCTCCTTCTACACAAGTTTATTTATTTTTCTTCCTAATTTTCAGTTATAGGCGCATTAAATCCTCCAATTCTCATCCCATTTTTTTCTCACACATTTAATTTTAAACCGTTTTTTTCTTTTTTGCTTATCATGTTATCTTTTATATTATTTTATTTTATGAGAATTTTTTTATAGCTATGGATTTTATTGGCGTAAAATTAAATATGATTCATCATCGAGACTTATAAATCCGAAAAATCAATTGGAGCAAAAAATTTGTGTTGATTATCAATGAAATTTGGAGAATTAAGCGTCAAATGTGGAAGATTTTAATAGATAACTATATTTGTTCAGATGAATAATAGTATTCTTATCGATGAATAATAATAATATTGTGGATGAATAATGGTGTTCTTATAGTGACAATGTTATGGATAAATAAATTTGAAATTTTGAAATGAATATAGATATCTACAAAGATGAATGATGAAGCAAATGTTGAAGAATAATGATCCCATCTAGGATGAATAACAATAATAAAATGAATAATATGTATATATATTTGCATGATGAATACACATATCAATGGAATGAATAATACATGTTCAAACGATGAATGACATATATTTACAAGATGAAATAACACTATTTTACATTATTAAAAACAATAGTCATTGTTTTTAACATATACGGTCTTGAATGATTCGCTGATACTCAACACTTATATGTTGATTGTTTGATTTCAGCAACTCTGCCAAATATTTGATTCCCGACCGATCGAGTTCTTTTTATGAGCATTTCTTTGCCGTTGATCAAACGAAAACAACATTACAATAAGTGAGATTTCACATTTAATCAAAACTCTGTTAATTATCAATAACAATACTATTGAAGATGAATAATCATTTTGAAAATGATGAATAAACATTAAAATTACATAAATCGAATCCAGTTGAACAATCGTGTACGGTATATATTACATGATGAATAATAACATAACTGGTGATGAATGACATATATTTATATGATGAATACATATATCTACGGAATGAATAACACGTATTTACAGGATTAACGACACATATTTACAATTGTGTGCAATCACATATTACATCATGAATTATATCACTTGTAGTTTATATCACAATTAGAATGAATAACTAAGCAAAAATAATGAATAACTAGAAATAGATGATGAATAAACATTTCACAGAAGAAGAAAATATGACTAAAACAACCCAAAATTGATGATGAATAATGATATCGAGATGATTAACAACCGCCAGAAATAGATAATGATGTCAAAATCTGATTTCCAAAATCAACCACAAATCGATGAACAAGACTAAAACATCGATAAACTAACATGTTTTAAAGATGAATAATGATATTAAACTGATGAACAAAGCCTATATCTATTAATCTTTTTCAAAATCAACCAGAGATCGATGAACAAGACTAAGAAATTGATGAACTAACATCATTTACCGTGAATAAATATTTCACAGAAAAAAAAACATGACTAAAACAACTACACATTGATGATGAATAATGATACCGAGATGATGAATAATGCCAGACCTATGAATATTTTCTGAAATCAACCACAAAGCGATGAACAAGACTAGAACATCGACAAACCAACACGTTTTAAAAATGAATAACGATATTAAACTGATGAAGAGCACCTAGATCTACTAATCTTTTCCAAAATCAACCACATATCGACCAACAAAACTAATTGACGGGAATAATCTCAAATCTTTGCCACCGAACAAAACATAAAACATATCTATTAAAATGATGAACAGCATCTAGATCTATTATTCTTTTCCAAAATTCACCGGACAAAACACAAAATAGATGAATAATCTCAAATCTTATCATAATTCTCATATTCAGCAGCGTATATTACAACCAAACTTATGGGATTTAATGCACAATCGGATTTCGTCTTCAAAAATGCCGCCGACGAGAGGTTTTGATGCCAAATCGCTGCAGAGAATATTTTATTTTTTAGATTTTTTTAGTTTGAGACGTCTTTGGATTGGAATAAGAAGTTAGATGGATAAAATTAATGATGGCTGAAAATTATGATAGATATTAAAAAATTAAAAATTTGAAAAATCTCTTTTTTTTCTAATCATCTTTTTGGGTGCGTGAATTTCAAACTAGGTACACTTTACAAGGTATACCTAGAAGCTCTATAATATAACTGCCGGTTGGACTATGTGGGTAATATAATCTATTATTAATTATAAACAGGTTAAATACTAAACTTAAATTAACTATTTACAAAACTTTTTTACACTTTAATGAAGGAAGATTTTCCTAATGACACATGGCACAAATAGCTCTAGACTATCACATTACATGGCACATGTCGATTGAAAACTCTCTTTTAATATATAATATAAATTACTCGGTGTTGAGCTATATAATCTCTCAATTATAAACCAAAGAATTAACATAGGGAGGGGCAGCACATTTAAACATCATCAAATTAATGTTACAAAAGTTTTTCATAACATCAGCTAGCAGTTCATGAATGCGAACGCCCGTAAAAATCAAACAAGGAGTCGGAGCAGTTACGATATACGTTTGCACTCCTCTCATTCCTTTTACTTAATATGTTCAACTCCTAATAAACCATTATACATTTAATTCATTTTCACACATATTATAATGTTAATATTAGTTTTTTTTTTTTCCTAGTTCCATAGGGCGAATCGAGTACTGGACCCTTGAGAGATGTGTTGTCCTCCAATTAATCTGGGATGCTGCCTCCTTTTGTACAGTGTAACGATCACTGAATGTTGAGCACAACAAAACAAACCAAACCGAAAGTTTCTCATAATCCACCATTTATTGTGTTTTTTTAATATAAACAATCGAACTTAACCAAATATTTTATACATTCTAGTCAGCTAGTTGCACATACAACTTATTGGTTTTTCGAAAAAAGGCATTTCTTTTTTCCCCTTTCTTAGCTTTCTTACCTTTTTTTTTTCTTTATAGCTTAAAAAAATACGATTATCTAAATCCCCTCCACCCAAACGAAACACACGGAAACAGTACTTTGAAAAATATATATCTTTTTATTATTTTAATTACAAAGACGTCATCAATCTCAACAACAACATTACATATAATACACTATCTTCTTCCCCCTTATCACCATACAGTAAAAAAGAAAGAAAAAAGTGTGTGTGTGTGAGAGAGAGAGAGATAGAGAGGCAATATTATAGCAACGGCATCAGTGGATATAATGTAAAAAATTGAGAAAGTCTGGTGTGCTTTGCTAATTGTCCCTCTTTGGCAAGACATACTCCTATAGGGTGCAAATTAAGGCGTTATTGTTATGGTATATATGCATCCCTTCCACCGACCTATTTGAATACTACTCATGGTGCGGAACCTGCTTCGGTGCTATTATAGAATGTGTGTTTGGTATTATTGAATTCAATTTATCTATCTAGTACGACGAATTGCAACAATTATACATAATTATTTTTTAATTTTTTTCTGAAAAATTATTTTTATTTATTTAGACGAAAAATCATTTGCTACTATTAGTAAATTAAGACTCATCGATACCACCCTAAGGAATTGTGCATGATTCCTTTTGTTTGTAGTCAACCAAGCCATGAAATCAAAGTCTGTGGGTGGGAAACAACACGTTGAAAGTTACAGAAACGGAAAATTCAACCACATAGTTAAAAATTTTAAAAAAATAAAATAAAAAACTTTTTTGGGTGGGGGTATAAAGTTGGTAGTGTTACTATTTTAATTAAACTGGAGCAGTAGTAATGCGTAGCATCCTTATAGAAATGAGGTTACAATTACGAGTGTTACCTTAACGAGGTGACAAATAGGCAATTGGCAAACATTCGCACCCCCACTTAATCAACATTTAAAGGGGATCATAAATTCATAATGAACAAAAAGAAGTGGAGAGGTTTGACATTTGAGAGACACACACACATATATATATATATATAATAAAATATTTCTCTCTGAATTCTATCCTTGGTTTGATCATGAAACCCCAAGAAATTATGACAACCATATAATGTTTTTTTTTTAATTATTCCCATAGGAAAGTCAACTCTTATCAATATATGATGCCGTTATTTTCAACAATGCAATCATTTACACATCTCCGTTATAATACTAATGTTTATGTTTAGACTATAGTACTTCTCAGCTATGTTTTGAAAACCAGGCTAGAAGATTGGATGCCTTCCCAATCTGATTTCGATAAATAACTGATTACCTAAAATAGTCAAATTCTATTAAATCTAGGTAAAATTATGGTTCGATCGGGATTCGATACTGGTTGAACCGAATTTTTGAATTTTTTTTAAAAATTATTTTTTATATTTTTTATAACCAATTTTTTACTAGCTAGTTTCGATGGCTGATTCAAACTGGTTAAACTAGTGAACCAGTAACCCAACTAAAATTAATGGTTCACTTTGCGGTTTGATTTTCAAAACGTAGTTTCTCAATTCTCTCACTCGTTATAGCGGAAAAAAGGACACATGAAATGTGTACTTTCATGTTTGATGAATTAAAATGGCATGCTCTCATCGTCCTGAAGTTTGGATATAATTTATGTGGTTGTTTTTAAAGTGAAATATTTAATATACCATTATTAGTAATTAGTGGATTAATTGGTTAATGAGTTAGAGTATAATAATTGAGTTTAGTTAAATATTCTTGATTTCAGTGAAATTGGTAAATGTATATACTTAAAGAATAAAAATAAAATTTAATTTAACGTCAGAAGCAGGGTTGAGTTTGAAACGTTTTTTTAAAAAAAAATGGTATATGTGTTAAATTAAAAAGGATGGAGTATAACAGGCAGTTCGCCTCGCTTGGAATGAATGTTGATTACCATTAGCTTGTAACTAATGCTTTTCTTCATTGGTTTTGTGACTTTTGTCGGCACTGGAACTTCCCACTCACTCTGGATATGTAGAGGTTAAAGTTTAGATTTTTTTTTGCTCCCTTTGTTTTCTTCAGAAGCAATCATATTCATGGATATCATGTTTTCATGCATGTAAACAGCCATATTTTGTAAGTGTAAAACACGCATAGATTGTAATGAATATGTATATGGATAAATATAAGTATCTGCATTAGGGTAGGAGAATACATGTTTGATGATGAGGAGTTGATGGCACGTACGTGGTATGAAGAACACAGGGGCACTGCATGCAATGTATATATACCAAAGATGTATTTATTGTACAAATTGAAAGGTACGAGGACGTAGCATTTGGGTACGTAATTAGTGCAACTGGCACGCCATCCATGCCAAAAGTTGTGGAAAAAGAAATAAGCTATAGGCGAAATGAAATTTAGATATGAGGTAACAATATTTGAAACCACCCCTTTAAAAAAGGGGACTAGGCTCACATGTATTGCAGTATTTGGTTACCTCGATGCATTAAAAAGAAAAAAAGAACAGAAGGGTGGCAAAGATGATCATATATGCATTTTTCGTATCGCTGCGACTTTAGGTACGTATACGTACGTCAGTTTTTTAAAAAAAGCAAAATAACAAACCAAGCAGGAGGTTAGACGAAAAGAGAATTGGACGGGCCAAAAATCAGGATAAAAGAGGCCAAATTCCACGAGTAGGGTGCTGGTCTTTGCTAAACCACAGGCCGTTTCAATGGATAAACCTTAACTTAAATTAATGATCAGTACACTCTCCATTTCCCTCCCTCCCCACATTTCGTGTTCATAACATGCTACATGTATAGGTCCGCAAATGAATTTTTTTCATTATATGTATAAATAAATTACATGTGCCACGTTAAATCAGCTGGTCGCTAGCTAACAGTTAATTTTGTGTTAAGGAAATTAGGAAACAAATCAAATGGATGATAATAAGAGTAGAAAGATGGATGTAGTTGGATGGGTAATATTTATGATGAAGATGGTGGTGATGATGTCGGGAGGAGTAGTGGCAAAAGGAGGAGCAGCAGCAGGAGCAGGACAAGTGAGTGCAATGTATGTGTTTGGGGATTCATTGGTGGATAATGGGAACAACAATTACCTGAGATCCATTGCCAAATCCAACTACTACCCTTACGGCTGCGATTTCAGTGGCGGTCCAACTGGCAGATTTTGCAATGGTGAAAATTTTGCTGATTTATTAGGTACTCCACATATATATATCCCCCCGGTTTGACATTTTTTTTTCGTTTAAGTCATCGTTCATTCATAACTAATTTGATCGCCGATGCTGTGAAATGAAACAGGGAGACTGTTGGGGGTAGCAGCCCCACCTCCGTTTGCAGATCCGGCGACATCGGGAGCCAAGCTGTTCAGTGGGGTGAACTATGCTTCGGCTGCTGCTGGAATTTTGGATGAAACGGGTCAAAACTATGTAAGCCAGCCTGGTGCCTCCAGCCCTGATCTTAATCTTTCAACATTATAAATTTTTTCTAGAGCAGACAGAGTAACACATTCTTCCTGTTTATGCGCGCTTTGCAGGGAGATAGGTACCCGTTGGGCCAACAAGTGATAAACTTTGAGACCAACCTAGGGCAGATGAGAAGGATGATGCCAGCTGCGAACCTGACCCGATTTCTCTCCAAATCCATTGCTGTGTTGGTGTTTGGGAGCAACGACTACATCAACAACTACCTCATGCCCTCCCTCTACACTTCCAGCTACAACTACAATCCTTCCCAATATGCCAACCTACTCCTCAATCACTACGCCCGCCAACTCCATGCCCTCTACTCCGTCGGGTTGCGCAAGTTCTTGCTCCCCGGGATCGGACCCCTCGGATGCATCCCCAACCAGCTGGCCACGGGTCAAGCCGCCCCTGGACGTTGCGTTGACTACGTGAACCAGATACTTGGTCCCTTCAACGAAGGCCTCAGGCGCCTCGTGGACATCCTCAACAACGGCTCCCATCCCGGTTCCATGTTCGTGTACGGCAACTCCTACGGTGCCATCGGCGACATCCTCAACAACCTCGGCCGCTACGGCTTTAAGGTTTGGGACCGAGGCTGTTGTGGCATCGGCCGCAACCAAGGCCAGATCACCTGCCTCCCCTTCGTCACCCCTTGCCTCAATCGCAACGAATACGTCTTCTGGGACGCTTTCCATCCCACCCAAGCTGTTAATGCCATCCTTGCTCAACGGGCTTTCTCTGGTCCCACCTCCGACTGTTATCCCATCAATGTTCAACAGTTGTCTTTGATTAACTTCTGATTCATTTAATTCCCCTTTTATATTTCATCCCCATGACATTTTTTATATACGTATATGTACGCATCATCATGCTTGCATTTGGATTTTTGTCCATGTTCTGTTTAGTTGTGATTCTGTGTGGCAACTCATTTTCAAGCGTGAGTGGTTGTGTTGATTTGGAAGAAAAATAAAATGAAGAATCTTGTTAATTTCTTCCCCCTTGAATGCAGTTTAATTTCGCTTTAGTTTTGTTGGTTACAAATAATTAGAATGTATCACAAGTCATTCCTATTCTGGGACTACAGTTGAAGTTTATGATTTCGATAGTTTACAGTTAATGGTACTTACTAAATATGTCGGGCTCTATGTCATTCCTTTCATTAATGAGTAAGTTATTTTGCTTAGTCACTTATTTTTTGTCTCAATAACTTCTACTCTTTTCGTCCTCTTGTACAAAAAAAAAAAAAAAAAAAAAACCTTTAATTTAATGAACTAACTAAAATATTTTAATAGAGTAGAAAATCAACAATATTTTTACACGGCCACCTAACCCCTCTAAACGTAATTATAATATTAAACACTATTACGTGCATTTGTGAGTTGATGATTTATATAGATTGGTATGCATAGATAATTAAATTATATATTTCTAGAGTCAAAATTTCATAACAAATTATACGGTATCTTCAGTCACACGTTATCTGGCAAGCTTGTTGTAGGTTGATAAACCACATAAGGTTGGGTACAGCGTTACCGAAGTATCCCATCTATCACACGCTGCTCATAAACTATAATGAATGTCTTACAAGCAGTACTGTAGACCACAAACGATGGATGCTAATTTAACCTTACCTTAAAACTCTTGAAAAGAAAAGAGTAAGAAAGTTGAAAGTTTAAAGAAAGAAAGAGGACAACATTCAGAAATTTAATTTGAGAGAACTTGAAAACTGGAATCCACACTTTGAATTCTTCACGGGGCTTGCAATTTTTATAGTTACTAACCAAGCCGTTTAGGTTATAGACTAACATACAACATCCAGAAGAACATCACCCATTCTAATATTATAGAGATTTCTAAACTTTTCTATCTTAATCCACGTAACCTAAAATGTAATGTTCTAAAATCTTCCAAAAGTTGCTCTTAATTCAAAATGAGGTTAGAAATATCAAAATTATTGGGCCTAATGACTTACTTTGATCCAACAATATTTGGGCCTTGTTACATCCACAAAATATTTTAATTTAATTAAAAAGGGCCGGGTACAAAGAGAAAACCAGGGGTCCAAAATTCGAAGGACTAAGTAAGAACTTTATTAGGGAGCAGAATATTAATTTACTAAGCTGCAAAGTGCAAACAATGAGCAGCGGCCAGTCCCCTATGAAAATTGAAACGAAAAGGAAAAACCCTTTCCAAAACTTCAACCCGCAAAGAAATAAGAAAAAAGGGGGAAAAAAAATCCTTTCCTCTACAGTAACCATTGTTCTTGGATGATGGCTTGTTCAAAATCAAAGACTCTGATGTGGAGGATGACGCCATCCCTTTTCCAGTATCTACAGCGTTCTTCATTTGCTGCTGCTGCTAAGAGTCCTAAACTCGTAGGGAAGAAGGATTTTGCCGATGACGAAGACGACGTCGTCAATGAAGGTTCTTCCGGAGTTGGGGTGGGGCTCAGTTCCGGAATTAGCAGACCCTTGTCTGAAATATTGAAAGAGCTGAACAAGAAAGTTCCTGACTCTCTCATCACCACCCGCTTCGACCCCTCCTCTGGCTCTTCTATCAGATATATCCCTTGGTAACTTCATTTTTGTTTTTTTATTTTTTTATATTGGTAGGAGTCGGAATTATTAACTTATTGTTGTGTTATTCATGATGATTGTTTGGTTTCGATTACTTATAGATTTTACCAAAATAAAAAATAAAAAGATACCATTACCTCTTTTTGGTTTCGATTACTTATAGATTTTACCAAAGGTTAGTGAACTCTTGCAAACATACAACGGAAAAACAGTGATTGTTCTTTAGATATTCTTGAATGGCAACATTCTAACTGTTCGCTCTCTCTCTAATTACTGAACAAATGATTTTCTTGGTAGTGGGATGATGATGAAACAGAAATGGTCCATTTGAGAAAACTCGGTGAACTGGATCAATTACTCATACAACCAAATGATAGTGTGGGAAGAGGAGATTATTTCGTCCATTATTGATTACTTTCCTGTTTGTTGTCTCATATCCTTGTTTATTCTTTGCTACATCTGTCGGTTATAACTCGCTTGATTATCAGCAAATTGTTTCTGTTATATAATGTATTATAAACCTTTTTATGGTGAATGATTGATTTGTTGATCTGCGTATTTTTTATGCTTGAGAAATCCTGTTCCTCCTTATAATTGGTTGCTTCTTTTAAAGCTGTTACCCCTTTTAAATTTTTTCTGCGCTGTCTATGCTTACCAGGCACATAGTCAATCGGATTATGAACTTACATGCTCCGGAGTGGTCTGGTGAGGTGCGCAACATCATTTATTCTGCTGATGGGAAGTCTGTTTCAGTTGTTTATCGTGTAACGCTCTATGGGACAGATGCGGAGGTATCAATTTCTCCCTCAAGTTTTTGTGTATAATCCCGTTTTCTTTCATTATGTTTTGGTATTTGTGGGATATTGAAGACGTTAACTCTCAAATCTGGTTTACATTCTTGATAAGTTCAGAATGTTCCTTTCGCAACAACCTGTCTCGTTTATGAGATTTAGGCCTTTTGACAGTGCAAAGTCTTAGCTTTACTGATCAAACATACTGGTCTTGATTAAGCCAGCAATCTTTCTGTGCCGTATTTTGGTATTTTAACACCTCACTGCAGCTAAATGTTTAACTGCTACGACTTCATTAGTTTGATGTTATATCTAGGATCAAAACCTACTTTTGATCTTTACTGAAACTAAAGAGGCCAAGACACCTATTGGCTCTTGTCATTCGCCAATATTAGATATGGAATTTTGATCATCTTTTTCAGATTTAATTTTTCTTAGTAATTGGAATTATATGTCAAGTCACTTCGTCGTAATATTCTCAAAGAAAAAAAGAAGATTTTAAATGAGACAGAAAAAAGAAAAGATCTACTTGTTTCGGACCATATTGCCTTTGTCCTGGTTATAAGAGCATCCGCTCTTTATGGACCTTCTGCCACTCTGGTTTCTGGCTTATTGATCTTGCCAAAAACGCCTAGTTTAAAGTAACCCATTTGTTGATAGTAGAATAAATTGTGTGTATAAAGCTGTAAATCATCCGTGGTAGATCTACCGGGAGTCAACTGGAACTGCTTCAGTGGATGAAGCAACTGGATATGGAGATGCAGTGCAGAAGGCAGAAGCAATGGCGTTTCGTAGAGCTTGTGCTCGATTGGGGCTGGGTCTCCATCTGTATCATGAAGACACCTTGTAGGGGGGTTTTGATTAGAGCTGACAGTTTTGTATGCTGCTGGTGATGGCTTAATGTGACTGCTAGGGTGCGTAGGCATTTTGTATGCTGCTGGTTATGGCTTAACATGACTGCTAGGGTAGGTAGGCAATGTATGTTTTAGTTCTGAATGATACTGTAATTTCTGAAGTTAAGTTGGAGAAGTTGGAAACTCTTTTGAGGCAATAATGATGTAATTCTACAGTGGTAGACTTAAGGGAATTGTAAGTTCAATTGCCACAATATCTGTAAATTGGTATCATTATGTAAGCGGCAATGTGTTTTGGCCTCTGTTTATCCAAAAGCAGATGGTGAAACTGAAATCTATGTCCAAAAGCAGCACGCTATATTATTGCTTTCAATAGTTTAGTTTCACTTCACTTTTATCTCGTTTCATTGAAATAACTAGTAGTGTGTATAAGTGCATTGCACCGGTTCATGTAGTTTATATTTCCGTGTAGTATGTCTTGATTTTTACTCCACGTTCAAAAATAAGTGACATTCTAGCACTTGTACATAGTTTAAGAAAACTTAAATATAATAGTAAAATTACTTGAATACCTTCAACTAATCTTATTAACGCAAATTCTCACTAATAATACTAATTCTTTTTAGGGTGATTTTGAAAATTCTGATCAAAAAGTGCATTGAAATATGAGAATGACATTTATTCTGGAATTTTTTTATTTTGCTAAAACGATGAAACGGAGGAAGTATTATGTTTCACAAGAAATAATTAATCAATTTTTTCATATAACAATTTGAATGTTATTGATTGTCTCATAATTTTTACACTCTCGATACATTTCATGCTTGACAAAAGTTGTATAGCATATACTATACATTTTGATTGAATTTCTAACTGTATCCATGTACATAAAAATCATATTTGTATTAGTATATATAAATTATTTAGAACACTCCTCATTCCAGAAAAGAAATAGTCAATGCTGATAATTTTCATTAAGACGTGGCCTTTTTTTAAAAAAAAAATAGAGGGGTTTTTTTTTTCATTTTCATTAATCCGTAATTTGAGTTTGACAGAAACCGTAATCTTTTTAGGATTCACAATATTTCAAATAAAAATTACAAATGCACTCTTCCGACAAAATAGAGTAGAAATAATTGGATTGAGACTTTATAAAAAATGTGTAAGGAATGCTAGTGTATCTCAAAAAAATAATTAAAAAAAATAGAGTAGATTGACTTTTGAGAATGTGCTAAAATTATTATTCAAATTGTAAAATTTAATGGGAATTATTTATTTGGGACGAAAAAAATATTATTTTAATAAAATTATACTATTTTATGAAGTAGTATTATACTCTCTCCATCCCATAATTATTATTCAGTTTGAGTTTTTATTTTCAATTCAAATTGTACTAAAAGTTAAATCTAAAACTATAAAATAATTTTAAGACAGAGGAATATTTTCCCGAAGGATGAAATCCTTGGTTAGTTTTTTTATAAAGAAAAATCCTTGGTTAGTTCAAAAGAAATAAGTTTTTACCAAAGTTATTATTTCCACGTATGGTGAAACTATTTCTACTTCTCCCTCCCTCCCTCCCTCAGAAGAGATCAGAATTAAATACGACGCCGTCGCCGCCGCTTCAGTCTTCCATCAGGAAAGCCACCGCGACTCCGCCCGCCGGCAGAATCTCTTCGAATACGCACCCACGGTTTGAATTGTTCGAGAAACCCGATGAAATAAACACTCAAAACATATATTCCAGTCGGAACACTACATATATCTAATCAAAAGATCTCCAAACAGGCAGTCCCGGTCCGGACCCCTCGCTTCTTCTTATTCTTCTCGTTGGTAATCTATCCGTTTGTGTTCAATTTTGGATTTCTATGTCTGATACACGTGTGTGGTTTCTTTATTCGGCGTTTCAGTTTGTATGTACTGCTATATTCTTAGTTGTGTGTGTGTGTGTGTGTGTTTTTTTTTGGTGGTAGGATGTATGCTGAGAATCTGACTGTTGTGGTCTAATTATCATCATTCTTTTTGTTTCCTTGTTTCTCCGCACCTTAAGGAGCTGTTTATCTTTTCTCCTCGACTCAGTGTCAGTGTTGGTTTTCGTTGTTCTGTGCTTTTCTTATTTTAAATTTTCTTGCAGTTATTATTTCTTTGTTGCTAGAGTTTGTTAATTGGATTGCGAGCCTCTGTGTATGTGTGTGTTTCGTTATGTGCTTGTTTCTTATATTCTTACAAATTGGATCTTCTTTTGTGTGGTATTTAATTTATCTCTCTCCTTCTCTGTTCATTTGGAATTTGATTGCTATCTCATAGGAGTGTGTCTGTTATTTGGTTCTTGAAATTTGTATCCGTGGCCAAGCTCTAGTCTTTTCTTTCCAGACAAGATTTTTTCTATTAAATGTGGATGGTTTTGGTTGGTTAGGTGTTATGTTGATGGAAGGTTTGAAAATGGAAGCAAACCAAGAATTCACACCTGTTCCTCCTCCTCCCTCGCAGCCAGAGACTGAAGAAATTGGTAAGAGCTTTGTGGATTTTTTCGGATTTTCATTATTGTTCAAAGTTGGTGGTCTTCCTTTTTCCCCCTTCTGATCATTCTATTTCTACTAAACCATCTATAGGTTATTGATTGGTCTGATGTGATTTCTTCGGCTGTTTTCTTGCTTTGGTAGAAAGGAAGGCTCGGGTAGAAGCAGTCTGGCAGCAGATGAACAAAGGAATTTCAACCAAGAACCTGCAATCCATTTTAAAGAAGCAGAATGCAGCCACTAATAAAACTTCTCAGAAACCTTCCTCGCATGTAGTTATTTCAAATCCGAGGATACTTTAAGTGTATGGTTTCTGGTGGTAATTCAACTTATACAATCTTTCTTTCGTCATTTCTATTTGCAGAATTGGATGACTGCTCTTCGATTGGGACCGAAAAAGACATTGCCAATCGAGGCAGGTATAACAGCAGACAAGTGCACTGCCCCGGCAACTGGAAACAAGCCAGGAAATGGAACCAGCGATGATGCAAAGAAACTGGCTGCTGCTGCTCTCCAAGCAGTTAAAGATGCTGCCGCTGCTGCAACTGGCCATGGAAAAGTTGAGGTGAGGTCATTTGTTGATTTGAGGTCTTCAGCTTGTGGATTGATTAGTTCTCCCTGTATTTTCTTCTTATTTTGTAAGTAACCTCCTTAAACTTGTTATTTTAACATTGTGGATGGCAACCAATACTCATGTTGTGATGATATCTTGGATATGAGAAGCACCAGTTGATTCCAATTTGCTGATTCCTTGGCCTTTGGTTGATATTGTGGCCCAGGCAAAAACCTAGTTCCTTGGCTAATTGCTGCCATTTTGGACTAGACTACCCAAAAAACTACGTATTATCTATTAGTGATTGAGTTAGGGTATTGATTTCCAAATCTACTTTTGTTCTGGCGATAACTTCAGCCTTATCCCTAGCTCTGATGGTTTGTTGCACTATCAGCTAGAGGACTGATTATTACTCTCTTTCCTTTGTTGTTTGATGCCTGAATTTTCAGTTTCATACTTCATATAAATTTACTGTTGCATCCCTGCAGGTCACAGAAGTTCGAGACTTTGCTGGTGAGGAGGTTGAAGTGAAGAAGCTCGTTGATGCCAACTCTGATAAAGGCAAAGCCTCGGTTGGCCCTGTATCAGCTGTTGATGCTGTTCTTGAACAAATAAGAAAGAAGCCAAAGTTGAGTGTACTTGACAAGACGAAGAAAGACTGGGGAGAGTACAAGGACGAAAACAAAGGTGTGGAAGAAGAACTTGAGACTTACAAAAAGAGTTCAAATCAGTATCTGGATAAGGTCTCCTTCTTGCAACGTGCTGATTATCGAGAATTTGAGCGCGAGAGAGATGCTAGACTTGCCATGCAATCCAAGAGGAAACAAGATATGCGAGAGGACGGAATTTGATTATTTCTTTGAATCAGTCACCAAAGGGAAAAGGAGGTGGGGGTGAAAGAGTAAGACTCATGGAAGTAGCCTGAAAAAGAAGAAAAGGGCAAAGTAGACCCTGAGTATGATGGTTTTGGATATAGATGGCCTGTAGGGGCTTTTAGTGTATGTGATTCATTGTAAACTAAACTCTCAGCCTAAGCCTAATAGATCATCCTGGTGCATTTCAATCCAATACCAGGTCTTTTGATTTCTTGAATTTCACAGTTTTATCAATTATTCTTTGGCATTAGCGTTTACATCAGCAACAGCATAAACTAAAAGGGGCGCTTTGTGTCAGATTAATGTAATACGTAATAGTTTTCAGCAACAATTTTTCACATTACGTGAAATCTGAGAAATGGCATGCTACATGGATGGTATGTTTATTTCGCGAATAGTTTTAATCCAGAGACCTCTCGAAATATTACAACAATGCACAGGCAAAAACAAGACTCAAAATGGCTGATTATATATACAAATCAGAAAGGAAAATTGGTTACATCAACAAATGGCTATAATGAAAGTATGGTAATGATGATGCAGCAACAGATCAGTAGGAGAAACCAGGAATAATCCCGAGACCAAAATTTCCTGGACTGTAACCTATAAAAACTCAACACCATATTGATTAATAGTTTGGTAACAGCAAACAACCCAAAAACTAAGCATACAAGAAACATAAAAATTCCTTTGTTCTCCATATGTACTTGATTCCTTCTAACTTCTTCCACCTCCAACCTGCATCAACCATAAAAAGAGTGAGCTATAGCCATACGAGGGAGACAAATGGTCAATAATTCTTTCATCATCGCAAATAATCACCATTTCCCAGAGCAGGAGTTGAAGATCAATTGCAGTAAAACCACATAACCCCCAAAACATCCACTTAGACCTATGTGTGTTTGTGTTTGATGCCTAGTCCAAGATTTATACGTTAATAACAGCAAGAATAATTGAAGATCTCCACCAAGGGTTAATGTATCATAGGCACAACAAAACATCAATTAATATGATATGCTTCTTGACATTACCATATTAAACTGCAAGACATACTACTTCATCAAACAAGTGTCAAGGATTAAAATGGAATGTCGATGATCACAAAAGGGGAGGGGGTGGGAGGACAGGGAAAGGCCAGCCACAGCTAGGGAAACCAACCTGAGAACCGCGTTATCTCTGACTATGTTATCTAGCTGCATGGAAACAAGAGATTTCCATGACATTAGATCGTCTACTTCTTTTCTCTGCATTAGCAGATAATCAAAATGTTAATGATACTGCCACAAAGTATGTATATGGAAAAAGAAAATCACAAGTATGACAAATTTAGTCACCATGGCCTCATTGCTCTCCCGAAAAGTTTTCATGTCTGCTATGATCTTTTCCAGAAATATTTTCTTGTCTCCCATCTCGCGATCAACTTCTTTGAAGATGCCACTATACCTGAAATTCAACTCCTCAAGATACCTCTCCAGAACTGATAAATTCAAATCCAATGACTGCACTTTTTTCATAAGTATCTTAAGCACGCTGTCCCCAGGCATCCTGTTAAATTGATTATGATGACGAATTTCTTCAACCGGGTCAGGAACTTCACTTGATGTCACGGTCAATTTGTTATCCAAGTTTCCTGCGTTTGGGTCGGGTTCCACTTCAGCAACAATGTTATCATGTCGGTCAGCAGCCTCAGCCGGTACATGCTGCCCCCCATTTGACTCATTGGGTAATGTTACCTTATCTTGAACTGAGACAAGATCCTCAAGCATTTTCTCAATCGCGTCTACTCCATAAACTTCAAAAACACTGAGCGTACAATAGAACTCCGACCCATAATGACTAAGTAAATTTATCTTCAGATACCTAACCCACTTTGGCTCAGGAAGAACAAACCTCTGAGCATGCTTTACATTTCCAGCTGTAAAATTTCCAAGTTTAACCCATGTTTCAGTTGGATAAACAGGACTACCTAGCAATTCAAATTCTTTCAAATTTGACGAGTGATGTTCGAAATTCGCTATCTCAATTGTGTCTACTAAGGTTTCCTCAGAGAGTTCCATTATGACAAATTTGCCCTCCGCAGAGCACGGATTCCTGAGGTATCTGTCCTTGTCTCTGCTCAAGATATTAGATGCACCATATGCATCCTTGTTATGTGCTAAAACCTTGGCCCCTTTGGATGAAGAAGCGTAATTATACTCTGTACCTCCAGGCTCGACTCTATGTGTAATGCCCCCAGCCTGACCAGCTGCATATTTACTCCTGGAATGTATTGCTCTATTCTTGAATTCATCAAGACCTAAAGGTACACTACGAGAAGCCTTCTCGGATATGATTGAAGCTTCTTTTTCTGGACTTGAGACTGACTCTGATTTTCCTACCACATTTGGTTCTCGGATGGGGGTATCCAGGTTTCCATTTTTCAACATATCTTGAGATTTACTTCGTATCGTTTCAAATTCAGCTGCTTCGGGTAATGATTTCTCAATAGCCTCTGTAGAATGAAATCCCTTCGAAGAAATATCATCCTCAGATGATGCGCAACTCGGCTCTCCATTATGTTCTCTTTTTTCTCCATTCCATTTCTTTAAGTCAGCTGGAAACTCCCCCTGTACATCTAAATGCAAGCAAAGGCAAAGATCTATAAAAAAACCAAAGAATGAAGAGGGGGTATAAGGCACACGACTGATGCAAATATGTATCAATGAAATGTACAAATAAATGCAACCACCATATGTATCTCACGGGCTTATCAACCATACAATTGGAGTGAATAAAGATATGTGGATGAATACTGCAACAGTAAACAGATTTGCAAACATTATGTATATCTCACCCGACGTGGATCAGAAAAAAGGAATGAAATGCAAAGAAGTTACTCATTCTATTTCAGCTAATTTGGGGAGGGGCGGGGGGAGAAGGAGGATTTAAGGAAAAAACTGAATTTGGTGACCAAGAAAAGCAGAAAATTAACTAACCTTTGAAACCCTCACCTTGGCTGAACCATATATTCAAAAACAAAACAAGTGCCCATAGAACAACTACAAGAGAAAGAGAAACTTTGTACAATCGGTGCCCCCCACAAAGAGCCTTTTCAAAAGCTCTTCTCTGAAGAAGAGCACTATGTGCTTTTTGCATTGCTCATCAATATTACTTCCTTTGGTCGGTTGAAAGGAACAGCTATAAACGCAGTAGATTGATTGGAGTCACACCCTAAGAGAGAAAGGAAAATAAGCATCAAAAGAAATTGATCCACATTCCTAAAGATTCTTTCACAAGTCTACAAACAAAAAAATTAGAACACAACAAAGAATCGACTATGCTATCATCAAGTTGCAAAACCATGGACATTAAAAAGAGTCAAGTCTTAGTTCTGTCGGTAAAAGATGTTTGTTCAACTACTGAAGCTCAAAAGTTTCAAAAACACAAACGGAAACCTACTCGAGAACTCTCCACAATGCTACATCCAATGCCGACTAAGAAGATAAATGTTGAACATTGATGCAAATTACGAGGCGAAATGGCCACGCAGTTAAGTGAACAATTATTAGGGTACTGATTATTCTTATAAAGGATGAAAATGTGGGATCAACCGAATCACTGAATGATTGTGGAGCATTCCCGGTAGAAAGTGAGCAAGAAATGAAAAGCAGATTGATTTAGAGGAGGAAACATTTGCATCGTTGAAATTGGCTAGAAGATAAACACTAATAGAGTTTGTTCGATGAAAGCTCAACTAACAGCAACAAACAAAAAGGTAAGAGCCAAATGAAGAATGTAGCCTTAGAAGTGAAGTTAAGAATGAAGTATCATTCCCGCTGCACAGTGCACAATTCGAGAGGAGGAGTGGTTATTATCAAACACCACATCAAAGGATTAACAACAAAAAACGAAACAAAGAAATCCCAGATCTTATCAGACCTCAATTTGTAACGTAACTCAAATGAAATTTCTGATATGTCAGGAAAAGAAAATGATAAAATCTAATATCATGGTATTCAATTTCCAGCAAGAGCAGACAAGGGGGGAAAAGGGGGCTTCAGAAATCAGAAGCAGAGATCTCCATATATACACTCAATATACATGTAGGAGTTGGATCGAAGGGAGAAGCTGTCCAAATCCCAATAAAGATAAAATCTTGATAACTGGGATTCATCAGAAATGAGCAACAAAAATCGAGAGAAAAAAAAAAAAAAAGAGTCCAAGAAAGTCACCTGAATTCAGTAAGGCCTGGAAACCAGAAGAAAAAGCCTTAAGCTTAAAGCCCTTTTTTTGGTCTACAGACTACAGTGAAAGACACCAAGGCATTTAGTTTGTTGTCATTGCATCTTCTGGTAACGGCTCTGTGTGCTGGCAGCCCATCTCGCTTCTTCTTCTTCTTCTTCGTTTAATCCTTCTGCTTCTTAAAGTAATTTTAAATTCCAACCTATTAATAAACAAATACTACTAGAATGGGAAGGTGGCAGACTGGCACTGGGCAGTTCTGTTCTTCTGACTCAGGCTCAGGGGGTTGATTCTTAAGGACTCAATGTTGAATTTTAAAAAATAAAAATAAAAATTTTATAATAATAATAATGATAAAGTGGCAGTGTCCTTATGTTCAGACTGCAACCCATTAACGGAAAACCGGTTTTAGGAAAAAAAAAAAAGAAGATGAAAAATGAAAAAGGCGGTGGTTAATTCAGTTTCACCGTTTTCATTTCCAAGAATCATCAACTTACTTCGTTTACCTCCTCCTCCTTCTTCTTCTTCTTTTTCTACCTTTCGTGATAATCAACTAATCATCATCTTAAGCGTCATCTCATCATGCATAAAACTGTAAATATATGTATGGAGGGTCAGGGATCTCATTTGATTTGGTTTCCTAACAAAATAAAAATAAAAGATGAATTTTGTGAATCTTTTTCCTTTAATAATTTCACTCCAGTCATTTGAATATGCTATGATAGGCGCCAGGAAAAGGATGGATGCGCTGTAATATGCCACGTGCACGGTGCAGAGTGGGGAAAATGACGTGTTCGTCAATATTTAATTCTGCTTTCTCTATATTCTACAGTTCTTACCGCAGTAATTCTTTCCTTTTTTTAATTAAAAAAAAAACAATAAAGGACTTCAAAGGAGTCAGAATTTTGTTTTTCTTTTTTCCTTTTCTGATTTTTGAAACGATTAAGAATTGAATTTGACTTGAGCTGGAGTCTAGCTGGAACCTGGAAAGTCGAGTACATCTGGGGAACGGCTGACGTGGTAACCCTTTGAGATTTCGCGCCGTCAACGCGGCAAGCAATTTCCAATCTTTTTTTTTTTTATTATTATTTCTGTTTGTCTCAATGATTTACACAACATCATTAAAAATGTGTATAATATGAAGTCTGTAAAGCAAGGTTTTTACTTTTTATGGTCATCCATCAAGTATTTTCAAAACAATTGTGTGACGTACTATTATCATTGTATTTCTCTTTCATTGAAGTACTAGTTGCTTGGTCCGGCCAAAAGGCCAAAAGGCCAGGCGGTAACACCTTAAACGATAATTCTATATTCACATATTTGTTTACTTCTTAGAATATTGAATAGAAGAATATCAAAAAATCCACGGTCAACACTATTATTTAGATTTTTTTTTCAATTATATCATATGTTTACATCAATGAAATTGATAGTCTAATCGAAGTATTGGAATTGACATTTGATGCAACTAATATAATACATGTAAAAAAACACTACTAAACTGTAAAATAGAATCTACCAAATTCTTCAAACTTGGGAGTCTCTAAAGGTTGATAGTCGCAAAGCTCAAGTCGAAGGAAACATCATGGTGACTTGGTTGATTTGGATTGTTTTCATCATTAAAATGATGTTCAAGGGCTCCAAGACCATGATCTTTTTTCTTCAGAGTGATCTTACGTCTACATATTGACACCAACAACTAAGTACTGAAAATCAGAACTAAAAAAAAAAATGCAAGAAAAAATAAGCATTGAACACGTTAGCAAATGAACGATATTGATTTAGGTCTCCACATTTAAGGAACATAATGGTTTCCCTTTTTGATTTATTTACCCGTACATAAGGATCCCACTTGATATGATGCATCATAACTGTATATGCCCCAAAACTGATCAGTATACCTCAACCTCAATGCAACATAAACAGGATATTCTGACCTTATTGGCATAAAATTTTCAAAAAGAAAATTAGTCCACATATCCTACTCGACATATTAAGTTATAAAAATACAAATAAGAGTGTATTATTGTACCAAAATGGTCAACTTAAAGATTCCATCTTTAAGTTTAAACATGGTTGACTAAATATCTTTATCTTGTAGTTAGAACAATCTGAACTCTAAAGGATTTTATCACACAAACACCATTAATGCTCCAACAAATGTACACAAATCCAATATCAAAATCGCAATGCATAAATGATGTTCTATTTCAAGTCATCTTAAGAATGGTTTAATTCTATCATGCTTTGAGTTTTAAGTTTTCGTGGCAATGAGATTTTTAGTTTAAGACAATCAAATTATTAGGCATCTACGTCACAGGAAAAAAAAGGTTCCAAAATACCAAATAAAATCATGAACAGAGTTTCACTGTTATCTCCATCTTCGGCTTTCCCATAGACCAGTGCCTTGACTGCAATCCTGTAAAGAACAACATGCAGTACTTGAGAAATTAAGTCAATGTATAGAGCCTATACTTAACTCTCCATCATCTCCAATTTGAAATGCTCCTAAGGGAAAAAAAAAAGTTCAGAAACCAAGGTATGCAGAATGCTCCTCATTGAATCAAAGAGATTCACCACCTCCCCAATAATTTTTCTCCCGTAGACACACAGATTTAACACGGCCAAGAAAGGACCTAAATTTTGCAGAAGAATGGTGCTTTGATTAAAAAAACTTACACCAAACACAAATAATCAACTTACTCGCAGCCATCAATCAAACTCAACTGTCCAACCTTCCTAACAAATCCTTCAAACGAAAATTTTCAATTCGATTGAACAGCTCAATTTCCTTATTTCTAATTTTTTTTTTTTGGTGGGTTCAATTGAAAAAGAAAAAACCAAACCCGCCCCCACCCCCAAAAAAAAAAAAAACTTCACAATCATCTAACATATGGAAGGGGGTTGCAGCTGAAAACAAAGAAAATTTACCAATATTCACGCTGGGCCGTGCATGATTCGAGCCGAATTTGTTAATAATATAGAGAAGAAACAACACCTTTTAGAACACCCCAAATCCATTTGCCGATGCCGATAGTATGTTTTTCACGAAATATGATTAGAGGAATTCTTTTTGTTATAATTAAATTAAACAAAATATCGAAATTGACCAAATAATTAAAGACAAAATAAATGATTATTACCCGTGCCGATGCCAAATAATGATGGTGGATTTTCCAAAATCTTTGTTAATACCAATGAAGATAGCGTATTTTCCAAAATCGTTCGATGCCAATGAAAGACAATTCTTCATAGCACATCATGCCGAATAGATGTGCCTTGAAGACCCTCGATTTGTCGTCGATCGAATCTCTCTCCCAAATTAATCCCACCGGATTTTCCTCTTCCTGTCAAAGACGAACTCATCCGTTAATGTCGTCGGCTCTATTTTGGAGCCAGTGAAGAGTGACCAGGAAAATGTGGAGATCTTCTTCAAACTTGATTTGGCATCCGAATACGCCGGTGTCGTTGGTCGACATCTGCGGTACACCATCGCTACATCCTACAAAATCATCCCAATTTTTATTTATTCTTCATGAGGGAAAAATTGCAGAATTTCAAATTGAGGAGTACTAAATAATAATTACTTTTGAGGGACTACAATTGAAAGCAGTCAGAGAAATAAAGAGAGTGAGACTACTGTAATTTTGAGGGAGGTAGAGAAACAAAAAAATCTCCGAGACGAAGATGATTCTTTAGGTTTCAGAATCTTCTGAATTGAAAGAGAAGCAGAACGATCGGTGATAAATCCTTTTTGAAATTTGATTTTATTAATTCAGGGAGAAGATAATGGGGAGATTTAATTGTTTATTCTCGGCTAAGAGAGCGAGCGAAAATTGAGATCATTAATATTAATATGATATTGCATTCTTTTTCTCCCTTTTATATTTGAACAATTTAGGGTATTATTTTTTTTTCCAGATAAACACAAGACACGTGGTGTGCTACTTTTGCAAAAGATGTATATTTTTTGTTTTGGCGGGAAATTTTTTTTTGTAAAATTAAGTGTCATTTGCTTTCATGAAATGTATAAAGTGATTTAAAAAAAAATGTAAAGAGGAGGGTGGGGAAGAGGAATAGGATAAGGGAGAAATAAGATTTCAGAAATATACTGTAATTCATTTTCATTGATTACTTTACCAGAAACAGTAATGGTGTACTTAAGCTGATGAAAATCAGTTTTACAAGTAAAACTTTTAAACTTAACCTCCTAATTTTCTATAATTCTAAAATAACCCCTAATGGCAACAAAACCAAAACCCAACCCAATCCAAATCATAATACAAACCCTAAAAGCAGGCCAGCCCAACAATACAGATGGACATCCAAATAAGAAATCCAAAAACGGATCTGAATCGACTTCATCCATAATTCCATATTTTCTTCCCCCTATAAATATCAGAATACTCTGCAAGAAGAGCTCCTTTCTCTTAATTGACACGGGTATATCTTGGCAATCTCTACCAGATTTCAGACTGGAATAATTCCCTCCATTTCCTTTTTCGATGGCTGACAACACCAATTGCACTGTTTACGTTGGTGAGCTTCTAACTCTGTGTTCCGTTCCCCCCTCTTCTGTCTCTCTCTTTTTTTTTTAATTTTATTTTATAATTTTTGTTACGGATTTCGCTAGAATCGTAAGATTCTGTATGGTTTTGTTGTTGAGTTTTGGCCTCCAATATTTGCGTTCTGGCATGTATGTATATGATTTTTAAGAATTATAATTGGGTTTGTTCGATCCTGTTACCCCTTTTTAGGGGAAACAAAGAAGGAAGGATAAAGGTCGTGGGGTTCGTTGTTGTTTTGCCAGTTTTGGCTGCAAGTATGATAATAATTTATATAATTTACGTCAATTTTTACTTGGTTGTCAAGTTCAGCTCTGTAGTTAAAAGTCGGGACTAACTCAAAATGTGCTGATTTATCCTGATGCTCACTTGTTCCTCGACCCCTGAATAGAGAACTGGGTATTGGGTAGTCTTAGGTTTAAGACTTAGAAGCTATTGTTATAGGATAAACAGGTTTGAACCTCGCATGGTCGCATGATCCGTAAAGTGGGAGGGAAACTTCTAAGGAATACTGCAAGTGGGTTAACCAAATGAGTTCGGAAAAACTTCTCAAGAGTTCATTCTTATTTTTTCTCTCCCCTTCCAAGGATGTGTGGAAGGAGTATTAATTGACTGAGAACCTTTGTTGGATTGTGCTAACCAGATATTACTAGCTGTTTGGTTTCAATATGCAATTTATTGATAAATTATTGAGTTGGCACCTGTGCATTCAATTTCCCTCCTTTTTCCTATTGCCAGCAAGCACACATCTTTATCTGTGACATTTAGTTCTCATAATGGATGACACTCAGTATATTCCTTTCCTTGCTGATTGTCATGTCGATTGAACAGTGCTTTATGTGTTTATTGTAGGAAATCTCGATGAGAGGGTGAGTGATAGGGTACTTTATGACATCCTCATTCAAGCAGGACCAGTTGTGGACTTGTATATTCCACGGGATAAAGAAACTGAGAAGCCAAAAGGTTATGCTTTTGCTCAGTATGAAACGGAGGAGATAGCTGGCTACGCTGTCAAGCTGTTTTCTGGCCTTGTAGTTCTCTACAACAAGACACTTAAATTCGCCGTACGTCAATTTATTAGTGATCCAGCTCTATAACTTTTTAGTTCTTTATAATAACTTCTTTTCCAGTATGAGTTTTTGTTTCTTCAATAGTGATTTATAGAACTCATTGTCTGTTTTGTCGTCCATGAATTTTTCATTGCATATTATACTCCTCAACATTTGCCAGTTGAGTCAGCCCAAGACTTGTGGGGTGGGACTTCGTGGAATAGATTATCTTTGTTACTTTGCCTTGCCCTGATCTCCTACATCTGCTCCTGAAGGGAGACAACCATGCTAGTTTGACATCCCGTTCTAGCTTGACATGGGTGTCAAAAACCCAAACTACCTGTCTACTATGAGTTTCTGTGGCTTATGTTGAGAGAGTTATAAATTTTGGTTGAATGTTTAGTTTGCCTGTTCTCAACAGATATCTGGTCAAGACAAGCCCTCAGCTAATTCACCTGCACTGAGTTCATCACATAGACAAAGACCCCATTCTTCATCTTATGGCGAAGTGGGAGTTTCTTCAAACTCTACCAAGCCATCAATGCCTAGCAGATTTTCTGAGCACCATTTATATTCTTCTCAAGGTAGTTAGAACTTTCAAAGTGCTACCATCGTACGAATTTTCTGTTTACGATTATTTGTCAAGTATTTTAACTGCTGTTTTGCTTTTTTCACCAGAGCGTGACACACAAGGTATGTCATTTCATCATCGTAGTGGGTATAGATCCAATTATGAACACTCTAGTGGGCATAGATCGGATTATGAAGACAAATATGAGCACCCTAATGGATATAGATCTTATTATGACAATGACCATTATGAGCTCTCTAATGGATATAGATCTCATCATGGTAACTACCATTATGATTACAGTCGAAGAGTACTTTGAGACAGCTTTGGTTTGTATTATTGGGTATAGGTTCGGAGAAATGCTTCACATGTCTCTACCAGTGTTTGTTCCTCAATTGAGTCATTGTGATATGTAGATGCCCCTTCTTGTATCAAGCTATACGGTAGCATGTAGATCGGTGAGCACATTATAAGGTTATTTCATCGGGTGTCTAATTTTTTAGCAGGTTTATTATGTTAGCCTGTTGGTTGTTGTCCAGTCAGTTTGCAAAGAGTCTTCATTGGCAGCGACAATTTAGCTTGATTTCTTTCAAAGAGAGTACAAGGTTGTGGAATTTTAGGTTCAATGTTATTGTTTTTCCTTTCTTTTTTTTTTTTTGAAATGAAGCTAGAAAGGAAAAATTCTTTCTTGCAAACCTACTTTTACCCATTTCTATTATTACTTTATGTTTTGATGCATTTGGATTACTGGATTTGTTTTTTTATTCCCAAAGGCAGAGAAATTGCTGCTTGTTTGGGGAGAATGTAGTTATCAGTTTTTACCCAGTAAAGAAAATACATATTGGACTCGAACCAACTGAATGGGTTGGACATGAGATCATTGTTAGATACCGTATAAGTTTTGTTTTATGATCACTGTTGTATAACTGTTTAGTAATGATTGATGATGTTGTAATTACACACATGCCATATTAGTCATCCCGTTGCAGTATAGCACTACATATTTTCAGTATGTATATCATTTTTCGTTTGTTGTTAATGTGTGTTTGGCTGGTTTCCTATCTTCTTCCTATCTTCTTCCTATCTTCTTCTACATAAGGATTCCCTAGGATCTAAACTTGATGCTGCTGTCTGAATAATTATGGCAAACAATCGTTGTAACTCTCAGAAGCAGACATATATTCCCCCCATTCTCTTTTATATGTTTTTTGTCTTGAGAATTCATCAAACAGAGGTTAATGTAGTTAAAATATGAAAGTACATTTTATTTATTGTTCATATAATTCAACACAAACTAATAAAAATTCATTAGGAACGCTTGAAAGAAAAGATTAGTAGATCATTTGTTATTATCACTATATGTAGGATTTGACCATATGTTGCTCCATATAACTACATGTACATGCAACTGACACATTGATTTTTTTCTAATAATCTTTTATTAGTCCGGAGATATTCTTTGACACGGTGTTGAGTGTTCCCCCTGAATGAGAGATGGGAGGGACGCAAAATCTGGTTCTAGAATTGATTTTGAAAGTGGTCAGTAATCGCTATCATTTGCAGGTTTCCCCAATTTTCTAGACGGGAGGAATTTGAACTTTTCCAAGTCTGTTCATGAGATGTCTTTTTCTTGGTGGATTTGAATTGAGACCATGGTGAAACGTGGAAGTAAAGGACTCGACGCATCTTCTAATAATTGGAAAGAAATCCTATCGGAAGTAAAGAGATAGTACTACTTAAGCAGAGTTTAAGTATAACCCAGCTTGGGAAAATGGGCCAAACTGATGAAGCCTTCAAATTGTTCCAACTCGGTTACTCTGCCTAAACCGATGCTTACAACAATATGACCTCTGTCTATTCCAAAAAAAAGGAGGACCCTGGATAAAAGTTTCATGTTCGACGGAATATCGATGGGAAAACTTTCTTGAAACACAATTACGGGCTCTGTCTATTCCAAAAAAATGAAAAAAAAAAGAAAAGAAAAGATCCTGGATGAACGTTAGGTGTCCGACAGAATACTGACGGGTAACTTGTTGGTTTCTTGGAACACAATGATCAGCGGGCATTTGTGTAACAACATAACCACCAAGCAAGCTACCCACTTGTTTAATAAGATGCTTTGGAGGGATATTCTCAATTCTCATGCACAGTTTTGACGATTACTTGTTTGGCGCGAATGGGTCGTGTGGAGGAAGCTAGGCAGGGTTTTGTATTTAATCCAGGATAAAAATAAAGTGGGCTGCGGCCTGGTGTTGGAATATGATGATCTGAAGCAAGGCGAGTGATGGTACTGTTTGATGCCTTTCCGATGAGGAGGAAAAACTAGTTGCTGTCTGGCCAGGTGTGCCAGGAGCGGGGAAATGTAATTGGTGGCTTAGTTTTCGGAGGAACCGAAGAAAGTGACTGGATTTCCTGGGATTTGATATGGGAAAGCTGTGTTGAGGTTCTGGATATGGATGCCGTAAGGGAAGTTTCCAAGAGGATCACCGCAGGAATGTCGTGTCTTGGTGCACTATGTTGAGTGGTTTTGCAAGATGGGGACGGATTTATGAGGAACAAGAGATGTTTAAGAAAACAGAGAGGAATGTTTCTTGGAATGTCATGATTGACATATGTTCATAACTTCAAGATTGATGAGGCAAGGATGTTATCTGATGAAATGCCCGAGGCAGATACTGTTTTGTGGACTGCAACGGTTAATGTTTATGCTAGTGTTTGCCAGCTCGAGGAAACAGAGAGATTGTTTGCACACATGCCTTATAAAGATGTTGAGTCAAAGGCAGCATGCATATTTGGTTTTATTTTGAATGATACCCGGCAATTTCTTATCAGATAAACATCTGTGACGTTGTTTGTTGTTTGTTGCAAGACGATTGCAGACTACACTCGGCGTGGGATAATAGATGAAGCTTGTTGTCTATATAAACAGACGGACTTTTTGGGTACAGCTAACTTGGAACACCATGATTACTGGCTAATCGGCTATGCCCAATCTGGAAAGATGGACAGAGCTGTCATTTTATTAAGCAGATGGGAGAAAGGGTAAGGAAATTGGAACTCTATTTCCTGTTATGCTCAAAACGGCTAATATGTGGATGGCCTGAAGGGAATTATACTCTCGCGACAAAAAGGGGAAAAGCCAGAACAGACTACTTTTACTTCTGGCCTTAGTCTATGTGCGAGTATTGCAGTCGAGTATTTTGAAAGGCATCTACTTCAGATCATGGTGGAAAGTGGTCATATAAAAGATAGGATCTTCAGTAATAATTTCCTCATTAAAATGCTAAATGGGGATGCATTTTGAGGGAAGAAGACGTATTTGGGGATATTTGAATGTTCTGACGTCGCAACCTGGAACTAATTGATTGCTGGAAGTCTCTGAATGGTGGCGTAGAAGCCGTCAAACTTTTCGCGATATGAAGGAAAACCTAAGCGTGCTGGCCTAACTACCATTGGTCTAGGTTTGTTTTATTTTAAGTAACGAAAGTATGGGATTGAACATTTGGCTGAACATTATGCTTACATGGTTGATTACTTGGCTGAGTAAGAATGATAGATGAAGCCTTTGAGTGAGTTACAAAAATGAAGGTCAAAGAGATGCCGCATTGTTGGCTGCACTTCTAAGGGCACGTTTGCGAAACCTAAGCATCGCTGATTTTGTTGCTTGGAAGCTTCAAGAACTTGAATTACGTAAGATGGTTCTGAATCAGGTTTCTCTATAGAATACTTTTGCAGAGTCTGGAAGATGGGATAAAGGAAAGACTTACAAATTCTCTGATCAAGCAGACTGGAAAGACTGACAAAGAGCCAGGCTGCAGTTGGGTGGAGAATCAAAAAGGGGAAATAGTTTTTATCTAATTGTTTAAATAATACCTGGTTGCAGTCAGCAGACAAAATCAGGGCCCTGCCGATCTTGAGAACACAAATGATTGAATGAGTTTTGGGACAGTTTTCTTATGGAAATTGGATGATTATGCTGTCTCATTTAAGTTTGACAAGTACTACGACCTGGCCATCTGAAGATTCTCTTATTGTAGGTGCTTCCGGGTTCTTCTTGAGAAGTTTTTTTTATTCAGAAAACCTTGGAGTTGGTTTGCTATTTTTTTCTTTTTGGGAGAGTGTTCTTTTTACAAAGTAACCAATTGTCGCAAAACGATATGCAGCTTGCAGCTACAGAGGGAACATGATGCTATTGGACGCATTCCCTTCAGGTAGTACTAGAAACTTTTGTAATTGTTAGTCTAGTTAAGCCTTCGGTGTATGTTCTCATACAAAAGCAAAATAGAAAATCCATCTTGATGCAGTTGTGAAGTTGGAACATGGGTGAAATTTAATAGAGTGCAAAGATTTTGAAAGTCAGTCAGTAGATAAACATAAATATTCAACATTACATCACGGACAGTAGCAGCTTTTTATTCATACAGTGTACTGTGGACTTTATTAATCTGTCATTGTTTGCTTTCCTGAAGCGGTGAATCCCAAAAGTCAGCCTGCCAGGCAGATATGCTTCTCGCAGTCTACCATGCAGGTTGCTTGTTTCCCTTCATCTGTTAAAGCAAAAGGAGCGTAATCATTCAGAGGAAGATCCAAGCAGAAAAAGAAACGTTAACAAGCCATGAGCTGAGTGTACGTACCAGAATGGAATTTGGAGCATTTTTCGAGCATGCATCCGAGTTTGCAGTAATGCCAGCCGGGGGAGGGCTTGGCAGGAGAATTGCAGTGATTCTCACAATATTTGAAGCACTTTAAAGGGCCGATTCCACTGGTTTTGCAGCCCTTAATGCAATGGTCCAAGCAGAATTCCTGTTCCACCACTGCTAGATTGGCTTGGACCAATACTCCCTTAATCAGACATTGCCCTCCAAACAACAAACCAATCACCACCATCATCATGGCGACTACATTTTTCTCTCCCGCCATTGTTTGGAGAAACAATTGTATATCCGTTTACTTCCAAGTTTTCCTGCTAATGCTATATAGCCAGCCCCGAAGATATGGTTTGTCTGTTCGCTCTGGGCAAAATGAGGTGGATGTATATATATAGAAAGAGAGAAAGAGAGGGGGAGAGAGCAGTGATATGATGAAACTTGGTCTTGCAAATGGAAATTTGGATTAGGTTTGGGAGTGAGTTGGTTAATGAAATTATCACACTTGCGGAGTTGGGATGGAATTGGGAGCCATTAGAAAATGCTGAATGAGTGGGGGGGCTGGCCTCATGTAGTTGAAATGATCATCTATCTCATCACACTTCTTCTGAAAACCTATCTTCAACTTGCATTTTGCTTCACAACTTTCTGATGATCAAAGTGAGGCTAACTAGCAGTTCATCTCTGAATTTTTATTTTTTTTTTACATGTACGGAAGTCTGAACTAGACTTTTTCTGATCTGTTGTAATTCTTTTTGTTGTCGAAAATGCAATTACTTCATGAATAATGTTATATTTTAAATTGTAAATTATACTCCCTCCGTCCCATAATTATTGTCCAGTTTTACTAAAATGAAAGATTTTATTTTTGGTCAAACTTAATTATATTTTACCTTAAACAACCGGATATATCCCTACATAAGTAATTCTTTAACCACTAAGATTTTATGGATAATGTTTTTTACTAAGGACAAATGTGTAATTTGATCCATAAAAAGTCAAATTGGACAATAATTTTGGGACAAAATTTTTTGGGCAAAGTAGAGGGAGTAATAGTTTATTTTGGTTTTGTTTTGATGCCAGAATTTGAAGGAGACATCCATCTTTGACTGCTATTTTAGAGTTAGGAGGACGAACAAATAAATAAATAATTCTTCGTCTAAAAATAATGTGTCTTTTGTACTACTACTAAAACACACCACGTCTAAAATAATTCAATCAATTTAAGAAATGATTCTTCTACCGGGACATTAATTTTGTGGCGGATTATCTGGTTACTTTGACTTTCTGAGATTCTGAAGAGTTACAATGGTTTCAAAGGGTCCTAGAGGTCTACAATGGTTCCAAAGTCCATCACTGGAGCCTCACCATGGCTAGAACATGATGTAATAGAGATATCATATTTTAAAAATATGATTATTTAGGCATTTGACTCCTGTTTTGTAAAAAAAAATAAATAAAAAAAAATGATTCTTCTTACCATGGGGTCCACCGGCCGAACCAAAACGGTTCCTTTTAGTTTAGCCGGTTTAGCTGAGCTGTCTGAGTTCGGGTTTATTCCAAACCGCCTGTCTAGATTGAGCGCTAGGGTTTATATCCTCCTCCATTTCTTTCTTCCCCGCACAACACCAGCAATCTGTAGCAGCTTCTGACAAATTTTGTGCTGTGGATTTTTTTTTGTGTTCGTTCTTCGTTTTTGTTTAGATTAAATTATCTCTATCTGTACACTAAAAAATGAGGCCGATTCTGATGAAAGGCCATGAGAGGCCATTAACATTCCTGAAATACAACAGAGATGGGGATCTTCTTTTCTCCTGTGCTAAGGATCATAACCCTACTGTTTGGTTTGCCGACAACGGCGAAAGGCTCGGCACTTATCGCGGCCACAACGGCGCCGTTTGGTGCTGCGATGTCTCTAGTAAGACACCCCCGCCCTTCTTTGTTCTTTCTTTCATTCGGTGTCATTTTTCTCGCTTGTTTAGCTGATATTATTATTATATATATATATATATATATATGTCTGGGTATATTTTCGGATTCGTTTGTTTATGTACAGTCTCGGTGAAATTTGGCTTCTTTCATTGTTATTATTAGCTTTTTCTTGGAATAATGAGATTTGATTTATGCTGAAGAGTGAAAAGTAGTTTTATTCATAGTACTTCTTGGTAATATACATTTTGTGTACCCGTAAAAAACGTATCCATGGTGGTGTAAATTTTTCAAACAGAGGAATGAACTTATGCTAAGTCTCTCGTGTTCATTGTTGCTTAGAATAACTAATTATTGTCTGATTTCTAGGGGATTCGTCTTTGCTAATTACTGGAAGTGCGGATCAGTCAGCAAAGTTGTGGTCTGTCCAAACAGGGTCGCCATTGTTTACCTTTAACTTTGAATCGCCCACTAGATCTGTTGATTTTTCAGTCGGAGATAAGCTTGCTGTCATAACTACTGATCCATTTATGGGATCGTCATCTGCCATTCATGTCAAACGGATTGCCCAGGACCCTAATGATCGTGAGTTGGATTTCCTCTTTTTTTTTTGTTTTACTTTCATTTCGTATTTGAAGTCTTAACTTCTCTCCAAAGCTGGTTTTAGACTTAGGGGTCCCTGTAGAAATTCTTTTATTACTGCAGTAACTAAGCCTTTCCCGTGTCTCTTCTGTCCTGTGAATTTCATTGGATAAAATTCATGCAATATAATTGTTTCTGCAGAGGATGCCGAATCGGTTCTTGTATTAAAAGGCCCTCAGGGTCGAATTAACAGGGCCGTTTGGGGACCCCTGAACCGGACTATTATAAGTGCTGGTGAAGATTCTGTAATTCGTATTTGGGATTCTGAGGTATATCATCATCTTTTTAATTTATTTTTTGGGTTAATGTTGTCACTTCGAAAAGTTCTATCCGGAATTGTTATCAAGCATTTTGTTTGTGTCCTGCGTTGACTGTTAGTCAGGCATTAAATTCTGTCGTTGATGTCCGCGAGGATTGTTGTGGATGGTTTAGTAAACTATCTGAATCTTTGTTTTATATAGACTGGGAAGTTACTTAAGGAGTCAGAGAAGGAAATTGGTCATAAAAAGGCTATAACATCCCTTGCAAAATCCATTGATGGTTCACACTTCCTTACCGGTTCCCTAGATAAATCTGCCAAGGTAAAGTACTTCAAGTTTTCCTCATTTCTTTTTGCATAATTCCTTCAATGTATTTGGTGCAGTTCCTCGTGTTTTGTATCATTTCTTCCCTTTTTTTTTTTTGGTCTGAGGTCCTCTTTTTACATTTTTACTTTTGTATGATGTGTTAGTTGTGGGATACAAGGACATTGACACTTCTGAAGACATATGCCACTGAACGGCCGGTGAATGCAGTAACAATGTCCCCGCTACTTGATCATGTATGTACTTTTGGAACTTCTTATTATTATTCTCTTGTTTTCCATTGATAAGTATGGTTAAAGGGGGCACAGTTTGCTGGTTATATAAATGTTTATGTATGCTATACGTTTACTGGTTAATTGCCACTTTTGCATCACTCTTTGTGCTGATTTTGGGTTATTTTTGCAGGTTGTGCTTGGAGGCGGTCAGGATGCATCATCAGTTACAACCACTGATCATCGTGCGGGAAAATTTGAGGCAAAATTTTACGATAAGGTAAATGTTTCTGTTTTCATTTTGTATTCCGAGTAAAATGGGAGAGGTAGTGTTGTGTCCTTTGTGAATTTTTTTTTTTTTAATTTTTTTTTTGGTGCTGTAACAGATTCTTCAAGAAGAAATTGGAGGTGTTAAAGGTCACTTTGGTCCAATCAATGCCTTGGCATTCAATCCTGATGGAAGAAGGTAATGGGTTCCCAGTTCCTTGCGTTATGAAGTGAAATTACTTGTGTTTTTGGTAAAAGTGAAACTATAGTGTAAAAGAACTCTTTGAGGTAGTCTCTATTGTTGGATCTTTTCTGAACTGCGGGATGAGCATGATATATATTAGGGTGAGTTATCTAGAAAAGCAGAAACCATGATAACAATATCAATATTGGTGAGTGATGAATTAGGCATATTTTATTAACCTCTACAAGCTTCAAACCAAGTGCATTTGGTGTTGGCCTATAAAATGAATTTTTGTGGAGTCCCAAACAGAATGCATTCAGACTGACAGTTCCACTTGTCGACCAGATTTTTTGTTTTTTATTATGCAACTCTAGATTCTCATACTGATTACCCGAGTATTTTTGTTTCTTTGACTAACAAGTCGTTGTGAGCCTTAAATACCCTATCAGTATTGCTCTAAATTTTGCTTGCTGTCTGGGGGTTAGTATATCCGTATCAATTAGTTTTTGGGTTTATTCATTTCTGGATTGTTGGGGACGTTCTTATAATTAGGTGTCCTGTTATGTCTAAATTGCAATCCTTTTGTGTTGGTTTTCTGCAGTTTTGCCAGTGGAGGTGAAGATGGATATGTGAGGCTGCACCATATGGATGCAGATTACTTTAACATCAAGTTGTAGACTCTAGGACCGTCAAATTGTTTGTGTTTTTTCCTTTTGGTTGTGTACACCATGATTGCTTTAATCTTGTTACTACTTGAAGATATCTGTTTTAGCGCAGGATTTAATGAGTTCTGCCTACTATGATCTTGGAAATCTCGGTTTTTAGGTTGAAAAATGAGTAGTTATTACCATGAAATTTTGTTCTCACGGCTGTAGTCTGTAGTTCCAATTAATTGTGATTTTTAAAAAATGCAATGGGAAGAAGTTTTTTTAAGGAAAGCATTAATTTATGGATATAAATTAAAGTATGCATCTTGACATGTAACTTTCCTTTGGTACTGGGGAGGAAAAAATTGTTTATGAAATTTGAAAAGTAAGGTGAAAATTCAACTTAGCTTTAAGCCTAAACGAGATTATGGGAGGGAATTTTCTTTTTGTTTTCATGTCGATATAAAAAATTGGAGGTGCAAATACATGGTTTCGTTATTTTTGCACAATTTTGATTTGGGAGAAAAACAGAAGAAGGTTATACCTTTTAATCAACCTGAAGAAAAATAATACCTTCAGCTCTGTGAAACTTCATTTTCTCTTGATTCCATTGCATTTCTCGTATCTTTTGAATGTTTGGTATATTTAGTCAGTGTTGTCATGGGTAAACATTTATTAACTTGGTAAAATCTCCAAGGAGTGAAGCTAAATTATTAGTATAGTCTGACAAACTCTCTAACCAAATTCGATCTTAGATGTGAATAAATAAGTAAATTTGTGGCGAGTATAAAGGTATCATACGGACTCGAAAGTAACCTGTATAAAGTGTAAATTTTGAGATTAAATTTTAGCAGACATCAATTGGATCATCAGTCCACCACCCAATTTTGGGTAAATTCCTGGGAGTCCCCCCTTCTTTTTGGAGAGATCCATATCTACTACAAGTTGCTATGTTTAGTGTTGTTGATGATCCCCTGATCCTTGTTGATTCATAATGATCCCCTCCCCCTAATAATAATTAAGTTATTATATCATCAGTTAGGTCGACCGGTTTGGTGGTGCTTCCGGCAAAGTAGGCTAGAGGACCAACCAGGGCGGCATTGATGTATGTCGCAGGCTCTGAATGACCATAATCCGTGCGGTCATCAGGGAAAAGATCGTTCTGATTTGGGCCGCCGACCACGGCTCCGACTAAGAGGTTCGGGTTAGGGTTAGGGGTGTAGAAGAACTGCTGGAACGCGCCCTGGCAGCCATAGGACTGGGGGTGAATGGATTTGGAGGGGATGGAAGAGCCGCGGTGATGGATTCGTCTGGGGAAATTTGGTCCATAACCCACCATGTAGGACATCTTCAAGGGGTTGTCACCTAAGATATAGTCCACCTGGCGCTTGGAGAGGGTCTTCAAGGTGTTGGAATTGACGAAGAGGCCACCGCAGGTAAAGGTGTGCCTGGAGGCCGCCATGTATTTGGAGTAGGTGGTGAGCAAGAAGGTGATTGCGGTCACGTATTGGAGGTTACTCTGGCTCATCTTGAACATCAGACCTCCCGGTGTGTATTGGGTGCTTGAGTACGGAGAGTTGGGTAATATCTTGCAAATGAAATCTTCGGCTTGTTGCCTGAAAGGGTCGAAGTTCATATCCTTATTCAGCAAGCTCCTCTGGAATCAATCAATCAGGAAAACACACAGATTTATTAATTTAGGAGGCTCAAAACTAATGTGTAATCAAATCCAGAGTAAATGTTGCTGGTAATGTAAAATGAGCAGGGAAAATTTATAGGGAATGATATATCAATCATCAAAATTATGTTGTAACCTTAAACGTTTAAATCCCGAATGAACAGTATTAAAAATGAATGGTGGTTATGATTCATTCCCTGGTGAAATTTCCCTGATGTACAATTACCCACCCTGGAGAGGAGAACTCTGGCGCCGGCGTACTTGTTGTCCCAGCTGAAAATGTCAGCAGCGTCATTGGCACCCAAAGATCGAATGAAATTGAGGTAATAAGCATCGTTGGTTGCTTTGAACAGCCAGGCCGCACCCCACAGCAGCTCATCCTTATAACCCGAATACGAACAGTAAAAGGGACACACATCGTGACCCAGGGAATCACTGTAAGCCCCTCTGTACTGAATTGCAAACTGCATCACCTTCCGGGCAGTGTTCAACAGCACCCGGGAATACCTCGGATCTGCTGCCCTGAAAACTATGGAGGCTGCGGCCAATGCAGCGGCTGTTTCCCCTGCCACGTCGGAACCCGGGTTGTTTGGGGAGACGAAGTACACGGCCCTGAGGGTGTCCATGTCCTCGGGGCGCTCCCAACACCGGTGGTCGTCGTTGGGATCGCCAACCCCGACGTAGAGCCTCCCCGGGGTGGCCGTCGCACACTTGAGGAGGTAATCGGTGGACCACCGGATAGCGGCCCGGGCATTCTGGAGCTCAACCCGACCCATCTTCTTGCCGTACTCGATGGTGCTCCATGACAGCATTGTGGTGGTGAATGCCATTGGGAAGTTGAACTTCACATTGTCTCCCGCATCGTAGTACCCTCCCGTCAAGTCCACCTGCAGACACACAGTTTCTCATTCATTCCTTCAATTGTCTCATCAAATCAAAATCATTTCCTTTTCATTCCAATTCCATCGTCATCGTTATTACTCCGTCATTCCCAAAATTATAATTCAGTTTGGAAACTAAAAATAAAAATTGAAATTGGACAATAATTCTGGACGGATGAAGTATGAATTATTGGTGGCTGGAAAATGAAGGAATGAATGGGAATGGAAAGAGTACTTACACGGGCGAGAGAGCCATCAGAGAGGCCGGAATTGGACCTCCAAGAAACTTGCTGCTGCCCCGCAGGGATTTTCCCAGACCTTTGTCCTTGGAAGAACAATATGGATTTTGCCAATGCATCCCTGTAGTTTTGGCTGCATTCCACTGAGCTGCTCAACAACACCAACACCGTCGCCGAGAAGACGACGACGATGAAAAGGCTGGACAAACCATCATCCCGTCTTCTTCTCGATAAATTAGCCATTCAAACTAACAATTACCTTTTTTTTTTTTCTTTCTTTCTTTCTTCCTTTTTTTTTTCCCACCCTGAACGTAACAACTCTAGTCCTAGTTTATATATGAATAGTAGTTATTGGATGAGTAGTTAATTATCCAACGGTAATATGGTTGTTAATGGCTTCGAGTGGGTTGGATTGGGGAGTTAAATGAGTTGGAAAGGATTATATACATATTATTAGTAGTCAGTCAATTCTGTTTTCTGTAGATGACTTGGATTTCCCAATCACCCCTACGCTAATTTAGGCTTTACACTACTTTTTGATACTATTTTTTTTGGTTGTTTATTCTTTTGAGAATGTTTATTTTTTGCTTAATTGGGACTGATGTGTTTTCACAATTGAGCACTGGCGGGATTAAAATTGGGATTGGTGTGTCTAGTAATGAATGGGGAGATGTTAAGGTGGAACATGCAATTTGAGTGCAAGTTTCTTGGTGATAATGTGTTCTTTGAATACCAACGGGCCGGTTACTAACGAAGTGTAATTGATTTTATTTACCAGAAATCGATCATCACTAAAGCTGGAAAAAAAAAAGACAACAAGATCAAAATATATGTAAAATAGGGGAAATTTTTATTAAGGGCGTTGTATGTTTCAAAATTACTAAAGGGGGTGTAAAATTCTTAATAAATACTCTATTCCAAAATAAGCGTCATCCTATACTTTGTACATAATTTAAAAAACCTTTAAATAAGGTAATAAAGTTACTTGAATATCCTCAATTAACCCCATTAAAAAAATATCCATTAATAGTATTAATTCTCTTAAAAGTAATTTTGAATAAAAAAAAATGCATTGAAATGTGAGAACGACACTTATTTTGAAATTTTTTTTCATTTTACTAAAACGAGACTTATTTTGGAGCGGAGGAGGTAGTATGTTTTTTGAACTTGAATTCGCTACCCTAATCTTCAACCATATCTCTCAACACATGAAATTAGTGTTAGTGGTGAATTATGTAGATGCGGGAATAAAATTATAAAAATAGCCTGTAATAATAAATAAACATTTTAATGGGGTTAATTGATTGGCTTTGTTTGCTTCGGTAGTTAGCTTTGAACAGAAGAGTACGCAACGTCAAAAAGGGTCATTCCATTGGGTCTTCTAATTGGTAGAGCTGATTATTATTAGTAAGTTGACTTTTTTGGGTTTGTGTATAAACTTAGACTGAGAGTGGTAGAGCAGATCACACAACAATTACTAAAGTCAAGTAGTCACATAGTTATTCAAAGGATATCGGCATTCCGCCATACTATGATAGTGTACTTTTGAGATTATGTTGTACTGGAGAAAAAATAAATAAAAAATTATATGATTATCGTTACTGCTTGATTAATAGATTGGAAGAAAGTTGAGTGGGTATGATGAAAAAGCCAAAGAAAAAAAAGGGTATTACTTATAATACTCCTTCTGTTTTTAGTACGAATAGTTCACATTAAATTTTGAAATTTATATTGTTTTCAGTATAAATTTGGAAATTCAATGTGAATTTTTTTTTTTTTTTTGATCAAATGTAACAATGTATGCACTTTACAATGGTTAGATAAGCTCGATTAGAGTGATAAATAATATTTCTTCTATACTAAAATTATTATTCAGATTGGATTTTTACTTTTAGTTCAATTTATAATAAAAATGAAAATCGAAACTGGACAATAATTTTAAAACAGAGGAAATATATATTTTAGATTGATTTTTAGGAATTTGTATTGCCTTAAGCAATTAACAATGCCTTGTTTCCATAGTAGTATTTCTTTGGTTTGTACACAAAGCACTACTAGAGTAAATTAGTCATAGTTAAGTTAAGACATATTATCCGTCAAAACAACTCAATTAGCAAGGTAGGTTTAATTAGTTGTTATATTAGCAAAACAACTCCATCCATTGATCACTTTTGCCTAAAGCTACAATACACTTCTATTGTTTTTTTCTTCCAAACTAGCCCTTAATCTTATGTCTCCTTCAATCTCTACATTTTAACAATCCTATTCGTGCCGTTTAAGATTTCAACTTTCAATTAATATTGTACCTCCTTTGCAAACAATGTTTGCTCCTATTAAACGGCTTCATCTGAACCTCCAACTGAATTCAAAACTCAAAAATATGACCGAAAATTAACTAAATATAAGGACCAAAACTATATGTAAAAGAGGGACCAAAACTTATTACTATCCCGAAATTTTACTCTCTTTTTTTTTGCTTTTTTTTTTTTTATGAAATATAAACAAGTGTCATGAAACTATTTTTTAGCATGAAGAATATGCTCATAAAAGTTTTTGTGTATTAGCGATAGTGTACGTTATAATTTTAAATTATATATTAAGTCAAAATAGTATATCCACAAATTATTATTTTGAAACAAATTCGTAAAATTGTAAACGTGAAAGCGGGCCATATGTTTGGAAAATGGCCACAAAAACGTAAGGCGTAAATGACGCTTTGGCGTGGATCGCGCCAAGATTAAAAGCAATTTTTGGAATAGCGGCGACAAAACTATATACCATTACCACTCTTAGTTTCTTTATTTATTCTTTACTTTTGGAAGGTAAACACTTTTGCATTACTTGAAATAATCTTTCATCACGATTTGTTGGATACTTGGATTATAGGAGTACTTCTTCTAATACCCTAAAAAAAAAAAAAGGAAAAGGAAAAAGAGGAACCGTTTGTACCAAATACTTGCGTGATTTTGTATCAAACTAAATCACTCTTAATTGATTGTCATTATAATAGGCAAAATTTTTTAAATTTAATAAACCGTTATAAGGTCTACTGTAATCATTTTTTTTAATTAAAAAAAAAGGCTCCACGTAATCTGCCAGGATTTAGTACGTCTGGATTCCCCTAATTAATTTATATGTTTGAGGCAGATTTCATCAATTTTTGTTTTCTTCTTTTTATTTTGCTTTTTATTTTTGGTAATCTTTTTAATTCCATCAATTTTTCCCCCATCAATACAATCTTACAAAAGAATTTTTCCTCTCAAGAGGAGGAAGGAGAGATGACTAATATTATATATTAGTTAAACATATATATCGGGATAACGTAAGAAAAATACTCCATGGTTGCATCATCTGTGAAACAAAATTTTCACATTGACTACATTTATGCATAAACGCTTTAGGATTAAGGCTTGGATTATCCTTTGCGCCTTTTGAGAAGAGAGTTTATACTGATATTACAATCTCAATTTGGCAGACAAAAAGGCACTACAAACCCCCTCAATTCAAGGTAAACCCTAATTAAACATTTCTCCACTAAAAGAAGATGTTACTAAAGTTGACTACAAAGAACTACAACTCTTTGGATTCATTCCTGGATTTGAAATTTTAAAATACATTTGTCATCATCCTTACTATTTTTAAATAAAATGAATACATATTACTCTCTCCGTCTCACAAAAATAGTTCACATTGAGTTTTGTACTGTTTTTAGTACAAATTTGAAAACTCAATGTGAACTATTTTTTTGAAACAGAGATAGTACTAAATATTAATCTTTTAACAGTAATTAGAAGCAATCGAGAAAAAGAAAAAAAGGAAGAAGGCATTCGACTATAAAAGTTTAACTTCATTGATTTAGAAACTAGTTAATAAGCAACAAATAAATGTGGTGCGGGCATGTCCTTGGGCAAAATGATTGCATGCTGCCTTTTAATTTCCGCACATTGCGGGAGCTTTGGTTGTCCTAAGATCCTGCAGCAAATTTAGGCCCCGATGACTATAGAAGTAGAAAGACTTTCTCTAAGTAATACCACTACTACATTATCAGTATCACTTATTATCTCATTTCGCTTATATTGATTAAAAGTAGAGGGGAGGGGGTGAGAATCATTAAAATAAAGAAAAAGAATAATACCATTGACCAATTGTAAATTCAACATTTCAACTATCCAACCAAAGACGAGACAGTTCTACTTTCCATAAAAGCCATGCAAAAGAGCATACAAATTTTGCATGATCTTTTCATATCACGTGTATATATAACTCTCCATCACTGCCATAAAATAAGTAGGAGAACATCGTCAACTCCAAATTGCGATCTTCGTACAATAAAATATTCTCTCTATCGCAAAATATTATGCGATTTGGGTCTTAATTCCCATCAAGTAGGTGGGACAAGGATGACATAGCACGGGCATGGGTGGACATAAGGGTGGTAGTGGCCCAAAACAATGCCGTAGACATCATCATAAGACTTCATTCCTTGGGCCAGGAGTTGCTGCCACCCATAGGTGAGCCTGTAAACGTGGCCTATGAAATCATCTCGGGTGGTAACTGAGTGAAGCCTGGGTCTTTGCTGGATTTCCCGAATTCAGCAATCACCAAGGGTTTCTTCAAGATGTTGTTGGCGTCTTCCCAATGACTTGTCATCCTGAATCCCATTTCTGCATTCTCATCTCCTCCTGTAGGTATATGCGTATGAATTATCAATGAATGAATGATTAATCAACAATTAGTACTAGCTATAGTGTAGAATTAATACTATTGATCTGGATGGTTGCAAAATCAATGTCGGGGATGAGGAGGTTGTTGATGAAATCCGTACCAACTTGATATCCCTGGATTGTTTTGCTTCTTTTCAGGCATCCCGTCTCCATAAAATCCTCCCATTCCAATCTCCAACATGTGTTTTCTGTCTAATGATTTCACAAAACTTGCCATCTCTTGTGCCTATCCCTCCACCCCCGCGTTATTGTAGTTTCATTTGATTAATTATAATCTCATTTTACTTATTCTCACGTCAATTCCTTCCATTGTTAAAAAATATTCATTATGTTACTTGTTTACAGTTCTTCCAGAATAGTCAGTTTGGCAACGGGGCTCATTCATGAGTTCCCATGCCGTAATAATATATGTCATTCTTGTTACTATGGTGTTATACCTTGTCAACACTCTCTGCACCATATAACACAACCAATATTATAAATTAATTAAGTTAATTATTAAAGATCATTAGGTAGTAACTAATTAGGTTCATTAATAATTGATTTAGTTTCTGACCTTGATGTGATCCTTGTAGTAAGTATCCTTTGATAACGGGATGTGTGTAGAAGTCGTCGTCCCCATTGACTTGAGCTCCTGAACTTCTTGCCCATTCAACATATTGTCGTCTCCCTCCCAAGTCATTATAAATTATTCACCAAACTAAGGATTAATCGAATCCCATACTTTCGTGCTTCCGATATCACGAAATCAAGACCCTACATGCATGCATGTGACGTACGTATGTATCATATATTCACATTGATAGTTTCATAGTATTATTAGTCTTTCAAAACAATCAATTAGATACCAACAATAAAATTGTAACAGTAGAGTAGTACTCCTTATGTCCCAAAATTATGGTATAGTTTTAGATTTATCTTTTTAGTTCAAGTTATACTAAAAATGAAAAACCTAAATTGAACAATAATTTCGAGACGGAGGAAGTAATTAATATACCTGAAAAACACATTCATCATATGTGGCGGGGGATATTTGAAGAGCTCGATCCCCTCCGTCCCTAAAAGCCCATGTCCTACACACCGAAAGACCTGCGGCCGATGCATCTCTAAACACTTCCGACACTTTGTACCTCTCGCAAGTCTCCGCGGCTACATGCATTAGCCAGTAGGAATTGAAGCCATTGAAAAGAAATTAATGGGCAGCCATCCACCACAAATCTCGAACCTTGGGCTCTCACAAATCCAACATTATTAACATTGTTGTTGTTGTTCAGAAGTACTCTAGCTTCACAGCCATGCTGAGCCAGGAAAAATGAAACTAGAGTTACAACAAAAGAATATCGATGGGTTGCCATTCTGTATTAGCTTGATTGATTGAATTGATGACCTTGATGCGATGAATGAGAGAGATGATGGAGTAGTTAGGGAATGCATTGGATCTATTTATAATTTTTTTTTTTTTGGAGGAAGTGAAAGTTGCTAAAAATAGAAAATCTGAATTGCGCGCGGAAGTTGAGTTACGGTAGTTGTTTCCGTGACGGTGGTTTGCCTGCCCAAATAGTTTAGACCCTAAAAGAAAATGAAATGATGATTGGTTTTTAAACCGAATTTAATTCGGCGGTGGAAATCGAATCGTCAGGTGGAAGAAATCACTGCACTTTCAGGCTAAAAATTGTAAACAAGAATAAGAAGAAGGAGACCCTCTGTCCCAAAATTATGCCCAATTTGAGATTTTATTTTTAGTACAATTTGAACTAAAAATAAAAACTCAAACTGAACAATAATTATGGAATTCTACATGTGCATGTTACAGATGATGTATTACACGTGCTTATCCCATGTGAGAGTAGTTTCGATTTATTCAATCTTTCTTTCATTGCAATTATTTTCATTTTGTGAACTACAATAACAGTCAATGACATACACAATGTATTACCCAGTTTCACATTTGAAGTATCAGTGACTACCATTCTTACTGTTGTAATCAATCATATACACGTGCTTATCTGGATATTTGGTAAGTCGGTCAAAGACCTTCTTCACGAGTGACATCAAATCACAAAGCTGTATTATTAACACTTTGAAAACAGGCTATCCCCAAAAAAAAAAATAAAAAATTGACGATTAACAGATGATATTCAAGCATGAAAGATGGGCGAGCTCTCTACCAAAAAGCTCTCAAACTTTTCATCCACTCAAACTTTTCATCCACTTCTCCCCCTATATCTTCCATGAAAGATGGGGGAGTTCACATATTTTTCTCTTATTTTTAATCTTTTGGTTAGCTCTTCTTTTATGGAAGTTTCGCTCTCCTATTATTGGTGGATTTAGCTCTTCCTTTATGAAAGTCTGGATCTCTTATTTTGAGATTTTCGATCCCTTTTTGGGTTATTTTTTTCTTTGTTTTGTATGGTTTTTTTTTTTTTGTGTTCTTCAACAGATTTGATGAAGGTGAAGAAGATTCATGGCTCAGTGAGGAAAACAAGGGTGAATATGTAGTTGAAAGAGAAACAAGTGAAGGGAATACTTTAAATCTGAGACTATTAGGCATTATGGATCTGTGACTCAGAGTCAGACCTGCAGTTTTAGTCTTGTTAAATCATAGTTGACCTCTATCTGTTAATGTTTTGGTTTGCTATAATACTTTCCTCGGAGGTTATATCTCTAAACTGTAATCAGTGATGCTGTCCCGATCTAGCTAAATTAGCTTAGCCTAACTTTGTTCACAGTATTGAGTTTATCTCTATTTCTGTAATAAGTATAGCGAGTACGACAGACTATATTACCTTGTTGTAAAAACTTTTAATTTGCTCTGTTATTTATATTAATGAATATCGCTTATGATATTCAAGCATAGGTGGATGATGGGTCACAGTACAGATTCAAGGGCAATACTGAAAAAAACCATTGGTTTTAGCCGAATTTGGGAAATCAAATATGGATCCAGGATATCAAAAGTAACTGCAAGAGACACACACATGAATGCACTATACCGTAATATCTATAACTTAGCAAGAAACAGAGGACTTGCTGGTGGCTTTGCTTGGCAGATACTGGCTGAGAGAATGGAACAGTTTGACGATGGCTACGAGATCGTCTTGTTATCAATGGAATGCATTATTACACACAGTCTCGCTAAATCACTAGACAATGATCTGTCTCCCTTGTGAAAAACTGAAACTATGAACATATGCCTTCTTCCCCTCTTCAGACAGAACCCAAACATTAATCTGTAGTATAGCCAACATGTAATTCAACTATGATTTTAACTTCATCATAATGAGAGCAAAACTAAAAGGTAATATATCTTCAAGACATCACTAGTATATTTTCCTCTTTTATCAGTTTGACCATTAATATATAATGCAAAGCTTTGACAGTATACAGGGTTCAGAATAGCATAAAAAAACCACAACAGTTGAGCAAAGAATGAATAGGCACATCTTATACACAGCTTATTTGCTTAAAAAACAATTTGTACCCATCATCTTCGAGAATACATTGACCAAAGCCAAAAAATTCCATTCAAAATGAATTGAAGGACTATGTATAGAAATTGAATGTCCCTATGCTATAATCAAAATTTCACATGCTATTCTACAACACTCACCATTTCACTGCAAAATAACTTTGAACAATCATACTATTTCTCCAAACCTTTCCTTGCAAAACATTCACATATCTTGATGTAGCATCAGACTTGTTCTTACCTCAAATTATATTGAACTGCATACAAAGTAGCTACAGCAAGTCCAACAGTGGTGGCTGTTCGGATTTAGATTTCACATGACTAGTGCGTGAAGATGACGTGGAACTCAGTTGCCCTTGGTTACCTCTCCCTCTGCCTCTCCCTCGGCCAACAGCAGTCAACGGGGGTGGAGCGAGTCTTGGAGCAGTTTGCTCCGTCTTGTTGCTCGAAGCAAATATAGATCCAAGATCCGTCTTCTCATTAGAAGCACCTTGACTCTGTTTCAAGAATCCCAGAGAATTGTGAGAGTTTACCCCGCCATTAAGACTGCCAAAATTTGACATGGGATTTCCCTGACTCGGTCTCAATGGTTCAGTTGAGATTTGGGTGTTGAAGGCCCATGATGTACTGCTATTTGTTTCGAAGTTTAAACCATTAGGAGCAAGATCAGAACTGGATCCATACTTATTAGCCGATAATGATGTCGCGCCATTGTTCAAGATACCAGTAGCAGGGGTTGAGTTACTAGGCCGTGGTGGCCAGTTGGCAAAAGGATCTATATCATTCAAACTTGCACCTGACAAGGATTTGTTTCCATTTGAGTCAGCAATACCACCTGATTGAGGTGTCGAATCCAACTGGGCTGTTGTCCTTGGGGGCCATTCAACATCAACAGCAGGGCATGAAGGAGACGGTTGCTGACTAGATGTAGCTGACACCACAGAATTCTGACTTGAAACAGCAGGTTGACCAGCTGCTTGTATTGTTGAAGACTGACCGGTTGATGAAGATCGCCTAGTTGGTATCCAATCTTCATCCCATGAAGGACTGTGCTTCATTGTAGATGGGGCAGCTGTGGTAGTCGTCCTGTTTAATTGTCCTGGCATGGTGCCATTTGCTGCAGCAGGCAAAGTTCTCACTTCTGAAACACCATTATCAGACAAAACTACTCCTCGTTTCTCTTCAATTTTCCTGCATTAAACAGTAAGAGGCACAACATACAGATTATTCATTTCAAACTAAAAATGTTACAAGAGTAGAACTTTCATAAAGGAAAGCTACAAAGAAAAAAGAATTTAGCAATGCTTTGGCTTTTAGAATGATCATGTATCTTGCAAAGAACAAAATAATGAAAGACAAAAGGGAATGATATGTAACAGATCGAAAAAGTACCTGAGAACGTCTTTCACAAAGTGCATGTACTTAGCAAATTGCTGAACATTTAATTGTTGGGCGATGAGAAGGGGAGTAAGGAGTGGAAGGACATGTTCCGCCACAAATTCAACACCGTACTGAAATAGAGACGGATGAGCTCAGATCAGATACTTATACATGAATTATCTAACTAATCTAAATATCCAGCTAAATACTACCTGCTTCAAAACAGAATTGGCAACTCCAAGGGTACACATAAGAGTTGGAGCAGAATGATCAACAGCTGTACAACGTTGTATAGTTTGCAGCACATCTGATACTGCAGACTTGTCAAGCATGTGGACCATATCACCCAGGCATAACAATGCATTTACTCTGACCTGTTGATGATAAAAAAAAAAAAAAAAATTGTATCTTGAGACAGGTGGAAAATGAAAATTCTCAATTACACTTGCTACCATGACTTGACTAATGAAACACAGAAAAGAACCTAAATACTCAATAATATCAGATGCAGAACATACCGCCGCCACAGTTGTCTTCAATGCTAAACCATGAACACGGGGCAAAATTGCTTGTTTCACTAACTGCAACAGCAAAAGAGCAGGGCAGAACCCCAAAGAAGAGTAAGGGCACAAAAGTCATGACAATGTAAATAGAAAGGTATCCGTTGAAAGATCATTAAAAGATAGCCAAAGTATCTTTCCTTAAAAGCCAATAGCAATAACTGACTCTTAAAATATTCCTGTTACAAAACATTAAACGCAAACGATGAGGCAGAGATGAACGAGATAAACTGTCCACTACCTGAACTTCGAGCTGCTTTGCAAGTGAAACAGTCTTTTTAAGAACTTCCTCTTGCATGCGAGCATCAGTATCATCATAAGCTCGAACAAGCATTGGAAGGACATGAGAAATTAAGTGCTCCTGACTTGCCTGATAACGTGCAAAGATGAGAAGTGACCGTAAGGATTAGTGAAACACAGCATTTAAATAGAACAAAAAAGCCGATTTAGTTGATAAGACTATAGCATCAACAGAAAATCGAAGAACATCAAACCAACAAAATAACACAGAAGATAGGAAAGCCATTGCTAACATAACTATGAAGTCAAACCCAAACCTTATACCTTACTGATAATAAGCTCCGCATGCTTTACAAGTAGCAACAGTGTCTCACCAGCAGCACCATTTAGGACAGGAACTAGAGCTGGAAGAGTTGAGAGCTCAAAATCATTTTTATCCTGCAAAGTTCTTAACGTTAGTAAATGATCTCACAGGAACACTCTCATCTCCATAAATTGGGTTAACGAAAAAACTGTTAAAGTCAAGGATTCAAGGATTCGTCCATCGCTCATTTTACAAATAAGAGACGTACCTGAGACTCTGCTATTGTAAGAACCATAGGAAGAATCATTGGCTGCATAACCAGATTCCGAAGCTCAGCACAAAGGGGTGGAAGAACCTATCAGAATATCATCAAAATAACTCATTTCATCACATGCTACCGCAAAATTTACCGAGGTCATAACCACATTAGACTAATATAAAAGCAGTATCAGAAGAAACTGCCGTGTTCAACAATCTCATTTGACATGACAGCGAGAAATCATCAATGGGGGAGTTACACAAACCAAAACATCAATGGAAAAATAGATACAGACCTTGTAACGCAATACACGGGAATCAAAATCCTTCCACATGTCTGATAATGCTTTTAAGAACTCGGACTTCTGCATGTTATCTCTTTCCTGCAAGCAACCAGAGTGCCAGTAAGAAAAATGTACAACTCCATCTCCATGAGATTTGGCACAAAACAATTGTTGTACTAGGCTTATTGTGCAGATCTAAACTTAAACATACAAGCATGTGGTCCAGAAACCGAAGTGCACGCAGCCTAGTGTCGTCACGGAAAAATGGTGAAGCTGCATATAAAATGAGTAAATTTCGTTAATCACATCAACCCCAACGGGACAAAGAAAAAAACAGTAGGAAACTCTGGAAAGCAAGTTTCCCCAGTGATTATGTTCATAAATATTTGTTAGGCTATGTAACCTGTAAAGTCAAGAGCTGTTGGCCGCAAGGACTCATTCGAAGAGAGCATTCTTTGCAAGTCTGGCACCAAGTCTGGGGGAATGGAGGCAAAAGCATCGCTGGACAAGTATGTCAAAGAATTCATGTACTGCAGTACATAACAATACAAAATCAAGTAGAATGTAAGTACTCACAAGGTCATAGCTACATAGAGAGACACACTGAACCATAGAGGTGCAAATAAAGTAAATACCATTTTGACATTGTTGTTACAGTTAAACAGAGGTTTCCGAGCAACCAAGTGGTAAGCAAGACATGCAAAGCTGAAAATGTCAGAAGCAGTTCCAACTGAAGATGATTTACTTCGAACTAGTTCAGGAGCTGTGTAATCAAGTGCCGGCTGAAGGGGAAGAATGGAATCTTCAACATCATACTCCTATCAGACAACAAAATAGAAAACTAGATCAAATTACTATTGTCTGAAATCATTTGAAAAATAATGCTTAAGAAACAAACTGATGCATAAGTTGAACATACAATGAAAAGGGATATGCATTATCTAGCAACTACGTTTTCCACTTGGGTTTGTGCCCATGGCTGAGAGCTTTCAGGATAAAACTAGATGGCAGCAAACATCATAAAACTAAAATAGTTAAATTTTCTTTGTTTTTTTTCCAAAAAAAAAAAAACCAAAAAAAAAAAACCACACCTAATGGACAGGGGAATCGACGTGGGAAGATCCCCTCTCCCAGGAGAATCAATCCCGCCCAGGGTCTACTCCAAGAGACCCCTCTATCCTAACCACTGGGCTACATTTGATTCTCTACTAAAATAGCCAAGCTTAGAAATTGGGAAGTATAAAGATAGAAAACAAAAGGGGGTGATGGCTTTTGAAGCACCCATAAGAAAACTACAACTTACAGCATAATGGAAAGCCTGAACATTAGAAGAATCAGTGGTCGACTGATCTGTTGGTATTGTAAAACCAAATCCCCCAAGCTTCCAAGCTCCATTGGATGTGATTAGAATTGCCTGAAAAGTTAAATAAACTTGTAAATGTACATCCCCTGTAGAAAACAAATCTTTCTGGGTAACACAGAAAAGTGCAAAAGCAACATACTTCAAAAATAAAACTCCTTCGTTCTCCTCAAAAGAAGAGGGGGATTGCAGTAGAGTCTAAATCAATGGCAATCAGAAGTTGTTATGCTCCAATTTCAACTAGTATTGACAAGACCGATGAATGATGACAACAACTAAAGCAACTGCCATACTCTCTGATTTGAAATTGCCAGGAACAGAACTTGACATAAGAGTGAACAAATTTTGCAGGGTCACTAATTACACCACCTTCATTACATTTCGTTTCCATGTTCATGCTTGAAATATACTAGCAAGAAAAAATAAATAAACTAAAAAGAAAGACAGATTCACTTGGTGCAAAACAAAGAAACAAAATAATGTATACCACAACATCAAAAACAGCATAGTGAGAAGAAAATCAAACCTCAGGTGATATAGACCGATGGATAAGACGAGCATTATTGTGGAGAAAATCCAAAGTTTCGGCAATCTGCAGCAGTCCATGCTTCACCTCCAATAATCCCATCTCCTGCATTAAATGAAAGGATTGAAAATTCGACTAGCGAACATTTGCAGCAATATACTCACCATAAAAAATAATGACAAAAAAAAAGGACCCTAGAACACTCTTACAAAAAGACGATTGGAATCTTAACCATAAGGTTAACGACACGTGAGTATTAGTAGATAAATGCCGTTCTCATAAGTTAACCAGGCACTACTTTTATTTTTTTTAAAAAAAAAATCTAAAATGCAACATGTGTGCAAGACTATTGAAGAAAAACCTTTTGTAACTCAGATATTGTCATGGGAACCAAAAGCATTGTCAAAAAGTTGTAAGCAGATATTCTAGTTGAAAGAAAACTGAAATTCAACTGACATTGTTGAGTAAAGAACATGCCAGAACTTCAAACTCCAGAATCCACTCACACACTTTCAACGGACCTACATTAATTAAATGAATTAAAGCTTTATAAATACTAGTTCAGGCAAAAATCACAAAATAACCAACCCAACTATCCCCAAATTAGAATCCAGAAAGACCAAGATGACTTCAAATTAACAATATAACCCATTAAGGATAATGATATATGCTTCAAGAAAACTCGATAAGCTACACATCTTGAGTGAATAAACCGAAAAACAAAGTTGGCATTTATAACAGCTGCCATAAATAAGAAGGTCTGACTATCCAAATACTGTTTAGTCATAAGTTTCAAGTTAACCTTGTACCTATATGCTACAGCTCAACCAGCTGAATTTGAGCTTATCAAAGATTGAAATGGCTTCAAATCGTTGATGTTCATTGTAGGAATGATAGAACAATGTTGATCTGAAGAAAAATCAAGTGTTCCAATTTTAAAAACTGTCCACAACTCTTCTAGTATATGCAGCAAAACTAGTTGAAATTCAACTCATTGACTATTGAAATTACGGACAGCCATTGTGAAAATCATAAACTAACACACTGATTCGAAGTGAAAAAAGAATCAAAAGGCTTCGAAAGCAAATAGTAATTTATAGAAAGAATAAATGCACAGAAGACAAGATAGTAACTGGATCGTACCATTCCCTTGAGCTCCTTAGGAACTTTCTCAATATTCTCCAAATTCCCCAAGGCATTGGCAGCCGATGCAAAAAGAGGTTCAGTAACCATGGCCATAGCATTCTTGCTCTCATCTAGCGCATTCACCACATGGACGACGCCAGGATGCCGAAGCCTCACAAGTCGGGCGGCGTCTGCACGAAGTATATCCAAGAAGGAATCTTCGGCGGCCTTGGAGAGGCCGGCACGCTGCCTAGCGTCGGATAGGGCTTTTTTGTCTAAGACCCAAACACAGACGTTAGGGTAGACGGCGTGGCCGTCTCGTGCTTTAGCGGAGTAGAGCTTCCAGACAAGGCCAGGGCCGGCGGAGCCGATCTGGTCGGACAAGTCGTAGTCCTGGAGAGGCTTGGGAAGGCCGGTGACCTCCTGAACGGTGGTCTGCACCGTCTTCTCGATCAACACGGAGGCCTTGGCGAAGGCCTGGGTCAAGGTTTTCATATTCAACGACATGATTGGGAAATTAAAAATATTGGGGGAGGAGGAAATTGGCCGGGGATTGAAGGTGAAGGCCGGAGTGCCGGAGAATTAGAGAATTGGGAATGATCCGGGCGGGGTTGTGACGGGGACCCGCACCTTTTAAGTGATGATCGATGATCGTTGATCGTTAATCGTCTTAGGTGAAGAGGTGGGGGACGGGAGGAAGAAGATGAAGTGAAGGAAAAGGCATCATTAATGGATTGTTTTTTCTTTTTCCTTTTTTTAATTTTGTCTTCTTTCTAATTACTAGTAATAAAGTGATTAACTAAATAAAATTAGTAGTTTGTAGTATAATTGTAGTGTAGTCCCTTAAGAAAAGTGTGCGAAAGTGTCCACATTTTTTTTATACAAGTGGAAGAGATACAAGATTGAGAGAGATGTTACTTTGTTATAAAAGATTGAAACTTGTACAGGTATTATGAACTTCCTAAAGTTTTGAAGTCTATCAAAGATGAGTGTAATGTTATGATTGATTTACGTTATGTTTGGTTGAGAATTTATGAACAGAGTCTATTTGGGTAAGTCCTTTATCTTTATGTAAGGAAAAAAAAAATAAAAAAAACTATTAAATTGGTAAGAGTTATTTTATATAGAATAATATATGTATTACAATAAAACAAAGTGTATTATTCTATGTTTACTGTTTTAGATGTATACAATAAAACAAAATGTATTTATTGTTTGAAGGTCTTAATTAGTGGAATGCCGAAATTGATGAATAGAATGGGAGGAGGTTGCTTATAAATTTTGTGAAGTTGTGGTGTGAGTGTGGTGATTGTGGGTTGTTAATGTTGGGAGTGTAGTGCGGGTGTATGGTATGGTGTCGGCTGTAAGTGGCACAATCATCCTACCCAACATTTATGATGAATACTTACTCCTTAGGGGGATAAAATATAGTATACTCCACTAGTTGCCCTTATTAATTACAACTATATATACGGAGTAATACAGTTACATCCTAAACAAAAGTAGTTACTACGTACGGGTCTTCCATGTCAAAATCTGTTGTGTTTGTTTTGTGTTCCAATACTCCATACAAACAAAATCTGGCTTTTTAATTCATTCTAGAAATGCCTCAGTCTTCCTCCTCCTGCAGCTTGGGTCTGACATGAAGAAAAGAAAAGAAACATCAGCCGATATGCAACTGTAATTTATGATCCACCATGACATGAATTCTCAAATACACTGTCTGTCTTTCTTTCTTTCTTTCTTTCTTTCTGGTAATTAATCAACTCTGCTTCCTCCTCCCTTTATATATTATATATATAATTTTGGGTGATCATACTATCTTGTTGCAGGCTGCTGTAATTTGATGATGATCATTAAATCAAATCAAATGATGCAACATAACATATAACTGATGGGCCAACCAATAATATATAATAGTTGGGCTCCAGTGGGGGGAATCATTCACCTTTGGATCCTAAAACCAATCCACCACATCCAATCCAAATGGGTGAATGGGCTGGGTCAACGAGTCAGCAGCAGCAAGCCGACACACTTGACTTTGACCACGAATTCTCTCTCTCCCCCATTAAATGCTAGCGCGGGGTAAAGGAATAAAAAGAGAGAGAGGCGTAGGGAAGTAGGAACTTCCATAATCTGCTCCTCTTTTGACTATTCAACCCCCACACCACATGCGCTGGCTTTCATTAATCAATGCATCCAATCTATCTCTCTATCTATTTCCTGTCGCCTGTAGGAGGACGAAACTGGAAAGTGGCCTAATCATCATGATGGCTTATAACCAAAACTATATATAAATTTGACTCACCCCTTTCATCAATCAATGGACTCCCCCCATTCCCTTCCCATTCATTCCATCATCCTCCACTTTACCCTTTCATTTCAGACGTTTCTAGCGTCCACCACATAACAGGATCAATTCATCCAAATCCCCCTTACACTTTGCAGTAACAGGGGCTACAACATCAGAAATGTTGCCATCCTCCACAAAGTCTGCTGCTTTCTTCTGCTTCTTCTTCCTCCTCTCCCTCACTGCTACCTTCTCCTTCGCTGCCAAATGCTACCCCGACGACCTGGCCGGCCTTCTCGCCTTCAAGTCCGGCATCACCTCCGACCCTTCCGGCATCCTCCTATCCTGGAAATCCGGCACCGACTGCTGCACCTGGAATGGCATCACCTGCAATCCTTCTGGTGTTAATAATACTAATCGGGTCACCTCCATCTCCCTCTACGCCCAACCCGACAACCCCCGATCCATTTTATCTGGTACCATCTCCCCTTCCCTCTCCAAACTTCACTACCTCACCGGCATCTACTTCTCCGATCTCCGCAACTTATCTGGCCCTTTCCCTGATTTCTTCTTCCGTCTTCCTCGATTAGCCTTTGTTTACATCGAGAACAACCGCCTGTCCGGTCCCTTACCCGAATCCATTGGCAACATGACCCAACTCCAAGCTTTTAGTCTCCAGGGTAACCGTTTCACCGGCCGGATTCCCTCCTCCATCGGCAAGCTAACTCAGTTAGGTCAGCTCAAGCTCGGCCAAAACCTTTTCACCGGAACCATCCCAGTTTCCATCCGGGCACTCCGGGATTTGACCTTACTCATGCTTGATCACAACCAGCTCACTGGAACCATCCCTGATTTCTTCTCCACTTTCAGGAACCTCATCTCTCTCGACCTCAGAGCCAATCAGCTCACCGGAACTATACCCCCCAGCGTATCCACACTTTTTCCCAACCTCAGGTACTTGGAGTTGGGTCACAATCGTTTAACCGGTAAAATCCCTGATTTCCTTGGAAATTTCCGGGCCTTGGACACCTTGGACTTGTCCTGGAACAATTTCTCCGGGACTGTACCCAAAACATTCGCCAATTTAACCAAGATTTTCAACCTGGATCTTTCTCACAACCATCTAGTTGATCCATTTCCCACCTTGTATGTCAAAGGAATCGAATCCATCGACCTCTCTTATAATCAGTTCCATTTAGTCAACATCCCGCCCTGGATTACTTCTTCTCCGATTATCTATTCCCTGAAGCTAGCAAAATGTGGGCTCAAGCTCAAGTTGGACGACTGGAAACCATCAGAAACCTACTTCTACGATTACATTGATCTCTCGGAGAATGAAATCACGGGAAGTCCGTTCAAGATTCTTAACAGTACAGAGTACTTGGTAGGGTTCTATGCCTCGGGGAATAAGCTGCAGTTTGATTTGGGGACTTTGAGGTTACCAAAAACCCTCAAGTTTCTTGATTTGTCCAGGAATTTGGTGAAAGGGAAAGTTCCCAGCACAGTTTCAGGGCTTCAGTCCCTGAATGTCAGTTACAATCATCTGTGTGGTCAGCTCCCCAGCACTAAGTTTCCAGCCTCTGCATTTGCTGGGAATGATTGCTTGTGTGGCCCTCCATTACCGCCTTGCAAATAGATCAAGAATTCAAGATCTTGTATTTTTACATTTCCACTTTTTTTTTGAATACCAGAAGAAAGATCCAGTCTTGAGATTCTGGTGTGTATAATAATAACTGCAGCAGCAGTGTGTTTCAATCTTGCCGCGTCTCACAATAAGGCCACGTTTGAATAAAGCTTCCCGTATGTTTTGGATTGGACACCCATTTTTTTCAGTACCTTTATTTTATGGGTATAGATCATAATATATAGGGGAGTAGTCTTATGTAGAAAAATACAAGGCAATACTATACATACAAGTGAAAGACAGTAAGTTCCCCCTGTAGGGAGCATTTCAATTCGGATTTACGGGTTATCTTGTAGAATTGTTTAGTAGTCAACAAATGATCCAAGTAGTCAATTTCCCTGCACGTGGTAAAAGAAGTTGTTGGTACAGCAATAAGATGAGCAAAATAGGCTTGAAACTCATAGTTTGTGTTGGATGCATTTAGTTGTTCTGTTCTTAAGAACTGGATATGTGTGTATCTATATCTGTTTGTTTGTTCTCGAAATCGTGGTTACATGATATCAGCTGATTTTTCACAGAATGATATAGAGTCTATTCAAAGTTGTTCAACACGGTGGGGTATGTATGTGGTTTGTGGATTTTGATTGTGTACTTCTTCTGGGAATTGAACTGTTACTTTAGGTTGCAAAATGTTTTACCTAAAACTTCTCCAAATATACTTGGTTTGCAAACTTAAGTTCCATTTTAGCCATACTCACCTTGTGCGGTTGGCTTACAATGGACTAAGTTTCTTACCAAGGACTAATATATTATTCCCTGTGCTTGTTACAGAACAAAACAAGAGCACACATCCGTGGAGAGGAGTTTTGGACTTCAATTTTCCTGTTTAAGTATAAAATGTTGTGTAGCACCGGAAGTAAGAAAAGATCATGTACTATAATAAGAGTGTAAGCTTCTACCCCCACCTTTTGCTGATTAAAACTGTGTGATTGGTCCATCATCATTGGTCATTTCACAATCACCACCATGAAAAAGAACCAGAATTGGAAAGGGGAAAAGATTACTTTCCGTATAAGAGATTTCTATGAACCTTAGATGATTAAATGCTGAAGTTGCTTGCACGATTAACTCACCAAGTAACCAACAAAAAAACTGAACTATCAAAGTTTTCAAAGAAAGGGCCAGAAGATGACTAACATCTTTTTAATAGCTTTTTATTACGGAAGAACAAACTATACATTTGTACCTGACTAAATAAGTAATGATACTCCTTTGAACATTGACATTTGATCAAGCAGATCATACTCAAATAATCAAGGATCACAATAGATAAAGAATATTGAGTGTCCTGAATTTGTTTTCTACACCAGCCACAAATTCTTGAGCTGCATATCTACACTGTCAAAGATGCAACCCACTCTCATTAAGCAGAACCTGATGAAAAAAATGGGAGCAGCAACCTAAAACAGACTTCACTCTGCAAGTCTTTTAAGATGTAACAGGCAGGGCAGCTTAAAACTGTGTGTAATCGGTCCATCATCATTGGTCATTTCACAATCACCATGATGTGGAAGAACCAGAAGAGGAAAAGATTACATTTCATATAAGAGATTGCTTCGAAACTTAGATGACTAAATTGCGAAGTTGCTTGCAAGATAAACTCACCAAGTAACCAACAATATAACTGAACAACCAAATTCTAAGTCTTCAAAAAAGGAACAGAAGATGACTTACAACTTTTTAATAGCTTTCATTATGGAAGACAATCTATACATTTGTAGATGACTAAATGAATAATGATCCTTCTTTGAACATGGGCATTTGATCAAACTGATCATACTCAAATGATCAAGAATCACAATAGGTAAAGAATATTTAATGTCCAGAATTTGTTTTCTACACCAGCCACAAATTCTTGAGCTGAATATCTACACTTTCAAAGAAGCAACCCACTCTCATTAAGCAGAAATGAGTGCAGCAACCTAAAACCGACCTCACTCTGCAAGTCTTTAGGATGTAACAAGCAGGGCAACTTACCCCTTTCCCTTGGATTAGTATTCCCCATACTCTGGTCGATGAAGAAGAAGAACATGATGTTTCCGACACAGATTCTTCACTGTTTTTCATTTCTTCCACCAAGATAATACCGGTTGGTGTAGGGTCATTTCCGCCCCATCTTCCTTTGATACTCGGCCAGCTCTCTGCAGTCGCCTTCTCTTTAACTAATCTAGTCTTGCCAGAAGAAGAAGCAGATCCTGCTGAACCTGATCCCTCCTCACTGTCAGTGTATATGTGCACGAGGAAAGGTGCTTCCTCCAGGTTATTCAAGATCTGAACCAAAACCCAAGAAACATAAGATCAGAATAATGAAGACTTCATCAGACTAAAACTGAGTCATCGTGCGACTAATCAAACGACAATGCCATACAAGCTTAAGAAAACATAGCCCAAATATGCCATGATCCAACGTGCTGATATACAGTGAACGAGAACTAGAATCACAAAAAGCACCCTGATAATATTTCTACTTTCAGTTTTTCACGATTTACTTCAAATTCCTAGAGAAAATTCAACAGATAACTTTCTGAGCTCGTCCTCGTGAAAAAACAGTCTTACATATTCTCCTTATGTTTACCCAGACAAAATTCATTTATTCATTCCCTGATACCTAAACTCTTGATTCTAACACAGACTATAACATATCACTAAAGATTCTCATATACTGTCACGGAAATTCATTTCATAATTGTGAAAAGGATAATCAACATTGGGAACAACAACTACCGCTAGGCAAAAGTAAAAAGCACAAAGTCACTGATCCTATAATGTATTCCTTCCTAGATAAAGGTAGAGAAGAACAGATACAAATGACGGTCTCGGACAAATTAATAGGGAAAACGAACTAATATAGAAAGAAACCATTTCAAAATCTAGAAGCTAGAAGAAGGAAAAATAGTTAGATTGAGTATTTATGCAAATGATGAAAGTGAAAATGGCAACAAAGAAACTGACCTCGACAACAGATTCCTTAACCCAGGTATCAAGCTTGCCGTCGTCAATCACAACATCACGATCCCTTTCTCTATTAATCATAGCTCCCAATGATCCCAATTTGGACCAATTATGATGATCACCATCATCTTCAAACACGGACGAAGAAGAACAAGAAGCCCCAGAAGCAGAAGAAGAGGAACCATCCAAATCAGTCCGCGCATTCTTCTTATTCACAACAACCAAGCGAGGGGACGACGACCCATAAGTCTGCGGAGCATAATTGACAAAACCCTCTACCCCACGCCGCCTCCGCCGACCACCAACAAATCCCAAGTCCCGAATTACTCCCAAATGATACTGCACCGATTTCAGACGCAAGGACGCCATTATCGGTGCTCCCTTTTGCAGAATAGAATTGAACAATTTCGAAAGAAAAGAAAAACAAAGGAGAGGCAAAGATGGAGGAAGAAACGAAGAAAGAACTCAATAAGAAGGAATTAATGGGTGTAGGAATTGAATTACAAAAAAAACGTGTTAGGAATTATAAGAAGAAGGAAGTGTCTTGGGAGAGGGAAGAGTCCGACGTGGCGCGCCATGGCCGTTCTGCTTACATACACGTTCCCGCGCACGATCTTCTTGTGTGTTTCTCAAGACGGCGCATGCCATGTCACCTCTTCTTTTTCCACGTCAGCTTTTTTCCTTCTCCTTTCAATTTTTTTTTTAATTGCTTGACAAATCAAAAAAACATCATCTACAACAATTTTCAATTTATATTTTACTGAATGTAATAATAATAATAATAAATCCTGATTATTCTAATACCTATTCTTGACAATTCATGCTCTCAAATGAGATAATTAGTGAAAATATAATCAAATCAATTGCAATGTCCAAAAAAAAAAAAAAAAAAGTACCCATTAAAATATCAAATTGAATAATTTAAATAATGGAAACGGACAGAGATAAAATTGAATTCTATTTTATCGAACCCAAATAAAACTAATCGGTATCAAAAATCGTTTATTGGGTCCTTTTGTGACCTGAGAAAGAAAACGTAGCATAACTGAATTGAACGGTGGAGGAGCGAATAATAATGAATGAAATGGGTCAAATTCAAATTGGGGCGACAAGTAGAAAAAGGAACACGTCGGTCTACATAGTTTTGGAAAAGTTTGTCGCACTGCGCGTAGCTTATCCTCCCGATGATTTTGGTCTCTAAATTTTAGAGTCACAATTTTTAATCATCATTAATTTTTTACAGACAAAATTAGTTATCATCTTTTCGTTTATTCAACAGTTTCAATTTAACGGTCAACTCTTTTTGTAGTTAAATTTTTTATTTTTTATTAATATTTTACTGAATTGGGACCCGTAATACATTTTCAAACAACAAAATCAGTTCCCTAATATCTTTTTTCTTAAACAATTTTTGTCACTTTCACATAATATTCAAAAATTTAGGGGACTGGTTTTGTTGTTTGAAAATGCATTTCGGGTTCCAATTCAGTAAAAAAATTAATAAAAAATAAAAAATTTAACGGAGAAAAGAATTGACCGTTAAATTAACTAAAACTATTGAATAAACGAAAAGATGGTGAACAATTTTATCAATAAAAAAATAATGGTGACTAAAAGTTGTGGCTCCCCATAGTTTATGGACCAAAAGTGCGTTTTGTCCTTTGAATTTTAATTTCGTAAAAATTAGACAAATCAGCCAGCAAGTTAAATTTTACTAAGAAAATTTATTTCGAGTTCAACTGATCATTTATTAGATTAATTTTTATGGGCTCAGTAAATATATGTGTCAAAATCTATTGAATGCTATGAGGCGCATGACCCAAATAACATTTTAAATTACTAGTATTTCTGTTGTTGCTCAAAGATGTATAGATCTTCAATTTGCTTCAGAGTTCAGGGGTCTGACTGCGCCAGCCATCCAAACTGGACTTCAACTGCATTTTTTTCGAGAAATCAGAATCTCTATGGAGTGAGAGGGTGACTAAGCCTTGTCACAATACTCTCTGCAATAAAAACACTTTAAAGTACTCATGATGTGACTCAAACATGTGACCTTCAGGTTGAGTGGCTTTGTTCTTATCCACTAGGACAACCCACGAAAAGTGTTATATGATTTTTTTTCATGTTTTTTATGTCACACACCCGGTGTCCGAACTCAAGAGTATTATATGTTTTTTTTTTCGTTTTTTGGTATACTACCACCCGGTGTCCGAAGTCTAATTCGAACTCCAATTGAATAGGTCTCTTTCGATAGATTAAATCTCTCTCAACAATATTACATACTCATGCTCGGGTTTAATTGTGAATTATAGTTAAATCGATCCAATACATCAAGCAGTTAGACTAAGTTGGTCATATATTTTTTTTCTAGATAAAAATTAACATAATCAACTGTCTAATCTGCTACTCCCTCTGTAACAAAATTATTGTCCAGTTTAAATTTTCATTTTTAGTACAACTTGAACTAAAAGTGAAAATCCAGACTAGACAATAATTTTGGGACACGTGAAGTACTTGTTTAGGAATATATATATATATATATATATATCAAAGTTTTTTTTTCTAAATACAATTTAATATGATGAGCTGTCTAATCTACTACTTATTTAGGGATATTAGTATATAAAAAAATTATTTTCAACAATTGAAATCAAATCTCGTATATTTTAAAAATATAATGACTGAAACGCATATATTCTTAGAATTGAACTAAATGCATATTATAAATCATGATTATATTGTTTTTTAGAAATCATTCAATAAAAAAGTAATTTGATTTCCATTTTTACCTCAAAGTCAAATATTTAAGAAGTAATTTTATATTTTCAGGAAAACCATTACTTAATTTCTAATATAATCACATCACCACAAAAATGTTTTAACCTAAAGAATATAGTTATCTTAAATAGATGGTGAAACTACAAACAAAAAGAGTCACGAAAAATTTGAAATGAAAATTTTGATATAGTTCAACAACATTAAGTACTTTACAAATAATACTTGATAGAACAATCTCAAAAGTCTATAAAAGACCAAAATATATATGAAACTCAAAAGGGAACTAACGAAAAATGAACATCATAAAAAATCAAATATTGAATGCTTTAGGACGGTGAATTGGTATTTATTAGTTTATACATATCAAATGGAATTATCCGAAAATGATATTAAATTACGTTTATTGTATCAAATTTGGTTTTAAATTTTATTCGTTGTATAATTATAAGATGGACAAAATCCCCCGTCTCCTAAATTATGTCCCAAAGGCTAATCTCTCCACGAGTTTTTTCATAAGGACAAAATCCCGCTTGATTGCCATAAACTCGTGGTCAATGGTTTATTGATATTAAATGACTAAAAAATCAAGGTAATTATAGTAATACTTTAAATAAAAAAAATTCAGAAATTAAATTTATTATTATACTTCTGAACTTTCTTTAATTTTCGAAGAAGGACAAAAATCACTAAGAACTATATAAGCAGCCACCCTTGAAAGAGTGCGTAATAGCTCACTGATTGAGCGCTCTTGCGCCGAAGATGACCGGGGCTAAGCGATCTGCCGAAGCTGTGGGATGTAAAAATATATCGGTAGGGGAGCGTTCCGTCTTAGAGAGAAGCCTCTGCGCGAGCAGTGGTGGATAGAATTTGCATGTCTATAAACGGTTAGAATCGATAAAAAATGTCAAACTTATATATATATAAAAAAAAAAGATTTATCGACTTAGAAATATGTGTGGCCTTTAATAACAAATACATTGGATGACAATTAGCTTGTTTCAAAAAGGGTAAAAAGTGTGGAAGATTGATTGTAAAATAACAATTCTCAAAATTTATTTTTCAAAGAGCATTTTTGTCATTGAACTCATTTCTTTTCCACTTAAATAATCAAAGTAGCAACTATTCATCGACATAAGGGTGAAATTGTCCATTACGACATATCAATGTTTCAACTTGATTTAAATAATTGATATTTTGTTTTGTCCTTTCTAATTAATAAATTTTGAAATTGAAAGACATACTGAACTAACCACTAGTTGGCAACTTGGCATGGGTTTTCTCATTACTAATTAAAAGTAATTTTTATTTTCTTTTTTCACGTAACAAAGTAATAATCGGAAATGGAATCAATTTATCATTATCTCCATTCTTTTTAATGTCAAAAGAAAACCATCTCTAGTCTGTCGTTATTATAATGGTGTGCATTCGGATTTGATTGACAGTTTATGATTTGGTGGCCAGATTAATATTTGATCTTATACCTAAATATACTACTTCTTCCATTTTAAAATATTGTATAATTTAAATTATACTAAAAGTGAAAATTTAAACAGAACATTATCTTTTGATAGAAAGATTATATAACAAAAGAAATGAAGTACAAAATCGCGGCAGCACTTAAAAATGAAATGAAAAAATATTGAGGTGATATGCATATCAGGTAGAAACGTACTAAAAATTTTGAGTAGAAGCTACCACCATAGCAATATACTTGGAACTTGCAGTCACCAAATTTTAGAGATAATTGACAGTGCTCCCATTGTAGAGACTAGAGACTATTAAATAATATTTCTATTTTGTGAAATATGATTTATATAAGAAATACAATTTCAGTACCGTTCATTTTTTAAGGACGTTGTATTTTGATAATTTATTTTTTAATATTCTGTGCTTCAAATCAACTTTTGGCTTTAATATTGTGATAATTCAAACATGTTCCGATCATGAATGTACTTAATAATTTAGTTGCGTGTTAACTGATAAAAGTGAATGTACTTTACAATGTAAACTGAATGTACTTTATAATGTAAAGTACAAAATGATTAATGGTGGCGATGGTAATTAATAAACTAAGAATATGTAATCAATAAGGGACACACACACACACACACATATACACATACTACTACTACTACTACAGAAGAAGGAAGAAGAAACTTGTTAAAATATAGTTTTCATGGAGAGAAAGAACATGTTAAAGTACATTATTTTGTGATGAATACACCTTTAAGATAATATCAAAATATTAAGATGTTCGCAAGTTAACCTGGAAGTAACAATGTCATGCAGTTTCTCCTAAATTTGCAGATACAAAAACAAAAATATGTTTTACATAATTGACAAAAGAATTCTCCATTGCTACGATGGTTACCGAGTAAATCCACAGCTACTTCAAATAACAATGTTGATGCAATCGAAACCGGAAAAAGAAAAAGAAAAAGAGAAAATAATAAAAGGATAAGTCAAAAGTAGTATAAGTCAGTGTTGTTAGTATCCTAGAAATGTAACGAAAACACTAAATTTTAATACGAATCGGTTAGTTGTATCGGATTTGACAAAAATTTGTACGCTTTTTTTTTTTTTTCTGTATCGTACTTATAGGTTACTTAATTGCAATTATTACCGTAATCGAAACTCTTTAAATTGGCTCCATAATTTGCAGATTTGGGGTTGTTGGCTGGGGGCTTACTAAATTTCCGCGAATACCTCTCCCCAAGACAGTGCCTATAAGTAAAAGGTTGATTTAGTACCAATTTCAACCAATTCAGTCTAATTAAGGTTGATTTAGTTCCTCCCTGTTAGTTAATCTGCTGAATTTCATTCATTTAGTCTCCCCTCCGCATTTTTTATGACGTTTGGAAGTTTGTAGCATAACTTTTTTCCCCTCTTCGCATCACATATTTGGTTTTTTTTTTTCCCCTAAGCACGAACTATTTGTGCACATATGTTAAGTTTTGAGGGATTTATATTCTTGATCTATTAATTGTTAACCCTTTTGTATTTCTTTTTAGTACTAACTCACAAGCAGAAATGGATTCTGGAGATGAATTGAGTGGGTATGGTGTTGATGATGAAGTTTCGTATGGTTCTTCGGGGGAAAAACGTAAAAGGCCATATTTTAGGCACTCTCCCGACCAAATCCAAGTTCTTGAGACGTGAGTTGATTCATCATATCATAAAATTCACCTCTTTTTTTTAAAAAAAATAAAATATGCATAAATAAATACTGTACGTTTAAAATTATTCATATATACTCACGTGAGAACCAGTTAAATTGTTAATTAATAGTGCTGAATTAATGAATGAAGGTTTTTCAGAGAGTCTCAAAATCCAGATGAAACTCAACGTGAACAACTGAGTAGGGATTTGGGGCTGACCACTAGACAAATTAAATTTTGGTTCCAAAACAGAAGAACCCAATTTAAGGTACACTATCTATCTAAACTAATTAACTACTCTCACATGGATCGATCATTTTTGCACACTAAGTATTACTAGTACGGAATAATCAATGTATGTTTTATGATCCTAATTTATCACATTTGACGATTTACGACACCAATATATATATATATATATATATATATATATATATATATGTTTGTAGACACAACAAGAAAAAGTGGAGAACGAGACATTGAAAGAGGAGAGTGAAAGACTGGGAACGGAGAACAGGATGCTGAGGGAAGCAGTTGCAAATCCATACTGCTCCAATTGTCTGGGAATCGCATTGACACCCGAGGAACAATCCAGGCAGCAGTTTTATCACACCATGCTCCGTCAAAATCTCATCCTCCACAATGACGTAAGTCGAGTTTTTTCATTTTTCAGTACTATCTGATTGCTGATTGAATAGATAAAAATATAGTCTCCAATCATTTCGAGTTTCATCGTGTAAATGATTGATTAATTGATGAATTTAATCATTATTTTTCTTCTTTTCTTTTTGGACAGTACCAGCGTTTACGTGACATGATGGCATTAAGGAGAGCTCCAGGATTTGGCTTCTAATTTTTTGGTCGCTGATGATAGTTAATCATATTGATCTAGCCGATGAAGGCGGCTCCCTGGTGCGATGAGCGCGCATCTGTTTGTTCCATTACTTTTTATTTACTTGCCTTTTGTTCCTTACAAAATAAATGTACTTTGAGGGCCTGTGTTGTTTTTGGTATCATTTATTGCCAAACAATCTAAGTACTTACTTTTGCTCTTGGCAGTCGACACAAATTTGGCTTCAAAATCATAACATGATCATATTTAGTTTGGTTAATTCATTCACATTTAATTTGCCATTATCTTCTTATCTGTGTGTGAGTGTGAGTGTGTGTGTGTGTGTTTCTTTCTTTTCTTTTCTCCGAAAGTACTCCCTCAATTCCTTTTGATTGCATGGTAATAACTAATTTTACAAATTTAGTACCTTAATGGATCAATTATAGTGGTTGAAGTGACTCATGAATTGATTAGTTTTGAAAATAAACAAGGAAAAAAGCCATTAAATCTATCTTTAAAAATGTAAAAAACTTAGTCCAATATTTCTTATAAAAAAGTAACGGAAGGAGTAGTCGAACATATTACATAAATGTTTATGATGCGCAAATCTACAGTACAATATAAAATTTGGACGACACCACATACAAAAAAATCGGACCAAAATTTTACAATCTAATAATCTGTTACGACCCGGGGCCTTGGAGGTGGCAGAAAACAGAAAGAAGAAGGAATGGCCGGAGATCCGCGGATTAGGGTTCGGGAATTGGGAAAAAGGGGAAGAAAGAGAGAAATTGGAAATATCCAATCCCACATTAAAATTCATTACAGCCCTAGGCAGACTTTTTATAATCCCCCTATTTTTAAAATTATCCTTTAGTCCCTATACTTGCTAATTCCTACAATTAAGTCCAGAGCATGACATAATCCCTCCGCATCCCATCCCCATTTCTCAAAGCACTCCCATTGACTTTCATCCATCACCACCATCATCATCATCTTCCATTATTTTGGAATCAGAAAAAGAAAAAAAAAAAGAAAAAGAAATAGAGGGATAGAAAGCGAGGTGAAGGATCGAAAGGAAAAGAAGGAGGAGGAAGCTAAACTTCTGAGAGACCGAGAGAAAGGAAGGAAAAAGAAAAAGGAGGAAGAAAGGTAAGAACACAATTAAGTGGCTTTATTTTCATATCTTCATCCCATAGCCGTGTTCTAAGTTGAAGGAACGCGATACTGAATATATGAATTTGGAATTTTTATTAATTGAAGACCTGTGTTGTTATTTGAAAATTTACGGTTTCGGGTTCGGCCTAGTGTTTTCCTGATATGAAAGTTTGAAATTGTAGCAAAGATGTTGTTATTTCTCTTTCTGTTGTTAGTCTTGTTGCCCGCTAATAAGTTCATAAGACAGCTGAATATGAAGATTTAAAGGGATAGTCGTTGGTTGGGCAATAGAACAGGGGAGGCTGAAGGTGAGTTGATAATTTGAAAGTTTGCTAGGAATAAAGGGTAGCAAAAACTGAGGTTCTAGTTTGGGGTTTACTGGGAAGAATCAACAGCAAATTAAATGAAATGATCAACCGCAAAATAATGATGCATCTATCAAGTAGAGAACTATGCAAGTGTAGAATTGATAGTGTTGGATTAGGAGCCTTTAAGCTCTCTAGAAAAAGAACGGGAGAACTATTATTGTATAACTTAAACTTCATTAAAATGACATAAAAGAGAGAAGATTAATGGTTATTAGTTACTGTAGAATGCTTTAGGAATTAGGATGCCAATATTAGTATGTGAGTCACTTTGGGGTGACTATTTACCCAAGGTTAGCAACTTGGAATGCCAGAACATATAGAAGTATTATTTGGCTAGTTAATAAGGATAACAACGAATTGCTTGATTATATCATGATGGAGGCTTTTCTTGAGCTAAAAGTATAATTTGGGTCTTTGTAATTTAAACTCTAGAAGAAAGATGTTCAGTACTTCCCTACCCGTAATAAATTTGCCAAAAAGACCAAAAAGAAAAGATGTATTTAGCAACTCTACAGTGTATTGTTATAACACACTAGTCTAGGAAGTCGGTTATCACCTCAATTTTAAACTTTTAATTCTGATGTTGCTTTGGTGCAACAACACTACTTAGTTACTTGTAGACTACAGATACAGAGGCGGTGTTGACTGGCCTCTAACAATATCTGTGACTGTTTTCATTCTGTTTTTTTTTTGGATTGTATAATTATTACTTATCTGCTCGTCGGTTCTGTAATTTTTCACAACGGATGTGTATAATCCTTTGAACATTACTGGATAGTGTGCGGTGTGGCATCAAAGTTATTTGTGTATTATTACTATGCCAAGATAATTCAAGCACAAGCCGCATGTTGCACTTTTATAGTTGCTTATATGAACCTGTCATGAATTTGCCAAGATTTGGCCAAAGATGATTTATATACAATTATTATGTTATGCAAGAAATACATGTGCAGGTTTATTATGCTAAGAATACTTGTACTATTATTTTACCTATGCAAGTATATCATGCCAGGAAATACTTGTGCACTTATATTATGCCAAGATTATGACTAGAAATATCAGAATATATTCTTTCCGGGTTAAAACCACGATATTGTAATGTTCAAACTTCTGTGGCCACATCAGATAAGAGATACACCCATCTTACTTGAAATCTGTCCTTTGTACATTCTTTTATTTTGGAATCAAATCGTGAATTCAGTCTTTTAAGGCCACATAGGCCTTTGGCAGTTTCTTGGCTATGATCCACTGTATTCTTGTACTGTATGAGTTTGGTGGACTTGGATATGCCCATTTTTTTGCTAATTAAGTGCTCGTTATTATTTCTTTTACGAATTCTCTTTTCCTCTTTATATCCGCACTTGCACTTGCATTTTTTCGGACCGGTAATGATAATACGGTCCGAATTAGACTTCACTAATCATTAGCTTGTTCCTCCCCTTTTCCCATGTACAGCTTCTACATGAGAATACTTGGGATTATGGGCTATGTTGGTGAGAGTGGAGGACTTGAGGGACCTGGAACTAGATTAGTAGCATAGAGCAGTAGATATAGGTTTGATCATGAGCATCTACTTCTGTAAAAATCCTGCCATTTTGTAAATTATTACGGTTTTATTCCTTAATTATCTAGCAAATGATTATTATGGTTTTATGATGAGAACTCTGTCTTAAGTTTCTTTGTAAAAGTATTGCTTGGACTTGAGTCTTGGTGCGAGTCAGGCAGGCGTCCGATTGAACTTCTGTATGGTATAGAGGGTTTGGTTGGGGATTTACATATTCAGTTTGATTGACTTTTACTTATTCTTGGATCAAATTGACAGCAGGTTTTCTGGAACCATACCTGGAAGAGGAAACCTTTTGGAGTGCCTGATTGGTGATATGGAAGAAGTAGAAAGACAAAGTGACCCTTGTACTCTAATAGCATCATCTGAATCTGCTGAGATAAAGGTTTTGTTTTTCGCCCGGGCAAGGGATCTGACTGGCTTAACTGACATGGCATTGGAAGTTTCACCGGGGGCTACGGCGCGAGACTGCTTAAACAAGGTGATTGCTCAATTCCCCGGGTTGGAAGAGATTAGAGGATGTATGGTCCTAGCTTTGAACGAGGAATACATCCAAGAAGAGACAACTACTTTTGTGAAAGACAAAGATGAATTAGCTATCATACCGCCCATCAGTGGGGGGTAGGCTAAGATTGCCACCAGTTAAGATTCAAAATTTCCAAACACACTTAGTAGAACTGTCATTCCTTCTGATCAAAATTGTATACTTAATGTGATCCAAATTAAAAAGTAAAAAAGGATGGTTCCATTCATTCCATAATTATGAGCACTTCAAAAGCTTGAATGATTCCATGTATGCATACTGGTTCATCAACTTCTAAGGGGTGTTGCTTATTTTAGTTTCACAAAATACCTTATAAAATTTGTGTGGATTTGTGATAAGCATGTTGAATAATAATAAGTACCCTATACATTGGCCGGTGTAATATACTTTGCAAAGTAAAAAAAAGACTCGCCTTTAAGAATGACCCTGAAATATGTGTCCTCATTTGTCGATTAAGTTTGAGGTTTGAGATTTGTACTAAAAACAATACAAATTTCAAAATTGTATTGGAGTATTTTTGGCAATAGAGAACACTTATTTTAATAACTACCATAAAACTAACATCAAGCATCTAATTGAATTGGATGGTTTTTCCCTTTGCTTAATGACATTGGATATTAAGTTCCGCTTGCAACCTGATCAACAACCATTCAATTTCATCGTTCATATCGCCAGTATTGGCTTCCGGTTATCACCAAGTGAGATCCAAAACTATTTGAGCAATTGTGCAATTGTGCCTCCAGTGAAACTACTCCAGTGACCGGATTCCAGTCATCGTTGTGCCTCTCCCGTCGAAGGACCAATTTCCATCCCCTCGCCGCCGGTTGCAGCTTCGCGGGCCACTGATATTCTTCTTTGCTGTACTGAAACTGAATGCATGGTTTCGGCGGTGTGTGGTAAAGTATTTCCTCTGTTTCAATATCAGCTCAAGCATATTTCTGACCCTCGGAAATTCTCTCTACTGTCATCATCGTCAAGTAAGAACAAAACCTCACCCCCTTTCCCTCCGTTAATTTAAAGTAGATAATAACCTTTCGTTTTCTTTTCTTATTCCCCCCAGAAATGAATACAGAATTATGGCTTTGCGGTAAATCCGTGGCGGAGACTGAATTAGCTCAATCGCTGAAAACCAGCAACTGTCTGAAGCTTCCCGACGACGAAGCCGGTGGCAACAGTCCCGCTCTCTCGGTGCGACTGCATTCGGAGACGGAAACGCCGCCGTGCGAGTTTCGGGTTAACGACTATATGAATGCTCTTTCCACTTCATGCTTCGGAAGATTCTTAATTTGCTCTCCCAGATTAGGTTCCACTCACGACGTCGTATCCCTGTTAGTCGTTTTCCTTTCTTCACTAGCTTCTTAGCGTGTTCTTTTCTCGCGTTGTTTTTTGTGTGTGTATGTGTGTAATGTGTTAAAAATTTCATATCAGAAGTGAGCTGCTAGAGTTTGAATATTCTTGGGAGTTAAAAATATCCACTTTTTAAGTATATGATGTACCATTTTTTCCTTCATTTAATTTCTATGAGATGGAAATAAATCATTTCGAAGAACGTCAGGGACTCATTTCGCCGTTTCTTCTTTTTGCACAATCTTTTTGATTGCCTGAAGTTTTGATGTTCTTTCGCATGTTGAAGATTAATACTACCATCAAAGTTTGGATTATTTTGGATATCTTCAACTTGCTGAAGTTGGAGGCACAATTTTTAAAAAATCTTGTTGCTAAAAGGCTGTTTAGCTGATGTAACATTTTGACTCATTTTAGTTTGTTAATTGTTGTACAGCAATTTTAGTGACTTGCCAGTTGGGGCAGCTTGTGTTGCAGATGTACAGACGAAAGGCAGAGGTACAGTTTATGTGAGGAAGATCTGAATGCTTGTCACAATGATGTTTCGACGTTGCGCCCTTATGTTTTGTACTTGTCAACTTGCGTAACCATGCGGGGAACATGTAGGTAGGTCAAAAAATGTGTGGGAATCTCCGAAAGGATGCCTAATGTTTTCCTTCACAATACAAATGGAAGATGGCAGAGTTGTCCCACTTCTACAATATGTGATTAGCCTAGCTGTAACAGAAGCGATAAAGGATCTTTGTCAACAAAATGTAAGTTATTTCGGTTTAACTCACTGCTATTATTCGGTAACTCTTGTACTTCATGTTGCAAGTCATTAGTTTTTGTGCTCAAATTTATGGCTGTAAAAGGATATGTTTAGGAGCGTCTTGAGCATATTATTTTCAATAACCGCAAGGAGTCATCAATGATATGGGTTCTGTTGCATAAGTTGGTAAAATAACGAGAATTCTGTGAAGCAACATTTATTCAGCTATAATATTTTGATGTATGTGTTGTTGGAATCTCTTTCAGGGCACAGCACAACTTGATGTTAAAATAAAGTGGCCAAATGATTTGTACTTGGACGGCCTTAAAATAGGTGGGGTTTTGTGCACTTCAACATACAAGTCAAAGAAATTTAATGTTAGTACTGGTAAACAACATTCTTACTTCTCTCATATGCGCAATTTGATTCACTCTGTTTTTGGCTTCTTTAGTAGATCCGCCTTGTGTATTCACAATAGCTATTTATAAACTTTTTCTTTTGTCACATCCAGTAGTGTTACACGGCGAGTCTCTGCTTAAGGTTTCGCAAAAGTTGGAACTTTTATTCATTTCACTTGCTATTTGATATGCAGGAATAGGCTTGAATGTTGGTAATGAGAAACCAACCATCTGCTTGAATGCAGCTTTGCGAAAGCTGACTCCTGTGGCTTGTGAACTACAGCGAGAAGATGTGATGGCAGCTTTCTTTAATAAATTTGAGTATCTGTATGATATCTTCACTCAACAAGGTGAATACTAGTGCAAACCCTCTTCACTCTTGATCGATATCCCACATGTGGGTCTTGTATAATTCCTCATCTTAGTGATATATCTGTTGAGATTCTTAAATTTTGAATCTGTATCCCACAGGATTCCAATCTCTTGAGGATTTGTACTATAAGTCATGGTTACACAGGTAATACCTCGCCTTGCTATCTTTCGAGAAGTCTTGTAGTTGTAGAAGATGCTACAGACCGCATTAGTTCTTTATTTGTAAAAATGGAAAAAATTGTGTTTTGTCCAGTTATTTCCTTGGTAACAGATAAACGAATTTGTCAACCAAAAAAGTGATCTCGATACACAGATTACACCATTTTTTTTATTATCTCTGCAGTGGACAAAAAGTCATTGTGCAAGAGAGAATTGATAATCAAGACAAAGTTATGGAAGAGTTGGTCACTATTCAGGTGAGTTTATATCTCGAACATACTTGCTTATTTGTGTATTAGCTAGCACTTTGTGTTTTTTACCTTCTCTGGAAATCTTTTTATGTCAGGGTTTATCAGTGTCTGGTTATTTGTTAGCTACCTCAGAAGACGGTCGAACATTTGAACTTCATCCAGATGGAAACAGGTATGTGATTTTGTTTCAGTTACCTAATGGCAAAAACGTTAAATTGTGTGCAATGTGCCATCAAATCAAGGGTGGAAGATTTTTTTTTCATTTTTTGCGAGTTTCAAAAATTTCGTTTCCCATGTGCTACGAAATTGATTTCCTTTTGACCGGCTGTACCGCGTAAATCTTTGCAGTCATGAAGAAAACTGAGTGATTGTTTCAAGCTTCATGCGGTCTTATGCTAGATTCCAATCTGAGATTGACATGTAAAATAGTCCTTAGTCAAGTCTTTGAATAGAGAACCGGCATGTCTCCCATGACCGTTCACTGTAAACTGTAAATATCTCCCCCTTCTCTTGATGGAGATGATGACCTGTCAAAGCTATTAGGTTCTGCATTGCTGCTGCATAATCACACCCTCCCACTCCTCGCATGTCATTGCTAATACTATTCATTGCTGGTTATTGCTGCAGTTTTGACTTCTTTAAAGGACTCGTCAAGAGAAAACTAGGTTGAAGACAGGGTTCACTGGTGCCTTTCTTTGCTGCAGGAGCGTGATAAATGTCATTTCTTATTGATCTCTTCCGGATTCAACTCACGTTGCTTTATTAGATAGATCAATTGTTGAATTTTTTTTTTTCCTTCTGTTAATTTCAATGGTTAAGGACAGTCCACATGGAGGGATAATCCTTTTACATATTTTGATGAAACAAAAGGAGGTACTTGTGAGCGGATGGATATTTGGCAGTGTGTTCTTTTCCGGAGAAGTAAGAAATCTGTTTGTGACGAGAATGCATAAGGGTGCACAAGGCAGTTCTATATTTTGTTCAATTTCTTGCAAATTGCCCGCATGAGAGTGTTACATTCTATTCTATAACTCCAATTTGATTGATTCTAATAAAACTATTGACCCACCTCTTTATCATGACCACTTTCCAACAAATGAACTGATACATGGAGTAGTAGTAGTGCAACAACTAAAAAGTGGCAAGTGTAGTTCTTTGTAACAACGACAAATAAAGAAGCAGTTTTTAGGACCCCCAATAATCAACAGAGAAGGGAAAATAATCAGTTCAGATTGGCAAATTTAAGTGAATTCACAATAATCAGTGGTAGGCTAGGCCCGTTCTCATTTAACTACACAACACTAATACCAATACTTGCCCTCTTCTTCCTCGATACCCCAAAACCCATCAACGGTGGCTCTGGTTGCGCACACCCGGCGTCTGTTTTGTCCGGCCATCTCCGGACCAGGTATGTTTCTGTATCCATGTATCTCTCTCCTCCTGATCTGTCCCGACCGTGCAGTTCCTTCTCTGAAGACTTAATTCTACGGCAGAATTTTTGCTTAATTTCATGTTTTGATTACTAGTGGGTTTCGTATTGAGAATGGAAATATGTTGAATTGAGGGTGTTATAAAAGGAAAAAGGAAGAATCTTGAAAATGTATACAATCGTCTGACACAAATGCCGCAGGAGCTACATTCTGATGAGCTTTCCCCTTTCTTATTCTGTCGATGCTGGGTTTTATTTCTTCTATTCCCTTAATGTTCCGTTCCCCCTTTTAAGGCATGCATGCTTCCCTGTGACCGGATTTCAGTTTAATTAATGAATTCATTGTGAAATCACGTAGCTGAAAATGGCCGATGATTATGATAGTCACTTGAAGTTTCATTGAATGTATCGTTCTTATCTTCTTTTTATATTTTATAAATGTTCATACTGTCCGCTCTGAAGATATGTTTTGTAAGTAGGCTAAGGATTCTATACCATTCTCGGCCTTTTGGCAAACATCAGTTGTAGTCTGAAGATGCCATCTATGGCTGCTTTTCTATTTCGTGGTCCTTCTGTTTGCTTCTTTCACTTTTTAAGGTTGATGGGAGGAGAAATAATGTGCTTTAAGGTTTGATCCATGAATTTGGTCATTTTTAGATCACTGATTCGTTGTTCAAATTTCGTGCTGTTTCTCCTAAATTGAACCTTTAATTTTCATTGTATCCTTTTTTCTACAGGAGTTTTGTTTCATTTTCATCACAAATTTGTTGAATCTTTGTTGATTGCATGTTGTTTGCAGTCTTCTAGGTATGGACACTCCAAAGCAATCTGCTGAACCGGTGACTTTATCTTCAAGCGATTCTTCTGACGATGATGATTTTAAACCACAGACAAAACGGTTGAAATGCACTGATGCGGCTGGAGAGATTTTCAAACCAGATTTCAAATATACTTCTGGAGAAGGTACTTTATGGACTTCTAAATGTTTCTGATCCGTCTTCTGCTGCTTTCAGTTATCGGGATAATAATTTTGTTTTAACTTGTTGCGGCGATCAAACTCTGCCACGGGCACCATCAAACTATGTCTTATCTGCAGAAAGAACGTTGTATCAAAATATTGTGTTGTAGGATATTATTTTGAATGTTGTATTCTTTTTATCACCTTTGGTGTTTCATGTGAATATTCTGCAAATAATTATGTGGTGATCTTAGCTTCCCATTTTCATCCTTACTGTACATTCTACAATTTTTTTAGTGGACTCTGCATTTTTCTCTTTCTTCGTTTAATTCGCTATGTTCAAACATTCGCCAACTTGAATCTCTTTTCCCTCTCGTAAATTTTCCATTTCCCGTCTTTCATCCTTTCTTTTCATTTTGTTCAAACCTTCATTGTAACATTAGCATCTCTGTGCCTTGTGGCACCTTCCACATGTTTTCCATCCCATCATTTTTGTTATTTTCTTTTTCGACCACAGTGGAGCAGAGTCTTGGTTACATTTGTTGCTTATTTTCAATTTGTACCGCTTTGACATGATCTGATTGCTCCTAGTTTGTTTCCCTTATTGTTTCTCTTTCCAGATGTATTGCTCAGAAAGGCTCGAATGTACCAAGAATACATGAAAGTAATCCCTGTTCCCACCAAGCGTGGTTCCGTAATTCCCTTCACCTCATGGATCGGTTTAGGCTCATCGATCAAGCAACTGTACAAACAACCCCTCCACTACCTCACCAACATTCACTTGAGAGAATTAGACCATTTGAGAATCAGCCCACCAGGAGGCGAAGAAGATAATCGCCCGTTGGATTCTGTTGTCTCTCCTGTAAAAGCCGAGGCCAGCATCTGGCTTATGGAAGAGGTTCATCGGCTATCTTCATCACCTCATCATCTGGCTAAACTGTGGAGCAGTGATAGGATGTATCATGTTTATATTGATCCAATTTTTGCTGGGGAAAAGGGTTTGTCATCCAGTAGATTGGTTGTGCAGTAAAGATAGGAGTTGTATGCACTTTCTGTATGGAGAAAGTTAGAAGAGGAGGAAGTGACTACCCTTCACCATTAACCATATATCATCTCCTACCTTGATGAAACCTTTTCTTTTGTGCATTTGCTTTATTTTGACAAGTTTTACCGATGGAAGGCAGACGCCGATGGTTACTGGCATGAACTTCGTATTTGTTTTGCTTTGATAGATTTTAAATGTGAAGTTCGGACCAAAATCACTCATAAGAGTTGCACTGAGAATGCAACTTGTCAGTGTCATTGCGGGTGCAATGTTGACGCGAGAAATTGGCGTAGTAACCTTAATTGCAAAATCCACAATATGGAGTAATTAAATTACTATGGTAATAAAGAAATAACATCAACTCGTCATTATGATTTTCCAGTTCATCCCAACTGAACCCTAATAACAGATGACATAAGTAAAATGCAACCCAACACATTTCATCTTTATATATTTAGATACCAAATTCTATAATGTGATACAATATAGACACAAAAACCATACTTGCAAGACTATACCCAACTGGAGAAAGTTTTTACACAGCCTTTCAACCCAGCCCAGAAAAAATTAAAAAAGGAAAGAGAAGGGGGTCAGCGGAGATAGGGGAGGGGGTATCGTCTGATAAAGCATGCTAAAGGCAGAAGCTTATACAAACATGAAACATTTCAATTAATTATGTTCTACAATGTGGTAACATCTCATCTCAGGCTCATCACAGGCCATGGTGTGACCCCGACAGCCGGAAGTGATGGTCGAACCACAGGTACACGCTTCACAACAGAGAATGCTTCATTGAGGCGTGCAGCTTTGCTCATGAACTGAGAGATTTTCTGCAATTACAACAGAACAAGAATCAACAAAGATTAACTTAAAAAAATTTCAGCTTGATTAAGTACGAAATATATAACAAACGACACATGATGAAGTACTCGTAACATCCTGGGGAAAACAGAATATTACTATCTCAAAAAACAAAGTCTAAGGCCAATAGGCCATTTGTATTTCTTTCTATGTAAAAGGATTTCAGGCTAAGTTAAGATGGTTGAGCCATATAAAAACTAGCCGATTCAGTGATAGCCATCAGACGAGTAAGTATTAACAAGAGAAGCAATGAATAACATAAAGAGCAAAAGGCCGTATATAAGACCTGATCTAACAAACTAGAAGGGCTATCAGCTAAGGATTCAGTATTTGTCAAGCAAGGAGTTAGGACAGTCATACTACCAGACTGGTAATGGTAGTATAAAAATAAACACTTTTGTACGTACAATCATATGCCAAAACGGACTTCCTCAAGCTACATTTAGACGCAGAAGGCAAATACCAGTCTGGAGATTACAAGGTCAATATTCTACTATGCTACCAAGTGTAAAAAAAGCAACCTTAACATATGTGTCATGAAACTCCAATAAAATATAAAATCGAACAACCGACTTTTCCAGTCAACTTATAGTGCCTCGCATAGACACTACAACAATGTTTCGCAAAGAATACGTTTGCATACTGGACAGTATATCTGTTGGCTAGGATGGGGTTGAAGATAGATTAAAATAAGCGCTAAACAAACAATTTGAGCAAGAAGTAGGAAGCTTCAGCAAGTCTTCTGCTTTATTAAGCAAGGAGTAGTACCAAGCTTCCAGTATACCAATGAATATGAGAAAGAGTTACCATATGACATGTAATAAGATCCTGTATCATCCATTTTAAAATGCATTGAGAAAATAACCAGTGCTAAACAAACACAAAAATCAAAGCTTAATCTAGTTAAGATAGACCCATTAGAACGACAACCTTCTTGAAATCATTTTTAAATGATTGTTCAATATTGCTCCACATATTTATATCAATCTAAATTCATTTTTGAACAAAAACATCAATACAATCAAAGGTAACAAAGAAGTAGGGAAAGCGAATTATGCAGGTCTGAATCAGATGGTACCATATATAACATGCTTAACTCTTTTTTTTTTCTCCAATTAATCTATCCAGAATTACCCAGCTAAGGTGTATGCACTAATTACACTGTAAACAATTCACAAATTCCAAACAAAGCAGGATAGACAGTAAGTAGTAGTAAATGATGCATCTAAGAGCAAATAGCTAACAAAAACAGAATTCATATATGAATTGAACAAAGAAAGAAGGATGACCTTGTCGTCCATGGTGACCTTGAGCTCTAAACCACGCGTCTTTCTCTTCATCTTATACAACCTTCTCCCCAAAATAACAAACCCCATTACAGCCGCAGCTACAGAGAATGTCCAAACAGGGTTTGCCCTGAAAACACAGTACCTTAAGAAATCAAGTGGTACTTTCCACCACACCACACTCTTCTTTTTCTCCTCCTCATTCTTATCCTCCGGCTTGCTTTCCAAGTTACTGGGTTCAGCTTCTTCAATAGTTTCTCCCTCATTTTCACTGTCAAGCTGGCTCATTTCTTGATCTAAAGCTTTGAAATTTGCAATTTCCTTGGTACCCAACAGGCTATCCTGCTCAAAGTTTGCAGCTTTATCAGAATCTAACTCAATCCCGCCAGAATCAGACCAAATTGTATGGAAATTCTCCGAAGATTTGTCATTTCCGCCGCGAATTTCCTCAATCCCTTCAAAGCCCAAGTGCAATTTCCCCTTACCATCGAAACTAGGCTCAGTATTCACCTCTAATCCGCCGAATTTCCGGTCTACATCAGACCCGTCGCTACCGGAATCAGGCCAGGACTCCTTCCTAGGAGAAAACCGGGTCTCCTCCAAACCCGGATCAACCCAACTAGGGTTATCAGAATCCTCCGACTCAGAGCCCACCTCGAGTGAAACATCAACAGGCCTTCTACCTAAAGGGTCCACAGAGAAGTAATCAAACTGAATCATACCTTCGGAATGAGCATCAATCGTTTGGAAATCATTCGGATTCGGGTTCGGGTCGGACACCTCCGAGTCAGAGCAGGAGTGAAGAACCTCCCAGTCCTGAAGCTCCCCGGCAGCATCAGCATCCATGATCAAGGAAATTTGGGCTCACAAAATCAAGATACAGTTCCCTAAAAGAAAAGCTCGGGTGTTCAAAACGGGTAAGGAATACGGATGATGGAAAAGGGCGGTTGTCGGGTAGTGGTGGGTAGGACACTCAAAGTATGAAAGGGGGAAAGGAAGAAGAGATCGAGGAGCAGCAAAGAGCAATGATTCTATTGTTTCGTGCTAAAATTCGTAACCCATATTCTTCAAAGTCTTATCTGCCATTTCTTCTTTTTATTATAGTATCATTTTTTATATTGATTTAAGTTTTGTACTGGTGTGTAATACAGAAAGAATATCGATAGATAGGAGAGAGATAGAATGAGGATAATTTCCTATCCACTGCCCGACCCGACCGCTTTCCTATCCGTCTTCATCTTCACCGTTGATGGTCAGTACTTACTACTTACTAGTACTCGTACCTTTTCGGTATGACAATAGATTTTCTATGACACCTGTTTAATCACTTTTTTAAATGTGTTTACTTACTATAAAGTTAGGAACTTAGCATTAATGAACACATATATAATTCATTTAACTAGTGTCACACATAAATAACATAGAAGACTGCGAGTGTTTTAGGCCCTGTTTGATAAAACAATTAAGCACTTAAACTTATTATAATTAAGTACTTAATTGATTAGCACTATTTGATAACACAATATCATAACAACTTAACTGATTAAAAACTTAATTTATTAAGGACTTAAATAAGTGCGTTTGATAACTCAAAATAGGATGTCTTAATAAATTAAGTAGGTTTAAAATACTAGTATAAATGTGAGCATAAAAATAAGTGAAAGACTTATCACTTATGTCCGAACTGAATTTTTGAGACTATTTTTTTCTATTTATTTATTTTTATGTTTTTATTAATCATGATGTCTAGTTCTAAATTAAAATTTATGTAAATTAGTTTTTATTTAATAAATATTTATTTTTATATAAAAATTAAAATCCATTAAATTCCATGATCAATATATATTTACCATAAAATATGAATTTTTTTGACAATGATAAAATATGACATTATTAATTGAAAAAATAATAACATAATAAAATTTAAATATTTTTATTACATTATATTATTATTATTTTTACTATTATAGTTTCATATACATCAATTATTTTTTTAGATAAAATTATAAGTCGAGATACTTTAAATTCAGTATTCAGACTTCAGATTTCAAACATTTTATTCAGTGTTTAGATTTTGGTTTTTATCAAAATACGACAAACTTAATTAGTTCATTACTTATGATTCAGTTTTCAGATTTCATACCTGAGAACCAAATTAAGTTTTATCAAACGGGCCCTTAGTATTCGTTTTTTCACAAGATCAATTCTATTTTTTGCATGGAGTGCTACTATAGAGTGAAATTAGACTGCCTCCAAAAATTAATACTACCATCTCAAAGTTCCAAGTTCCAACCGTATAAATAACAAATAGTAATCTCTCTGGTCCTTATTATAAGGTATTCTGATTTGTCCTAAGTTTGTTCTAAATTTCACATAGGATATTTTTTTATTTGAAATAAAAACCTTAAAAATATATCTTAATAATGAGGAGAACACGACCAATGTAAAAATATATGTTTAAGATTTTTTTAATTAAAAATACATCTTAAATAAAACCTAAGACAAAATCAAAATGCCTTATAATATACCGGAGGGAGTAGTAAACTATGGTGATAGGACCGTAGACTCAATTGATGTTCTGTGAGATGTGGCCGTAATAAATGGCACACTTATCAGGTTTGCCAACCTCTACTCTCCTGCCATAAATTTTTCCAGTTGGATGACTACTAGTGGTTGTCAATCCGGACCAACAGTAGACTCCTCTTATTTTTCACACTAGTGGTAGTTTTCGGTTTTGAAATTTTGGTACAATTTGTATTGAAAAGGAAAATAGAAACTGTATAATAATTTTGGGAGATAGGAGCAGGAGTGGATCAAGGAGCTGACCAATAATCACTCTATATTCGTGCTAAAAAATCCGCAACGCATATGGCCATATTCTTCATAGTCTTAGGTGCCCAATTTTTCCTCGTAATCTCATAACTGGTGAATCGCAAATTAATTGTGGGATGTGGCCGTCCGTTGACGGTAATTCTTCACTCATCTTTCTCTTTTACTTCTTTGCTACGGACGTCTCGGTTTTTGTTCAGAGCTTGCGCTGTTGGGGTTTTGTGTGTGTATGTGTGTATTTAAGAAGTTCTTATAGTTTATTTTTCGTCTGAAACAAATTTGCATCAATATTAGGTTAGCTTTGGTGTTGTAATTTCGATAAATAGTTACATATGTATAGAAAAGTTAACTCCATTTGAATTTTTCAGGTCAGCCAATGTGTTGCTTATCAGAAACTAGTAGATAACATGCCTAAGAGAGACATTATTAATTTGATTTGTTGACACATTAAAACTATAGAAACGTTGTTAATTTCCATAGTTTTAGGCCGTTCAAATATATATATATATATATATATATATATATATATATATATAAACTTATGTCAGGTCGACAATATATCTAGACATATTCTCTGCACTTAATTTGAATTTGTGTTATCAAGGCAAAAAAAGATCTTTCTGTTTGTGATTTTGGTTTTGGTGTTAGGAAACCTAACTTCCAGATGGAATATAGATTCAAAATTTTGACCGATTTTTGGATTGGCCACAAGTACGTCCTTGTGTGTTAGCTAGCTAGCTAGTGTGCCAGTTCTTGTACAGGGGTTTGGTTTGCTACATTGTGAGAGAGAAATTTAACTTACAAGTTACAACGGAGACATTCTTAGATTCTTACAATCAACTTAAGGAGATTAACAAAGAAAAGAAAATGTAACATATGGTAGTTTTTACATTTGATGTAAACAATATACTCCTTCTGTTTTAAAATTATTGTCTAGTTTGAGATTTCACTTTTAGTATAATTTGAACTAAAAAAATAAAAATTTAAACCGGACAATAATTACGAGAAGGAAAGAGTATATAATTATTACACGGGCGCGTGGGGGGATGGATCATGGCTTTCTCAGTACCCGTACTTTGAAGTCTGATCTGTATCATCCTAATTCCTAACTAACCTAAATCAAGAAATGAATATATTCTCACGACTATGTAACAACAGGTTTCTAAATCAACTGAAGGTTAATAGACAATACCAAATTTAATTCCGATTTCCTAAAAACCTTTACCCCAGTTCACAGTCCCTAAATTCAGCCTGCAGGTTAATTTAGGTGATCAAGCAAGGGAAGTTTTGAAGGACGCTTGCCAAGATTTGATGCTCAGGAGTGAAACATATTGATATGAACTATGAAGAACCTGCCTTTGACAGTTCGCCTGCCATAAAAACTGTCAAGTTTTGAACCTTTTTTTTTTTTTCTTTTTTCTTTTTTACAATGAGCACATTTTGATCAGGCTGTTGCAGAGATTACAAAAATCAACAAGGTCTAAAAGCTGTGGATTCAGAAACATTGCATGTCAGAGACAAGCGGGTTTCAGAGATTCATCCATCTTGCCTCTCTCAGTACCCCGTCTACCTGTATCTTCTCTTAACCTAAATGATAAAGAAATTAACAGATTCTACCATCAAGCTAGCTAGCTAGCTATTAGTTCTAAGTATTTGACTTGTAATGTGTACTAATGCACATGTGGTTAAGTTATGTACAAAACTCACACATATCTATCACAGTATATATAACAAACACCTATATATACATTAATTTAAGTTTACGAAAAAAAGTTGGGAAGATGGATAACCATAACTGTGACATCATCCACACCACCTCTGCGATATGACAATGCTACCAGCTCTTTACAAGCCTCCACTGCTGAATCATCTTCATCCTGATCCTCCTTCTTCTTCCCTCCTCCTCCTCTTGATGATGATGATGCTAGCACAACATCAACTGCCTCTTGCTCCCCTACCTATATATATGTATTTCATTTTTTTTTTTCAAGGAATTAAGAAACAAGTAAACTTAATTAGTACTGTATGTTTTCATAATCATGAGATCGTACGTAGATGTGTGGTGAAGAATGGAACTACTACTTTTTCTCAAAATGATTATCCAATTTGAATTTTTAATTTTTAGTACAGTTTACAGTAAAAGTGAAATATTAAATACGACAATTATTTCGAGATGGAGGAAGAACTAGTAAATCAAAATGAAAATTACGGACCTTATCCCACAAGCCATCAGAAGCCAAGATGAGGAAGCAGTCGGAGTCATCAGGAGTTAAAGGAAGGGAGAGAGTGTGTGGTTCAGAAATGATATGTTGTTTTAGGTAAGCATCCCCAATAGCCCTCGATACTGCTAGGCTCCCGTTTACCCTCCATACTCCATTCCGGCACTCCAAAAATCCACCCTATATACATACATTTGTGAATAAAAGTTTGAGTAATTTTCTTGCAACATTAATCCAAATGATCATAAATCACAAATATATATATATATATATATATATATGTTTATTATGTAATGTAATGTCTTACCGAGTTTTCGATTCGGGCACGTTCATCTGGTCGGGTGAGGCGATGATCTTGAGTCAAACACTGAGCTTTTCCATTCCTACTTAGGATTACTTTACAGTCTCCAACGTTGCCAACATACATCTCCCCATCCTTCACTAGCACACTCGCTGCACATGCTCCCCCTTTATTCACTTCCTGTTATATTGAATGTATAAAGAACACATTTGTAAGTAATACAAACAATTGCAGTTTAAATAAAAACATTAGGCTCCAATTTTAATCGAATTAGCTCGGCCGGCCGGCCACAAAAATGTATATATAAAATATATATCTTAGGTGACACTAACTAGTACTTTTTGAATTTTTTACTTTTAGTTCAATTTATACTAAAAGTGAAATTCAAACTTTACAAACAGACGGAGTAATGGCCTGAGGTGTACTGGTGACGTTAGTAATCGACTTTGGTGGTTAGTGTGGGAATCTAATTAGTATTACAAAATAATAATGTGGACAAATAATTAGTCAAAACCATATGGTGTATATATTAATGAAAATCATATAATTAAGTTGAAACATTCAAACTTGCTATCATCATCAGGTAATTAATGAAGCTATAAATATGCATTGGATGATCTCAATATTATATATATATATATATATATGTATATACCTGACTAAGAAATTGATGATCAGTGACCAAGTATCCTCTTCGTATTGCTTGTTCAATATGATGATGTTCAGCTTCTTCTAATGATCCAACGGCCACATTCTCTATATTGTTGATCTCCTTCATTATGTTGGTCCCTAGATTTTCTGCCACAAACTCAGCTGCTGCTCTTCCTCCATGCCCATCCACCACCACAAAAAACGCCTATTCATAATTTACAAACAAATGCAAATACAATTCAAGAAAATGAACCCAAAAAAAGAAAAAAATGGAAAAATAAGAGGCATGAATTGTGAATGAATGATGTACATACTTGTTTAGGGTTTGAATCGATGTGGAGCATGACGCCATGTGAATCTTCCATGACGGCTCTCTTTCCTTTCTTACTTGCCACCGCAAATCCTTTACCTTGTAGTTGGAACTCCTCCCGTTCATATTTTTTCCCGATCATGATTTCCATTTCCGCCGGACAACTAAGGGGAGCCGGTACAACCAGTTGTGTCGGCCGTAGAGTACTCTTCCTAGTTAACACACTCGTCCGTGGCTGCTTCATCACCATCATTTCTTCTTCCTTACGCTGTAATATTTGTGCCTCTTGATCATTAACAATATGAGTTACGCTAGTGGTAGTAGTACTTTGGTGGGGATGATCATCTTCATGATGATTGGTATCCTCCTTGATATAAGGATCAGATGTAATCGTCTTTTGTCGCTTTGGATATTGATTCGCTTCAAATTTGTTGGCATTATACAACAATGAGCCCAACCACGTGGCCTGCGGATTTGAAGAGCTGGAAGAAGGAGGTTGTTTGGAAGCTGAGACAGCGGCTAAGGCCATACCGCGGATACCCTTCCTAAGACGTCTTAAGAAGCAGAATCCAATCGAGAATATGGAGAGCCTTAGGAAAAATACACCGGATAATTCAATCATTTTCTTTCCCGGATTTCCCTATACATATATGTAAAGAGATAAACAAAGATCAATGCTTTATGTAAGATGGATTCAAATGGATGGGAAATGAGAGAGAGAGATGAATTAATTAATGAAGATTGTGGGATTAATTAGAAGGGGGGGTTAATTATGACTGATGAACTCTTATATATATATATATATATATATATATATATATATATATATATATATATAAAAGGATAGGAAGTGAAGAAAAGATGAAAGGGGACACATATATTGATTGATTCAGCTGGCAGGCAAATGAGATGGGGAAATGGGGTTTTAAATTTTAATGGGTCAAAGATGAAAGTGACCCCCAGAAATATATTTGTTGGGAAGACATTCTCTCTTCAATAAGCTTTTGATTAACGAGTCAAACGGTTGAGAGAGCTTCCAAGGGCGCAGAATAGTTGGTGTTTATTTTTACTTAAGTATATATATATTTTCTATTTTAATAAGATAAGATAATTCACAGAAATTTTATAAGATAATAAAGAATGTGGTATAAAAACCAGTAACGTATCGTATACATTCTTTTCAAGTGATTATATATAGAGTTATTCTTTTTGTGGACGAAAAGTAGTAGAAATAGGAGTGGACAGAATAGAAAAATAAAACAAGTAGTAGCTACGGATGGAGAGATGGTGGAGTAATCAAAGAATCAATGAAATCCATGGGGCGGGCAGGAGTGAATCAATGGGGTTCTGGAAAGCTTCAACGCCAAGGAAATGGTCATACGTTACTACGGCGTACGTTGTTGTATTAATCTACACCATGTGACCTATTAATTTGTGTCTGCGTGCACTTCTTATAATTCTACATTTATTTGGTTTGCCTGCAGATTATTAAAACCCACTGAATTTGTCATCTACATATTGCTTTCTTTTCTTTTCTTTTTTTTTTAAATTTTTGATGGAAAGCAAAAGAGAGTACTTTTTGGTTGATTAATTAATTGAGTAATTGGCCAGTGGAAGTCCCAAAGGTCACTCCAACAGATTTCCCTGCCCGAATTGATCTATTCATTGTGTAGATTGGTTTCCTAGAGAATACGATATAAATAATTATATATATATATATATATATATATATATATGTATATAGTTAGAGATGGATGGATGGTTGAGACGATACCAAAGTGCAGGCGGTGTTTTCATTTGAAGAATTCTAAATAAGGGGTTGTCGATAAAAGAGTTTGATCTTCCAGACTCTTTTATTAATTTGTGGCAATATTATAAGCTGTAGTACCTAGGAGAAGTAGATAGTTCTTTTATAATTTGCTTAACAATGCTTTCGGAGATAATATTGTTGCACATGGTGATGATACTACTACTACTACTACTTATGCAAAATCCCATGTATAGGGTGTTGTTATTTGATCCACTCCGTCAAATTTTTTTTTTTTAATTAATTAAACCTGACTGATTTCTAGTAAATTTAATAAAATATTTTTTTTTCCCTTCAATAAAAAAAAATTATGTGATGGATAGTGATTATGGTAGCTAGCTAACCAGTATGCATGTGACTACTATAGTTTGATGAAGAAGGGAAAAAAAAAATAAAAAATTAAAGGGGTTTGAATTAAGGATTGAATGTGAAAAGAAAGGGGCTAGTGAAAGGGGTGAAATATTCAGCATCATCAGTATCATTGACACGACCAACTCAATATAATAATAAAATAAACCCCCAGAAGAAGAAGATTAAATCAAGAGATTCTAGAGACGCCCCCCAACATATGTGCCTTATATGTATGCCTTAAAAAATTCTAATTAATTAGTGACGAACGCAAACACACACACACACACATATATATATATATATACGAGATGAAAACACAAATGCAATTACCTCCCTTCAGTATTAATATAAATTTATTTGTCCTCATTTACTTGACACCGGCCCCTTCTTTTACCTCAATATCATTTTTTTTTTTCGAATCTCAAGAACAATTTACACATGTATCACGGTCAAAAGATTTTTTTTTTTTTTTTTATAAATATCTCACGACCTTTTAAAGTTTCTTACCTATTGAATTTTTCAAACTGATTAGTGATCACAGACCTCCGTCCTCCACGTACGGCAGCATCCCGAAATTCCCATTTGATTTAATTAATTAATTATTTTTATAAAAAAAAAAAAAAAAATTATCAGGTCCGGGTGACATTTTTACTTTCGCTTTATTTTGTTGCCTGAAATCACCAGCAGTTGGAATAGTTTATATGATCCCCTGTTTTATAGTGTGGGCTAGGGAGCTTTTGTTTTGAATCAATTTTTAGTCCATCACCACAAACTAGCTTGGCATTCATTCATCTCTTCTCAAACATTTGATTTATTTCGACGTTGGCAGTAAATCTAGAATGGATCGAGTTACTCAGCATTCCCAATTTCCCTTGCAAATTGATTCTCTCGGCTTGCTCAAATTATTTTCAACAAGTTGTTGGCTTCAGAGGGTAAAGATTCAAGGGAAGGGATGATGGCTGCTCCAAGATGATGACTTGGGATGTGGAAGGAGATGAATGGCGAACATTGAGGTTGTGAACTCTCTTTTATGCTGCTTTCATGCTCAGTGTAACTCTGCGGTCAGTTGTGTTTTCATATGTAGTGCTACGTTATATATAGCTACACATTGTCACATTCATTTGATTCCCTACTGGCGTGGTAATGCACGGATTCATTCTAAATCCAGAACTATTATGAAAGCGTCTTCCTAACATTGGTGATTTGAACCAAACATCAACATATCTTTGTCCAAAAAAAAGGACATTAAAAACAATTCACAGGAGCCAACAATATTAAACCAAGTTCCTTTTAAAAGTAATGGTTCATACACTTCCATTAAACGACTATCAGCAATACTATTGAAAACAAGTCCAACAACACAAACCATCTCAACTGCTACTTCCCAAAACTTAAGTTCCAACATCCAAATCATATTTTAGTTTAGGGCGCATTACTTCTTCTCCTCCTTCTCAGCCTCTGCTGCCCTCTTCAACCTAGCACCAAGGTGGCGAGCATTCATCCTCTCCAATCGCAGCTTGTTGTAGGCCTTGAATGACTTCATGTCACCAGTTATCTTAACAAGCTCCGCGGTTGGTTTCTCAGGAACAATGGGCAAGACTGGACCTTGGACTTGGGTAGCTGTTGCTAATTCCTCTGGGGCAGAGTCACCAGCCTGCAAAAAACCAAAACAAGTTACAGCAAAACATCCCCAAGAATAAATACTTCCATGCCACTTACTAAAGCAAATGTACAGGAAAAGAACATGTCAGATGTTACCTTGAATTTCTTTGTGCGTCTTGGGAAGACAACCAAATTGGCCTTGTAAAGTTTGAGACGCTGCACATTAGCCTGAAAGCCTTCCAATGACCTGTTTTTGCGGCGATGATCCACTGAGATCCCAACAGTTGGGGCAAGTTTCTTAGGGATACCAGCAGCCTGTTTTGTAGAAGAAAAAACCAGTCAGTCAGTCAGAAAACATACTCAAATTTTCAAAGTCCAGTAAGCATTTGCTTAAAAAATCACCTTGAGCTCGTCCAAAGTAAAACCTCTTCCAGCTCTGACTTTCATGTTGTACTTCACAGTCTGGCCATGGACAATAGGACGGAGAGGTCCAGCAGTTGGCCTAGGGAAGATCTTCACAGCCTTCTTCTGCCTAGCTGCAAGACAGTTTCAAATGCAAAAATAACAAACCAGATATCAGCTAGGCATTTCCAAATGAGCTTATAACACGAAAATCAGCTGGTGAAGAATGAATCTACATACCATTTCTTCTCCGGGTCTTGCGTGCAGGTTGGTTAAACCAAGTCCTAACATAGTTTTGCCAATGCTTCCTGAAATGGGAGCTTGGAACAACATTGTTGTGCTTAACCATGACTTACCTACACAGCAAAAAGGTACCATCAGGTGGAGTGGAATGGTTAAGAGAGAAGCCACGATTTCACATAGGATACAAATTCAACAAAAGCCGATACAGATCCAATATGATAGCAATGGCACTAAAAGTAGTAGCCATACCCGAGACAATCAATCAATAATGGGTATTTGAACTTTAAAAAAAAAAAAAAGAGAAAAGCAGGAAACACCTTGTTTTAAAATGCGAGTGGAGCTGCATAGTGGAAAAATAAACCACACCAAGTTAATCGTCTCCACAAATCAACCTCACTACATGAAATACGTACCATAGTTCCAAAAAACGTAACTTAAATCACCTTAAGCACAAAAGGCTACTCTAAACTGACACAAAATGGACAGAATCATAAAGACCTAAAATCCCAAAATCATCAATTGCATTAATAACTCATAGGAGCAAAGCAACCAATCATTAACCAACAGATATATAAACTAGTTCTAGCATCTCTTTATTTGGAAGGGACAAATTAAAAAATCCAAACAATGAGGCAAACATAGACAAACATCTAAAACAACGGGGTTTCAGGAAATCAATATCAACAGGAAAGATTCAACGTCATTTTCTACTGGTTTAGGCAAGAACAAAAAACGCAACGGCTGATAATGATAAATAGATAAACAGGGGCGCAAAGGGATACAGAGATAATGTATTGGAAACAGAATAGAGAAACACAGAAACGAACCTGTTTGATCTGAGGGGCGGCTGCCGCTGGAAATTCGAAGCGTCGACGAGAGAGAGAGAGAGACTGCTGCTGATAAAAAAAGTGGGAAGCTAAAGGAAAATGCAGTGTATAAAACTAAAACCCTAGGTTTCTTAATTGGGCTTGGGCTGGCTTTCTCCTTTCTTCATAGTTCACAGTTTCTACGGGCTCTCTTTTCTTTTTGCTTCTTATCTATAGTTGGGCTGCTTATGTCAGGGCTTCGCATATGTTTCTTTGCCCAGCTCATTGAACTACTTGTGGAAGTTATTATTATAGGCTTATAGGTAGCTCTCTTTTCTTTTTTCTTTTTTTTTCCCGATTTAATAATAGCTCTCTTTTCTTAAATAACCAAAAAAAAAAAAAAAAAATCCCTTGGGCACTTTTTTCTTTTTAAAAAAAAGTTACAATTTTTTGATAATGTTCTTTGAGTTTACAAACGTTGATGATATGTGATGTTCTTCTCACACCCAATACTCCAACACACATGAATAGTTTTAATGTCGAACAAAAAACCCAACAAAAAAACATTAAGAGCAACAACAACGCTTGGTAATTGGCGTTGGAAATCAGATACATTATTATTATTGTTACTTCTTCCCATTGCGCATCAGAGACGCAAATGAGAGCGGAGCTTTTTTTATTACCTGATACTTGGGGTCAATTGATGGACAAGCTATTGCTTTAATGCCTGATGGCCCTTACCTTATTGAAAAAAAAAAAAAAATTTTATTTGTAAAGAGTGAAGAAAAAACGGATGTACTAATTGTCATTGGACAAAAAGAATCCTTTTACGTGTAAACTGTCAAGTGGGTGATGTGAAAAAATATGGGACCACATTTTACTTGACTGCACTGAGGTTGCTCTAAATCTCTGTTTGGTTTAGTATTTAGTAGGGTTTTTTTTTTTAAGATTTATTTCATTAATAAATCTCTCATCTCAATGTATGTTTTTACATTTTTAATAAAAAAATATCGAAAAATACACACGGAAAAAAGATCCAAACTTATGTTTGAAAATCTCAATACTTGTAAAAGTGAAAAGATGTGATTCACATCATTTGGAAGTTGGGGATCAGTTTACGAAGATCCCAGTGTATCCTGAAAACTTGTAGCATCATCATCATCATCATCATCAAAGACATACATACACCGTCAAGGTTAAATTGAATGCTCAAGGTTTTCTTCTTTTTCTGCATCCATTAAAAGAGAGAGGTGGAATTTGCAGTTCTTGGGTCTACAATTATTTTGGTTGAAAGCATAGATGAGCCCAGTAGACGGTGATAAGAGACCAACTGGGCCGCCGCCGAATGAAATGGAGAGGCAGCAGTGTGTTTTGCTTCGCATTCGCAGTAGATAAAAAGTGGCCCGCCATTTTCAGTAGTAGATTATTATTATTATTATTATTATATGAGCTTTCCACGACTCTCAAGGGACGGACAATGATTGGATTGCATTCTTCTCATTTACTCGCAACTCTTTTTTTTTTTAATTTTTTTTTTTGTATATATAATAAATAACATAAAAAAACAAGAGATTGGAATCACTGCCACCATTCTCTAAAAGAATTCCATGTTTTTTTTTTGGAACCATGAAATTCAATTTAAGTTTAGGTCTATGTCCCTTTTTTATTGATGAATAGTGTCATTACTCATTATTGTTTAGAGTTAGGAACATGTCAAATTCCAATTCTTAAAGTGTGTAAATAAATTAGGTACGGGAGACATTTATAATTATTGTTTCCCCCGAAAAAAAGGAGAAATGACGATGGTAGGATGTGGGAGTTTGTAAACAAATCATTAAAAAAAAAAACCAGCTTGGGGTTACAAGGTTGCATGACAAAGATTCATTCGTTAAAAACTACTCACATTGGATTTGGATATGCAATTAATCCTTGTGAATGTATGATAAAATAAATTGTGGGTTTCATGATTCTAAGAGAATTGATATTACACCATAAAGAATCTTTGGAGTATTTAATAATAATGCAAACATAGAAACTAAGTAAATGTATATGTACACAACCAAAAAAATGTGAGAGACCAGTCCAAAATGACATTTAAAGAATCCCGCATATTAATCATAATAAACTTCTTAATATAAGATTCTACACACACTGGTGAAAGATATTATTATTAACATGATGACAATAAAAATCGGAAATGAAGATGCCACAGTTTGAAATTAGTTATAGATTTTTTTAGTTTTAAAAAAGAATAAGAATCATTGCCCAAAAAAAAAAAAAAAACACTAGAATTTAGTAGTGATACAATTAAAGCAGGAAAGTGGCGTCTTTTTTGACACCTAAAACATATGAATTTGGTTTCCCGCACGAAGAAATGGTACCAAACCAAGAATGAGTTTGATGGTTTTTTTTAAAAAACTTTTTTTGGGTATAAAGAAATGAGATTATTTATTATAGTAATAAATACTATATAGTACTCCCTCCGTTCCATAATTATTATCCAATTTGAGTTTTTATTTTTAATATAAATTGAATTAAAAATGAAAACTCTAAGTGAAGAATAATTTTGGGACGAAGGAAATATAACACAAAAATTTGAGGAGAGGGTGTGGGTTTGGGGGTTGGGTGCACGTGCAGAGTGGCAAACGCCGTATGATTTTTGGTGTTTGGGTTTGTGCTGCTGAGAGAGAGAAAGAGAGAGAGTCCGTTTTCCAGCCGCCACACCAATCCATCCATCCATCCAACACAAGAAAAACAACCAAAACCAAATGCTACAATTTACACACACACTCACACACTGAAACTCTCTCTCTCTCTCTGCAACGCCTTCAGTCTGTGAGTCCCTCCTTTTTCTGACCCCCCCCGGCGGCCGTCTTCCCTCATTGGACAACCATATTAAGGGGAAGAACATGGCATTTTCTTCATCTCTTTCTCCATCATTCTCCGCCCTCAATCCCACCACTCTTCCCGCCACCTCCACTCCTACTCCTCCTTGTCCCACTTGCAGCACCCCAATTTTCCGACGAACCTCCAATTCTCCTCTCCCTAAGATCTATCCTTTTCCTCCTCCCACCTCCTCCTTCAGGTTCTCTCTTCTTTTTTCCCTACTTCAATTTTCTGGATTCTTACCGAGTTTGTATCAAATTTTATTACATCCTTGGTCTCTGCAATGGTGTTTTGCTCTTTTTAACCTTAATAATTGTCAGTTGGATTTTGGAATGTCGTTGCTCCTTGTTTATCTCTTTGTTATGTATTGGTGGAATCTTGCAATCATGCACTCCCTGTTTTAGTCTTGCCAGCTTTCTTCTATTTTTGTCTTTGACTTCCTTTTGTTTTAATCTGGAAAAGCTCTGACATCGTTTTCTTCCCTAAACTGCTACTAATTCACTGCTTTCTGTGCTAATTTTGTTGGTACATCCTTTCTTTGTTTCCATATTTATGTTTTTTTCAGTTTTCTAGTGCAGTATTGTACTTTGAAGTCTTTGGTATCTACCCTTTTTTTCCTCCTTTGTTCCAGCTTGGTAAATATACACTTTTGGAACATTTTCCCTTCTTCTGTTTTAATCTTTCCTTTTCATTTTGCTTCTTATTTTCTAGCTGTTAACTGAATGCCTCCTGGATAACTTTGTTCATTCTCTTTTTCTGTCTGTTAATGGCTCCCTGGTTTTTTACTTATCTTATTGTAAGTTGCTCGCATAGTGCTCATGTACATACTATTCAACATTGATATTATAAGAGTAGTTTACTTGAAGGACCTTCATACTGTTCTGTTCCTTGTACCTTTTGATTCAATTATAACCGATTTTCTCTTATATTGATCTGGAGTTTGTTTATTGCTAATTTGTGCGTACCCTGTTCATTTTTTCTCCACGTCTAGTTTACAAATTTAAAACCTTCCGTATTTCAAATGATGTCGTGTTAGTTTAACGAAAGCATTCCCAAATTTCCTGTGTAAATATAATTTCGTTGATGCCGTTTTCTTCAACCAACATTTGTTGTTAACATCTGAAATAATTGTAAATATCTGTTTTTTCAGCTTAGATTCTAATCCGAGAATTGGAAGAGGGGATTTATCAATGTCCATCTCACCCGCTTCAGCTGCTAGTGCAGGTTTGTAAATCTTTGTTCAGACTCAAAGGAAATTTGCAGTGTTGGTTCTGTAATCATGTGATTATGCTTCACATGATCTTTTGTTGATGTTTCTTCAAATTTTACCTTTCAGCTGCCGTGGTTCTTGATGAAGCTGTAGAACGAGTTCACCTGCCGAAGGGCGACACTTGGTCAATTCATAAATTTGGCGGTACTTGTGTGGGAACTTCAGAGCGAATTAAAAATGTTGCCAAAATTGTAGTTAACGATGAATCGGAGAGAAAGTTGGTTGTCGTCTCCGCCATGTCAAAGGTTACTGACATGATGTATGAACTCATTCACAAAGCAGAGTTCCGCGATGAATCTTACATTACTGCACTCGACGCTGTGTATGAGAAACACAAGTCAACCGCGTGTGATCTGCTTGATGGGGATGAACTTGCCAGCTTTTTATCTCGATTGCTCGATGACATTAATAACCTCAAATACATGCTCCGTGCTATATTTATTGGTAGGTTTTGTAATGGATATTTGTTGTTTATTCTTTTTCCATATTCCTGTTATTTTGTTTACTTTCAACCATGCGTTTTCATGTACCTCAAGATAAAGAACAATGGCCCATCTGCAGTTGATTGGCATGCTTCAATTTTATTGATTATTGATGATTAACTTGTAGATTATTATGGTGGTTATGGAATATCATTAGCTATGGCATTCTAACAAACTTATAGGGTTCTCGGTCCCTCCCACCCCCTTCTTTGTTTCTGCTGATAAATTGCTTAATTTATTGCAGCTGGTCATGCAACAGAATCCTTTTCAGATTTTGTTGCGGGGCATGGAGAGTTATGGTCAGCACAGATGCTGGCTGCTGTTGTCAGGCAGGTTGCAATCCTGATCCATTTCTTATATTTTATCTATGCCATCTTATATCTGTTGCTGCATCTGATGTTTTGCATTGTTTACTTTCCCATTTTTTCAGAATGGAGTGGACTGTAACTGGATGGACACCAGAAAGGTTCTTGTTGTAATTCCTACAAGTTCAAACCAGGTCGACCCTGATTATGAAGAGTCCAGTAAACGGCTCGAAAGGTGGTATTCTGAGAATCCGTGTGACACAATTATAGCCACCGGTTTTATAGCTTCCACACCACAAGATATTCCTACGACTTTGAAGAGAGATGGCAGTGACTTTTCCGCAGCCATTCTGGGTTCTTTGTTCAGAGCTCGTCAGGTCACTATATGGACAGATGTTGATGGCGTATATAGTGCAGATCCTAGGAAAGGTTTGTCAAACGCTCTTATTTTCATTTTCAAGCATTTTGAGCTGAAAAAAGATAATGGTTTCTCCTTTTCTGTATGTATAATTTCATCTAGATCTGCATGGCCTCATTTTTTGTCTAATATCTTTTAAGAAATAAGAAATGTAAGCATAAATTTCTTCTATCGTAAAATGCTTACTACCCCTTTGTTTTTTGGCTTTTAATTTTTTTTTTTTTTGATTTTTTTTTTTGTGAGTTCCAGTTAATGAAGCTGTGATTTTGGAGAAACTGTCCTATCAGGAGGCCTGGGAAATGGTGAAGTCCAAATGTTTCTAACTTTCTTTTTATTTCTTATATGGACCCTGCGACTAACTGCAGCTCTTGATATCTTTATTACAGTCATACTTCGGGGCAAACGTGTTGCATCCGCGGACAATAATTCCAGTCATGCGTTACGACATTCCAATTGTCATCCGGAATATCTTCAACCTTTCTGCTTCCGGAACGATGATCTGTAGGCCCTCTTCTGCTCTTGAGGAGGATGATAATGACCAGAAATTAGTATCTTCTGTTAAAGGTTTTGCAACGATCGATAACCTGGCACTCGTGAACGTTGAAGGGTGAGATGGAAATGTTGGCTTTGCTGGGTCCTCTTCAACTATAAAGGTTTATTTATTGAATTCTCACTTGCAAATTCGTTGTGCAGAACTGGAATGGCCGGAGTTCCTGGCACAGCTAGTGCTATTTTTGGTGCTGTCAAAGATGTTGGAGCTAATGTGATCATGATATCCCAGGTATCTTCTTGTTTGAATTTTTTGGATTTTTGAACTTCAACTCCAAATCTGTTTTTCCTTATTCTAATACTCGTTTGGATGAATTGCAGGCAAGTAGTGAGCATTCAGTGTGCTTTGCTGTGCCTGAAAAGGAAGTAAAGGCTGTTGCTGAAGCATTACAGGCTAGGTTTGGCGAAGCCTTAAATGCTGGACGCCTTTCTCAGGTTTTTATGATTTTCCAACTGTTACATCTTTTTTCTGTTCATGTTTTATTAACCTTCTATCGTTTGGTAGTTGAATGGAATATATACATGCCCAGGAAATAACTCTAAGGCCTGTTATGGTCTTTTTTTAAAGATAAAAATTCATATTGAAAATGAAGAAAAGGTTGAAATGAAAAATCCACCATTTCCAAACATAGGCTGCGTTGGTGTCTGGACTTCGACATTTCTCTTTTGCTGATTGGTAGTGGTAATGAAAAGCATCTACTCTCTTAATTAAAAAAAAGAAAAAAACAAGAAAGAAGAAAGCACTTGCTCTCTGCTGAAAGTCACTCTATTATCTGCTTTGTTGAATATCATGCTTTGGCTACTTTTTGTTACATAATGTGGCCGTGTTGTTACTTTCTGATCATTTTGAAGTAAAATCCTTTGTTGTTGCAGGTTCAAATTATCCCAAACTGTAGCATATTGGCAGCAGTTGGGCAGAAAATGGCAAGTACCCCTGGAGTCAGTGCCACTCTCTTCAATGCACTTGCGAAGGTTTGGACTTTTTGTATTGATACCTTGTATGGATGTATGCATAATGCCATAATTTTGTAAAAGTGCAAATCCAGTTCAAGGCATCTATTGATGATTGGAGATTTGGTATTTGGTCCCCAGTTGATGGCTTTTGCTACTAATTTTTATGAGTATGAGCATTTTGTTTCTAAATAAATGCTTCTGTCTTTCGCACTTTTCTTGGTTAAGGTTCGAATGAGATGATCATAAATAGTTTATCTTTCTTCACATGGTTGCTGTTTGATACTTTTAATAATTTCCCTTTTATCCTTTAAAACGTATCACTCACTTTATTTTTGTCTTGATTATGTTTTATTTAGAGAATTATGAAGATGTTAATAGTGGATTTATACCTTCCTTCAACCAGTTAAATTTTGTGTCTTGCAATACGATTTTTGTTCGTTCTTTTTCAACTATAAATTATATGGAATTCTGCTGCAGGCAAATATTAATGTTCGTGCAATAGCTCAAGGTTGCTCGGAGTACAACATCACCGTAGTCGTGAGGCGCGAAGATTGTATAAGGGCCCTAAGAGCAGTGCACTCTAGGTTTTATTTGTCGAAAACCACAATCTCAATGGGGATTATTGGTCCTGGATTGATTGGTGGTACTTTACTTGACCAGCTTAGAGACCAGGTATTAATTTAAATTTTCATTCTGGGAAAAGGTTTTCACATATACAGTTGTATTTCCTTTTTGGTTCAAATGGATACAACAACAACAACATACACAGTATATTCCCAACCAAGTTGGGTCTGGGGGTTCAGTTATACGCAGCCTTACCCTTGTAATTGTACGCAGTCTTTTTGGTGCAATTGAATGTTTGGATTATATTAGAACTGTTTTATTTATATTTATCATCTTTAACATATAAATCATCTTTAGCACTTGTTCAATCACTGTTTATTTGCTAATCATGATTGAAAATGTTTTCCTTTTACACGTTGTTTTTCTTAAAGTTAAAAGGGGGTTTTCCTTGCATCGTGCTCATATATGGTTTTTATTATTGTAGGCAGCAGTCCTGAAGGAAAAATTTAACATTGATTTGCGTGTTTTGGGGATAACCGGATCGAAGAAAATGCTTTTGAGTGACAAGTAAGTGTTGTATATTACTAGAATTTGTATTCTGCCGAAGAAATTGTTTTACTTCTAATGCATCGGTTTGTGGGGTACTCTGTGCAAGGCACGTTTGTAGGGAGGAATGATTGGGATATTTCTGCTATTGCTATACTAGGACGTTTACTGTTATTTGAAGATGTCTATTTCTTTTTCTTGAATATTTAATTAATGCTTGTAGTCACTGGAAACAAAGGTTTAATTTTTAATTTTTTTTTAATCTATATGATCGGATTTTCACACGAAACGGAGGGGGAAAAAGGTTTATTAATCCTTTTGGTAGTAGTTGAACATTAATTCTTTTTTTGTCCCTCTCTGTAATTAAAGTTTGAACTCAAATCGATAATCATTTATATGATTTTCAATCTGAATTTTGTTTCTCTTTGTGTTTTTATATGTGTTGCTGACCTACCAAAATATGTTTTATGTGCACGTAGTCATACGGCTACATCTGGTTGTGGGCCTAACTTTTGCATTTGTTGGTCTTAGGGGCATTGACCTGTCTCAATGGAGGGAACTCAAAAGGGAAAATGGAGAAGTAGCCGACATCGAAAAGTTTGTTCACCATGTGCATGGGAAACATTACATCCCGAATACAGTTTTGGTGGATTGTACTGCAGATTCGTTTGTTGCAAGTCATTATTACGAGTGGTTGCGTCGAGGAATACATGTCATTACACCAAACAAGAAGGCCAATTCCGGACCTCTTGAACAGGTTTATTTTTCCCTTTTTATAATTGAAGTTCATGTTGGTTGATGAAGGAGTTTCTGGATGTGTAGATTCATGATTTTCTACATTGTGTATTAAACCTCTGAAATTCTTGATGATGTAATTTGAAATTGCAGTATCTGAAGCTGAGAGCTCTTCAAAGGCAATCTTATACTCATTACTTCTATGAAGCAACAGTTGGAGCTGGTCTACCAATCATTAGCACCTTACAAGGTTTGCTTGAAACTGGCGATAAAATACTGCGTATTGAGGGCATTTTCAGGTTAGAATGGATAACATCTAATTTCACCTTTTTCATATTTTCATGATTTCGGCACAAAACATAAAACAAGAAACACCCAATTTACATTCATATTAGTACCATTTTTACCAAACCCTTAGGAAATGGTTGGGCCCAAGTAGGCCCCACAGCATTTACCCAAGGTTCTTTGCTTGTAGTGGGTATGATGAAGTAAGATGACGAACTTTGTAGTCAAAAGTACATCCTACTACTTTTTGCCACGGAAGGATGTTTAAAATTTTATTCTATTCCATTTTAAGATGGATGATATGCTTGTTTGATAGCTATCTTCTTCAATTCTGGTTTCAGTGGGACACTGAGTTATATTTTCAACAACTTCAAAGGCTCAAGAGTTTTTAGTGAAGTGGTGAAGGAGGCGAAAGAGGCGGGTTACACGGAACCAGATCCAAGAGATGACCTATCTGGAACTGATGTGGCTAGAAAGGTACTAATTCCAAAACAATGTAGGGTTTTCTCCTTCAGCCTATATTCAATTGACATGGCCCCTCGCTCATGCACTACTATGGTTCTAACTTCTCTTGGAGATTGCCGATGGTTTCTTACTTTTGCCATTGTTTGTGTCATTCATCTGTGAAGTTATTGCTGACGCTTTATCTTCTTTAGTTTGGATCCCTTGTCTCTTTCTAACACTAAAAAACTAAAGCTATTTAGTTTATATTACCTCTGCATGCAACAGTTTTATTCACAAAGATGTTCGGTTTCTCTTGTGTGTATTTGTTAACAAGTTGGCTTCATCTTCGGTAGGTAATAATTCTTGCAAGAGAAGCTGGATTGAAGTTGGAGCTTTCAGATATCCCTATCGAGAGTTTGGTTCCAGAACCTTTGAGGGTTAGTAGGGAATTTCTGCATTTTTTTCATCTTATGCCGCTTTGAATTCCAGTATATATATATATATATATATATATATATATATATATATATATATATATTGTTGCCGGTGTTTTTGTGTGAGTTTGCTCTTGATTTAAATGCTTCATGTTTTCTTATTGGCTGGAACTTTTTTAGGATATTGCATCTGCTGAGGACTTCATGCAGAAGCTGCCACAATATGATGAAGATCTGGCAAAGCGAAGACTAGAGGCTGAAGAATCTGGCGAAGTAAGTGCTTTAGAATTTCGTTGCCCCACATATTGTTTATTTATGTTCCATGTTCCCTTTTTGTTTGGTTGAGTTTTGAAGTGGTTCTCATTTTTCCAAGAGGATTTTTCCCTTATTGAATTAGGGTTTTCGCGTAGAAACCTTATTATAGGGTGGGAATAACTAGTCACCGGTGCCCATGTATATTGAATATGGCTTCCCTTGAAAGGCTTATTCTTGGGGTGATCTCAAGGATTCTTGGAAGAACAGTACATGATAGTTTGCGGCTTATGCAACTTTTCTCTTTTAAAGTTCTCTTATTTTAACTCTGCAAAAACCCTAAATTATCCATTGGTTAATGAAAAGGTTCTACGGTACGTGGGAGTCGTGGACGTTGTGAAGAAAAAAGGAACAGTTGAACTGCGAAAGTACAAGAAGGAAGATCCATTCGCTCAACTATCAGGATCAGATAACATCATTGCGTTCACTAGCGAAAGGTACAAGAAGCAGCCGTTGATTGTCCGAGGCCCTGGTGCAGGAGCAGAAGTTACAGCTGGGGGAGTATTTAGTGACATCTTGCGGCTTGCTTCCTACCTTGGTGCTCCATCATAGGGCTTAAAACATTTGAATTCCAATTATTTGAGAGAAGAAGCAAAAGAAACAATTTTGGTGTCAGGAGCGCAGTAAAGTAATCTTGGGCGATGTGATCTGCGATCTTATGCAGGTTGTATGTTTGGCAAGTTGGATGTGATGTATCTATAGTTACAGGATAGGCAAATTGGTCTGTGTTTGGCAGAAACTGTCCAAAATTTTTGTTCATCTTTTTGAAATTTTGTGTGGAAATAATGAAGCTGTTATTGAAATTAAGGTTAAATTTATTTTAGCATCAACAACTTTCTTTTGTGCGACAAGATTTTATACTCCCTCCATGGCAGGAAAAATGTTCAATTTGTTGGACTAAAGAGGTAAAATAAAGTGAGTTTTTTTTTTGGGGGGGGGGGGGGGGGGGTTAGGGATAGACAGAGAGATCAAGAATGACTCAAATCGATCCCTCGATTTTATGGATAGACAGAGAGTAGTAGTTTCAAAAAACCCTAGGGTTTAATTGTCTGTTAAAACTGTCAATGACGAGACGTTGATTTAGTGGTAAAATCACCTTTGCTCTTAAGAGGAGGTTATGACTTAAAATCCCCACTCCAACAAGAGTGAGGGGTGGTTCTAACTTTGTCAATGGACACCCGAACTTGTCACCCCGGAATTGTGTAGAGTAATTTATCTCCCACTATGGTTTGTAGGCTGTTGCGAGGACGTGAATTTACCATCTTTGGTGGGTTCCCGGCGTTACAAAAGAAAAAAAAAAAAAAAACTGCGCAATGCCACATTTATTTATTTTCACCTTGATTGGGAACTTTTTGAAGAAAATAAAAAATATAAGATTATTGCATACGTAGGGAAAATACTAGGCAAAATGAGTACAGTTAGCCATTGGAGATTGACCGTTTGTATGATTGTACTCCCTTAGTCTCATAATTCTTGTCTAGTTTGAGTTTTCATTTCTAATTCAAATTGTATTAAAAGTGAAATCTCAAACTAGACAATAATTTTGAGACAGAAAGAGTATCATACTAGGCAGGCGTCCAAACAAAAAAAAAAGACTCGTGAAGCAAGAAATACCATGAAAGCTACTAAAATAATAAAAAACCCGATAAAATAGGAACGATACTAAAATGGAAATTTATAGTGACGTGGCTGTTGACTTTGACTTTCAATGATGTGGTACACACGGCTATGTTTGGTTTCTTTTTTCACTCATTTTCTCAGAATTTTTAATGAATATTTATCCCATCTTAACATACCTTTTTACATTCCCAATGCACTTTTTTACATTTCCAATATACCTTTGTACATTTCTAATACAAAAAAACACACTCAAAAAATCTTCCAAATATATAATATCTGAGTTTGACCGGTTAACGCTTGAATTAACTGATGACGTGACGCATACTCAAAGACAAACTTTGATAACATATTATGATGGTAAAGGTAAGCTCAATAGGCACATCCTTTCTGAAAAAGAAAAGAAAAAAAGAGTTGATACGTGAAATTCTTCGCTAAACTTCAAACTAGTATATATATATCACTAAAATAAATTGGATACGCTCATATATATCCTCAAATCCGGTGTCTGATGATGATGTGGCACGCTCTTAATCCCGTTAGCAGTTAATATACGGGTACGAAATATGAAGTTATGCTGGGGGGCATCAGCTGGATGGACCCAAGAAGAAAATATTGGTCCAAAACAAGAGTGGACTAATGATTAAGAAAACAAAAAGAAGCAAAGCTGGAGATGTGATTGTTGGAGAGGAGGGAGGGAGGGAGGGAGGGAGGGCATAGGGGGCACGACGAGAGGTGAAAAAAACCAAACGGTCCCCAATGATCACGTGAAACCCTTATGGGAGTTTTGGTTATACCATCTATCTCTATATAAATATATATATCTATCTGTAAAACATATGGATGATAGAAGGGGGGGCTATATATCTATATCTACATCTATATCTAGGACGACACCCTGGCCCCTCATTATATCCCGTCATTATAGACAGCAATGTTTAGTACTCATCATCATCAATCTTTCTTTCATTGTCAACCCCAATCATCATCCCCCCCAATCCCACCTTTGAAAGTCTTATGATTATAATCATATGTACTACCTACACCCCTCCTACATTGATTATCTTGTTCTTGTTTCTTTTTTTCGATTTCATGCAATGTTGGTTAGTTTGTCACACCTGTATGGACTTCCAAACTTCCAATTCATAAACATTTTTTCCCTCCACTTCAAAATCAATTATCATTTTCATAATCATAACTTCATTTTTATTTATCTCTCTTATTTTTTTAAAAAAAATACTCCCTCTGTTCCGAAATTATTGTCCAGTTTGAGATTTCACTTTTAGTACAATTTAAACTAAAAATAAAAACCCAAGCTGGACAATAATTATGTGACGGAGGGAGTATCTTTTAACTTGTTTTTAAATGCAAAAATTTAAATTACACAATCATTTTACAAATGAGTGAATATGCATATAACAGAAGATTGGATACGAATTTGGAAAACTGGCTAGCCTAGCTAGCTAGTCCGTATGCATGGACATCTTTATCATCAACCTATCTATATAATTAGTGAGTTAGATCACTTTATAGATGTATGGACATAGTGCATTATAATTTTCTTTATTTTCTTTTCATGTGTGATTACAATATACTCTATTTTATTTTTTAAAGAAAGAATGAACGTTTGTAAAGTCAAATGTATTCATCGTGCAATCGTGGATTTTTCACCTTTCTTATTCTTTTGGGGCAGGGGTTGCTTCAATTTTTAGAACTTGTTCTTTTTTCTCTTGTGACCAAGACTGGTTTATGTTGTTTTGTTTTTTTAGTGTACATGTGTGATTTTAGTTATTTTTGCATTGAGAATGTAAAAGAATATATTGAAAATGTAAAAAAGTATACTGGTATGAGAAAGTTATTATTATATTATTTTGAAAAAAAATTATGAAAAAAGGAAACAAATTGGGTATAATTTTATTTATATATATATATATATGTATATGTATATAGAGTCTTTTCAACTCAAGTAATCTAGTTTGTTCAATTCTCTAAAAAGTAAAAAAAGAAAACGCACACAGTTTCTTTTTCGCTCCATATGCTATACAAATTAATACGGTTTGGGATCCAAACTTAAGCTTAGGTTTGCCATTAACCGCAGACCCATCAATCCGGCTTTGGAATATTGTATGCATCAATTAATATATACTGTATAAAAAATATACGGATGTCAACTTATTGCTACAAACATTAAGAAGGAAACGAAAAAGATTTTTTGAATGACGGACAAAGGTCGTCAAGCTGCAAATGAAACATTGACATAAAAATTGAGAAAGGGTTTCCAATTTCCTGGGATACACGTCATCATCATTTTCACTACTCACACTACTACAGAGAAGATCCTGAAAAGACACATAAACCAACCTGAGAGACCAAAATGAAAAGACCAACCAACCAACCGTCCGTCCTAGCTCCCACCTATATCAATGATTGTTACATATAATAAAATATCACATCTCCTTCGCACTCTCACAAAACCCTTAACATTAACTGACCACGAACACATGTGTACATATTTATACATACATCACAAAACACACGTTACACACACACACACACACACACAGCGAGAGGTAGGAACTTCATGCAGCTATATATATGATGATCAACTTTTCTTTTGAAATAACACAAGGCTGGCTGGTCATGAGTTATAATCATCTGATGGAGAGAAGGCATATGCATGCATGCAAGGAGCTAGAATGATTTGAGAGAGTAATATAGGTAGGTAGGTAGATTAAAGGTCTCGGACGTGAAAAACGTTGGGATTCTTGACCACGATATCATACATGTAGACGGAATTGAACTTGGAGAACTCCCTTGGGAGTGAAATGAGGTCGATGGAAGAACGCTTGTGGAACTGGAAAAGATCAGGGTCGCCCCCGTAGTATCTCTCCCAACCCAAATTAGTGAGGATTCTCTCCAAGCATGCATACGACGTCACCACCTGTCCCGTTGCCAAATGCACCAAACCCTTATTCGGCCTCCTCGAGTTCTGCTGTTGTTGCTGCTGCTGCTGATCGCCCCCCGGGTTTTCCACGAGCTGAAACACTCCATTATTCTTGAACACCCAAACCCCTGACATCAATTCTTTGTTCCACTTCAAGAAGCTGCTGTTAGCTTTAGACTTTTGATATATATGAAGAGAAATCAATTGACTTTTTAATTAGGGTTTTTTTTTTCTTGAGAGAAAATGAAGAGCAAAGCTAGCTCTATATATGCCGAAAAGGGATTGATGATTTGGGAATGATGAGAATTTGATGAACCAAAAGGAAAGTGTGAGCATAAATATATATAGAGGAGGGAGGAGAAGTAGGTTGTGGTGAGGGATTGAAAAGATGTTGTGTGGGGGTTGATTGATGGATATTAGATAGGTTTGTTTATAGGAGGGGAATCTAGATATTGTGGGCCATTGACATTGTTTCCTAAAATAAATTGTAAAAGAAAAAAACATACAGGGATAGGGGTGGGGGCATAAGGGATGCCCATTGGGGGTACACATGCCATTTGTATCTCATGGGGGGGTCATTGGGGGTATTTTCACCAACTATATATATATATATATATATATATATATATATATATATATATCAGGAATCCCTTTTTCAAAAATATATATATTTATACTCTTATGGATGCATGGCATGAGGCTTTTTGATGTCATCATTTGATGTGTCTCCAATCATCAAGGAGCTTGCCAATCACACTATCCATGCATAAAGCATGTACCAACAATATACTCCTTTATATTAATTATATCTTACGAACACAACCCCCCGCACCAAAAAAAATGTTCCATCTCTACTCTCTTTTCACTCTGATATCCTTACTATACGTGTAAGAAAGGTTATAACCTCCATGTTTTAGGGTGAGATGATGCTACATTGTACATAGTGCGTAATAATTTAAGAATTTATTGTTCTCGCGGGTCATATTTGTTAGGGATTAATGAACGTGTTAGTTTGGTCGTTTTCTTTTTTTTTTTTTAAAAAAAACAATATGAATATTTTAATTGGAGTATTGGAGGTAATTTGGTAACATGTTAATAACTGATTTTTCTAGGTTTTGATAATATGATGACTATTTATTCCTTGATATAATCAGAATAGCAAGGAATACACATATATTAAAAAAAACTCGATTAACCTTTTCATGGATAATTAACCAATACACTACTTAATTGTAGATTTCGTAAGAAACTTAGTTACGTTTAGATCGTCTTTTAAGTGTGTGTTTTTATGTATTTTTTTTTCCTATTGAAAATATAAAAAAGGTAAATTGAAAAGGATGGAATAGTTATATTAGTTAAAAAATGTGAAAAACCCGTCTAAAAACTTAACCAAATAGAGTCTTAACTACTTCACGTTTGTCATTAGGGATTACAAATTATTGGAATTTAAATGCTAGAAGTTGCATCAAAATAACTAACTCTAATCTATTTATTTTAGTTATTTTTTTAAGTACATGATACAAGCGTCGCAAGAATTGGCTCTATTAATTTAATCAGTTTCAACTTCTTCTTTTTTTGACATGTTATGGACTCAATGTTCGAAATCATTATTCTGACTAACTTTGGAATGTTGAACAACTATGTGGAATCTTATTATGCTTCTTGGACACTTTTCAATATCAACTTAGTTTCTTATTTGTTTAATTTTTGCTATGTTATTATTATATATACTTCTTAAAGGATTACAAAAAAAAGAAAAAAAAAAAAGCAAGTTCGATGTTGTGACCACTTTGATCATGTGTACTGCACGTGAAGCTTAGTCCACAGATTGATTGCGAGACGTCCTCCGCAGCCTTTTTTTTTTTCCCTCCTTTCAAAAGCTATAAAGAAAAAGGGAAAGAAATTCTTGATGGATACTGCAAAAATTTACGCGGAGAATTAATACATATTAATTAAGGAAATACTTATTTAATAAAATAAAATATACATTTTTTCTTCTCTAAGCCAAATATATGGCAAATTATCTGGTACACCTGGGTGCACCGTGTACCCCTCTGCGCGTGTACTTTACTCTCTTAGAATAGTGTGAGCTTACTAGATAATTCAGCTTTTTTTTTTTTTTAAAACCCTTCTGTGGATAACCAGTGTGCACGCTATGGATAACTAGTTAAACATAGCTGCATAAACAGTGTGCACACTATGGATAACTAGTTAAACATAGCTGGACAACCAGTGTTCACAATGTGGATAACCAGTGTTGACAATATGGATAATTAGTTATTCACAGTTGGATAACCAATATTGACAATATGGATAATTAGTTATATATAATTTTATTTATGAAAGTGTTCGGCAGGGGGGCGGCGCAGCCAGGTCGTTTAGTTTATCACGGGGGGATTTATACAAGTAATTTGTGTCCCCTCTTAATGCAATAACACACTCTCCTTACACACACACGAAAAAAGGATTACCTTAGCTAAATTGGCGTGTTCGGCGGGACGGCGCAGCCGGGACAGGTTGGTGACCTGCGATTCTGGTAGCCGCGGGAGTCGTTTAGTTTATCATAGGGGCGAAGCCCCCCAAGTAACATGTCGTTTGCTTCTTTACCTCTAGATAACCAGTTTACAAGTTGTGGATAACCAGTTTACACCTTCTGGATAACCAGTTTACAAGTTGTGGATAACCAGTTTACACCTTCTGGATAACCAGTTTACACCTTCTGGATAACAGTTTACAACTTGTGGATAATCAGTTTACACTTTCTGGATAACCAGTTTACCCCTTTTGGATAACCAGTTTACAACTTGTGGATAAATTATGGATAACCAGCAATTGTGTGTGTTTGTGCGTGATGATGAAAACAGTAAAATGGATGAAAACAATTTTGTTTATGCATTTAATGTAAAGGCGAAAAATATTGAACGCGTGTAGTGCGTGTGTTTAATGAGGGTATACGGTATACCCGAGTGCACTGGATACGGATTCTAAGTGTACGTACCGGTAGCAGAAAATGTAATTTAGGGTTTTATGGATACAATAGTATCAATAACACTAATTAATTAATTAGGTTGTCAAAAATAAATCCTCAAATTCTTGGGTGCTCCGTCCTTATTCCCCCACCATAAAATAAAAAGGACCACTTTGGGATTCTTGAATATTGATAATTAAGTTGTTTTTTCATTTTCTTTTTTACTTTTGTTACTATCACATGATCGTCACATGGTCTTATGGTCCATCATTGACTATCATTGGTTGCCTTACGAATGTAATATCTTGTGTGATGAATGCATATGTACGTGTCAATCATTATATAGTTTAATTCTACCACATTGTAATTTCCACGGCAAGAAATCTTCAACTCTCAAAAAAAAAAAAAAAAATCAAAAATTTTCAAAACGTGCATTACAACAAATAGGTGCGAAAAGAGGCATTCTTTACATGAGAGGAAATTTGTTATCCTCTTCAAAAGCTGTCAATTTACTAATTATATTAGTATGGTGTGTTGGAAATTAAAGCTTTGTTTATTTAGTTTTTTAATGATTTTTTTAGATTAATAAAATAATAACTGTCCCATCCTAACATAATTTTTTACATTTTCAATATACCTTTTTACATTTTTAATATAAAAAACACGTAAAAACACACACTAAAAAAACGAAACAAACATACCTTAAACAATGTAACTCCAGAATGAAAATGTTCTAAATAGTACGGTATATTTAGTAGTAATAGATGTTGTTAAAATAAAAAAGTCATTTCGAAAAAAGCAGAGTAAACAATAATTACGAGGGACACATGAAGATGAAACCACTAAGCAGTAAGGTGAATGAGTGACAGATTAAAAGAAGAGGGAATTTGCTTTCACCAATTTTGTTTTTCATTTAAGATTCTTTCTTTTTACTGTTAAAAAAAGGAGGAGAATGTTAATTTTGGTTGGATATGTGCATATATAGATATAATAATTATATATATATATATATAGTAAGATAGATGATTCTGTTTGTAAAAAATAAAGGGATCGATCTTTAGATTCCTACCAAAAAGGTGGCATGTTCTCAATTAGCTTTATTTGCTCGTACATATTAAGGAATATGAACAAATTGCGAATGTCAAATCATATATATATATATATATATATATATATATATATATATATATTCTCGTTAATCATCTCATTGTGGGATTTTTTATTTTTTATTCTTTAATTTTAATTGAAAGAGTAATGCAATAAATTTGCTGGCAGAATTTGTAGTCCGACCGACCTCGTAGTTACACTTGCTTCTACCTTTTTACTCGAGAGAAATCATTTAAACCAGCAATTAAGCAATCTAATCACAAGAACAGCTAAGATGGACAATGGATTTGGCATATATGAGAGATTGGACAAAGTTGTGTCCATTTTTAAGGAAACACATGCATCCATTGAATCAGATATACATATGCTGCTGTCTCTCTTGCTTAATTTTCAGTTTAACTACTAAATCAATGATCAATTTTTTTTAATTTTTTTTCCTAAAAAAAACTATCTATGCATACACGTAGGCTATGCAATCGCATTACGCAGGACTTTTCCTTTTAGTTGGTCGAAGAAAGTGAGAAAAGAAAAAGTAGTAATAATTAAGAAAGTGATAGAAGACAATAAATATAAAAATATATATTTTTTTAAGATTTTATTTTCAAATAAAAAATATCTTAAAAAAATAAAATTTAAGACAAATCAAAATGTCTCATAGGACATTTTCTTTCTTTCCCAAAATAATTATTTCATAATAATAAAAAAAAAAAGACAATAGTAAGGATTACTATGTAACAAAACTAGAAATGTAAGAGAATGGTATTAATGCACCTTAATCAAAGAATATATTCTTAACATTAAAGGGGATGGATCAAAATAACCGGCCAAATAAATTTGATTGTGGTTGGAATATTAGCTAGTTTGGTTCCCCAATACGCAACACCATAATTAGGTGATCAAAGGTTAACTAAAAGAACCATTAGCGTACGGAAGAGGATGAAAACGTGCATTTCTGTCATTCCTTAGGTCCTTGCAATTTATTCTAACTTTTAATCGTGTGATGCTTTTCGAAAATTCCCTTAATATTAATTATTCTTCTTTATTTCGCCACGCATAACAAACAGGAGGGAATTAATTACATGAATAATTTTTTCTTTTTCTTTTTCTTTTTTTTTTTTTTTGCAAAGAAAGGATTAGAGAGGTGACAAGGGAGTAGTTTCTTTTTTTTTTTTTTAATAATGAGAACAAAACCAAATCAACTCTAAAATATAAATGTTATTGCTAGTAGTATACTGTAATTACTATCACAGATATCACACTCATTTTTTCTCAAAAAAAAAAAAAAAAAAGAAAGAAAAGAAAAGAACAAGAAAAGCTGATGACCTCATCATAGCTTTTTATGCCACCATTATGCATCGGATTGGAGAATTTCTTTTTTGGCTTTTGGTTTTTAATTATTTCCTTTTCTTCTTTTAATAAATAATTGTTTCTGCGCGCCTCTGAATCTATGAAAAGTAGCAAGAAAAGGTAAAAACTTTACCTAATTGGGGAGCTCTTTAGTTTGTTCCATTACCATATCAATGTGATGAATGAAAGTCAATTATAAAATATAAAGTAGAATCCCACCTTCATGAAATATTCCCATCTCCCCATCCTTTTCACATACAAAACTAAAAATATAATACGTTTAAGTGGAACCAAAAAAATTGATACCCCACATTAAATAATACGTTTAGTATATTAAAGAATTGCCTGTCTTTTTCCTAACCTAATTCACCATATGAAGGCACATATTCCCACAAATCTCAGTTGTGTTTTGCCAAATTGCCCGCTTATACGCAACTACCACATACAAGTTTCTTCATAATTAGTTCCTTCATATCCTTACATCGAATCAATTAAGCGCAAACTAAAGTTTTGTGTGACCCATGATCAACCTTCAATACACAAGTACATCTTCCATACGTAAATGTTCCAACTCCCCTCCGAAAATAGTTTCGTAGTTTTGTAATTTTTTCTGTCTCATAAAAATAATTTATATTATAATTTATAAAATATATATAATTTTCAGCATTACAATTTCTTAAATTATAATGTAAACTTTCTTTTTTTTAGAGTAAAGAGAACAATATATATATATTTTTAGTACACATGTGATAATTTTGAGGCAAGCAGATTATGTATTTTTTTTCCAGAATAAGCTTCCAGTTCTCAAAAAATATTCGAAGTTTAATTACGCAATTAATATTAGCCACCCACCCATTTACTTGTAGGGTGTCACGCCTCTAATTCCATGGGAGAAAAATATGGCGGTAACTAATGTATTGAAAATATATAGTGTAGTTATGTGAATGCATCAAACTTTTAGAAGTGCTTTTGGCAGTGCAAATGGTGCAGTAATTAAAGCCAGCAAAAATGTATGTTTTGATAATATTCTTCTTCTTCTTCTTCTTCGTTGGGAGGCGAAGTTGCTTAAAGATTGTTATCATGAGTAGTAAAAAGGGGAATAATTTAATATTGGAAGAGTTTTTTTGGGTTGCACTCACTAGACGTGTTGTACATAAATGCTTATGGTAATGTCGAATCTTCTTATTTCTGTTCCAATACCAATTGATCTTTTACAGAGTCCACTATTTCAAGTAATTTTATTTCACTATTCCAATTCGTCAAAAAAAAAAAAGAAAAAAAAGAAAAAAGAAGAAGGTAGTGGAAAAAATAGAGTAAATACTATTTGAAAACGTCATTACATAATTAATTAATAATAAATTGGAGTATCTATTATAGTATGCGACTTGTCGCCACACTAGTAGAGTATGAAGTAAAAATTAAATGGTGCAATGTTTAATTTATTAATTTAACAATTTATCTATAAAGTCAATGGTTAATATTTTATGTTTACCGCTCTTTTTTGTCATGAACACTGCGGCAACGTTACTCGTAATATATTTATTGGCCGGCGGCTTTCCGTTCACGTAATATTCCGTTTTTGTTATACCGTCGATTTCGATCCGATCCGGCCTGAATTCATGAACACTGCCCGTCGACGTTGCCTCCAAATTCAGCAATTGAAGGCCACTTCGGCTGAGACGAAACAACCGGGGATGACCGTTAGCTCTTACTACGGAAAATTGAAAAAACTTTGGGAGGATCAGTTAGCCAAGTTTGAGCGACCTGCTGGTTGAATGAGCTTGGGAAAAAAGCAAACGTGAGGACGAAAAAAAGGGGGATGGTTCAGTTGTAGTTTCAAACATGCCTCCTGGCTTTGATTCAGTTTTGGAACTTTTGGGGACCTAAGATCATTGGTAACAAAATTCTATTTGACGACCAAAATCCTTGAGAACGATAATGCTGCCGGTGGTGGATAGTAGAAATAGAGGCGAACTAAGGAACTCTTTTCCAATGAAATGCTATTTCTCTTGCTTTTATTTTGAGTTAATAATAGAAGATTGATTGCTATTCCAACATTGCTTCCCCCTATTCTCTTACCCCTGAATTAGGAAATATCGATGCTGAGGCCGCCGCTCAACATCTTGCTTGAACACCTGACTCTGGAATTTCATATGAAGGATTGGCTGAATTTGGACTTTAAAATGATCTAATTATTTCAGATTCTGAGAATGATAACTCTTCTTGAGGTTGGCATAGTTTACGATTTACTATCGTATCACCATTCAATAACTATGTATTTGCTGCGACCTAATTACCTAAGAAAACCAATATTTTTGTCATCAGGTTTATTCACATTCCTAAGATAATAAACACTCTTCTCTCAACTTCTTCTGTTTTGCAACTTCAACCACATGGGAAACCTACAGTGAATCTTAACTTTGAATTGCTAACCGATCTTGGGACCAAGGTAGTAGCTTGGATCCCTGAAAAACCTGGTGATCGTTTCGGCTTTGTCGGCTGACAGATCAGTGTTTTCCAATATGTACTGCTTTGATGCTTTGGCTATTGCTTCGATCGAGCCTATAGCTTGATTTAGCTGTGACAAGGAAACCTCACATTCTTACAGAGGATTCAACAATCTGTAACCGTGAACAGTGGGTTGACTGTAGCGTAACAGAAACGGCTGTTAACTGTAATTACCGTGTTTGCGTCATGATTATCAATGCCAGGAATGGATGTCATCACTTTCAGATATGCCTCCATTGTTTGCACCGATCGTTCCCTCTTTAAGAAACACGCAACAAATCAGCTATACCGCCTGAAAGAAGCAAATTGTAGTCACAGGAAACAGCTACATACAATCTTTGACTTACTTCTGCTTTAAGTTTAGGTATCACATCTTGTCGCTTACAAACTGCAAGTTAGGGATGCAAAATCAAATATGAGATCACAGACTACATTTATAAAGCTTTCAAAACCAATGACACTTAGGATCTTACCACCACGGGCGTGTGCAATCTTTAAGATCAATTCGAACCCCATCTCTGAATCTTGCACTGGAATAAATGTCGGCTTACCAGACTCCATACCAGATCTTCAGCCATGCAAAACAAAAGCAAAAGCTACTTCAAAACACAAACTGTAATTTCCTTTTCTAGTTGCCGAGAGAGCGTAAAGCAGAAACAGCAAAGTGAAAACACACACTCACTTGAAATAAGAGCCTACAAAAGAATCATTCTGCTCCATGGTTGGAAGGTTCACAACAACATAGAGATGTGCAAATTGCTTCTTCAGCTTCTCAACTCTGGAAACGAGAGAATCATTCCCCACAAGAATTAAGAACAGTGCAACGTATGTGGAAGGTAACATCACTGGCCGAAAAAAAGTTGTCCATATATACAGTCCCTAACCTAGTAAAAAGAGATTCAGGATTGGTCGAATCCCATTTCATCACGAAAACGAAAGCTACAGACAGCCCCCCGCAGTTGAAGATAAAATCCTGTAAAATCAGTCAATCAATAAGTATCTGAATATGAATGAACTCTATAAATGAAAAAAAAAAAATCAATGAGTAAGGGCATCAACTGGAGCAATTGGGACAATGTTCAGCCGGAAAGAATTGGCGTTGAGGAAACATGAAATGAAGTTGATAAAGGATGAATGCTGCTCGGATCTCCATGTACTTCTCATCATACAAACTCCATTCCCACCTACACACACAAAAAGAAAAATACAGATTGCATATGCTACTTATTAACTTTAGGGAAATCTGCGCCTGAGTGGTTTTAAAGAAAAACAGTTCAATTAAGGCATCTTTCGTCTGTAAATAATATACTTATCTGCAGGTCTTTTTCTGAATGAATTAGTGAGGCATTGTTAAAGCAAGTTAGCGAGACAGAGAGAGCTAAGTACCAATTCTTTCACCAGTTAAACAATTCACGTTTTGGTAAAATTTTTTTTTTTAAAAAATCAAAATTATATCTAAAATTGAAATATGAGTTGCCGAAAATTTGAAATAATGTAACCTAGTTTTGGACAGTGACATCCCCATTCGAGCAATTTGTGCCCGAGGATCCAATATACTCGAACTTGCAAGTTATTTTCTGCAATCATTCACACATTTGGACCAATTACACTAACAAGAATGAAGAATCCACATGATTTTTCGCATTCTTTCCAAACGTCTTCAGCTCTCAAGTCGATATCAAACGTACGGAATTCGGATCGAGCGGAAATTATGAATCTATGATAAGAAATCTAACAAAACGAAGGGAATTGGGAAGAATAAATAAACCTGATTTGGAGGACGAATGCAAATCTCCGTACCCGATCGCCGTCGTCATCGCCGTCCAAGAGTCTTCGTGAACAGAGTTTTGGGCGTTTTAGTGTTTTGATTTTGAGCGCGAAGGAAGAGCAGCCGCCACACGCCGTATTTAAAGAGTTTCTTAAGCAGCCATAAGAAGCGACGTCGTTCGGTTATTTCCGCTTTAACTTAACGCCTGAAACATTTTTATTCCTACTCTTTTAACAATTTTTGATTAATTTTTGGCGTTGGGAGGCGAAATCGAAGATATGGATATGGCGAGTGCCGCTGCGAATGAAATCTCATCCTCCAATAGTAATACCAACAATTCCAAGAAAAGATGTCAAAAGCGCCTCTTTCGCGACCCCCGCTACGGATTAGTGTAAGTTTTTCTTTTGATATTTTTTCCCCCCTTTTAAGCTTCGGTGTTCATTGAAAGAGCCTTTGTCAAAAATTTTATGTTTTTGGGGGGGTTTTGATGGAGGACAGGTATGATGCTTGGAAAGACCCATCTGAAGAAGCTTTATCCGGTGGCCGTGGAATGTCTGTACCATCTCCAGCTCCTTACTTCTGTTGCTGTTTCTTTACTTTTTTTTTTCTTTTTTAGTTTCTTTTGGTTCTTATTTGTTATTTTCAGAAATTATTATGATTCGGAAATGAATTAGCTGCTTACAAGTTTGCTTTTGTTTTTCTGTACGCTCTTGAAGGTTTTGCATTGTGCCCCTTGCGGATACGTTGATTAAATCTGCTTCCCACACGGTACACTATCACCTTTTCTTATTAATTAGTACTTCACTCTTATTGCTTCCCATGTAAATAGGGTTCTTGTTTTTTCTTTTCCTAATTCCCACACTTTGTTGTAGCGATTTGTTCTATCAATAACGATCATACGGTTTTGTGTGACTATGATGTTTTGTTGTGGTGTCTAAATTGAATGAATTGTTGTTTGACTTTGGAATCAAATCATTCATCGTGTCACTCTGTTATTATGCTCTCACGCGTTATTCTTCACTTCTCCTCTGTAATTTATACTCGTCTGGCCTTTTCTTCTTAAACTCTTGAGTTCTTAGTTTGGGAGGTGTACTTTGTGGTATGCTCCCAGAGTCCTGAACTTGGAACTGTTTTCGTTAAACTAAGTTAAGCATTCTGCTTTGAAGATGAGCTCTCTGTCACACTATGGAAATTTGCTTTAGGAAATATAAATTCACCTTCGTATTAGTAGTTTCATTTTCTCATTTCAATGCCTAATGTCAGTATTCATCAACTTGCGCCATCTTGTGTTGAATTCTGGTGTATTCTATAAGATCCTCCTTTGAAATTAATGGATCTTGCAAGAATTCACCATTCACTCTGATAAATGATTGATTGAATGAATGTGTTTTTGTTCTCGATAAGCATTTGCTGAGAAAAGAGATAAAACAGTTGGTCACATCATTCCTTTCCATCATTTTTTTTGGCTCTCTGGTTCCAGAGAAACTGTTTCTTAGATTAGTTTTTCACTACACTCAGCATTCTCTGCTGGAGTTTACCTCGTTACTTGTCCATGTCTGAGTATCCCGCTTCCTTACGAGTTGTATTATCTCCATTTATTTCTGTCCAAGGTTTGTTTACTGAAAGTTTCCTACCGCGATGTGAACTCATATGGTATCTGCTAATTTGATGTCAAAAAATCGATGTAATGTGTTGAACGAGGTTTTTTTTTTTTGGTTTCACATGAAAGAAAAGAGTAGCTAAATCTGATTTAAAGATGAAGGCACTTGTTTTTTCATCTATTCAAGATCTCTGCTGGAAGAGGCTTTTTCTTAACATCACACCTATGGAAAATTTAAGTTTTTTTATTTCCTCCGACACATTGCAGATCAACCACCTAGCGTGTTCAACTGTGGAAGCTCTTAAGAAGCCAGACTTGCTTAAACCTGAGGCATTGCAAGCAAACATAAATAGTCAACTGCAAAGGGTTGCATCTTCTGTTAAGAAACCACAGTTTGATTTTGCTATGCTGATGAGAGCCAGCCAGCGTTAAATTCCAATAGGTGTTGAGCAGTCATATGGTTCGAAGCTGACAGTTGATCCTTTCACTTCAGGAGACCTCAAGAAGGCTGTTCCTTATACATGCAAGTATTATTCCATCAAAGGATTTCCTCGTTTTCACGGATCTGTAAGCAAGATGCGATTTTGAAGTCAAGTTTAGCATCATTCTGGAATGTTTGGTTTTGGGGACAGAATTATTGTTCTGCTGAATGGGCTAATAGGGATGGTATCATGAGCTAGGTAGCTAGCTAGCTATTGCAGCCTTTTGATTTTAAAGCTTTATGGTTGGTTATTCCTTCGAGCTCATGACCTCAAAGAAGGCTTGAATTAGCATTGGATTCCTAGAATCTGACATTTGGTATTGAACTATTGCTTATTGGTTGATTCCTCAGGGTTAAACTACTGAATTTAGAGGAGGAAGCCACGAAATAGAAAATGAGAAGAAATGAAGAAATGATTTGTTTATTTATTTATTTTTTTAAAAAAGACAGTTCAGTCAATCTACACGTGCTGCAATATCAGACACAGAAAATTGTCTGAGCGCCCCCAAATTTCCACCAGGATCACCAAAAATTAGATCAGAAAAATACACCAATACTGCATTTATTCCCAAAAACTCAAAATCCAAAAATCCACCGGAAAAATTAGTACATTCTCTGGAATCTTTACACATGGCCTGAGAAGGAAAACAGTTCTTCCTTTCTTTCTACACTTTGTTCAGCGGTTTGACGCAAAAAAACCCAAACAAAAACTGCATAAGAAAGAAGGAAAGAGCGCTGTGCTGAAAGGAAGCCTCTTTATCCTTTATATTTTTTTTTGGTCTTTTTACTCGAATCAAAGAAAAATGCCCACCATTTCTAGACTACCTCAAGTTCTCTGCTGCCTCAGCTTATCATCCTCCTCGCCGCTTCAGCAGCAACAAAAACCTACCTTTAAATTTTCATTATTAACTCCATCATCTTCATCCTCTTTGTATCACTTTAAATTCAGGCCAAAAAGGTCCCATTTCCTCAAACCATGTTCCTCCTTAAAGGAAACCAAGAAACAACAGACCCTTTCAAAGGTTCCCAGCACAGCTCCACCTCCTCAGGGTTTGAAGAGGCTATTGAATTTGAGTCCCAAAGATGATGATGACGATGGCGGGGACAGTACTGCTGTTACAGGTACAATCTTGGCAGGTCTTTTGTTGCTTGGTGTGGTCGGAGGATTTGGAGCTGTTGGGTATTTTTACAGAGATCAGATTAATAGCTTCTTGACCCAGTTCTCTGGGTTCATTGAAGGTAACACAATTCCTATATGGTTATGTTTACTTTGTTGGTAGTGTCTTACTTGATATTGTGTGCAGGTAATTTATTGGTTTTGATGCAGTGTTCTGTACTCTTTACCAGTCCTTAGCAAAAAGAAGAAGCTTTTTGATGTTGAATTTGTTAAGATTGAGAGGTTTTAGTATGCATTTGAATCTTTGAGTTGTAGCTTAGAGTTAACAAAGTTAGTTGCTTTGAGCTACAATTTTATACGCTTCACCTCTTGTATCATCCTGGAGGAGTACATTTGTGGTTTTGTTTTGCCTATGATTCTTTCCGCGCAAAGATAGGAATGGAATTTGTTGAATTCGATTATGTATTCTGTAGTGGTTATCAGTCATGAGCAAAGATGGGAATGGACTTTGTTGAATTTGATTATGTATTCTGTTGTGGTTATCAATCATGAGCTAAAAAGGGGTTACATTCATTTTTATCATTGAGAGTTTTGAGTACCTATTTTGAATCTTTGAGTTGTACCTAAGTGTACGAAGAGTTTGATATTTTGAGCTACAATACCGTACTGTATGATCCAACTCTTGCATTATCTTTTGAGAGTTATATCTGCTTATGTTCTTTAGTCTTTTATTCAATATCTGTATTATATTTGTATGCTATGTAGGCAGGATTTATTGATTTTGATGCAGTAGTTGGGGTTTGGAGTATAATAGTAGTCATTTCTTTTAGTTGCTTAAGTAGGCCAACACCTAAGTGAAACATGGGTCTGGAATAAAGATGTAGTTATTACTTATTAGATGTTTAACACAAACTTTTGTGGGTTTTTTAATGATGAACTAGTACTCCTTTTTCTTTTAATTTTGCCACATTATTTGGTTCTTGATGCTCGCGATATGTTTCTGTTTGGAATATGGATAATTGATCTTGTCTTGACTCACCTATTTTACACAGGTTATGGCCCAGCTGGATATGCTCTATTTGTGTTGGTTTATGCCGGCTTGGAGGTAGGAGAGGATTCTAATATTTTGTTTCCTTGTGGTATTGTCAGAGCTATATTGATCCTATACTGATATAGCCGAGCCAATAGGCTCAATTCTAGAGTCAATTTTTGACAATTGTCTTAAATTTGGAACTGATGAATCAAGTGTACTTTGTTAAAGATTATCTTTTTTGTCATTAGTAAATAAGGCCCTCTCAGTTATTCCAGATCAGTGTTTTATCCCAAAACTGTCTCCCTGAGACTCCCTTTCGTAGTTGCCAGCTAAAAGATTTGGGGTCCAATGTGATGGCAGGTCCTTGCTATACCCGCGATTCCATTGACGATGTCAGCTGGACTTTTGTTCGGCTCTCTCATTGGGACAATCATAGTTTCTATTAGTGGCACGGTGAGCTGAATGTTTTTATTTTGTAACTTGAAAATAATTATTGTACCAAATAATTCTAAATTTGTTACTGTGCTCCTTTTAGGTGGCAGCCAGTGTTTCCTTCCTAATTGCTAGATATTTTGCACGGGAACGTATTCTTAAGCTCGTAGAAGGGAACAAGAAATTTCTTGCGATTGACAAGGCAATTGGGGAAAACGGCTTCAAAGTTGTTACTCTTCTTCGTCTGAGTCCATTGCTACCATTTTCTCTTGGAAATTATTTGTATGGACTAACATCTGTCAAATTTGTGCCATACGTGTTAGGAAGGTGAGCTTCTTAGTACAGATTACAGATTAAGTCCCTTTGAAGCGTAAGATTTGTTGTACTATTTTATTTCATTTAATTCTTTTTGCATGCTAGTGAAGAAATGCTATCAAGTTAGATCCGATTGATATGATTTTATGGCAAGTTTCAATTTTTAAAAAGTCATCATCCTTTGGTTTGGAACAACATACACGCAATTTTGGAATGCATTATTTTTCAATCTACTGCTTTTGGGCACATGCATTCTGACCAAGGTTGCATCATTCTCCTTTCTGTTTTGTAGTTGGTTGGGGATGCTTCCAGGCTCATGGGCTTATGTTAGTGCTGGTGCATTTGGTCGAGCGATTCTCGTAAGTTCTAAACTTCAACTTGATTCTTTTTGCTGTTTTCTCTGTGGTTACTTCAATTTGCTCGTCGGTGACTTTGTACTTCACAGTTGTGAAAGAAGGAATAGCGGAAGATGTTTTTTTTGGTTTGCATAGCCTAGAATTGCTGTAGTGAATTGGTTTAAGCTCCTTGTAATTAGGCCCTGCGGTGACCTAAAACAAAGAGTTACATGTCTTCCTTAACTGACCCTGTAGAGTGAGGGATAAAGGCTTGTTGTTGTTTTACTTGTTTTTGAAACTTACTAACATCTGAATTTTTAGCTCATGTTTAGGATGATTTAGAGCATAAACTCTGGGATATTGTTGAAATGCATTTCATTTACTCTGCAATATCGGCTTTTTGAACTACCAATTTCAACTAAAGGATAGCTTTCAAGGAGGAAAGAGCCCTTGTAAAAAAAAACACAGTATGCAATGAGTAAACCCAGTTCGGATGCTTTTACATCATTTAGACTTACCACTTAACGTAAAATCATAATGTGCTGATTCAAGATTCACTAGGTCTTCAAGAACTGATTGTGGGTGGAAATACAGATGTGTTGTTGCCTTCAACCCTTGACACCTGCTGAGATAATTCTTTTCTGCTTATATGGTTGGTTTAAATTTTGATATGTGATCCTTCTTAATCTTTCTTTGTCCTGACATTTTTTCAGCAAGAAGAATCTGATGTTGGTTTACCAGGAGGAAATGGGCAACTGATAACGCTAGGATTAGGGCTTTTGTTCACTGCATTAGCGGCCACTTACGTGACTAGGTTAGCAAAGGTAAATGCAGTAATATTTGCAAGCCAAAAAACTCATTATGTCATTTTTCTTTATATTAGTTTGTTCTTTTGGGCTCGGTCAATATGTTCTTTTGCTCGAGTACATTGTTGATCGAGCTTTTTATCCCTCTCAAGACTGAAAGCGAATGTCTTTGGGAGTACGAGGAACTAAGAATCGTTATTTTTCCCAGCCTGAGTAAAAAAGCTCAATTGGGATTGAAAACGGTTGGTTCATAGAATGGGAGGGGTCTGAATCTTTGTTTCCTTTAGATGGATACAATAGTCAGGTTTTCTGACGGTGTGTATGATGCAGGATGCTGTAAAAGATATTGAATAGTTGGGATGGAAAGGCACAAACGATGAGATGCACGATCGTTGCGGAGGATGCTGTGTAAAAAAAGAATCCAAATGTAATTTGAAGTAGTTGCAGAGGAAGTGTACCATCAATTTTGGAAAAGTAACACAAATTGTGTGTGTCTTTTAGAAGCTTAGATAATGACTATGTAAATACGAGTCACCAGTCACCACCATTAATTGTCCATATGTACTTGGAATGAACAACCTGTTCAGCATTTCCTTTCTGCTTTCTGTGTTTTCTGCTACTGACGACTGTTGGATATTTAGGAATAACCCTGAAATCAGCAGATCCTAACTTGTAAAGATCCATAAACTTTAGAATTTGGTATGTTCACTATTCACTTCTCTAATCATCGTTAAAGATCCATAAACTTTAGAATTTGGTACGTTATATATTTTTTTTGTAAAAGGGGAAATGGTATTGTAGATCATGACATTACCAGTTGGGGAAGGAATCAATTTGACCAAAATTTTACCTTCTTCTTCTTCTTCTTTTGCAAGCAAAAGAGAAAACTCCAGAAGAAAGTCTGCAGGATATATCATTATTGTTATTATTATTTTGAAAAAAATAAAGAGAGAATTGAATAACAATTTACTGGTTAGAATTTGGTTTTTTTTTGAAAAGGGTGCATTTTACGAATACTCCTATCGTTTTTTTTTTTTTTTTAACAAAGAAACGAATACTCCTATTATACACTTAGGAGTAGAAAGAAAGTATTGAGGTCATTTGTTGAACCCAAAAGATGTAGGGGCTAAAACAGCTAAATTCCCGTGATAATAGGGTCTGGAAATGAAATATCATCCTCTAGCTTCTTCTGCATTTGTCCAATTTAACCCAAAATTATAACCCCAGAAGGAAACACAAAAACACTAACAATATACGTTCCTCTTATATTTACACCTCGGTGAATTCTTTTTTTTTTTTTTTTTAGTTTTCAACAATTGAATTTCTTTTCTTCAAGGCTTCAAGCAAAAAATCAGTGAGTATCTCTGTTCAATCTGTTGATTTTTTCCTTTCTTTTTGTTTGTTTGTTTGTTTGTTTGTTTTTTTTTTTTTCTTTTGTTGTTTGTTTAGGAAAAGTGCAGAACTGGTTATATGATGTCTCGGACAGTATTTGTTTCATCTAAAACGATGTAAAGTTCCAAAATTTGGGCTGAAAAGCATGTTTCTGTTTGTAAATGGATGTGCTTCTCTTTTGTTTTATGTTCATTTGTGAAAGTGCGATGTTTTATACCTTAGTTGAGGGGGGGAAGGTGTGCAACTTTGAGCTGGGATTTTGCATTCATTGGGGGAAATACAAAGAAAAATATGTTTATATTGATTGAAGAATCTTGGAGAATTGTGATGAAGTTTAAGGCAGTACATTCTGTTTGTAATTGGTGTTCGATTGTGATGATTGTGGAGGAATGTGGTTGATGTTGTCAAATTGTGAGTGTGGGTTCATGTTACGGCGTCTGGAGACTCATTTTGTTTTCTTGGAATAAGTTATATGGGTGATTATAGTGCTCATTTGGTCGGTTCCCTTAGTTAAAGGGAGCTGAAGGCCATTTTGATTTGAACTTCTCGAAATGGTTGTAGAATCGTAATGATGCATTGTTTAAATTGTTTTTCTAATTGAAGATCGTGACCTTTTGTGCTTCTGTATATTTGGACAATTCAGACCATCTTAATAGATCCTAGCTGCTCTGCCTCTGTGTGTATGTGTGGGCATTTGTGTGTATAGATTTTGATGCGGTTCCAAAAGTATCGGGAGTATGACATCGCTCTTTATCTCCGCTCTTTGCAAATGATGAAGGCTTTGGAGGTGATTCTGACCCCACATTGTGGGATAAAGGACTGTTCTTGTTCTTTTTATTTGTGAATGATCTTATTTTCTGCACTTTGTAAGTGTTCGATTACGTATATCTGGAGTTTCCGCTTTCAACTTCTTAAGCATGTATTCTTTCCTCTTCACTCAACTTTGAGCCGGTTATCAAAAATCTCAGGAACAAAACTTATGAAATCCATTGTCTGGAAGTTGACAAAACCAAACCCTTTCGCAGCAGGATCACTGCTTCAAACCCTTTTCAGGAGGAGTGATCCAGACCTGAATCCCAGTTTGAATTCTGTCAGATCCTTATCATCATACTCATACAATTATTCTGACCCTGGGTCGGGGGTATCTAGAGAGAGTGTGGACTGTGTTGTGATAGGTGCTGGAGTGATAGGGATAGCGGTAGCTCGAGAGCTTTCTTTGAAACATGGAAGAGAAGTTTTGGTGATAGAATCCGGCCCCACTTTTGGTACCGGTACTAGTTCCCGAAACAGCGAAGTGATCCATGCCGGCATCTACTATCCTTCTAAATCTCTGAAGGCCCTTTTTTGCGTTAGAGGAAGAAAACTGCTTTACAGCTATTGCAGAGAAAATGGAATACCTCATAAACAGATTGGCAAGCTTATAGTTGCTACTGCGTTCTCAGATGTCCCAAAGTTGGATGCTTTGTTCGCTCGAGGAAATGAAAATGGTGTCGATGGTTTAAGATTACTGGAAAGAGCTGAGGCTGTGAAACTCGAACCTGAACTGCATTGTGTAAAAGCTTTACTGTCGTCTACTTCTGGGATTGTTGATACCCATTCCCTCATGCTGTCACTAGTTGGGGAAGCTGAATGTCAAGGAACAATTTTCTCTTACAATACTTCTGTTATTGGTGGCTGTCATGAAGGAAATAGCCTGCAACTTCATGTTTCCCAAAGCAGTGCTCTGAAAAGCTGGGACAGGAGTAGTCCATTGCATCCTGAACTTATTCTTATCCCTAAACTTGTTGTGAATGCCGCTGGCTTGAGTGCACCGGCTGTTGCAAGACGATTCTATGGCTTAAACAATAACGCTATTCCTACTTCTTATTATGCACGTGGTTGCTACTTTGCCTTATCAAATAGTCTCCCTCCTTTCCACCATTTAATTTATCCTATACCAGAGGATGGTGGCCTAGGAGTGCATGTTACTATAGATTTGAATGGCCAAGTGAAATTTGGTCCTGATGTGGAATGGATCGATGAGAACGTAGATGACATTTCGAGCTTCCTGAACATGTTCGACTATTCTGTCCGTAGAGATCGTGCGAAGAAGTTCTACCCTGAGATAAGAAAGTATTACCCAGATCTAAAGGATGGATCTCTGGAGCCGGGATACGCTGGTATCAGACCAAAACTTTCTGGCCCAAGGCAGGTTCCTTCTGATTTCGTGATACAGGGGGAGGAAGACCATGGTATCCCTGGACTTGTAAACTTGTTCGGTATTGAGTCTCCCGGGCTGACTTCTAGCTTGGCTATTTCTGAGTACGTTGCTCACAAATTGATGACACGCTAAGAGAAAGAAGCTTGTCATCATGTGGACTGGACTTCCACTAAACTTGAATGAAGAGGGAGTTGGCATTGTTGTGGAACCCTTCTATTATGTGCCTGAAAATGCTCAAAAGATTGGGACTTCTAAGACTTCCAATGTGCGCAAACAACCAAATCATGTGCAGAAGCATGATCCCTCGTTTTTTTTTTAATTAATTTGGATACTTGTTGAAGTCGTTAATTAACGTGATCGGTTGCAGAGAACCCTGATTTTGGTTATGTGTTTTTTTTCATTGATAGATCACGACTGCAACATGTCACCCACATAGTGGGATATAGGCTTAGACAATGTTATTACTGTTGGTGTTGTTGTACTATGTTGAAAATCCAGAGCTCAATGATTCTGTGCAACTCATTGGTCTAGTTTCCATGAGACATCCTGAGCTTGATTGTGAAAATGTGAAGTTTGCTTATGTTGACCAACCAGATGATGTGATAGAACTAAAAATTCTACATTTCTTTCCTCCGCTTCTTTTGAACCTTATCATTCATATTTCTATTTTTGGCTTTGCATTTCAACTTTCTGATCCTTTGTGTTATTGCTTTTGGCCAGGAATTGAAGACTGCTTCTTTCATTCTTCTAAAGAGCGTTTTGTAATTCCCTAGGAACTTACTGACTACAGCTTATCCCTGTGGTAGAATGGGAGTCCCCCGTGTGCCTAGGCTGTCAGGTATACAAAGAGAAGTGCTTGCTCTGTACAGAGAATTCCTCAGAGTAGCACGTGTGAAATCCGGCGAAGATCGGGAGCAGCTGGTGCACTTGGTGTCATCTGAATTTCGGCGCAACTCAAAAGAAGTTGATCGGAAGAACTTCGAGTGCATTGAGCACTTGATTCGGCAGGGTAGAAAACAGCTTGATCAGCTGAAGAGCCCTGATACTACGGGATTTTCGTCAATAAAAGTGAATGTCTCTTCCACAACACAAACCAAACATTCGTGAAATAGATGGCAGCAAAGCTTTTCCAAGCTAAGGAGCTTATTTATGTTAGTGCTCTCGTTAATTTGGTGGAGCAATTCTTGTAAGTTGGAACAAATTTGGATTTGTTCTTGGTGCTTGGGGTAAATATGCACATGAAGGGAGAGCTGAGTTGCAATATTTTACAGAGATTCAAACTCGCCCGTGTCTGTGATGAGTAATAATTACTATTGTCACCATGACGCAATAACATCAATTCTCTTGAAATAAAATCGACCAGAAAAATGAGCTTTGCCTCCCCCCCCACAACAATATCAATCTTCTCTCAAAACAAAACAGACCAGAAAAGAGGTGTTTTTTTTGTTTTCCTTCTTTGATGAGGAAAGAAAGATGTGCGGAATATGGAAACTTGTGTATTAAAATTAGTATTAGTGGCACGTTATACACACAATATTACTATTTTAGTATTTCCGAAACCATCATGGAAACAGAAGTTGGGCAGCGTTGTTGTCGATATTTCTTGCAACATTATATTGCTTTGCCTCTTTTAATCTGTATACTCATCAACAATACCCTTGGTTTCAAAGAATTCCGCGCAACAAGGGATGATGAGCAATCTCCAGAGTCAGAAGTCGGGGAGTGAGGTTGTGTTGAGGATGATATTGAGGGAGCTTCCAGCAAAATCCTTGTTGAGGTTGCGGTGTGTATCCAAGAGTTGCGGCGTATGATAGACGACCCATGTTTCGTGGAGATGCACCTCATCGTCAGTTGGAGGAGGAACTAACTCATCGTCATCACCATCAGCTTCCGCAGGTTCATGGAGAGACATGACTCACAATGTTGTTCCAAAAGCGGCTATTGAACACATGATGGATTGCCGTGGCCAACCTCCTTCTCTCTACTTGAAGAATAAAAGATTTACTACTTTTTTTTCTCCAATATCCCCAATTTAATTATGCTCTAATGGCTTGATGGGGGAAGAGGATAGATGGCGTACGCACAAAGAAGATTTGGAGGTTGATAAACGAAGAACAAGAAGGCGAAGAAGAAGAATGGGAGAAGATGGTTTATCATATCTGGCCAAAACAATGCCTGCTTCACAACACTCTCACTCGGATTTACTGCGCCGCGCACTGCCTCACAGTGAGACACACATTTCACCAGAGAAACAAAAAGCCGCACTATTACGAACTGGGATATTAATCAAAACAGGGTCGTATCAGTTCCCGATCGATCTTAGTTCACGCCACAATATCCTCATGATCGATACTACATCTTCTGTATAATTTGTTGAAACTTTATTCAATCCCACTGTCTTGTCCTGCAGCAGTTCTCCCGCCACCCCCAATGTGACAAACAATAGCAGCAGCAGCACCTCCTAGCGACTTTTTATTGTACCCCATCCACGTACAGGATTATCGATTTGAACTACCTTGAGTGTGTCTTATGCAAGAATGATTTTTCTTTCTTTCTTTCTTTGTTCAAAAGAAATGATTGATTTTATTCTTTTTCCCCCCTTAAATTAGTTCGGCTTGTATGTGAACAATGTGGTATCAGGCTCAAATGCTAGGCCGTTGGGATATGAGACCTATATGTGCTAGGTGAAAGAGTATAGCTAAAATGCTAGGCCCCGCCGGAAGCAGAGAATTTTGTTAGAGCAATGATTGTGGGAAGAGGACTTAAGATCCAATTGTTGTTGGAGATAAACACACCTCCGGAGTAGAGATTTCGAAGCAAAGAGACTTAATATTGGATGAATTTCAAGGTACAAAGCATAGCGTTGCAGCTTCTGGAGCTTAGGATATTGCTCAAGTAAATGAACTGTGCATTTCCGTCTCCTTCATTTTTAGCATTCGGCAGCAATTTATGCAAACGAAACACTACACTTGGATGCACTGTTTGAATCCTTGGGTGAGTTTTTGATGCTCAAGATTAAGAGACGATCCACTTCCCTTCATCCAAGGCAATTGCCTAACTTGAAAGAGCATTACCTTAACAATACTACTTTGCAAGGGCCACTTACACGCTTCAACCCTGCAGGGTTCCTAAAGCTTAAGGATTTGTACCTGTCATGGTTTCAATGAGATGGTGGTAGAAAGAGGAGCACCGTCTGTTCTTAAGTCGCTGCACACAGTGAATTGCATGGCGCTGAAGGGTGTTCCTTACAGAACAGAACATCTCGCAAACCTCCAAGAGTTGGGATCCAGTTCAAGCCATTGAACACATCTACATGGAGAAGGGATAGGTTTCTCAGATGTTCAACACTTTCCCAAGATCATCCTCCTATATGAATCACCTTCCAAGGACTTAAATTCGAAATTCGACCAGAAGTTTATCCTAATAGAAAAGATCAGTCCTATAATTTAGATGAAACTTACCTGATGGATGCCTGCACTGCAATACTGCTCCGTCCCTATTCCAATGCAGCTTACATTTGTGTGTAGCAGTCACATTCACACATAGGCAAACATATATCTTGATTTCTGACGGACTTCATGCACTCAAAATTGGAACTTTTAGATGAAATGAAACTAGTACCAATTAACCCAAAAATAAAATAAAATAAAATAAAGAGAAAGGAAAAGGAAAAGGAGGGAACCTATTTAATCCCCCACAAAAACAAACAAAAAAAGAAAAGGAAGTTCCATCAAGCAACACATAACATCAGCCTGAAACCACAGCCAAAAGGAAAATCACATTGAAATGAGTAAAGATTTTATTCTTATCTTTTTCTTTTCTGAAAATCAGAGTTTCTTTACACCACTACAGCCCATAAGAGTCCTAATATGTACCGACCTATTACTATCCACATAGCAGCAGCTGTATACGTTTCCAAGACAAGAAGAAGTGGCGCCCCCCCGCCCTACCTATCAATTGCAATGGATCCATCTATTTATATTTACTGGCAATGGGAGCAGCTTGTGGCAAGTATGTCGCAATGCAAGACCTGTGTCCCAGCATGCATGTGTCCTTATTACCAAAAAAATGAGCCAAGTTGCAAAGCGTTCAAGTATCTGAATCTCTCCTGGGGGCTTTCTACTATAAAACGCAGGAAAAGAACATCCCCGCAGCAAATATAATCATCAACAAATGTTTTCCGATACTGTAACATAAAGGAAGATAGGAGATTTCCTTGTCAAATGATACTTTAACTTGCATCATGGACTATAAGGCCACATAAAATGATGGTTTCACTCACAGAGTCCCCCCAACAGCAAAGTGCGTTCCTTTGACTGTTCTTGCTTAAGTTTCGACAATTTACCTGCTCACAGATTTCAGTGCGCTTGGATTCATGGAAGAAAAACCACAACCTGCAGATTGAGTCATTTCAATGCTTGCTAGAAGTCCGCAATTTGTAGGCGAAATCTTTTATCCACACTTTATCAGCAAATGTCAAAGAGGGATCATTATCTCTATGCTGCTCTGACACACAGCCTATCAAACTGCTCGATTCCTTCGAGCTTCCTTCTTGAGGTTCACAGGTCGAAAGGGGAGGTCCCTCTGGGATATCTCGATACAAGTGCTTCAGTATAAAAAGTGCGGTATCAGGATCCCTCCAGTAGTTTGTGTGGGAAGAAATAGCAGATAAATAAGGATGACGGAATGTCTTATCTTGCAAAGCATGATCTATTCGACCATCCTTACTTCCTGTTACTCTCTCCATCATTAATGATCCATATGATCTCTCTTCTTCAGCTTGAACATCATCTGATCCTTCATCCAAGCCATCCTTGTTTCTTGATTCACAGATAGTAAGTACTTTAACCCTTACCGCACTCACAGAATCCAAAACAGCCCGAGATTGCGAAGCTAATCCTTCCTTGAATTCCTGAAATCCAACATATAAGCGCTTCCCACCTCTATGATAAGGAACAATAACAGGGCGTATCTGCAAATACTCTTTGCAGACAAGCGGTTCTATCCGGTACGCCACCGGATCAAATGGATGAAAGATATTGAACATTTGCCGACAAGCCGGTATCTCTTCATTTATATTATCCTCTTCCCAATATCCTTTCCCTTTGCCAATTCCGATACGGACATTCCTGAGGGCGAGAAAAACGCCAAGTGGTGAACCAACAGCAAAGAATGTATCAACCTTGAATCTCAGTTTTGTATACTTTATGTGAGGGGTATAGCTCTTAAATGCGTCCCCCTCTGGCTTCTCGGGGCCAAGTTTTACTTTACCTCGATCATCATTATGATCCGATTCTAATACCTTAATTTTCGCTTTTAGTAAATTGATCTCTTCCATCAATGACTCAATTGTTTTATCCTTGTTGATAACTGGTGCTTCCTCGTCAATGTGTCGATCAGAATATTCAGAAACCTCATTTCCGCTATTCATGGGTTCTTCTGTCCCGCTCAAATCATGAATTATACTTGAAAATGAAGCATCTTTTGCCTTCCCATTGGCCACATCAGTTTCAGCTAGTTCACCTGAATCCCCCAACGCAGGAGGATCCAATGAATGACCAGAGCTTCGCTCACAGCCACCATCTGTCAGGGCCGGAAAACCCAAATCTGTAATTGCTTCCTCTCTACCTGCAAATTCCACTTTCTTCTGATTGTCATCATCGTCATCCATATCGGTGGAGTTTATGGCTGTTGATAAGGCCTTTGCTGTATCAGGCTTCGAAGATTCATCCTTGTCCTGCTCCTGGAACATTGTCTCTCCGCGAATTGGAGACGATAAAACCTCTTGATGGCAAAGGATATCATAGGACAATACACTCCCAAGTGAATGTCCATATATAGAAACCTAATTCAAATGTCCAGAATTATAAAAAAGTAGTTCCATAGAACATGACCGTGCTTAGTAAATAAGATGAATAACCATAAGCCATGCAAGTACCTTCCCGTCATAACCAGGATTTCTCTTCAGAAACTTCAGATATAACCTATTCAATTGGTTCGATACCTGCAGAGCATATTAACAGAAAACTTCAGAAACAAACATAATCTTCGCTAATGTCCCATAAGGACGCTGCGTAGCCCTCTGGAGAAGTTAAAACAGTACAAGAACGATTTTAGAAGAGAAAGGATAAAGAGACATTTAATTTAGATATACTACATCTACTCACCGAGTCGATAATAGCCTGACAGTAGATGGGGCTCATGTAGTACAGGACATCATGAACAGTTGCACTCAACATCACTCGGAGCTTCCGTACACCATCCAAAGTAATTTTATCAACCGTATGCTCGCTACTAAGCTGTAGACCTTTCCTCCACTGGCAAAGTGAATACAATGAAATAAATCAACTACACTGCATGATACTATGTTATGTAAAATGCTTTAAAAGAAAAAGCTAACGTTTGTTCTGCCATCAGAACCCTAAAGATCGCAACTACTGAGATGAAAATTCGCAACAGCGTAAGCCAGATCTCTACCTGACACGGGATGAAAAGAACCCTTTGTGTGCCAAGTTGATATGAACTCAGGTGACGTTCAGCAAGGTTAGAGGTTATTTCACGAAAATCTATAACATCATCCACTAAATTTGACTTCTCCAACCTTTGCCCAATACCGTGGACCATGAATACCAGATGTCCAACAGGAACCTGACCCAGATTAAGAGTAAGAATAGTGAGGCTCAAGAATCATCTTTAGCATAGACAAAGGCAAGAAATGAAGCACTATTCCTCACGATTGACATTTAAAATATAATAAATAACACCAAACTCCACAAAATAAAAACTTAACACAGGATCCCACTTGTTAAACTACAATGAGTTAAATCTTGTACCTGCGAACAATAATCATCCATTTCTTCCTCCTTCTGCTGACGTAATTCATCCTTCAAAAGTGAGAAGCTAATGCTATTAAGAACACTACTAAACCAGAGAGCCAAATATTCAGAAAGTAACTAGAATATCTTTCGAATAAAAAGAAAAGAAAACTCGTCAAGTTCACCATATGACATCTATCTAAGACAATATCATCGTTCGCACAATGGATGTACAGTGACAGGTTTAGAAAAACTGTGTCGGAGATTACTCCCTCTGTCCCAGAAAACTATGCCACTTTGTTGAACTAAAACAGTAAAACAAATGGACTATATTTTTGGGACAGAGGGAGTATAATATTAAACCAAGCTGGTTGTTAAGTGTCCAGAAACAAAATAGTACCTGAGTTGGTTTTGGAGACTGAGAAGGAGCATAACCACGTCTCAACTTCGTACCGCCCCCACCTAAACTAACAACAGAAGACCACCCAGATGCATCAGCATTTAGCCATGCTTCCCAAGTATCATCTTCCCCAGTGAAAAGTGCATGAAGTCCCTTGAGAAAAACATTTCAACATTTAGCAAAACACAAGCACAGAAAGAAACTTTGGAGTTTTACAAAATTAAGCCTTACTGGAGTAGAACCCTGCAAATCAACTCTAGCAGCGAACAACCCTGATAACTGAAATGTTCTACGGCGCCACACCTAAATATACGAACATATTTCAGTAATCCAACTTTCAAGATGGCTAACAAATCCAATCCAAAATAACTGCCAACCGAAAATCAGATGTGGCGATAAAAAATTTGTGTATTAGAATGGCTAACAATAAGAAAAACAAATTCCAGAGAGAGAATGATTTCATGACCACAGCCAGATTTCTGATGTGCTTAAAAGCTGTTCTAAGTTAGTATGAGCAAGGAATTGCATGCACATGAATAGAGAACTTATTTGTTGCACCACCTTACTGCGGTATGCAAACTCCAACTGCTCAGCAACATCCTCTCGTATCGGAAGCCAATCAAGGCCTCCTTTACGAGCAAACCAATGTCCTCTCAGTACACGCCGGTTCTCTCCACTCCAATAGACTGGAAAACAATGCCTCTGTACCAGATCAACCTGCAGAAATAATCCAAGTAAGCTCACAGTATGCATCCGCCACTTATAACCAAGATAGTGCTTCATAGAAAGCAACCGGGCAAACAAAGCACCTTCTTTGAGTTACCATATGAGAATCACAGGAAGGATCAAGACAAAGGCCATACCTCATACAACCCACCCTTCACAGGAACACCAACTCTTTCTTCTTCACTCTCAGAAGAAGATTCCTCTAGCTGTTTAATCAATGAGGAATCTACACCAGGCTTCCCCTTAGGACCTTCAGTGCATTCTGCGTATTCTTTCCACCAACTAGAGAGTAAATCTTCCTCTCTCTGAAAATAAAAGAAGCAGCCTGAGTTCGTGACCTAAGTGCTCCTCAGGGGAAGTAATCAAGCAAAGATTATTCTACCCTTTCGTCGTTATAGATTACATAATGATCCTAGGATGCTTGATCCTCAAAAGATACTTCTTAGTCACATTTAAAATAACCCCAAGAGATGAAACAGAATTCATGAATCAAATTTATATTCAAAACCGAAGATGGATAGCAGGACCTGCAAAAATGAAGCCTCGATTGCAAGAGAATCTCTCATACCAAATCGAAAATATTCACCCTTTCCAACGATCTCTGTGTGAGGTATTGATGCAGCTAGAACTGGACACAGCAAAAGATTGGGGATTAAAAGAGAAGAAATTACATGATGAACCAGTTTCCAAATAGCTAAATGGAAGCTGTAATGATTGAAAAAGCTTCTAATGATCAACTACAATGCATATCTGAATTCTACAACAAACACTTCATCCCACAGTGTGGGTTGGCAGAAAACATCACGACCCAGGTAAATCTGAAAAGGTTGAACTTAAAAAAGCAATTTTAATACCAAGAATAAGATGATTAAGTTCTCACACAATTCACTAACATTACTGTAGCAATTTATGTTCCAAACAACAAAGACAACACTCCAGTTTCCCCTGTAATTTAGGGCATAAATTAGCAACCTACATATTCTCTAAATAATTCACTCTGTTCATTGATCAGTCAACTAAATTAAACTAAAAACTCCCAAAATGCTTGAGAGAAATAACACTTGCAATAGAAAGAAGAAAGATTAAATTAAGATTCATCATAGTCAGCTCAAGAACAAAAAGCTTCTTAAGGAATCAATTGCAGTACACAGTACTCCCTCCGTTCCAGCAAAATAGATCACACTGTGTTTTGTAATTTGTACTAAAAATAGTACAGAACACAGTGTAGACTATTTGGTTTTGGGACAGAGGGAGTATATGCCAACTAAATTCAACAAATGGGGATTAAAAATATAGAAAAAGATCATGAGTTGGTACCATCTTCGGCTAAATGGGTCTTGCAAAAGTACCATCTGACATCACCGCCATCAGATGGACTCCTAGTCTGAGGAAGATACTTATGCCTGCCTTCAAATTGCTCAATTTCATTAGCCAACCTCCTGATATTGGACGGTGTATTCTTCAACAAATCAGGTGAAGTTTCATTATTAGCGTCACTACGAGAAGAAGAACCCGAAACTGATGATTCCATCCTAGACCCTCCAATGAAACTGAGAACCCCCGAAAATAACCAGCAGTTCTAGAACCCAATCATCAAAAAGTTGCAAATTTAATGGGGAATTCAAAGTACAGAAAGGCCTCTGGGAAGGATTCTTTCCAGGTGGGGTTTCCGCTATAAATCTTTCTTGTCAACTATGTCTGAAACGAAACACACAGCTCATAAACCTTGAACCAAAGTGGGGTTTTTCCGTTTTAGGTATACAACAAATAAAGGGGGCAAGATGCAATCTTGGAATCATAATTTGAAAATTCTAATAAAGGGGCACATGTTTTTTCCATAGGAAAAACCAAATAAATTAAGGAACCCGATAAAACAGAAGAGTGTAGAAAATTGGGTTTGGGCTGGTTTCAGAAAAGGTAAAATGGAACTACTGGTCTTGGGGAAGAACAAGAAGGAAGAGAGAAGGGAAGAAGAGAGCCTTCTGAGAAGAAATTAATTGTAGAATTGAAAGGAATATTCTGGTAAAACCCGCCAAAATATGATGGGAAGGGCCAAAGGGGAGAAGAAACGTACCCAAAATAAGCAAAAGGTGTGGGTTTTGTGAGCAAATTATTTACGTAAGGAAGAAGGCAACAAAGAGAATAATAATGAGAAGAGAAAGAAGCCGGTTGGTGTTTTTGGAACGTTGGGGTTGCATTTGCCACGTTTCTCACAATTCTTCTTTTTCTTGCACCAAATATTCTGAGTTTTGAGATTCTTACCGTTATTAGTTATTTACTTCTTCTCTGATAAACACACACTAATAAAGATTTGACCACTTTTTTTTTCTTTTTTTTTAGTATATATAGAGTAATATAATACTTCCACCGTTCTAATTGGACAATAATTTTGAAATACAGAAAATACGATAATACAGAATGATTTTCTAGGTCTAATGATTTTCTGTTACCGTGAATAAACAAAAAAGAGTGATCAAACAACTCCAAAATGAGTGGAATGATTTGTGATAGCAGCTTAAATTAAAAGTTGATTCATTTGCCATGAGACAATGAGAGAACATTATGACCTTTGATTAAAGTAAATCAAAAGTTCTTCTGAAGGTTCAAAAGAAAGGATAATGATGGAATGCGCACAACCCATTGCAATTCTATATAATAGATTGGGAATCCACACCAAAATTGTGTTGTCCTACAACTTCTTTCCCTAATCAAACCAAAAAGGGGGCTCCTTTTATACTCTCCTTTTTCTGGTAGCAACAACAATTACAACACAAATACATCATCTTATTTTCAAAAAAAATAATAATAATCTTTAAGAGCAAAAAAGAAAAACGTAATAAATTAATCTCAGCTTCTACTATCACAAGCACCGCCACATCAATGAATGATCTCCACATCAAGTTGAGTTATGATTGCCTTTTTCCTTGCATCTTTCCCTTGCCACATATAATACATGACCCTCTCTCTAGGAATTTGAAAGCAAACCATCGGAGGAAGAAAAAAAAAAAAAAACCTGCATGAAAAGGTGATGCATGAAAACATTAAGAAAAGAAGAAGAAAAGAAAAACTGCTCGCAAATCTAAGTTAGCTGTTACCACCTATCTGCAGCTATCTTTTTACCTATAAATTTATGCGTTCTGCTGAACTTGCCGGTGTAGTTGCAAAATCCAATCAGCATAGCCATTTGTACCACCGCTCTGGTCCTCTATGAGATTAGCCAGCAGGAAGTAGCCTTCCCTGGGTTGTTCACCTTGCCGCACAAGGTGACAAAGCTGATAGTAAGACGGGTCTCTTTCTCTGTACTTTCTTAGTATCTTCATTAGTCGTCTTGAGGTTTCATTGTCCCGTTCAACAAGGGTAAGCTGGTTCAACAACACAAACAAGAGGCAAATTATCAAAGTTTGGAAGAAGAAAGAAACTGCAACTGTCGCATTACCAAAAGAAAGAATGAACATTCGAAAAAATGTGAACTTCCTTGATAGAAGGGGGACAACACAAAACAGTCTGACCAGTGGCGCACGACTAATTTAAATTATTCAAACATTAATGAAAGACGATAGCTCTCCATGACAGGAAATGAAAAAAAGGAAGCTACACAGGCAAAAGCAGATCCCAAAACAAAAGAGAAAATCAGTCAACCGACCTTTGAATAGTCGGTTGCAAAATCATCGCCAAGTAAACTCATAGCTACATCAGGTGAAAGCATTCTGCCAAACCATATAATAAACCGGAAACCATCATCATAAACATAAAGTCCCTTTGAATCTAAGCTCTCAGCAGCAAGTGGAAGTCTCTTCCAAATGTTTTCAGACTCGTCACCGGAAGAAGACTGAGAAACAGAATATCATCATGGGAGATTTTAGAGAACTAGAAGACAAAGATCAACTATGGGAAAGGATAAAAGTAAATGATAAACAACTTACTTTTAGCAGCAATTCATCTACCCGAACCAAATTGGGATACAGAAGTTTCAACAATTTTTTAGCAGGCAAAGCCATGATGGTATACCCTGCAGCACAGCGTTCATCGAGCGAATCGGCATAACCACCACGAAGAGGTACCGATTTAATTATTGCCAAGCCGTACAACGGCAACAGCTTCAATGAGTCTGGGTATATTAACCTTCCCCCCAAGCGATGCTGGACAGCATAAAGGTTCCTATACTCTCTAAGTGCTTTAACTATCCTCTGTTGTACAGAATTCCGAGCCTCGTCCAATTTATAGGACAGTGATTTCTCAATAGCTGCAGAACAAGCCATTGGTTATTCTCAAAAACCCACCAAAGAAGTTTGAGAAACAAGAGGGGAAAGCAATACCTAGTCGAGAAAGCAAAGAAACTACAGCACCAATGTCAGCCAGGCGATACATCTCGCCCAGATCGGTGACAACTGGAGCAGCAGCAGTATGTACCCTGATACGCCTTTCTCCTGAAGATGATGTATACCTATGGCCAATTAAGGAATACTACACAATGCTGAGTTTTCAGTCCAAGAGATTCGCTAAAGCCTCGACCGAATCATATAATAAGATCTATGCATCCTTTATTAACCATTAAATGTGATATGGAATCCCAAAACTGCAAAGAGGTTTTTCGGGGGAGTGGAAAAGAAGAGAGAAAGGAGCTAATTTTTTTGCATAGAAAAACCAAAAAGAATCTTAGAAGAACGTGCTCAGAAAATAAAGCTGAGAAACTGAGCTACCAACAGCCATAAGAAAAGAAGAATGGCCACACAAAATAAAAGAAACCTAGTTATGTATAGGACAGACCTAAATGACAACAGGAAACCATTACCATCAATCCAAAAGAAAGTATAATCTACATGACATCACATAGTAGAAAAACGAAATAAAAATTTATTTCCCAATATAAAGGATACAACAAAGCTATCTGAAAATAAACCGTATCAGTTGTCAACAGTGTTTCTTCAAGGGAAAACTGCATTGCATAAGCCTTGTCACAGTCAACAGCTGGTAGAGCCATAAGATCGGTAGATCGCAACATAAAGTTACCGTGGTAAGAAGTAAATCGCACACCTGATGAGAAAAATTATAAATTAGCATTAGCAAAGTAATTAATATAATGATGACCAAGGAGCTGTTGTCTGACTTATAAAGACAACTGACCTCTACCACATCTTATGCGCATGACAGATTCCCATGCTGTCTCTCTAGTTAGATCTCTAGCCAACTCATATCTCAATCTATCTCCATGAACAGATGATGAGAAATTTGGATAGTGGTACACCTGTCCGCCCGTATATTTCGACAGAGTTCCTACATGAGAAAGTACGAAAATGGACAATATTTTAGACATACGGCTTCTCATACGCCCAAGGCCTGTATTAGCCATATTTGTATTCCAACTTCTCATTTTAAAATTAATAGTGATTTTCTCAATTCGACATTTTATTTTACACGTCCGTAACAACATTTAATATTCTTTAACTAAAACCAATCCAAATCACAAACAAGAACGAAATCATACATAGGCCTCCAATTTATTCTCAAATTGCACAATGCACTTCATATAAGCAATTCTTGAGATAGTATGACTTAATTGAGTCGCCAATTCAAATAGTAGGTAAGAACAGCAAGTTGCAAGAGTGGGAAACCACAAAATCTTGGTAAAAATATATTGGGTGATACGTAAACATACCTAAGGAAGCTATGTCAGCATATTTGTCACTGAATGCATATACATTCACTGCTATCTGAAATTTCGAAAAATCAGCAGCCATCTGCTTATAAAATGGATCTTCTGGTATTCTTAGGGTATACTCTTTATCAGTTCCATAAACACGGGAATCATCTCCACGAAGCCTTAACCGGCCAGCACCAAGTGACGGCAACGTGTTTTGAAAAATCAACAATTTCCCACCAATTTGATTCTGCAATAGGAAGAGAAACCAACAACAAGAGAAGTAAATACAAAATAAATAAATAAATAAATAAATAAAATAAAATAAAAATTGAATACCATAAAAAAATATGAATCCATACCAAACAAGGATAAAAATTTTAAAAATGTAACAGGCCAAAGTGTATCACCAAATAACTGCTGATATGTTATATGTAAAGAAAGGAAAGAATTCACACCATAACCAGGAATGCTGCTTTAAGAGCCGGACCAAAAGCGGACTCCACATTCACATTGCCCTGAAACATGGTGGACAAGCTGTCCAGAAAGGAATCCACAACAGCCCTTGACTCTGATAAGTTAACAAGGAGATCATCTGGCAAGGGTACAAATACATCATCCAGATCTGAGACCACCATCATCTGAGGTTGACTTAAGGAAGACTGGCCAAAAAAATTTCAGAGTTATTCCACTGATCTGAATGTTTAGCATGATTCTTTATAATATGATAGAGCTATCACAATCGTACCTTTAGATTGTAAAAGTGTATTGAGCTATCAAAAGTTATGAAGCCAATTTGTGTCCTTGGAAATCCAGGCAAGTTTTCCAAACTAGACTTAATAGTCTCTGCAATGACCTGCAAAAATTATTCAAGGTGATATTGATTAGCACAAAACTGGTGCCCATTCCCACGGAACGGAAACAATGACATATCCTTTCTGGAGATCCAAGAAAGACGTCAAAAAGATTAAAAAAATGAAATCTCTAACCAAAAAAAAAGAAAAGAAAAAGAAGTATGATAATTTTACTTCCGCAGCTAAAAATTCATACCTCAAGCATTCCACTTTTCACAGCAGAGACCGAAACATCAATGAGGAAAAAATAAACTGGTGGCATAGGTGGTCGAACCATGTATTCAGCTGGAGCAATAAAGTCGACACTGCCTTTAGTAAGCTCAGGGCGTTGATCCAAGTCAACCCTCCTACCACTGGCATCAAGGTGCGCAAAATAATCACCCGGAACTAGAAATGAAGATCCAAGTTAGGTCAGGCCATAAGTAACAAAAACAATAAACGAATCTAAGTGCATTAGATGTTTAATTTATTCTAGTGCTAATTTTGAATGGGTGATCAAAGTCAAACTTCTCCGAAATAGAAAAGAATATTCTAATATGCATTAAGAACATCACTGCATGTGGCACATGCAATCAAAAAGAATTGGAAACCTAACAGATTGAGGAGGTAAATACCAATTGCAAATTGAAGTAATTATGCAAACCCAAAGCAAGAAGGAAGAAAAGACATGTATGAGAAGAAGATAACCACTTCAGACAATAGATCACTTATATAATAGAAGACCCTATCTGCATATATTTCCACTGCAAGTACTTTCACACCCTGAAGCATATTTTGTGACGGTATCTGCAAAATCTTACCATCATTAAGCAACGAACATATGTTGCATTTCCACTTCCTCCCATGATCAGTAAAAGTCACATATGGATTCACATACGTGCGACATCTCCTACAGCGAATGATGCCAGTCGACAAAAAATCAACCACAGGCACTTCTTCCTGAAAAGAAAAGAGTAAGTTTTCGTTTCTGTATCGTTCTGCTGATTATTCAAACAAGAAACTTCAAGTTTTGATGAGACTAACCCCTTCAGGAGCTTCTGCAAGAGGACAAACAACAGCTCCAAGAGGCAGATGCCACCTTGAAGCCAATGACTGTGAATTTGGAATAGCACATGTACTAAGGCGTAAGTACCTAGAACTACAGTTCATAGGGTACATCTCTGCAAAAGATTTTGGCTCCAAATCTCCATCCAATGGCCTGGGTAAAGCTTTAGAATCAAGCCCTGTATCAAATGATCCTGGAGCAGATGCTAGAGAGAGAGAACTGAAGTCCTCAATTAGACTTTGTGCTGTACTTGTAGGCGGCATGGAATTTGGATACTGCATATAACTTCCTTGTGGAGAAATATAAGGCCTTGAAGCTCCAGGCATGGTCGCAGCATAACCGAGTTGCTGAGGTGGATAAGTTACCGGGTTTGGGGGTTGAGTTGGTGGGGCAACATTCGGTGGCTGTCCAGGATACCCCTGAAAAGGTGACTGCTGAAAGGGGCCTCTACTGGCAGGATACACCCCTGCCATCATTGGCGGTGATGACGGCTGTAAGTTTGTCATGGGAGATGACTGAGGAACATTTGCACCCGGTGGTTGCATAGTATTAATACTTTGTGATGGAAATCCGACGGGAGGGACCGAAGGAGGGGGCTGGGGCGGTTGTATTTGTGTTCCAAATGGAACTGGTGGCGGTGATGAGAAAGGGCCAGTCAGAGGTCGTACTGGTGGCATTTGGGCGGTTGAGGAGAGTTGTGGGGTTGGAAACCGCTGAAAGGTTCCAGCACTTGGTGGCGGTGGTGGTCCGAACGATGAAGGAAGTCGCTGCCTTGCTGGATCATTTAACCCGCCAGGTACAGATTGAGGCACAGATGAGAAGGGATTTGGGGCATGGGAGGAGGCAATCGGATTGCTACTAGGCCTAAAAAATGGAGGCCTCTCAGGATTTTCCGTGCCCATGTGCTCTCAATCACTCAGTTGTATTCGTGTTGATACTTAGAATAGAATGCTTTCACAATAATCGCCTTCAAGATCAAAGAAACTGTTACAGGAAAATACATCAACCATAAGTCAGTCAGATATCTGATCAAGAAATCAACTGTAACAAGTCAAGCAAGATGGTTCATATAAAAAAAAAAAACCATAGGGCTGCCCGAAACTGATTGACATGTTCCAATGATCCAGTTTCTCTACAAATTAGCGAATGCTACACTGCATAGAGGCATGATGCTTTATTTAAACCAACAACAGTGATTGGGAACTCTGTAGTAATACTTCCTCAGTTAATAATAATTAAGTCTTTTAAAATCTAGGCCATAAGAAACACTGAGAATAGGAGCCAGGCAACTCATAGTAACCTTTCTACCAATCAGCACACCTAAGCAACTGACTACCACTAAACTACAGGAACAATATTGGGGGAAATTAGTGCAAACACACACCAAAAAAATGTGTTAAGATTCTCCAAACCCCAAAATAGTGTACAAGACAGAGAAATTCAAGTATTAACAGCCAAGGTAGCTCATGAATAAATACTTAGTAATGATATCAAGCAAAATAAAATTTAATTCTTGCAAACCTCACAGAAACTAACAACAGGAAAACCAGCCAAGATCTCAGAAGCATTGCTCACCTTTCTCGCGATCCAAATAGTATTTAATCAACGTTCATAAAATTAATGATCCCATGACTCAATAGGGAAGACATTCATAAAATTAAATAAAGAAATAAGATAAAAGGGTAGAGGTGAATTTCAATCCACACAAACTCACAAAATTAAGGGCTTTACAATCATCCGCATCAACAAAGTACAAATCCACTTTTTTAACCCAAAAAGAAGGTCAGTCAGAAAATTAGTTAGTTCTCAGCGACCAAGACTGGATTTACGTAAAGCTCGCAGTATGATTACAACACCCTTAAAGAGGAAAACCAAAATCACATCACAGTGATGTGAATACAGAAAATCCCCGAATTTCGAGTGATTTCTGATTTGGGTAGTGAAAACTATCAAAATTCAGCTTTTTCTACAGCGAATACACAGAGGAAGATAAACAGTAAGAGGGAGAGAGAGGTTAAACGCAGCTGGACTTACCGGTGACCGGCCGGAGTAGCACTGGCCGGAGGAGATCTGATGATAAAGAATGGTTCTTTAAAAGATTGTAAATAATAAAAAAGTCCGTCTCTGAGTGAACTTCGGCCGGCGTGTCTGAAGAAGTGTTTACTTGTTCTGTTTCATGATTATTTCCCCAAGTCGGAGTTGGAGTATTAAACTATATTGGATTGGACTTGCGCGGCTTATTACTTTTGGGCTTAAAGTGGGCACTTCCTAATATGGGCTTTTTTTAAATCAGAAAAACTTGGACTACTACATAAATCCAATAATAATATTCAGTGACCCATTTATATATAGTCCATTTAACCTTCTACCACTCCTTTATATAATCCCATTCGTTTTCTGTTTTGTTGTTTGTTGTTCAGAAACGACGAAGCTGCCTTTATTGTTTGCCCTTTGAGAAAACCCTAAACGGAACTTCGCCTTAGGGTTTGATTTGACGCTTACCGGAACTAAGATTTTCTCATTTCCGATCTACAATGGCGGAAGAGGACGTTATGGTCGCCGCCCCCGAAGCTCCGGGAGTCCAACTTCCCACCGACCACGAAAAGAAACGGAAGCTCGGAGATTTGGAGACCGAAGCTCCAGAGCCGCTCTCCGGAATCGATAGTAACTCGCAGCGCAACAACGGTGATGGTGTCCACGTCGAGAACGCGGACCAGAAGGAAGATGCCGATAATGAGTCCGAGCTCAAACGACCTCGTTTAGATGATAGTGTTGAAGAACCTGCGGCGCCTGCCCCCGGTAATTTTCATATTTTTCTTTACTATTTGGCCTTTTGAGTTCAGTGTTATTGTTTGTTTTTGAGTTGACTGGGTTTAATGTATGGTAACCCTCTCCGTTCTGACTTAAGTGTGTTTTGCTGCTGCTGCAGAGAACGGATTTAAAGTGGAAGAGAATCCCAATGGGGAGGCAGATAGAAATATTAATGGGATTGATCAAGAACAACAAGTATTAGCAGGGCAGGAGCAGAACGATGATGCAGACCAGACAAAGCCCCAGACTGAAAGTGGTGATGGAGCTGAAATTGAGAAGGTGGAGTCTGAAAGTGGTGAGGGAAAGGAAAACCCTGTGGGGGAAGTTAAGGAGCCATCTGCCGGTTCTGGTTCTGATGGCACAACTACCTCGAAGAAAATGGAGGTTCCAAATAATAAGGTAATTTAGTTTTCCCGTGATTCTTGAAACCAAAATGCTTAATTCTTCATATTCATAGCTGAATTATCCTGTGTACATTAGAATTTTTTGCGAAGGATAACTTACATCTAACTATTCTCTGATTTGGACTTAGGTTGGGGTTTTGATTGGCAAGGCCGGGGATACTATTAGGTTCCTGCAGTTCAATTCAGGGGCTAAAATTCAAATAATGAGAGATGCTGATGCCGATCCTCGTGCTCCTACCAGGCCTGTGGAATTGATTGGAACTTTAGAAAGCATAAACAAGGCCGAGAAACTTATAAATGATGTTATTGCAGAGGTTAGTTTCAGTTTTTTCTCCCTGTGGAAATCAGGTTGATATGCATGCTGTTTTATTTTTTTTTGCGTGCTATATTTTGAAGTTTATAACCAAATTCTTGCTTTCTCAGGCGGATGCCGGTGGTTCGCCTTCCTTGGTTGCTAGAGGTCTTAGTTCTGGTCAATCTGTGGTTGGAGATCAAGTTGAGATACAAGTTCCAAATGAAAAGGTTTTCCTGTTGAATGTTCCATGTCTCCTCCCCTAGTATTTTTATTGTTGGTCTCCTTAATGACTTATCTGAATGGAACTTCTCTATCAGGTTGGCTTGATTATTGGGAAAGGTGGGGAAACTATTAAGAACCTGCAGACCAGGTCTGGAGCACGCATTCAGGTAAATGAATTCGAATGAATTATGCTTGAAAGAGTGTTGGAAATTTAAAGCTCTTAAGGATGGTTTCTCCACGATGTTTTTTGTTCCAGTTGGTTCCCCAACACCTTCCAGCTGGTGATCAGTCAAAAGAGAGGACTGTACGAGTTAGTGGTGATAGGAAGCAAATTGAAATGGCTAAAGAGATGATTAAAGAAGTGATGACACAGGTTTGTAGTAACTATTGCCTCTCTTTTTTTTCTAATTTGTTTTCTTATGACCATCCTTATCATCTACTAATTAGTCATTCACTTTGTTGAATATATATATATATATATCTATCTATTTTATTAACATTGTTGTCATTTATTCTTGTAACTTGAGTGCTTTAACTGTCCTTGATGTCACTATATGATGCTTTTATTTGCTTTCTGGCTTGATTTGTTGGCCTGAATGTGGTGTGTTGCATCATTTGTTGCTTCTATTCATGCTTTGAGTTGCCTGTGCTGTACTTAAGTGGGCCATTTGTTCCTCTTGAGTTAGTGCACAAAGAATATTGTGATTTTGAATCAATTCCTGTCTGCGAAGAGGACTCCTGATTGGTTACCTTGCTAATATAAAAAGAAGTGGTTCTTTAATGAGAGTTTGATGGCTCTAGGTTTTGCCATATCCTGCTTGCTGTTAAGAGTCCTGTTTAAGCAAAGTTTCCATGAATACAACTCTTATTTAGTTGAATGCTTGAGAGATATGTAAGTCAGCCAATTATCAATGGGAAATTCTGGTGAACCAATGCTACGAAGCTGACCTTGTTTTTACAGAACTATATTGTTTATCTAACTTTGAGCATGCTACTGGGTTTGTAGTTATGAGTATAGTGAGAAACAATTATCCGCGTATCATATTCTTATCCGGGTATTGCTTGTTGGCGTGATGTTTTTTAACAGTAGAAGGCCTGTGCTTTTAGCTTTATCGGTTAGTTTGAGAGCTGCTTTCTTAAATAGAGTCGAAGCCCTTTTATGATGTAGAACTCACATGAATGCAAGTCAGGAAAATCTTATATTCAGTGAGATGTCGGTTGCCATGATTTTTTTTATTATGAAGCTGCCGATTTCGAATTCCTTGGCTTTAAAACTGCAGATATGGCTTTTGCCTCTCACATCGGGTCAGCATTGCCTTGGTGTACAATATACAACTATTCATTCTCGTCTACAAGAGAGGTACCAAGCATTAATCTTCGAGATTGCAGGATGTTAATAGTTGGTAAGATTGCTTTGAGACTTACAGATTGAAAGTGATAGTACTACTAAGACTGCATTTGATTGGCTCCAGTGCTCGCTGATGTACCCATGTTCTTTGCTTGGAACATCTTGGAGAAAAGTGTCATGCTCAGTCAATTCATGTACTATAGGATTGTATGCGTGTAAATGAAGACAATAGTGGTTTACCTGATGCATTGAGGAACTCAAAATTCTAGAGAGCTATCATGTTTGGATTATCAGCTGAGTTGAAACAAATCTGGTTCAGGACAATTTTTTGAATGGGTTGATGCTGTTGTTTTTTCGTACCCCTTCTTTTGCTATGGTTCTGTTCTTTGGAGTATTATTTCTTTGTGGTTTCTGTTGGAAGTTTCCCTCCCTACTCTTTCTAATGGGATTTTTTTCTTTCTCCTTTATCCGGGCATGTGTGCTTTAAATGCTTGGCTTTGATCTTGTGATTTGAAATTCTTTGGTTCTGATCGTCATTTCTATTTACCTTGTGTTAGATCTAATCTGCTTTTTATGAAAAGTTAATAATGTTACGTAGGGTCTTTGGTTTATTTTTACTACTTACTATCATCTGTTCCTGAGTTCGGCCGCAGAGTTGCCTTCGTTTGCCTTTGATTCTGTGTGCTACTAGTTGCAATCTGTTACGATGCTTTTGAAAATTTGGTAATGGGGGATATGACTCTTTGGAGATACATTCATTCGCATGGAAATGGTACTGAGTGAATGTTGATTTGGCAAAGATGAAAATGAAAATTCTTAGGTTCTATATTTCTTACTCGTTTTGTGTGTTCTAATTTCTGCATCATGTGATTGAGTTAGAGAAGGTAGTCTTTTGTCCTATTGTATTTAATCACTCATGCATGAATGTTTGGTTTTGATCTGTTTACCTTCAGGTTTATTTCATAATATGAGCTGATGAATTTAAGTAGTTTCTTTGTTCCTATCTCAGAGGAGAGCCTGGAATGACATGTTTGTTTACCCTTGTATTCTCTCTGCAGCAATGTGTTATCCTTTCTGTTTATATGCTCTTTTCAAGTGATCATAATTGCTCGTTCAACTTCCTGTATTTGTCAATTTGTAGCCCCTGGTCTCTGATGAGATCTCTCAGGAAGACATTAGTGTTCTTGGATGGAAGGAGAACAATAGAGAAGCTGGCGAACATATTTTTATTCTTCACTGACATTGTGTGCAAGCCATTTTCTATTTTGAAAGAGCCTTGCTAACTTTTGTTGTTTTTGTTGATCTTCTATTATAGCCCATGAGGCCATCACCTCTATCTGGCGGTGGTTATAATCAGCCAGCATTCCGGCCTCGTGGTCCTGTTACCCCACAATGGACTAATCGTGGTCATCCGGGACAGCACATGGGGGGATACGAATATCAGCAAAGAGGACCATATCCACAGCAAAACCCTCAGTACCCACCTCAATATAACTATCCGCAGCAAGCACCGAGAACCAGCTTTGGTCCTGGTTGGGAGCAAAGACCGGCTATGCATGGACCTCCCCAGGTGGGTGATTATAATTTATTCTCCTCGGTTTCATTTTTGCTTAAAAGCCGTCATTTGCTAAAATCATCTGATACTCTTCATGCTAACTGTGACATACTTGAAATCCAGGGAAACTACTACGGGCAAGGTCCAGAATATGGGCAGCCAGGCCCGTACTCGCAGGCACCTGCACCGAGCTATGGGCCTGGATACAATGAAATGAAATATGACCACCAAGTGCCATCCCAACATCCCTATGGTGGACCCGGGGTGCCACCTCAGTCCACTGGTGGTTATTCTCAAGCTACTGGAGCCCATCCTGGATATGGTCCTCAGGATCAGTATGGTAGGCCTGGGGGATATGGTATGCCTCCTCAAGGACCACATAGCCAGACGTATGGGCAGCCACCTAGGGCCAACCAACCTGGAGAAATGCAGTATTCAGCTCTGCCGTCAGCACAAGCTTATGGTTCTAATGTACCACCTCAGCAAACTTATGGCTATAGTGGGGGGATGCAACAAGGCTATCCACCTTATGCTGCTTCAGGACATGCTGATGGTTATAGCCATCCACCTGCTACGACTCCTGCTGGTCCTGGTTACGCCCAGCCTGCTGCCAGCCAGCCAGTCTCTGGTTATGGTCAGCCAGGCATGCAGCAGCCCTCTAGTTATGCTGCTTCTGTTGGAGGTTACGGTTCATATCCTTCGCAGCCTGGGTATACTGATCAAGCGGCGGCTGCCCCCAACACTGGATATGGGTATCAAGCTCCAGCGGATGCTGCTTATCCTGGTACTACTACCTATGGTGCACCAGCTACTGCTCAACAAGGTTATGCCGTTCAACAACCACCTCCAACTCAGCCGGGGTATGACCAAACTGCCAATGCTCAAGCAGCTTATGGAACCGCACCTGCATCCACACCCGCGCCTGCAGCCACACCTGCATCCTCCACACCAGCAGCTGCACCAGCTGGGTATGTTAAAAGTGTCTCACCTCAGCCTGGTTACCCACAGTACGATTCCAGTCAAATGTACACAGCACCTCGGTAAAATTAACGACAGTGTGCTTTAGTGTTAAGTAATCGGAAACTGTATTTTGAAGTATTAGGCACAGATTAGTAGGTGGTAAGTTGATTTGCTGCTTCATTAGGTTTTTTTTTGTTTTGTTTTGTTTTTTTGCTTGTCATGACGATTCACCACTTTCTCCAACTGAAAATTACATCTGATATGTATGCTCAAGTAGAGCCTACCAACTATTATGTTTTCCTGTCTCTGTTAAAAAATCTAGTTATATTATTGACTTGAAGAAATGCTATATCATCTTTGATGAAAAATATGTAGCCAAATCCTATGGGTTGCTTTGTATGTGTGTATGTTATTATTTTTTCTTGTGTTTTTTTTTTTTTTTTCTGATAATTGTGTTCAAGAGGGGATGAAATAGTTTACCAAAAAAAAAAAGAAAGAAAAGAAAATAGTCACAGAATATTTACTGTCAATATATGATGCCTCAAGAAAGGCCCAAATTGAACCTATCTTTTGACATGGTAGTATTTGACAAGACATAGTTTTGTTTACAGCCGGCTGATTTTGCATTAACAAATTGTTTTTCCTTCACAAATTGCCTCTCTGCGATTTTCTTCCAATGAGAACTCAACTCGTAGAAATTACATTGTCAAGAAACGTTTGTACATCGTTCATATTTATTGTTTACTCTATGAACTAGTTGGCCTCGTAGTAGTACAATGTTTAGATGTCCGAAGCTCTATGAACATGTTTGTTCGTCCCGTAGTGGAAGTACACTGTCTACCTAAATGTTACAAACCACCTCTCAAATAAAAAAGATATTACAACCCAAAGCATTCTTAACTTTATACCTTTATGAACAACATTTTTGTTTGATATTGTCCAATTGCATTTGGAGAAGGCAAAAAGAACTGGTAATTTTCAATTTGTCTTTATTTGCAATTACGTTTGGAGGAGGAAAAACAGCTAGTAATTTGCGTTTCTCATGGAGAAAGAACACCCTCTTCATCTTAGTTTTAGAATTATCAAGCATCCAAAGCATACAAGTAACGGTGGCACCGGCACTAATGCGGGAATGTATAGTTCATTGGTTTGACAGTCTCCCATGCTGAGTTTGGATTAGTTTTCTTCATCAACCAGGATGGTGGACTCGTTGCCTACTCCAATGTCAATCAAAGATGCCATATCGTCATCAAGTAATGTTGGTAAAGGGCAGCCCTGCGGGTCAAGGACTATGGTCAAATCCTGATAGGTAGGTAAAGCATCTACCTCTGGAGATGTGGATTGAAACTACATAGTATACAAAGAGTTGCTAAACAAATTCTTGTCTTGAACATCTATCTTAACGGAGAAGGATCACCATGGTAGCAGGACTTCCATATGTTTCAAGATAAAGACAGCCCTTGTGGCAATGCCAAACTTACCCATAAAACGTACATAGTGTGACGGGTGTATATCATGTCGGGAAAAGAAGGCGACTACTGGTCTACACGACATATAAATAGGCAATAATCACGGCCGGTGGAAAAGATGAAAATGCTTTAAGCCTTACTTCATTCGACATGCTTTATGCACATTTGTATGTACTAACCTCTTCTTGAAGAAACAATTTTGGCTTTATGGAATACAACTTGAAGAAGCTTTCACACAAGTTCTTCAGCTTGCCAACCTGAACGAGGAGCAGAGTAATGTGCATAAAGCTCGGAAGAGCATCTGTCAGAAAGAGATGACACTCATTTGTTGGAAGAAAGTTAGAAAGAATCTCACTGTCGTCGTAGGAGGGAGCTTTTTTGTCAAGGGGGCCTTTTCACCAATTGTAGGCCCGATGCACTTCAGGTTGATGGCTGCATCAGGGAGAATTGTAACTAGGGCAACCAAAGATTATCATATCCTAAAAAGGGAATAGTAAAGAGTTCTAGAACTGTTACATATAAGCCCAGATGACATTTTCTGAGGCCCAGCCCTGCCAATTGGAGCCCTCACTTCATCAATTCCATGGATTGTTTTAAGCTCGGAAAACCTATTGTGATCAGCACAGAACTAGAATTAGAGTTATAGAACTCGTACCAGCAGTTAATTGAACAGTAAAGTCTCGTTGTATTAGAAGATGTGACAGAAACACTATAGCAGGCATGAAGGTGTTTGCTTCCTCAGTAAACAAAGAGCTAGCTACTTATTTCAAGTTGTAAAAAATATACTGGATAATAGTTGAAAGGACAATATGGCAACTGTACCGGGGATGTAGCCGCGAAATATCTTCCAGGTTAGCATTACTCTTCATCATAACTAGTCGAACATACCTGTGTGAACAGTTCAAGCCAAACATATGCTAACTAATCAGTGCCTAATGTCACCCAAAGTGCAATAGATTGAGATTCACACGATCAGAAGAGATAATTTGAATCCTGAAAAGCACATTGCTCCTGGTAGCTTTTTGTATTTTCACAAAAACTGAAATAAAAATATGTACAGAAGAAAAGCATATGCTCTCCTATCCCAAGATTGAAGTTTATGAGGAAGTAAAAGTAGGCTTCTGCAGAGAATTACTTGAATTAAATAGTATCTTTTCAATGTAAAATCCATGCCAAGTGTTTTCAACAGTGAAATTAAATCAAGAGAGATTAAACTTTCTATTTCACGGCGATGCTAAGGCCTAAAATCCTAACAAGTTAGGATTTCAGAAACATTGCAGTGTCCACAAACCAGTAAGTGCATATGTATCAATGTCACAACAACAAATGCATAAAAGGCATGCAGACATTATTCAAAAGCAATGACATACCTAATCTCAGAATCCTTCCTCTCCCGTTGACTAATCTGCATATAGGAAAAACCACATTCAGATGTGTACGTAATTGCATATGCATATATGAAGGATGGTTGCTGAAGTAACCTGGCTTCCATTCAGAATTTTAATATTTGCTAAGCGTGCAATCAAAACGTATCTTGGGACACCATCTTTTGTGGTGTCTGTTATTGGATTCTCAGATAGTCTGACATCCTAAATGAAAAGTTGTGAGCTGTCAGTCCCACATAGAGAGGAACAATACATGGCCAATATAGTTAAAGCTATTCATATAGGTTTCTACTTTTAAGGATATCACAAATTAAATATTCAGAAACCTCACCATCAAGTTTGGAAAATGATTCAGTGAATCAACTGAAGTTAGATCCTTGATGTTGTTTCCTCCTGCAAAAAGAGTAACATAAGAAGTGCAAGAATGAATAACTAACTTTGATCGACAAAGGAATTAACTCGAAGAGAGAATGTATCACGAAATGTAATGCAAGTATTGCAGTTAAAAAAATTACCAATGAGGAGGCAAGACAGCTTCTCGAAAGGTCTAAAAGTAGCTTCTTCACCTAATGCATCGGATTCTGGGTACCATATGCAATCTAGATTATTCTTATTTAAAAGAAGCTGCTCCAAGCTGAACTACCAGGAATCCCCGAGATGGAAAAAGAATCTTATAAGAGTACTAATCACATGTCCTAAAACTGAGAACCAAATTCACTGAACATATCTTCTATTGATTACCTTTTCAGCTGCGAAAGCTTCAGAATTTCATTCCAATCAGCAAAGCAATTTTCTTCGAAGTTAAGAAGGCGCAGAAAATCAAATCCTTCTACGTTGATGGAAGATGATGGCTGTCCAAAGGAAGCATAAATTTAATGGCACGTGTAGCTCATGAAAGAAGCTCAACATAATTTCAAGCATCTGTATTTTAAGCAAATGATGCATTTACAGCTAATAAATTTTGCCTAATAAAGTAAAACGAGCACAGTGTCGGGGAGCTCAAGTGATCAGACACAAGTTGAATTTCACAGTAAGAAGATAAATACACACCGTAATTTCTTGCAAATGGTTTCCCATCAGATGAAGCTCCTCTAAGTGTGGAATGGACTCTTTAAGTGCTTCAACCTGCAAATTGAATTACATGATAATTAGTTAAAAGGGTACATCAATTAGTGTAATGAATAAAAGAAATCACGAAATATGCAACAAAAACTGCACTGATAAGCAATCAGTGTCAACCTGATTCCAGCTTATGCCAGTAAAGTTTAACACTAAAACCCTGATATTATTCAGCTTGGGAAATCCAGTTACATCGTGAGACATCAAATTGTAGGAGAGATTGAGAACTTCAAGCACTGCTAGCTCTTTACAGATGATGCCAACATCCTGGAAGAACGATAAATAGGCTGCAGTTACTAGGGTGACATACAGAGCAAAACATGCCATACTACAAGAGTCTTATACAATATTGTTCTTCAAACCATTACACTTATCAAGAGAGGCAAATGCTTATGGAACAACAAACAACCAAATAACTAGAAGGGTGCACAATTCTTGTACCAGAAAGCTATCTCATAGCAGTAGAATCAGGTAATCACTCGGTAAAGAAAGTAATCAATGTTAATTGAGAAAAAGAGCAATCATTATCCATAACCAAAGGAAGTTAACAGGTCAGACATTTTTCAATTTTGTAGATGTACAGTTTTACCAACGACTAGGACATACTTTCCAGTCAGAAAGCAGATTTCCCATCAAATCAAGCTCCTTCAAATCTGCATTGGAGGCGATTAAACAATGTTTAGCCTGAAGTAGTTTAACGGATAAGTATGATGCGGAAGAGACAATACAGAAGAGAACGCCAAGTGAAGTTCAGAACTTAAGATGCTAATTTTACGGTAAGTTTACAACCTCCACCGTGATTTTTCTTTAAGACTTTGGATACAGATGTTTATGCATGGTCAGTACTTCTATGAAAAAGAAGGAAGAAGAATCTAACAGAAGAGCAAACCAGGTGACAGTTAAACGTGTTGCTTAAGTGGACATAGATCATAACCTGAATGAGAAGTCACAAACTGAACAAACCAAATAGACAAAAGGTTCAGCAGATAGAATGAGACACACGGACAAATTTTGTAATAAAACACCACAGAAGGTGGCCAAAAGGGAATTAGCTGGACAGAGAAAACCTGCATACTCACTTGGTAGAGTTGAAACAAGAGTGCCCAAAGGTCCGGGAGAGCTGACTCCCAAAAAAGCTAGTGATGCTCCAGTCATGTCCTCAAAGTTGCTAACCATGCTTTGAATCTTTTCTCTACCAAGAATCTCAACCGATACCCGTCTATTAGTTGCAGAAAGCACATACATCTCGTCTGAAATTATAACACCAAGTGTTCTTACAACGCACTACTTATCATGAAAGTAATAATAATAAAAAAAAACTAAAAACGCCCATCAACAGAAGAAACACTAGCACAAGTGAAAAAAATATCATACAACACTAAATTCTCCAAATCATGGAGTACAACATTTTTACTCTAATTTAAACACAAAAGATCAATAACCAGACATCATTAACCACAAAAGTAAACGAACACATAAGGGACGAAATTAGGAGCACGAAAGGACTACTACCATTTAGTTGTAACTCTAAAAAGACAAGTAAAAACAACTTGGAAGCAGGGGTACAAACAAAACATGAGCAGCTCCGGTGTCCCCGTACTCACCTTCTTCTTCTTTAGTGGAAGTGCTCTTATATCGAAGTTCAAGGGCTTCTAAAAGCGTGATCCCGGAGCTCAGCTTGCCGGGGCGGACAAATGACCCGGTTTTGGGGCCTCTAGCTTGGAAATACCGGAACCCATTGTGAGAGCCGTCGTGCTTGCCGTCACCGTCATTGTCCCAATCAACTCCGACCCATATCCCCGAGTGGCCTTCCAAGGGTCCCATGTACTTCACCGTTCCGATTCTCCGGACGTCACCCGCGGCGTGCACCCTCTGCCCGGGTCTGAAACACGGGTTGATGGGCTCATTCCCGGGCGCAGATTGTTCAAGGGTACCCATTGATTGATTGATGAATTACTAGAAGCTCTCTGATGGAGGAGGAGCCAAAAACTAAACACAGAGGAAGATTGGAGAGGGACTAGCAAGAGAAACATATGAAACTTTAGGTACCAATTTGAATAATTATTTTTGTTATTACCTTTTTCTTTACTTCTACTTAGGCAGGTGAATACAGAGGGAAGAAAAAACCCTTCCTTTTCAATTTCATCACCACTTTTACACCTCTTCTTCACCGCCAGTTTCTGTTTCTCATTCCAATCAGATTATATGCGGATTAAAGGAGATCATCAATCTGGGCTTCTCTTTTGCGTAGTCTTATAGAGCCATTACAGGTGATTGTTTTATCAATCTGGCTTCTCTTTTTGCATATTATTGGTGCTCTACTTCTTCCTTTAAATTTGCATAATCTTGTTTTTGTGTGAGAAAAAAAAAAGATGTATACAATTTCTCCATGTCTTGTTAAGGTGATGATCACTTATAAAAGATGTATATGTTGTTCATTCCCTAAAATAAAGAAATCCATTTCATTGAGTTATGTGTACCATTTCGGGTGTTGTTCATTTGGTTTAATATGTTTGGGTGTGGATTCAAATGTGTCCTCAAATAATCATCCTGGTGTTTGGATTCGAATTTTCATTTTCAGCACTAAATCTAAAAAAAAAAAAAAAATTCAAAATCTAATCTGGCAAAAGGGGGCAAAAAAGGGACGGGGAAAAAAAACAACTGGACAACTTTGACATGAATCCACCATTGAAAATTGCACCCCAAATAATCTCACTTCCAGTCAATTTGAGCCGAGCCGAGGGAAAGATCAAATTTTTAATCATTTGGGATTTTTTTTTTTTCAAAAAGGTCATCGTTTTCATTTCTGGACTACAATGGACCAGGAATTTTGGACCAGAAGATCCGAGCTCCCATTCAGACACACTCATTCCCACTGGAACGAAGCTACCCTGGGCTCCCGCACAATTCTGTGTAAGTGAAATGGATTTTCTATCATCTCCCACTTTTTCCCATTGACGGGCTTCCTGCATTTTGCTACTTTAATTTGGTTTCTTTTGCTGCTTTTGTTGTGCATTTATTTCGACTTTGTTGTAGAAAAGTAAAAAGATTCGATCCTTGCTTAATCTTGGGTATTGATGTTTGTGAGCTGGAGTTTCATCGGTCTCCGCTCTCCACATTAGACTTTATTATGTCATAAGCTTATCTTTAGCGGCTTAAGAGACAATAGCTTCTACGTAAGAATATACTTGCTCGTATTAAAAGTTCGAACTTTAAGAGTGATTTGTCTGATTTGCTGCTTGTTTTAACTTAACCTTTTGGGTCTTCCAAATCAGGCTCCTTGTTAACCTGTGATAATTTTGTTTTGATGGTAAAAAATACATGTGGTTCATGTTGTTATATGAAGGGTTTTTGAATTGTTTAAGATGCCTATGCTTTTGCTGTTTGATCATAGCAACTATGGGGGCAAAACTGAAACAACAAGATCCTTTTTCATTTCTACAGACTTTTCTTTTGCTGGTATTGCTGTTGATGGTCACGTACGTTCTGATTTTTTACACTTTTCCCCAGTTGTCATTGTGTATTAGTTGGGTAGTTAAGACTCATGGTATGTGGCTATGTGCATGAATTGTTTGATTAAAAAAAGGCCTTACGGAAAGCATTCTGCTTTTTGTTTTTCTTTTGCTTCGTTCATAATAATCATAGGCTGATTGCCATGTGTGTCTCTCATTCTTCAAACATGACTCTCATGGTTCTTTTCAGTTAGTTGTTGAACAACGTTGCAACATGTGGTTCCATTATTTGAAATTGTGAGCCAACTACTGTTACTGAACATGCACATACACACATAATCAAAGCATGGATCATTATGTAATGCTGTCGCTGAAATCAACTAGCTTTGTTGCTGCTCCGTCAAATTTATGTGTTCCATCAGTTTTTCCTTTCTTTTTGTGCGTTTTACAGCTATGTGTATGGCCTGGAATGACGTTAAATTTTTTAACTTTCTGGCAGTTACTCTGTAGATTTGATATGGCGATGAGAAATCTGAAAATAAAGACATCAACATGCAAACGTATAGCGAAGGAGCTCCATTCCTATGAGAAAGAGGTGGAGAGTGAAGCTGCCAAGGTTGCTGAAATGAAGGATAAGGGCGCTGACCCCTATGATCTCAAACAACAGGTCTTGCACACATTTTAACTGTGCACTTGCCTAATTAATGACTTCTGGCAATCTTTTTTGAACAAAAACTCTGTTTTGCTCAGTTGGGAGGATAAATCTTATGTGACATTTTAGAAGATGGGACTACCAAACATTTGCTATACAAGCCTTCTGTTGTGGATCTTGCATTAACATTTCAGTTGATGCGCAGGAAAACGTTCTTGCTGAATCTAGGATGATGGTTCCTGATTGTCACAAACGGCTTGAAGCTGCACTGGCTGACCTAAAATCAGTTCTGGTATTAACATATTTTATGATGTCCCATATTTCTGACCTTGCAAATCTTCAAACACAGTAGGCCTTAATGGCCCCCAAAAACTTTACGGAAGTGTCCTCATTGGTTGTGGATTACTCAACAAATCTGTTTTTGTTTCAGGTCGAGTTGGAAGAGTCAAACCAAGCCGAAGGTGCTGAAATCGAAGAAGCACGGAAAGTAATCACCGAGGTCGAGCAGTTATTCCAACCAGACGACTAAAAAGGACAATTCTTTTGCAACGTGTTGTGGCAAACCCTGACAGATTCTGTACTATTTAGCTTTCTATCATTGCACTTCTGGTATTATTGCAAGGATTGTGAATATCAGTTTACAAGATGATATTATTGCAACGTGTTGTGCAAAAATATCAGTTTCTTTTAGCTATTATTGGTTGAGGTTTGATATTATTACTCCAAGATGATATTCTTCCAAGCTTACAACCCGGAGTAAGCCCTCTGGAATGATGCAATGAAACCTGTTTCTGAAAGGAAAAACAATTCAAATAACCAATCTTCCTGAGACACAGAGAAAACAAATTAGTCTGTTACAATCTTCGGCATTACCTGAAGAGAATCAAACAACGCTTCATTCAGCACTGCACTCTTGAAATGGTTCTTCTGGATGATGATGATGATGATCAATTTACATTGTAATTGTTGCTGATAAATCTGCCATGGCCGTTGCCATTAAACATTCACTTAACATTTGGTTGGAATAATTAGGGTATCAAACATTTAACACAGTTAAATGGGTGTAACTTTCAGAAGATTGCGTTGTGTGAAAGTATTAAATTGCTTAATTTGGTTAAAAAGGTGATAGATTTAATTATGAGTAGATAATAGCCATTGAAAATTTGAAAGATTTACAGGGGAAAATGCTAACGGTGTGTGGACATGCATTTCGATAGACAAACTGGGGACCAAATTAATAACAACAATAATACTCAAGTATACTAATGAAATACTAATAAAATGGCTGTCTCCTTTTGGACAAAGGGTTCTCATTTTGATCATCAAGACGTGATTTTTTTGGATTTTGGGAAAATGTAAGCCGTATTTCTTGATGATGATAAGATTAATCCGTACTTAGACAAAAGTTAGAATCGTTTACTTAGAATTCAACATTGTTGACTTGAAGATTTACTTTGAAACAACAATCAATTAAGGTTCATTGCGTTTGCTTACTTATTATTAAGTTCCAAAATATCGAAAAAGAGAAAAAGAAAAGAAAAGCTCCAAACATGTTGGACTTTTGAATAGGGTCATTCTTCACCGGCCACTTTTATCCTAAATATACTTTTGTTAATCCTTCCTCATGATTCATGAGGTTGTTAAATGTATTAAACGTTTATTTAAAGAGTAAAATTATCAACAAATTAAAGGGATGTTGATCATTTAGGGCGCTGTCTGGTCAACACGTTGTAGTAGAAGCTAGATCTAGTACATGATACTAATTGATACTCCCAGCCAGATTAAAAGATAGAGGAACTTCAAATCTTTATTTAGATCATATTATTTCTATTCCATAATTTTTATTTTTATTTTTATTTTTGAATATAATGTATTCCATATAAGTAGCATACCCTACTTATATGATTCTTTGAAAGAGGACACAGTTTTTGGGGCAAATTATCTGGTACACCGGGGGCACTGTGTACCCCCTGCACGTGTACTTTACTTTCTTAGAATAGTGTGAGTTCGCTAGATAGTTCATCCTTCTTTTTCTTTTTCTTTTTTTTAAACGCGGCATATATAAATTAACGAATTCATTCAAATTGGATATTGGATAATCAATGTGCACACTATGGATAAACCAGCTACACATTATGGACAACCAGTGTTCACCATGTGGATAACAAGTGTTGGCACTATGGATAACCAGTTACACACAGCTGGATAACCATTATTAACCTGTTGGATAAGCAGTATGGAAATAGTGGATAACTAGTGTGCACATTATGGATAAGCAGTTACACACAGCTGGATAACCAGTTGCCAAATTTCATTTTTTTCCTTTTATATTTTTCTTGGATATCCTTGTCCGTATTTTTTACACTGGTTATCCAGCTGCCCCTCATTCATTTTTTGTTCTCCATCATTTGGCAAACTTCCCCTCATTCAATTAAATACTATTTATGAAATTTGCCATGTTCGACATGGGGGCTGCACAGCCGCGAAAGGCAGCGCAGCCGCGGGCACCGGCCCAGCAGGGTCGTTTAGTTTATCACGTGGGGATTTATACAAGTAATTTGTGTCCCCTCTTAACGCAATAACACACTCTCCTTACAGACACACGAAAAAATGATTACCTTAGCTACATTGGCGTGTTCGGCGGGGCGGCGCAGCCGAGGCAGGTTGGTGACCTGCGATTGCGGTAGCCACGGGAGTCGTTTAGTTTATCATGGGGGGTGAAGCCCCCCAATGAACATGCCATTTGGATTGCCATTTTCTTATGGATATTTTCTTTTGTTATGTCTTTTTGGAAGCTCTCTCCGAATCCTTGTTTTGTTATGTCCACATGGTGGATAGTCATTGGTTACATATGGATAAACAGTATTGAGGTTTTGGATAACAAGTATAAACTCATGGATAATCAGGTTAAAGACTGTACTTGCATTTTTTTTAATTGGATAATCACTATAAAACATTCGGATAATCAGGTGTAACAAGTTGGATAACTAGTACAAAGATCCTGGATAACCATTACAAACGATTGGATTTTGATGCACATTGGCTGGATAATCAGTACAAAAGTCCTGGATAATCAGCAAAGAAATATTGGATAAGCAGGATAACATCATAGGATAAGTAGTTTAATAAAGAAGTAGAAAGACCAAGAAATTGGGACACTCAGTTTTGTTGTTTGGGAATTGTGGATAACCAGTTTACACCTTCTGGATAACCAGTTTACAAATTGTGGATAATCAGTTTACAACTTCTGGATAACCATTTTACAACTTGTGGATAACCAGTATGAAATGGGTGCATAACCAGCATTTAATGTAAAGGTGAAAAATGTTGAGCGCGTGTAACGCGTGTGTTTAATAGGGATATATAGTATACCCAGGTGCACTGGATACGGACTCGTTTTTGGCTTCTAGAATCCATTAATCACTAACTAGCTCCATATTCCTCTTTTATCAATCACGCACACACTACTATTTACAATATGTTCTACGTACATAGACAAACTTCTGTGTGTGCGGTCAACTACTTTTAAATCATTAAACCATTGCTACATAAGATCCCTTCAAATCTTCAATCAAAGAGAAAAAGGAAAAAAAAATTCCAATTCAAACAATATCCTTAATTTAATTTATGACTGAACAATAACTTTAAGCAAAAAAGACTAATTAATATTATTAATACGATTGGAGTGTCACTTTATTTTTGGGACCGGCAAGAGAATATGTATATGTAAATTTTTTTTTTTTTTAAAAAAAAGATGATCGAATGTGTAAATTTTCATAAAAGCACTGTTCATTATGGTACATAATTGGCAAGCAATCTTCTCCTTTCATTTTAGGTCCAGGAGGAGGAGGAGGAAGAAGAAGACTTTTCAAAAGGGCTGGCTGATAGAATATAGATATAAAACGGTTTGTGTGTTTCCATTACAACGTGTGCCGGATGGCACCCAACAAGAAGATTCAATCATAAAAATTTAATATTGAAAATTGGTGCAACGTTTGGTTAATGCATATTCACCTCGTATATATAGATATATATAGATATATATATATATATATATATATTATATATATATAATTTGTATACATGCAATTAATCATCAATAAAAAGAAAAAAAAAAAAAAAAAGCGCCGCCCGCAAATTGAGTGAGAGAGCTTGGAAAGATTGCCTTCCAATTAATCTGGACCAACATGGTATTTTATACGACACAATGTATTATGTGTGTAAGTACTCCTTTTTGGACCGTTTTAAGAATAAGTACTGTAAACTAAAAATCATAAAGTTGCGCAAGTGGAAGTTACTTTTTCCGACCCTTTTAATTAAGTAGTAATTAATTAATTATTCTTGTTAATGATTTTCATTATATTTAATATTGCCCAGGCGTCTCTCCATCTGCATCTTGACATTTATATTTATGGTAGGTAACCAAAGGGTTTGCCCAGATCCGAATTGAGACACACATTTAAAGGAACAACAATTTGAACTCACACACCAACTGATTCATCAACAGAAGCCCATTTTGCTGTCGGGATTTGAGGTATTACTCATTGATTGATACTGTTTGTTTGGATTATATATGTATCTTAGACTGTAAGTACGTGCGTAGTTTATTTAAAACATCCATCCATTCCGGAATGCGTTGTAAGTTAGAGATGGAGCTTAATCTTAGGCTACATTAATTAACCTGGTTCTGATCGGATGCAGCTTACTCTGTTAGACTAGATTAATCTGATTATGAGATTTTTGAAACTTTCAAAAATAAATACACATGTATCATGTATGTGTACTTCCGTATAGGCAGGTAGGTTACTCAATCACAATGACTATAGCACAATTTGTTGTGCTGAGATCAATCATCAATGTTCAGTTCAATTTTATATATGTAGTGAAAACCCTAGAACCGAGAAACAAACTTTATCTTCAAAAAAACCAAACTTAATACCCAACCGTGACTTTTAATTATGTTCATACTTCATATCTATATATACTAGCTAGCTAGTAGTACGTAAGTTCATTTTTATTTTTTGGTTAGTTTGGGTTCCTGGATCTGATATATACTAGTTTCTTCTTAATTTTCTCTTCTTATAATTTGATGAACTCTTACGTATAATTAATTAGGTGAGGATTATGATGGATTTGGAAAGCTCCAACAATCAGCATATGATCCTCAACTCCATGGAGGATCGAGCTTTCGACGAATTATTCCAACCAAAACCTTCATTTCAAGAGGAGGGTTTGTGTTTTTCTTCTTCTTATAATACACATTCAGGCACCACACCAAAAGATCCTCCTCATCATCATCATCATTATCAGCAGCAGCAGCTTATGAATTCTAGTACTAATTTTATTATTCCATATGAACACAACCATATGAATAATGCGATGCTGATGAATATGGGTCAACCGCCAGACATGGTGATGGGTCAAAAACTACAGCCACCATCTGCTCCCATGATTTCATCTTCATCATCCTCATCAATAACTGTTTCGTCTACACCTCAAATCATTTCTTTTGGGAACCCGTCCATTACTTCTGATCATGATCACACCTTCTACTATGCATACAATTCAAAGGTACGCACTTCGAGATTTTTATTAATTATTTTATGTTGTTTTGTACTCCTTTAAGGGGGGGAAACATTACAAGGAATTAATTTCACAAAAAAAAATTGTAATTACTAGTAGTAATAACTATTAACTACAAACTGTCCTTCTAATCCTAATTATAAATAATGTTGATTAGAAAATCTTTGATTCGCCGCCGGATACCGATGATCCAGCTGGTTACAACTGGAGCAGCAGCAACACAAGTCCGACCAGGAAGAATTCCCAGCAAGCTCAATGTCATGTTGAGGCAGAGCGAAAACGCAGGGAAAAACTGAGTGCCCTCTTCGTTTCCCTTACTAAGGTCGTCCCAGGACTTAGAAAGGTATGTAGTTCTTGATTAATTTCATGATTAGTGAGATTTTCAACATGCGATTTTATGTATATATACACATGGCCTGATGACGTGCATTAATTAATTATTTCCATTACGATCAATCAAATATATTTTTACAGATAGAGATCATGTATATATATATATATAATATAATATTGTTAAAAAATGAAATGGTTTCAGCTGGACAAAATTTCCGTCCTGGAAGATGCAATAAAGCACATGATTGAGCTTCAAGAAAGATTGAAGGTGCTAGAGGAGGAAATAAAGAAAAACACCAAAATCATTCTTGATGTTGATGTTGATGATGATGAAGAAGATCACGATGATCATCCTATGGCAGAAGAATTCAAGGGCATCAATATCCCGACTGACCATCATCAACGTTATTATTGTGATACTTTAACGGAGACGCCCAACAATATGAATATTGGAACCACCCTAGAGAAAGAAGAGTCAATGCATGATATCAAGGTCAAAATGTCGGGTGAAAATGTGCTCATAAAAATCTTGTGTCACAAGAGATATTATGGATGCTTATTGAACCTGTCAAATGCGCTCCATAAACTCCATCTCACCCTCCTAGACACCAGAGTTCTTCTCTTTGGAGGTTGCGCCCTTGATATTACCTTTGTAGCTCAGGTACGTATATTCTGATTTTATAAATAAAACTAGGTAGTGAACATATTATAGTGAAATACGATAACAACAGATGATGTGGTACAGTTAACTAGTTCCAGTAAGTGACTAGTTATTGAGAGAGCGATTTGATGTTTCTGATTGAATCAATATCATATATTTTGGACACAATTAATCTGAATGTATTAAAAAAATACCTAAATGAATCAGGATAGTGCTAATTTGCGTGTTGTTTGCATGCAGATGGAAAGCCATTTCTCTAGCACGGTAAGCGGCATCATAAAACATCTACAAAACGCTATGTTCCAATCCCGCAAATGACAAACCATCATAGATGTTTAAATATTGTTCTCAACCGAGACATATCAAATGTTTAGCTTCAACCCCTCTCTGATTGATCGTGTGACAGTATGTATTTTACATAGTTAAATTGACTGTTTGATTCTCTGGTACACCAAACGTTTAGTGTTTTCGTTTCCAATTAATAATCCGTAGGAGAAGGCGTTTGTTGAGCTGTGTGATTGTAACGCTTTAGTTAATATATATACATATTTATATGAAAGTTCGATCTTCTTAATTAATTGCCCTTTCTTATTCAATTATGTGATACATATTGAGAAAAGTTATTGAATTTGTTATCAATTAACTTCAGTTGGATTTCTTCAAGGAGGAGTTAATTAGGTAAAAACATGCAATTCCATAATCATCACACAGTTGACAGTACTAACTACTAACTAGTTATTACTTTTAAGTATCAGTGATATGCTAATAATAGGCTAGCTAGGCTGCTCATTGCATTGTTGTCTGTTTTGGTCATTAAAAACCCACATGCAATTAAGCGCTATGGTTTTTGAAGATCATTCCTGAGAAATGCCCTGATGATCATCGTGAGAAGATATGGCAGTAGTAGTAGTAGTAGTTGCAGCATCAGCAGATTGAGAAGTCGCAGCATCGGTTGGTGGGATCATCTCAAGAATCATAGGTGAAGGGTTGATACGTTTGCTGCCCTTGACCCATCTCTTTTTCCCTTCCAGAATTTGGACGACTTCCGACATAGCCGGCCTGAGATCAAAGCTTGGACTCACACATTGCATTGCCAAATACAGAATGGAAACTGCTTCATGGTGTTTGTAGTCTCTATGCTGGTGCAAACTTGCATCAATTATACCCTCCAGAGACTCCCTTCTTCGTAGTGTTTATAAGCCTGCATGCACAGTAATTAAATACACACACACACACACACACACACATATATATATATATATATTATTACTCATCATCTTTAATTATGATCGTTACCATAAAAGAAGAATAAGAAGAATGACTTAACACCATTGAGAAGGTGGATGTCTTCCTTTTTAGGCTTGACCATAATAAGAGGTACTCCACTAATGATTTCAAGTGTCACCAATCCAAAACTATAAACATCTGCTTTAGGTGTCAATGGCAGACCCAACATGTATTCTGGTGGCATGTGTCCTCTGCAATTTATATGTTGTAATGTAGCTAGCAATCGTAATCAAGAGATGATACCATGGATTTTGAATGATTAAAATTTAACAAACTAATCCATTTAATTTGGCACTGATATATATATATATATATTCCTTTTTTTTTTTTTTGGTATAAAGAAGGAGGCTACAGCCTGAAAATAACTAATTCGTTACAATCTTAAGGTACGAAACCCCGACAATATCATGTTCAAGCCATGTTCGAGCCATGGGCACTGATATATTCCATTTGTACTAGCTAGCACCAAATAAAGTACGTACTGTTTATATATCAAATGGAACAAGCTAGCTAGTACTTATATGATAACTGGGACTTACGTGTCTTTGGGTCATGGCGTATTGTGAACATTATTAGTTCCCTCCTTAGTGAGTTGGCCGCGATCATGAAGTTCCGAGTACCTGAAGTCCGATATTTTCACATTAAAATCTTTGTCCAAAAGTATGTTTGTGGGTTTGATGTTGCTCTGAATTATATCCATATTTGATTCTTCATGAAGAAAAGCCAAACCCTTTGCCAACCCAAGGATAATCTTGAACCTTGTTCTCCAATTTAGTTTTGATCTAATATCGTCATCTGAACCAAATAATGCATGTTGAAGAGAAAGGTTTTCCATGTATCTGTAGACAAGGAGGACTTGTTTTTCCTTGAAACAACATCCCATGGGCTTGGCAATATTGGGATGCTGGAGTGCATAAATGATGCCAATTTCTTTGATGATTTGATTGATTTCTTGTTTCGATTTTACACTCAATTCCATCCGCAAGCACACCCTGCAACCATTTAACCATTAACAATTTTGCTTTTCAAACAAAACCATCCAACTTGTAAAAGATATGTGCATGGCAACTGACCTTATAAACCGTCCCAGTGTCACCAATCCTTCTTGGAAGTTGAAAATACCTCCAGGATATAACTCAACGCCTAAATTAAATTAATTACCAAGATCGGGATGAATTTCAATATTCCAGAAGCCGAACAATTAAATACATATACCAAAAAAAATACATATACCTAACATCCCTCTTGGGTTTGTGGGTCCCAAACCAACCTAACTTCCCGAATAAAACTATGATGAACGCCACAAACATGAATGAAGATCCAACAAATGGTTCCGATGATCACAGGAGAAAGTTTGTGATGATTGCTAGGCGGTGGCAAGGGTTTGGGAACTGATTCATTCATACATAGCATTTCCACAAGCAAACATGAATCATAAGTTAATGAAATGAATAGATAGATCGATACGTTCTCTGTAGTATAAATTTGATTTAAAAATAAAAATCTAAACTGGACAATAAGTTTGAGACAGATTAAATAGATAATAAGATAGAGATATTTCCAGCAGAAGCGGAAATAGCAGAGATGAGGGCACCATAGTAAAGGGGAGCAAAAAGGGAGCCTTTGCCAGCCCAATACAAGTGAATTTGGAGACGACTATATCGTTAACAAGCACCCGTTTGAACTCAACGGATTTGTTCTTGTCCAAACCACCAGCTTGTTGTGCAATGTTGAAGTCGCGCAACACAGTGTTTCCCTGGATGTCCACATTAAACACCCGTGATGACCGTAGTCGTATTCATTAATTGAAGGTATCCCACACTAATTCAGCAAAATCAAGCCTCACATTGTAAGCGTCATTCCTCAAACAGAAGCCATAATAGGTTAAAGAGATGGGAGCCACCCGAGCCCCGGCGTAGAGCGGCGCATCAGGCAGGGTAATGTTGCAGGTTTGAATCAAGGTGTACTTATTGGTCGGGGCGAACCGGAATGATCCCAAACTGCTGTATCCCCAACTCCGATTCTTGCTCATCACGAAACTTGACTTCCCGTTTGGGTTCATATTATACGCTTCGTATTCCTTCCCTTGTTCGTCTTTCGTCGCATTTCCTCCACAGTTCATGTATATCTCCGTAATCCTCCACCATCTGCTACAATCATAATTATTTTTTGTTATTCATCCATCTGAATTTCCATCTACTTTTATTTTATATACTTAATTAACCGCTAATTAGTACCTACCTTTGTCCTCATTCTCACACCGAAAATCGTTGGCTAACCATTTATTTTTCCTGTATATATATTTCCCTCCCACACACAAAAAAAAAAAAAGAAGAAGAAGAAAAATTAAATAAAATTAGAGACTGCCTAATTCAACAGAATGGAAATATATGTGTGTGAAAATTAGTTGACAACAACTTACATGTCCCTTGAATTAGAGCAGCATGAAAACAAGTTTCTGATGCGAGAGAGATCCATCGTCAAAGAATGCAGCAGAATTAATGTTAAATATAAATTTGATTATGATAATAAAATAAACAAAATCCTTGATATATATATAATTATAATTAACGTTGTCATTTTCATGAATCATATATGTACAATGACAAAATGATCTATTAAAATGGGACAGAAATTATAGATCGTAGCTAGCTAGCTAGCTAGAAGACAAATTAAGTCCTTACTTGTCGCTGGATATGGTTTCATTCTGAAACGTTGCCTTATTTGTGAAAAGATGATGTGAGACATCGCAGCAGTATACATTGAGAAAGAGAGAACCAAATTAAGTCCTCATAAATTAATTAATTAGTTAAAAGAGGGTCGATGTTAGAACCGTATGAATGTGCTAGTACTATATTGTAGCATGTCTCGCATGTATACCGATATTCCGTTGCTCCAATTGTAAGCCCATTCCGGCAACAACCCTTTCAGTCCGTTACTCCCTAAATATCTGAATCACACACTTAAACATATTAGAAATGACTATCCAAATTACTTCCTCTGTCCCAATTCTTGTCCAATTTGAGATTTCACTTTTAGTACAATTTAAATTAAAAATGAAAACTCAAACTGGACAATAATTATAGGACGGACAGAGTAGATAATTTGAAAATCTAAATTTGCATATAATTTGTCTTGAATAATTAACCATATTCTTGGAGATAATATTTTCTTTTTCCCCTCTTAAACACGGAACAAGGGCGGTATCCCCCGATTTCCCTCATAATTAAGAGATGAAACAATCGACCTAGTTTTGAAATGTGTTTGTTTTACGTATCTTTAGTTAATTACATCAATTTCTAATAGAAAACCACTCAACCCCCAACAACAAAAGTACCATCCTTGATACGTCATCAATATGGCTGTTTTGTGGGTTTCCAAATAAATAAAGATCAATGATCACAAATTTTGACAGAATGGTTCTGCTAAATGAATTAAGAACAGATCAATAGCAATAATTAGTTTTCCCCTCTATCCTAAAATAACTTTTCAACTTGAAATTTTCATTGTTTTTCATGAGAATAAAAATCCAAACTGGACGATTATTTCAGGATTGAAAGTATTACAATGCAATAGTTAGTTGTAGCCTTACATGTAGTACAGGGTTTTCGATGAGAACGCTTTGGGCAAAGGCTCTTGGAAAATGTTTCCAGCATCCATCTGTAAAGTGTAACATAGGAGAGTATTAATCTGAGCAGATTTTTAACTACATTCGGGCTATTTTACCAACACATTAATATTTTACGATCGATCCAAGAATACTTTGATAGGCCGCAACAAATTAAAAATCCAAGTCACCAAGATATGTCAATCATTTATTTAATGGTTAAAACGGTACTTATGAGACACGTAGTTATCTTCATCCAATGGATCGTTAATAAGTGAATGTTATTATTATTAATTGTCACTGTACATAATCAATTTTGTCATACCTTAACTTGATCAGCATTTAGCAACTCGTCACATATGAACACTCCCGAGATTTTCCAAAACACCCTTATTATTTAAAGAGATATCAAAAACATCCATCGACTAATAATAAGTAAATTATTAAAGATCTTTCGATCACTGAAAATTAATCCATGCATATATATATGAAGTTAGTAGGGGAAAAAAAATCACCAAAAGGATATTTGTACCAAAGACAAGCGATATAGTGCCCGGCGGGGCTTAGTGACTTACATCTCTTCAAGATTTGGAAAATGAACTAGGCCGTATGGTATTGTCCTGTGAAAGTTACTCCCTTGGATATATCTGCCAAACACAAATGTCAATATCAAAATAAATCCTAGCGATCGATGAACATATGTATAGACATTATGTCGAACAAAGATAAATAAAATCAAGAATAAAACATTAGAGGAATAATTTAGAGAATAATAGCAAAGTTTACATATCTATGTAATTTTTTCACCAAAATACGTACTCTCTAAATCCATCGCACCTAAATATACATCCTTTTGTTAAAAAAAATGAAAAAAAAAAGAGAATAATTTTACTTACAATGATTGCAGATTTCTCAGATTTCCAATGCTTTTGGGAAACTCACCGGAGAAATTGTTGAAATGGTACGGAAACCAATAGGCCCATTTGCCGCGTTGAAGTATATATATGTACTAGCTTGTATGCACCGCACCTTGTTTGGGGAAATTTACCCAATTTTGTATAGTACTGTGAAATTTATTGAAATACACCTATTTTGTTATTTTTGTTGCTCTTTCCATCACCAAGTATGTGTAAACCAAAGCTTAAACCCATTTCAAATAAGGTGATGTTTCTTTTTTTCCAATTATATTCCTACTGGTGATGTAGTGTTGTATTATGCATGAAGGGGAGTTTAGAATTGACTTAAAATTCAAAAAATATGGAGTGTACATAAACTACTCATGACAAACCTATATTAATTTGAAAAAAGAATACATGTGAGGATTAGATTAAAATAAAACTAAGTTCAAAAGTATATATGTATTCTAATAAGAACAAAATACACGTTGAGCAACATTTTCTTCATATCTGTGATGATATGGCTTCATCATTGAGAAAGTTCCAAATTTCCAACCCTCGTTCAGAAGTTAGTATCTGATTGTTCTGCTAGTCTCCGAGATGATCAAGTCGCTTTGGAGCAAACCCGGAAGCCGTTTTTAGTTGTTGTTGCTTCTTTTCCTTTTATCTTTCTTGCATGCCATCAGAACAAATGGTTACCAAGAGAATTATGCCCAAAAAAAAAAATGAAAAGAGTTGATCCATCAAACAAATTAACACGCTGCACGGATTAACACGTTGCAGAAGCTCATCGCGTAGCATTTCACCAAATTTATAACACCTTCCTTACACGTATCATAGAAAGCATACATGCATATAAATTAGTAAGTGACTGATGAAAGTGCACATGCATAGTGAGACTATTACAGTTAAGCTTCCAACATGCAGCTACTAATCTAGGCATTTGATCTTTCTTGATAACACAATTTCTTATCTAAAATTCTGAAAGCAAAGTTCAAGGAATCTTAAAAGCTACGGATGATAAGTACAAAGCAAGACCTGCAAGATTATCAGCGTAAGAAGCACCCAACTTCCAATCAGAGATTCGACAAACAGAAGATTCCAAAGTTAAAATTTGTGTTTAAAATTAGTGACTAAGCACATGTTATGCACTCTGCACGCTGCATAAGGAACTGGATTCATACGCTCAGATTTTCAATATTCCCTTTCCAGGACTTCTTATTTCTGCAAAGATCTCGACCATCATCCGTAAAGGAAGAGGCATGACTCTATAAAGACTATCAACATCTCCGACAAAAAATCTAGACATCTGTTCATCATTTTTTGGTGCTAGATATGAGACTCAGATACGAATGATCAAGATTAATGGTTAGAAGAAAGAAGAAGTATGAATCCATTGTAGAAATAAAGTCATTTAAACTTATCTGAACAGAGTATTACAGCTAAAAAACCAAAGTAAATGATGAGTTCCTAAACCTCTATGTGTTCCTAAGTGCTGCTCAAAAAGCCTTCATGCAATAAGCCTTATAACAAATAAAAAAACAGAAAAGCAAACTACATCTATATAATCCCAATTCCTATAAATTAATCGATAGTTTCAATTTGGTTTTCAAAACCATGACCATGTTTTATGTGTAACATTTACACAATAAGCTTCCACAAACATTAAAGAAAGGAAACAAAGGTTTTAAATCACCGGGAGCTTTTAAACCAACAACACCGTCAAATTACTTGCTCTCGGTTCCATCTAAATAATCTAGCATTTCTAATTGCATTAATGAAGCTAAGAAGCAAGGAAAAGCTACTCCTAATAGTTCTATTGTAAACAATTTAATCTAACAAGTTTCAACTAGATTTATAGGAGGAGATTAGCAGGTTACCTTACTGAATTTCGAAACATTGAGCTACGTACATTCTCCGAACTAAATCCCAACTTGAACAGCCTTAAGTTCTCTGTTTACCTCCCCTTTTGAAGCTTTCCCATTTACCCTTTTTTTGTATTGTTTTAGAGCTAATTTTCCTGACCTCTTAATTAACTATTAAAAGACGAACACAGAAATCCCTTTAGTCCATATGGAAGCTATCTTCCTAATTCTTCCATGAACGCTAAAACGAAAATCACAAGCAGTAGAAAATTTGTTCACCTAGTAATATAAAAAATTGATGCATAATTGTTCTTTAACACCAGAAATCAAACACTTAGCATGCATGTCCTAGAAGGTAAAATGGACTTCTAAAGAAGCAAATACTTCCAACACGTGAAATCAATTAAACTTGCAGCTCCAATTACCGTTTTCCAGAAAACTACATACAGTCGAGATCCAAAAATTTGAATAAACAAACATGACCAGCGGCCTGCTTATTCCATTAGATCAAAATTTTTTGGTTTTTTATCATCTTATTCTAGCGTTAAATAAGGATTCACAAGGAAAAAAAAAAGGATTAACAATCTTAATCGAGTCCAAATCAATTATATACCCCATTTCTTTACTCTATGAAAATCTCTCGGTACTACCTTATATGCATCAATTAAAAAGGAATGAAATTAAGCATTCAAATCAACTCACTTTAAACCCTTGAATTTGTTTCCCCGAAAACCCCAACCCTGAGTTCCCTCTGTTCTTCTATCGGTGGACGGAGAACAAACAACACAAATTCATAAACACATAAACAAAGCAGAATGCATGCAGTGAGCAAAGTAGATCCGGTGATTTCAAAAATTAAAAACGCGCTAACCTTTTGGATATGGATAGCTGATGACAAACCCAAAACGAAACCACACAAAAATCCCAAGTTTCCGTTGTTGTATCAGTCGACGGAATGGAAACCACACAAACTCACAAACACACATACAAAGCAGAATAGATCCGATGATTTCAGAATCCAAAAACTTGCTAACCTTTGGATCCAGATAGGTGCTGATTAATCCCAGAAAAAGCCGATAATCGAAGGAAGAAAGAAGCAAGATTTTGGTATCGCTGGAGTGAAATTATTATGCCTTCAAAGTGCAAACTCTCTTGCTCACGCAGGGGTCAAAAAGGAAAAAGAAATAGAAAAAGAGAGACGGGCAACGGAGAGGAGAAGTCACTCGTTCAAAGGCCGCGTAAAAGGACAAAAAAGAAAAGGTCGAACAAAAAGTTGCCATGTCAGTGATTTTCACCCGGAACTCCCCTTTAACCGTGCAACGAAAAGGGGATTCCCTTCTATATATATGTAGATATATATATATATATATATATATATATATAGGAAAAATCTAGAGTCCCGTTAGCTATTTTTACGGAACCGTCCCGTTTTGTCTTCAACCAATCAACACTGAGGCTATAAGATATAACCATGTGGTGAATAACATTCTATAATATCATAAACTAATTGAGAAAATGATCACTTTTGCCCAAAACATCAAGTTTCTGGCCAATTTGACCCAAAATATTTTTGAAAAACCAAATTCATCATCTAAATTTCAATTTTTTTGCCAATTTAATCCAAATTGATGAGAATTCTGTTAGATTTAATATTTTCACTGACATTCCGCTACTTTGTATAATTTTTTATGGGTAAAAAACTTTGTTGATCCAAAATATCCATAATATTTTGTTATTTAGTAACATACACTTATCTTACCATTTAATTATTATAATGTCCCTACCACATAATTTAGCTCATAATCTAATTCATTGCTCTCACCGTAAGCATCTTCCTTCTCTTACTCTTTTACTTGTTTTCCGCAGTCACACCTCTACTGCCCCTTTCCTCTTCTCTCCTAAAAATTATCATCACCACTTCCTAAATCTGTGAGGATTTCAAACCATCACTACAAACATAAAATTTGCCTCCACCAATAGTACACAATCCTCCCTCCATCACTATCCGCATTTCCGTCGACGCCACTTTTCTTCAGTTCCACAAAAATAACAAAATATTTTACTAATTTTTCTTTTTTTTTCCCTTCTTCTTTCTAAAAAATTGTACAAAGTAACGAAAAAAGAAAAAATAGCGGTTACACCGTTTTGACTCCATCGTCAATTTTACCCTATTAATTTTCGATTTGTAAATTATTTTTTTTTTAAATTTGAAATTTTTGTCAATTTCCAATTGGTCAAATTTCCGTTATATATATATATATATATATATATTACGTACCTTGGAATTGAAGTTTAACCCCTAGCGGCCCCCCACTATAAGCCGTACGTACTACTTAATTTAGTTAATGAAAGGAGTACTGGCTATGGATTTTCTTACAAAGATGTCAACCAAGTGAGATCTCCAGTGAATGGGGGCAAGGAGCCGTTCAACTTCATACCTGAAAAGTCACTGCCAATTCAACACATAAATTAATGACAATAAGAATGTACTACATTTTTGTTAACGAAAAGGATATACTGTACATAAATTGTACACAAAATACAATACACAGTACAAATACAAATATACAGAACTAATACATGTGAGTGACACGGCAAAGTCTTCGGTGGGTGGAAATGGGAGGAGATGGAGAACAGCTGCATCGGAAATGCGGCGACTGTAGTTTAAAATGGTAGAATTTGAGCAAGCCGAGTAGTCGTTGGCATCGTCGGCCGACGTCTGTGCCGTCTTAAGCCGAACCACCGCGCGTATAACGTCAGCTGAAAGCAATTGTACTACTACCAATTAACCCTAATACCTTTTGGCACGAAATGGCACTTTTTGCATTTATTTGTCCATCATGATTTGGTAATATTCTCGGTTAGCCCCTCTTCAAAAATGAAGAAAAAAAAAAAATTGCACCAAAAAATGGCAACAACGTAGTCAACAAAAGTACACCTTCAAAGGAGTATCTATTTTTTTAAAAGGAAAAAAAAAAAAAAAAACCCGGATTTGAGAGAGAGAGAGAGAGAGAATTTTTTTGGACTTGTTCCATGTTAAGACATGGTTTGTGTCTTAGAAACCTCTACCAGCATTTGTTAGTGGTCGAGAATGCGATTCCTCACTGGTAACAAATGTGCGCACATATTTGTATGCTTTTCTCATGAAAAAGCTAAAGAAACCAAACAAACTTCGCATAAATGCTCTGCTGCTATTTAAGTCTTACAGATCCATGATTCTGCTATGAGTTGCACCTCTCCCAGTTTTTACAGCTTCAATAACCAACCCACTCACAGCTTTTCACCTTTTACCATCTCTCTCCCTTTCAAAGCATTCTTCTATATCTCTAGCCCTTTGGAGTAATCCCCCCAAAAAAAGAGAAGAAGGGGTGTAAGAAAACTACGGACTTTACAAGACATTTTGTTCATGATTTCCATCGGATTCCGGGGATCTGCAGCACAAGTTGAGCACCGTAACGGTTCAAACCAAATTCTCCAAAGAAAGCAAGGCAACCATAACAGCGTAATAATCAAAGTGCGTGCACAAGAGTTTAAGAACACTAACCTCAATTCCACGAGGGCCTATACGGTTTCGGGAAATGAAATTTAGAATCAGACTAGCAAATTCGTCGGGCACATCCTCCTGCATTCATCATTCGAATTAGTTTTCTCTACAAGAACTCTTCCTTTAACCAAGATGCAACAAACAGAGGAACTCGAAATGACCTGTATAGCATGTCCTGTATGCCTTACAACCACCATCTGGAACTTGCCTTGCATTTGACCTATCGTGAGAGTTCTGGAAGGAGGCAGATTATCACGTCACAGGGTTACACAATTTATTTTATTTTATTTTCTTTTTCTGTGATACTCCATTCCTGATCTAAGGAGCTAGGATGACTAGAGAAAACCTGTCAAGCCTATCTGTTCCAGCCAGAAGCAAGAGCTTAGGTACAGGGCACGACAAAAATTTTTCTGAGAGGCCTTCATACCTGAACATGGAAGGAAATGATCTGATTGGTTACCAATTTCTTCCACAGAAAACTTAGGTAAAATTACGAAATGTGAAATCAACAAAAATCACGCAACTGTCTCATCAACAAAGTTTGAAACTTGAAAGCAAAAGGAACCATCGATCTCTAATTGTATGAAGATATAAAATGTCGGGATGACTGCAAATAATGCTGTGCAACATAACATTTAAACTCTTCCACACAACTTTTGTTCTTAGATGATGATATTACAAGACGTTGCATACAGTTTCCAGGTATGTGAACCAGAGAAAAAAAAAAGATAACTAACCAGCCTCTCCAATATTGTTCCGTTTCCTCCAGTTTTGCTCTGTGGGTGTAACTGCAGCAAAGCAATTGATTCCACTATAAGAAGAGCAACAAACCACCAAGTATATCAAATGTATGATAACCAGGAAAGCTCTAAAGCAGTAAGTAGCCCACCATTTTTTTGAATCATCATAAGCTAGAGTGCTAGGGATGGACACACGGGCAGAATCAATATTCCTCAAAGAGCCTCCTCTGACACTCCATTCAATCTGTTAACAAGCCAGGCATTCATATACAAGATAACAGTTTGTAACCAATTTAAATATGTTAACAAGTGATTCACAATAGAAGTTCATGAGATTTCCTTTCCCGGCTGGAAAGCAACCCAACTTTTCAGTATCAATTGCAACAAAAGAAGACAGGTACCGCTTTTTCAACAGTAGGGAAATGCTGCATCCTGTTTGCAAGAATTTTCTGCATATGAACCAATGAAGCCATCGCTGTTCCCTGGTATTCAGAAAAATTTATTACAACATTTGTCAATAAAGAACAGGTTAGTGCTTTAAAATGAGTATTCAAAGGTACAACCTCTACAACATCCACCACAATTAGCCCAGCCAAGCTAGGTAGCACTTTCCTTGCTGCAACATGAACTGCAACGGAGCCTCCCATACTAGTTCGATAGAGGCAAAGAGAGAGAGAAAGAAGAAAAGCAAGTTCAAATTCCAAGGATTCTAATCATTACGCAAATGTAAATTTTACAATGGATTCCGCATACCTAAATAAAATAAAGAAGGGAAAAAAAGGGTTCCTCTTATATTCTCAAAGCAAGCCATACAATTTTTTATGATGATAGAAGGCATTATGCTGGAGACTAGAGAGGTTCTGTAATAACCTGTGGCCAACAAGCACAATCGCAGGAGGAGAATCACCGTACATTGTCTTTAAAACGGCTACCACGTCATTGCACAGAGTCTGTATAATCACAAACAACTTCAATAGGCTTAAGAGGAAAAAAAAAAAACTTGCAGCTAGCAAATAGAAGAAATTGTCCAGACCTCAACAGATAGATCTAGTTCGTTTTCTGTGGCTGATTTCCCATGACCACGGAAGTCCATAGCAACAACACGAGCTTTCTCCTTAAGAATACTCGCGGATAAAGCAAATGAAAGCCTGGAATTTCAACGAAGAAAAATTAATATGCCGCGGAATTTGACTAACCAACAGAGATAATATAAATTTTTCATTGTTAGGCATGCAGTAATTTAAAACCAACCTACCCAGAATAACCTCCTCCATGTAAACAAAAAACAACTGGTCCTTCTGTTCCTGCCTGGTATACATGAAACACCTGAAAAGACAGTGTGCATGGCTAAGAAGAATTTTACACCGCCAAAAGAGAAGCAGCTAAATCTAATTTAAAATTACTCACATCGTTGGAACCAGGGATGTGAACATCATCCTCACGGTCGAAATAGTCAGACCAATCCAAAGGTGCATACTTTTGAGAAGGAGCTCTGCAAGAACAAGCAAAAGGCATACAATCGGAATCGTTCATTTGAATACAGCACCGCACAAGCATTACACAAGAGTCATGCATAATATGTTGCGAGATGAGTATAAGAAATGTCATCTGTAGATTAATCGTAAGAGTACAACTTCATCTGCAAAAAATTTATTTTACTCTAGAGATTTTATAAGGATTACCCAATGTCCGGATCATTTTTTGAGTGAACAGCACATTTAAAAAAAAATGAAGACTCAGGGTTGTTTGTTTTTTTAAGCAGGGAAGAAATATTTTGATCACTGAAATTAGCTGAACAACAAAGGGGTAACTTCTTTCTCTTGAATGCCCCACCTCTAGGAGGGATAACCAGATCATCAACCGCTACAAATATGCCATTACAAGCTAAACAGTCTTAAGTGCGATGAAGCTTGAGCATCTCAATATAAAAAATACTATTTCAACAGAACCACTTGCTGCCTTCTCCTTTGTGTTAAAAACTAGACAACTTCTGCTCAAACAGCCAGGGACATATGAAATAGTTTCCCAGCAAGATGCAGGGATTAAATTGAAGGGCAACAACATTCGACTTTCAGCAACAAAAACTAAAAGGCACAGGGTCAGCCTTTTCCATATCCCTTGTCCCAGCCATAAGGTGGAAAAGGCTGATCTTTGTTGCCTTTTTCCATCAACTCAGTATACGCAATCGACAATCAATGACTCCACATATTGCCTTCCTTCCGCATACTTTATTTCAATAACACATTTTCCTCTCTTGCAGGTAAAAACATGCAATCCATAAGCTATCAAATTAATTACTGTACAACAATTCAACTTTCACAAAGATATCACAATATCATAGTTAATTCAACGGAAGAAAATCAAGAAATGTTAAAGTAATCATTCTTTATTTCCTAGTTAAACTGAAAGCACTAAATGTCAACTAAAAAATAAAGCTCCCGCCTCAGAGACATCAGATATGCATAAATGAATATCAGTTATTAAGAGATTAAAGAAACAAGTACAGTAATGAATTTGCGAACAAAGGTTATGAACTGACTGAATTGAAGGACGAGGAGGCACAGAAGCGAATGCCGAAGGAAGCTCATTAACATGATCGGAAACTTCATCCGACGGAGATTCAACCGGAGTTTCTTCCGGCAGAGAATCCAAGTTGGGTGTTGCCGAAGTTGAATCCATCGGGAAATTACAAACTGCTGTGTGATCGCACTGAGAGCTAAGCTTGAAATCCCAAACCCAACCGCCGGATCATTGGGGTGAAATGGATTATTTTCTGAAGCCCATTAGCCCAATTTTATTTGTACTTTCCGGGTTATACTTTCGGGAAGTGAAATAGAAGGGATGATAAACGTTACCCAATGTAAATTTACCAACTTATGCAAATTTCACAATTTGTTCCCACATTTTGATTATTCTAAATTTCATTTAATATTTTATTTCAATTAGAAATAGAAATAAAATATTTAAAATATCTTATAGTAATAATTAGGTAAGAAAATGTGAAAATACACTATTTCTCAATATGAAAATTTAATACATTTTTAAGATTTTATTTTTAATTAGAATAACATACTCCCTCCGTCCCATAATTATTGTCCAGTTTTATTAAAATGAAAGATTTTATTTTTAGTCACATTTAACTATATTTTATCTTGAACAACCGGATATACCCCTACGTAAGTAATTGTTCAACCACAAAGATTTTACTGGATAATGTTTTATGGATCATATTCCCATAAAAAACTTATGACAATCAAATGGGAATATGATCCACCTCTAGACAGTGGTTGACACTGAAAAAAAACTGCTAGTTGTGAAAGAAAAAAATGAAGGAAGGCCACTTGAATAGACTCTGGTCAGACTCTGTTGAGAATAAATATACTGCAAAAAAAAAAAAAAGGTATATTTGGATGATAGGTGAACACATCAGGAGTAATATAAAGCCAAGATAGTGTGGAGAAATTTTGCTTTATATGTTGGTTGGAAATCAGAGACAAGCTTCTCACTCAAGAAAGACTTGAAGAAATGCAGTTATTAAATGAAGATATGAAATGTGGCTGTGTGATGAGCATATTGAAAAATGTTGATCACTTGCTTTTTAATGCTCTCATTCTCAGCACCTTCTGCAACTAATTATGGACGGGCTGAAAGTGAAGATGACCATAAGGGCTTTAAGAAGCAGCATTGGCAACATCCTCAAAGTGTGGAGGTTTAAAAAGGTAAGGCAGAGAGTCCTTTACTCTGCATTAGCTGCAACAGTGTACCGCATCTGGACAGAAAGGAATGCTAGAAAGTTTCAAGAAGAATAATTGGCTGTACAGGAAAGAGCTGTCATAATTAGACTTGAAATGTTTTGGAAAATTCAGTTTCTGGTATATGCAACTTCTATGACATTATGTTTCAATAATAGTGAATTTTAATAAATCTCGAAGTTTCTGAGTCACCAATAACGCCAAACAATAATTAACAAAATTAATTTCTCGAGACGCATATTCAAACTCCATGATCCAATCACGCTTCAAAAAGCTCTCAAATCCCCGAATAGAATAAAGTTTCGTAGGATTATGAGTTTTTTGTTTTTGTTTTTTTGTTTTTTTTGTTTGTTTTAAACAAAATAAGCAGTCCCCGAATTTGGTTGTAGTATATGTATTTCAGTCACGTAGTATTTTTTGTAACCCCCCCGGCCCCCACTATGTAACACTCTCTCAAATAAGGACTATTATACTAACAAAAGCAAAGTCTGCGCCTTTTTACATTTTCGCTTCCCCGTTTCCACTTCCACTTCCCATGGCCGTCGCTGCGAACAAGAAGAAGAAGAGGAAATTCAACCCCTCCAACAAAAAGCTTCTCCTCAATGACCGAGTCGAGGTGCCTTATTTTAATTGCATTTCCATACATATATACGTTAGGCTTATCAATTCCGTTTCACTTTTTCTTTTTTTTTTTTTGAGTTCTTGTGGGAGAAAATGGAACCGTTTCTCTGTTGATCTGATTAAACCCATACAAAGATTGAATTTTGGTTTATTTTCATCTTTAATGTTCTGGGTTGTGCCCCTTTTTTTTTTGGATTCGTTTTCCCATTTGATTTTTTTACTGCATTGCATTGTGTTTTTTTTGTCTATGATTTTTTTTTAGTAAAAACATTAAATTAAATTAAACCCATCAGAATTTCGAATTTTGGATGTGGATTCTACTTGATTTTAAGATTCTTGTTCTGGGTTATTGATCTTTTCTTTTGGGGGTTGTTTTCGGTTTCTTTTACGCTCCCTGCTCTGTTTGTCTTTGCTTGTTGGTTTAGTCACTATTGGTTGCATGCATGTGGTTTTTTTTATTCAATAATGCAGTGATCTATGTGGATTGTTCCTTTATAACTGATTCACTTTTGGTAACATAGTTAATCAGTCGTCGCCTAATAGTCATTGGACTTCTATTCAATGGCCTTCCATGGCATCCTTAGTTTGGGTGGTAACCGGGTTGTGTATGATTTTTAAGTCCTGGGAATCGGAGTATCTGTCCCACACGCAATGCTGTATTTGCACCAAATTAGTAAGGTGTAACTGCCTGGATTGGGTAAAAAAAGAATGTTATTCTGTATTGTTCTCAAGGGTAACTGGTTTCTGTCTGTTGGTTGTCCTTATTGAAAAATGTTGCAGGTTAGGAGTACGGAAGAGGGGTTGTTAGGATCATGGCATGTTGGAACGGTGGTTGAATGTGGCGAGCAGATTCGTCATATCAGGTACGATGAAATTTTAGATGATGATGGTTCTCAGCACATGGTTGAAGTTGTACATGTCAGCCCCGTTCTTGACGGGCTTGCTCCGGAGGATTGCTCAGCAACTACTACTTGTTGTCGTGGGAAGATTAGGCCTTTACCACCTTTCCTTGATTTCCATAAATGGTCTCTGCATTATGGACAGTGTGTTGATGTGTATGTTAATGATGCCTGGTGGGAAGGGGTGATTTTTGATCATGAGGACGGCTCTGATGAACGAAGAATCTTATTTCCAGATTTGGGAGATGAATTGAAAGCACAAATCGACATGTTGCGCATTACTCAAGACTGGGAAGAGGTTACCGAAGAATGGAAGCTTCGAGGCAATTGGGCTCTTCTCGAAGTGCTGGAAGAAGTTGAGCCGCATTGGCCTATTCCTGTTTCAGTGAGGCAAATCTGGTATGAAATACAGTTGAGTTTAGGCTTAAAAAACCTTGACTGGACCTGTTCTTCTTTGGAAATCTGGAAAGAATTATTGTGGCAAGTTCTTTGCACAGCATATAATTTAACTATGAAGCAAATGCTGGATGAAATAAACTCTGCTGGGGAATTTGTTGAGGACAAACGATTAATGGATTCCTTCGGGCCTGGATTTGACTCTTTTTTTAAGGCTGAAGAATTTTTTAGTGGCAATAATACTTTCGTCCCTTCTGGAACTGCCTCCTGTCTGGACAAACATGCAATGCTACCTGCTTATTTAACCAGTACAGATTCTTTCTCTTCTGATGGAAAGATATTTTGTTCAGTCTCAACCAAGGGGGGTCATGGCTCTCCGTACAGGAATAATCTGATCCCTGTTCCAGAAAGGCCTGTTTTTACACGTATGCCGTTAGCTTCTGTTCCCAATCAAGAAATTAATAATATTGCCATTGGTTCTGCTACAAAGGGAAATATGTGCTGCCATTCTAATTTTAGTTCAAATAAAAAGAAGAAGAAGAAGAAGTGTAAATTTTATGGAAAATCGGGGCTGAAGTGGCTTTTTGACTTGCATACCAAGGCTGAAAATCGCCCTGATTCAGTTGCTCAGTATATCAGCACTAGGCAGCCTTCTTCAAGGGATGGCGTGAGGAAGTATCTTTTACACTTGGGGTGGAAAGTCCAGTATGCCAAAGATAGAACCAGGACTAGGCTGCGATTTATTTCTCCAGACGGTGAGGTCTATTATTCAGCTTATCAAGTTTGCTTGGTTCTGCAACAATCTCGAGATCTTTCGCCAACCTACCAAGATAACAATGAGAGGAGGAATGGTGATAATCTGGATGATGCAAATTTGATGATCTCACCATCCACACTCACCCAAAAACCGCAAGTAGAGAAGATTATTAATCCGTCCGAGAAAGATTTTCGACGAAGTGAAAAAGACTATATCCCTGCAGCTGTGGTAGAGTATTCACAACTAAGGAATACCACGCAAAAGTATTGCATTAAGAGTGGCATAAAGTTTGATAATTTAGCTTCAAAGGTGAAGAAGCACCTGTCTGCTGTTGGATGGAAATATTATGGCAAAGTTGGAGCAGCAGGCAAGAAACGGATGCGATATGTATCTCCTGAAGGGAGGACATTCCACTCTCTTATAACAGTTTGTGAGTGGTACCTGACAAAAGGAGATCATTGCTCCAGCTCCCTTACTTGTGCTTCTCCTTCTAGTCAACAAGTCCGGGGAGAAGGTGTAGTCCAGCTGACCTCTGCAAATTCATCTTCTTCATCAGTGTTCAAGGAAACTGTAGAGTCATCTTTTGATGGCTTATTCCCTAACCAACTTACTCAAAAAAGTAAAATCAAACTTCAGGGAACCTGTGGGCTGCCAAAAATAAAAAAACGAGGCTTGATTCAACCAAGCTCTCAAAATGATGGCTTTCTTTTGCTTGATTCACCAGATTTTACCAAATGGAAGAATGATGGAAAAGCTGAGCCCCTTGAGAAGCCATTTCCTCATACATTATGGCCCGACCAAATTGTTCATGAAGGTGAAATTAAATCTCAGGGAACCCGTAAGTTGCCAGAAAGGAAAAAACGAGGATTGCTTCTAAAGCAATGCACGGTCTTGATTCGTTCAAGCTCTCATAGTGACAGCTCATTTTTACTTGATTCTCCATGTTCAAGCAAAAGAAGAAAGGGTGTTCAAGCTAAAAGACCTAGGGATGACGTCATTTCTCCTTCAAGTAACCAAACTCCTAAGACTATCTTATCTTGGTTGATTGATTGTAAGAAAGTTGAACCTGGAACAAAAGTACATTACAGAAATAAAAATGGACAGAGGAAGAAAGAAGGAGAGATAATCCGTGAAGGAATCAAATGCAAATGCTGTGAAAAAGTTTTTAGTCTCAGCAAATTTAAAGCTCATGCTGGCAGCACTCTTCACCGATCTTCAGCAAATATATTCTTGGAGGATGGTAGATCAATTTTCGATTGCCAATTGCAATTGAAGCGCGAGAGTAAAAGTAAAAACAAGAAGCTAGAATTGCAATCAAAACGTGAGAGTAAAAGTAAAAAGAAGAAGGTAGAATCGCATCGTCGGAAAGGTAAAAGTCGACATCAGCATAGAAGCGATTGTATTTGCTCTGTCTGTCACTTTGGTGGTGAACTACTTCTCTGTGATCAATGTCCGTCAGCTTTCCATACAAAATGCTTAGGCTTAAAGGTATGTCCTTTTATGTGGCAGTGTGTATTTTCTAGCTTATTTTTATTTATTTTTTGTTGACAATTTTATAGTAGGTTCGACCCATTTAAGCCACTCCAAATCTTGGGCTAAATGAATAGCTGTTTTCGTTGTCTACTTTATAGGAATTTAAATGGATTTACTATCTTTATTAACAGGATATTCCAGATGGGGACTGGTTTTGCCCATCATGCTGTTGTGGAATTTGTGGCCTCGGAAGATACAAGGAAGGAAAGGGACAGTCAATGGATGGCAATTCTCTTAACTGTGCTCAGTGTGAACATCAATGTGAGTGTCTTCTTTCTTTTTAGGAAGATTTTCATTTTGAAATTGACCAATTTGATTCACTTAATCCATTGACAATTGGCTCATGAAGATCATGTTGGATGCTTGCAAAGTAAGGGTTTGGTTGAGGCTGACTATCATTCAAAAGGGATTTGGTTTTGTAAAACAGAATGCAAACAGGTATTTTAGATTTCCACTTTTGCACTTATACTTCCTTGTTCTGTTAAATTATGTACATATGAATGTCATTGATGCAAAAGTCTCTCCGAGTAACTGCCTCAGGGTTTTAAGTGAACTCAACAATCTTGCTTTAATGAAGTTGTAAAATGATATCCTCACCATTTGAACTTTATTTTTGTGATTTGATTTGCATATTTTTCAGATACATTCAGCTCTCCAGGATCTCATAGGAAAACCAAATCCATTAGGGCATGATAATGATCTGGCTTGGACATTGCTGAAACACAGAGGAGTTGATGAAGTTCCTGAAGACTGTGACGCTGAAGATAGAGATAATCTGGTGGAAAGCTACGGAAAGCTTAATGTTGGGCTCAGCATCATGCACGAGTGTTTTGAACCATTGAAAGAGGAACATACAGGGAGAGATCTACTGCATGATGTCATTTTCAGTGAAAGGTAAGACTGCGTCACATGGGTATAAGCCTTGTCAAACAGACATAAGTGTGATGAATTTACTTCTTGATGTGATGCTGCAGGTCAGACTTGCGCCGATTAAACTTTCGGGGGTTTTATACTGCAATACTAGAAAAGAATGATGAATTAATTACTATAGCTAATGTGAGGTAAGTTTTCTCTTCATCCCGAATGAATAGTTGCCATTTCCCTTTTGATGTTCATGGGAACAAGAATCTGAATACCTTTTATCTTTAATTTTCATCGTAATTAAGGGTTTATGGAAAGAAGGTTGCCGAGGTACCACTTGTGGCTACAAGATTCCAATACCGTCGACTTGGAATGTGCCGTATTCTGATGAATGAGCTTGAAAAGGTAGTATAAAAATTGAACCTTGACTGCTTTGAACAAGGGTAAGGGTGACAGCATTTGATTTTTCTTGAACATGGAAAAATTGCCGAATAACATTTTGCGGTTGCCAGATACTCATGGAGCTAGGAGTTGAGAGGCTGATTTTACCTGCCATCCCAGCCGTGCTGAAAACTTGGGAAACTTCATTCGGGTTCTCTAGAATGAACACTTCTGAGAGGTTCAACTTTCTAGATTGCACTTTCCTTGATTTTCAGGGAACAGTTATGTGCCAAAAAATCTTGGATGCAACCGTCTCTTCTACTAATTTTAGTCAATCATCAGGTAATTTCAACAATTACGTGTTCTTAAACATTGGTAGGCATCGTCTCCAAGACTCGGTTTGTTTTATTTTTTGCAGCTCCAGAAAAGGTTAGTGAACTTATCAGTGAAAATGAAGTGCACTCTGTTGGCAACCATTCTGTTTCAGATGAGGAGGTATTTGGAGAAGATCAATTGGAGGAGACTGAAAATATTGATCAACAAACTACAGAGTATGCATATTCTTCCACCCCTCAATATTTGAGATCATGACTCTATATAGCCCAACCTTTCATATTGATAAAAGCTTAGTTGTCGTCAATGTGATATGTTGAAATCAGGATATATTTATCAGATTACTGTTTTTAGCACTGGAAATAACATCAACAACATTGTCTTTGTTTCCTCTAAGTTGTCCCCACGGAGTTAGGAGTGATGTTGGCCAAATCTCCACACCAGCATCCGGCGTCATGGTAACTCTTTTCTTGAACAATTCCAATTTTACTATCCCCAACAATTCAATTGTGTTAAAAAAAAAAATAAAAACAATTCAATTGTGTTTTATGTACTTTTTATTCATTTGCTTTTCCATCTTGTATGTTTGAAACAGGTGAACCAATCTCCCAAACGAGTAGAGGATTTGCTCGAATACCAAATATCTGAACGAGTGAACCAAATGTCTCTTATCGGCCTGTTACGGTGCCAGGATGAGGCTACACAAGAGGAGGAATGCTTAGCATCATCTGGAACAAGTAACATAGTAGCGCCCAGGAATGCCCGTAAAGACATCTGCTACAAGAGGAGGAGATTAGCTAGTTGCTGCAAAACAAATAGCCAAAGCTGATAACCTTCTTTTGACTTCTTCACCTGTAATAAAGATTAGAGATTAAATAAGTACACTTGTGTTTCAAACTTTCATCTGTTTTGAACCTGTCTTTGGGGATAGCAAAAAGGGTTTTGAAGCCTTTTTTTACTGAAGAAGAACCTGTGGCATACTTTTGCAAATGACAGATTAGGACGTGGTACAGTATATTTATTTACTTCTTCAATCTTCATGCATAGTTTTGAGTCATATTTATGCAGCTTCCCCTACTCCCGGCGGCTTCCAGCTGATTTTGAAAAGATTTCCCGTGTAGAAAGTCGAAACGGTTGAATAAATTTTGTTGTACATACAAAATATACATACATTTGCAAATGAAAAGAAATCCTGAATTAGCAACAATAGCCAGCTTATTATCACCTAAAACTGATTCTTGACAGGGAGACAAGCAGCCTGCCTGTTTATCTCACTGTAAATTGCAGTTCTCCATCTTGCTTTATCAAAACACTCGTTGGGCAATTCTTTGTGATTCCTTCTGTCGAAAGCAATTTTCCAACTGCACGATTAGTTAGTTTATCCACATCCCTCTGCTGTATGCTGCAATAGAAGGAAGAAAAATGCCTCTTTCATCATAAGAAGTCTGCCAATTGGGGAAACTGCTGAAGCAACCAAGTCACTCCTCTAATGACAACCTAGACATCAAATTTAAGCAGGCATTGTCAATGGCACAGAAAGAAAGAAGCCCCTTTCAGATTAACAAAGATATAGAAACAGTCCACAAAGTAAACCAAAAACTTCAAAGTTCCTTTTTTTTTTGGGCAAAATCATTCTTGCAGTGTGAACTAAGCTCTGAGCTATGACAAAAAATAAAATAATTCATGAACAAAAGAGCATATATTTACTAGGGCTGATTCTCCAGGCTTGATTGCTGGCTCAACACTGTCTCTCCCATAACTGCTCCAAACATGTAAGTCTAACATCAGTGTCACTCTTATCATTCAACCACACTAGAAATTGAAGTTGCAATAGAAGGAAAAATATTAAAACTTTCTCCTACTACCACTCACAGTATTTGTCTCTGCCCATTCACAACTTCCAACTTGTAAAAGCTGCAGCCTTTGCTAAAAGGAAACGGCTTTCCCTTCCATTCTGCAGCCCACCATACATATTACACCGATCAATTTAACCGACTTCTAAACTTATGCAAATTACCCTTAGATGAGAACATGAGATATAATATAGCCAATACATATTACACCGATCAATTTAACCGACTTCTAAACTTATGCAAATTACCCTTAGATGAGAACATGAGATATAATATAGCCAATCCCACATAGTAGTGAGATATATGCAAAATGGTACCAACATTGCTAGATAAAAGCAGTACTTTTTGCATACCCAAATGCCAAGTCACCCCAACTGCAGAATCATCAGTCTTAGATAAATCATCAATGACAAACTGCAGATCAGCGCTGAAGGTATCGATGAACTTCTTGAAGAAGTCTAGGATTGCCTGCTGACAATATTGCCCATTTTAGTGTTTATCCAAATCATATAGAACAAAAGGGTGATTCTCTAGTCTAGTTTAGAAACGTTGAATTACAGGGTTTTAACTACATTTCTTTTCCTTTTGTTTGGGATTTAAGAAAGTATTGGAGGATTTGAAGCCTGTGACTCCATGTCACTGTGTGTGTGTGTGTGAGCTGAGATTACCTACCTTACGGCCCACAAAGGGTTGAGGGAAGACGAGGTCCTCATAGACACAATTCTCAGAGATAAGATTCTCCACTGAACTCAGATCACGAGCATTGATTCCTTCATAAAACTTCCTCACCACACTTGAACCTGAATCCAATACGGCTTCCCCTGCATTACTACTGCGGCTGCAACACGGTGTGAAGCATCTCCTCATCTGCGGGCTTGAGCTGCTGTGGCCATCAATGATGATGTGACCACTATTTCCAACTGCAGAGTATTCATGGTGGTTTTTGAAACCATTGGAAGAACAAGGAAAGACGAACAATTTTGTTTCTTTGAGGTGAAATGGAGTTGAGAAGGATTGGGTGGATATCATCATCAGCAGCATGATGGTTCCTGACTTTATTGGCCATTAAATAAAGTTTGCAACCCGCTATAATGGTAAGGGTCAACTCGCTTACCTATTCTAATAAGTTCATAATTTGGGCCTATTGGCTATTATTCGTCAGACCTCATTTTGCCATTTGGCCTCAGTAATGCCGCCAATACTCGAATCATATACCAACAGTATTTTGTGGCTCTTGTAGCCTCAGGGAGGAATTTCGCTAAACACATACACGTAGAGAGGAGCTCACACAGAGAAGATATTTAGGACATATTAGCAGCAGTACAAAAGGACTTGCATCATAAGAAAAACAACGTTCAAAAAGAGCATGAAGCATCAAAACTACACCAGAATTTTTTTTGTAATGATGAACCATTCTTACTATTGCCCTAGCATCGATCCAACTCCTGATCAATTACAGACTGATAACATGTTTTACAAGCAACTAAGTTCAAAAGTGACCATAAAGATAAGTTTAACATCCCAGCTAACGAGATCATTCCCACATAGCAACTCTTAACGATTGGCTTTGGCAACCCTTTCAATTTCATCCTTCTTCTTGATTGCATAGCTGCATGAACACAAACTCCAGTAAGTAAATTTAACAATCATAATACAAGTAGTTGCAACACACAAAAACAACAAAAATCTAACTTCAGTTAGGGTAAAAGCATGATGAAAACGGCCGACCACAACCGAGGAACAAATAGTCTAATCGTTTACCTGTTTGAAGATCCTTTGGCAGCATTGATGAGTTCATCAGCAAGGCACTCAGCGATTGTCTTGATATTCCTGAAAGCACTCTCACGAGCACCAGTAGTAAGAAGATAGATAGCTTGGTTCACACGTCTGAGAGGAGAAATATCAACAGCTTGACGCCTCACGACTCCAGCAGAACCAATACGAGTGGCATCTTCTCTTGGCCCACTACAGTCAAACGATGGTTAATGTCCATTTATCTAAATGGGTGGGTTGAATATAGATAAAAGAACTATGAACAAAAATATTATACCTGTTTATCACTGCATTCACAATAATCTGAATTGGATTTTCATCAGTTAGCAGATGGATAATTTCCATGGCATGCTTCACAATACGAACAGCCATCAGCTTTTTCCCATTGTTCCGGCCATGCATCATCAATGAGTTGGTCAGCCTCTCCACAATCGGGCACTGAGCCTTCCTGAATCTCTTTGCTTGATACCTTCCAGCAGTGTGGGGAATGTAAACTGGATGCTTGGAAGAGGTCGCAGTGATATAATCTTCAACAGACATATCACTGATCTGTAAAGAAATATACCAAAATGAGGATATAAGGTGATGGTTGAGGGAAGAAATGCCCATATAATGACTAACATTACAATAATTGCTGTCCAAGCTGTAAAGAAATAAGCAGTCATGCCACATTTGTCTCTTGTTCAATCAACTAAGGAGTAAAACTGAATCATTAGGATCCTTATTCCCGAGTCATTCAATATGATCAATGGAGATAAATGAGTCTCAAGCCTTATTCACAAAGTGAACAAAGCCCAAAAAGGCCATACCTGGTAAGTAAATGATCCAGATTATAGTTAAAGCAATAATTCCACTGGCTATCTTCCTCATTGAAATGCACCCCCAGCCCATTTCCCTTTTTCATTCAAGGTAACATGGGCATGCACTCATGCAGGACAAGTTGCCTAATCGCCCTAAGCCAGAGAACTACAAATTCATTCTGAATTTAACAATGGAAAACAATATGCTCTCTTTTTCTCTTCCGTTACCATGGTCCTCTCATTTTTACTCAGTATTCTAGTGGTTTATTAAGGCCCGTTGCATACATATGAAAATTCTTGCTTACACAAGTCCAGAAATTCGATAAAAATACAATGTACCGAAACCGAATAACTGGGTAAATGCAGAAACATCTCCCAACCACTAGCAACGAATCCAACAAAAGAAAATGCAGAACGCAGTATTCAGCATTACCACCACATCAATACTCCAATTTTTACAGAATAATACACTCAATCTAACCTTCTTAACTCACTAAACCATCCATTGGATAGGGATCAAAGTACCACAAAATGGAATTCAGATCAAACTCCACTAATAATGAGTTTCACGCCCGAAAAAAAAAAAGCACAAATATAAAGGAAACCCACCCGCTTTCATAAAATAGTCGTCCATAAATTCATAAAGCAGTATTTCTATGCCAGTAAAAAAAGAAGAAGAAGGAAACCAATACACGAACTAATTAAACAATGTTCTTTCCGTTTATCTTCTTTTTTCTTAAAAAAAAAAAAAAAGAAAAGAAAAGAAAGGAGAATTAACCTGAACATCATCGTAAGACCAACGGTTAAACAGCAAGACGTCACTGTGAATCTTATCCTCAGCCACCGCCATCGTTAGGGCTCTCTCTCTGTCGCCGCGTGTGGGAGAAACTGCGATGGTGGGGAGTGAAGGCGAGCAACAGAGAAACACAGAGTAAAGCCCTAAGGAAGGTGGGGTTTTATTCTCCAATTGACCTAATTACCCTCACTTGTCCTTCACATTTACGTTGGGCTCTTTTTCCTTTTTTTTGTTTTTTTCTTTGTTTGGACTGTAAGGTAGGCCCAAACAAGCTTATGTTTCTTCCTTTTTCTCTTTTTTTCTTTCGGGTTTAAGTTTTGCGTTTTTTTTTTCCTTTAAACAAATTCAGTTTAAAGCGTAACATATATAGTTTCAATGAAATCTTTTAATTAGTTTTTTACTTTAAAAAATAATGAAAACCTTGTCACAGTGTTTGGTTATTTTTGAAAAATGTAATCAATTAATTAATTAAAATAAAAATACGAGTTTCTACACAAAATAGGCCCATAAACAGCCCAGCCAAAGAAAACAAAAAGGAACCATAGCCGATCAACTGGGCCAACTGTGATTATGGTCCAACAATTATTAATTTCACCAGAAATCACCACAGGAACACACTCCATCTCTAAAATGATGAAAACAGCATGGATCTCTAATCACAATTTCAACCTCCTCAACTTCTTTACAAACTGCCTTCACAAAACTATGGCAATTCTCACACACACCGACATTCTTAGTTACTCTGATCACTCTTCTTCCTTTTTCCTGGTTACTGATCAAACCAAACGATATGGCCAACAGTTCAGAATGCCCGAAAACTGAATCACATTCCCTCTCCTCGTCCACCTGATGCACACTAAAAAAATCCTTTCTCATTTTGAACGAAAACTCCCCCTTCGAATCCACTTTCTGCACCAAATGCTGCAGCTCATTGTATATAGCTTCTTTCCTCGGATGAGACATGTCGCCTGTGCCAAACACGTGTACCTTGTTCTTGAATTCAATCCAGCTGTAGGCTTTTCTTGGTTTCAAATCCTTAGCTGTCATAGTTTCTCTAAGTTCAGCCACCATTTCTGGTCTGTTTTGGCAAGCGTACAAGTTTGATAATTGTATGTAGTTCTCGGCATTTTGTGGCTCCAAACTGAGGAGCTGTTCTAGGGCTTCCTTTGCCGTGTCAAGATTCTGGTGTATCATGCAGCCATTTAGGAGAGCTCTTAGTACTTCTGCGTGCTTTGAGATATTCCTCTTTGCAATGAATCCCTGTGCTTCGTCAAATAGTCCTGCCCTGGAGAGCAGCGCGACCATCAACGCATAGTTTGATAGCTTTGGAGCTGATAATCTATTAAAGAAACGCCAACCCTCTTCAATATTGCAGGAAGCGTAGGAAGCGAACAGGGCTGCAGCCAAAGCCATTTGATCTTCTTGCACTTGCACAGACGAGTTCTCAATCATTTCGTGGTACAATTGCAGTCCGTGCTTCCCTTCGCCATGTAAACTATAACCTAAAATCATAACCGTCCAGGAGATAACATCCTTATGTTTCATCTCAGCAAATACTCGCGAAGCATAGTCTATGAACCCAGATTTGATGTACATGTCAATTAAGGCATTCAGGACGACTGGATTCAGCTCTTTCCCATTCTTCAACAGATATCCGTGAATTTCCTTCCCGTTCTTGTGCGCCGTTACTCTAGCACAAGTCGGAAGAACAGAAGAAACTGTGAAAGCATCGGGTCTGATCCCATTCTCATTCATCATCCGGAACAACTTGAGACCTTCATTAAACTCTCCCTTCTTTTTCACATATCCGTAAATCATGGCAGTCCAAGAAATTGCATCTTTACCCACAATGCCATCGAACACGGCCCTCGCATCTTTCACATTGCCACAATCAATGTACATTTTCAATAAAGCATTCCCCACCAGAACATCGCGGTCCATCCCGAAATCCTTGGCAACACAATGCACACGCCTACCGTCGCGCAGTGATTTCAGCATCCCACAAGCAGTAATCACAGTAACCAACGCAACACGATCGAATGACTTGCCATTCTTATGGTTAATCCCATTAAAAAACAAGTCGACAGCCAATTCAGGTTTATTGTTTTTCACATATAACCCTGCCAGCACAGTCCAGGCAACAACAACATCAGCATTCTTATTTCTTTCATCAAGATCAACAGTCTCGAAATATCTTTTTGCGGCATCAACGCCTCCCATCTGGCCATACATCTCAATAAGAGATGAAATCACGTAAGCATCCAAAGCAAACCCATATTTGATAACATGGCAATGGAGCTGTTTCCCCAAAGGAAAGTCACGTAAAATCCTGGAAGCTGATAGAACCCGTGGCAGAGTGCGTCTGTCCGGCTTGGTCCCACCGGCCGAAAGCATTCTCTGATAGGTGGCAGCAACTTCCTGTGGGTCTCCATTAGTTAGATGAGTCTGGATGAGAGTGTTCCAGGAATAAGCATCCCGAAGCGGAATTTTGTCGAACACCTTGCGGGCCTGCTTTTGGGTCAGTTTAGCAAAACCTCCAGAGCTGCATTTGCAGATCCGAAACCGGATTTGGCTATGGTTTTCACGAAATGATGTGGAGAAGCGGTGGTGTATCTTGGTGGTAATGGCAACAGCATCCATTGTCTTATTGTTTCTTATGGACGATGTTGACATTGTAATTTGGTTTGGATAAAGGAAGAGACCATTGTCAAGCTTTGGAGCTCAAAATATATAACTTTTTTTCCTTGCTAAAAACAGTAGAATCTTTTTGTCTGAGTAGTAATTCTAAGTTCGCAAATGTTAAAATATGTTCATAACAAAGTAACAACAAAAATGCATTTCACGAACATGATATACATTTCTATGGCTCGGTTTTATAATGTGTATAAATTTTCACTTCCAAAAACTATCTCCAATTCATTAAGTATTGTTGCCAATTAGGAAATGTAGTATTAAAACCAACAATTTAGCCTCTCGAGTCTTCATTGACTAAACAAATGATACATGAAAACTGGCAACAGGCCATCAACTATAATAGGCATCATAGATGCCAATGTTTCTCTTTCTATACCTAATGGGCAAAACGCTGCATACCATCAATTTGTAATGAAAGAAAAAGATATCAAACTACCATTGAATTTGTAGCATCACATCGGCTTGAAAGCTCTTTTCTAAATCAAAGACTACGATACCTATCCTCAAGATCTTGGGCCATTTGTCCTCCTCTGCCAGTCTTCCGAAGTTGGTTGAGAATCTTAACATAAATTCTGAAATTAGGTCTCAGACCTTTGGCCATCATCTCTACTAAAATATCTCGGGCATCCTTAAGACGTCCATTCCCTTGATGAAGATCAGCAAACACGCTGTAAATTATCGGGCTTGAATGTGGAAACTTGACAGTAGAATCAATCACGTAATTGCGTGCCTCCTGATGTAGTTCTGCTCTGAAGAAAGCTTTCAGCATTGCACCATGAGTACTTATTCGAGGACAAAGACCGCTGTTTACCATCTTATCTATCCACTGTTTTGCAATATCCAATTTGCCCGAGTTGCACGAGTAATGCACAAGAATGTCAAAGGTAATATCATCTGGATGAACCCCTTTACTTTCCATTTCTCCCACCAAGCCAGATGCTTCAACAAACTTATCGGCCTTACATAAACTTCCAATCAGGTAATTATAACTCGTGACAGTTGGATCCTGCATCTCCCTAATTATACTCTTTGCTTCCTCAAAATGCTCCCTCTTGCATCTGTGCCGGACCAACATGTTGATGTGTGCATCCTTTTTTCCTGTGATTTCTATCACGAATCTGGCCATCTCAAAGGACTCTAAACTGCAAAACATCTCGATCAGTCCCCAAATGCCAGACTTATGACAAGAACCACCAACCTCACCCAACAAACTAACTACTCTTGTCACTGATTTTGACAATGAATCTTTACTCGAATGGAATAAGGGTAAAAACCTAAAGGCATTCTCATCAAGGCAAATCCTTTCTGCGCTAAACTCATGTAACAACAACTTCATGGTTTTAAAATCACCTAAACATCCACAGTTACAAATAACATGGCTACAAACTTCAGCACTTCGATGCCACTTCGGGTTGTAACACCTCAGCCATCTGAAGAACCGCAATCCATTAATTTTATGGAAATTCAGAAAGAGGAAAATCTCACGAACAGACTCGACCCTAAGCCCCACACTGATGAAGCTCAACTTGGACTCCATATCAGTATTCCCACTCTTAATTATTTCCACAATTTTCGTGTTCATAGTCGACGATAACTTAATATCCCTACCATTAATGACATTACACCTCTTTTCCCCTTTGAAGACATTGCTCTCTATAGAATCCAAACTTGAACCACCACTAGATGAAACAGAACATGACCCAAACAACCTTCCATCACAATGCATAGGCATCCGAAATGAACTAGAAACTGGAAAAACACAACTACTACTACTACTACTGCGGTTGCTAAACGTCAACACAGGCAATCTCTTCAAGGATTGTGAAAAGCCGTAAAGAAGATGCAAACCTGAAGATGAGAGAGGTGCAGAGTTGCATTTTGCTGAGAACCCAGATAAGGCAGAACACCCTCTTTTGTGAAGTGGGACAGTATCAAAACAGCAATAAGTTGGTATTAAAGAAGACACTTTTTTGAGCTGTGATAATGTACCAAAACGGCATTTCGAGGAGAACCCAGAAAAATTATTCATCAAAGATTGACTCTTGTGGAACGGGATACAATAAAAATGGCCAAAAGTTGACCTTAAGGACACTATGTTGAGCCGTGATACCGTATCAAAATGACATTCTGGGAAGGGATCGCTTGAGGAATCAGATAAACAGAGCCGTTTTTGGAGCAAGCTAGAATGGAAACCACAGATTGAAGGCGGTTGATGTGAGGATGAATAGCAGAAAGACAACGTTTGATGAAATGAATAGGAAAAATTGGATGAGGGTTTAAGGGTTGTTTTAGGAGAATATAAGAAAATGTGGGGGATGGGAAAATACCTTGGGTTATTCTTTCTGCTGCGAGAGATTCTTGAGATTGCCATGGCCGCTTGGTTGATCAATCTCAGTCCACTCTCCTTCTCCTTTACCAAAACTCATCTCTCTCTCTCTCTCGCCCGCTCAGGTCGACTTCGATTTGCTTACTCCTCTCTTCTTCTTTTTCTTCTTCTTCTTGTTCCCCTTTACCCTTCAGATTCCCCGTTCTGGGTACAAGATATATCATTGGGCCAACAACGTCTTCTGTTGGCCCAATTTCAACGGGCCTTAAACCTCCTTTGAATACGACACCGTTTCCTCTTCCCGTTACAAAACCCCAAGTCTCTGGAATTAACAATTTCGGATTGCGTTTCCTCTTCCCGTTATTGTTGTTCATTAGGTACATATTCCAGAGACACACTTCTGAAGAACGCCAATGGAGTTTTTGCATATATAAAGGTACCATTTTTGCTATTTATTTTTTTTTAAAATTCTCTTTTGCCTTTTAACTCGTACACATTTTGTCAAACAGTTGATTTGCACACCCTTTGGTATTCAGTTCTAGTTCATGATGTTGGGATTTGGATGTCCTTGAATATGGCTGATTTTGCTTTGACATCTACACTTCCTTGTTGCCTTCCATGTAGACAATTGAGCTTGTGCGTTTTAAAGTGGCTTAGCATCATTTCCGAGATTCAGTTCTAAAGAGTAAAGCAGTCATCTGCCAGTGGTGTAAGACATTTTAGTTGATATGTGGTTACGCGGTGTGAGAGGATCCCTTGCATATTTGAAGGCGACCGGAAGGTCCTGTAGACCACAATGGCTTTCGGAAGCATGTTTCCTATCTGATATCCCGTCCAAGAAACCGAAGCTTGCTCCTCTCCAGGTTATTGTTGCTGCTAGAATGATTCATACCTTTCAACTTGAGTTTTCTATTTTTGATTGAATGTGTAGTTCACGGTGGATTTCGGATAGTTTGGTTGCGTGTTCTGTGCGTACATTTTGTTTCTAGCTGCGATAAAACTGTATGTATTTCATTTCCTTTCTCTGGCAGGAGCGGAAAATGATCGACCGTTTTAAGCTTTGGGCTAAAGGAGGTGACGGGGGAAATGGTTGTACTAGCTTCCGCCGAAGCCGCCATGATCATCGTGGCATACCTGACGGTGAGCGCTTTGTTTTATCCATAATGCTATTCAAATTCCGCTTCAAATCCTTCTGCAATGATATGATGCATTGCAGTTGTTGGAGATTCAACTGATACACTGTTCACCCTTTTTCTTTTCGTGTTTTACGTCATTCTCTCTACTTGTTGAATACTAAATCAAAGTTACATTCACTACAATGTGAATAGTCTCGGTTAGAGAAGAAACTAGTGTTCAGTTATTCTGGCTTCACTTTTTTGTTTGCAATTTTAGAAATGTTTGATTGGTGTTGCCCCTGGCTGCCTTTCTTTGATTGTTGATTTTTTTGGTTTTCTTAAATTTTTATAATTGTAGCAGTCGCTCAGAGTAAGAGCTTTTTAGCATTTTGCCCTGTTTGATTCTCATTGCACTCTTCGTAAATTAGCCTCTTCGTATTCTACTTCCCATTTTCCTTAAATGAGAGATCTGGGATTTTGTAGGTGGAAATGGAGGAAGAGGCGGCGACGTAATATTAGAATGTTCAACTTCAGTTTGGGACCTTAGCAGTCTGCAGCACCACATTGTACGTTTATTTTTGCTTATATATACTTTGTTAGTTGGGCCCACATAGTGGGAAAAAGACTTCTTGTTGTTTTTGTATGATCTATTACCATCTGCCGAGTAGATTTAATTATAATTTATTCTCTTTGCTTTATTCATGGTTGCTACAATTTGATGTCCAAAATGAAAGAATGCAAAGGGAGGCAGACATGGGGCTCCAAAGAATATGATAGGCAGCCGAGGGGACAACAAGGTTGTTTTTTCATCTCAAACCATCTTTATAGCTGTTTGAGTTCTTGTGATTTTGCTGTTGACATAAGAATTCTGTCTTGCAGGTAGTCCAAGTTCCCGTTGGTACTGTAATTCATCTTATTGAGGGTGAAATTCCATGTGTCGTGGAAAAGCATTCTTCTGAGGAGTTGTACCCGTGGGATGTTCCGGGTTCTCTTGATAACCATTCTGTCGAACCATCCTCCCAAATCGGTTCGGTTAATGCTAACAATACCGCAGCTTCTAATGCTGGAACTGGCTCTGGTATAATGGCACCACCTTGCAGCAAGAAATCTGAAGTTATGGATGAAGTATCCTGTAATGGAATGGAGAATCTGGTCAGCGGTGATGATTTGTCAGAAATAGCGGGGGAAATAGAAGCAGAGGCGGCCTCAGATATACAATACAGTGTTGCTGAATTGACAGAACCTGGACAACAAGTAATTGTTGCACGTGGAGGTGACGGTGGCCTTGGTAATGTCTCGTTGTCTAGAGTTCCTCAAAAGAGAGTCAAAAATGCCAATTCCATAGACAACGATGAGCGCGCAAGATTAAGAATTGGCACACCTGGTTCTGAGGCCGTTCTTTTGTTAGAGCTGAAGAGCATTGCTGACGTGGGCTTCGTTGGGATGCCGAATGCAGGGAAAAGCACACTACTTGGGGCCATATCAAGGGCTAGACCTGCCATCAGTCATTATGCATTCACGACATTGAGGCCTAATCTAGGGAAGTTAAACTACGAAGATGTTTCCATTACAGTTGCCGATATCCCAGGACTGATAAGGGGAGCTCACGAGAATCGTGGACTTGGGCATGCTTTTCTGCGACACATAGAACGGACGAAAGTTCTTGCTTATGTTCTTGATTTAGCCGCTGCTACAGATGGTAGAAAAGGACTTCCACCTTGGGAACAGCTTAAAGATTTGGTTATGGAGCTTGAGTATTATCGTGAGGGTCTGTCTAACCGGCCGTCCTTAATTGTTGGAAATAAAATTGATGAAGAAGGAGCCGAACAAGCGTTCAAAGAATTAAAACAACGGGTTCGGGGTGAAGTGCCCATGTATCCAGTGTGTGCTGTTCTGGGTGAGGGTGTAGCAGGGATTAAAGATGGTCTTAGAATGCTTGTGAGTGGAAGGGAACCACATGCACGACTCAGTTTGGATGACATTGTGGTCGATTAGGTTTTTGAGAATGGTTTCGAGTGAAGAAAGCTCTGGCAGAACAAGATAAAGCTACATGATCTACACTCTACAGAGCCGAGTTACACACGAAAACTTCAGGAGCCCCGACCGAAAAGGTTGAGCTCCTTTTCCAACGGATAGTCATTAGGTAAAGTAAATACTTGTACAGCATGTGAAGTGGTGAACTCTCTCTGGGTCCTTGCATGTTTGCTGTCAGTAGTAACTTTTGATGGTACTTTGTAAATAACAATGGCAAAACCCAATGTGCCAGTAGTCATAATCACCTTACTCTCCTTTTGGATGGTAAATTTTGAAGGGTTCAAAAAGTGGCATATTTGCCTTGAACTGGTTGATGTATCCTCTCCTTTGCTGCAAATGAATGATGGTGAAGGCTGGAGGGTTACGAAATGACCGGGTGATAGGTTTAGCTGCCGGAAATGGCAGCAGCCGGCCAGAAATCCTCGAGATCAAATGGATGGTATTCTCGGCCGATCATAACAACAACTAGAGTTAGGAAAAATGACTAAGAAGAGCTCCTGGCTATCCTTACTCGGCTCTTGACGAGTGGATAGTATTTTTGGAGAGCTAAATTACTCTTCAAGTGTTTAAAAAAAAAAAATCTATGGGCTAAAATTGTTGAGACTCCAAATGCTGGGGGGCAACGCTCAAAAAGCTGAACATATTAGCACCGTTGTGACGATAAACCCAAAAGTTTACAATAAATACAAAAATTTTCAAAAATATCAACGATTATTTCTGTTTTTCTGGAGTCCTTGCTGTCTGACGCATTTCATCAAACACCTCAAAGTCGCCATGAGCTATAACGATCGAATCCCGCAAATTCATCTAACATCACCCCCAGCATTCTGTTATTGATAAGATAGATGCATTTTGTTAATCTAAATTTGATGTCCGACTTGGACGATATTGATTTACAGCCGGAGGACTTCACCTCCTCAATCCCTCTCAAGAAAGTCCCATACGGGGACGTTTTTGAGGCTTCCAGAGCCGGCGACGTAGACCGGCTCAAGTATTTGTTGGACTCCGGCGTGAATGTGAACGCCAGGGATCAATGGGATTCGGTGGCACTTTACTATGCTTGCCTCGCCGGCCATTTGGATGCTGCCCGGATGCTTCTGGAAAGTGGGGCCATTTGCTCCGAACACACGTTTGATGGCGACAGGTGTCACTACGCCGCACTTAATCTGAAAGTGAGGAAGCTTTTGAAAGCCTTTGAAGCTCGTCCGCCTCCTTTGGGAGCTTTGCAGGCGGCTTTAAGGGATACTTTCCTGGATTGTTGGATTAACAAGACTTATTTGGAGCAATTGACGAGGGGCGGCCAAGCTGAAATTCCGGCTTCAGGTATAACTTTTGACTTTGTTTTTGTTCCCTTTTGAAACTTCTCTTCTTGAAGGTTGTGGTTTTAGTAATGTTAGGAAAAAGAAGTGATTTTTGTTTAAGGAAGTGGAAGCCAAAAAACTGTAATATTTACCGGATTGTCCTGGCATTGGAAAACATAGCTAGAGTATGGAATTTTATCTGTTTGCTGATTGTTTAAAACCCTTTCTGTTTTCTTAAGCAACACGAAAGGCATTCGCTTTCACAATCCAGGAAATTTTGTTTAGGCAAATTAGTTTTGCAGGAGAAAGCTCCTCTTTTGAACTTATTATACGTAGTCATTGGATAGGAAATGGTGCTAGAACTATGAACACTTTCCTCGTGTAATACCTGATACAAAAAAGTGTGGGGAGGACTTTATACAGTGCATGAGCATTTGCTTGAATTCTGGGCTATTCTGATCATAATGTTTTGTCTTGCTATTTCTGTATCACATTGTAAGTTGTTTTTAAAAAAGTGTTTACTATCAGGGATTTCTGTGTTCATTAATCTGACACGGAGTGGTAAAATCAATAGGTTACTTGTCAAATGGAGGACCTGCTTCCAGTTACTTCCCTGCAGATGTGGTGCTTTATGTACAGGGAAGACCCATTGAAGCTCATAGAGTCATCTTGAGTGCTCGTTCCCCTTTCTTTAGGAGCAAATTTGAGACAGACTGGAAGGGTCGCAAAGAAATAAGATTGTCTAGGGAAAAGCTGTCTTTTCCTGCTCTGTTTAGCCTCATTCACTTTTTTTATTGTGATCGGCTTGAGATCTCCGTGGACGACATGGAGGATTTAGTGAGGATTTGCAGAGTTTGCAAGTGCCAATCTCTGCAAAATGTTCTCGAAAAAGAAATTATCCATCAAAAGTATGCCGAATATAAAGCCCTTCGAGAGCTAGACAACTCTCAAAAGCGGTTCATCTTGCAGGGTATTTCACTTCCTGAGGGTGATCGACTTCCTGCAGCACTACGTCAAATTCTTCAAATTTCTCTTGCCAATTCCAGAAGAATAGAAAAGTCGGACGGTCCTGTTGATACCCTTTTATCCCTGGCGAGTTCAATGCAGATGGTTAACGTGGGAGACGATCTTGCTGATGTTTGTGTGAAAGTTGAAGATAAAATCTTTCGGTGCCATCAAGTTTTGTTAGCATCGAGATCAGAATACTTCAAAGCCAGATTATCTCGCATGGCAGACTTTAATGAGGGAAGAGATACTTCACTCGGCAGTAGTCTTCCATGTCTTGAAGAGCATGATTTGAGCTCAGGTGCATTTGAGAAGATGGTAGAATATATGTAAGTTTATGATTCACCCATGTCATTGGAAGCTCAAAATTAGTGCTTCGGCATTTTTTTTTTTTTTTTTTTGAAGAAGAAGAATGAGAAGAGTGCTTCGGCTGTTATTAGGAAACTAATAATTCAATATTATGTAAATTATCTAAGTTGGTGTTCGTCTATCTTCCTGTATGATTGGGTTCCTAATTGTTAGTATTGAAGTATGCAGAGGAAATTCTACAACATAGGGACTGGTTAGGATCAGTTTATCTTTGAAAGTAAGGATTACAGTGCCTTTGATTTTGTTGTTAGATTATGACTTAAAGTAGATCGACTGAGGGTAGTGATTTATATTTTGTTGTTACTTAAAAAGTAGGTGGCACATTATTAAACTGGTAATAGATTCTTATGGCTGGTCGCCACTGTTGGGAAAAATGGTCCTCTATTCCGGAACAGATGATTGCACATAGTGGGAAAAGGCTTGTTGCTGAAAAGGCAGTGATACTTCTTCCCGTTCCACTTACTGATGTATGATTTTTGTGATGGTCCAGGTATACGGATGGCCTAAAGGAAATAGACCCCGATCAGGTACTTTGTTTATTATGGTTTTCCTAAACATGAGAGCTAAAAAGAAAAATGGCACTAGACATCAATGCTGCTATAGGGTAATATTGTAACTGTAATGGTTAAATAGATGATTTCTTGATGCAGGCAGAAGAGATGTTTGATGCAGCATCAAGATATCTTCTATTTCCACTTAAACGAGCAGTAGCTGACGCGTTGTTGCCACACCTAGAAACGGCTCCTCCAGCCGAGCTGTGTCATTGGTTGATGTTAGCTGACATGTAAGTCCATTTCAAAAACCCGGAATTTCCTCTGTTGCTTTCAATCTTAAAGTTTCTGTTGACCCTTTATCCGCATGACTTGGCTGGGTAATTTACAGGTATGGTGTATTGAAGATTAGGGAGTATTGCCTTGATACAATAGCTTTGAACTTTGAAACATTCGCTGAAACTCCAGAATTCAGGGCTATGCTTTTGACACTTCCACCCCCTTCTGGGGAATCAACACTGCGTACAACGGCTCCTAGCGCACCCGGGGCTGAATTAACCACGTCTGAAGAAAATCTTCTTGACGATTTGCGAGAAAAATGGCTGGAAGCTGAAGGAGCTGAATTGGATGAGAGAGATGAGAGCGCATTAATTTTTGATAAACGCCTGGAGATGCTCGTGGTGGTAGCAGAACAAGAGAAGGCCGACAAGGCTGACGGTTCCCTTGAATGAGTTAAAAGGTCTCCTGAACATGATACTGAGTTTCTCTTGATGTGATTGGCGATGGAGGTCGAAGCATGTTGTTAAAGCTTAGTGTCTATGTGTAAATTGAGAAAAATAAAAGGTTACAGAAAGATGTTGTTATAGAAAATATGAGAGAACGCAAGTGCAGGAATCTAATTCAAAAACATCGCGCATGCAGTTATCAGTACTAGCAAAAAAGAACAAGAACATGGCAATATAATGCCATTTTCCTTGTACCTTTCGTATAAAACACGGGTTAATTGTCAAACTATATAGAGAGTTTTTGTTGGAACAGGGAGGCTCGTGATTGCGTGAAATTACAAAAGACAGCAAGTAAAACTTGATTTTGAACCAAAGTAAACCACGAAGAACACAGTTATATATATGTATATTGGGGTTTGGCTTCATAGAAGCTCCGTTAACAATAGTAATAATACATAGCATACGGAAGAAATACAGGACGTTACAAACACAAACACACACACAGGGCCATCATGATTCATGATCAATTAGCCTGTTTTTATTTTAATCTTCTTTTTTTTTCAGTATATTACATTCTGGCCACCATAGTATTCAAAAGACTGCTGGTTTTGTTCCTCCCAAACATTTCACAACAAACAAGCTTATATGAAAATTCTTTCATTCCATTGTAGGAGAGGATTGAGTGGTTGAACTCATCAGCAAGTGCAAGGGTCACAAGTGCAGCTTGATCCACACTTGCACCCATTCCCACCTTCCGCTCCAAAGCTTTTCTCCCCATCAGATTCATTCATGCTCCCCCTGCAGCACCATTTCATACCTCATTTATTCACTAACTAATCAAACAACAACAACAATAATAACAATAATAGTACTCCCTCCGTCCTAAAATTATTGTCATGTTTTGGTTTCCATTTTTAGTTCAAATTGTACTAAAAATGAAAATCCAAACTAGACAATAATTATGGGAAAGAGGGAGTAATTGATTCATAATTAGATAAATAAATAGTTTTTGGATTGAATTTACCTCTTTACTGGATTCTCAATGATGGTCACCTTGGTGGGCATGGCCGTTTCCATGTCAGGATACATCTTTCTGTGGATAGACATAAACACAATGCGGGTGAGATACACAAATAAAGGAAATTTGTTCGAAGACCATTAAAAGATATTGACAAAAGTCTGATTTTGAAAGCCTACAGTCAGTAAATTGATAAACACATATACTACTTCCGTCCCGAAATTATATATCGTCTAATTTTAATTTTTAGTTTTAGTACGGATTAAACTGAAAATGAAATTCTAAACTGGATAATAATTTTGGGACAGAGAGAATGTATTATCATTAGTCTGATTTGTTGCACTAGTTATTTTCAAGGATGAATATACCCGCAAGAAGTACAAGAGCAGCTTGAACCACAGTTGCAATTTCCTCCGCAGCCAGACATCTTCTTCAAATTAGTTACAATGAACTATTTTTTCTTCTGCTTCTTCCTTTCTATGGGTACATTGAATTCACACAAACCATCCAATTTATAATGCAAAATTTTTGGAGGTAAGAAAACCAAAGTTAAGTTGGACGTGGACATCATCTTGTGTATACCAATCAGAGATGATTTCGTGTGGCCAATGAAGTTGATTATTATTAGTATTATTATTATTTCTTGAAAAGAAAAATACAAGAAAAAATGTAGTGAGTTTGCTGAGATCTTCCGTTTGGAATGGCATAATTCACTATCGATTATGTTTTATGATTGAAGCTTTCGTAGAATGCACTCAAGGGTTTAAAAATGAGAGTAAATTACAAGTGGTACGTTATGGAAGAAAGCTAAATTGTTAAAGTAATGAAGGTAATGGCATGGAAATGGAATGGAAGGGATCAAACATAAAAAAAAAAAAAGAGAGAGTTGATTTCATCAATGAGTATGACATTAATTGATTTAAAATCTCATCTTATAGATCATCTGAAAAGGATTACTATTGACCACATCGAAGGAACCAAAAATGGTGAACTTTTTTTTTTTAAGGTATGAATATATTGACAATTTAATTACGTGTGTTTGATTAAGATTAGAAGAAGAGTAGTAGCTAGGCAACCAAAAAGTCGCCATCATCGAGCTCCTTGTTCTTCTTGGTCCAGAGAAAATGGTGAACTTTTGACAACTCCCATAATTTTTGCATTGTCCAATCACATATTTCTTTTCTTTTCTATTCCAAACTCTAAGATGGATCCTCCTCCTTCAAAAATATGTATACATTCTCACTCTATTTTAAAATTATTATTGTTCAAATTAAATTTTACAAACAAACTAATTTATTAAAAATATTTTGCCAAATTGGAGGAATTGCTGTAGGGGGAATGTCAACAAATAATAATTTAATAAAGAGTAATAATAATCACGAACAACATTTTTTTCTGCGATATGCCTGCTGGTTTGTTTCTTTTTTTTCCGAATTTTTTTTATATATATAAAAAAATCATATTGGATTGGCATATATACGAGAGTATCATTTCCCAGCAGCTGATAAATTGGTTAGCACGATTAAAGAAGTCCAATTTAATAGTATTATTTGTTCCCCCAAATTTCACTATAAATTGAAGAGAACTCATCAGGACGATCATTAATCAGTCACAGTTAATTAAAGAAAAGGAAAAATAAAAAATAAAAAATATGTCTGGCTGTGGAGGAAACTGCAACTGTGGTTCAAACTGCTCTTGCACTTCCTGCGGGTAAATTCTTTCTTCTTCACCAACTCACACTTATTTCTCTTCAATTTTTTCTCAATCAATATGATTTTTTTAGGCAACTCAAGAGCATCCCACTTCAGTATTTATTTTTTCCTATCAGTCTTTCGTAAGGAATTTTTCCAAACTTAATTACCATTTCTTTTTCATTTCATTTTTTGTTTTCTAAACAAGGGTTAAATATTATTTCCAATACTTGAATGTGTATAAAATCTCTCGTGGTATTATCGATTGTTTTAAATAATAGGAAGATGTACCCTGACATGGAGACGGGCCCAACCATGACCATCATTCAGTTTCCGCAGCCGAAGAGGTAAATCATGATGTATTTATGTACTCCCCAAATTATTATTCCTGTTTAAATTTTTGCTTTTAATTTAATTTATATTAAAAACGAAAATTTAAATTGGACAGTAATTTCGGGATTGAAGGATTAGCAAATTAATAATACAAACTCATCATGAAATGCCGCGACATGTACAAAACAACACCCAGTAATTAAGGAAAGAGCTTTTATGAATAGTTATATGGATTTAATTAATGGCATCATAAGTTAAAAAAAATAAAAAATTGGCTGCAGGTTCACCAACAAATCTGAGGAGAGCTTTGGAGCAGAAGGATCAGAAAACGATGGCTGCAAGTGTGGATCAAACTGCAATTGTGGCGATAACTGCAATTGCTGAAAGCCTCCCCTCCCCCCACCCAGACCTTAAAATCCATGTGTTATTAGCCTCACTTGATCGATCCGAGGAACAAAACAAGTCCTTTTTTCTATATGTTTTTGTTGTCACGTGTAATATACAAAGTTTGCCTTTGAAATAAAACACACACAAAATAGCCAATGCATGATCATGGCTATTTCTGTAACTGTTGTATCATGGCTAGTATGAATGTTGTTGTTCTCTACTTCTGGTTCTTATCAGCCATCTTTTATGAATTAGTCCTTCCTCTCTAAATTGGATTGTCCTGCTTGTTAATACTAAATCATAAATTGAATTTTTTTTTAAAAAAAAAACCCCATAAAATTAAAGCGACCTATATTGGTTATGCTGGCAATGTTTCGATAGTTACATTTTGCGCATGACCAATCATTCAAAACTTGAAACTACTGAAATAAACTAAAAGATTCGAATACGCAGATCCAACTTGTATTGAATAATTTTAGATTTATATTCTCAATCAACCTTTAAAGCCTGGGGAGTAAGATGTGCTTAAACTAACCTATCTATCACCCAAAATAAGTCCACCAAAAATAGATCACAAATACAAAAGTTTTTGCAGCAATTAAGATGCTGATCATTTCTTCGAGCCCCCTTTCTTCTTCTTGTCACCAGCAGCAGAATCTGCTGCTTTTCTCTTGTCTTTTCTCTCCCTCTTCTTCAACGCCGTCATTCGAGCTTTCAGAATAGTTGCATATGATGCTTGAAACCTTTGATGATCCTTCTGGCCAACCTAGGATCCACGATTCAAGAAAATCAAGCAGTCAAAACCAAAGTAAATAGTGGTCCGCAATGTTCTTGCGAGAATGAGAAGCTGCAAATTCTCTTCTTGCGGAAGTTAAACAGTATAAAGGGGATTTGCAGTCGTCTAAAGTAACAGAAACACATAGTTTCATCGTACAGATCATGCATTATCCATAAACTCACACAGTATAAAGTCAGGAGCAGAAAGAGACGTGGGATACAGAGTCCGATCTCTTTTTTTAGGCTGCCATGAGTCATCATGAGCTAACTAGGCTTCATTTACAGCCACAGGCAGAGAAAAGGAAGGAAAAAAAATGATGCTACTACAAAGCACCTACTGATGGATAGAGTGAAAGCATCTAGTCAGGCCTACAAAGTCTTTGTACTTCATCGTATTTAGATAAGATTTCTTAAGACTCTAGATATCCAGTTGTGTTGCTAATTGCAACTCAAATGAAATATCAAGCAATACTAAAAGTAATCCTCAAAGGCCCAAATTTTCCAAAGGAAAGTAATAAAAGCATCTTCCAATTGCAGTAATTCAGCTAGTCAGTCGGAAAAACTCATACAGATAAAAACTTTCAGTGAAGATCACAAAACCCTTCAACCAAAAATCAGATTTCAAAAAAAAAAAAGAAAGTAGGGCTTACCAAAGTAGAAATAGTCCTTTTGCCATCAGTTGCTCGGATCAAACATTTAAACTCGATAGGTGTCGTCATCTTGTTCCTATGTGCCTTACACATATCAGAGGCTGCAAAAACACAACAAAATTACCAGATACATGAGATGGAAACAAGGGGAAACAATAAAAAGTGCCACAAAAATCAAACTGAACCAAGAAGAAAATCTTACAGTGCTTGAGAGTGACCCAAACAGAACCCTTCTCCGTGTTTTGCTCAAACATGTTAGATAGTTCATTAAGAAACGGATCCGGTTGAAGTCGTGCCTGGAGGAAGCATAACAAAAGGGGGGAAGTTTAACTTCAAGCACATTGCCCAAAAAGGGGGGCAAGAATTCAGATACAATCGAACCCAAAACTGAACTGAATCAACAAAAGCAAGGGGAAACAAAAACAACACGGAAAACAACAATGTGTGAGAAAGTAGCTGAGGAGCCAATAACCAAGGCATACCTTGGATGTAGAAGTGTGAGGTAGTTGGCCCGTTCCCGTAGACATCCTAAAAGGCATGAACAAAACAAGATACAGATGATCAGTTAACTATCCCCACTGATGGAAGGCTAAACAGTTTTGTTCACCAAAAAACCAATTTATGCTATAATTTTGAACAGAAAAAAAAATTGAGGAACTAATCAAAATTCCGCAGCAAAAAACACTTGCAAATTCCCGAACTAAACAAGCTTAATAATACCCAACCAAAAAAAAAAAAAGAATTGATCTGCATCCTATAGAAGAATCGAACAACTGATCCAATACATATAAACAGCGGTATTCATAAACCCTAATCGATTTGGGGATAGAGAATAATAAGCCACGATAAGTCGATAAATCAAAGGAAGAAAGCTAATTTCAAAAGCAGAATGATTGATCGTTTTACTCAGTGTGTATCGGAGAATGAAAGACGACGTCGGAAAAAATAAAAGAACAAGAACATACCTTGAAACGATACGGCAATTCAGGCAGCGGAGGCGATCGCTGGAGAGAAGAAGTCGCTGTGAAGCTTTGGTGGATTCTAATCTTAGGGGAGTTCTGTTCGTTTCTCAATTGGTCTGAGGCCCATGCCCATGTCTAAGCCCAATCTGAGGAAAGTAAATTAAAGGGCTCGGCCATTTTGACAAAACGAATCCAGACTTTTGATATTACTGTGTGTTACACTTGACCTGCAGTCAACTTTACCCATCACATTCACACCTGCCTGCTAATTTCAGAAAATTTTGCTAAGGAGATTTCAAAATATAATAATTTTTTAAAAAAATTCTGATTAATTAAAGATATTGAAGAAAAGCTTTTCAGTATTCTGAAAAAAAAAAAAAAAGAAAAAAGAGAACATAGATTTCTGCTCTCTTCATGTTGGATAACACGCTTGGAATTTGAATTTTTTGCTACTAAATTGTGTGCTACATTATTTTAACCAGATTACTATATATTCATCCATTAGAGAGCTAGTCAAAAGCTAATAAATTGAATAGGTTTGTGATGATTAATTCCCATTTTATTTGGTATGAATGGGTTCAGATATATGAGATTTAGGTACTCAGAAGAAGGCGCCACCTTGCGGTTGCAATTTATTTGCATCTGCGATTCGTTTCTTTCGAATATTAGTTATATGTAATGAAATTGATTGTTATTCTAAGATAAACATATTGCGGAAACGTCAATCTTCCTTCAATCGTACACACTTACACATCTGCTTTGCGCCTAGCTAGCTGAATATTGAGTAACAAGGTAGCTAGGCTATGGCTGTAGCATTATCTATAGTTTTAGTTTATAAGGGGTGTAAAATGTTGTGTATGTATTCATATATAATTACACATTTACAATACTAAAAAATTATCGAATCTGATTGTAATTACGAGAAATATATGCAAAAAGAGGTCAAACGGCAAACTTCTAATATGTATGAATATATACTTCTTAATATTATTAAGAAATATTTTAAGATTTTTATTTTAATTAGAAAAACATACTATGTTCCAAATCTGACAAATCAAAATGTCTTATAATAATAATCGGAAGGACTACTAAAAGATGGATAGAATATGTGACGAAAATACATGTAATGATAAAATTTATTTGAGAAACATTTATTTGCATTTTCATATATTTACCTCAACAGCAGCTAACCAAGAATAATTCGTTTAATGTAGTCACTTCTAAATGTTTTGGATGCATTCAAAATACATTTGAGGGAAGATATATAGAAAGGTGAAAATTTTGACTCAAGGGGTGAAATATTTACAACATCCCTCACCTTTCTTTCTCTTTCTTTTTTTAACTTTTTCATTGCAAATGGGTGTTGTAAACAGTTTGCAACTGTTTAGTGCTGATGCGGCCTTTTGCCTGCTTTAAACAATGGAAACCATGGCGATTTTCTATAATAGGTAATATTTATTTTGTTTTCTTTAATCATACACTAACACATCTGTTTTTTCACTTTAATTTCGCTCCTAAAAAGCAAAACATTTCTAACTTTGTGGTTGATTGATCGAATAATTTTATTATAAGAAGAAAAAATTACAGGTTCCAACATAAAGGTGCAACGTACAGCAAATCGAAGCCCTTTTTTAAAATAAATAAATAAATAGCTAGGACAAAATTAACATTCTTCCTTAACAAACAACAAAGAAGAAGAAGAAGAAAACACACAAATCTGATTGATTTTGGTGGTGGGATGGAGAAGGCATCCATAATTAATTTTATTTGGGTAGCAAACCCTTAGAATCCCTAGCGATACCTAGGGTTTGATAGAGTAAAGGAAGCTGCAACTTGGTGAAGATAATCGCAGGGAAACACGCCACCACCGTGATGGGTATATACGCCCAACTGACCCTACTCTGGAGCGCGATTCCGATGGCGGTTCCAAAAGCAAGCATCATTGTGGCCACCGCAATGAAGAGCGCGAGAAGGCCTTGAAGAAGATTCTTTGGCAACAACTCCAAGAAGTCGTCGGCTGTAAACCTGGAGGTTTGGAGGGACAGGAACATGAGCAGCGCCACGGCGGAGCTTATCATTGAGAACGCGTTGGATACGGAGAAGATGATGAAGACTCCCTTGTTGGAGAGCACTGGCTTCCCGGTGCCATTGTCGAGTCCGCCTGGCACGGTGATCATGGAAGCGAACGCCACCGTGGCCACCAGCGCCGCCACCACCATGCATGAGTTGGAGGTATCCTTTATCCATTCCTTTGCATCCTTCATTAAATTCTCGTGCTTCTCGTAGAATAGTTCTTGAGGTGTTTTATGGTCCTTATTTCTTGCCACGATTTCATCCCTGTAAACTATTTTTTCCACTGCCTGGAATGCCATCCAATGCAGTAAAATTAATTCAACAATCACGCATGCACCTCATGCATTTTTGCTTTTCATCATTTCGTCCATGCTGGTAAATTTGCATGAAGTAATCAATGTAGACTTTTTTTTTTTTTTTGGACATAAGGATGATTAATATTTCCTTCGGTCCTTAATATAAGAGATTTTGCTTTGTCTTAGGTTTGTAAAAATATATTTTTAAGATTTTTTTGTCAATTAAAAATATGTATTAAATAAAACTTAGTACAAATCAAAATATTTTATATTAAGGATCGGAGGGAGTATAATGTATGAGAAGGTTCAGGGTAGGGGGAGTACCTGAAACCATTGTAATTCGCGTTGCATCTGGAAGGCGGGACCAGGGACAGAATGGAGACGAGGAATAGGAGCCAAAAGAGCAGCCAAGTGAAGGATATTGTTATAGTGTTCATCCACGGTATTTGCATAAGCTCCTGCGTTCTGACCGGTCAAAGTTGTGATGCAGTTGAATATCTTTTCCTGCCTATGCTTCACTGCCACGTGGATTAATAACTTTTTCTTGTCATAGTCGGAGGAGTACCAAATCAGGTCTGGGAAATTCTTGAGGCAGGTTTCTACCAGTTCCACGATCCCGGATCGAGTGGCTACGTTTAATACTGCCGGAAAGTTTTGGGGAATGAAGTAGTCCATTATCTGTGCATCGCTTTTGGTCTTTAATCTCTCGCAAATGAACTCTACTAGTTTCATTGCATCCTTGTGCTTCTTCTCTTCTTCCATCACCATCTTGATCTCCTTTGACGTAATTTTCACACTATTCAACCCTGCATGCATGCCCGCGGAACCAATCATATCATTCATTTCCAGCACAATTAATGCATGCATTTTGATGGCCACCATCCACGTACTAATACTCTCCACGTCTCGAAAAAAAAAAAATTCACCTCCAGTTTTAAAATTTATACTAATATAAATTTTAAAACTTAATAATCTGAATTTTTTTTTTAGGGGAAGGGGGGGAAAGAGGGAGTAATAAAAAACACATACTAAATTAGTAAAATTAATTTATGCATTAAGAGGTAGGTAGCTAGGCGAGAGCTCGCTCGCTGGCTCACTCACATTTGCAGAACCTCCTCTTCCATGGTGGTATTTTACTTCCACTGAGAAAAGCTGAGGGTTGGAGTGCTAGGGAATGCAGGATAGAATATCTCTCCCAGTTTGATGCCAGAGCTAAATACTCATATTTTTTAATCACATCCAAAGCAATATCTAGAGAGAAAGATAGATCATGATGTATGCATGCACATAATAATAATTAAACATACAAAGGGTTAGGGTGTTGTCTTTCGTGATATTAGACGAGGATTCGATTCCCACTAAAGGGTTTGTGGGGAAGTTTACTCACATTTAAGTGAGGTTCACTGGGGTGAATTTTTTTTTTAAAACAAAAATTAAACGTACATGAATTTTATCAAATTAATTAATGACATGACAATATTGAGTGAGTTTTGTCAAATGCGCGGGCGTACCATGGGCCCCCGAAGTTGTGATTGCGACGACCAGATTGCGAGTTTTTTCACTTTGAGTTTCAGGATCCTCAATAGCAGCCCATGGTGTTTGACTGTAAAGGTAATCCAACACCGCTCGACCCTTGGACTGCAGCCTCCATCGAGCAGCGTAAAACAAGGGTGTATACCCGTACACTTCCGGCCGCTCAACCAAATCACGGTTTTTTCTGACCATGGCCTCCGCGGCCCTAACGTCGCATGCTAACGCTACGTGGTGAAGGGCGTTGCGGCCGAGTTGGTCAATCATGTCCAGGTCATCCGGTTCTAGAACCTTCTCCACTAACTTCACCACGAACTCTGACTTCCCACAGTTGGCTGCGACCAACAGTGGCGTCATCCTCATTCCGTTCACTCTCATTGTCTTTGCATCCGGATCCGCTTCAAATATCTTCACCGCTTCTTCCCAATTCCCTTCCACTGCTGCTCTGTATATGTTTAACCGTCTCATATTCTTAACAAAATCTGTTTTCTCTCCGCATCATCAAATAGAATTAATTGAATCATCATCATCAATATCTACAAATGTAATCTTGTTTACATAATAAACTACTCCATCCGTCCCAAATTAATTGTCCAGTTTGGATTTTTATTTTTAGTATTAAATAAACAAAAAAGAAAAAACTCAAATTGGACAATAATTTTAGGACAAAACGAGTAAAATATATATATATAAATCCTTTTATGTATCTATAGTATATATATATATATATATATATATATATATATATATATAGATAGATCCTTTTATGTATCTAGAGTATATAGTCTATATATTCTACACTCACGTAGGTACCTTCAGGAGTTCTGGTCGGTGTACTGTAATTGCCATCATCTAGTCCATCTTCCCCCGCTCTTCTTTCCTCAATTTTGGTTTCTCCTCGAAAGAAAAAAAGAAAAAGAAATTGATTGATCCATTCATTCATCACGATGAAGTTAAATAGGGTGCATGAAAATACATATCAACTCTTATACCTTCAGGAGTGGATGCTGTATTGGCGCTTTGCTTCCTTAAATTTGGCATCACAGCCATTGGCTGATTCTCTATTTTCCTACCGGTTTCTGCTTTTGGCAAAGTTTAAATCAAGACCTTTTTTATTAAAAAAAAAAATTTGACCCACCAACTCACATACATATTGACTCAAACTTTGGAGACTTATGATGCAAATTGCCATTTCGTATATTCAGATTTTTTTTCCATCTAAAAACGTACCACACAATTAAGAGAGAAGACATAAAAACGTCCGAATTAAAGGTTAATCTTATAATTTAATTAATGTAAATTAAAAATCATGACATAAAATTAATGAAAATAAATAACCTGCCATGCCTTCATTATGGGATGGTATTGTCTCGTTTTCACTTGAGTCTTCAACCTTCGGCTGATTAGTCCCCGCCATACTAAATAAAAATACAATAATAATCTTTTCAATTATGGTTTCTGCTCCAGAAAGTTTGTTTTTTTTTTTAATCTTGATTTATTTCCTTACATTCTATAATAAACAAACAATAGCTAGGTTCAAGGGTCTTCTTGAACTTATAGTATAAAAAAAGCAAGGTTTTATTCCTCGTGTTTCATACAAATAGAATGAATCTGTTGAGTGTTGAATGGTTAAAGAATTTTATAAAGTTCTTTTCTTCTTCTTTTCTTTTTTTTGTGTGTGTGTGTGTGTGTGTGTGTGTGTCTATCAAGTTTTTTTAGTGATGTAGAATAGATAGCAATCTATTCGATTTGGTGTGACAAGATGTACTTGTTTGCTTTTTGTATAAGTTTACAATTTAATTTTAATGCAATTGACTATTCCAAAAAAAAAAAAAAATTTTCTTCTTTCCCTTCTAAATTATGTCACTAATTAATAATAATAAAAAAAAGAGATAGTTTTACTATGATCGAGAGTACGTAGTACAATATTATATCAATCATTAAAATGATAACGTTTCAAAGTGAATATCACATAATCACATCCATTAGACTCTAGAATTCAAGACAGAGAATCCCATATATTTCCTTGTGATACAAGAATTGTAAAAGTAGGGCATGCTTCATGTGTGGTACGAGAATTGTAAAGGAAAACTTAGAAAATAACTAGTTCAATAGACTTTGTAAAGTCCATATGAATCTTGATGCTCCTTGTTTCCTAGATAATACTACTCGTCTCGAAATGATATTTTACTTTTAAATAGCACAAATTATATTTTAAAAAATATATATGCCAAGTAATGATTTTTTGGGCTTTTTCAAAAAGATTGTCCGAAATAAATTTTCACTTTTAGTTCAATTTAAACTAAAAAAGAAAATGAGACAAGCATTTCGAGACCAAGAGAATATTATATATATATATATATATATATATATATATATATATATACACACACACTTTTACATTAATTATTCCATCGACCCTTTACTCATTCAAACATCTTGAATCTGATTCTTCTATTTGTGGCTTACTTTCCTTCTGTCCCCCGTTCATTTTGTCGTATCAAATTCAAAGAGTAAAAGAAATACTCCTTTTGCTACAAAATAATAATTTAATTCATTTTAAATTTTAATATAGTTTTTTTTTGTGACACAGAGTATATATTAGAATTATTAGAATATGTTAAATTTAAAGGGAGTACTTTCTTTTTGTTTAGGGGAGTCACCGAGAGTAATCTTAAAAAGTGGAAAAAACACACCATTTCTTTTTCGTTTGACAAATTTCTATATGCCCCCGAGAAAATTCAATTTTAATGCTTCATTATGTATCAATTAATTAGTCTGCTTATATTGAAGTAAAACGGCTCAAAAAACACGGTCTTCAGTTGTTTTGTAATGAAGGGAATCCCATAATCTAAACTATGTGATGGAGCGTACTTGAGTCGGTCCATGAGTGAGTGTTAATAATCCTTAAAATGCCGTGTAAAATAGAATTAATACTACGATACTTAAGTTAGAAGTCTTAGAGAGAGAAACAGAGATTATTAAATGCTATATAAAGAGAGAATAATACGAGAAATAAATACTTTGAAGGTTCCTTTTATAGACCCAGAAAAAGAAAAAAGGAATATTCCCTTACACATAAGTGTATATGGATTTTAGTGAATATTATTTGGTGCCTGAACCAACTTAAATAAGGCACAATGAGGCGATGGCCTAATTGCCCCGTCACTATGTTACTATGCATAGAAAGTTACGTTTGTGTCAGTTGTGTTAATGGATGGCTGTGGTAAATTTGACGACAATGAATATTTTATGTATGTCTTGTCAATTTTCAAACAAATGGTTCCCGAAAGAAGATGTAAAATCATAAATGTGAAACCATTAAAATTCTTAAAAGTAAAAATTGATCCACAGAAAGCTCCACTCTTCCAAATATAGATAATACATTTTCGATATCTTGATAACTACTTTTTATCCGGACATATTATGAACGTAGAAATCCAATAAATAGATATGCTTTTAATTTGTGCGTTGTATGAATAGAATGAGAGAATAATATTAGCTAGCTCGTGACAGTATATGGATTAATGAGAACATATTCCACACGTTGGTTGTCACTTACTTCTAACACATCGACTTTGGTTGTCACTATATATGCGTTCATTATTTGATGCATGTCACTAAGCATATATTTTTCTCCATCTCTCTCACTCTCTATCTATAAATAAACTACACATAATTTCATCACCAAAGTGGGTGGCTTGCTTTGGTTGGTTCAAAATATATATATATAAAAAAAAAAAGATATGAGCGATAATATTCCAAAAATAGTTTCCCTTGAGAGAGCCTATAAGGTTGATGAAGCAATCAATACTAGAAAGGATCATATTGTAATAATCCGATTTGGCCAAGAAACCGAAGATAAAGAGTTGCCTCAGCCTGAAAAGGTAACAAGAAGTTTCCTTGTATATATAACCTCTTAGTTCTTTAACTGTATTTTTATAATTTATTATTGCCTAATAATTTTGTTTGTAAAGTGTTTTATTTGTACTCCTATATAATTATACTAACAAGGCTGTTTGTAACACCATTTCTTGTATTAAGCACACGCCCTTTAAATTGAACACTCGTAAGTAATTACTATCCAGGCTTTGAAAATAAACCTACTGATCTTCAATGAATACACTCATTATTTTATTACTTTCTCCGTTTTAGCTTAATAATCATAGACAGTAGTTCATTTTGTTACCAAGTAATTTCTAAAATTTCTTGATTTGTTTGGATTGTGTGCAGGTTGATCAATGGCTAAAAGCCGAGGCAAGCCATCACTCCAGGGACGACGTGAGAATATTCAAAGTTGAAATGAAGGACGTGCCGGAGTTGAAGGCACGGTACCGGCTTTCAGAACCATGCACCCTTCTCTTCTTCCGCAACAACGTTCAGGTTGATCGCCGTCATGGAAAATCCTTAACTCCAGAAGAAATCAAGAAAATCATTGATAGATTGCTGGTCGAAAAGAAGAACGCCCCCAAACCTCCAGCACGTCCGGCGCCACCGGCACGTACAAATGATAAGAATACTCATAAACCTAATAAGAGTATTCCACAACGTGGTGTGGCTCCTGTTTCTTCTGACACACTTAGGGCGAGACTTAATAAACTCTGGAAAAGATCATGAATATGAGAGAGATTAGGGAGTTCTCATACTTCTACCAATCTTCTAGTATTGTGAAATAATTGTCAAAGGAATAACATATGTAGGTTTGTGTGTTATGATGATCACTATGAAATCTTTGTAAAATTAAAAGAAAAGTATTTTTAGTACGTTATGGTTTTGTTTATGACGTTCATGAATAAATAAATGCATTTTGTAACTGCTACACTTCATGCGGTTTAAACCCGGTTTAGAAAGCCTGGTAACCCATAAAAATACCAACCTCTCCAGTACTCAAGTATATACTAACTCGAAACAAATCAGCTGGTAAAATAAACATAAATCTTACTCCTGTAATTATTACCAACCAAAAAGCTATATATACTCACCCCATTACAATTTCAGAGCAGCAATGGCTTCAGGTTTGAAGTCAACCCTCAAACCCAAAACCCGTCGCACCTCAGCTGGAGTTAACCTCCAGGTCATAGGCCCCGAGTTTTCACCCCAGAAATCTAGGATCTCAGACACCTTTTCCAGGTTCAAGATGGTCGCCATCTGTGTGAGTCGCGCAAATTTGTCCCTAACCGTCCTCTGTGTCATGCTCGAGAAATGGGTGACCAATGCCCTAGCATCACGGTCAAGTTGGAGTCCTCCCAGCTGACTGAATCTCTTCTGCATCATGATAACTTCAAGCCTTTTCACAATAAAATCTATAACCATATGAACAAACATGTCATAGTTGTTGGCAGTCATTAGAGATTGAAGCCATGCGACATTGGCCTCAACAGCATGCAGCAGCCTTTGAACCCACGGATCATTCACCTCGTTGTCTGCGTATTCAGCCTCCGATAACTCGTAGCTGATGGTCGCCACGTTATCCAACACAGGCCGAATCCTTGGGGCAACTGCTGCTAAAAGTTGCTCCATCCACACGCTCAGCGCCTTGTTAAAGTTGCTGCTCATTTCATTCAATTCAGATAAACAGGATTTAATTCTCTCCCGATCAGCAGGTGTAGGAAATACCTCTGCACATTGCTCTTCAATCTCATGCCGGAGTTTAACCGCGTATTCACTACTGACATCCATGTCGTTTAATGCAGTAGTGATCTCCACACCAGTCTTTTGAACAGCAGAACCACCCAAGAACAGCCTGGCACCAATATTAGATTCCCGCATCTTCTGCTGTAATGCATCGTTGTACTCACTTCCCAGCAAGCTCACCGCATTACTCAAAACAGCAACCACAGAGTTAATGTTGGAAGTGGAAATGGACCTCCTACAACAACTCTGCAGAACATAAAACACATCATCCACCATTGATGTGGTGAGACTATCGGGCACATGCTCGTCAATCTGGATGGCTTTTCTAACATTTTCAACCATGAAATACCCTTCCAAGATCACATAATAACCCATGATGTCCTGAAGCAGCCTGCTCAAATTTCCACCCCTGAAGGCCTTGGTGGCCTGGGGTACCAGTTCTGGATCCACAGAGCTTAAAGCCCGAATCTTTGAAACCATGTAATCGGTGTAATCCTCTCCCAGCTGGGTTAGGGACAAAATCTCTTCCAGATAAACTTCAATCTCCCTCGGGTCCGGGCCTTGGGCACCCACAGAAACTGAAAGCAACTTTGCTTTGTAAGAGTTTATCTCAGAAGTTAACTGGGCTAACTTCCTGTACTCCATGTACTTGTTTATGATGGAGGAAGCCCGCTTATCACATTCTTCTTGAAGTTCGCAGATAGCATAAACAATGCTGTCTTCTCCACAAAAGCTGGTTAGAATTTCATGATTCTCTTCAACGGCCAATACAACGTCCTTGAACAGACTCGTCAAGCGCGCAACAAAATTGACCTGAGAATGGATTTGTTGAAGCTGATCTGGGTCCTGATCCATCTCCTGCATCCGGGATCTCATGGAAATCACCTTCTTTAGATATTTGACATACACCTGGAGTCCATCTTCCTCGAGTCCCAGAGGTGGGTACAGCTTCACAAATCGGAGGATGGTTGGGTGGTCTAGCTGCTCCACAGCTGAAGTCACACGATTTGTAACAATCCCCTGGAGCTGTTTCTTGAAGGCAAGCAGTTGTTCCCGCTCTTTGGTGGCTGCAGAGTTTCTGAACTTCGCATCAATTTGGAGGAACGTCTGAACATAGTTAGCGGCAGACTCAAAATCCTCAGACCGAAGGGCTTTCTGGACGCCTTCAAGACATTGGGAGCGATGGACGTCAGCATCAATGTGGAGGAGGGTGTCAGAGACACGGGATTGGGCTTGATCACGTTCCCGGACCTTCCCGCTGATACTGTCAGCAAGTTGACAGGTGGAGCTGACATTGGATAACAAGTGATCAGCATCCGCTTTGACAATGAGAAGCACATCTGAAGCCTTTTGGAGGGAGGAAAGCTGGCGGTCCAGATCGACACGCTGAGACAAGATAGAATCCAATTCCAGATCCACACCTCGCAGGTAGGCATTGACTTCATGGAGTCGTCGAGTCACAGCTCCCACATCCGTCATCTTCCGAGCCTCCTCCAATGCCTCAGGCGTCCCAAATTTGACAGATAAAGATGAATTAGTACTAATCCCATTGCCAATAACTTCTACTTGGGAACCCGATGCCATTTGCAAATGAGTGCTACCACGTTGTCAATGAATATGCTTGAATGATCCCTGTGCCTTCCCTTCTAAAAAAAAAAAGAAAAACCAACAGTCGTTAATAGGAATTGCGGTTTCCAAAGCCAATACAATCACAAGCACTACACCCCAAGCATTTAATTCCAGCCAGATCAAATTAGTGTTCAGGAAACCGGGCAAACTAAACAAACAAGCAGTAACAAGCAAGCAAACATCAGGATGCAACTCCATATGTGCATGCGAAATATCAACTAATTTTGGCATCGAAACTAAAAAAAAAAAAACGGTTATCTTGAATTAATCTTTTCTTGTAAAAGGTAGAGGACAGAAAACAAGGAGAGCTATAAAGATCATTACACAATTCAGAGTCTCGGAAGAAGAAATCCAACAAAAGGAATAGTCGATCTTAAAACATCATCACGAATCCATATCCCCAAATCAATAAAATCGCCAGCTTTGCAAATAACCGGGGACGCAAACTTAATAATGCCAAAGAAAACAGAGGCTTGTCTGTTATACATTTAGGATACTGAAATCTCACTGTGGCCTTCAATTAGAATAAATGATCCTATTTATCAACAGCGTTCAGTGTCAGATCAGTGGATTCAGTGTGTGTGCGCGCAGGGAAAATACAAGACGGGAATTGAAGAAACTAACCTGGTAAAGTAAACGATGGCGGCAGCGGCGGAGGAGGAACGGCGGTCGGAATGCGAAGCAGGCGTCAGTTTGCGGCGAAAACTCTCAATCGGGAGAGGATCCGCCAGATTTGGATCCAGCAGGAATGAAGGAAACAAACTGTGTTATTGTTAGCAGGCTTAACGGTGTCATTTTTACTTTTTTTTTTTTTTTTTTTCAGAGTAATTTTATCATGTCTTTACTTTATTTACTAATCATAAATTACCTGTAGGTTATTTCAAAATCTACCTATCCAGAGAGAAAAAAAAAAAAAAAAGAAAATCAAAATCAATAAGATAAGCAAATCTCTTAGTATAAGTTTTGCAATATTACTCTCGTATATTTTACTTAATTCCATCAATAATTCGTATTTTGCGAATTTTTCTAACTAATGTCTAATAATGTCAAAATTTTAAATATTAACTTTGGGGAATTGATATTTGAAAAATGTTGACTTGTAAAATTAATTAATATTCTACACTTTCACTTCAATTCGCATAAAGTTAAAGATAAAGTTGGCGAAATTATCATTAATCAATTCTGTAATAGACTAGACCGATTTACACGAATCAAAACGGAAGAGATCAACCCGGACCACTAAACCGAAAAAAGTACAGTTTGAACAACAGTAGCAGAATTTCCCTTTTAGGAAGCAGAAGAAAACTTTAATATATATCAGGTGGCCATTGGGCATGTGCATAAAGTTGAAGAAAGAAATTCCAAGCTTCCTCAATTGCAGAATGGGAATGGAACCCCTGGGATCTACTTTTGAACACTAAAACACTTCATTTCCAACTCAAAAGTTACACTAACACTACCCCACTCCAGATCATCACCCATCATCAAAAGCCTACTCAAGCCACAACCAGCCATGGCAGCCTCTATTATAAGCTATGCAGAATTGCAAAAGACACAAAGACTCTTTTGTACCCCCTGTTCCCGGGACACAAACTACACCATTGTATCCCACACTTTTTCTCCACTTCTAGTTAACAGCCTGCCCTTTTCAAAACAACAAGCAAAGTATAGAACAACAACGTTACAAACAAGGGACATTTTGGCTGGAGAGACATGGGGATTACTACAGCTGCTACTACTTCTACTGCAGAATTGGTTCGTGGGGTCTTCTTCTTCAAGTCTCGCTCTGGCAAACTCCATCATGGCCCTCGTGTAAGTCCTACATTCATGTAACTGCTGTACCAGCTTTACTCTGAATTTCCTTCAATTTACCATCTCCTAGTCCCCCATGATTGTGACAAAAGCACCATGGTAACATATTGATCCACATAGCCAACCCCAAATAGTGATGGCGTTGTTGTCGTCGTCGTGTTTTTTGTTCTGTACTTACACGAATCATCGATAATGTAATGCTCGTGAGAAGCAGTCACCAGAGTTTCTGACATTGTATGATAATTTTTCATTATATCAGGGAAGGAACAGTGTCATGGAAAAGAAAAGGTGGAGCTCGGTTAAATCTTACTTGTGTGGGGACGGTGATCAATGCAATTCAGTCCTTGGAGAGAAGGATGAGGCTTCAGTCAGACACCTGGAATTCAGTTCTCTCACGGCTGAGGAAAACTCTGCTTGCACAACTACACCGAGCCAAATTCATCCACATCTCACAGAGGAGGATATCATTTCCACCAAAAGTTCTGAGGCAACTGTAACCCAACCTGTTGTAGCAGGAGATATGATCCCCGATGAAGGAAATACGGACAGATTTCTGAACAATGAGCCTTCATGGAAGGAGAAGCAAAACTCAACTTATCGACTCTTCCGGCAAGAAGATGCTGCAATCACCATCCAGTCAGCATTCAGAAATTATCGGGTCAAATTTGCACTCTGAATAGGGCATTTTAACAAAAGATCAGTTGAAGAAAGTTAATTCAGCAAAAAATCAGAAAACTCATTAGAATTTCTTAAAACTTCCTCGTTTGAATTTGATAATAAACACTAACAACAATATTCAAAGAGCATAAGAAGACGAGGCGTGTAACGTTAGACAGTGCAGAGCTATAGAAACCATTGACCACACTCTGGAGATGTTTCATGTTCCAATACTACTTACTCGTTCTAAAGTGGCTTGTATGTTTTGCACAACTTTTCAGGCCCGGGGTTCCTGCCAAAAGACGAGCTTTGATGATGGAAAGCAAAAGAGCCTAGCAGATGCAGAAATTTGTAGTCCAGCAGAGTCTCTAAGCTCATCAATCAAAGTTCAAACGGGAGATTCAACTAGGGCATCCTCAGTTGTTGATGTTGAAGGCATAGATCTCAGTCAACCGATGCACAAGAGAGTTAGAATCCACGTTACAAAGATACAGGTAAAACAGAGAAAACTCAAGCATCTTCAGTAGTGATAACCCCTAACCTACAATTTCAAAGTCACTACAATTTAGCAATTAGCTAGGAACAACAAAAGATATGACAGAATCAACGAATAAATGCAGGGTGATGGTTTTCCTTGTCCAGTGTAAACATCATTAGGGTTCATCTAATTACCAATTGTTCTGGTCTAAATGGATGAACTCCTATATTTCTATCGGGCTTCTTTGGTAACAGACCCCATAAAACCACTAAAAACATAGAACTAATGTAATCATTTCGCGGCAAAGAAATTTTTACGCGAAGTTGGTGGAACTTACTACACCTATGAAATGGAGAAACGAAATCTTAAGAAACAAACTATACAAAGCCAAAGCAAAAAGATCATGTTTTGTCACCAATCTTGGCAGGAAGAATGGGATGGTAGCACAGCGAGTAGCAGTATATCTAAAATGAGGATTCAGAACAGAATCGAAGCTGCAACAAGGCGTGAGAGAGCTCTTGCATATGCTTTTGCACAACAGGTACGATGGAATTGACTCATGACATATATAGTTTGATTTGAATTTGCTGAATGACACTTGGAATTTTGCACAGTTGAGAGTATGTGCTAAGAAGAAGCGTACCAAAACCAACAGTTTAGATACTAACATGAGCCGAAGCTGGCTAGAGCGATGGATGGCAACCCGGCAGCCGGAAAATTCCTTCTTGAATAACAACCTAAGCAAGAGAATCGAGCTGTTCCAAGGCTGCAATCAACTGATCACTAACAACAGATTGGATGGGCCAACGGTCGAGGAGGAGAGCTGTGGATCTAATGAGATTTCCACACAAATCAGCGAAAATTGCGATCCCATGTTCGGAGATAGAGCTGCAGATTATCTTAGACCTGCCAAGAGAAGGGAAAGCTGGGATGAGCAATATGTCAAGGCAACAATCCCTCCCAAGTGTGCAGCATCTCAAGGAGCCAAAGGTAGTCCCTTTAACAGATTTAAAAACAAAATCACCCAAAAAAATAATGGCAGCTCTCCTATGCTCCCTGTCCAAAGAGCATTCACATCTAACTATTTACAGTTTATATATGTTTGGTTAATCAAATATTTACAGTTTTTTGTGTATGGGCTAACTAGAATGGATGTCAGGCAGAGGAGGAGAGATGCAACAAAGGAAAACCACAGCAGCAAGAGAATGAGAAAGAAATGGAACGCATATATCGCAGGCAGCAATTCAAGACCAATTATGAACAACACTTTGTGAACTTTAACCTAACTGCAAGGAACATTCTGCAGTCAGTTTGTAACTTCACATTTGCCATTAAAAAGTTCTCCAAAAGAAGCTGCTAAACCTTCATGGAAGCAACTGAGGGAAGAAACATGGTTTGCTAAAAAATAATAATAATTCTATATATGGCTCTACAGTTAACATCATAAGCACTAGAATTCTTCTTTTTCCAGTTATTTCAGCATCCCATGTCAGGATCAACTTATGAAAGGATGACCTTTTAATTTGCAAGAGATACATCTCTTTACCTTAATTAAACAAGCTTAATGCATGCAAGCAAACTACAATACATTGTTTGCAACTGGATAAGATAGCAGTGACAAGAAATTTCTGAACAAAGAAGAACAGGATTTATCGAGGAAAAGTAAGAGTTAACTTAGCTTACCTCGTTTTGAGTACTCATTAGCATCAAGAGTCATAGCATCTGGCTTCCTCTTCTTCTTAGTTGTTTTGGAGAGTTCAAACTCCAGATAGGCAAGGACGAAATTCTTGGCATCAACTTTTCATATCAAAGTTGCTATCTCTGTCAATCTCACTCAAATAAGCCACACGCGGGCAGAAGCCAGAATAATTCAAACAAGAAATGGCATTGAGGAAATATAATTTTCACATGCAGAAGATTTTTATCCCACCAAAGCTTCTTCCTCAGAAGCAGAATCCATAAAAGGAACATACCCAGCATCTGTCATTTGCTCAGTCATGCCCCCTAAGAGATCAAAGATTGCCTCTCTTTGATGATTGGAAGAATCATCAACTAAGAACGGGGAAAATCTTCCGCCCACATCAACCCAAGCACAGCCCGGAGCCTTCCTCACGCCCAAGTTTCTCATAGAAGTCCTCACTTCCGCTAGTTTGCTCCAAGCCCCAGCAGAAGCATACATGTTAGCAATTAGGACATAGTATCCCGAATTCTGAGGCTTCATCTGCATTAGCTTTTCAGCTGCCCACTCACCCATAACTGTATTCCTATGTATTCGACATGCTCCAATAAGAGTAGCCCACATCGCAGGAGTTGGCGAATATGGCATCTGTCTGATGATTTCTGCTGCTTTCTTCAGAAGACCGGCTCTTCCAAACAGATCAGCCATACATGAATAATGCTCTAATCGAGGAGCAAGGCCGTAAACTGATTGCATCTTTTCAAATAACATCTGGCCTTCGACTACTAGACCAGAGTGGCTGCAGGCAGACAAAATAGATAGCATTGTTACATGATCTGGTTTAATATTGCACCTAGTCATCTCATCAAATAGTTCAATTGCTTCTTTTCCATTCCCTTGTATCCCATATCCAGAAATTAGGGAAGTGTAAGTGACCACATCTTTATTTTCTAGCAGATAAAATAGTCTTTTGGCTGTGGAAACTTTTCCTGATCTTGAATATGTGTCCACGAGGGCATTCCATAGCAACAAATAATCTTTGAACCCCTGGCGCTTTAAAATGTAGCTGTGGAATTCTCTGCCATGCTGTAAATTCGCTACCCGAGCACAAAGAGGCAGTATACTTGCAATAGTCACATAATTCGGCTCTACCCCAGATTGTAACATCTCTCTGAAAAGGAAGGAAGCCTCATTAGATTGATCCCACAGTGTGTAACCAGATATAATGGAGTTCCATGTGATTATACTTCTAACCGCTACTAGCTCAAACAGGATACGAGCATTTCTAAGGTCCTTGCACCTAGCATACATAGTAATCAATGCATTTTTGACATTATCCAAACGATCATAATGATAAAGAACAGCCAGACCATGAAATTGTCGGCCAAGTTTTAGCGCGCCCAAATGTGAACAAGCACCTAATCCAATTATTACAGCCACAGAATCCACACCTACGCCATTAGTAACCATTTGAGAAATCAACCCAAGAGTCCGTTTGAAGTTCCCAGTTTTCATGAAACCTCCGGCAATGATATTCCAAGTAATGATGTTTACGCGTGTACCTTCTTCTCTCATGTCTTCGAAAAGCTCAAAAGCTTCCTGCCACAGACCTTTAGAGGCATACCCACAAATTATCGAGTTCCAAGAAACTGAATCTTTTTCAAACATCTTGTCAAATATCTTACGAGCTGCATCGACTTGCCCACACTTCCCATAGAAGGAGACCAACGCATTCTGCACGAATAAGTTATGTTTCGAGGAGCTAACTTCTATTAACCCATGGACTACCTGACCACAGGACAAATTCAATTGCTCACCACAAGCCTTGAGAACAGAAGGATAAGTGAATTTATCAGGCCTTATTCCATAGTTCAGCATTCGTCGGAAAATGAAAATAGCCTCTTTATTACGGCCATTTCTGACATAGGCAGGTATCAGAATATTCCAAGGCAATGGATGCAAAAAATTTGATCTTTCTGTTATGGCATGGGCAGCAGCCAGTAAATCAAAGGCAGCATAGAAGGTTATCAATTTCGGAACCAGGGCAGGATGTTCCCCTAGACCTGTGCCGACTATATGGGCATGAAGTTGCTCACCTTCCGAAAATGACTTCAGTTTAGAAGTACAATCCAACAGGGAACACAATGCCTGTGTAGTAAGGTCAAATGAAGATGAGGCTAAAGCATGACTTCTAATGGTCGAGAAAGTTTTGAAGGCCTCTGATATATGGCCTCGGGTGGCAAATTCCTTGAGTGATTTCAAAAGGCTATCCAAAAACATAGAATCATCACCGGTAAGGTCGCTTAGTCTCCACTTTTTAGGAATGAGTTTTTGGATTCGGGAAAAAGAAATGTGTGTGGGCAGGCAACTAGGCGAAGGCGGCATAAAATGTAGCTATTACAATTGTATAGAATACTGAAACGGTAAATGAGTGATGAATACATGGCTGCTGCAGCAACATTTGAAACGATCACCAGCTGATCCTCCTCAAATCCTGTCTTCAGCAAACATTACAGTAAGGTGAACAGAATCTCTACAGATGCCGTACACCAAATTACAAAGTAAACAATAGCTTGCATTTATTTGAAAAAAAAATAAAAAATCACATATCACCACTTCCAAAAAAACAACAACCTCAAAACATTGGAAGAGTGAAAAGCGAGCATCTTGCTCTGCAATACCAATAAACACAAGGGCCAAAAAGGGGTTGGAGGTTGGGGGATGCAATATCAATTCATAAACAAAAAGATAGATAAATTTTCAAGAACATTAAGCTCCATGAAGGAGAAGGGAAACCAAATTTTGCAACCAAGATCAATCACGAGACATGAATAATCTGATTAAGAAAAAGAAGTCTAAGAAAGAAGTAACTCACCAGAGAAGCGAATTGAAAGCTGCAAGAAGAAAAGGGATAAAAAGCAAAATCGACTGCAGTACAGGCAGCAATGCAGGATGAGGATGCTATGAAAATGAAGTGAAAGGCTTTGGGGTTTTAGACCATTAGTTCTACCTTTAGGGTTTATGAGTTTATCAAATTTCGGTGGGTTTTCCACGGTTCCACCCCCTTCCAGTTGTTCTTGTTTTCCCTTCTTCCCGCACAAGAAGGTGTCGATTCTGAAATTCATTCAGGGAAAAAGAAAAGGAAACACAAAATAAAATAAAAGGGTACTCTTGTCATTTACCATTTCCGAACTCTTCCCAGTTCCCACATACACACAGGAAAATTCCAAAAGCTCTGCTGTATTGTGCTCTTTCTCGTTTGCTCCGTCAGAATCTTCAAATTCTCCCTCTCGTTTGCTCTGATGAATTTGTTCTCTTACTGGAAAACGGGAAATTCATTTCTTTCATTCTTCTTTTCCTGTTGGATTCATTTTGAATATCTTCGTGGAATTCGGGTTCAATGGCCAGCTTGCACCGGGAGTTTTCTTCCTTAGGCTATAATCTCGCGGAAATTAGGTTAAATCTTAATATCCAGAAGATTGCTGCTACTCGGGGATGCCCATTTTTGAAGATTTCGAGGCCTGCCGGAGTGGTAACGTCCAATTACACAATGCTCGTTATTCTGACATTATATTAGCTGGCGTTACTTCAGGTTTTTATTTTGTTTACCCTTCCGGTTGGTTCCCAAGTTTAGTACTTTATGATAGAAAAGGAGTGATCCAATGCAACTGCTTTGGCAGAGGAAGAAATACAGCATCTTTTTTCTTTTTTATAATTATTTTTGTCTGTTGATCAAGGGAGGTTTATTTATTTATTTTTTTCCCTAGTCAAGTGCTGGTACTATAGCATAATTCGATGTCGATTAACTGAGCCCTCAAAATATGCGTTATACTTTGGTTCATACATATGAGCTTCGTGTCTATCTGATCAAGCTTGTTCACAAAGTTTGAACTTTGAACATATTAGCTCCTTTCCTCTGTGTATTTCAGAACACTACATTTTGATGTGGGCATTTTTTACTATCACATCTTTTGTTACAAAGCTTTATTTGTCTCCAAAATCATCCATTAATCTCTTTAGAGTGACCACTGTTGGCCATCTTGCCAATTTTTGGTGTAAACCTTCATGAGAAGATTAATACTATCTGTCTTACTCTAGCTTTGTCTTGACGCGGCCCCACAAGTGACCCCTATAAATCTTCAATTGGGTAGTTGTACCGACTAGTACTTAGCAACAAGTTTGGATTATTGTTTAATTGCCTAATGGAAAAAATTTGCCATTTTGGTGATGTATGTTGATTTGATTTTTGTTGTTCAATTTTGCTGCCTCATGTCCTCACTTCTGTAGGAATTTTTGCGTAGTTCAACAAGGGGACAGAGAGCTCTTAAAGTTCCAAGTATACAGATGACGTTGGTAGATGAAAGGCTCATGGGCAAAAGAGCAATCGTGAAGCCTGCTGATATTCTGGTACTAGAATTGCTTCTTTCAAACTGCAATCTATGGAGAAGCGTGATTTTGTCTCCATTGTGTCCATGCGTAACTTGACAAAGGCGAATTTCTTTTGCAGGCATATGATCTTGTTCAAGGAGCTAATGTATGTTCTTGCCTTTTCTCTGATACCTGTAATTTATTACTGATATATGTATGCTATAATGATGCACCATGGGAACTGCATATCTTTCGCCATGTGTCTCTAATGATCTTATGGAATGCAATTCTGGAAAGTTTTTAGCTAGTCATGAGCATTCTTGAAGTTCTCATTGTGCTGTTCACGTGACCATACGGACAGGTGACTTGGAGTTATATTATGAACAGATCAGTCCCCGAGCCACCAACTGCTGTTCTCTTGCATGGCATTCTGGGAAGCAGGAAAAACTGGGGTAAGTAATATATTGTAGGTATCTTTCAAAGTCAATTTAAATCTATCCTTGAACTTGCTCTTGTTTGGATCTTTATTATCCTATAGTGTGGTTCCATCAAATAGTTGTGTTGACTAAAGCCAAATTTAGGTCAACATGATCAAGTTTAACATCTAACATAGACTTTTCAAAATTGTTGGTCCACCTGATTAGTAATTATCCATTGCCAGTTGTTGGTGTTGTCTACCAAAAGGGGGATTTAACCTAAGTGTCAGAGAATTCGAATTTCACATGAAATTTTTGTGGCGGTTATGAGTGCTTTGCACTTGGCTCCAAGTTGTGGTTCATTCCACCTGAGTTATGATACGAAGTTTCCATTTATTTGTAATACTTATATCCCTCGAACCTATCTACACATATTTTTTTTCACCATTTGGAGGTTAACTGGCTAAATGCCACCGTCATAGCAACGTAAATATGCCGAGGTTGACTGTTGACTAATCTTACTCTGCTGGGATTAATGGCAGGAACCTTCGCAAGGAGATTGGCTAAGGAATTTCCGAAATGGCAGGTGGGTAGGGGTTATCTGCTTCATTTCTTTTCTGTTGCCTTATTTTTGCTGCTTTTATAAACATGGCCTAATCATTTGTGTGGTCTCCTTTGGTCAATCATCTGCATTGTTGCCTGGCAGAAGCTGGTTATTTGATTCTCTGATGATCAGATTAATGCAATACTTATGTCCTTCTTTAAAGATAAAACAAGATACTCATTCCTGTAATTGATGGCTGAGCATGCATCAGTGCACTTGTTGGGAAAACGTAACCTAAAATTGACAATTTGGAGGGAACCGAATGGAATTTCTATTGACTAGTTCTGGAGAATATAGGCCTCTGTTTTCTTTTCATTGTTTGTGTTTGCTAGCTGACTATATATATATGGGGTAGTTGTTTAGGATCTATAAGTTTTTCCTCTTGTCATTTCTGTACTGATTTGTTCCCGTAAAACTTTGATATTAGTTAGTGAACTTTGATATCTTGACATCCTTTGATTTGGTTTTGCGGTTAGAGTTCAGAGATTGGTCTCCGTAGAGGATGCCTTTGTTTATACATGTTTTCAATTGTTCTTTTTTCGTTTTTCATGCTTTACCTTTCTGTTTCACGGTCCAATTGCGTACATCTAATACTGACTGGAAACGAAACTGTGCCAAACTTGTTTTTTAAGCACTTTAGAGTTCTGAAAATCTTACCATAATGTTGGTTGACCCAGTTTCTCTTGGTAGACCTAAGATGCCATGGTGATTCAACATCTATCCAAAAGAAGGGACCTCATACTGTTGCTGCAGCAGCTCTCGATGTCTTAAAGCTTGTATGTACTTTGGGCTATATCTATTTACATTAATGTACCCTTACTTCCTGTAACATGCAAAAGACACTAAATGACGCGTGATAGCTACGTGATAATCATTTGGATTGCGTTGGAATTTTTGGACCTAGACCTGTTGTGTCCATTGATTCTCTTAAATTTTATGTTAGCTAGATGTGGATTTCTGCAATTTGCTGATTTTTTAATACATATTCTTCTATTTGTGTAGCTTGGGCAGCTTAAACTAACTCCCCGTGTCGTAGTTGGTCATAGCTTTGGAGGGAAAGGTAGATTCTTTTTTCGCTCGAATGGTCTGGTTTAGAAATAATAGATTCTATGGAGCCTGATTCATTCTACACTCAGGTAGACGTGCTCTGGTTCGTGCACTGAAACTAATCTCATTTATTTGCAGTCGCCTTGAGCATGGTCGAGCAAGCTGCAAAACCTCTTGCCCGACCTGTGAGAGTATGTCATCTGATTCCCATCATTTGTGAAATAAATTTTACAATGTTGTCCAATCTCTCAACTCCATTGGCTTTCAGGTTTGGGTTCTAGATTCCACCCCTGGAAAAGTTCGAGCTGGTGGAGATGGAGATGACCATCCTGCTGAACTAATTACTTTTCTGAGTAGATTGCCTTCTGAGGTGAGTGCACTCTTATTTGTAACTGTTCTTCTGAGCTATGTAGAGTCAATGAACTTTTCAGCTCGAAGCTATGAGGATAATTAATGGTAATGGGGATGAATGGATGATTTCTTTTGTGCTTTTTATCGGATATGTATGACTCTATCTACCTCGTCCTTTTAATTCTTTTCATATTGGTATTTGGTGTGTGTAATGCTGATTTCAATTTATGATATGTTCACAATTTATTCAAAGCTAGATTTCTTCCAAAAGGGATGTTGTGGATGCTTTAGTTCAGGAAGGTTTCTCAAATGATGTGGCACAGGTAGAATTTACATTCCTTTCAGCGATCTTGTTAATACTGCCTAGGCTGTCAGCATCAATCCAATAGCATTTTTAGGCTTAATGTGTTGAAAGTTGTATATTGATTTGTGACCTCTGTTCATATGAAAGACTCGTTTATGTTTTGTATCCAACAAAAATGCTGTGACAATCTTGTTTGGCTTTTCCATGCCTGACCTTTGTAATGATGTTGCATTGCTAGTGGGTGGTAACTAATCTGCGGCAAGGAGGCCCTCCCGGTTCATCATCATCCAGCTTCTCTTGGATATTTGATCTCAACGGTATTTCTGAAATGTACAAGTCATATGAAGAAACTAACATGTGGTACAGTTTCCCCTTTCTCATTCATCAAATGAATCAAATGTTGTCACCATGTTGTCTCATTGTTCCTAGAATTATTTTTGTTTCATGACATACATACAACATAGTTATGTTGCTTGAATAATGTGAAATATTCTTGATGTCTAGGTCCGCATCAAACATTGTTGTCATGTGACTTAGATAAGTTTAGTATATGTGAACCTTCATTGAGAGCATGTTACTCTATGAGACACTCTTCTGGCTGTTGCGTTTGTCAAGTTGTAACCCTTGCATAACTTTTTCTTGTCTGCGAATCCATGCAGGAAACTTGTGGAAGATGTACCTCGTGGTGTACATGTAAATTTTTTAAAAGCTGAGAGAAGTTTACACCGGTGGGCCCTCGAAGATCTTCAGAGAATTCATGCGGCTGAGGAGCAAGCGGCTGAAGAGGGAGGCGGAGTTGAAATGCATGTATTGGAAGATGCAGGTCATTGGGTAAGTTGCAACATCAGCTCACAATTTATCAGGTTTAGGTTTCTTCCGTCTTGAATACATCTTCTTGATGTCATACCAACCATGCAACAGGTACATGCTGATAATCCGGACGGGTTGTTCAAGATTCTTTCATTCTCATTCCAAGGATTCTAGGCGGCAATGATTTTTTTTCTGCTTCAAACTAATAGAACACCTTTTCAAATTGCACAAAATTTTTTTTCTAGTTTTTGCCCATCTTGTAATTTGTTATCCATATTCGATGAGTGTACCATTATTTTTTTTCCCCCAATTGGAAATCCAATTATGAAGCCTGTAATGAAACTCCTGTAAACTTGGTGTACACATATACTTACATTCCTTTTTACCAGCACATTAGTAAACATTATTCTATTTGCTTCGGATGAGCGCCATGCAATTAGTCATTTTATATACTCCATCAGTTCTTATTTGTGAAGTACTCCACAGTGTAAGTCAAAATGATTGCCTCTAACCTGAATTATCCTTTTGCCAGTCAAAAATCAAAATGGTATTAAAGCTGAATTCCAAAGAGGAGAGTGGTGAATACCAAAATCTACTGTTTCCTAAGCCTACTGTTTATTTAGTTGGGGAAAAAAATAAATAAATAAATAAATAAAAAGAGAAATGAGGCAGTCTGAGCTGATGAGTTGACTTGGAAGACTTCGTACAGATTATCTAGAACAGAAGGTAGTAGCTGATGAGTTGCCAAATGCTAAACTTCACTTTCCTTTCTTTTGAATTATATTTCTACCTTCTCCTCAATTATTTGCCTTCTTTATCGGTCCATGCATTTGGTCAAAGTTGGCACCTTTTGAAGATGCTCTTCTTTCTTCTTCTCCTTCCCTAACTTATTTTGACATTTAATCCAATAAAGTTCTTCATTTTCTGTTGATGGTTTCCGGAAATCTTCCAAGCTAGTTGAGATTGATTGAACCCACAAGGGAAATCATAATTACAAAGACAATGGATGATCTGCCGCAGGAAATTGTGGGGGACATCCTGTTGAGGTTGCCGGTGGAATCGCTGATGAGGCTTTGCTGTGTAAGTAAGAAGCTGAATGAATTCATCAAAAGTTCTTATTTTGTTGATTTGCACTCTACTATTGACCGATACCGCGTGCTCCTCCTCAAAGGGCGGCGCAGGCGGCGCCGGTGGTGGAATTTTGATGATACTAATTTTGTGAAGAGGATGTTATGCATTTGCCCCCTTGATGGCCTTGTAGATAATAATACTAATACTAATAATAATAATGATGATGACGTTGACCATCTATCTGCGCCAGTTAATTTAGCCTTGCCTTTTCCTGCTGGATTTGTTGTGAGATTATTTGGTTCCTGCAATGGAATTGTATGCATCTCTGTTTGTTCCAGGATTTATTTGTGCAATCCCACCACCAGGAAATTCATGGCTCTCCCTGATTCCAGTTTTTCTTCTAATTATGCAATCACTCATGGGGTCGGTTTTGGTTTTGATGCTTCTAGTGACAATTATTATGTGATTAGGTTAGTTTGGTTCCTCGGGGCCTTGAAACTTGATGCTTCAACCATTCACCATGATTTTGAGATCTCCAGTTTGCTTACCGATAAGCCAATATCATTAAGTCAGGAGGAACTGGGTTCATTCTCATCATCTGATCAAGGGATATTTGCTCAGGGTTGGCCAACCGTAGGTGCTGAAATGTATAGTTTGAATACCAATTCTTGGAGGAAACTTGATGTAGTTTTACCTCATATTGATGAGCGGAACAGTGCTGCTGTTCTTGAGGGAAGGTACTTCCATTGGTGCACCAGGTCTCGTAGTATTCTTTGCTTTGATGTGACGAGTTTGGGATTTCGTCAAATGGTTATACCTAGAGATGCCCCGTCAGAGGTTGACAGGGTCACCTCCACATGGAATGTTGGCGTGTTGTATGATTCCCTTGCGTTTTTGTTCTTGTCGGGTATGAATGTCGAGGTGTGGATGATGGAGGGCTATGGGAATAGGAACGGGATGGAAGAGGGTTGGGTGAAGAGATACTCGATAGGATGTCCTATGCCGAGTATTAGTATTCCTTCTATATCGTGCTGGAATGATGGGAAGCTTTTCATAGTAGCGAGCAATGAAGAGTTGATTTCCTACCATCTGAAGGATGACGGTAGCAACCGTGGTAGAGTGATTAAGGAATACGGTTCCATCTGCCGAGCTCCTAATTATTCGCTGTCATACTTAGTTTACCGGGAAAGTTTGGTTTCTCTTGACAGAGGACATGCTGGTACACCGTGGCGCAATATGTGATTAGTTGTCTAATTAAACTGTGCTTTGAAATCAATATTTTAGTTTTGTGAACTTGTGTAAAATTCATGCGTGGGAGCTGGAACTTTTGGCATTGGTTATGTGTGATTAATGATTAGAAACAAGTGTTTTATGTATTTTCATTTGAACTCGATGTTCTTGTTGCATGTATTCGGTTTCCTAGAAACCATCAGGGAGCTTCATTTGCGTTTTGATTGGAGGCGAACCTGAATGCTTGTCATGCTTCAGAGATGGCTTTCAATGCGTGATGATGCTCGGAGTGGTTTATTTTGGGTGGAATTTTGAACTGTGTACGATTGTATCGTCCTTACATTGTCGAACGAAAAGATTGGATGTTTCTCTTACGAACTCACAAGACTCTGTTGCTGCAAATGAAAAGGGGATCGCAAATGAAACTGGAGGTTGAAGTTTTTATACCAGAAAAATGAAGCATATGCTTCTTGAGATTTATTACAAATTTGTTAAGGTATTCGTGACATACATACGTTCTTCAACAACTCACTCTTGAATATCATCCAGCTCTATCTTGTTGCAAAAGCGCAAAACTTTACCTAGGAATCTGCAAAAACTCTTGGCAAATTCATCTTACCAGGCAACTCTCTCACAGCAATATGAAGGTGCAAAAAACGTACGGGACGTTGTGGCAACACCATCAGCAACTAAAGCCTTTCTCTTACTATATGAATGGCCGAATATTTGAATCAAGTTTCGGCCAAAACAATCTGCAAAAAAATAAAGCCTCCGACAAAGTTTTTATGCAACCCGTACAGCTAAATTTGTGGCAGGAACCAATAACTTGGATATAACTCCATCGCCCTCTTCTTGCTTCGACTCATGTGTGGAGGAGATGGAACTAGAAGAAGAAGAAGAAGCAGACCATTTCATCTGCATAAAACTCCTCTTTCTCCATGGACCCAAATGCATTTTGTTCTCAGATGTAGACCTTTTAGCTGCCTCACACATGACACGAACAATCGCATCTAAATGCTCAGCCTTTCCTATGTAGGTTGGTGGGAGTAAGTTCACTAGATTGTTATACTCCTTGCATGCTTTGGCCATCTTGAACTCATCCTTGAATTCGACTTCGATTATGAACTTGATTCTCCGCTTCCTCCCTTGCGTGCTTACGATCACTTCGATGTATTCGTGTTTCCCTGAAATCAAAGAATCATCCATCATCATTTCATATACATTACCTTTGGAATTGGAGGGAAGGCGAAAAAATGAGAGTTAATATATAGACCATACCTCCAGGAACTGTGGGTGTTTTCTTCCAGGAGGAGGTGACTAAGGTTGCATGAAAACCCTTCTTACACAGCAGATTCACAACTTGTCTCCTCAAACAATTGGAGCAGCAATCATCTAAATTTGGGTCCACCATGCATTCACAAAATTTAGCATTCTTAGATAACTCTATGTGCCTCCTCAGCTCATCTCTCAATTTGGAGTAATTTGACTTGTATTGCTCCAATATCTCCTGCCAATTTTTATTTTTGTTTTTCTTCTCAGCTATATAGAAACAGAAATAAATACTTTAGAGTTCAATTTGTGTATTACCCACACTAGTTTTTTTTTTTTTTCAAGGAAAGTTAGGTTTGGTGGATCCAAAGAGCATATACTTGTTCTCGAACATCGGATATTTCTCCGAAGCAAACACTAAAATTATTATTTCAAAAAAAAAAGAAAACACAGAGCTTAAGCTGGGAAAAATGATTGAACGCCACATAAATAATAATATATGGTTGTCCCCAATTGTCACCTAATCTCAAATGTATAACATATGTCAATTCTGTCAATCAAAGATATATTTCAATATTAGCCCAACAAAAAAAAAAGTAGAGTTTATATGTATTTCATTATTTGTGGTGTCCTCCACTCTTGACCATGCAATTTTATTTTATTTATTCTTTAAAGTTGTTTGGTTTGGACCAAAACCACAACTATATCCACATATTCTTCCGACTCAACTTTGTTGGTATTCACAGCCACAATTGCTGATATTCATCACGAGTACGGAACAAAATCACAAAATATTAACAAGAAAATGACATAGAGTAGAAATTAAATAATATCAAAGACAAGTGGGGGAAAGAAATAAAGATCAAAAGATTTTTTTGTTCTTGTTAAATACTCTTTTGTCACAAAATGAAGTAACAAACAAAATAATTATTTCAAAATTGAAATAGAATTTTCCGGTACATAAATTCAGAAAAATCTAAAATGCATTGTTTTTTCCTTTCATTGAATTCAAGAGCTAATTGTTGGATGTATGTTAGTTAATGATCATTAGTATCAATCACAAAGAATAATAAATTTGAGTTAATATGGATTGTAATGGAACTAATGAGTGTTCAAGAAAAAAGCACTGCAATCATTAAAGAAAATAATCAAACGCTGTATATGAATTATTAATTTCCATAGTCAATTAATTATTGGTTTCTTAATTTAATTATATAACCCTTCTTCCTCCCCCTTTCTTTCATTCCTTTCTAATAACCAACCCACCTCCAAACACATTACATAAAATTTCCAACTTCTGATTAACCAACAAAAAAAAAAACAAGAAAAAATTAATACTTTGATAATTGAATAAAAACGTGAAGAAGGAAATTGATAGCTTGGAGAAATGTTTGTAGACATAATTGATTACCTCAAGCAAAGATTGTTGCGACTCCCAAAACATTGTTCTCTCCATTGATGAAGCCTCCTCCTCCTCCTCCTCCTCTTGTTGATCATGAAAAGCTTTGAATTGTTGATCACCTTGGATATGAGAATTGGAATGATGATCATCGCCGTCAAATTGGGCCACATGATGATTATGAAACAAGAATGATGTATGGTCATGATCATCATCCTGTCTGATAAGATGAGTTTTCTGATGATTTTGGAGAAGCAGCCTGCGAGCAAAGTCACCAACACCACCACCACCTCCACCCCTCATGTTATAATTTGTGTTTGTTTTGATATGCATCATCAACGGAGGAGGGAGAAATGATGGGGGGAAAAGAAAGAGAAGAGGAGATGAGAAGAGGAGAAATGTTGGGAAATTTTTTTTTGTTTTCCAAAGAGCTGTTCTTTCATGGGTAGACTATATTTATACTCTTGTGTTGCCCACCTCAAACGTATACAATTTAATAGTACAATAAACAATTTTCTTCATTTATTTCACAAAATTAAAAAAAAATAAAATTTACTCAATAAATGAGTAGATCTGTCACCCTCTTGAAAGTTGGAACTTTGGAACATGGTTATAAAATTGAAAACGCAAGATGTGTGTGGATATTTGAAGAAATTTCTTCTTCTTCTTCTTCACCATTAAATTTTTCTTTACACTAATTGTCATTTAGAAACGTGTCATTATTAATTTATTGTGGTGAAGTGATCATGATTTAAATAAATATATCTCTTCTTGTTTTTCTCAAAATGAAACTATTTAAATGGACGGAGATGGATATACTTTAAATTAAGTGGATCGTGCATATGGAAATGGAATGTTTTGACGAATTAATTCCTCATCGTTAATAAAATATTTTATCAGTGCAATAGCCCATGATTGAGTTGATAAAGGACATGTACATAAACATTTATGTATACATATGTATTATAAAAGAAACTGCATTAAACTTTTTGCAAAAACTAAAATCTTGATATAAAATCAAATTGAATGGGCGGTTAAAAATTTCATTTTAATAAGTATCTCAAAATGGTATTATGTAATCACGTTTTTTTTTTCAATAAATATAGTAATATGTAGGTGTCCCATATTGATGTTTGTTAAAACATAAATATGATTTTTGTGTGAATGGGGGGGCTATTTAATTTCTATAGTATGTACTTCTTTTTGTTAGATATGATTATACCTTTTATTCAAAATCATATAAATTGTATCTTTAAATCGACTTAAATGATTTGATGTATTCGAAATCCTACAAGTAAGTGTATCATCGTTAACAATCTATAATACTAACTATTATTCATTACAATGTATAATTTATTATTAGTCAAATGAAATTTTTGGCCTTTTAATAATGAATCATTAAGCAATTTCCAAAGTCAATAAAGTTTCAAATTGGGTATATCAATTATTTTAACTTTATAAAATTACAGCTCATTTTGAATTCTTCAAAGTATCAAACTAGTTAGCCCAATCAATGGGCCAAAGATCCAAAAAGTGTAGTCCTCAAATATCTTCAACATTGTCATTTGATTTAGTCGAAAGGCTTTAAAAGCCCAATTATATGTTTGGGTGACTATAACACATCTATCAGCAGAAGAATATATAAGATGGAAGGTTATGCCCATAAAAAATGTTCAAATTTTTTTTAAAATGTGACATGTAAAACTCTTTGTGTTGCCAAGCTGTAATTTCTTTCTTAATTTCTTAAAATTTTCATTGTACACTTCTTTCCTAATTTCTTGCCAGACACAGGGGCATCAATTTCAATAGTTCTCTAAAGCAGATTGTGAAAATCATCACATAAGAATTTCTCAATGTGAAGTCCGGATAAGTGACTTTGGTTTTCTCGTGAATTAACACATATGTCAATTGTATATATGTGGAAAGCGCTCCGAGAAAGATACGCTCTTGTGCTTTTATTATATTGATTTTTCTAACTTTGTTAACTTACCGTAGATTCTCGAGCTAAGCCAGCTTTTCTCGAACTTGAGGAGAATTTGTGTTATCAAACCTACATTTTATTTAGACTTCAAAATGTAGTCTTAATAAGGGATACTTGACAAGGATAAATTAATAGGTATGTGGTCGAGGCCAGCCCAAGTTCAAGTATTAGGTCAACCTATGTCTTGGAAGCTTTTAGGACGGTTCAGTGATTATTTTTCTACTAAGAAATGGTCTCAAAATCAGGTAACTCTAGCACTATATAACCTTTCACATTAAAGGTACGGGCTACTAATTACAATCTTATGTATTTATTATTATTTTAGAACATTACTAACTTAAGTATAGGAGAGTCTCATAACTGACTTAAGCATTGGAGAATCTACCGTCGGGAGATCCCGAAACTCTGTCTTGCAAGTTCTAGGTTTTCGACGACGTCACGGCCATCGATGCAATCAACCGGAGACGTCGGTATGGATTTCACTTTCGTCACATCCACTTAATTAATAAATTTAATGTAAAAAGTCATAATCCTCATCAAAGAGCAAAATAAAACCAACTTGCATTAGCACAGATATGCATTCTTCATGATTGCTGCAGGAGGAGTATTGTCGCACTTCCTTTTCCATGAACAACTGCTACACATTACAAGGGGACTAAGCGGAATCCTCGGCTGGTCGGAGAGCCCCTTAAGGGTGTTCATTATTGACCTCTCATCATCTATGTCCAGCCATTTATATCGACCATTAGTACGTAGTCAGCCCCTCCAAATCTGAATAGATGTTCCACCAAGAATACTTCAACACACATTTTCTGCATAAAAACTACCTATAAAGGCGATCTTGAAAGGCGGAAAATGATGGAAATCACGTACGCATTGTAAAACCGTAACTGTTAGATACCTCAACTTGATCCATTCTTTTCAAAAGTACTCGTGAGCTTCCATAGCGGAAGAGTACACATATCCCGCAAAGATTTCTTTGTGTTTGAAAAGCTTTAATATGATAAGACATGTTCATGAAAGTGAATGTTCTCTGCACCTGCCAACAGCAATGAACATACAGTAGTTGAGTTTGATGACATGAAATGATGACATGTAGGCATGCTTATGTGCAATGGTGAACAAAGGGAAATAAAAGAATTGGATTTTTAGGCACTCACAAGTTAGATTCGAAAAGAGCAGCAAGCAACTGCTAATGAAATTGAAATTCTTTGAGCAATCTTCTTGAGCCACTCTGAGTAAGTTCCTTCAAACCGGTTGTATGAAAGAAGTGGACAGTCAGATGATCAAAGTTTGTAAGTTGGTGAGGTGTTTCATTGCTTCCGCGGAGGGAAATTGCTTGAGATGTTTACAGCTCAAAATTTGCAACCTCTGAAGACGTCCCAAGTTCCCCAACAACCCTAAAAGTCAACCCATCAAAATGACTTTGGAAGTGTCGTCCCCAATTCACCTCTTCTCGAATTTGAATTCTCCTTTTACTGCCTTGCTCTGTTACCAATTCTTACTTCTGACCTCTTTTATTGTTTTAGAAAAAATCACAAGGTGACATAAGACTCGTTTTATCAAAGACCAACATACAATATTGTGAAATGAAAATTCTCTAAATTACTCTCAATATTTTTTCTTAATTGAATAGTTTTAAATTAATTACTAGTATTCCAACCATTCACTAACCAAGCTAACCCCATAGACTACTTGCTACGACATATCATAATGATTTGAGCTGCCCTAGTACACTGATAGAAGGTTATGCCCGTAAAAAATATTTAAAATTTTCTTAAAATGTGGGATGTATCAAAAGAAGGTTTTAGACGCTCATAGAGAGAGCACACCATACATCAAGGAATATTTTGATATAAATGGAACATTTTGACGAATCAATTCCTCCTCATTAATAAAATGTTTTATCAGTGTGATAGCCCATGATTGAGTTGATAAAGTATCTTTTATTGAATATAGAAGGATATCTATGTTGATATTAAAAAAAAAAAAAAAACTACAAATATATACATCAACTTGAATTGGTGACAAATAATAACAAGCACCTAGGTATACTTTGCAAGGTGTACCTCATTGGCATGTGTAATACACTTTCCTTCTACACAAGTTGATTTATTTTTTTTTCTTAATTTTCAGTTATACGCACATTAGATCCTCCAATTTTCGTCCCATTTTTTTTCACACATTTAATTTTAAACCGTTTTCTTTTTTGCTTATCCTGTTATCTTTTATATTATTTTATTTTATGAGAAAATTTTTTATATCTATGGATTTTATTTGCGTAAAGTTGAATATGATTCATCATCGAGACTTATAAATCCGAAGAATCAATTGGAGAATTTGAACTGATTATCAATGAAATCTGGAGAATTAAGCGTCAAATATGGAAGATTTTAATAGATAATGATGTTTGTTCGGATAAATAATAGTATTCTTGTCGATGAATAATGATAATATTGTGGATGAATAATGGTATTCTTATAGTGACAAAGTTATGGATAAATAAATTTAAAATTTTGAAATGAATATAGATATCTACAAAGATGAATAACGAAGCAAATGTTGATGAATAATGATCCCATCCAAGATGAATAACAATAATAAAATGAAGAATAGATATATATATATATATATATATATATTTGCATGATGAATACACATATCTATGAAATGAATAACACATATTCAAACGATGAATGACATATATTTACAAGATGAATAACACTATTTTACATTATTAATAACACTAGTCATTGTTTTTAACATATACGGTCTTGAATGATTCGCCGATGCTCAACACCTATATGTTGATTGTTTGATTTCAGCAACTCTGCCAAATATTTAATTCCCGATCGATCGAGTTCATCTTGATGAGCATTTCTTTGCCGTTGATCAAACAAAAAAAAACATTATAATAAGTGAGATTTCACATTCAATCAAAACTCTGTTAATCATCAATACAATGCTATTGAAGATAAATAATCATTTTGAAAATGATGAATAAACATTAAAATCACATAAATCGAATCCAGTTGATAACAATCGTGTACGGTACATATTACATGATTAATAACATAACTGGTGATGAATGACATAAATTTGTATGATGAATACACATATCTACAGAATGAATAACACATGTTCAAACGATGAATGACATATATTGACAGGATGAATAACACTATTTTACAATATTAATGACACATATTTACAATTGTGTACAATCACATACTACATGATGAACAACATCACTTGTAGTTTGTATCACAATTAGAACGAATAACTAAGCAAAAATAATGAATAACTAGAAATAGATGATGAATAAACATTTCACAGAAGAAGAAAACATGACTAAAATAACCCAAAATTGATAATGAATAATGATATTAAGATGATGAATAACCGCCAGAAATAGATAATGATGTCAAAATCTAATTTCTAAAATCAACCACAAATTGATGAAGAAAACTAAAACATTAATGAACTAACATGTTTTAAAGATGAATAATGATATTAAACTGATGAACAAAGCTTAGATCTATTAAGCTGATGAACAACACCTAGATCTATTAATCTTTTTCAAAATTCACCGGACAAAACACAAAACAGATGAATAATCTCAAATCTTACCATAATTCTCATGTTCAATAGCGTATATTGCAACCAAACTCACGGGATTTGATGCGCAATCGGATTTCGTCTTTAAAAATACCGCCGACGAGAGGTTTTGATACTAAATCGCTGCAGAGAATATTATGTTTTTTAGATTTTTTTAGTTTGAGACGTCTTTGAATTGGAATAAGAAGTTAGATGGATATGATTAATGATGGCTGAAAATTAAGAGAGATATTAAGAAATAAAAAATTTGAAAAGTCTTTTTTTTTACCATATTTTTAAGCGCATAAATTTCAAATTAGATACACCTTGAGCTTTATATTATAACTGACTACTGCTCTTGCACTTCAGACTTCAAGTTCAAACTTCAAACCCTCCTCAACTCAATTATTGTACTATACATAGCCCTCGTTACTGTACAGTAAATTTAAAGCTTCAATCATTGTGTCCTCTTATATTGTACAGCTAACCACTCCACTCCAATAATTGTTACTCTTTTTATTTATTTATTTATTTATTTTGAAAAAATTTGGTCGTCTTCGGTCCAAGGTTTGAGGAACTAAAATGACGTCATCCCAAACTATGTCAAAAGTTTTTTTTTTTTTTTGGAGTAGTAGTAGTATTCTTGATGATCATAATTGATGACCTGTGATCTTTTTATTTATTTATTTTTACCGTATCGGTTTCAAAAAAATAGTCTAATTTATAAAACTATAGTAAAATTTACCAATTAAGTATGACTATTTTCTTTTAGTAGGGAAAGAATAGTATTTTAAGTTGATGAATTACTTTAACGTCTTTTATATAAGACCAAGATGAACACATTCATGTAATTCCTAAATATTGAGTTTCTCGACTTCAACTTTAAGAGACCAAAATAACATCATTATTGCAATTCTTTTTTCTTTTTCTTTTTTTTGGTTAACATTATTGTAATTCTTCCATGGAGTAGGCTCATCACGCATGGAATGGAATTATTAATCTTCCTTCTCCCCTGTTGCGCCTGAGAAATGAACTCCCCTACTTGATAGAATTGGCTCCTCATCTTCTTCCTTATTGGAATAATAACTCCCAATTCCACCCTGATCCATACAACAAGTTTCAACTGCGAGTTTGATCATTTTCAGCCTATTCACAATGTCCCTCATGTTGATCCTGTCTTGTGGCGAATCAACCAAACAATTTAGTCCCACATGAAAGATAGACATTAGGCATTCTTCTTCCACCTCTTTGTATCCTGCTGCCTTCCTCTTCTTCATGCTGCCTTCTTCCTCTTTGTTGCCACTCAAATTGCTGTCAACAATGGCCACTACGGCGTTTTCTTGGATCGCTTTCTTCACCCACTGCTTCAGATTTGAGGGTTCTTCTTCTGCTCCTCCGAAATCATCTGTTGGCTTTTTCCTTGTGAACGTTTCTATCAACACTATACCATAACTGTACACATCTCCACTTGTGCTCACAATGCCTTCTGTTCCATACTCTATTATATGATGTAGTTCATGTTAAAAATCAGGCCAGAAATGAAAAGCAAAAAAATCAAAATGGAAAAAATGAGAACATGCGTACGTATGTATTACCTGGTGCCATGTAACCAAAAGTAGCTAAAGTTCTTGTTTGCGCCACGCTTTCCCCTTCACCAAAAAGCTTAGCGATTCCGAAATCACACACGTGTGCGACCATATCTTCATCCAGCAGGATGTTACTAGGCTTCAAATCACAATGAACCACTGGAAATGTGTGATAGAAGTGAAGGTACTCCAGAGCCGAGGCAACATCAATCATGATGTCCAGTCTCTGTAGTATGTCCAGCGAACAATCCTGTCCCGGATACAACCAGTTCTCCAGGCTGCCATTGGGCATGTACTCCAGGACCAAGGCTTTGAACTGTGGTTGGGGAGGATCGAAATTGACACAACATGAGCTGATGATTTTGATCAAGTTACGATGGCGAATACTTGCCAGCACTTTGCATTCTGCTGCAAAACTCTTAGATATTGTTCCATCATGATCATCATCCCATTGCAAATTGAATACTTTTATCGCCAAGACTGATCCATCAGGAAATGTGCCTCTGTAAACAGAACCAAAGCTTCCGGCTCCAATTAGGTTATTTTCGCTAAATGAATCTGTTGCTCTTAACAGATCAACATAAGAAATTCTTCTCCATTGAGGAAAGTCCAAACGTGTTTTATTTTCATCCATTGCTTGTTCAACCGTCCGAGCAACTCCATATTTTTTTCTTCTCCACAGAACTGCTACTAGGACGAGGATACCGAGAATAGCGATAACTGGAAAAATGTAAATAAGTGGAGAAAGAACTTTCCTTAGCCTGGATTTGGATTTGGTTTTTGATTCGCATGCCGGAAAGTGGAGCCTAACAGCGCCGCAAAGTGCATAGTTGTGCAGAAATGATTGAGCTGTGAAGTTGGCAAACGGTCCACCAGTTGGAACTTCACCTTCTAGTCCGTTGTATGAAACGTTGAAGTATTTCATGTACTCAAGCTTCTCCAATGACTTCGGTATTGACCCGGACAAACCATTACGCGATAGATCCAAGTATTCCAAACTCAATAAACTTCCAAGAGATTCAGGAATTTTACCCTCAAACTTATTTTGAGCCAATGACAGATAAACCAGTGATTCAGTGCTTCCAAGTGAAGTTGGAATTGTACCTGATAATTGGTTCCCTGACAAGTCCAGCTGCGTTATGACTTCCCATTTGCCTATCTCTGATGGTAGCTGTCCAGTCAACGAGTTTAAAGACAGATTCAGACCTAAGAGATCTTTGAGGCCCCACAAACTGGATGGAATCTTGGAACTCAAATTGTTGGAGTGCAGATAGATTGCTCTCAAAGATTTGAGTTCACCCAGGCATTCGGGTATTGAGCCAGATAGCATATTTTCATTCACATATAAGTCACCTAGATTCTTCAGATTGCAAATCTCATCAGGGATCTTCCCTTGCAGCCTGTTATGTTCGAGATATATACGCTCAACCCGAGTTAATTTCCCAATCGTTGATGGAATAGATCCAGTCAAATCATTGTTGTCAAAATATATGGATTCCAGGCTGCTCAAATTTCCAATTTCACTTGGAATTGTACCCTTGATCATGCTACCAAAGGCTTTGAACTCTTGAAGTGATACAGAAAAGTTTCCAAGTGATCTCGGAAGGAAACCGTGGAACTGATTCTCGGATAATTCCACCAAATCCAATTGTCTGCAATGTGTGAATGAAGTTATAAATGTCAATTCTGGTGTTGAAGCTTCTCTTGTAAAATTGTTGCCTCCTAGAAGAATCCTCCTCAGGAATTGCAAGTTGCCGAGCGTATGAGGTACGGGACCTGAAAAAGAATTGTATACCATGGCCATTATTGTAATCTTCGAAGCATTGGATATATAGCTTGGTAACATTCCGCTGAATTCATTTTCACTCAGATAAATCTCCTGTAGCTCTGGAAGTGTAATCCACATGTTCTGAGGTAGTGCACCTGAGAGGCGATTCGACATTAAGCTCATATATGTCAGCGATGACATATTGAAGATCCCTGGTGGAATGGTTCCTGATAGATTGTTATTGTCGAAAGAAAACTTGCCAAGATTCACACGGTTTCCGAATTCAATGGGTAATTCACCTGCCAAAAAATAAAAAATAAAAAAGAGGCACTCAGAACTGTTGTGATCATTTCCAAAACTTCTAACTTTGTAAGATTATCACGCTTCACGAAGCATAAAAGAATGATATTATAGTACCTGTCAACTGATTATCGTTTAACATTAGTTGTTGAAGCAGAGTGAGATTCCCAATTCCCTTGGAAACATCACCTGTGAAGTTGTTCTTGGATAAATCTAGGACTAAAAGAGTCTTGCAGTTCCATATGCAGGAAGGGATGGAGCCATTGAGACGGTTGTCTGAAAGATCCATCCACTGAATTCCGGGAAGATCGCATACCATATTCAACAGAAAGCTTCCAGATAAGCTGTTGTTAGACAAGTCAATTTGTCTGAGAGATGATAAGTTGAAGACCGATAATGGAATTCTGCCTGTTAATAAGCTACTTCTTATGCTCAGTTCCTCCAACAGAGTGAGATTACCAAGCTCTGATGGAATCCGGCCTGTGAACACATAACAAACAAAGATAATAATATTGGCCATGAAAGCACTAATTCAGGTTGCACTGTTTGAGAAAAGATGAGCCAACTCTGTGTTTTCACCTGCTAATTTGTTTCCACCAATATATAACCTCTTGAGCTTACTCAACAGCCCAATTGTTCGCGGAATTGTGCCATTGAATTCGTTGTAAGACAGTGACAAATCCTCAATATTCCTGCACCTGTAAAGTTCTAATGGAATTTCACCTTGAAGATGATTAAAGGATAGATAAATCCCTTTGAGTTTTGATTGATGGCTTGTTGTGCACATCCCCCTTGGGAGGGTACCTACTAACCTATTCTGTGAAAGGACAAGTGTTTCCAAAGAAGGCATGCCATAAATTCCCGGTGGTACAGAACCAGTAAACTGATTATATCCCAAAAATAATACCCTCAAGTTAGTAAGATTGGAGATTGATGTTGGGATACTTCCTTCAAGAAGATTATAGCCCAAATCCAAACTCTCCAGCTTTGACATATTGGAAGAAAATATGGAGCTTGGAACGATACCTGTGAAGTTGTTATTCCCAAGATGAAGCAACTGAAGCTGTGACAAGGTTCCGAAACTAGACAGGATTTCGCCAGAAAGATTATTAGATCCCAAATTCATCTGTTTCAGGCCATGCAAGTTGCCCAACTCAGTTGGAAGAGAGCCAGAGAAATTGTTGAGGCTGATATCCAAGGACGTGAGGAATGTTAAGTTTCCTATGAAGGGTGAAATTGTTCCTTCTAGGCCATAGCCTGAGATGTTCAGAGATGATATAATAACCCTTTTCTGGAGGAGGCTGCAAGTGACACCTAACCAGCTGCATGGATCAGTGGTGGAGGACCAGTTCCTGGAAAAGATCGCCTGAGGGTCTGAAGTTATACGGTTTTTGAACTCAGAAAGTGCCAACTTTTCATCAGTACTGATGAGAGGTTGGAGAGCCACAGGAACTGCCATCAAGAGTGCGCTAAACAGGAAACAGATTCCAGCCATTGCAACTTTGCAAGTATGAATATTCCAGTATTTTCATTCAGAATTGGTGCATCATCGTACTAAACTTACTAAAACCAATTTATTCAAGAATGTCAGATATTTCGAGTCGGTGTGGAATTGTTTCGGTGTAATTTTTATTTTTTTTTTGTTTTTTCCCGTCAAAGAAGCAAAAGTTGAACCATTTTTTCTCATATAACATTAAGGATGCTGCCCCAGAAATGGGGTCAGGGTTAGTTTTCAAAGCATTCATTTTGACATGGATTGGGAGCCTAACTATGCAATGCGCGTTTCACCTAGTTGTGTGCAGTTATAAGTTAGAATTACAACTGCTCTCTCACCTAGTTCTTTTCATTCATTTTAGAAAGATGGTCTCCGTCTCAAAAGTGACAACCAAAGATGATAAAATGCAATAAAAGATAGTACACCTCTCTCCATCAATGCTTTTCTGGCCCCAATTTCTTTGACATTAACCTTACCCTGAGTCTCTTCTTTATGATAATCTTCCATTTGTATTTTTAGGATGGATTGGATGAGAAAGCAAAATGCCCCACTCTGAAAAATAGTTTGATCATGTCTACGGTCAAATTGGTGCCCTCATTTTGACGCGTTCTTCCCATAATAAGAAATCTAGCAATTCCTCAGCTTTCAAGTCATCACTTCATTCGTACTGCAATAATGATCCCTTCTCATCTATACTAACATATCAAGATCAGGTAGATGGACAAAATGAGAGAATCTCCCCTGATAACAGTGGAAACGTTTCAGCAACTTGCATTAGATTCAATTTTGAGAACATTTTATGCAGGAAGAATAAATGCACAAGGAAATGTGAGGGTATACAATTCATTCATCTGCCTACAACTCTGTTAGTTACATATCATCAATATTCAAGACATACAACAATCGGCAATGCTTGAACATTAACATTATGTCCATTTCATCATATAAAAACTGTGCCAGGCATCTATGAAATGAATACTACTTCTCTTTTCAGTTGAAAGCATTTGAAACGGAGTAAATGAAGTCCAAGAACCCGGTTCCCTTGAGGAGACCTTTACCAGTTAATAGCTCGAAGTCCAATAGCAGAAGAAAACCAATAACGGCAGCCTTTCCATTTATCAATTCGTTTTTCCCGGTAAAACCAAACCCTTCTGAATCCTCATCCACCACCATTCGTACCTGAGACAAACAAAACCAGCATATTAAGATAGGTGTTTGCTCCCATATACCAACTCGCTAACAACTGAATGCTCTAAAGACAGTTAATTTAGGTTCACCTCGTCAACATTGACATTGGTTGCAGTTACACCAGGTTGAGCCTTGCCGCTGAAGACTATCTCCGCAGAAGCATTAGCTACACCACCTTTTATACTTATGAAGATATTTTCACCTTCGATTTTCACTGGGAAAACAAATAAGTTTCTTAAAGGAGGAGTCAATACCCTCAGGACTGGATTGTTAGGATACCAGTCTTTAATAGCACCAGTTTGCAGATCAAATGTGCTGTCAGTAGTTGGGCAAACTATGCAGCCATCCTGTAGAGAAAAAAAGTACCATTCTTTTATTACTCATTTCACGCAGAAGTCAGCATCAAAAATAGACTTCAAGGTTTGATACTAGAAATCAATTTCAGTTCTTATGACAAATCTTGAAGAATAACAGATTAAAGAATTAAGTTTAACGGATTCACATTCAAGTTTTCATAGATATCGCGACAGCAAGGACTGAATCCTGACAGCGGTTTTAATTTCTTTACTCCGGCATCACTAAGCAGTAGTTAGAATCTATTTAGACTACTATGACTAACAGCTATGATACCAGCAATTGTCACTCTAATAGACAAACAAGGAAACAAGTGTATCCCCGGATCGAAAAGTAGCTTCAGCCTTTCTTGTCTATACTAAAGCCAAAATCACATCAAAGGCGTCAAACATTGCCCCAAATTTTCATTCCCCACGCAATAGTCACCAAGGCAGTGACCACATTGATCACATTCCAGCCAGAATCACCAGCAATATTAACTACTGCATAATGATTAAAGCTACAACAATTATACTTGTAAGAACAAAAACTCAAATCTTTTTCCCATTTTCATCAATGATCACATCAAAAAATCTCCTAGACTAACTTAGAAAGCAAAATTTCTTTCACATGACCACCCAAAAAAAAATAATAGAAGGAAAAGACATAACAAGAAGCATCCGAATGTGTAATGCCACTCAAAATCTTCAAGAACCAATGGTTAAACTAGAATCCCGTGGTAAATAAACACCATTCGTGAATAGACACAAAAGACAGTAAAAGCATTAAACACCAAAAGGAAGTCAGCCTAACGGAAAAGGGATACTAAAAGTTCAGTAATGAATCAAAGCAATAGTAACCTGAGTGAGCTTAGCATTGAGCAAACCTTCGGAATAAGCCCCTTCAGCAGGGGACCTATTTTCAATAGCAAAAACTTCATCTTTAAACCACAGAAGCAATATAGTCTCGTTATCTTGTATGATCACGCGCCTTTCCCCTTTTGGAAGGGCCGCAAGTGGGACCACCGGAACCCAGTTCTCAGACACAGCCGGTGCCGGAGCAGGGGAAGAAGAAGAAGAAACATCAGTGGCCTTGGATGAAACCTTAAGCCTTCTCCTTGAGGAAAAACTAATAATGGGTTTGGATAACGGGAGCGGTTCTTTATTGGCTGAGGTGGCGGGAAAAACCGGTGTCAGACGGCGGCGACGGTGGTGGTGGAAGGTTGGAAAGGCAGTGAAGGTGAGCTTTGCAGTGGCAACAGCCATTATTATTATTAGTATTATTATGGTTTCCTTTACTCTGGAATTATGAATGAGGGATATTGAGAAATGGAATAGGGGGAAATCCCATGAATGAATTTGGTGTATTGGCCACAAAAACTTTAGGAATGAGAATCAAACACGAAGAAGAAGATAATGACAGTTGAACAAGTTTATGGTTCTGAATTTTAGCAATTTAGCTGGTTGGGTTTCTCCATTTTCCTCTATCCACCAATTTATTTAGCATTAGTTTTATTTTGATATATATATATATATATATATATATTTTCCCGGGCAGAATCAATAATTATTTCAACAGTCTCCAATGTTTAATGGTATGCAAATTTCAGTCACCAATGTTTCATTATATACAAATTTGTCTTAGTGTATTGTTTTATTTTTTTGGTACTTCTTCTGTCGCAAAATTATTGTCGTCTTTGGGTGCGTTCAGTGTACTAGAAAGGGAATGGAGGAATGGGAATTTTATTCCTGGTAAAAAAAAAAAAAATCAACTTATTAAAGAAATCTTAAATTTTCTTTACACTGTTTAGAAATGTCTTGGTAAGGCAATAACTAACTAGATGACATAATATTATCGGGCATCCTCACAATAGTCCTCACAAATTATTTAATAATAACGTAGTTGAATATTGTTAAAAATCTGATACACATTTACAGAGCTAAATTTGGTACCAATATTTCTTGCACTAATAATGTAGCTAAATCTCTTTTATTTTAATGTATTTACTGTGATTAAATAGTGAAGTGAAGTGGCCAGTTGAGTAGATGTAGAATTAGTAAACTTTCACATTAATTTTGGTACTACTCATAAGACTTCAGGTTTGAAATGGATTGATTATTATGAAGCCAGCTGGATAACAAAGACCACCGACCTTAATTAACCCCATCAATTTTCATTTCCTCAACTTTGTTTTATTTTTTTTTTTTTGAATAAAATAAGACATACCCAAAATGTTTATTTATTTTTATTTTTAAGAAAGGAATCTATCGGTGCTTAATGCGTACCTAGGCTGAAGCCCAAATGTAATTCATACCCGGAGATACAACTTTAAAGAAAACTAATTAGTTAGTGTTAAAAGAAATTAGTCTAATTTTGTATGCTTCCCTCTACTGTATTGTACCAACTTTCATTATTTGAAAATTGGAAATACCAAATGGAGTATTTTCGAATAGTATGGCGTCCCAGGATTGATCATCATCATTACTAAAATATGACAAAGACAAAACTCAAATGCATAAAGTTTACAAAAATTTCATGTCAAGATGTTTTAAGATACTCTCTCAATTCCATTTTAATAGGTTCACTTTCTGTTGTGGAATGTTTCAAAACTTAGTCTCACTCCAGATAATTAATTAATTTTTTCTATAAACTCTCTAATTTATCATTACCATATTCACTGAAATCAAGAACATTTAATTAATTTTAACTATTACTTTCTCATATTAACTAGTAACTCATTAGTCATTAATAAGGGTGTGGTTATTTAAAATGAACTACATAAATTATATTACTCACTTTTTACTTAATCTCTGTGTATGTCTAAATGGGCCTATTGAATTGGAATGGGGAGTACCTGGGTTTTCAACTATTCGGGGTTAATTAATTTGTCTGCTACTACTAATCAACTTCTGTGATAAGACAAGTAAGATTTGAAAATTTGTAACACCGGTATAAAAAGGGTTGACCATGATTCAGGATTGAGATGAAGAATTAATGAATCTCTTCTTCTTGTACAGCTTCTTGAATCTTTCTCGTATATACGGGGGGTCGGGATCTTTGATGGTTGCATGTTTCACCGACATGGGTGCGTAATGACGCATGGGATGATGCAATGTACGCCGGTGATATCGTGAAGCTTACTCCGTCAACAAAATTACATATCAATTTCCACAAAATTGGTCTTCTTTTGAAGTGTTCTTACTTACACAACTTAGCAGCCTTTGTGAATGGCACACCGCAGGGGGCGCATCTCAACAGGTCAAACTCTCTCTACTCAAAGGTTTAACTATTTAATTATGAAAATGATGGCTTGATCATTTATATACTTCGATTTGAATTATTTGGAAAAAAAATTCTTATTATTAATAACCCACTTTATAACTTGGTAGTTATTACACACTTTTGGAAAGAAAAGCATATATTTCATTTATTCTTTTCTGAAATTGACACTCATATAAATAAACCATCCTCAAAAAAGTCTCGAAATTTTTTAAATTTACATTCCATGATACGCGAAAAATTGAATCAACAATATTTTTTTGTTATCGAATTAGACTATTGGTGTAATATTCTATCCCACATCGCCATCTGACAAAATGAATGAGTTTTATATAAATTTCATGCTCATAAACTATTAACACAACTCGAATTAACTATTTTGGGCTAGAATTCTTCTTATCTATCTTAATGAGTGTATATTCACGGTGAAAACAGATCTCGGATTTACATGTAATTAATGGTGTATTGTATGACAATATTAGATAGGTCCACTAATGACAATAGTGATATAGAAATATGACTAATATTATGAAATAAATAGCATCAATATATATATATATATATATATATTGTTTTAATAATAAACTGTGGCTCTAGAAACATGACTAATATTATGAAATTAATGGTGCACTGTCTGACAATATTCGACAGGTCTACTTGGATTTATTTATAAGTTTTGTTTCAAAATAATTGTTTCACTTGAATTTTTATTTTTGAGTAAAACAGACGATGATATTATATATTACACAGTACACCGAAAATGTTTTGACGGGGTCAATGTGCATGGGAGAGGACAAATTCTAGCTTTTTCTTGAGTGGAAATTGAAATTGCGAGTATTTTGATTTTCCACCTTTCAAAAGTGGGTAATGACGATGGCTGTAATCCCAGTTCCAGCTTCCATTATGACCCCAATACTCCAAACCACAAGAATTTCCAAGTTCCCCTAAAGGCAAAACCCCAGGAAGAATTCTGATAGTATGGTAGTAGTACATAATATTATACCTCGTCATCATCAGTCAAAAGGCTCCTTCAACCTTTGACCTTTGAAAATCTTGACTTTCTATATACCCCATGTGCTCAGATATATGTCTTGTATCATTTTCATTCATAACTCCTAAAAACACACTTCAAAACCATATTTGTAATTAATATGATTTGTCAAAATGAGAGAATCAAATGTCAACTCCAACTTGCTTTCTTACTCGAATTAAAATATAGAAATCAACCCTTCATTCTTCAACCTATAAAAAAGCCTAACCATAGCAACCACACACAGATAACTCAACGTAAACCTTGACTTTCTTCTTCTGCAAGTGTATAGAGTCTATATAGTATCAATTCAAGATGAGTAGCTCAGATGAAGGTGGTAGCAGCTCAAGCCCAAGTGTATCCCATCAGCAGCAGCAGCAGCAGCAACAGAGGAGATTGAAAGGGATCCGGCGTCGGAAATGGGGTAAATGGGTGTCGGAGATTCGAGTTCCGGGGACCCAAGACCGGCTGTGGCTGGGGACGTATTCGACCCCTGAGGCGGCTGCGGTGGCGCACGACATTGCAAAATACTGCCTGAGAGAGAACGCCACCTCGCCGGAAGACTTCAACTTCCCGCTGATGATCCCGGCGGGGGCCCACAAGGGGATGTCTCCGAGGTCGGTTCAGAGAGTTTCCTCCGATGCTGGCTTGGCCGTCGATGCTCGGTTCCTCAACAACAACTCATCATCCTCAACTACTACTACATTGGGTTATCATCATCATGATCATCATTATTCCGGAAATGCTGCAGTGAAATTGGAGCAGAGTTTCGGGAATAATAATAATGTTAATCATGGTCACCAATATGGAAGAAGAAGAACAGCAACTTGGGAATGTCATGAAAATTATATGAATGATGAATGTTGTTATGTTGATGTGCCGTCATCATCATCATCATGGGACGATGCTGCAAAAGCCAGAGGCTTGGACGACATTTCAGTTGATGATTATCTGTGATATCCATCTCCATGCCTGCATATATATATATATTTACCATATTCCATCTGATCCCGGAGCTTTATTTGAGAGACTTCAAACTTCACTATGTCTTTCTTCTAGAAAGATCGAGATCGAGAGTTCAAACTTTTTTATTGACAATAATATGGTCGAGTGCGAGCAACTTCGGTTCCCCCTTTTTGATAAAATCTCGAAAGATAAAAAAGTAATTAATATTTTGTCTTTCTAAAAATTATTGTTCAGTTTTGATTTTTTAAAAAAATTAGAGGAATTTTGTTTGACTCTGTTGTTTCCTTTTTCCGAAGGGAATTTAAAAAAAAAAGAAAAAGAAAAAAAAAGAAAGGTCTCAACTCTCAACCTTGGACCCTGAGAGCTTGTGGTTTTTGACACAGAATCAAATCAAAAGCTTCATTTGAAAAATACTAATGTATAGTCTATAGATAGATAAGGTCCATCCATGCTGAACAAAATTGTTTGCCTTTGACTTTCAAATTATAGCTATTCTATTCACAAAACTTGTGGAGTCCCAAAGAAAAAAAAATATTATTTACTCACTCCGGATCTGAATTATTGTCCAGTTTGAACTTTCCCTTTCAGTTTAATTTGTACTAAAAATAAAATTTTAAATTAGACAATAATTTCTGGACGAAGTTAGTATTAATTTTTGTTCCGAAATAATTGTACTAAAAATATGACAGTCAAAGACTAAGAAAAAAAAAAGATTAATTAATATTGGTCATGGTGTACACACGACGCGGAGATACAACCGGACACTTGCAAAAGGCACAAGTTTTATAAGTCTACAACTTTGACTAATCAATCAATTATTAACCCCTAATTATGGATTTCCGAAAACTTATCTTTCAATGTTTCCTCAGCCACTAATTTAGGATTTGCTCACAGTCTTGTTTCTTTTTCTCTTCCTCTTTTGTTGAATACAACAAATTATAGTGGGCACCAAGTATTAGAAAATAAGAAGGTAGGAAGGAATAGAATTTGGAAACTACCAACTAGGACCTTTCCAAATTAATTTGTAACTTGCAGTAAGGGTCTAATTCTAGGGACGTTTAATTATAAGTTGTTGAAGTCACAAAAAGGAAACAATTTGTTACTTACAGGACCGATGACCTACTATAGTTTTGTCACAGGACCGATGACAAATTGTACAATTTCACTCGTCTTCATATCACATATAAAGGAAAGCAGAAAAGTTGTCAGTACAAAATTGTAAATAAATGACCTTAATTTATTAATGTCTCCTTCACTCTGCAATGAAAGTTTCCCAAACCATGTTTGACACAAATTTATCAACCACAAATGACAAATCCTTCAGCATAAGAAATCCCGCGAAACAAGATAAGGTAAAGGAGAATCTAAATGCAGGACCAAAAAAGTTCGGACGTCATTCATTCCATTTTCAGCTGCTGTTGAACAGGTACTTGAGTACTAGGACCGGCTGTAAGAAATTTCCTCGGAGGTGAACCTTCCAAATAAAGTGGCCTTCCAGTCCCAATGTAAGATGTCCTTCTCACCACATGGTTTGTAGACAGCATTTGCAAGGTCCAGTATAATATATTAGGAGCAAACACCCTGAACACGAAGAATACGTCGTACCAGCTCGGGTATTTTACATACGCGTTCCCTCTACATGCCCCGTCCACAATCAATTTTGCAAACTCCTCCACTGGACCTCCGGTCACATGTACCTGGACATAATGAACAATTGATCATATAGTGTATATATATGCTACCACAACATGGAGGGTGCTCAAAAAGTAATTTGTCTGTATAGTTCAAGCATTTTTGGGATATCTAACTTATTAATTTAAGGCTTCAGACCATGCTGGGAGTTGGCCAGTGGAACAAACTGTCCGTTATTCAAAATTGAAACTCAAGCGTTACAAATGAGCCTACGCGAGGATTAACCCACTGGACAAACCCAAAGGTTACTCTCCATTCCAGCTCAGCATAGTTTATGATTTCAGGTTATTGGCACCACAATTGACACCCTTACTAAACAATAACATAGTATTCAATGAGGAGGTGGGAGAACTTACTTCTCTTTCTTCTTTCCATTGCATCTCTGCACCTTCCTCTACCATGAATCTTCCACGGGCCATTTCTGTTCCTATCCAGCCGTGTGTCGCAATTGTAATTCCAACATTATCCTTCACCTCAAACCTCAATGTCTCGTAGAAGTTTATCAACGCCGCTTTCGCCGCCTTCGTGGACAAACAAACAAATCATATAATTAATTACAGGGCAACAATATCAGTTGGTTTTTGTGAAAAGAACATATTTATGGTTAAGAATTGATAAATGTATATACTCACGGCATATAAGCTCATCCTTGGTAATGGTAACCAATTCTCTACAGATGCATTGACGACAATGCGACCCTTTGTTTGGCGGAGATAAGGAAGAGCAACATATGTAGGATAAATATTGCCCCAAAAGTTTATGTCCTGAAAAATTTGGTGAAATTCAGAGCATTCAGAAAAGTATTCATCAGGCAGTTCTTGCAAGCATTCATGAGATAATCATGACAAGACGTGGGAGAAATTAGGTTGTACAGGATTTCAAGAAGTAGAATAATATTGTTAACAATGGTCAGAACAGTTATTAGAGAGAGAAACAAGAGACGATGGTGATTGAATCAGCGCCAAATGAGTCACCGGCTTCAAAGAGCAAGCTACAAGTCGGCTTCATGAATTATGCGGTCCAAGAGATAGTATATCTTACCAATAGTATTGGAAACACTGATGGATCAGTAGCTTCCTCAAAAAAGAAAGTGTGGCCCAAACTTGCTGTGTTTACTAGATGATCCACTGCAAGGAAAAAAAAAAAAGAGTTGAATCAGCTAAGTTTCTGCTCCATGTAAGTGCAAAAAGATTTTGTTCCCTTAAACCGAAAAGGCTTGATTTTCATTAATGGCTTTAGACAAAGTAAATCAGAGCCTACTTAGTTTTTAAATAAATATGCTCTGAATCTGTATAGTATGATGAACAAAAAGGAATGCAGGTCAGCCAGGCTACCTCGGCCATAAAAGTTTATGGCTTCCGTGATGAATCTTCGACAATCGTCTTCCTTGACAACGTCCGCAGCCATTATCAACACATTCCTTGAACCCAAGCGCCGAGCATTTTCAGCAATTCCCCGGAGTCTGGTGTCTCTTCGTGCAACCAGCACAAGATTGGCCCCTCTCTTTGCATATTCATAGGCAATTTGCTGTCACAAAACCATCACAATGTATAATCATAACAAAAGATAATTCCAACTAATGTAAAAATCAATCAAATTGAGCGCTGAAATGTAGACATACATAATAGTAATACCACCTGATGACTAGAAAGGATGTGTGACAAACAATATAAGAAATTAAGTTCAAGTGAACAAATTCAGGACAAATGTAGATCAAGTAATATATTTATTTTTCAAAAAAAAAAATGGATCGACTAATTTATTAATAACAACAGGTCCAGTGAGAGATCGCCAACTAATTACGCTAAAACAAATAAGAAGACAAATCAAATTTAAATGATCATTGGAGATATACAGATAATCATGCCTAATCAGCAACTACCCCAAAATGATTATGAATCAACGAACCAAAAGATAAACGGAAAGATTAAAAAAATAATAATTACAAAAATAAAATAAAATCAAGTATGCATGATCAATCAAATATTCGGCCTCACAAAAAATTGATGATTTTGAAATATAAATAAAAAGGTCAAAAAAAATAAATAAAATTACTTCTCCAATTCCAGAAGAAGCGCCAGTGATGACGGCGACCTTGTTGTCCATATCAATTTCTCTGAAGTAAGTATCATAAATCCACTCACAAACATTGATGAATGACAAAGTCGGCCATGAAAACGCAAGCATCAACAAGCTCGCTGGTGGCACCACGAAATTCAAGAACGAATTCACCAAATCCATCTTTAATTATATCTCTATCAATAAGCGTATATATATATATATATCAGTTTTTTTATTCACACCACCAACAAGTAAAAGATATCCAAGCTTTATACTATCTATTTAGAATCTTTTCTTTTGCAAGAAGAGAGAACATTGGAGATCGAGGAAGAAGAAGAAGAAGAAGAAGAAAGATAAGGAAATGGAGAGCATAGAATTTGTTAATGAATTTAATTATTAGGTGGAGGTGATGAAAGAAAAAAAGGTAGCAAAAATTAAAGAGATGAGAATGACGAAGATGCAACAAAAAACAGATTGAGTTGACATGCAGAGAAGAGGGTTGTGAATGGTAAACACGTGTTGATATTGCCAAGACAAATGGCCTGCGACTCCCTCCCATTTTTCTTTTTTTGCTGCTTTATTTGGGAGTTTCTGCATGGCTGCTGCTTTCCATTTAATTTCATTCCTCAAAAATGTATAACACCACTCCATATTCATTTGATCCAGCTTTATTAACTTCTGAGAATATCAGAATCACCGTGTGTCTTAAAACCGGCCTAGTGAGTGAATACATTTTCTTTTTCATCTATACACGATGTTGTGTTCCAGGCCTTGCAATCCGACTGTAATCTTTCTGTCTCAAACAATTATTCTCTAATTCTGATTTTTAATATAAATTAAACTAGAAATAATATTTTTTAAAATGAATAATAAATTTTGAGACAGAGGAAATAATATTACACGCTTGTCATCTATGCGGGATCGATTTAGACAGAAAATGTGTATGTGTTTCGTACGTACGGAAGTGATTCATTTACAATATTTGTTAACGTAAATCAAGGGATATACATATAAGAAGAATATTAGTGATTTGATATGATTTGATTAGTTGATTTGACCTTGACTTAGAGGAATTTTTTTTTTTATTTTAAAAAACTTTTGTATCAACCAACATCTGGCTTATTGTCTGCCTAATAATAAAACTAGTACTTGGGTACGCTAAATTAACAAGTGAAGTGATTTCATCAAACTGACTAGTTTAATAATCGATTTAGTTCAAGAAGAAATGACAGTGTGTCTATGTGCCTAATCAAATCTTAACAACAATAGTAAGTAACAGTTTAAGAAAAATGAATCTGGAAACAAACCTTTAAATAACTTAACCAATGGTTCCTCGCATTTATAGACCTACCCATTCATTTTCTCTCACCTCATTTTTGGATGATCAGCAAAACTCTTCCAGGCCGACAACGATCTGTATATCTCGTCAATTTTATTTTTTACATATTTTTTTTTTTTCCACTAGGGATTTCGTTTTCTTTAACCACATAATTTTCTTGCTTGGAAAATTATTTTTTTTCCTCACCTGGTTGTTGTTTTGCATCTGTTAATTTCGATAAACAAAAAAAAAATCATTTATATTTCAGGACTTTTTTTCAAATAAAAAAATTTGTTCTCTTGGAACCCACAAAGAATTTCCCCCATTAGGCAAACCTTTTTCTTCCTGGACCAAAAACTCTGCATCAGAAATTCAAAAGGGGCATAAACATTTTATGTACGTCTTCTTCATCAAGATATATACTTTGATTTCTATGAAAAAAAATAAATAAATTGTAAATACAATATTTGCAGATGCTACATTAATCCTATATAGATATTAACCCTTGATTTTATCCAAGTTGTCTCTTAATGTTGGGTTTCTGGTCTGGGTGTTTCATTTCATCATATGTCTAATTGATTTGCTGGGGGGGATTGTTGTTACCTGCTGAATTCACCTCTTTCCATTTTTTCCTCAACTTCTTTTGCTGGAATTTTTATTGAATTATTTTTTTCTGTGATTTATTCCATCCATTCATAAACAAACAAACACATGCATGCATGCACCTTCCCAAGCTATTAAGATTGTTTCATTTCCTACATCATAAGCGAAATTAAGGGTTTGGAAATCCTGCATTTTGATAAAACCGGCCTTCCTTTCTTGGCTTGGTTTTTTGGAAGTTTGAAAAGGTAGAAAATACGTGCAATAAGTCCTTTTGGCCTTAGCCAGGGCCGAGATTGTTGAATATACGGTAACAATCAGGTCGTGTTTTGTGTTTGCGGATTGATTAGTGAAATCTTGGTGTCAAAGTGTTGGAGGTGAAATAGAGGGGCTCAAACCTCCCTAGTTGGGTGAAATTACTAGGGAAAAGAAATCTGCACCCAAAACAGAATTGATCATTTCTGGTGTGAAAGGGATGCAGGAATTGGAATGTCATCAATTCTTAGAATGTGATGGCTGATGAATCCTCCAAGAGATTAGTGCATTTTTTGGGGGAAACTCTTAACCAATTGGGGAAGAACTCGGAAGCACTTCGGCAGTAATGGTTATTGATCTTGCTGGTATGATATGATCTACTACTTCATTTGTGCATCACTGATCTACCAAGTTGACAAAAGACAAGTACAACATTGTTGTAGTAGTAAGCTGCCAATGGGCTGCATTTGCTCGAAAGAATCCGCGGATGAACCTGTTGTGTACGATGAAAAAGAGAAAGCAAAACAGCAGGCAGAGAGCAATAAGACATCAGTCCAGTTGGTTGCTCCCTCAACAGGAGAGGAGGTAGGAAAATTATTAGGTAATAATAATAGAACAAGCAAGAACAACTACAACAATGAAGAGTCTGTCCAGGATTCTTCAAGAAGTAAAAAACAGCAGTCAGCAGTGTCAGCTCCACCACCAGATCAAGCCATGTCAAACAGTGCTGTTGTTGAATCCCATGATGAGAAGAACAGGATAATTGAGAGGCCTAAAGATGGTCACAGGAGGCGATTTTCGACTGATTTGGGAGGGGTACAGCAGCAGCAGACGATGTCGCGAATTTTGAGCATGCCGTATGGTGCTAAGGGTGAACAAGCTGCAGCTGGATGGCCATCTTGGCTGTCTTCTGTTGCCGGAGAGGCCATTCAAGGTTGGATTCCTCGTAGCGCCGAGTCCTTTCAAAAGTTGGATAAAGTTAGTAGTCCTTTTGGAAGCCTTACTAATCATCTCTATTTTTCGGTTCAATTTTATCATCATTATTTTTATACTTGTGACTATATGGAATCATTCTCATTTTTCGGGGGTGGTGCAGATTGGGCAAGGAACATATAGCAGTGTATTCAGAGCTAAGGACCTAACAAACAACAAAATAGTGGCAATGAAGAAAGTAAGGTTTGTGAATATGGACCCAGAAAGCGTACGTTTTATGGCGAGAGAAATATTGATTTTGAGAAGACTTGACCATCCAAATGTGATGAAGCTTGAAGCTCTGGTCACCTCCAGGATTTCAGGCAGTTTGTATCTAGTGTTTGAGTACATGGAGCATGATTTGGCTGGTCTTGCAGCTACTCATGGCTCCAAATTTACAGAGCCACAGGTAATGCACTAATTGTGCTTGGTCTCAACAAAAAAGTTTACCTGAATTCCTCCTTTCCCTCACTGATCAATATGGTTCTTTTCATGTGCTGAGAAAATTTGCAGATTAAATGCTACATGCAGCAGTTATTTCGCGGATTAGAACATTGCCATAATCGTGGAATTCTTCATCGAGATATAAAGGGTTCAAATCTCTTGGTTGACAACAATGGAATTCTAAAAATTGCAGATTTTGGTTTGGCTACATTTTTCCAACCTAACCAAGAGGAGCCACTGACTAGCCGGGTTGTTACTCTTTGGTATCGAGCACCTGAGCTGTTACTCGGGGCAACCCAATATGGGGTTCCAATAGATATGTGGAGTGCCGGATGTATTCTAGCTGAATTGTTTTTTGGCAAGCCTATCATGCCAGGAAGAACAGAGGTACTAATCTCGATGATAAGTTGTCTGTTCTAACATTTTTTGGGCCGCTGATCACTCTCATTGAGATAAACCCTAAACTTTATTATGAGTATTTGGCATTGACGTAATAATTTAAATAGCGTAACAATGTATAAGTTTGTTTTTACAGATCATTTGTTCTTTCTAACTTGGTTTATGAAACCTGATGGCTAGGTTGAGCAAATGCACAAAATCTTCAAGTTGTGTGGTTCGCCTTCTGAGGAATACTGGCAAAAATCGAAGTTACCTCATGCTACGAGTTTTAAACCACAGTCTCCATACCGGCGCTGCGTGGCTGATACATTCAAGGATTTTCCTTCTTCAGCTTTGGCTCTTCTTGAGGTCCTCCTATCGGTAGAACCAGAGAAGCGCGGTACTGCTTCTTCTGCACTAAGAAGCGAGGTAAATGATAAACCCGAATGGGAATCATTCCATCTCTCTGCAGCTAGATTTATGACAGAAATGAGCACTTTCAAGGGATGGAATGACTATACAAAGGCTGACTGTGGCATATGCAGATGCATTACATGTCGTAGTTTTTACTTGAAAATTTCTGTAGACTAAAATCATGCTGAATGACTAACTTTTGCTGTTTAAATTTCAGTTCTTCACCAAGAAGCCTCTTGCCTGTGATCCATCTAGTTTGCCGAAATATTCTCCTAGCAAGGAATTTGATGCTAAACTTCGAGACGAGGAAGAAAGAAGGTACCTTTACTTATCTACTGTGTTACTTCGTTACTGTACTTTGCTCATGATGATGGATCTAGTTTGATCCTCTGTCATTTGGCTCTTGAAACTTTACACGTCTATCCAACTTCGGATTGCCCCCAACCCAACCACAGTAGAAGTATTAGGGAAAAAAATGCCAAGAAATCCATGACATAAAAGTTAAGTTGATGAGTTCACAAATACATTATTCTCGCTTGATATTCAGGCTGAAAGCCGAGAGCGTAAAGGGCGGGAAAGATGGATCTACGAAGGAAATGCCCAAACAGCAAACGGGAGTACGAATGCGAGATGGAAATGCTCAAGGACAGGTCAACTTCCTTCTCACTATTGCATTTACACAAGCTGTATCTATATCATCTGTCTGTTTCTCTTCAACTCAGGGTCATTGTTGCAGTTTCTTTTTTTCGCAATATTAACATTTTATTCAAACACATTAGGGCCAGTCAAATAAGTCAGTCAGTGTAAGATATAATATGATGGAGGAAAGTGGAGCTGGATTCCCAATTGAACCACCGAGAGGAAATAAAAATGGATATTCTCACTCGAATTCGATGGTTCACCCGAATGCCATGGGTTACATTAGAACCAAGAAAGACGAACATGTTGGTGGTTCAATGACAGGCAGTATGAGTGGTACATACGGACCTTCAAGGCATGACAGATCCATGATGAACAAACAAACTTCTGGAAATCCCAGAGATACGGCCGATGCAGGCTCCACGAACAATGATATCATGTTGAGGAAGGAAGCTACGGTATGCCAGATAAACACCAGTAGTACAGAAGTTTTACAATATGTTATTATGAAAGGCTTAGATTGTTGATCTTTTTACTCTGATTTTCCAGGGCTATGTGCAGAAAAGAATCCATTGCTCTGGACCTTTGATGCCTCCGGGTGGAAACATGGAAGACATGCTGAAAGAGCACGAGAGACAAATCCAAGAAGCTGTCCGTAAAGCACGACTCGAGAAAGAAAGGACTAAAAAGAACTTGTATGATTATGAACAGGCAAATTCAATACGCCAAGCAAACTTTGGGTACAGATAACAGAACATGCATCATTGAAGAAAGACTTTTTGGATTACCCGTAAGAGAGTTGTGAAATTGTGTCGTTTTGTGTGAGCCGCATCAGGGCTCACTAGTAGTTTTGTAACGTTCTATATAAGTAAACAAGACGATACATGTCAAAATACAAAGAGTATCACAAAAATTATGAAACTAAAAGAGTGCTATAGAGGATCTAAATCGCGAAGCTATGCTGGAAAAGGTTTCAACCCATCCAGGCTAGAGCATGAGCTCTTCTAGTTGTTGGCGGCAGAAGGGCTCCTTCAGATATTGATATGCTTTCACCTTAAGGGGTTGGATGTTATTTGAAATAGGCAAAAGGGGAATGTGCTTTGCTGTTGTATATAATATAGGAGGGAGAGAGGTGGTTCATCACTTCATGGTTAATAGACATTACTATTAGAGTTTTACTTTTTTCTACGTACTAGCTAGGGATGGAAAGGGGAGAAAAGGAGTTATTCAAACAGATAAGATCTTCAAATTCAATTAGTCCTCTAAGAACAAAATTTGCGAACAATTGAAAGGGTGGCTTAAACAGCTCGGACAGAGGCACTATAAGATTACAACACAAAAGGGTTATTATCAGTCAAGTTGACCTGTGGTATTTTAAACTAAACTTGTTCCCAACAAAAGGAAGGGTTTAATTACTAAACCAGCGCATTCCAACGTATAAAAATATATGTTATCCTACAGCATCACTAGACTCTAACTTGTTGGAAACATCTATCCAAGAATAAAAGTTCCCTGATTATATCTCATAAGCTGTAATAATTTCCTTCTACCACAAGTTTCACTCATTACATATATGCAAAAGTTTCTGGAGGGAAAAAAAACCAAAAACAAAAAAAACAAAAAAGAGAAAGTAGCTACTAATTATTAGTCGATTGATATCGCCTACCTGTACATCTTCCGCTGCCTCTTAATTCAGCCATGGAATGAATTTTTCATTCACAATTTTGTTGATCCTGATCAGAACAAGACTAAATATCCTGCTTTGGCTTGCGGCTCAATTCCGAGTAGTGACCACCCATTAACTGCAAAATCTCTTCCCATAGACCCTCTGACGAAGAAGAGCTTTCTGAACCCCCAAAGATCAAGTTTGAACTACATGCCGCTACATACCAATATTCTGAATCAATCTCATCCCTTAATTGGTCAAACTGCCAGCCAGCATACCCAATAAAGAATCTGAAATCCTTAGGCTTAAGCACGCCTTTCTTTACCAGTGCACAGGCATCTTCCAAACTATTTCTAGCGCCAAAACATACTCCTGGCATAACCTCTTCAAAACCATGAACTAGTGATGCATTCTCCCCAGCACGCAACAAGAACATGCTGGCTTCAAGGGGTCCCCCAAAATGCACGTCGGACTCTGCAAATGTCTTTTTCAGATCAGGATTTGTGGATTTCATATCATTGATCCTCTTGTGACAGGGACGATTTATAACTATTCCAAATGGTCCTTCTTGAGGATGCCTGGTTCCAGATCTCAGAAGCAGAACTACACTTCTTTCAAATGAATCGACTCCATCGAGCTTTTCTGTAGCAACTAGAAGGCAACCATTCTCTGGAGCAGAAATTGGGTGGGCCCACTTTGGTGGAAGAGAATTCGGCCCCATCAGAGATTCCCTTTCTTCCTTATGGTTGTCAAATGCGACCGTTTCAGTCTGACACAAGAATCAAGATAAAATTCAGTATCAAAAGTATAGACACTAGCATTTCTTCATGATTGATTGCCTAAAAGTCTTTACTCTTTTCACAAAGTTGTGCTCCCTATGAAAGGCAAAGCTGATTTATCTACTATTATTCAAGAACTTTCAAACTTCTGACTCAAAAGCATAAGGACGTCTAACTGAATCTCCAAGGAAATGCCAGCATCAGAAAAGAAAAGACTAAAAATCCTTGTTATAATTTCTCTCCAACATAGACAGATTGTGGAAAAGTCGTAATTAGGTATTGACAGGAAATTAAAATTACCTGCTCCTGAATATAGAGGCTTGCTCTGAACTCCCTCCAATCCAAGGGCTTACGCTTGGGCTTTTGAGATCCACTGTCTTTTGACTTATTACTTTCAGAAGCATTACTTCCTTTCTGGCTATCTCCTTCTGGAATTGATTGATTACCATTCCCTTCATTTGAAAAAGCTTCAACAATAAGACCAGCATGTAATTCATGGATATAATTTAAATCTTGCAGATTAACTAGATGGTAATTACATTGGCATTGGATCATTTCAACAGTAAAAATAACAAAATTTACAAAAATGTCCTCCCCAAACCCATACAATACCAAGACACAGTAAAAACCAAGTCATAAATCACAAAACTCATCGGCTTTAAGCAAAGTCGCATAAACAGAAAACATGGAATTCACCCTTTTGTTCTGCAATGCACGATGAAGATTAGATAACTTGATTCCACTCAAAACTTCCGTCCACCTGCCGCATAACAGGTTAAAAGGCAATAACACCTTGCTCTCAAAAAATAAAAAGAAATCATGTGATCATTTCAAAAAACTTGGTTGGCCAAATATCTAATCAGTTTTACAAGTAAGAACCTAATCCTCTCCATCTTTACTCATGCACAATTTACTCAACTACTCTAAACCAAATGTGAACTAGAACAATTTAGGTGTTGGCCATGTGGGACTAAAGAAAAATACTATTCATCAGTCATAGCTAATCAAGAGCCCATCAGCAATAGCAAAGTAAAAGAAATTCAGCAAATAACCACCTGAATACTGCTAAAGCTTAACTGTTAATTCCATAAGAAACTCACCCATGCATAGAAGGAAACCGAAAGTGACAGCTTTCTCTTCACAAGCAAGCTCATAAAAGTCACAATTTTAAGTCAATACACACAAGCCATACAAAAGTTCACACTTGATAGAGAGAAGCCAACACCATAAAATTTCTCTCTTTTCTTCACGATGCACCTCTCTAATGTGTAAAATTGCATTCTATATCATAATCTGATCAAGCTTAATCATACAATCCCCAAGAAATCCGGAAAACTACATAACGTTTCAGCTCAGAAACCACCCAACAGCCCACCAAAATTTCAAAATTCACACAGAAACCTAACGTCATAAAATTTCTCTCTATTTTACAATTCATCTCTCCGAGGTCTTCTTCTTCAAGGGGGAAAAAAAAAATCTCTCTAAGGTGTTAATACATACATTTGCCGCATTTAGCCTAAACAGTAAACTGTGTGTCACTTAACTCACCCGAAGAAGAAGAAGAAGACGAATCATCGGAATCATTATTATTGAAGTTGCGGCTATTCTTCTTCCCAACAGCTCTGACCACGAAAGGATGGCATCTGTGAGGCTTCCTTCTTTCAGAGACCCTCATCTCAAGAACTCTAAGAAACCCGCCATGTGTTTGTGCCATCATCAGGCTGCTCCTTGAAGAAGAATCCCATTTAGAAATGGGTTTCTCTTGGATTGAATTTCTCAGCAGAATAGCTGCCCTGTGACTGTATCTCGTGTTTTTCACATGGATGGAGCATAGATCCATAATTGACGGTAATTGAAAGAATAAGAAAAATTCCCTCGTTCTTTTTCCCAGTCAGGATTACTTTTCTTACTATTTGGTAATCGAATTCTTAGCTCCGGTGATCTCTAGGACGCCATGAACCATAAGGATGGATGATGATGATGATGATGATGATGATGGGAAAGAAGAAAATGAAAACAAAAAAAAAACCAAAAAAGCAGAGAAAATGACAGCAAAGAGTGATATAAGAATATGCCTTTGCTGTTTTAATGAGAAGCATCATTTGGGCTTAACAGAATTTGTAGCCAATTCATTGGGCTCATTTGGATATCATAAAGCCCAATCGTATCATATCTACGTGTGTACTTTGATGAGCCATGAGATAAAAAATGGATTAACTCAAAAGTCAAGAATTTGGTTTAGTTTATATTATTTTATTTTTTTTTTGTGTGTGTATAGGTGTTTTTTCTATTAAAAACATAAAAAAGTATGTTGAGATATAACAATTATTAATAAAAAAATTATGAATAAAAATTTAAAAAAATCAACCAAACTAATATATTCCCTCTGTCTCAAAAAATCAACAATGGCGCTGTCAAACAATTGCGGACAATTAGAACCAGCATAATTTGAAGCAATCTATCAAGAACCAATAAATTACGTTCTTCAACACTTCTTCAAAAAAAAAAAAAAACTTTCTTCAATAATTGTATATGGGGCCAAAGTCACCTTGGTCGCTTTATCTTTCCCATACGAACTGATGATCTCTAGAACGCAGGCCGAAAGACCTTTTTTTTTTTTTTTTCCGTCAAAACCAAAATCAAATTTGGTACCGAAGGTATGCCATGTTCAACTGTTAACATCAATGCCGAAAGTTAGATGCATAAGTAAGCCCAAATGTTGATCATCAATTCATCATTTTGATACCTTTCAAGTTTCAACTGTCAAATTATATAAACCAAATGCCTTTGTTAATCTGATGTAAAAAAAAATAAATAAAAATTCCTCATTTTGTGATGATTTAATAATACAGTACTACCTGAGGGTTTCTATTTATAGAATAAATTTTTTAATTATTTTTTGTCAATGTCTTCGTAGCTTAGGAGACTGAATATTTCTCTGGGGTATATAAATTAATCACCATCAACCAGTAATTGAGCTTTTAACTAAATCTTGATGGAAAAGCTAAAAATTAATACACACATTAGCTAATTGAAAGAGTGAGAGGGGGAAGGGATTCAAAATTGATCTAGCAAAATTTATTTCTCCGACCCCCGAAATTTAATTTAGTATGTTGCCTGCCGACCCTCGGTTTGACCGAATATAACATATGTTGAGCGGCCCCCCTTGCACGGGTTTGGAAATTTTAGGCATCCCATTTCTAGGAAATTCTCTTATTAATTCATGTTTACACTTGAGCTACAAGATGAATCATTTCATGTGGTGACAAGAAATATCTAATAATTAATTGTTGCGTAGATGGATTGGCACAAAGGGGACTACAAAAGTCATTGGACTAGTTTTTTTTTTTTTTTTTGGAAAGGCTAGCTTCTAGAAATAAACACGATCGATGCTAAGATATACTATATACTTTACATGACATTAAAAAGAGATTATTTTGTGTTACCAATTAGTATACCTAGGAAACAATTATTGTGGATTGTACGTTTGTTGCCGTTTTTTGTACCGCACGTGCACATATGTATGTATGATGTCATTACCCTTACGCATGCTTGGGCTCTTCTAGAATTCTGTTTTCATTTTTTTTCTTCTTATTTTCGAAATATAGGGCTTCTAGATTTAGAGAGTGTGTGAGTGTGTGTGTGTGTGGAGAGAGGACTATGTGCATCTTGCCCTAGCTTATTAACTGGAGGCCTGGAGCTATATAATAAACAAAAATGGGGGCTAGGGATAAGGCCTTCTTATTATAATATTTCTAATGGCGGCAAGCAACATTAATGTTAATAACATACAGAAACTTGGCCCTGATACTTCGTTATGGGCAAAATTCATTTCTTTATTCTTTAAACCAAATTTGGATGATCAGCGCACTGTTGATACTACTAGTGGTAGTGTTACAAATCCGGAAATCTCAGCTGCCGGCCATGTCGACGACGATCTCGACGGAGTTGTGTTAGATCTTGAAGCTGGTTTGCAACAAAAAGAAGCAGCTCATGATGATGATGATGATGATGATGATGATCATAATCCCATCCAAAACCACTCCCAACCACATGGAGTCGAAGGAGGATCACTCAACACAGTTGCGCAGGTTTTCAAAGAACAAGAACTTGGGAAACTAATTATGGGCTTTGTGATGCCGTTGACTACAGTCTTTGCGAGCGTCAATGCTCCAAATTCTTTGCTGTTGACAACATTGCTAGTTTTGTCACTCAGTGTTGGGTTCGCTGCTATTCTGATTGGGATTTTGGTACGCAATACTACTACTACTTTGCAAAGGTACGCCCACAAGATAGAGCAATTTGGAGCCGGTTGCGTGGTTTTCGCAGTCTATGCGTTGATCGCCTCTTTTTTACCCCTCTACTTGCAATGGCTTCCTTGGGGATGTTTTCTTATGATTATTCTGGTTGTTGGCCTAGCCTCCATTTCCGTACACAAACAAAACTAATTGAGACCATTATATTAGCAAGCTAGCTAGCTAGCTAGCTACCAACCATTAATCAATCAAACTTTTGTGGATGTTTAAATAATAGTATTAATTCATTCTATTTATACCATTAGTAGAGAGGATACACATATATTAGTGTTCTCCTGTTTGTACTGAAGTTATACATAACTTCAGTTAATTACATGAAGAAAAAATTCTTGCCTTGTTACAACTTTCCAGTCAACTTTTTTTGGTGACTTGCATTTGTTTAAGTTCCTATTGTCGACTTTATCGTCGATTTAGAAACGTGAACTATTAAGTTGACAAAATCTTAACATTTTTTTTTAAAGAATTTTAAGATTCTTTATGCTGCAAACGAGTACAAGGGATCCCCGCATTCCTATATTTTTTGGAGCCACCAAAGAATGGAGAAAGCTAACCACATCGCCTCCTCCCTATGCACCTTAAATCAATAATCCTTTCCCGTTTTCCTATTTGGGAATGGAATCAGATTAGTGGATCTCTCCCTCGTGTCCATAATAAGGGTCTTTTTGATAAAAATTAGTACTTAATTATAAATATGTAATACTGAATTAAAAATACTAAAATCATAAACTAGTTACGCAATAAGCAATAAGTTAATTTTTACTGTTTATAATTTATAACACCATTAATTAAAATATTTATTTTTTGTTATCAAATAAGCTGAAATGAAAAAAAGCTTAATAAAATAATTTGACGCATTAAGTGGTATTATCAAACAGGCCCTAAGTCAATAAAAAATATTTAAGTAAACTTAATTTTTCTAATTAATTTCTTCCCTTCTTTCTTTTTCTTTCTATGTATTTATTTATTTATTTATATTCTGTAAACAAATCGTTCTCCTCCTTCCTTTTTGGTAAACAAATTTTTCTTAAGATAGGAAAAGAGACATATGGGATGACTCTTTTTTTTTTCCCTACATATATATACAACGCTTTGGTTCAAAGTAATATAGCTTTACACTCACACCAGAGTAAACTTTCTGACTCTTTTTCTCCTATATTATAATATTAAAATTTCGATCATTATTTTTAAAATTCTTGTGCAAAATTTGTTGGTGCTATACTTAAATTTTCCCATAAGTAAGTTAATTACAAGCTTTTTATACTCCCTCAATTCATTAGGCATACGTTAAAGTAAGTTGCAATTTGTTAAATCTTACCGAAATTGTAAAAAAGAAAAATGCGGCATGATATAATATTCAATTTGTGAAAGAAGCCACACTAGTAACCGTAGGTCGAACTTGATGTCATTAATATTCACTATCAACGATCTGCTATAATTTAGTTTTAAGGTTTTAATCCCTTCATCCTATCGGGAAAAAAAAATTGTGATATTAGCGGCTGAAATCAAAGCACTTCACCATTCATCAAACGAGATTGATTGATATAGTCTTTTAATTTAGACATTTAAAATAGAGCAAACATACATAAGGAAATAATCTACTAATCCAAATTGTACTCCTTCGAAAATAATTGTCCCACTTGTAATATTAAAAATTGTACAACGGAAGTAATTCAGTAATTCAGACAATCAAACAATAATTCAGGGTTTTGAGTGGAGGCTTCAACATTGAAACCAACTAAGAGTGACACATAGCATCCATAACATCATAATTAATTAAGTTCATGACAAAAGCAATGACTTAATGGTGATATTAGGGTCACGTTTCCTGCTTAAACTTAGAAGAATCCAGCTATTAACCCCTTCAGAGATGTAAACTAATCTGATCTGGAATTGATGTTTGATATTTCACCCCCCCCCCCCCCCCCCACTAAGGCCATCTCGTTTACTTCACACGAGATACGTACGTACATGTAATTGAGATTCTAATTTTTATTCGTAATCAAAAGCCGTTAACAAAAACAAAAAAAACAAAAAATCGATTTCTTCTTGGTTGACAAGAAATCAGACAGCGATACACACATATATAATGAACTCTTTGGTCAAAATGTATACGAGGAGATGAGTAGGCAGTCCTTAATTTCCTGTTTTCACATTTGGAATCATATAATTAATGGCTCTCTCCCTTTATGTGTGAGTGTGCGCCTGTTTGGTACATCTTGGTATATTCTATCCCATCTGTACTGAATTATTATAGTTCTGGAATATAGACCAAGACTATGTTCCGGTCAAAAAGAAAATTCAGATTTGGCACCGTAGCTATGTAATATATATTCAACTCTGGACCACGTCATCAAAACAGGAATTTACATATAATTAGGGCCAAATGAATGATCATTCATTTGGAACGCATTCAACCATCACATGCATTATATATAGGTTCAAACAAATATATTAAGAGAATGCAGATCCCATTCTCATTCATATAGGGAGACGGATACTTGTTATTGGTGTTATATAATATTGCGACATTGACAAGAATTTTGATATGAAACAGCTGAAAAATAGTGCAATCGGCATTAACTGGTCGAAACAAATTAAGGGGGAAAAAACATGTTTTAAGTGATTGATTACTTGGATCGAGTACACAAACTAAAGCTATAAATACTTTAATAATTAGTACTACCAGCTTTTTCAGACGATCAATTTTCCTTGAAAATATAGACTACGAATGAACAAAGTTGAACATAAATGGGTAACGTACATTAATGACTTGGATGGAAAGCAATCCGCGCGGCTTTTAATTTCATGCATTTCCGATCACTGAGATTGCAAATGTTACCATTGCTGCTGCACCCGAAACCACAGATAACCGGCGGCAAATTCCGGCCAATTTGGGGTACACTTTGCGGGTGCAAATGGCCATCACAGCTCCCGTGAAGGCAAAGTTTAGAGCCAATACAAACGCATGAAACAATGAGGGTCTATCCTTGAATATAATTCTTGGAACTGGAACAACATTGTTTGAACTAGTATCACTGTTCTTTACGTGATCATATGGAATATACAACAGAGCAAAGGCTGCTAGAAATGTAATTGTAAAGATAATCTCATCTACGTGAAGCAGAGAACTAGAAGAAGAAGAAGAAGAAGAAGAGTGATTTTTGACCTCCTTCTCTGGACCCATGTACATTTGGTAATCTGCTTTACTGAATGCTCTTTTCTCTTTATATAAACTACATGAAGATGGCTGCTGCAGCTTCCATGAAAGTCCTTCACCAATTTCAATTTGCCTGCAGATGGCGGGAAGTTTACTTTGTCGCCATCAGAGACAAGTCCAGCATTAAAATAATTCCATTTCATTTTGTTCGGGTGGTCAACGTTCATGTGTAAGAGGGAACTTGAGGAATAGTAGAGTTGACTTTGTAGTTCACTTTGCCTTTATATATATATATATATATATATATATATATATATAAATATTAAATATGGGTCATCATTTTATTGTACCTTCTTCCTGGCCTCCTGCAGGAATATATTTGGTTGGAATTTTGTATATATGGAAGACTGAAGATGTTCTTATATGAAGTTAATTCATTCCAATCATGCGTGCATGACTTGACCGAAATAAATTAATGTTAACAGTTGAATCGATCCTCTTTCCAAAATAAATCAGGCAAAATTTGTATAAATTTGATCTCACTTTAACGTAGAACTTAATTAACAATAATTCCTTCGCGTGTATCAAAATGATATTGTCATATTTGGTATGTATAAAAGATGATACAAAAATTAGATGATCATATCGGAGAGCATGTACAAGCTCTGTAGAGATGACCTCAATATTTAGTTTGTGGATGACGGTCATCACCCTAAGTTTATTGAGGTGGCCCCAATTGGTCGTTTTAGACTGTAGTAGAAATATCAAATGTTGAGGAGTGGTCGGTTGGCCGTCCCTGATTGAGGATGTTGAATTAGTAATAAAGAATTTACCAAGCAACTCGCGCTTGTAAATGGATTCGAATATGTCCATCTTATCTCCGTTTTACTAGAAATATCTACATTCACCGACGGTTGATCCAATTTAATTTTCTCCATTTCCATCCCAATGTCGACAAATATACATACATGATGAAGTACTAATTCAATGGCCTTCGCTTTCAATTTGGAACAAGAGAGTAAATAATATGTTATTTTAAAATAATTAGGTAGGTTGATTAAGTTGGCAGAATGAAGACTACGTCTCGTTGATTAAGAGCTAGCATCTGGACATGAACACGATGCTATTACATGGCATTATTAAGAGTAAATTTGTATAATCACCTTCATATAATTTGTACAAGGGGAAATTAGTTTATTGTTTCTTTTCTGCTTTTCATTTCAGGGTATACAAATTAATACATCACACATGCATGTATAGATGATGTCATTATTAATTGTCATTAGGCATGAACTTCCCGAAGAGAAGATTTGATTGCATTATTTATAAATGGCAGCCTTATGAACATTATCCAAAGCATACTGAAGGGGGCTTTCTATATTGTGATGGCAAGCAACATTATCCAAAGCATTCAGAAACTGGCTTCATGGGCCAAATTCAAAATACCTTTCTTCAATGGGGAATTGGATCCAGATACTCATCATCACCCAGAAGAAAACCCGCTGGATCTTGAAGCCGGTTTGGAGCTCCAACAACAACAACAACAAAAGCAACAAGCAGCAGAAGAAGAAGGGCGTGTAGTACTGCCAGTCTCCATCAGGCCATCAGTAAGGTCATCACCCTCACATTCTTCGCCTATCATTGACATTAATGAAGATTTTCGGCCGCAAGGAGATGGAGGACTACTGAACACAGTAGACCAAAATTTCAGAGAACAAGAAGTTGGGAAAGTGATCATGGGCTTCGTGATGGCGTTGACTACCGTTTTTGTGAGCGCCAATGCCCCTGATTCCTTGATTGTCAAATTTCTGGTCATTCTCCCCAGCAGTGTTGGGTTGGCTGCTATTTTGATTGGGATTTTGGTACGCAATACTACTTTCCAAAGGTACGCCCACAAGATTGAGCAATTTGGAGCTGGTTGTGTAGTTTTCGCTGTCTATGCGTTGATCACCTCTTTTTTGCCCCTCTTCTTGCAATGGCTTCCTTGGTGCTGTTTTCTTATGATCATTCTGGTTGTTGGCCGAGCCTCCATTTCCCCACACAAACAAAACTAACTCGAAACCCATTACTCAATTTTATGTGTGTGCAAGATTAATCATTAACATACTAGTCAATTATATATAGACTAGTATATATCATCAAATCATCTGCTATATATAATAGGGTTTGCCAAATTAGACACTATCGTAGGCCTTATGTAATTTCAAATTCACTGAATTTCATTCATGTTTAGACTCAATTTGTACAATATATATGTAGTTATGTACCTTATCTATGATCTCAACCTGTGTATTCTAGTTAGCTTGCACTGTGTGTGTATGTGTTTTTTTATTATTATTATATCAAGTACGAGGGTTGATTTTGCATAAATATATAGCTGCAACCTCCAGCTATGGTAACTTAATTCGCTAACAATTTTTGCAAGATATGCTGGCTCATGAGTCATGAACTACTAAGTGGAGCCAATTCTATCTGAAAATCCCAAGTTTCACAAAAAAAAATTTCATATTCTTTTTTTGGTTTCGGTTTCAAATTTAAGTGGGTCGATTTAATTCAATTAATCATTCAATAAAAATTAGGCTGACCGCTGACGAAACCCAATCAACTTACCAATTAACTTCTTATTCATTGAAAATTTTGAACATAGCTGTTCCATCCTCCCTCTTGTGGTTGAAAATGGTGCACTGTTACATGATACGTGATACAAAATTGTCGCATGAAACCCTTACTAAATAGGGCAAACTACATTTTGCCCCCGAGTTTTGGCTCCATCTACCATAAGTCTCCTGAGTTTTGATAACACTCCCATATACTCCCTGGACAGGGGGTTAAATATTAAATGACTAAATTAACTTTTGTTTACATACACTTTATTTTCTTTTATTTTTTTCACTTTGTTTTTATTGGTGTTTTTATCATGGAAAATGAAAATACTTAATTTATAATTTGTATATTTAATTATAACATAAGTTAATGAATGAAAGCTATTCTACGATTAACAATGTAAGTTTATTATATTTCAAAAAAAATAATTAATGAAGATTATTTCATTTCAAAAAATATAATATAGTTAATTTCAAAAAAAACTTATTGTCTAATTGCATTAATATAAAATGATTAATATGGAGTATATTTTTTTAACTTAATTTATGATATATATAATTTAAAAAGATTATAATGTAGTTTATAAAATATGAATTGAGGGTTTTTTGACCATCTGCAAAAATTTCATGATGATCTTAATATGTTAAGGGGGCATTTGGTAAGTTGACTATGAGTTAAGGAGGTATATGACAGTTTTACTAAAACTCGGAGGGTTAATAATAGGTAGGGCCAAAACTCGGAGGCTAAAATGTAGTTTGCCCTACTAAATATATGTTCATGCAGATGTTCTTTCTTCCTTTATGTAGCCTTATTTGATCGGATGATTGTGATGGAAGCATTAACTGAAAATATATTCCCTAATTAAATCAAAGAAAGAATTTAGCTTTTCGATCAACCTTATCGAAGGAGAGCTTAAAACCAAAACGTAATACATTTAGATCTTCATTTTAAAATTTTAAATCATCTTTCCTTAACTTTCTTTTTCACACTGAAAAAGGCAAAGTCTGAAATCTAAAAAAATATTAAATATTGGTATGAAATACCAACTAACTATATCATGTTATAATCAGAATTTCATCGCATCAACAACACAATCATTAGCAACTGACTCTGAGTTTTGTCAAGAAATATATCTCCTTTTCGCATCCCTGAATAGCCAAATGAAACCGTTTTAACCTTTTGCCTCATCTCACCACGGCGTCAGAGCTAGAGTTGGGACCAATTTATTTCTTTCTTAATTTTCTTAATTAGTCTTCTTCATTCTCGTCACCCAGAGAGATCTAGTAGAAGAGGGGATTTTATTCCTTCTTGGCTTTCTACATCAACCAATCGGATTTCATGTTGAAATATTTTCAATATATTGGACTATTATTTTCAATATATTATGAAAAGTTATAAAATTAAGAAATGAAGAGACACATTCCAAATGTTCAAAAGTTGTGTCTAAGGATTTCAATGAAAAGACACAAATTAAAAGTGGTGTCTAATCATCTAAAAAATTGGAGAGACATCAATAAAGAGTTGTGTTTAATCCTAAGAGTCACTAGAATTCTATAAATATGAATCATTTGAGAATTTTTGGCTGTAGAGAAAATTTTTCAAATACTTAGAATAGTTCTAATGACCGTTCTTATCCTTTGGTTTGATCTCCATTTTATTTCATAGGGAATTCACCTAGACAATTGTACAATATAGTGGACCAATTTAGCCTAAAGGAAAGCAAGATTTTTCTTGTTACTTGGAGACAAATCTTTTTCTTTTAGCAAGTGTTATTTTTCTTCTAGTATTTTGTGCGTTAATACAGTCATTGTTGTTTATTCTTTTGTAATAGAATTCCATCATTTCATATCACGATTTTAATAGAAGTTGTAATCAATTATTATTTCTCTCTAAAAAATATTCCACATTAAGTTTTCATATTTGTATTATTTTTTTATTTAATTTGCAATTTTTTTAAGACAAAATGAATATTATATATCCAATTGGATTTGAATAAAAATATGCACATCGCTTTCTTGGTAGAAAATAGTTAACATGTATCCAGTCAAACTAAAGTTCAGCATTTACTCAGGCAACATCCATGTTGGGATGAAGAATTTCACATCGGCCGTGGAAGAATTCGAATTGATATATATATATATATATATAGTGTAAGTTTTTTGTGTTACTCCACTTATTACCGGTTCATTTGAGATGATATTAGAGCCAGCCTACGAGTTCGGTAAAAAAAGAAACATTTGTTTGTGTTATCCTACTTATTGCTTATCTAATTATAAGATAATATGTGTATTTTTATTAATTCAAAAAGAACAAGAAAGAAGTGGTATTCCCGAGGCAGAGAGGGTTAAATCACAGCTGCAACATGATACTACTCTCTTCTCATATAAGTCATTGCGAAATTTCATAAAATTTAAGAAGATATTAAAACCTTGCTGTAATATTAAATTGTCCCCATCTACTTTTAACACAATTCTAATCATAACAAATATAATTTTAGGTTTAGCACAACTACAGTTTTCCATTTATGGGCAATATTTGAAAAAATTAACAAAACATGTCTCGTTTTGTGAAAACGATATATATTTTGAAACATTTTGTTTTTTCTACAATTTTCAAATCGAAGGAGTACTAGTTATCGAGGTTGTCTATTTATTCTAGGAATGAAATATCTTACCTTTAACACTAGGGGCGGAGGGAGGGGACTATTAGGAGAGGTCGCCCGGTCCTCTAACTTTTTCGTTAAAAGAATCTTAAACTTTTTAGTCTAAGTTTATTAAAAATTTTCAATTTTGTCTATGCAAAGAAAAGAATTATACACATTTTTACTCTTGTCAAAGAACTTTTAGAGATTTTTTGCCTCTACTTTAATTAATTCCTGGCTTTGCCACTGTTTAAGGTGGTTGTGCCTCTCTTTTGCAGGGTTTTGAGTCTTTTGACGGTGTCAAAGACTAAGGAAATAGACAGACGTTGAACTGGCAAAAGGCATTCTTCAGAACATAAAGTCGTAAACACACGCCGTGCTATTCCAAAAAAAAAAAAAAAGAATGAAACTGAATTGATCAATTCCAAAATCTCTATATTCGCTTGTGCTATTCAATATAAATAACCACCTCTTGTACTACATGGTATCTTATTAGTTTCGCTGGTGTAAAGTTGCTACCATAATAAGTCAACCACCTCCTAAAATCAAATTACTCAAGCTTAATTAACTAAACAAAAGATTAAATAATTCATAAGGTTCACAGTACCCCGGGAAAAGAGAAAACCTTTTATGCTTATTATTACGACGAAATATTAACAAGTTCCATTTTTCTCTTTCTCTTTGTTGGGTGCAGCAAAGAAGCCAAGAACAATGATAAAGTCATGGAACTTTTATTTCAAACTTTCACTGACTTGAGCCAAATTTTTGCAAAGAAATAACTAGTTACTATATATATGACACACAGAACGAGAATGATATAACTAATTTCTAAGTTCTAAACTTTTAGTCACGTCTATAATGATGAAATTCTATAAGAAACAGGACGATAATTTTGGGACGAAAGACTTGGTTTGTATGAAAGTTAACGAAATGAACTTTGAGAATTACCTCTGCTAGCTGCTTATATATTTATTACACACATCTACAAAACCGGCTAGAGTGTTTCGGAAGTCATTGCGGCAGCTGAGAACGTGAATACTCCTACGGCTGCGGCCACCGAAGCGACCGACAAACAGCGGCAGTTTCCGGCCAATTATGGGAGTCGGTGGCGGGTCCAAATGGACATGACTGCTCCGGCGGAACTGGAATCATCTCGGTTGAACTACTCTGAATATGATCATATGGGAAGTACAACAGAGCAAACACAGATAGAAATGTAGTGCCAAAGATTATTGCATCCACTCCGAATGGAGAAGAAGCAGACTTCTTTCCCATCTTTTTTTTTTATTTTCCTTTCTAGACTAGTATGAAAATTCGGGTTCTACATATATATGTGCATTATGAATGTAATAATTCAGCTTATTCATACATATTTATACTATATATATAGTGCTCCTGCAGTATTAATTATGATGATCTTTCCATTATATTTTTTCCACCATATCTTGTGCCCTCTGTTTCCGCGAAGTTTCGTTTTTTTTTTTTTTTGGTACAAGTGATCTTTTTTCAACGTCATGTTTAGTTCCATACTGTATATACCAGAGAGAAAACTATCAGTCAATGATGGATTTTGTTTATTTATTTATTTAACCATTTAATTGTTCAAAGGGATACTCAGTCAGTCCACAGATTAGTTAACCCAAAAAAAACACACAAACAAAAAAGATGTTTCAAAGCACGAAATTTGTAACGAGTTTTATATCAAAATACGAAAATAAAATCAACAATATATCGCCGTTGTTTTTCCACTCTTTACCTATTAAATTTTAAAGCACATATGCATGTGATGAGATATTGCCAGTCACATACATATAATATTATTTTGGGATTAGAATTTGGTACAAGAAGAAGATTGGTAAAAAAATACTATTCTCTAATTATGGGTTAGAGAGACTTGGAGCTTTTAGGACTGCATGAATGCTTAGTATATATAATTTTGAGAGAAAAATAAAACTTTAACGAGAAAGTAACAAAAAATTAGGGACCATGATTATTCCACATCAATCACTATATTTTGTCACTATTTTCATTCACTAAGAGTATCATTTATATATATATATATATATATATATATATAATTTGAAAATAAGTGCGCGCGCACACAGATATATAAGATAAAATTTATTTTTATGTATCATCTTTTCATACAAATAGTCCTTTAACACAATACGAATATGTATTGTACATGATCATGAAATTCAAAAATATTATTAAAACGAACAAATTAATAACTGCGAAAATTGTCTTCTTTTTTTCTTTTTTTTTTTTACCCTTGACCGAGAAGTATTGTTGTTTATTGAAAATACAAGTATCACGATGTAACCAATATAGCGTGCATCAACCAAGTCTAGAACTTTAGTTCGTTGTTGACGGGAAAAAAAAAAAAAAAAAAAGCAAACACAATTACGATCTACGTTTGTCCTCGTCTCACGCAGTTGAAGCATCCATTTGATAGTACATTTTTTGTTTCCTGACACGCAAGTTGTTTGATTTCTAATAAGTCTTTCTCCGAAAGTCTTCGCTGAAAATGAAATGCTGACAAATTCAATTTATCTAAAATATTCAATGCTCTAGCATTTTTAAAGAACTAGTGTAGTGCCCGTGCGCTGCACGGTGGGATCCGATCTTAATCTTTGAAATGTAGCATCATTGTTAACTTTGTAGGAATTTTTTTTTTTTCATATTTGTATAAATGATTATTCAATAAAGATATCGTTTATTTCCTTTTAAAAGAATAGGTTTATGACAAAAATGTGAGTGTTGTCTAAAACAAACAATATTGAAAAAATCATACATGTTGTGATCATGTTTTAAAAAGGAAGAAAAAATACAATAATAATAAAAGTTATCACCGAACCTTCATATATTCTCGAAAGCTTCCTTGTAAATCACATTTGTTGTGCAAGTACATAATTCACCAGCCTTATTACAAATAAGACATTTTTTAGACTTGACTCTCGAAAGAAGAGCGTATACCTGGCTATGCGTAAAGACTAGACGACACAAAAATAGATCCCCCTGCGATTGCAACGGACCATTCATCTTATTAATTCTCATCACAAAATATGGGATAATTGAGAATTGTCTTCGCTTTGAAACGATTAGAAATGGTTTTTGATACGTTAAAAATTAATTATATTTTTGGCTACTACTTTAATTTTTTTGACTCATATTCATTTTCGATAGCTTATTTAACCACATAATAAAAAAAAACACTACTTGTTCAAAAATAAATTCTTCAAAAGTAATATTCAATTACGAACGGATCATCTTTTAGGGGGTATTATTGAATTTTCATCTTTAATAACACGTCACTTCATATCGTTTCGCTTAAATGGTTCCGAGTTATTGTTTTTTTTTTTTAAAAAAAAGCTGAGTTATTGGTAGATTAAAAACCTGCAATTGTTTTGGTTGCTATTTTAAATTTTTTTTTTATAACCAGTTTAACTAAAATAAGAAAAAAATGAAAAAAATAGCCAAACTGATCATTATTAAAGTGTTATCACATTCTTAACACTCACAAAAAATAAAAAATTGTCTGTGGACATGACCATAGCAATTCTAATTTGTCGATATCATATGGCAACCCAAATGACTAAATTATATTAAAATAATTATAAAATTCAAATATTAAATGACTAAATTAAGTTCATTTAGACTCGTCATAATACTAATGTGTTAAACCCAATTGAATCCCTAATGCAAGTATAATGAGATTTGGTCAAAGAAACATCATGGTTAGGATCCAATACCTAACACTTGTCCATCTACAATTCCATATTATTCAAAGGTACTGTCGTTGCCTGTGGCACAATGTTAAATATTTGAGCCATAATGTGTCCTACTTAAGCATCTTCCACCACCCAAAATTGGCAAAATAGAGTTAGGTTGGTCCATTTTGATATGATACTTACAAATACTGACTCATCACGTGAAAACAAATAAAACAAAGTAAGCACATATAAATTGTTGTGAAAATTTTTTTAAAAAAAATTAGTACACCATCCACACTAACAAAACTTGAATAGATATTAATAAAGACATGACCATATAGTGTTACAAAACAATCCAACTAAAATGACGGACTCTTTTTTTAAGAAGATTGTTGATTTAATTGGTCGCTTTTCTCTATTTTTTTAAACATTACTACACTAGAATTAGATACAACATTATAGTGTTCAAAACAACTGACTGACTAATTCACATTAAAAGTACGTACATGCTTCATTTCTAACGAAAGGGAATTAAAATTTTGATTTGGAAGCAATGCATCAAATTGATTAATTGGGAGTGTTTTTAAGTGCAAAAATCTACAATAAGTAGAAGAAACTAACAGAAGAAGTACTATATATTGTATCTGCTAATTATTAATTAAGAAAGGCTACAAAATATATAAGCACAAGAACATACGTAATAAATTCAATAAATCAGTGTCCACAGCGGCAGGGGTGTCGAACAATGTGAATCTGGAGGAGTAATTTGCCAGCTTCCTCTTTCACAAACTCACAAACACACCTGTCCTGGTCACCGATGTTATTCGCCAGACAAAGTTTCTTCCATCCTCCCGTGTAAAATGTCCGGCCGTCTTTCCACGTCTTCAGGCGTGCCTCCCAGTGATCCCTCCCGGCTGGATCCCGAAGCGCTATCTTTTCCGGCAGATTCACTTTGAAATCCCTCACCACATCTGCTGGAATGTACTGCAATATCCATTATAATAGCACGGAATTCTGATGAGCTATGACTTTAACGTTCAGTTCAATTAGCTTAATTTAATTGATTGATTGATCCCGCCACATTTAAGGTAATGTAAAGACACAAATACCGCACCAGCAGCATATTACATGTTATATTTGTCATTTTGACATATGGTTATGTCATCATGTTGATGCAGAAATCATTGTTGACGAGTCCATGTTATGGGTAGAGTTTATAACTTTTTATTATTATATATTGATCGGTAAAGGTAAAGCACATGGAAAAATTACCATCCCCCAAAAAAAAGGCTAATTAAAATTAGCTGAACATTACCAGTTCTCGCGCTCTATTGGTCCTGATTTTGGTTACAAAATAGGGATTCCTGGGCTGCACAAATAGTCCTGATTGGATCATCTTTGCACCATATATGTCAATAGTGGCCTTCCCTCTCTTTTTTTCAGCATCATCCTCATCATCATCTGCCAAACCCAATTTCACAAATCCACATGTGTTATTATGATTGCCCAATAATATACTGAAATTGACATGGGATTTTTTTTTTAAAAAAAAAAAAAAATTGAACTTACCATCTCTAAATTGCTGAGGCAATTCGTCACCTCCTTCTTCGTCTTCATCATTTTCTGATTCAGGGTCCTCCAAATGAAGAAACTTCAAGGACCCAACTCCTACTTTACTGCACGAATCGTTTCCAATCATCTTAAAATGGAAGGTTTTGATCCCATCAAATTGGAAAGCGATGAAGTCGCAATGTTCCATACGATTGTCTCCAGCTACCTTTGCCCAGCCCTCTCCAAAATACCATTCGGATTCCATCCTTGTCAATTCAACAGGCCACTTGTTACCATACTCATCCCTCAGGAATGCGCTCCTCGGTAGTTTATTTTCTCCCATTAGCGATACGAATGCCGACGGAATGTGCTGTGTAAGATGGGAAAAAGCCAAAGCAATTAATTACGTACCAAGATGAAATTGATTACTGTTCATAACTTAACAAATGGAAAATCAGAACTCCTGCTCATTGACCAATTCTGAGACCACCTTTTGCCTTTTGTAAGCAGTAAGTGAAAATAGATCGATGCTTTGTGGAATAAAGAAAAAAATTACCAGGTGGTCGGAATACTTGGTGGCATCGAAAAACTTGAAGAACTGCGGGATCCTCTTTGATTGTTTGCCGGATTCACCATCCATTTTTGTCACTCTTAACAGCACCACCCACTGGCCACCGACCAAGTTCTTATTTTTTTCACTCGTTAAAAAGAGCAAAATTCAGCATAGATCAGTCAATTAAAGCATTTCTTCGTTTCTTCGTTGATTTGTTGGCGGTAAAGTAAGCCTGCCTCTGTTTGTAGAATAAAGAAGAGTACCAACAGACAGTACTAGTAGATATTGATGTCAGTCAGTTTACATGAAGGCATCAGAGACTAAAAACTTGTGAATCATCCAATCTGGGTGATTAGGTAGGAGGGGAGATTCCAGTGCCCTACGAGTGGAACTATACTTGGAAAACAAACATAAAGATGACATAACAAAAACGTGTCTTTTCATCAACATCACATAGTTGTTCTTCCTGCTTTTTCTACCGTTCTATCTTCTACGTGAGTAACATCCCCGATCATATCATAATTTGCAAGTTACAATACTAACAACATGGAACAAATGCCACCTAACTCTCATTCTACCTTAAAATCCACTTTCACATTTTCCATCACGCTATCTACTCCGGTTTTATCTGCAGCACCTTTCTGATGAAACATCAACGTTAACTGGTCAACAAAGAGTGCATCCTTGAGTTGCTGCATTTGTTGAAACTCCTTCTCCAGTTCTATATCCAGCTCTTCGAAATGAACAATCTTGTCGTGAATTTCCTTCGCCTGCAAAAACAGTGTTTACAGGATTAAAAATCATCCTAGCTCAAAAGGTAAGTCAATCAGAATTACCTCGACAAATCCACCAAGTATTAATGCAAGATAGAAGCCCAAACAATAATCTCAATAAAAAATAACCTGAACAGCTATATTAGACACTGCTTTCTCCAAATCTTCTTCTTCTTTCTCGAGTTCCGATTCCGCTTCCGCAAGGGCTTGGTCTATACTATTTGCGGGATCAACATCAGCTGCAGCATCAGAATCTGCACCAACAGGAAATTATCATCTTACAAAACTCGTTTCGATCACAATGAATAAGATCGTATATTCGGGATCATCAATGTTGCATCTGGATGAGTATCTAGGCTAAATGAACCTGCTCCTAAACAAGAAGTATGATCTAAAGAAGTCTGCTATGTTTATTAGCTCAACCCAAGAAAAACTTGCTGCAATCCCTTGACTACATGACCTTTATTTTATTACAGCCTAACTAATACTATTATATCCAGTAAATCTCCCTTTGTTCCTACTGGTTATTGAGGAAAATTTCAAGGCCAACCTAGACAAAATCACTTCAGAAGCTCAACCATTTCCCACCCAAGATCCAAACATACCTTCTTTTCTTGAACCACCAGGAACGGATTTAGGATTCTCTTTATTGTTTGCCGCACCATACTCATACAAAGCTGCCACAGCAGCATTTGCTGAAACTTCTGCAACCTCTGCTCCAACCAATGCCGAAAGAAAAGCAGCCTGACAGAATCAAGAGCGACAAAAGCAGACCTTCAGGCTTCAGCAATCAAAATAAGTTATATAATTTTTACCCAAAAAACTAATAATAATAAGTTACACAAAGACAAAACTCAGCAGATCACATCAGAAATTCATTCCACGGACCACACTAATCCTAATGCGGAATGTCACAGATATAGCGTTGTGCCACTTGTATTGACCACCAAAAGACAGTGCTTCTCTGAACTTCACTAATCTTTGTTCTACTCATATATGGGGAGAATAATTAGTCAGGAAAAAAACAATGCCGCGAGAAGTTCAGAGAAGATTGTCACAAATGTACCCACAGCCTCAAAGCAAAGGCAATCGTATTGAGACCTTTAAAGTCGAGACTGTTGCTACGCCACTAGACCAAAAAAATGCCAGTATAGAATCTCTACCTGGGCCATTATAGGGTTGCTTGCATCCGCTAGTGGTGTAAGGCGCATCTTTTTGTTTGGAAATGATGAATCCTTTGGACCAAATTCATGCTCCACCTCAGAAGATTCTGGAGATCCAACAAACTGGTCACCAAAAGGAAGCTTAATAAAACGAGCTACACACTCCTTGTCGTTCTTTCCAGTGACACGGTCAGCAACCTTCTTCCAGTCATCACCATAATGCATCACAGCTTCTAGTAAGAGGAGAGTTTCTTTATCTGTCCAATCATTTTTTACAACTTCGGTAATCTCAACGCGTCTAAAATCTGAAGTATTGATAGCCGAACTCTGATTGACATAGCATCTCGCACACAACGTCAAATCGAGCTGCAGAGGAATCAAAACCAACATGTCAAGATAAGCAAGATAATGGCTACATAACCCCATTAGGATACACTTTTGTTTTGCAAAAACAATGTTGCTTGTAAACTAACATCAAATTCCTTCCTCAATGCAGACCTTCTTATAATGTGCTTGAATCAAATGAAGCCTTGTCGTTACAGTCTATTCATATGGCAGCGTGATGTAACCAAAACAACTATGTTCATCCTACTAAGTGAAATTGGCTATATAACTCACATGGCACCATCCTGTTCTATCAGAAAACAAACTTTACGTACAAATCCAGGCGTATGATGTCCTTTTCTATAGATTTTTCCAGAGTCTTTTAGGACTTCTCCTAACCCTTTAGGTTTGAGTAAGTCATTACCTGTTTTGTACAGGGATTAATGGTGCATCCAAAAATAATCTAAGCAAATGTCCAGACTATCTATTACTCTCTAACCTCTCTCTTTTTGTCTATATGCAATGCAACGGAACCCACTATATGCTATGTAAACAAAATAGAAGGTTTAGATAGTCAAGAAATCAAAATGGAGAAATTTCGTGATAAATGAAAGAATGAACAACCTTGTCGGAAGTGAAGCAAGAAAAGGAGCAGACACATTTGCAGTCACCACAGAGTTTCTTCTTGGGTTGCAGCTGAGAAGTATTAGCACCATCAGAAGCAGCCGAGGAAGTGACATCAGAGGTAGGAGGGGTGGATTTAGGGTGGGTGGATTCCTTGTCGAGCTGGATGGCAGCGGCCTTGGAAGCAGCAGAAGCAGAATGAGGAGGGGGAGTGTAATTAATCAAACCCCACGTTTCCAAGAAATCAAAAACCCGCCGAATGGAACCCACATCTCCTATGACAATCTTGCGGACTTCCGTAAATGTGATCTTTTTTGAAGGGTTGTCTCTGAATCTATGAATTATTGCATTCCTGTAATACTTGTAAACCTTCGAATTCTTGGATGGTGTTCTACCGTCAAAGAACTCTGGAAGGAACCGAAGCTCGCATTGATGAATGTTTTCCCAAGAAAACCACCCTTATCGACCAGAAGAGAAAAGAGAAGAATAAGCATTCCCACTAACCATAGGAAAATAAAACAAAACCATACTATTCACAGATAAAATAATTACAAAACGGAGCAAAAATGTGGATAGGGATACTTGCAGCTAAGAAATGAAAAGCCTATGAAAGGGCCAGAAAAAGGTAACATTCCCACGAACTACACAGCATTAAAACAACAAAGTTCATGTTGCCTTAGAACAAAGGAAAAAAGTATGTAGAAAAATCAAAATTGCATGTTATAAACACAAGTATATGTCGAGAAAAGGGCAACCATCCCACTAACAATCTCAAACATTATCAAAATTTAAACTAATGCGAAAAATTCGAACTTTCAGCTAAAAAAATGAACATAAATAAGAAAGGCAGGCAAATTGGCAACATTCGCTTTAAACATAGAGGTATTAAGAAGGGGTACCGAAAAGTGCTTACGGGAATAGCTAGGAATGGAGACAACCTCGGCGGAGTCAGGATAAGTGTGACGAGAAACCACATCGGTGGCGGCGGGAGCGGATGGCTCTGGTGGTTTTGGTAATGGTTTGTTGTTCGTGTTATGAATCCCGGCAGATGTAGGAGATGCGGAAGCGGCGGTCGCTGCCATGTAATTTTAGTTAACTTGCTCGGCGATGGTGGGTTTCCCCCTTCTTCTCGTCCGGGTTCCGGCGTGTGTATTCGGGTAATAATATAACCCGTTATATTTGCAAGAGGTGTAATCTGGATCTATTAATCATCTAGGCCCGGTGTAGGGTAAAATAGAATAATTTGGACTGAACCCAGTTTAATGGGCTTTTATTGGACCACTCATGTAATAATTCTTATTATTTTTAATTAAAACGTAAAGAAAAAAATATACTCTTATTAATTAATGAAAAAATGGAAAGGAAAAAAAGGAAAAAAGTGTAGCTGAAAAAAGCGTCTGATAAAACGTGTGAAATTAGAAATGCAGATTCTAATTGGTTGAGACACTCATGTCAAGTTTATTTGTTCGAAAATTGGCATTATGACCTTGTGACCGTAATTCAATTTAGTCGTCTTTTTTCTTCTTTTTTTTTGGTGATGTAGAAAGACAATTCACAGCTAATTATTCTTTAATATTTTAGCAAACAACAGGAAGTTTATTTCTGTGATAATTTTCTCAATCGATAAACACTTAGCATTGGATTAAAACCAAATGAAGACTCATATGTGAATCCATTTAAACCCAAAAAGAGGTTCTGCTTAGTTACAAATTATGGTCGTTGTAGATTAGTTTGGGTAATTAGGTGCTAAATGTTATGACGGTGTTACGGATGCCACATGAAGAGTTTTTGTTGGCCAATGTTATTCTTCACACCAGTGAGGTTGATTTATGGTAAATTCTAACACCAACTTTTTCATTTTCACTCCCGTGTACATTCACATGTGTAAATGGGCACCAACTTTGACTCATCATTTGCGTAACTTGGTTGGTGATTCAATAAGTTAGGTAATTAATCAATTGAATTTTAGGTTATTCCGGGATTATGGTGAATTTCAAACACTCTCTTTAATTAAAGAGTGAAGGATTATTCCCATTGAACCGTAATTGTTTTAGTAACCCCCCCCCCCCCTCCCCTACTTTAATAGAGTGCTAAATGTCGTTCGTGTTTTTCAAATCTTATTAAGAAATCATAATAAAAGTTAAATATATAAGAGGTTGAATCTATAGTCTCTCCTGTTGTCTCAAAATTATTATTGTTTAGATTTCACTTTTGTTCAGGGTGAATCCAAATTGAACAATAATTTTAGAACAGAGAGAGAATAGTACATTCAATATTATTATTAAGGAATATCATTCAACAAAATAATCATTTTGTAAAGAATATTTTAGTTCAATAAAATTATTTTATAAAGAATACATAATTTTATAAAGGAGTAATATAATAATCCTAAAAAAAAAGTCCCAAGTCCCAACCAATAGGAGACCAACGAGTTCGAGTCCCAAAGTAGGCAAAGGCTCGAAAGCCCAAAAACTGGAAGCCCCCTCTTTCTTTCCTTGTTTCATACTCCTATTTTAGTAATCCAAAACGCACAAAAAGAATATATCTCCCCCAAACCACCCCCCACCCAACCAAAATTTTTATTTCTAATTTTTTTGAAACAACAAAATTAAAAAAGAAAAAAAAAAAAAACAAAAGAACAAAAAATGGGTAAGGCTTCTTCAGCAGCAGCAGCAACAAAAACGACAACTACTACCACAACAATTACTTCATCCAGAACTGCCACAACGACGACGGCCACCACCTCCTCCGCCGCCGCCGCATCCGCAGCTAAGTCCCCTTCCGGCGGGTTATTACACGGGATGAAGCGCAAGAAGAAGAAAGGCCGCCCCTCTCTGTTAGATCTCCAGAGGCGCAAACTTCAACAACAGAAACAACAAGAGAAACAGGATCATCTCGCCAAAATTACTAACCAGAATAACAATAAAACCCTAACCCCTCCTCCTCCTTCTTCCAATTACAATTCTTCCTCCCGTCGATCCACTCGCCGGAACCCTAACCCCAATCTCAATTACGATTATTCCCCCTCCTCCTCCTTCGACGACGGCGACGACGACGATGACGAGCGGCAGCAGAAGAAAGTTAAGCTCGTTGTTCGCCTTCCCCAATCATCCTCCGAACAGCGCCAACAACGGGAAGATTCTCCTTCTCGGAATTCTCCGCCTTCCTCCTCCGCCGCGGCTTCTGATTCCGACCAAGATAACCGCCGCGAAGTCGAGATCAATGCCGGTGACGGTAGATCTAACCCCGCCGGTCTCAATCAGGTTCTCAATTTTGAGGGATTTTATTTCCCTCCCTTTTTTCTGCATTCTATTGGGAAATGTTTGGTTTTTGGAAATTCGGTTTTCGAGTCAAAGCTTTGGGTTCTCTTTTCTATTTTTGGAAAAAATTAAAGCGTCGTTTTTTCCCCTCTTCCTGTGGTTTCTGTGTTCGAAGAATTTAAGGTTTCATTTGTCTAGATGTGGTTGCAGTTCATGGGATTTCGCGCAAAATTTTACTTTTTCTTTTTAGTTTTTTTTACAAAAGACTTCTTTTAATAAGTGGATATATGACTACTGACTTTTGAGAATCTGAATTATTATGAGAAGTGGGTTCAAGGGTTTTGACTCTGTCCAAGCTTTACAAATTTGGAGTTGCCCTGTTCATTTATGTTTCTTTTTCTTATTTTCTCCAGTTTCCCCTTCAGCTAAGATTATAAAGATTCAGTCTTTATACTGCTGGTAGTATTTATTTTATTGTATATATATGTATATATATATATGTGTGTGTGTGTGTGTGTGTGTGTGTGTGTGTGTTTCAAACCATCAGTTTATAAGCATAATTATTTTGGGATAAAGTTTTGTTTTGTCTTTTCTGATCATTGACATTTATAGTAGTTGCAGAAGAAGCAGCTGCAGCAGCATGTTTATTTATTCTGCCCTTCTTTTTCCCCCTCAACATTTTCTAAAGCTTCAGATTGCTCTGCGTTTGTACTTGCTCTGTGGTTGTCCATTTACTGGACATTTTCACACCTTCTTCTGCCTAATTTTGAGTGTTAATTTTTTCTGCAGGGGAGAAAGACTGTGAAAACGATGGGCACTGTACATGGTTAGTTATATTAGTCAAAGATTTTTCAACCTTTTTGGGAGACAATGCTAATGTTGGGAATTGCCCAACCAAGAGAAAAGAAAAGGTGTGTGTTTTTAAAGGCCTGATTGTTGTCATCTGTAATTTTTTGTGGACAGGGTCTTCTCTGGTGACTGGACCCACATCTACACCTTTGCCAGATAGAACCATGTTGGTGTTCGTCCTTGACAGACTTCAAAAGTATGTAGTAGTTTTACATGGTGTTCTTCTTCCATCTCTTAGCATAATAGTTGTATCATTTATTTTTCTCCAACTATTCTTTACTCTTTTATATGTAATTTAAACTCACCTGTCTCCTCTTAAATGTAGGAAGGATACTTATGGGGTGTTTTCAGAACCCGTTGATCCAAATGAGGTGCTTATGTTGTAATTATAACAGCTTTTCAAGTTATACAGTGCTTTATTTTTTTTATCCCCATGCTGATGCATTTGTGGTTCGTCTGTAGCTTCCTGATTATCATGAAATTATCGAACAACCGATGGATTTTGGGACTGTGCGGAAAAAGCTTGATGATGGGGTTTACACCAATTTGGAAGAATTAGAGGTTGGTTTGATTTGTAGGCTCTTAGCATTAGCCTTAGAGAATATGACTCTTTCAGTTTTACAGATACTTCTTGTTGCATGTGTGTTCAAATGTGTAATTGGTTGCAATTATGTATTGATGTAACAAATCTGTCTTGATGGAGTATTGCATGCTACTGGTTGCACCACGCTGCGCACCCTATCTCATTCAAGACAGGGCTCCAATTACATTGAAAGTATTTGGCATAGGATCAACAATTTTGGTTCATTTTTTCTCGCGTGATTGGATAATTGGTGTACAGTATTTATGTGTCAGTGTTGTCTGGTCTCAATGTTGTGTGCCTGGTAATATTTTTTGACATGTTGATCATCTTTTTTTATCGGTGCCTATGTGTCCATTTTTGCAAACAATGACTGCAACATTGGGGCTTTAGTAGATTTAGGGTGGTTACTTGCCTGTTTTTTGCTGTTTAAAGCGCCAGTTATGCAAATGTATGAGTGTATCAACATTTGCCGTGTCTGGGAATTTAATTTGGTTTTGTTTTCTAGTTAGCCTTGATAAGTGACATGCCATTATTTTATATTTCCCGTTGGCTAGCTCAAGGACTCTTACGCGGGGCTCTGAAAATTTATTTGTTTGGGGTTGGCCTGTTTGCATAAACTCTCTTTTTCATTAAGTTCCTAGGTTGCAAATGATTAACAGAGAGAAAGGGGGTAGTAATTGAGGATATGAGTATATTTATTAGCTTCTTTCTTTGTTTGGATGTTTGCGCTGATATTCACTTGTCAGCAAGAATAGTTTGTCTCTTCATGATATGCTGTAATTTAGGCCTTCTGTTTTTTGCTGGGTCCTGTTCTTCTCCTCTTCTTGTCCATAGTGATGCGATGTGAGCCAATTCTCTGTTTTACTTACTGTGTTGAAGGCTGCATTGAGTTGTCATAAAAGTGCTTTCGAATTTTACAGAATGCTTGAAATTCTGGTTGATTTGGTCTTTGAACTTGTGGCAATGGCTATCTTTGTTTTTGCAGGCTGATGTGATGCTGATATGTTCGAATGCGATGCAATACAATTCATCAGATACTGTTTACTATCGACAGGTCGGACTCTACTGTTTAGATAGTTTTTGTTTTTACTATGCGGTTTATTCTTGGTACTGAAGTTCGGTGCATTTTCAGGCTCGGTCCATACAAGAGCTGGCAAAGAGGGATTTTGAGAACTTGAGGAATGAGGGTGATGACGGTGAACCACAACCAAAAGTTGTCCGAAGAGGGAGGCCTCCAAGCAAGAATCTGAAAAAACCTATCGAGACTTCACCGAGTGATCGTGTTGGTCTTGAGGTCTCCTCGGGTGCCACTCTTGCTACAGGTGAAGATAAAGCAAGTGGATCTAATGGTTACAATTTAAGAAAGGGGCAGTCGATGCTATATAAACTTCGCTCAAATGATGCATCGTCTGGAACTTCATTTCGTACACGCAATGGAGAAAATTACTCTGATTGGTTAGTTGATTGGAACAGTGAATTTCCAGGTATTACATGCAGGCTTTCTGTAATTCTTGACTTTTAGGTGCTACATTATGTGTGTCTAATGTTCTGACGTAAATCTATTATATTCTGTTTTGTTAGCAAACATTTTAAGGGCTGACATGAAATATGGGAAAAAGCATTTTACTATGATTGATGAGACCAGGCGGGATACCTATAAACAGTCCCACCCGTTGCCTTCGAGCAGCAACCAGTCTTACTTCTCAAATTCCTTTGGAGACATGAAGCGGCTAATGTCGGTCAGTTTCAATATCCTATTTCTTGGACTCTAAAAATCTGTCTTTGGTTTTGAGTAGAACTTGAGAATCAGAGCTTTTCATATTATTTTCACTCTCCTTAAATACTACTTATTGGATTGCCTGACGAGATATATCACTCGACCGTAAATTGTTTTCGCCTGGGTGCTAATGCAGGTAGGTCTTCACATGGATCCACATGCTTATGCGCGAAGCCTGGCAAGGTACGCCGCAAATCTTGGGCCAGTTGCTTGGAATGTTGCTTCTAGGAAATTGAAATCTGTTCTTCCTGATGGACTGGCCTTTGGGCCAGGATGGGTGGAAGAAAACGATTTGCCGCTGCCTTTTTTACCTGATAAGTTGAAGTCAATGAACACCTCAGTACCTAACCATGATTATTCTGGCAAAATGGTAAACCCATCCACATCTGAGTTGAGTTCTGTACATAGACCACCAGGAGAAATTGCTGATGCTGGAAGGAGATCGAGTAGTCAGAATGAGTTACCCAATCAGGGTAGCGGGTTATCCTGGGCAATACCATGTAGTGGAAACTCCTTCCAGACTCCACCACAGAAAGCAATATTTCACCCGAATAGAAATGGTTTTAATGGGATGATTGGGTTTGATATGTCATCTCAAATGGGTGTGGCACAAGTAGCCGCCACTCAAGCAGGACATTCTGGGTGGGATAATCAAATCCTCCCTGGTAGGCAATCTGCAGGCAATGTTGCAGCCCTTCATTCAGGGCCCCAGTACCCGCCAAAGTCAGCAGAAGCAAAATTGTCGGATAATTGGGCGTTAGCCCGATCTGGTAATTCGCTAAACCAAGCCTCTGATTCACAGATGGTATCTGCGATGCATAGGCAATCGCCTGCAATCCCGCCTGATCTAAATATAAGAGTACAGGCAACATCGGGGTCCCCCAGTTCTAGTTTACAGATTGGTTCGCCGCAACCAGATTTAGCCTTACAGCTTTGACTCGTAGTTTAATTTTGTGTTTCTTACTTTATTTTCTTTTTTAATTAGGGGAGATTATTTTGAATTGGCAGAATGTAGTTGATGGGCGTTAGTGATATCCAGGTAGAGAGCTCTGCTGTAAGGTGAAGGAATATAGGAAAAAAGTATTGAAAAAACTTGTACAGATGATAAACAATGTAATTTAAACATTTCTTTTAGGCGAAGACTAGAGGGCATTCGATTGTAACATTCCAAACCTTGATCCTTTAGTGCAGCGATAAGAGTTAGTACTAAAGAGTTTGCATTGTGTTTGGCATTGGAAATGAATGAGCAAATGGGGAGCTCAGCTGAGCTGACTGCAAACATTGTAACCAATTTTCATGAAGCTCTGTAAAGGCGATGAAATGTTCGAGGCTCTGGATTGATATGTTTATTCGAAGCACAACATAAACTGGGGAGTTGTAGAAATGATATAACGTTAGATATTAGATTAGTCAAATAAGTTTAAGCTGATCCATTCAAACTGTTTGGTATTAGAATTTTTCTTTGAAGGGGGAGAAATATAATTAATTGGGGAGTGTATTTATAACAAGATTCATTCAGAAAATATTTTTGGTAGGTTCAAATTCAATGGATCGTCTCATATAGTACACGGGACTTTCCTCCATACCTGGAAAGATAATCATATGTGATTAAAAGGAAATATCACCCATTACTTAGTAAGTTGGTGAGTGACCTTATGTATCCCCAAAAAAGGGTAAATATCCAGCAAACAAAGAAAAGGCTAAATTACAATTGATGACAAATAGAAGGAAAATATTTCGAAATATATTAATAACTCTCCCAATTTCTTTCCAAAAAATTTTAAACAAAATGAATTTCAAATAAATTCATGAAACACTTTTTGACCAAAAATACAATTTGAATCCTTTTTTCTAGTAGATTACGTATTATTGTTTCATAATACACCTCATCCTCCTCACACAAAAAACTATATTAATCCAACCAAATCTCCAAGATATTATTATATTTTATTTAAAAAAACTTAATTTGTCTTTGTATCTGACTCAATATCCCCTTCAATTATTCAAAACATTAACTCCAAAACAAACATTTATTTTTCTACCTTAAACCAATCATCATCATCATCATCATGGATTATTCACAGTTATAGAATAATAATAGTTAAAATATTCTTCCCCTTAATCTAAAGCAATCACCACCAACCTTTCTTCTTCATCCTTCCTACCACTTTATTATACAACTCAGAATAAGAAACCGAAAGTCAGAGGAAGGAAAAAAACAGAAAAGTAAGTAGCGCCCTTCGGATTTTCTTTGTTTAGTGTGTTTAATTTTTATTAGAAAATTCATAAAAAGTGAAACTTATTTATGTCCTTCCAAATCCCCAGTTTCCAGTTATTAGAAATTATGAGTAGGATGAGTTGATGGATGGAAATATGAAATGGAGGGTGGGAAGAGGAAAGGGTTGATGATGATTAGCATGACCCGAAAGGTACGCACAACCTTTCCCTACGTACTTTTCTCCATCTTTTGCTGTGCTTATTTGTCTCACCATTACCTCCACCGCCACCATGATCCCGTCTCTCTCATCACCACCACCACCACCACCGCTTCCGATTACCATCTCCTCCGCTTCCTTCCTCAGCCGCCGTCAACCATCGGCTCCTCTTCCTCTGGTTATATTAATCAGGCTATTCATGAAGAAAATCTAGCCCCACAGCGGATACCTCCCTTCCAACCTTCCTCCAATATTGAAGATGACCATGGTGTTGTTGCCGAGGTCCCGGTCCCCAGTGTTGATTCTCCTCCTCCGCCGCGGCCATGGTTGGAAAGCGTTTCGATTCTCTTGCCGGATTGGGAGGTTCTCGTCATCGTTTTACCGGATGATACTGCCCGGATGATGTCATATAACGATGCCGGCGATGGATACCATTGTTTGTTTCCCAATAATGATGTTTCGCCGGCGAAGCCGTCTGGGTTGCTTTCTTCTCCTGCTAGGTCAACCTTCAAGTGCCTCCTTCCCAACAGGATCCGCCGGAGACTCCCCTTCCCGAACCCGGTCCTCACGAAGAGTCCCGATCAGCCGTCCCCGCCGCCTCCACCGGTGCCGACGGAGATGTTCCGGTGGACGTACGTCGTGTACGACTCCATAACCACCGACGACGACGTGGTGGTGCTGGCCAAAGGGATCAACACCCGGCAGGGAGTCAACCGGGACCCTTCCGAACTGAAGTGCGTGTTTTACCATTCAGATGACGACGTCGCTGACGGCGTGAGAACGGACGTTACGAATTCGATGCAAGAGGTATTCCGTTGCAAACGGCCTTCCGGATTGGAAGATGAAAGGCTCGTCAAAGTCGCGGTTGAAATTATCCAAGATAACAATACAAAGGTGGTCCCCACGGTGGCGTACTATAACCCATCCCTGCGCAAGTTAGCAAACCAAGGAACAAAAGAAAAGGACCAAAAGGCGCTACTGTGCGCCTGCACCATGGTATTCAACGTGGCCAAATTCTTGAAAGAGTGGGTAATGTACCATTCCAAGCTCGGCGTTGAGAGATTCGTTCTCTACGACAACGGCAGCGACGACGATCTCCAAAACGTCGTCGCTGAGCTCAACCGTAACGGCTACGACGTCACCACTTATTTCTGGCTCTGGCCCAAAGCCCAAGAAGCCGGATTTTCTCACAGCGCGGTTTATTTGAACGATTCGTGTACCTGGACGGCTTACTTCGACGTGGACGAGTTCATTTACTCGCCGGAATGGTCCGACTCCGCCGCCCCGTCAAAGCTCATGTTGCATTCCTTGTTATCCGACGGCGACGGAGACGGAGCTCCGTTACCGAAGAAGGGGGCGGTTCATATTGACTGCCGGGAATTCGGGCCGTCGAATCAGACGGAGCATCCGCCAACGGGTGTGACGCAAGGGTACAACTGCCGGAAACGGGGGGAGAACCGGCACAAGTCGATTGTTTTGCTCGACGCCATCGACGATTCGTTGTTGAACGTGATCCATCATTTCAATCTGAAGCCTGGGTTTGTGGGGAAGAAGATGAACGTGAGGAGGATGATTGTGAATCATTACAAGTTCCAAGCATGGCCGGAGTTTAAAGCTAAGTTCCGGAGACGGGTTTCGGCTTACGTCGTGGATTGGACCAAACAGGTGAACCCGAATTCTAATGATCGGACTCCCGGGTTGGGTTTCGAAGCTGTGGAGCCCCCCGACTGGCCCCGGAAGTTCTGTGAAGTTGAGGATGATGGGTTGAAACAACTTACGCTTAAATGGTTCGCCGTTGACTCCGCCTCCGACGCCGGCGGCGGCTTCAAGATGGCCTGGCAATAATTAAATGATGTGGTTATTACTATTTTATTCAAGATCCCCCATGCATGCGCATGCACTTGCATACACATGAATTGCTTTGCCAGAATATGAAATTTGACGGCTTCACTCTTGCTGACGAAATAATATTTAACCTTTTCCTCACAAGAAAGTCAAAGACTTCTGGTGGAGAAGACGGCGCTGATCGGAGTGATATTGCAGGCATTGCCGGCCGGAGAAGTGCCGGTGAGCGCATTACTTATTAATTTTGTGGCCTTTTTTATTGTTGTTTTGCGACATGTTTTATGTCACTAGATCGAGGATGCTGTAACATAGAGTACATACAGTACACCACTTCATTTTCTTAATTAGCTCAATATATGGTTAATGTAGGAGATTATTAGAGTTAGATACGACATAGAATACTTTTCTTTCTCCTTTATTATTCAAAAAACAAAGCAAAAAAAAAAAAAAAAAAAAGATTATCCTTCCATTTTGTTCATTTTTCCTGTCAGTTGAAAATAGGCAATACATGAGTTTGGAAATTACTGAACAGGAAAGTATGCAATATTATTCCCCCTTTAATAATTTATTTATTATAATGCATATTTTGGTTTCTGAATGTGGTTTTAGATCACACGAACTTATGTTTTTGACTAATTTTGTAAGACTGCTGCAGGCTTCCTGTGGTTTACATTTTGTACACTAGCTGGCTAAACCTGCGGTATTACTTCAAATTTAATTTCCTACCAGTTCCTGATTTTGTTTTACATGTCCCAAAATAATAAATACTACAATACACGTTTGACTCTTATTATTAAGACGAATAAAGTAAACTCGATTGTGCAATCAAACAAAAATTTCACAATTGCAGTTAAATTCCATTTGTCATTTGGCTACATAAATGTATGTCAAGTTTTGAGTGTCGATCAATTCTTTTAGAATCTCAATTTATTGAGGGGTTTTCAAAAATGATTCGCTAGTACTCTTTCAATTTGATTAGTTTGATTCTTCTTCTTCTTTTTTTTTTGGGTACAAAATGATGGGATTTTTTTTTCCCTCCTCCACAAGATCAATTGTTTATGATTAATATACTTGCTTGCAAGCTACTAGTGTACATGTTACTTTCGCCCGGAAGTAGAATCCATTTCATTGAGATATATGCTTTACTAGGTTTGGTCAATGATTTTGGGGATTCCATCCACATGTATTGTTTAGCAGAATGTATGTTTATATTCAGTACAACTCCATCATGTCATGCTTCGCAAATTATGCATGACAGCAATATTTTTTGTAAAATTAATTTTCCTTCGATTTTTTAGTGGCAGAAAAACTCATTACACAACGTCAATCAATTCGATGGTTGAACGTAAATTGCCGATGACAACGAAATTAATCGAATGTCACAGCGGTGAAAAGGATTCTTTAAGTATTCATCGGCATAAGTGCATTTTCTTTCTTTTTTTTTTTTTTTCTTTTTCAAACTTCCTCTGTAATAAATAAAATATTTACTTCGAGTCTGAAGGATTTGGAAAACGAAAGGTCCTGCAAATAGTTAATCTTATAATCCCTTGGCTACCTAAGCTGATAACTGAATACAAAAAAATTTAAGTATTACAATTTACTAGTCATTAGTCAAATGGGCATGATGCTGACATTAATTCATCTAAAATTAGCAAGCTAGCTAGCTAATACGGTAATACTACCAACTAATCAGTTGCTGCCGACAAGCGCTATCCATACATATTATATCATGAACCAAACATGAATAACTGTTGAACCAATACTTAATTTGTGAGAAAAGGAGTCGTGTATTTCTCATTTTTGTTTCAATTGTAACAAATACGTATAAAGTTCATCAAGCATCACACACAACAAAAAGAGTGGGATAAATTACTGGGGATATGCATTCTAAATTTCGTACAGGAAATGAAGCATCCATACCGCAAGCGCGCCCAACACAAGATATACGTCTTTCATCCGAGGAAAAAAATCATGATTTTTCGGAAACGTTGGAGTTTTTTTTTTTTTGGTTTTTAATAAATCATGATTTAGTATGTCAGATGAGAATCTAATTAAGATGCAGATATCACCAAATTAAACATGGTCTCCTTAATTCCGTGTAATCTCAGGAATTGAACAACGGTCCACATACATGTATGTGTACATACTAAATACCACTAGTACTATCTTGTGGACAAAATCCACTATCTAAAAATGATTGAATTCAAACTAATAGGGAAAATTAAGGGCAAAAAAAAGGGTGATGAAGAAGCGAAGGGAATGGCTTTAGACTTTAGAGCAGAAAGGGCGGCGGAGTTTGTTCTGCATGCACATTTTATGTATACCCAATCGATATGCATGTATATATGGCTGCCGCATCGGGCACTTGGGTTGCACACAAAGTTCATTTCTTCAAACTCATCCTTTCGATCTCTCTTTTACTTTTTGGCTTTTATGTTGGAATTTTTAGCATCATATATATATATATATATATATATATATATATATATATTTTTAAAAAAAGCCCGTTTAGTTGATTCAACATCCTTTGATTGCTTCTAAAGTTAGCTCATGTGCATGTATGTTATGTCAACTTATCCACGTATTCTCTCCCTCCCCTTAAGTTATTCTTGAGGTCATCCCAAATTTTCCTTTTTCAGTAGATTCTTGAGATCATTGATATTATATTATGTGTTGTAAGACACTCAATCTATATTTTCCACTTTTATGGTTTAACTCTGTTTTGTATTCGTGATCATTCGTTGCTAGGTAAGTGTTTTGAAGTCTGTTCACATTTCGTGCATAACTGACATCAACGAATATGATGATGATGCTTGCACGAGCTGAGTGACGAATTCGGATGTAGTAGAGATAGATACAACAATTTTATCATAGTAAATTTTAGTAGTGACTAATTATATATCATTCACTTGATGATACTTGATGAAAATAATAATAAAGTGAAAATAATACTCCCTTCGTCCCATAATTATTGTCTAGTTTAGGTTTTTATTTTTAGTTCAAATTGTACTAAAAGTGAAATTTCAAACTGGACAGTAATTTTGGGACAGAGGAGTAATAATAATAAAGCAAATAATAGAAACCGAATGAATATCAAAAATGTTTGGATGGAACCGTGTAACTCTGCTACCTAGCTAGGGCTTGAGCCCTTCAAAATCTTGAAATTTGTTGCTACCATGAAAATCGTAGAATACTGCACAGATTGTCGATTGCAATCAAGAAATGCAAAGCATAGTGGGCTTTTTGCTATACATTTTATACTAAAGATGGACTGGATTTAGCCATTTAGGTTGCATAAAGTGGGTATGGGGCGGGGTTTGATTTGTTATTGACTCAGCCTACAAAATTTATCCATACGAAATGGGCCATCCATTTAAAAACTGCTGAACTACACGAACTTGTTACATTGATGGTATGCTTCGCCCCAATCTGGGCCTATGTATCAATTGGCGAGGATAGCATTTGATCCTTTAAGGCCGAAACTCAATTATGTCTTTGCACCAACCCATAAGGATTAAGAAAAATACAGCTCGAGAATGTTTGAATGATAGGGAAAGCATGAATAGGTTGGAGTTCAACTATAGGATTGTGGTGGAGCGATAAGAATTTTTTTACATTAATTATTAATCGAGGGTTTGCACTATTGGTATGAAATAACTTTAAATATTTTGTTTAGTATCAAAGTATTTATTATGAGCGAGGAGAATTAGTCACTCTGGGGACAAAATACAAAATGTAGTTGATCCCTTTTTTTCTTCTAATACTCCAATTAATTTATGAGAGAGTGGCCTCATTGGTCCCAAGAAATTTGATTGGTATTGACCGGCAAAACCAGGCATTAAATGGATCGAGGGGGGGTGTTTTGAAATTAAAGGAACAGCCGGCCTGGTCCCCACCCAAAATCCAAAACGTTTCAATGCAAATTGCAAAAGAATGTGAAAGGAAATAAATAAGAAAGGAGTGGATGGGAAAGCTTTTTTCTCCTCTACCGCGAGTCATTGCATTGCATTGTGTACTACACGTCGTGATTCCAATTAATTCACTTTCAAGGGCTCTTCTAATTTCTCATTACTTCATTTTCTTAACCCCCAAACAAAAAAAATTCATATTCTATCAATATAATTGATTATTAGCTTATTAAATTTTTGAAAAAAAAAATAAAAACTAAGAAAAGGTATTAAATTGAAACAAAACACCGGGAAAGCAACATGCAAAACGATTTATTAGGCTCTTTTCACCAGTTTCATGTCACGTCTCATCTCATCCATGAAGGAACCAACCAATAGCTAAAAGTCCAAAACCGCCTTTTCAATTTAAATAATTAAAACTGGAATTCCACAAAATCCACCTCAGATTTCACAGCATTTACCACTTTAACATTGTCAGACCTCAGAAACCCCAATAACTCTCTCTTCTCAAAACAAAGAACACTGACTCCAATCAGCTTTTCTCGAACCAAATCTAATCCAACCCAAGTTGGAAAAATTAAAAACAAAAAAACAAAAACAAAAAAAAGTAGAGAAACCGAAAAGGACATTGACGTCAGCTTGACATCATCGTCATCACCATTCATCTTCCTTCTGGACACTACTAGTTAGTGTACTGTAGTACATCAGCAAAACAACAGAGCTCTGGGCTGAAAGAAGAACAGATTTGGAAGGGAAGAGGGAGGAGGAAACCGTAAATGGTGGCGCAAAAGAAGGGGACTAAAATGCTCCATCTTTGTATATCATCAGCTCTGGATTTTACTACTACTACTAATACTTCTACTCTATAAACTATCAATGGTCTTAATTTCTCCCTTCATTTCAGGCCCATTGTTTCCCTCTTTCTCTTTTCCAAATTGCCTTTTTTCTGATCTTTTTTCCCCCATCCAGCTTTCCTGCGTTTTGTGTCATTTGTTATGTACGATTTTTGTCCTCCTCTGATTTAATTTTGGTCATTGTCATTTTTCAATTATTTTCGGTTTTGTTTTGATTTGGTTCAGATCTATCAAGTATCAACTTTGGTTGTCTTAGGTTAGGTTTTGATCCTCTTCTCTCCTTTTTTTCTTTTTTTTTTTTTTCCTTTCCTCTGCAAGAGGAGAGAAAGAATTCTCTCTCTCTCCTCGCCTCAGATTATAACATACATTTTGTTGATTTATCAAAATTGTTATCTCATTCTTCTTCTAATGTGTGTCATTAGGTAGTAGTTATTCTTTCTTTTCTTTTCTTTTTTCTGGAAGGGGTTGAATTGAGGGGAATTGTGTTGGGTTGAGGGTAAAAATCTGTTCTTTCTGGAAAAGTCCCCCAATTTTTATTAGCTATACCAAAAAATGAGCTGCTTTTCTTGCATGAGTCCTCGCCGCAAGGATGTTAGGGACTATGATGAAGACATGGCCCCTCGATCTGCTGATTCTGGTAGCTTTGCTTATGATGTTTCATTGTAATTCATAATTGTGATGTGGGTTGTTCTTGTTTTGATTAAATAGTTGATTTTCTTTTTCCTTTTTGTTATCCTTCTCAGCTAAGGGTAAGGCTTATGCTGATGGGAGCGGTAAGTGCTATTTTAAATTGAGCCCTTTTGAATTTGATTGGAAACCAAAGAAAGAAAGAAAAAGTTGAATCTTGATGAGTTATTGTTCAGGTGGGTTGATCATTTCTGCTGTTTATGATGTGTAGCGCATGGGAGGCGAGGCACTTCTTTGGGGGGTAAACTTAGAGATGCTATGGTCGCCCAAAAGGGTAATGTAGCACGTAGCTTCACGTTTAAGGAGCTCGCCACGGCTACCCAGAATTTTAAAGAGGCTAATATGATTGGGGAAGGTGGTTTTGGTTGCGTTTACAAGGGGCGAATTGAATCTGGCATGGTAAGTTCTCGTGTTTCCCTGCTCTAGATCATAGATCGAACTTGATTGCTGTCAAGAATTTTGAGATGTTTGCTAATGTCATTGCCATCCCCCTTTCTTCTAATATATAGAGAGATGCTTGTCAATGAGCTTTCTCAACTCTTCTCCTTTCATATAAGAACAAATTTTGCTTTATCCTGCATCCTCCGACCAATGATGATTAATTTAAAACTGTGAGCAGGTGGTTGCTATCAAACAGCTTAATCATGAAGGCCTTCAGGGGAATCAGGAATTTATTGTGGAGGTTCTAATGTTGAGTTTACTGCACCATCCCAACCTTGTGAATCTGATTGGATATTGCACAGATGGAGATCAGAGACTCTTGGTTTACGAGTATATGCCAATGGGCAGCTTAGAAAATCATCTTTTCGGTAATTTCTTTTGCTGTAAAGCTGAACATAGTTTTTCACTAATCTCTTTATTCAGTGTGATTAATTAAGGTATTTGAGAATTGTGGGTGAGAAAACATAGCCAACATTCATTTGCAACTGTTAATCTGGCTGATGTTAATGTTGTGGAATCTCACATTTTTGTATTCAGACCTGGAACCTGGCACAGAGCCCCTCAGTTGGAGCAGGAGATTGAAGATTGCAGTTGGTGCAGCTCGTGGTCTTCAATACCTTCACTGTTCTGCAAATCCACCCGTTATTTACCGTGATTTGAAATCTTCAAACATATTGTTGGACAACGACTTCAATTCGAAGCTATCTGATTTTGGGCTGGCTAAACTTGGGCCAGTTGGAGACAAAACCCATGTTTCTACACGAGTGATGGGGACCTACGGCTATTGTGCTCCTGAATATGCCATGAGCGGGAAGTTGACTTTGAAGTCTGATATCTACAGCTTCGGTGTGGTTCTGCTGGAGCTCATTACGGGCCGCAAAGCTATTGACTGCACTAAGAAGCCAGGGGAGCAAAACCTGGTTGTGTGGGTGAGCTCTTATTTCTTAACCCTTTTTCTGCATGTTGCCGATGATGATATTCTTTATGTCTTCAAAGTGTAGTTACCTTTATCAGAAAATCAATGAATGTCATGGTAGAATATTCTATGGGCCGTTCAGGTCTTGTTTATTTAGTACTCTGTACATCTAAAGAGATTTCTTCATTCTCGCATTGCAGTCCCGTCCATTCCTGAAAGACCGTAGAAAGTTTGTTCTAATGGTTGATCCACTACTTGAAGGGCGCATCCCAGTTCGCTGTTTGCATCATGCGGTTGCAATTGCAGCAATGTGCCTTCAGGAGCAGCCGAGTTTCCGCCCAATAATTGGTGATATTGTTGTGGCTCTTGAATACTTGTCCTCACAAGCTGAAAGTTCAGACGCTGCCAATGGCTGGTCTGCCGGTCAGGGGGGTGCATCCCCTTCTACCCAACATGCTAATCCCGACCCGAGAAAGAAAGATTTAGTTAATTATTCTGCTGCCTTTTAACCTTAAACATGTCAAGCTGCCTTGAAGTACATGCTGCTAATGCAATTTACTTTTGGAGTTTAACCGGGGGCTTAGAGTTTGAAGGAAACCAACCTTATTGATGGAAGTTGACCAAAGCTTAAAGGTAAATTACTAAGCTTGGAACTATGTTTGCAATATATACTGGCAAATTGTCAAATATCCAGCAAAGATGTTAAGTTGCTAACGTTAAAGAATTTTGACCGACTTTGCTATTCAAATACATTGGTCTGGTAGTCAGTAAGAAGGAATAGCTACTTTTTCAAGCTGCTGGCATTATCATGGAAATTCTTTTCCGTACCATGCTAACTGCCCTGATTCTCAGATAGCGCCAATAAAATGTAATTTCTGTACGTACCTTGTTTGTTCTAACCGTTTCTTGTTATGCTTTTACCTCGACGGTGGTTGAGCTTTCCAATGATGTGGCATTACTTCCTGTGTAGCTGCAAGTTTGGGAACACTGATTGGTTTTCTTCTCTAGACTAATTGTTTTTAGTGCAACGCAAGTTGTACTCAGAATTTTCAAGTTCTACTTGTTTTGAGGAGATTGTGTTGATTTGATATTTATCACTAATTGCAGGTTACTGCTGGAATGTTCATTCTGGTTCTGCTGTTGTTTCCTGCCTACTGCTGCCTGCCCTCCTCTCCTGACAAGACTCAAGAAAGAAAATTAAAAATATATATATAATATATGTAGGACTTCCATCGTATATATGCAGAGATAGGGATTTTTAATTTTTGTTACGATTTTTTTTTGGGGGTGAGGGGTGGTGCTTCAATGAAGAGGAAAGCTGGTTTTTGTAGCGGCAAGCAAGGGTCATCTGTGCTTGTTTGTTTTGCTTGCCATTAGAAGAAGAAGAAGAAGAAGAAATGAAGAAAGTGAATGTCTTGTGTAATGAGTAAATTATTATATGGAAAAAAGACGATGACATTGATTGTTTTTTGTGAAATCATATAGAAGACTGTACAGTAGTTTTGAGATGAATCTACAAAAAAAAGGTCTGAGCTCAAAACATGAAAATGAGGATAAGGTTATTAGCAAAAGACTTTACACCCCACTCCTCAAGGCCAAGCAAAGTCTTACATGGCGATGGTTTCTATTGCTCCAAGGTTGCACATCATCAGATAGACCCAAGTCAACTGATTGCAATGTCGGGGAACCTTATATCACTCGATACATGGAAATCATAAGAGTCGGAACTTCAGGTGACTGGAGAGTTGATCACAATGTCTAAAATTGCGCCGAGTAACTGTTGATTTTTTTTCATTTCACTCAATCATTTTGGAACGAAAGGAGTCACGGTAAGACATTGACGGGGTCTTTAGGATGGGGCAATGAGTTCTAGTGTGAGTTGCATAAAGTACATATATTCTTCCTGACGCTGGTTAATGTTCATGTTCATTTATGGTTAACACACTTAATACAAGAAAGAAAACCTCTTCATATATATATATATATATATATATATATATATATATATAAATTATTATAAAATTAAGAAAAAACTACAACCGACTCATCGGTCAGTCTCAAACTACATAGTATTTGATCCCTGGGGATCTAACCCAAGAAGACCCAGTATAACTTAGCAGAAATAGTTTACAGACCGGGTCATTACAGAATCAATTTCCTCTTCAGGTACATCGAACCTTAAACAGCCTGGCAGGTTTGTTTTGGTTTTTTTTTTTTTTTTTTTAAGGCAGCGTTAATTTCCAACATTTTAGTGTTTAATTAGGCGAAGGATAAGATGTGTCTCCTTGACCCACAACTCTATTATATTTCGTCTTTGACCTCTATAACAATTTTGTCTCCCCCCGCCAGTAAAAAACCTTTTCATTTCCAATTATGCATGCTTTTTACCACTTCTTATTTATAGTGTTACATTGATTTTTATTACTCCCTCCGTCCCATAATTATTGGCCAATTTAAATTTTTATTTTTAGTTCAAATTATACTAAAAGTGAAATTTTTAAACTAGACAATAATTTTGAGACAGAGGGAGTACTAATTATGAAGACCAATTTTCCATCCTCTACAGTCTACAGCCTACACACATCTAATCCTTCTTCACTCAATCACTTTTCATTATTTATCTTTCCAAGCTTGAATCTTTATCCCACGTGGATTTTTAACAAAGGAAAGCCCCCTACCCTAATGCCATTTGATTGATTAAAGTTCCGTGCTGCTCACCACTCCTCGAGGCCAAGGACGGGGTCGAACCGTCATTCCAGGATTTGCAGTCCGATACATTTCCATTATGTTACCTAGCCAAACCCGCCACCTCATGTGCCAAAGTAAAAAGGTTGTTCTTCCTTCTCCGCTCTCTCTCTTTCTACATATGCGGCGGCGGGTTACCAGAGAAGAGGAGGGGACAACTTATTTTTCCTTTGCCTTGCTCCATCTTCCTTTTCTGATTAAAAGTAGCAAGCCGAACGAACGAGGTTATTAGAAGTGAAGCTATTATGAGTAGAGAAGCCAGATAAAAGGTTGCTCATTTGTATATAGTTAGTCCCTCTGTCTTAAAATTATTGTCCAGTTTGATATTTTACTTTTAATATAATTTGAACTAAAATTAAAAATTCAAACTGGACAATAATTATGGGACGGAGGGAATACGTTATTAATGGTAAATATAGCATTTTGCACGAGGTTAGAATTGGAATCTTAACCGGTCTCAAACTATTCGATTTATTTTTTTCCATCTCTCTTCTTCTGTCGTCGTCCGTCTGATACTCTGATCCGACATACATCTATTGCTTTTCACACCATAATCAATTAATCATCATAGTAAGGATTATTAAATTACTCCAAAACTCGTTAACGTGTTTTTTTTTTCCCCTTTCTTTAAATCGAAATGGGAATATAATCTAACTACCCGGGCCGGAACCGTCCATTGACCGCGTAGGCCCCTTTAATTTATCATTTACACGAATCAAAAACATAATCCCTCCCATGGCCTCTCACTTGTTCATATTATAAAGTATAGTTAGTGACTACACGCTTACGTGTGGGGATCTTAATCTAAATCCAAGTGATTACTGCTCGCTAGCTTACAAGTTACACCCTTAACTCAAACGTGATTACTTTTTTCTTTTCCCTCTGTTACTACTTGCTAGCTTACATGTACTTCCTCGGGTTTGCTGCTCGGAATAAATTTTTTTTTTAATCTTTTCAAGACGCATTTCATAATATTAAAGTGTAAAACGAGTCGCTACTCGATAGTAAACGACTAAACGGGTGACAGTACCTATTCATGGTTATTTTAAGGTTAAGACATAGCAATCACTCATGAGTTAAGTAGAGGAGTATGAACCATCACATATATTCAATAATTAGAGAGCACTTTTCCCGTACCATAAAACAATTTACTTTTAATTTAATAAAAATAACTAGTATTACTTTTCTCAGACAATGGGTGTAATGTAGAGATCAATACGAGTCACATACAATGAATTTTATTATGTGAAATGACTCGACTGATTAAGAAAACACTATACATCTAAAGAATATAATTAAGAATTTTATATTAAAGTTGTGCTTTGACTCCTAAAAATCTAGCCGAACTAAGAATGAGGAAAAAGTCTCAATTGACAAATTACTCTGGCCCATCATCAATAAATTTTCAAACTAATGAAAGTAAATCACAAAAGTTCCAGCTGAACCATATGATTCATCTAAATATTAGTGCAAAATAGTACACATTGAGTTTTCAAATGTGTACTAAAACTAGTACAAATCTCAAAACTCAGTATGGACTATGTTTTTGGGACGGAGGTAGTACTACATATATACTGTAATAAAAACAACACTTTTTTGTGTTTGAAAAAAAAAAAAAAGAGGATTTCTGTATACCATAATTAAAAAATAACACTATTTTTGGTGTAAAAAAAAAAAGAAGTCAAGTTTATTGACCAACAAAGTCAAAGATCACTTTAATTTCATTCATAAAATCGACCCCAACATGACGACGACAACAACAAATATGTAATAAGCAATTTCGTTTGAGTTGATGAGTTCAAATCTTGACTTGGTTTTTTTTCTCATGTGGAAACTTAAAACTGGAAAGGTTAAGGTGTAAACTTGTCAATTTGACAATTACCACAAACTTTCATCAAATAACCCAAATCTCAGCTTTAAAAGAGTAAATAATGAATTCGACTCTACTGGTCTCCATAAATGCATTTCGAAGGTATTTGCCAGTACTTACTTTTATCATTCCTTAATAAAAGTGATAGTGAAATCCATTTACAAAAAAAAAAATGATAAAAAATAATAACAATAATAAAAAAAAAAAATTGCGCTGACTATACTGAGCTGAGTGTTGGAAATGTTGTCAAGCAATAGTTATGACAGCATAAATAGCAGTAAGGTATTAGTATTGTACGTATAAGCTAGCATATGAAGGCTAGCGGTTAAGGTTAGGAGATTTTTTATTATCGTCAAGATTTACGATTCAATTTTTGCTGCTGTAATATGTATTTTTATGATAAAAATAATGATACTCATCTCACTAAATTTATTCTATCCTTACATCTCATCTACATGTTAAATATTATTGAGCAGTGTATTTTTATATTGATACACCACATCTTACTTTTTTTTATATCTAAATAACTCAGTGTGAATATTACATTTCATATCAATATTGGTTCAATTAGTAAATCATTTGTATTATTATAATTTTTTCTTTAAGGATTTGTTTTTTTTTTTTGGGGGTTAGAAAATATTTATTTTAAAGTTTTGGATTAAATTAACTTATTAATTTTTTTTTAATAGTTAAATGCCATGTAAAATGAGACACAATGGTGATGAATACTTGTTTTATTTTTTAACGATAAACGGGCAAATAAGATGAATCGTGTATCATAATTTTACTTAACTATAAAAACTAAGCCTATTATGCAAAATGCCACTATATATATATATATATGAAAAATGAGCGATTTATCCGCACTATGTATTCCATCTGTCCCAAAATTATTGTTGTGTTTTTAGTTTTAATAAAACTCAAACTGGACAACAATTTTGGGATGGAAAGAGTATATAATGTTGGGTTAGTAAAAGAACCGTAATTTGAACAACTAATTTGATAGAGTAAATCACTTAAACGGATGTCCATTTGAAGGCTACATTTAATTTTCTTCTCCCTTTCTAAATTCAAGTAGCGCCGTAGGTTCAAATTCAGTTCGGAGTGTGTTTATGATACAGCAAAAACAATACAATTTATTGAATTTTGATCAGGAAAAGGGTGATTGCGAGTTTTTCTGATTAAAAGTTTAAAACTAACAAAATGATTCTAACAAATGTGTCCAACCAAAATAAAGGATTAGTCTGGTCAACCGGGGAAAATAAAAACTTGTTAGTAATTATTTATTGTAGCTGGTGCAGAAAATGCAGTCGGATAAATATGGTTTGTACATCACATCTCAAATAGATTATTTCTCAAATAGATTATTTCTTAAAATTTTTCTTGAAAAAAGGCCCTTACATAGTTACACTGAGTGATCACTCCCTAACCCCGCCTCCCACTGTGGTTGATGACATATATAATTAACAAAAATCAACGCAGCCGCGGATGTTTATTACATATTTTCTCCGGTGTTTATTGTAAGACGACATTTTAAATTTGTTTCCAATTTCATTTATTATGTTCTTTTCAAATTGAAAATAAAAATTTTACAAATATATATTTTTATATTATTATAAATTATTTTAAAGTTTTATTTTTAATTGAAAAAAATACACTAAATGAAATTTAAGATTAATAAAAATGACAAGGAGTAAATGAAATAAGATGAAGCAGCATATTCCGTACAGCTAGCATTGACTCAGTATAACAATTGCCTTGCACAGTTGAGGAAGACTATATATATATATATATATATATATATATATATATATATATAAACCTATTTGAGAGAAAGAGAGAGAGAGAAGTGTGATGACCAGTTTCCTGCTAGCTGCCTTTGGTCCTCCATAGTTTTTTTTTTTAGTTACAATTTTCTTCCCTAAACCGGAAAAAAAAAAAAAAGAGAAAAGAAAAGGTGAAGAAGAAATGGGATGTTTCCTGGGTCTCTCCCAACTCGGGGAAAAAAACTAATCCCATATCTTCCATCTACAGTCTCCATTATTAATCATTCGGCCAAATTTAATTTTCTTTTTTTTTGGTCTCCGCGGCTCAAACTTGTATGTTTGCTCGCTGCTTATAAATATCTCATCTCTAACTTGTGTACTCTGTTGTTGAGTACGTACGGTACGTAATTAAGTACGTACCTCCCTCCTCAATCATCGTCATCGGAACAAGAAGAAGAAGATCATCATCAATTTTGATTGGGATAATCATAATTAAGAGATAGAACATCACACACCCAGATGGGAAACTGTTACCCAAAGCCCGTCGACAGCCTTCCTCCCGGACCACCACCTCCTCCGCCTGCCACCACTCCTTCTTCAGGTGATTCATCGTTAATTCATTCATTTTAATTCCTTTTTGACTTATTTCAATTTGCCGTTCAATATTTTTCTTACTTAATTTATTGATTGAATGGTTCTTCCGGATTACGTAATTTTGTCTTGCTTTTTTTTTCCTACCAGGTCAACATCATAATAACAATAAGGGCTCAAAGCCGAGTCCCAGGAATGGCGCCGGACGGACTAAATATTCATCATCGCCATCACCCGCCCGGAATAATCAACCTCTTCATCATCAGAACGGTGACTTGAAACCACAAGAACAGGCTGCGGCGCCTCCTCCTCCTCCTCCTCCACCACTTACTTCTCCTCTTCCTCCTCCTCCTGCGACGGCGGCTGAGGCCGGTACTAGCAACAGCAACGGCGGTGCTACTCCTCGAAGCTTGAAGCAGTTTACATATGCGGAACTGAAGAGCGCCACCAGGAATTTCCGGCCGGACACGGTGCTGGGGGAAGGCGGGTTCGGCCGGGTTTTCAAAGGCTGGGTGGATGAGAAGACGTACGCGCCGTCTAAGGTCGGAGTTGGAATCCCGGTGGCCGTTAAGAAGTCTAATCCTGACAGCGAACAAGGCCTTAGCGAATGGCAGGTAACCTCCACGTCGATATTATTATTTTTTTATTTTTAATTAAATATACTACCTTCATTAACCCATTATTATTATCATTACTATTGTGATTGAAATACATGATGACATCATCACTGACTTGGCATGTGTATATATAATAAGGACGTGGCATCACCGGTTACAGTCATATTTCCTCAATAAGTATTTACTACTACTTATTATGCTAGTAAAACTAGTGAAATTTTCCATTCTTTAATATAGAATGTCTCATGCAAGTCCTGAATTGTTTTACAATAAAACATAAAAAAAAAAAAAGAAAAAGAAAACTACATTTGGGTGCGTTTTTTATTGGTTGGGGGGTACCTCAGTGTAACTAAAATTTGACTATTCTTTTTGTGTGTTCAGTCACAATTTGACTCTAAATTTAACGAAAATACTGTAATACGCTACTATACATTTCATCTACCACATATAATGCACCATGAATTGAGTTATAGAGAATGAGTATCACTAGTCTTCCTCTTCCACATAAATTGCGGGATTAGGTGGTGAAGCAATACGGATTACATAAGTCAAACTATAATATCTTGCCTGATTTGGTCAAAACACGAATTTTGTTTGATTCTATAGATTACAAGCTTTTAATTTCAATCCATTTCTAAATCTGCACCTAAATTTACTTCCCATTATTATTTAAGGAGTCAATTAAGTAATGAAAAAATGCCATCAAACTAAGAGATATAAATTAGAGCTGGAGGATTGGTAGACATATGGGTGAATTAAGTAATGAAAATTCCAAGCTAAGTTAACAACTTTTGTTGCCGAACTTGTTGAAAACGTAATCCAGTTTCAGTTTGATTGTGGGAGATCGGCAAGGTTGACTTGCCTTCTTCTCCTTAAAATTTAAATATATCTTTTCCGAAATTTAAGTATTACTAATTGATGAAGAAGATTATTGTTCTTTTCCATTCCAAAACCAAATACTCCCTCTGTTCCAAAAATAAATATTATCCCGTCACTTTTAGTACAATTTGAACTAAAAATAAAAATTCAAAGTGGACGATAGTTATGGAACGGATGGAGTACATCATAGTGTATGGTTATGTTAAAACAGGAGAGGACAAACATTCTGGGATAATAATAGGAGAAGTCAGTACAAAGTACAAACTATCTTACTTCTTTGTAGTTGTAAATTTTTCCACCTTAACGCGGTTGACTTACTACTAATAATGACTCTACAGTTCCATATTGAATTTCTTCAATTTTCTTCCTGGCTTTCTAGTAGTAGTACTTTGTTTGTTTTTCCTACTCCATTTTCTGATTGCATTTTAGCGTGTGAAGACAGCCTGGATACAGTGTGGGCTATCAATTTCAATATATTACTCTCGTATATAATTATATATATATATATATAAGTGCGTGTTACACATAAGATAGATAGAGCCAATGAAAATGTCTTTTTTAAGCACCCCCCCAAGTCAATCCGTTGACATAATTTAATTCACTTGGTGTGTGAAACCATGAATTTTTTTTAATTTATGGAAGAAAAATTATTTGTATTTTAGAGGAATGAATGCGTCAACGGCCTAGATAGGTACCCCTCCTATAATGCTTTTATTTCTTCATCATTTGGACCCTACAATGATACTAAGATTTACTGTGGGAAAACTACTATTGATATTTACCATAATCTGAAAGCAAACCCGAAAATAGTTAAGGTAATAATTAATAATTTGGGGGGTGGATTGTGTGCAGGCAGAAGTGAGGTTCTTGGGAAAATTCAGCCATCCAAATCTGGTAAAACTGCTGGGATACTGTTGGGAGGACAAAGAGTTCTTGCTGGTCTACGAGTACATGCAAAGAGGTAGCCTGGAGAGTCACCTTTTTAGAAGTAAGTTTTCTACACTTTAAATGTTGTTAGCTTGCAGGGCTCTCCAAACTCCAAACTCAATTCAATTTTTATTTTATTTTTTGTTGTAATAAATTCATAGATTGTTATGCTTATAGGTAGTAGTTAATCGGTACTCTTTTAATTGGCAGGAGGTGCGGAAACACTATCCTGGGAGAAAAGGCTGAAGATAATGGTGGAAGCAGCAAGAGGACTCGATTTTTTGCACTCCACCGAGAAGCAAGTTATCTACAGGGATTTCAAGGCCTCCAACATCTTGCTAGATTCGGTACGCCCCCCATATTTATTACATCAAAATGCCACTCTCAAGTTTGGTGTCACATATTAGAGATTTAAATCGTCTAATAACACCCATTTTTGTTAATGTGAATACAGGAATTCAACGCAAAGTTATCTGATTTTGGACTGGCTAAAATGGGACCTGCAAATGGCGATTCCCATGTCACAACTCAAGTCGTCGGCACTTATGGCTATGCCGCACCCGAATACATGGCTACCGGTAGGTCTATAATTTGAACCCTTGGTTGTGACTTGTGACGTTGCATCATCTTTCCATCAAATTAATACTCTACCTAATTACGTATTGGTTGCGATGAAAGATGATTTGGCAGCTCACAGACTTTGATAGACACACAAGCTACGACACCTATCCCTTTCCCTGAAATGGGCTTGGGGACCTAATTGGGCCCCTAAAACCACTATAATTCCCAGCACCAGCAGAATTTTCGATCACTTTTAGATCATTGTTAAAAACTTGGAGGCCCATCTATCATTCTGATTGTCATTTCCTACGTGCCACGCTTTTGCTAGTTTCCTTTTTTTTTTTTTCATGAAATATACTATATGGTTTTGACTTTGGTTTGCTTAATATGTTTTCCAGGTCATTTATACGTCAAAAGTGATGTGTACGGGTTTGGAGTGGTGTTATTAGAGATGATTTCGGGTCGTCGAGTATTGGACCTCAACCGACCATCTGGGGAGACCAATCTGGTGGATTGGGCCAGGCCTCTTTTACCCGAGAAGAGAAAGTTGAGGCAAATAATGGATCCACATCTAGAAGGACGCTACCCATTGATGGCTGCCGTCCAAATCGCGGAACTGATACTAACTTGTCTAGAAGGCGATCCAAAGAAAAGGCCATCCATGGGAGAAGTTCTTAATTCCCTGGAAGACATCAGTTCGATTCAGATGAAATCCAAGGATCAACACAAAAAGGAGGCCCAAAAACCACCAAATCACCGTCCACACAACAATTACAACCATCGCTCGCCGATGCACCCTAAAAATCCTAGTGCTAGTGTAATGGAGACACGAGCTCATCATAATAAGCTGCCCATCACTAGGTCATATTGAAGAGGGATTCAATGGAAATTGTCTATGAAATTTCATTAGAGAAGACTGACATTTCGTGCATTTGGAGGATTGGGCCAATAGGATAATAGGTGTAATGTGGCTCAACCTTAGAGCTAAATCTTATGTACATGTTAGTCCAATCCCAAACACTTATTGTGTATAAACCCATTCGGCAGTAAGCCCATCAAGTGGGTATTTAAACTCACCTGAAATTTTGGGCCCAACCTTTTTTTTTCACAAATATACTCAAATTCATAGGAATCTTAATTACTGATTAATTAGTGATTACTTGGTTAAGATTGAGGTAGAATATAACTAAGTTAGGAGATTAATCACTGTTGCCAACGATGAACACCTTGCAATATGTGCATTTGATTTTACTACGATGCTATCAAATTTTTTCTTTGCTCTTACCTTTACATATTTCTTTCAAAAAACTAATTATTATTTTCATTGTTTCTATTATTACTTTTTCTTGCGTATTAATTAAAATAAGGGTTTAGTTTGAAGGCAACATCACAAAAACTGTCTTTTGTCGAGGTTATAAAAAGTAAAAACATTGAAGTAAGAAGGGTTAAACCAAAACGAGAGTATTTGACTCTCCTAGATTTGACATGCTAATAAAATATTTAAGGAAAGCATCATTATCAGAACTTGGAAGATAAAAACTGACCTTTGACTCTTCCTCTTCGAGCAATCAGAAAATTTAAAAAAAATAATAATAATAAAAGAAGAAGAACATAATACACAAAATAAATTAAAGAGATTGGCATGGGAAACAAAGAAGAGTACTTTTAAAACTTAAAACTTACGGTTCGTAGATTGATGATGATTGATGTTCCATGTTTGTATTCAACTTTCAAAAGTAGAGTAGTACTTGATTGATAAAAACTTTTACTAATACAATGGCTAAACACACTACAAATGAATGGGGGTTAGTACTTTACTGTGTGCGTCACTGTCGATAACAGTGACTAATCCTCCTCACTCATGGTAAACATTTCGATAGGTGGGAGAGCTCGATGAAGATTCCAAACTCATGCTGCGGTTATGCATGCGTGCAGCTGCCTACGCCGAGCGCCAGTTAACGTAAGTTAGTTAATGAAGGAATATATAATTTTAATTTTTTAATAATGGCAGTATTACTATTATATCGCTAGTATATGAATGTTTATTAGTATAGTACATGTAAAAAATTATTTTGAAAATGACAAGTATTATCGTTTTTGGTTTTAGAAAGATTAGTTTGCATAAACTAAAAACATAATGATGAGCGACCATCCCCATGCATGTGAGGTCCCATTAGAGGAAATCATTTGCCCCAACCCACATGCCAATCTGGCGTGCCCGCTTAGCTCCTAACACCGTAATCTCATTCTCACCCCCTTAATTATAATGGTTAACCCAAAATTATTGAACGGAAACTAAGATCCTATAAAAAGGTCCGGTTAACTTAAAATAACGTTAACGCCCACGAAACAGTACAGGTCAATTAGAGAAGAATCTTAAAAAATCTATGCAGAGCTAAAACTATCCCTTTTTTCTCTCTTAAAGTTCATACGATATGATTGATGCAAGTGCCAAAGCTGCTCCAACCATGTTGTTATATATAGAGGCAATTTTTGAATTTTTATAATTTACACAAATGTTTTTCAATTTCTTTTGTAATTCTTTGAACATCAATATTATACTCTTTTCATGTTAAACATCATGCTGTTTATCAAAATAATTGTTTTAGAACGAAAAAAAAAAAAGAAAAGAAGAAAGAATGGCGTGAAAATATAAAGACAACGGGATTGAGAGGAGGAAGCACAGCAGCCTGGGTTGCTAGTCCAATCATTAATCATGCATCTTCTCATCATTAATCCCACACTTCATCTCATCATTAATCCCAAGCACAGCAGCCTGGGAGGGCCCTCTTTTTTTTTTCTTTTTTTTTTTTCTGGGCCTTTGACATGTAACATTAAATAAGAGCATCTCCAACCAAGATATACCAAAACACTAAATTTGGTGTTTTGTGTTTCACTCTAACGAACACACTAAATCACTACACTATTTTGGTACAATGAATGGTGTTACACCAATTTAGTGTAAATTGTCCATTACACTATTTTTAGTGCACTATCTTTTTACTTAGATCTAAAGATATATTTGCTATGCAATTAAACTTGTAAAAAAAATTATGTTATACAAATTATATCATATTAAATATTTTGTTTAGATCTTCGAAATAAGACCCATATTGAATATAAATTTTTATTTTTTAAAAAAATACTTTTTAGTTATTATTAAAATTGAGTATGAAAAATAAGTAAAAAAAATTTAATACTTCTACAATCAAATAAAAAGTATTATAAGGAACAAATTCACAAAATTATCACCAAATTAAATGATTTTAATTAAGTACAAAAATAAAATTTAAACTAAAATATTTAACAGATAGACATTTTAGTGCATTAAGGTTGGAGGGTAAAGATCTTTGGTGTAAAAAGATGCTTAGAATATTTTATTTGTACACTAAATTTGGTATAAATTATAGTGCAATGGTTAGAGATGCTCTAAGTAATGTAACCAATTAGCAATTTAATTTGGTAAATATATAACTTCAGTGCTGGCTAGCTAGGTTGATGATCAGGTTAACACATATGGAAAGCACTAAGTGATGGAGCATTAGTTTTTAGTAAATCCACATCTTTATTAGAAGATTCTAATGATGATTATTTGGTGAATTTGTATGGATGGCTTACTCAAATGAGGTGTATGATCGATTTCAATTTTTCGTCTGCTAATGGAGCACCCACAGTTTTCAATTCAAATTAGGGTTTTATGCTATATCAGAGCTGGAGCCTTTCACTTTGATTTAATTGATGGACATGAAAAAGAAGAGAGATCGAGAAACTCAAACAGAAAACAAAAAACATGCAGATTGAAAGGAGCCCTAAACCCGAGTCAAACCCATGCATAGGGTTGAGCGATCCAATAGGGATTCTGTATCATTATTACTGGTGACACTCTTACTTTCCAATAGAATTAATTAACATAGTTAACCACCTTAATTATTTCTTTTTTTTTTAAAAAAAAAGACATGATTTGTACTAATCCCTCCATTTCAAAATGTAAGTTAGTACTTTAGATTTGGTATGTAAATTAAAGAGACAATCATGTAACATATAATTTATGTATTAAATATATGTTTTACTTCTCATTAATTACATTTGAACTATAAACAAGACTCAATGAAAATATATTTGTACTATCATTTATTGAGGGTAAAATTGAAAATATAATCATTAATTTACCTAGAATTTAATTTGTAAAAAGACTTACATTTTGAAAAATCTCACAAAACCTGCAACGACCTATAAATTAAAATAGAAGGAACACAAATCTTTTGATTGTACTAGCTTTTATTTCTTCATTGACCAGGATAAATTAAGTGGATAGTTGGTCATATTTTCCAATCGTATCCTTTTGAGTTTTGACAGCCAACACAAGATATTTCATTAATTGAAAACGTGAGATTTGAACCTCAAACCGTCAAATTAGATCATCCTCTGTTATATTTAATTTTCAATTGAAAAGGAGAAAAAAACATCACCTCTTTAAAATTCATGTCGTATAGTATAATGTACTTCTTCTTTCTCAAAAAAAAAAAGAAGAAAAATAGTAATAGTTGAGTTTTCAAATTTGTGCTATTTATATTAAAGTTTTTTTTTAAAAAAAAGATTATTTAGTTATTATGATTGGAGTTGACGATGGGGGAGCCGAGGAAGACGTGAGAATTAGTAGTGATAATAAAAGGATGGCGTGTTGACCATTGATATGATCACCCTTTAGCTGCTGCTGATTATCAATGATCGATCATTGAATGAGAGCCGTTTTTTTTTTCTTTTTCCTTTTTTTTTTTTTCTTGTTGATGTGATACGGAGTGCCCGAATTTAATTATGAGCATCTTCTTCTTTTAGTCTTTTTCATCATCTCATTCTCATCTGGGTTCTTCTTCGATCGCCACACCAGCTACCACTTAATCAAGCCCTTTCTTCCCAGAGTTTTTTTTTTTTTTTTTTTGGTGCTATTTAAACTTGTCTTTAATTTTTCTTTTGTGTTCATTCTAGTTATTATCTCAATTAAATTTCAATTTCATCAATGAATAATTCTTAGTGAGTTTGAACAGGATTGAGTTGTACGAACACTTGCATGTGTTTTTCGCTATTCGACTCTTATTATTTTTAGTAAAAATTTGAATGAATAACTAGATTAGTATAAGACTTGAGTGAAAAATCCCATACTTAACAAAAAAAGAAAAAAAAAATTAAATTCTTTTAAAATTTCTAGACGTTATGAATGAAGAAATTTATAGTTTTTCTCTTAATTTGTCTCAAAATGATTATTTGTTTAAAATTTTTATTTTTATTTAAAAAATCTAGATAATCATTTTGGAACAGAGAAATATATATATTTTTTCTATTAACACAATTGGTAACAAAAAATATATTCAGTCCGTTATATGAAACACGTTGCGCTACTCATCATAAATATTTACAGAAGACTAGAGAGATCGAGGAGGGCGTCATGATCATCACAATAATTAAATTAATCCCACTTCCAAACTACTACTAGTACTACTATTATGTGCCTCTCCCATCTAATACCCATCTTGTCTCTTGCCTTGCCACACTTTGGAAACGGATCCTGAGTTTGAATAATCTTATTGTTATATTCTTCCGTCTTGATCGTGTTCATCTATCTATCTATATATATATACACACACGCACGCGAGCATTTAATAAAATGAGATGTTAGAAATATTAAGAGAAGAAGGCCGGTTTGATTTTTTGTAATAGTTATTTTAACTAAATTCTGTAAATTATCATTAGATGTATCATTATGCTTTTTAACTATTACAAAAAGACAGAAAATTACGTTAAGAATAACAAAGAAATGGTAGGCTCATAACTACATAAGTATAGCGTCACTTGATTCTCCCCTAAATAGTACAAACAAGTGATAGAAACACTTGGGCACGTATATATGCTCCAATGTGAATGACAGTAGTTTGGATTTCAATTGCTTGGAACGAAATGATTCCTACGACTACGCCCCCAAACCACCCCCAAACCAGGACTTGTGGTTTTTAGAGTTGCATTTCAATCATTCCCGCTATTTACTAGTACTAAATTATAATTCGATTAATTTCCAAAACTAATGATAATTAGCTAGAGCCACCATCATTTGGACAGAAGATTGGAGAGGATGACACCACCATCCATTTGTACATATGAAAGTTTGTGCACGGAGTCAAGTTCATAATTCGACACGTCAATTTAACCTACCAAGTTGTAACTTTGGATGTGGTACCATCAACTTGCGTTTTGATCTTACAAAAATCATCATGCTCGACTATGACAATTTTTCTTCACCTTAGGTTTCATACCTCATTACCGCCCCCCACAAAAAAATCCCTATTTTTTATTCTCTGTTTTTTTTTATTAAAAAAAAAATCCCTGTTTCATTGTCACTAGCTAATTATCATAAGTGTCATTGTTCACATTAGACCAAATTTCAACAATTAAACAATACACATTTCTCACTTCCATATACATAGTTATCTCTTTTAATTTTAGGAACCCCTAATTACCTCTTAATTAATCTAAAGTTAATCCTTATTATTGGGTTTGCTAGAATTACGTTTTAAACTTTTTTTTTCTTGTTGATAATCATCAATTAAACATGTAGACGTCCCATATTGATTACTTGTTCTTGTTGTCACACCTCGACTTTATACCAGAAATAAGCAGTGCGATTAATGTACGCTTCCGCCGATATATTACCAATTGTGTAAATTTTGTCAAATTTAGATGTTACAAACTGTAATATTGGATTTCACTCTCTCTTTCCTTTGAATTAAAATTTTAAAACATCGAAGGTGACAAAAAGAAAAAAGAGGGGGGCAAAGAGGAAAGGCAAATTGAAGGTAGGAATATCAGGATTTGGTAAGATATCCAAGTGTGAATTACGTAACAGTAATAATCACCTAAACAATGGGGATTGAGGGCCGATTGATGATAAGTGGTGGATTGTGGTTGTTGAGAATTGACGAGCGGAAGACTACATTTGGTGCATCCGATTTCCATCATCATTAGACAGAGTATTAGTGATTTAATTAGTGGAGGTGTTTTGGTAAACAGATATCTCACTTCGTCCCAAAATCATTAATCTGTTATTAATGTAATATTTCACAAAATTATTTCGTTTTACATATAAATAGGAAAAAGAAAGTCAATATGAGATATTATTAAATTTTTTTTTTTTTTTAACTCAAACTTGATTAATTATGATATCTGCCTACATTACTTCTTGGTTAAAAAAATATATGAAAGAGTCCCTCCAATTTTTGTGTTTAACTTAATTCACATTTGATAACCAGGTCAACACGAATGCGACTATGATAGTGAAGTTGCAAATATGGAGTGAGATACTTAACTTGTATCATAATTTTTGTGATATATTATTTAGTTTAGATTTGGATCCATCTAAGCCGCCAAACAAAACCTATCTAACCACTATTTAATTTTTATTAATATTGATTATATGTTTTTTCTTTTTTCTTTTTTTGGGGGTGTGGGTTATTTGGTCAGTGGAAGAAGCAATCGATATCAATTTGCAATCACCATTGGTTTCAGCTTTGTTCTTTTTTGGAAAAAAAAAATAAAAAAAAATTCTTACCACTGTTCAAGTCAAGAATTTTCATTTTCATTATCTGTATATTTTCCATATCCCCCCTTATTTCTCATTAGTTTCAGCCTATAATCGTGAGACAGATCCATATCTCACTAAATGGCCACGATGCATTTCACTTTGATTAAATTATAACTCTTATAAGCTACCCATACACGTATGCCGGTAACATGTTAGCCAAACAATTTGCTTATTCCCCAAAAAAAAAAACATAAATGCTATTAATAGAAATTGGTGTTGAGTTTATTTTGTTAGATAACAAATTGATATTTCAATGCAAAAACAATTCAGCGAGAGAATGACATCGAGGTGCTTACAATTCAGCGAGAGATATTAGTTATTATTACCGACGATGGACACTCTGCAAATATGAAAAAAAAAAAAAAAAACCCTGATTTTCAGATAATTTTTATCTCTCCTTGAAAAGAAGAAACTAATACTGGCAGTAGTTTCTATTCTAAAACATAAACTCAACAAATCGTAAGAGCCTGTGTTACAGTTATTGTCACTGCAATTCTGCAATACGTGAGACTCCGTGCCATTCCAACTTCCCAAACACCAAAATTTACTTATTTTTCACGAATTACGAAGCTCTCTATTTTTGGATTCTAAAGAAATGAATTTTATTTTTGGAATGAATTTACGAAATTCTATTCATTATTGTTGATTGGTCTGATTATTAATCCTTACAGTCAAAGGCTGATGCAAATGGCAAATACTAATACTAGCATCATCATGTAATCAGATTACGGATTTTATGACATTGATGTGTGATGAGGATGGGGAAATAGCAGGTCTTAAATTTGTTTGGATGTAACTGCTACCAAAGACATATTTAAGCACACTTTAAATTTCATTGTAATTTGAATTTATATGTTATCGTAAATGTACCAGTACATCAGGGTCACTATATGACGGTATGCATCATCACAAATTATTCAAATTCATAATAATAATATATTCGTATCGTATTACAAATTATTGATGGAACATTACGAGTGGACCGGAAAAGAGGAGGTGTGAACAAAAAAGGGCCAATGAAAAAACCAATCAATCATCATTGATTGTCTCAAACATGTATTCATTCCCACTGCCCCCCCGACCAGAATCCCCCAAAAGGCCAAAAGGAACCGAAAGCAAAAGAAAGAAAAAAACAAACAAACAAAAGGGGGGTAATCTCGTAATCTCACATATCCCCCGGTCCCTGGGAGGTCCTCCTGTCTTGATCCTCCAAATCCCGCAGAAACCTCATTCTAAACAGTTCCTCCGATCCATACAGTTTTTTTTTTTTTTTTTTTTTTGGTATTACAAAATACTACTACTACTACTAGTACTACTTCAACTACCAATATATATTCCACCTTTTCCCGTTTGCCTTTTCTTTTTTCTCGTATTCCCATTCCAGATTTCACACACACACACACACTCCTCTCTGTTCTGTGACTGTGTGTTCTTCTTTCTTCCATTCTTTCTCATAAAAATGCAGTCTTGATAAATAAGTTTGCGGAAGCATTCCGAAAAAGACCGAGAGAGAGGCAGGACCCTTTGTTTTGCTACTGAAATTCATACACTTCTGCTACTGACACCCACCGAACAAGAACGGGAAAACAGCTGGCTTCTCTGGGCTGCATGTTCCATTTCATTTGATACCCAGATAAAAACCACATAAGCAATTCCTTTTGAATTTTAGCAATGAGGGTCTGCCTGGGTTGTATTCTTCTCCAAGTAAGTTCATTGGTGTTGTTTATAATCATAAGGGATTTCAGTAATCCTATTCTGTTAGAATTTTTGTTTTTTTGTTTTTTTTTTTTGTTTACTTCAACATTGGTTTAAAGATCACTTTTTTTTTAATTGGTGAGGATATCAGTTTGTTTGACTTTCTAGTTTCTACCGTTCCCCTGGGCTTGGCTGTCTAGTTGGCTGTATTTATTACTATTAAATGATGATGAACACCATGCCGTTGATATCAAATGAATGGCACCTTTCTGAATTTTGACCCCTCCTGATCAAACCCCCCATTATGCTCACTTTGAAAGAATTGTACAATGTCCTCTTTCTTTGTTTTTTCCTTATTTCCTTGGGAATCTGAATTGGAATTAACAGTGAAAGCCTGATTTTAGAAACCAAGCCACTGTGTGCCACTGAACTTCTGCCAAACACAATGTTCTTTTCCCGGGTACCTCTTATTGCCTGGGTGGGTAGAAGTCTTTTTTTGGAGCCAAGCTGGATACTTGTGTCCTTTATTTTTATTTTTTTATTTTTTTTAAAAAAATGTGTTGAACTTCATCTTGTTCAATATATATGATAATGTTTTGCTTGGGCATAATCCTTTTTTCAGGTGTTATTGTCACTATTCATATTATCTGCCGATGCAGAAAGGCCTGGTCAGAGGTTGCTTTTGGCTTCCAATGCTACAATTGGGTATGTTACCTGTCTTTAGCAGAATAATACTTGAAAGGTGGATGATCAAGAAACTCAAACTTTTGGGTTTAGAAACGCCATTGGAGCTGGAGGTCAACAAAATTATGTGCTAGTTTAAGCCTCTAAAAAATTTTGGTTTCTTTCAGGCCGTCTAGTTTTTCTAATTTGCTCTTTGCTTGCCGTTTTTTCAATAACGATAACCCCTTTTCTTATGATTTTGTTTGGACCATTGTTGCTCCTGGGTGGTATTCCTTAGATATATGTATGATCTGAACCATGAGAGAACATGAGTGATGGGATTGCATGAAAACCTGTATAGTTGCTGCTAACATTGTTACGATTTGGGTGTTCCTCATCATTTCTCAGTATCTAGTTTGCTCTAAAATTTTGGGTCAATCATCATCCGCATGTAAATTTTGAACATTCTATACAGCCATACTAATGATAAATATTCACCAAAAAATAGTGCTTTTGGGCATTTTACTGCAAAGTTCCACCCAAGGAATGTCTGAAAATAACTGGCCCTCTCTTTATTGCCTCACTTTAGTTGCTGAAAAAGATGATCAAATTATAGCACTTCTATTGTTTTGTGGATTCACGAATACTTTGATCTTCATGATGATTAGGCAAAGACATGCTGAGGAATATTGCGCAATGTATGATATCTGTGGAGCGCGCACTGACAAGAAAGTAGTCAACTGTCCTTATGGTTCCCCTTCTGTGAAGGTATTACAATGGAAAATCATTGATGTGCATAGCATGAGTCCCTTTCTAACCTCTGATAATAGTCTCCCCCAACTCTTATTTCGTCATGTTTATCTTACAATCGTATGAAGACATTCATGTTTGAATTCCATGCTATTCTTCTTGAAACAGCCAGACAGTGTATTCTCCTCAAAGATTCAAAGTTTGTGCCCAACGATCACTGGAAATGTCTGTTGTACAGAGGCTCAATTTGATACTTTGAAAACTCAAGTTCAGCAAGTAAGTTGTCTATTCCGTATTACTACTTTTTCATTCATGCAGCACCATTTCATCATCTTCCCTTTTGCACACTTTTTTTCTTGGTTGATAATGTGTTTACAAGCCATTGCTTGATGTTCTATCTGATGGCAGATTGAAGTGGTTGTCTATTTCCAATCCTGAATCCAATGAGCTCATTTGCTTATTCTTACCAAATTTCTTGCAGGCTATTCCCTTTCTAGTTGGCTGCCCGGCATGCCTGAGAAATTTTTTGAATTTATTCTGTGAACTTTCGTGCTCTCCAAATCAAAGTCAGTTTATCAATGTGACTTCTGTTGTTAAGGTAAGAAATTATAATATTTTCTCCAATAGGTGCCTTTTCTAACTTTCTCCTGGTCCAGTTTATTAGTATATGGAAAAGCTCAACATGTATATAGCTAGTCGTTGTTTCGTGCATGTGCAACCACCTTGTATGAGAATTGTATAAAAATTACCTTTGTTTTGTTCCAATTTTTGTCATTCAGATGGGAAACAACTTAACTGTGGGTGGCATTGATTTCTTTATTACTGATGATTTTGGGGAGGGATTGTTCGAATCCTGCAAGGATGTAAAGTTCGGGTCCATGAATACCAAGGTTATAGATTTCGTCGGTGCTGGTGCCAAGAGTTTTAGAGGTAAATTTTTTCTTACTGGACTGACAAGAAGATTGATATGTCTGCATGCATGCATCGTGCTTTTATCATCTGGAGAAACTGGTGCAGCATTTCAAGAAATTGGAACATGACTTCCAATAATGACTTGTTCATGAATCTGAGTTTGACACATCTCTGGTGCTTCCATTTTCCATTTGGCAGAATGGTATGCATTTATTGGTAGGCAAGCACCGCTTGGAGTGCCCGGATCTCCATATACTATAAACTTCAGGTCTACTGCTCCCGAGTCATCTGGAATGAAGCCTATGAATACATCTACATATTCGTGCCATGACACTGCGCTAGGCTGTTCATGCGGCGATTGTCCAGCATCTCCTGTTTGCACTGCTTCACATCCTCCTGCTCCTCATGGAAAAAGTTCCTGCTCAGTGAGGATTGGTACTCTCCAGGCAAAGTGCGTTGAAGTTGCTGTTGCTGTATTATACATTGTACTGGTCTCACTGTTCCTTGGATGGGGTTTTTGGCATAAGAAAAAAGGAAGAGCTCCTGATTCAAGAACTAAACCACTGGTTAACGTCACCAATGTTGGTGTTCTTCGACATGTCAACAGTCAAAAAGATGAAAATATTCCCATGCAGATGCTTGAGGATGTTCCTCAAATTACAAACGGAGTCCAACTCTCAATTGTGCAAGGTTACATGGCTAGATTTTACCGGAAATATGGAACATGGGTTGCTAGAAATCCAATCCTTGTTCTGTGCTCGTCGTTGGCCATTGTTCTTGTACTTTGCTTAGGCCTGATCCGTTTTGAAGTTGAGACAAGGCCAGAGAAGCTTTGGGTGGGACCTGGGAGTAGAGCTGCAGAGGAGAAGCAATTCTTTGACAATCACCTGGCCCCCTTCTATAGAATTGAGCAGCTCATAATAGCAACAAATCCTGACACAGGCACTGGAAATCGGCCAAGTATTATCACAGAAAACAACATCAAGTTGCTTTTTGATATACAGAAGAAGGTAGATGCAATTCAAGGCAATTTTTCTGGTTCTATGGTATCTTTGACGGACCTTTGCATGAAGCCACTTGGCCAAGCTTGTGCCACACAAAGTGTACTTCAATATTTCCAGATGGATCCTGCCAAACAAACTGATCCTGTTGGCCATCTCAATTATTGTTTTCAGGTAATCTTTATTGTGAATTCCCGTGGAATAATGTTGTAACTCATGAATCCTCTTTCCATACCCGATCTTTCATCATCTCACATCTATGATTTAAAAAAAAAAAAAAAAAAACTCACATGGAAAAAGAAAACTGGAACCGGAATTTTGATCACTTTTAATAAACTTATAAACATCTTATTTTTTCACTGTAATTTGTAGTCTACAGGTCTCTGCATCCTTAAAGATTTTCTTTGCCCTTAGCTAGTTAGCTTCAAAGTCTCCTTCTATAAAGCCTGAAATTTTCAGTAAATACCTCTCCAAGGAGAGTCAGCAAAGCTAACAATCACATTGGATTTTTACCTTTTAGCAATTTAGCTCAGAAGTGTCTTGTATGAGTTCATTCAAAGCTCCACTTGATCCGAGCACTGCACTTGGTGGTTTCTCTGGGAATAATTACTCTGAGGTAAAATTTGCCCCTGCTTATCGTAATCAAGAAATACCGTTATAGATTTAAATAACAAAATGGTGCTTTATTTTTGAGACAGGCCACTGCATTCATTGTCACCTATCCTGTAAACAACGCGGTTGACAAAGAAGGAAATTACACAAAGAAGGCAGTGGCTTGGGAAAAGGCCTTTATTCAGTTAGCCCAGGTTTTTTTAAACTTTATGTTGTCTCTTATTGCTGTGGTAGCATTGCATGGTTTTCTTTCCAAACAATGGTTTAAAAAGGATGGTTCCATTGTCGCATTGTACATTTTTTGACAAATGACAGACTCAAAAGAGAACTGAACTGGAATGTCCTGCAGGAAGAACTCTTGCCTCTGGTGCGGTCGAATAATTTAACACTTTCATTTTCCTCCGAGAGTTCTATTGAGGAAGAGCTGAAAAGAGAAAGCACGGCAGATGTCATAACTATTATGGTAAGCTGATGGACACTTCTCCTAAATGGATAGGTGGGATTTTTATTTTTTTTTTTTCCTTTTTTCTGTGCTTGTATTTTGCTTATCATTTCTTTGAATCTTTTTCAGATAAGTTATCTAGTGATGTTTGCATATATATCACTGACACTGGGAGATACACCTCGCTTCACTGCTTACTATATTTCATCCAAGGTATTCTACTGTAGGTAACCTTCAGTATGTATTTTTGGTTCTTAGACTCTCGGGTGACATCATCAATATTTTTTTTCATTTCAACTTTTTCAAAAAAGAAAAAAAATCGTGTAAGAATCATTTCTTTACTGCGTGTTTTTTTCTGTCATGCCAATCTGTATGTATAGTGTTCTATTTAAAAATGAAAATTGTTGATAGAGATAAGCTTCCCTGTGCATATTACCATTCGCTTTTTTAACTTAATGGATTCCTTCTTTTTTTATACAGGTGTTGCTTGGTCTATCAGGAGTAGTGCTTGTTTTGCTCTCTGTTCTTGGATCTGTTGGATTCTTTAGTGCGATTGGCATAAAGTCGACACTTATTATAATGGAAGTCATCCCCTTCCTCGTTTTAGCAGTAAGTGAAGCTCATCTCAATCCTTTTCTCGTACTTTAATCTTCTGAACAGCGATGGCATTGTTCTTACAAAGTCAACTAATAAAAAAATCATTTACAGGAAACACTAATCTCTTATTTTATTTATCTTTACGGTTGACTAACAGAAAAAAGAATGCTATACAATGTTGATCCTCTGGTTGTATCAGGTTGGAGTTGACAACATGTGCATACTTGTGCATGCTGTTAAAAGGCAACCCTTGGAGCTGCCCTTGGAAGGCCGTGTTAGCAATGCACTAGTTGAAGTGGGACCTTCAATTACTCTTGCTAGTTTATCTGAGGTGTTGGCTTTTGCAGTCGGAAGTTTTATTCCTATGCCTGCATGTCGCGTGTTTTCCATGTTTGCAGGTTTGGTTTGTTTTTTGCAATCATATTTCCCCCATGTTCTGACACGAACACAGATGGGAGCCGGATTTGTAATAGTTTGTTTTTTGCTTGTAGTAATTGGTGGTAAAATTAATCAGTTTTCTTCATTTTGTAGCGTTGGCTGTTCTCTTGGACTTTCTTCTGCAAGTTACTGCTTTTGTTGCATTGATAGTTTTTGATTTCTTAAGAGCAGAAGACAAAAGAGTTGATTGTTTCCCATGTCTTAAAGTCTCTGATTCATCTCCTGACCCTGAGAGTGGTACGAGTGAAAATTTCTGTTTCCTTTTACAATTCTATACGAGAAGTTGACTAAAAGTTTTGCAATGACTTCTTGAGGATCAAACATTAACTTTCATGTGTTTTCAGGTGGGAATCAGAGAAAAACAGGATTACTTGTTCGATATATGAAGGTAGGGTCTGTGCTTCTTTTTATTCTTCTAAAATCTTTATTATTTCTGTGTTAATGAGTATAAGAGTGACCCATTGTCCCACACGTCAAAAGAAGCATTTTAGAATGAAGATGGTTTTATAAAATGAATTTTGGAATAGTTCGTTTAATCTGGACGAGTGCTATTTGCCTTATAGTTTCTTTATGAAGTTTGGCTTTGAGCTATTTACTTTTGTGGTTTGAGTTTCAAATTTATATGCTATTTTTCCTGCAATCTCCTTCGTTGACAATCCTTAAAATTTTATCTTCTTTTTCCAAGGACATTCATGCACCTGTCCTTAACATATGGGGAGTGAAAGTCGTGGTCATCTGCGTTTTTGGTGCCTTCGTTTTGGCAAGCATTGTAAGTTATATTTTTTCTTAGTTCCCGCCATTCTTTGGGTTGCCAAAATCTGATATTCAATGTCTACGTGAACTAGCTTTCCCCCTTTTTCTTTTAATAAAAAAAGTATAATTTTAACTTCTGTCTCTTTTGATTCTTGAAGGCATTATGTACAAGGATAGAACCTGGCCTTGAACAGCAGATTGTCCTTCCTCGAGATTCTTATCTTCAGGTTAAAATGCCATTCCTTTAACTGAAACTTGGAGTATTAATATGAGCAATGTTTAAAATACTTCTCTTTCTTGCAGGGTTACTTTAACAATGTCACAGAGTATCTCAGAATCGGACCACCTCTTTATTTTGTTTTGAAAAACTTTAACTATAGGTATTCATCATCCATTCCTTTATTACTTCCTCTCTATATCTGTTTAAAAATTGGCCATGACGCGCCAATAATTCCTTTTGGGAATAAGTGGAAGCTATTTATAGAAAGGCTGTTAAATTTTTTGTTCCCAATTAACATGATATATTTCAGCTATATTGAACTTGCCTTTTTGATATTGTCCAGAAGCATATTTTAACTTACTGATTAATCGTAGCTATTAGAACGTCCAAGGGCCTTACTTGTTGATAACTCAATAGCGCATTTTGTACTAAAACATTGATCTTGTGTTACTTCCTCAGTCCAGAATCAAATCAAACAAATCAATTGTGTTCGATCAGCCAATGTGATCCGAATTCCCTTTTGAATCAGGTACGTGTTTTATTCCTCAATTGGAGCATTGCTGTTCTGATTTGAGTTTCTCATTGACCATCATCTATTAGCTGAGAGTAGTTTCCTTCGTGCTTGCATTTTTTTCTGTTTATTCAGTATTATGCTCATTTTAAAATTTTGTGAAACTTCATCTTTTGTAGATTGCTGGAGCGTCTTTGATACCGGAGACAAGTTACATTGCAAAACCTGCAGCTTCCTGGCTTGATGACTTTCTTGTTTGGATGTCTCCACAAGCTTTTGGCTGCTGTAGGAAATTCACCAATGGGAGTTATTGTCCTCCTGATGACCAGGTTGGATATTCTCTTTGATTGGAACAATACTTGGTTTAAAACTGCCTCCATTAGCAGATGTCTTTTGTTTGTGAAGTTTGAAACTTTTTTTTTTGACCCATTTGGTATATATCTTGGTTAAACATTATTTCAGTTTCTACTTCATGTTGACTGAAACCATGTACTGAGTGTACTTAATGTGAGACGGAAACATCTTAACATGGATGAATCATGCATTTGAGGTCCCTTGAAGCATTTCTGCGATACTCTTTGTTCGGGTAATATTAGTGCATTTTTTAGCTGTAACTCTGAAAGAATGTAAATGTTTCTTGCAGACTCCTTGTAGCATGGATAGAGCAACAACTGGCATATGTAAGGATTGTACAACGGTAATTCTGCTCTTCAATTGCCACTTCTTGTTTCTAGTGACAACTTGAAAGTTGCATAGTAGAGAATGTTCCATGTAATTTGCTTTATTGTGATGCTTCTTTTGGTAGATGAACTCTCAGCTTAGATATGGTGGACTAACTTTTGCATATTCCTGCTCCCCAGTGTTTTCTCTCCTCAGAATTAGAGAATAATCGTCCATCAGCAACACAATTCCAGGAGAAACTTCCATGGTTCCTTAATGCACTACCTTCAGCTAATTGTGCCAAGGGCGGGATAGGAGCGTATAGCACCAGTGTGGAGCTTAAAGGTTAATATCTTTTCTAATATGAATATCAGTTAATATTGTTTTCTAAGATGAATATCAATTTTAAATTTAATTTATTCATGCACAAGGACAATATGTATATATCAACTGTTTTTTACAACAATGTTGAAGTCATTGCTATTGTGCCTAATGATCTTAGTGCTTCCAACATGCCTCCAGGGTTCGAGGATGGAGTCATTCAAGCATCTTCATTTCGTACCTATCACACCCCCCTGAACAAACAAGTATGATCTGCATATTATATTGTTCACTTTGATTTGTCTGTTATTAGGCTCTTGCTTATATATGATGTGTTGTACATTCTCTGCCAGGCTGACTTTGTCAACTCAATGAGAGCTGCTCGTGATTTCAGTTCTAGGGTTTCTGATTCTTTAAAGGTAACCGTAATGGCTAAAGTTTTAAGTATGTGAAGTTCACTTTGCCTGTTTCTCACAAGGTATCGTCGATTTTGTAACAATGTGAAATCCATGTCAGATAACAATTTTTATGCTCATGCTTTCATTCAGAGCAAGCATCGGAATACAGTTTAAGCTGCAGAGAATTTTTTTACGAGTATGAGTTAACATAGCCGTGAACTTTGTTTCCTTGCAGATTGAGGTCTTCCCTTATGCTGTATTTTACATGTTTTTTGAGCAATATCTTAATATATGGAGAACAGCATTAATCAACCTTGCAATAGCTATTGGTAAGTCACTTTAATATGCTTATCTTTTTAGATTGAAATGTACATGCGATAAATGTTTAGCATGCCTCCCTTGGGCAACAAGGGCTTAAATTTTCTCCTGTGTAAATTTTACTGCAGGGAAAATGTCCCTCTGTTTAGGACTGTTGGATCAACCAGCTTGTATTTTTAGTGGGACATTGTGTGGTTGTCTGCTTTAATTATAGTGTTACTGATTAGCATGAGTAAACAATTTATAACTTTGAAGTAACTTGTACTCTTTGATATTAAGATACACAAATGACTAGTCATGTTTTAATGGTTACATACAGGTGCAGTTTTTGTTGTCTGCCTGGTAATCACTTGTAGGTGAGATGACCCACCTGTCACTTATTTTATTGCGGTCTCTCCCCTTGTTATGAATTTTTGTTTTAATCTACATCCATTTTGATTTGTTTTCTTTTTCTTTTTTTTTTTCTTTTCATGTTTAGCTTGTGGACTTCAGCAATCATTTTGCTAGTGCTAACAATGATAGTGGTGGACCTCATGGTATGTTTCTTTAATAAATGCTGCCAATTTTATGAAGCCTCATAATATCTCTCCCTCTTTAATTCAAAAGAATTTTACAGGGCGTAATGGCGATTCTGAATATACAACTGAATGCAGTGTCTGTGGTCAACCTTGTTATGTCGGTTGGCATAGCTGTTGAGTTCTGTGTTCATATAACCCATGCTTTCTTGGTTTGATTTCCAACTCTTCTTACTATTTCCTTTAGTATTTTAAAGGAAAATCCTGTTCTAAGTTGTTGTTTGGATGCTTTGCAGGTAAGCAGTGGAGATCGAAACCAACGCATGAGGGATGCTTTGACGACAATGGGAGCTTCTGTATTCAGGTTATCATCCATCCGATAGACGTTTTCTCGACCCTAAAGTTTGCATGATTTGCTTTGGATAAAATTTTGGACTTTTACTTCCATCATGATGGTCTCACACTTTTTCGGTCATCTCCATAATTTAAAATATCCAAACCAAGGATATTGCTTGCTAACCTAGATTCTTGTCTCTAAAGCTCTTCTGGTATGAAATTTTGACTTAGTAAACTTATAGATGGTGCAGTTCATAAGCATAACATCCTTTACACTTTGTTGCAGCGGAATCACACTTACAAAGCTTGTTGGGGTGCTGGTCCTTTGTTTCTCAAGGACGGAAGTTTTTGTGGTTAGAATTTTTACGCAATATGCTTTTTTTGGATATATAACAAAATTATTCATCTGATGTCCTAAAATCTACTCCTCATATTTTACAGGTCTACTACTTTAAAATGTATCTCGCATTGGTTCTACTGGGATTTTTGCATGGACTTGTGTTTTTACCTGTAAGAGTCCCTATTCATATGCTTATATGACTTCTATTTTGAAAGAGAGAATGGATGTGTTCCCTACTTAGGAATGTATATTTCCTTAATACCATACATTACTTTAAATTGCTTAACGAAAGAAAAAGAGAACAGTGAAACTAATTTGTTTTCTGTAACTTTTAAGATCACACACAACTATTTCTTATCAGCAGTGCACCCTATATTTAAATAGCTTGTTAGTTGTTTTACAGGCAATGAAATGTTAAAACAAATGGAAAGGGCGCCGTCATTTGATGGGCACTTTCATCTTGCAATCACTTTTTGTTCTAAGCCTCTTTTACAATAGGTTCGTCCCCTTAGCGGATTGCACCTTTCTGAAGAACTTGTTTGGTCATGCAGGTACTTCTAAGCTTGTTTGGTCCACCTTCAAGATGTGTATTAATAGAAAAGCAAGAGGATCGGCCATCTACTTCATCACAGATCTGACATAAATTTTGTGGAATAGGATTTTTAGTCTTTTTTGTGATTTATTTTTAATAGCATAGTTGCAAGTAAATGCTGTAAACAAAAGCAGCATCAGGTGTAGATTTGTAGGAACATTCAAAAGCATGAGTGAAGTTCTTGAGGAAGAGAGGAAAAATATCACAAAAATTGTAGATAGAGATATACAGACCAAGTAGCTCTTTTGAAGTTAGTGAATGAGTGGAATGTATTTGAGCTAGCAAAGACACTGCAAAACATGTATTCAGCTTCAGTGAATGGAAAATGGGGTTAAATTTACATGAAATGCTGGCTGAATCAAGAACCTATTTCTCTCTATGCAAAAGATAGCAAGACCAAGTGAAAAGTATTCCTCGGATCAAATTAGTTTTACTAATCAGCATTCACCTTTCAGATATGATATGTACGTAAGAGTTTCGCTGAAAGCTAATAATGCCTGGTCTATAAAATAAATTCCTGGCTATCATAACTACAACAAACGAAGAAAATAGTCACACACACACAATCAGACTAAATGATCTTGGCTGAGTTCAGAATACTGAAGCATCAGAAATAAAATTTGTAAGGATGTGCTTCTGTCCACACAGATAAAATGAAAGACAACTCTCATATTTTTTGTATATAACAAACATTCACTAACAACATCTGCATATAGAATTCCCTGAATTCCTACTAATGGCTGGTGGCTCTGTACAGCGGGGCAGACTCGCTCCTTCCTCCAATACCTCAACAATAACCATAGCCTTTATCATCTATGTGTGGTTGACTATATGAATCCTATATGTTCCCATCGCTCTCTTTCAAAGATAAGTTCTACCTGAAGAACTTCCATGTTGTTGCAGAGCTTCACGAACCAGTGATAGTTTTATCGTCTGCCTCTGCGCCGATTGATATACATCCACACACTCCTCTAGATCAGCATCGCAAGTCATCAGAATCCATTCAGAGTCGTCATCTAAGTATTTCAGATGGAATCCAGTCGTGTCATCTATACCAAACCTGCAAGTGATTTCCCTCATTACATCTCCAAAACCCCAACTGCGCAGCATTCGAAACCGGATCTTCTCTTCCCCATACGTAGCTTTTATTCTCAGGGTTGAATTATTACCGTTTCCTTCTCGAGAACATGGAACAGTTTTTGGCAGAAGAATAGGAAGTTCTTCTGATTTTGGGAGGTCGGCGAATGACATATGACTTTGAGATCTTGCCAGGGGTTTTGGCCCATCACTTGATAAATGCAGCTGAGCATCGCTTCTAACCCTTTTGAGCTGCAGACCATCTAAGTTGTCTTTATTAGTCAAGCCTTCCTGACCCGTAAAAAGGTTTGCTGCATGAGAATGTGGTTGTGTTCCAGTTGAATTACATTGACTGGAACTCGAACTTTGGCTGCAGGAAGAAGAGGGCGAACCCTGAGCCGGCTGCTGCAAGTTTAAGGGCTTCAAATAATCACTTTGCTTCAAATTTGACGGGAAGACATCCGCTCCTCTCAATAAATTTGGAGCTGCAAGTTCCGGGAAGCTTGTGTAGAAGGATCCAATCTGTAAAGAACCTGATGCACCTTCCACTGAATCAATCACTCGTTGAATTTTCTGCAAGGAGTGGCCGACCTTCTTGATTTTTCGAGAAGGCCATCGTTTGATACCATGTTGCCTGCATATCCTCTTCAACGTCGTAGGGCAAACTGAAAATGCATGAAAACATTTGCATGAAATGAGAAAATATTAAGAGAAGTGAAAGGAGGTTGACACCATGTAATAATAAACATAGCTACTTTAACTACTGATGTGGCAAGAGTGATTGGCTTTATATAATATTTATTATTGACACAGTAACAACCAATGAATTAATGTCACATGAGTAGTTTACTAAATGAAGATACGAATTTACAACTATGAGCACCATTACTCATCTTATACTAGTTGAACCGTCCATGAGTTTGTTCAAACAATGAGTGACGTAAGTACTTACCACCGATGCTCTTTGCAGCATCTTTTAGGCTGCCAGCAAAGTATTGCCGTAGAATCTCCAACGTTATAGTTTTCTCTGCCTTGGCACGTCTTTTATCCCCGTTTTTAGGCACACTTTGGAAGCTGGATTCTCCAGAAGTAGCAAGACTTGTGTCCCCAAACACAATCTCCTTACTTGAACTTACATCAGGACGATAATGCATGGATTCCGAGAAATTTGTGGACACCACTTGCACAGGTTTTCCATTTTGAACTTCTGAAGCAATATCAATATGTTCCTTGACCTCCACAGAAGGAGAAGTCCAAGATGACATCTTGTCAGATGCTATAGTGGACTGCTGCTTGTGTTCCATTTTCGGCACTTCTATACGGGATTTTTCAAATGCAGGTTTTGACATTTCTTCGTGCAACTCTTCATCAGTTATAACTCTCAAACCCTGACAAACATTCTGAATGATGAGGGATAGAGAACTAAGCAATTCCATTTGCTTTGTTGAGTCTTTACAATCAACGGGTAGGAAGAACTCGAGAACAAAGTCACTTGAGGAACTGTAGATACTCCTCAAACGTATGGCCACTGCAGCACACAAACCAAACATCCTTGCATGGTGAGAAAGGGGATACTCTTTCTTGGTAAATGTTGTCACATCAGGCGAAAAACATGGTTGGTTAGTTGTGAATGCTCTTCCAACAATGCCTTCACCTTTGAACAAGTGGTGCTCTAAGCATGCTTCGTTAAAACCTTCAGCACGTGGATCGGCACTGAAACAAGCAGATTCCACTGGCGAAACACATAGAACGAGGTTTTCATCAGAGTGTCGGCATCCCCCTTTCCCTTGTGTTATACAAGGTACCCAAGCCTGAGCTAAGGGTAAATTATGCCTTCCACATGCTTCTTTAAAAAGCTCAAGAATCTCCGGTAGTACCGATTTATAAGAGAAATCGCATGCCTGCTAAAGAATAATGGAAATATTATATACAAGGAAGATTAAAAACTCCTGAGAATAAAGTTGGCAGCCTTTAAGCATTCTAAGCAAATTCTGACAAAATTACCTCAATCTTTTCAGTGCTCGAAGCATCAGAACTCCGAAGGTCAACAGCCTAAAAACAAATTAAAGGGTGAATCAGAAGTTTACAATAAATCAGGAGTACTTTTTTAAGTTTCCTCTGCAAGCAAATTGATAGTGGCATCCAGGATTCAATACAGTTTTTGGTTACTATTGTTGATAATTCAGGAAGATATTGATCCTAATTCCTGGCATCCAGGACTCATATAGAAAATATAAAACTTGATATGGCTGACAAATCTGTGAAATAAACTGATCAAACAAGTGGCATTTCATATTGCGGCCAACTTCTGGTAACATCAATGTGAAAGTGAACCACAGGAAGAATTCACAGTATCATCTCGCATTCCAGTCCTACACCCAAAAATAACAAAGCCTCTATCCCACTACCACTACATGAATTATGGTTCATATGTTGCAAATCCATTAATGTGGATCACAAATAAAAGCTCATAAGAAAGTATGTAGTAAACAGAAAATAATGAATGAGTTAAAACCAAAACATACACATTATATGAATTTGTGGATAAACATCTAACAAGGCTTCAAACAATCCATCAACAAAATGATATCACTATATTCTGGTAGGTTCATTGAAACTTTAGAAGTCAAAAGAAAAAAGGTCTCTGTACAGTACATAAACTTTAGAATGCAATCAGTTTGCAGCTATAACAACAACAAAAGCAACAGCTTATGCAGGGTCATGTATAAGCGTAATAAGCCATCATCTTGCTCTATCAAAACTCATCTTATCATTTCAATCAAAATAAATTCAGGTGCACCTCCAAAAAAATAAAGAATTTCAAACCTCAAGAGCCTTGCAGACGCGGTCAAGCTCTGGGCGGTAGTTGATCTTTTGGGTGGTCATGACAACTTCAATAACCCCCAAACAATTACGACTACCCTGTTCAAATATTGGAACTCCAAGCGTCCCCCTAACATCACATTGTTGCGCGTAACCAACCCTAGGATATTCATTTGTCTGGAAGAACTGAACATCAGGGGTCCATTCAGGGACTTTGCCCATGAAAACCCGCCCTGGAAACCCAACACTTTCTTTCGAATCCTTATCCTCCTCAGTAGGGAAATGATAGTTCACCGAAATGTTCCTGTAATTCTCAAGTCTCGGACAATTGTGAATCGAGAAAGGTTGATTACTGGTTGTAAGCACACGCCTGCCACCCCTGTTTACTGGGAGCCATATTTGAACAAGAACATTCTTATCTCCTGACCAATCCTTAATATAACCAACAGCCTTTATGAGTCTCTCCATTACAGACGTCGAAGCATTTGGTCCAATCCACCACCTTCTGCTCACCTCTGGATTACTTTGAGTTATGCTTAGATTACCATCTCGATAATCCCAGCTCGGACTAACTGAAAGGTTGTCAGAAAAAGATAATCTTTGTCTCTCTTCTTGAGCAGAATCATGCAATTGGCTGGAATCACCATGCTTATTATTGGCTGCTGGTGCCTCTAAAAAAGCAGGCTTAGGCGAAAATGAAGAATCAAAAAGAGCACTGAAACTAGATGGACTACTACTTTGATGTAAGAATTCAGATCCATTACTTGTCTCCAACCAACATCCCTCCAATAACAATTCATCCATGTAATCTAAATCCATAAGGGAATTATCAGACTGTGTTCTCCCCAACATTGTACTACTCTCAGCAATAAAATCATTACCGTTCATCACAGCAACTGCTACCTAGATTTCCCCCCTTTTTTTCAAGATTCAAGAGCTACCCACAACTCATTTCTCCAAATCAATACTAATCCCTTTTTGAATTGAAATCCCAAAGCCACCATCACTCAGCAGCTGCCAAAGACCATGTAGAATTGGAATTTCTGTAAGGAAGTGAAACGCTTGTGAAAAGGGGTTCCAGCCAGACAGGCACAATTGACAATGAGAAGAATCGAGATCAAAAAGGAAGTAACTCAGGTAGGTTATTTTGTATAATGTTTACAAGTTCAAGAACAACAACTTGGATTCTTCTACCATAAGGGATGCTAACCTAGTACTCAGTCAAAGGAAGCAAAGGACAACAAAAATCTTTTTTTCAGATTCTCAATGTTACACACACCAAAAAAAAAAAAGGAGAAAGGGAGGAAATAGTATCAAAGGAGATGTATCCCAACAAAGTCAAATCTTTTTACAACTATTTCATCAAAATTTAAGATTTCTTGTGTTTACAATTTGTGACACACATAAAAATGAGTTCGAAAGAGGAGTACAAAGTACAATCTCATTACATAAAAGTTTGGTGACCCCCAACAAATATCACAGACCACAAGTAGAAGATTGAAAGCACCCCAGCCACCAAAAAAGTAACCCACAAAAGAAAGAAATAAAGGGTTGAGAGAGGCAGAGCTGAGCAAACTCACTGATAAAACTGAAGAGGGAAAGATTCCTGATTCTTGGATATTCCAAAACGAGGGAGTTTATTTCCTTTGTCTCCCTTATCTATGCACAACAAACAATAAATGATTGATTGGTACTTTTCCTGAAATACCCAAAAAAAAAAAAAAGAAAACTAATTTCTCCACCACCCTGTATGGTTGTCTGCTCTGCTCCAGCAACACAAAAAATAAAATCAGCAAAGCATGGATTAGGTTGGCTTAACAGCTCAGTAATATGATTCTAAGCTGTATCTTGTTCAGCCCAAGAAATTAATTTCTCCCTCTCTAAAACTGCTGTGTTCAGTACAGTACTGTTAAACTTTGGTTTATTCTTCCCAAGAAAGTAAAGAAATAAAATTCCAAATGGGATGATCCCTCTCTATCATCAATTACAAGGGAAGATTCTCATTCAACAAGTAGATGGTCCCACCACATTAGCCCACCTTCCCTTTGGCCTTTGGGAATCTCGCGGTAAAGTCAACTTGAAGCCACAAGAAGAGAAGAAGCCCAAGTAGGTGAAACACTCAACAGTAGTTGTGTAACCAGAGGAAGAGAATGACTGGGAATACACCACAACTTGATCCTCTCTGTATTTTTGAGTTTGAGCACATTGATGGCCCCAAAGATCTCAACTTTATGATGTAATATGTAATAAAATGAGTATATTAGTGGTAATTGTGAGCCAGGAACAAAAGGGTCGGAAAGAGAAGGGAGGGAATAAGGATGACTCAGGACACAACTTGGACCCCTTACCTTTTTTTGCCTTTTGTTTTTGGCATTTCTGAGCTCATAAACTCTCTCTCTCTCTCTCTCTCTCTCTCTCATTTGGAAAGCTATAATTAATAATAACTGAAAGTCTGAAGGATCTCAAAGTTGTGATGTAATAAAAAGTAGTATATTTAATAAAAATTTGAGTATGTTAGTGGTAAATATGGACAAGGGTTCTAACAGGAGAAAGAAAGAGAAGTGATGATGACTCGGTAATTATCACCAAGAAGAGACTTTTTCTTTCCTTTTCAGCAAATCAAATCACTGAAAGATGTCAACTTTATATGATGTTATTAAGTTCTTAAAATGAGTAGATTAGAGGTGATTTGAAAGATTGAACGACTGAAATGATCAAGCTTCGTGATTAATGAAGTTTTTCTGATTCTGCAGCAATGGAATCCCCTGAGTTTGTTTGGTCAATCTTCCATTTTACATTTTGTCTCATTTTATCTCTTAAACATAAAACGCAATGAAAAAGAATATATCATCCAAACAACGTGTGATTTATATTTTAAATTTTAACTTGAAACAATTTTTGTTAGTGTAATGACCATTTTAGAACTACAAATAGTTCAGTGACAAATTTGGCAGGATTCCATTGTTAAGTGATTGTTTTTGAAAAAATTCTTTTTTACAGTGACTGTAATTGATAGTATTTAATTGTTTAGTGATGATTCGTATTTGATATTTTCAAAATGTAATTTAAAATATTTTTCTCAAAACTAACATCCAAACAACTTTTTGCTCTAAATACCATCCAAACAACATTTTCATTTTCCATTTAATTTTCAACTTGAAATACTTTCTACTTTTAAGTGGTAAGATAAAATGTAAGTTGGCGTGCAAACAAGCTCAATCATTGATTACATTTCTAACAATTTGTCACCAGGAGAGCTGGAGTGTACCAATACACAATGAACCCAAAAAAAAAAAAGATTGTTTCACTTTTTGTTTTGCAAGATTTTCCATCCTTTCTCACTGAATTTGATGTATAAATATGATGATGTGATCGCTGGGAAGTTGCATGAGATTCAACAAAAATTAATCCAGAAATTGTTAGAAATGTGGACCCTTACATGACATCACATTCTTCATAATTCCATTAGAATTGTTTACTTTGAGGAGCGTACTAGTAAAACAGAAATAGTATAGTTAAGGTATGCATAATTTTAGAAATTTACTACAACTTTTTTATTTTTTGATGTAAATCCAAAGTTTTTTTTCCATCAATAAGTTCCGTTCTCTGCAAATATTTGGATAATCCAAGATTGCACATTTTATACTTTGTTTACTGAATTTAAAAACTCGTACATATTACTATAACCAAAAAAAAAAAAAAAAGATCCAGTACAATGATATGCTAAAATTAACATATATGATGATCATATACAAGTGCATTATTTATTAATTATTAATTAAAAGACTTTTAATGCTTAGTTCATCTTGAACAATTCGTTAGTTGTTTTTAATCTGCCCATCAAAAGTACACAAAATATTCCCAAACTCTTACAAATTAAACTCAGTTTACAAAAAAGAATCTGGAACAGTTTTACGATTTCCTCAAAGATTAAAAGACCAAAAACTACAAAATTTCCACGAAGATTAGGTCATATGGATTAATTAATTAATTCGAGACGACAATTATTGGGCCACTAAAATTAATTGTTAAAAATTGGGATGATGACAACAACAAGGACGTTGGTATCATGTCATGGTGGCCTATTTTCTCCTGGACCTGAAACTTGGAATCTTCGCCCAAATACCAAAGCAAAATAAAATAAAGAAAAATTTGTTTAGTTTATTATGACCACTTCTCAGTCTCATCTACCAGCCTGGATTGCATATATTCTTTCTTTACTCTTATTTTATTTTTCTGAATTATGGTAATTGGTTCTCAAAATAAAGTAAAGCGTCAATTGCAACTGAGCCCCCAAAAGTTTCTTTATTTTTCAAAAAGTCCCTTGAAATTGTAGTTCCTTATTACCTCTCAATGTATTCATGTTTTGTGGACGATTTGAAAACTATTGGAAACACCCTTGATTTATCCAAAAAAAATAAATATATAAATATCTTCATCTGTATTCTATTATTTCTCTATAATTATTACACTTTTGTAGAGTGCAAAATATATACTTATGTAAGTGTTGTTTGAGTAAGATCTCAAAGTACTATTCAATGAATGGTCATCCCTATTGATTCAAAACCTAACTTCTATTGACTAATTACGATGGTGGATGATTGTTACAAATTAATAAAAGATAGGTGGAAACGTATTTTGATTGAACTTTTTGTGGAATGATTTACAAATGACAAAACTTGAGGGAATGTTTTGCAATGAACTACATAATTTGTATAAGAAAAACTAGCATAATGATAACATATATAATGAGTCATAATAATACGGAATAAAGTAAGAAAAGAGAATTCTAGGTAATACAGCCACAATCTCCCAATCGTACTTTCACTTCGTGTTGCTGATGTGGGAATCTCAAATAAAATAAAATAAATGTTACGATCTATATCCTTTGTCCCACGCTTGTGAGTTGTGATGTCATCATACAACTAGTAGCAATATTATTATTAAGAATCTGATTTATTTAATTCATTCTAATAGTTGTTGGAATATACAAATGACAAAGTTTAATGGTCATTTTTGTTTCCACCGAAATTGTTTTGTTCTCATCAAGCACAAAATAAACATTTCAAAGTCAAGATTTCAAAAAAGAGCAGAAAGTACATCAAATTATCACCCAGCACAAAGTATAAAGAAAAAAGATGGTCAACTCAATAGTTCATATTTCTGATTTTTTTTTTTTAAAAAAAAAAAAAAACTGCAGCAAGTACATTGTAGAAATTTGAATCTTTTAAGTAATCAATCAATTAAGTTTTAAGTGTCGAATGTGTTTATCAAAGGACTTTAATTAGTTCAACATAAAAAGAAAGTTTATCTTGAATCTATTTATTCCCTTAGATTTTATTTAATACGTTCTTCTGATTCAAAATAAAACTTTATATAAATCATATCGTCACAATTATTGTGTTTTCTCGATTATTATCAAATATTTTTAAAATTTTATTTCTCAATAGAAGAAGTTAGGACAAATCAAAATATATTTTATAGAATAAAAACAAAGAGAGCAGTTCATTTAGCAATGTTTAACGGATTGGATGTAGGGGAAAAGAATTAAAGAGTTGGGTTCTTCCCCTTGTAAAAAAGTCGGAAGACAAGAAGAAAAGTAAAACAGAATAAAGAGATACACAGAAGAGCATATATACTATCGACTAACACTTAAAAGTCAAATTAATAAACCCAATTAAAAAAAAAAAAACCAACCATAACAATTACCCTGAAAGGACGAACTTGAGCTGAGTTATGTTTCTTACTCCTTTCTACAATTGCTGATTTCACAAGTTCACTTTTTTGACTATTATTGCAAGACCTGATGGAAGAAGATTAGCATAAATACGAGCAGCATTGTTGAAGAGCATATCCAAAGTCCCCCCATAATTCAACATCATGTAAAATAGACTTCCAAAAGGACTACTTGAGCCGAGTCATGATCATTCCATAATTAGGCTTTGGCCCAAAAAGGATCGTTTTGCACAAAAAGGACTGATTTTATTATTTTCATTAAAAGATCCGAAAAAATCTGTAACAAGTTATACAGGGGTAGACTTGTTCTCATTTCTTACACGAATACAACAAACAGAACCACCAAGGACGCCATTAGGCCTCAAACCACTCAACCGACAACCAACCCTGAAAAGCATTAGGGTCTCTAAAGTACACAGTATAGTCATGTCATTCACATTGTTGGTCTCACGTTCAGGCGTGAGGCAAGTTTCTGTCCAAGAGATTTGTCAGCCTGCAAGACACAGCAAAATATGAGTATTCGATGATCCGATATCATATCATGCCGTTTGTAAATGACTAGTATTATCTGACTTAAATGCCATTTGTAAAAAAAAAAAAATCCACCATTTTCCTCCACAAAAATTACCACAATCAGCAATAACATCAATCATGGTGAATACATCAGGTGAGGAAAGAGAAGAAAAGGCAAAGGGGAAAGGAAACTAGACCTGAGACCAGTATGAGATCCAAATCGCGCGGATTTCGTGGGTGAGTCGTGGATCAGATAAAGCGTCAACCCATCGTTTGATGAACCTCTCTTGCCTGAGAAAGATAGCATTAGTGAGAATGTCTGCATACGCATTCAAGTGTCATACATCAAGAGCTTTAATAGGGTGACAAACCCAGTACCTCTCAGGATCAAAGGAACGGTATCTCTCTCCAGGTTGCTTGAAGTTGTTCTCCTTCTCGATAATGCACTGTACAAACCAGAAAACATGCCTTTTGTTATAAAACAAGACCAACTTTTGCAGACCTCTAATAGACAAATAAAAAAACTCCAGACATCTATTTATATTGCAACATATAGAACACTGTACATAAGAAACCTCCAGATTTCTGTTTCTATTGCAACATATGAAACGCTCCTACCCGCAATAATATCAGATACCATTCACCAAAATTTCTGTCCTTTACTTGAGGAACTTACTCTACCCAAGACGGTGACTTGTATGACACAATAAACACTTCTAAAAACCACACACTGACATGTTCACATAACATTTTTGGGGTAGCACAACGACTATTAAGTGGATGGAAGCAACGGCTAGAAAGAAAAAAATGCATCCACATTCTTATATCTACACATGTAATACAATCCAATCATTACATAATTAACCTTAATTCTAGAAACTCACCCGGTCACGTCTTCCAGTCAAGACGGGAGGAGGTATTGGGTGCCTCTCAGCATGACGAACAGGGTCATACCTTGACGGGAAATAATTGACCTGGAATGAACATAGAAAGATTTAGTAAAATTAAACGTTCTCTAAACCTAAGTCAATAGATAGAGAAACATTATCGAGGGGTTATAATTCTAGTCATTCATAAAGAAGAACACCTTAAACACTAAAACCACAGGTAAGTTGTAATCAAAATACTTTTCTCCTAGGGAAGTTTCTAGCAGTTATATGTCCATTCAAAGGGAAATACAGGCAAAGATGAAGAGCATATGTTTACCACCAATAAGATATAACCTTTTAAGAAGGAAAATAATCAGCGTAATGACTGCGTAGCATAATGCTTTCTCATTACGAAATTAAGGAAAATATTACCTCTTCATCCCTGTGCATGAAATTCATGAAACCTTCATGATGATTGTTGTGATGAGCGCACTTGGGTGCATTTGCTGGGAGCTGCAGATAGTTTGGCCCGAGACGGTGGCGCTGGGTATCAGCATACGAGAAGATTCGAGTCTGAAGTAGTTTGTCATCTGAATAGTATACACCAGGAACAATAATGGCAGGGCAGAAAGCAAGTTGCTCATTTTCGGCAAAAAAGTTGTCGATGTTCTTGTTCAATACCAAGCGACCCACTGGTTGCAGAGGCAAAATATCCTCAGGCCAGGTTTTGGTAACATCAAGAGGGTCAAAGTCGAACCTGTCCTCATGATCAGGATCAATGATCTGGATAAAGAGTTTCCACTCAGGATAGTTTCCAGCAGCAATGGAATCATAGAGATCCTGGGTAGCATGACTATGATTTGACCCTCCAACTTTGATGGCTTCATCCTCCAGCAAGCACTTCACTCCACATGTTGGTTTCCAGTGAAACTTCACATAATGAACTTTTCCAGCCTTGTTTATCAAGGTATAGGTATTGACACCAGAGCCTTCCATATGCCTATAATCTTGTGGGACACCCAAATCATCAAACAAGAATGTAAACATATGCAAGCTCTCAGGATGATGAGAGAAAAAGTCGAGGATTCTCCAATTCTCTTGAATGTGAGACTTGGGATTGGGCTTCAGTGCATGTACCATATCGGGGAATTTCATTCCATCACGAATGAAGAAAACAGGGAAATTGTTGCCAACCAGATCAAAATTACCCTAGACCAAAAACACAAATGGAGGACATGTTAGACTTATCCGACTGATTCAACAGAAGAATGCAACAAAATTTTAATGATCAGTGGCTTGAGATAAGATTTCCCATAAAATCATTAGATCAAATTAATAAACTTCCAGAAGGCATCTATAAGACTGAGTGAAGAAATTGGAAATTAAAAATGATCATTACCTCCCGAGTGTAAAATTTGACAGCAAAACCTCTGGGGTCCCTGAGGGTTTCAGGGCTTCCACGCTCATGGATAACAGTTGAGAATCGAACAATAACAGGTGTCTGAACTCCAGGAGCACGAAGGAAATCAGCACAAGTGAGATTGGAAATATCATGAGTGACCTCAAAGAAGCCCTTAGCACTGGCACCTCTGGCATGAACTACACGCTCTGGAATCCGTTCACGGTCAAAGTTAGCAAGCTTCTCCACCAAGTGATAATCCTCAAGGAGAATGGGACCTGAATAAGAAGAAAAAAATGGAATAAAGCACATCAAAATCTCAATAGATAGAAAAATCCAAACCACAACATATCAACACAACTACTTGAGTTTGATGCACAGTGCCTTTAAAATTTGAGCAAGTGCAACATCACAATTACGCTTGTCTCCCATTATATGGGGTCGGCCATGTAAACCATTCTCCAGGCTTTGTGAGAGCACAAGTCTTCATTTACACTTTGAAAAGATTAAAAAACTAAAAATACATACATCAATGACAAATGAATTATTTCCCATTTTCCAGATGTTTCATTCACAGATTAAAAATTAAAAAACTCGGCTAACAACTACAAATATCATGTGGAAGAATAAATAAACCACACAAAGAAGCAAGAGGAGGAACAAATTACCTCTGGTTCCAACAGTAAGAGAGGAGTTATTGTTCCATACAGGGGCCCCAGAGTTGGTGGTCCAGAATGGTGAATTGTAAGCACTAGATGGCCGGTGCTGCACCCCAACCAAACCGTAAATTCAATATCTTTCATCATTTATTACTCAAAATACACACACTCATCATATCAGAGTCCTCCATAGACGCAGAAATTACAATAAACTTGTCTTCCGCCATAAACCAACAGAGGAACAAAAGAAGAGAAGGCGAAGGGACAAACATCGGATTCACCAAAATTCAATCTTTCATCATTCTCTAACCGGAACATACAAAACCCATAATCTCGTATTCATTAACACGTCCAAACAAACAAATCGATAAATTCCAATTTAATTAATTTCTTATAAGGAAAACTCCTGGATATTCCAAGAAAATGATGGAAAAGTGGGGTCGCTTTAAGAGGCCATAACCCAGCTCAACAAAAACTTAAAAAGTCCATGCTCTAGCTAATCGTTGAATCCCTAATTCCCAACTCTAATTCCAAACAATAAAACATGAATCACATCGCAACGTTTCCCAAAAAAAGAATGAACAGAAACAAACTAAAAAAATAAAGAATAGAAAACAATGATAAATTGATGGGAATACCTTGTAGGGATCCATGGGAGAAAGGAGCAAAGGATGGATGGGATAGAGATGAAGAAGGAAACCTCCAAATGATGAACGTAAGTCCGGAAGGGGAAGTCGATCGCGTGTGTTGGCAACAAGACTGAGAGATAATCTATATATTATTTATAAAAATCATAAGGTCTGTGGGGGGCCACAATACGGCTAAGGCCCGCCTTTCAATATCTGAATTTTACCGCTTACGTTCGTATTTACATTTCCTTCTCTTATCGTTTTCGCGATATTAGCGGAGAAACTCTATCTAGACATCTTTAATTTTTTACCATTATTCTAATTTTATTACAGCCCCCAGTGTTTCTTGTGATTGAAAAAAAGAGTAAATATCAAAGGTATTCATTGGAGGATAAAATTATGATTGTATAAAAAATGTTACCGATAATGCGGAGGTTATTGATATTTTAATACAGAACAATGGATGAGTTAGTCTATTAACAAAATAAATAAATAATATTATAATAATTGTGTAGAAAGATTTACGTCTTTGTATCATTTTTTCAGAAATATCTAAATTATTATTACATAAACGTTCTTTATCTCAAACATAGTGATCCGAGCGAGAATCTTGGATCAGTCCATTGCATTTTGGTATTAGAATCTTCACACTAACAAGCACAAAATGAAAATAAGAGTAAAACTGATGCTTGCCCCACGCACCGCCTTTACTTTTAAATCGATTAAATAAAAAAACAAATCATCTTTAAAAGAATAAAAAACAAAAAAATAAAAAATCGATTAAAAGGACAAGAATTGAGTTACTACACATAAACTTATGTCAGGGTTTATAACAGTTAACTTATACCCGGATTGAATAACTCATAAACCAATATCACAACAGAATAATGAAAAAAACCAATCATCCTTAAAAAATCAAATTTCCTTCCATGATCACTTTTTTTTTCCTCTGTTATAAAAAAAGATGAATTGATAATTAATGTCAGATTTTAAATAGTTGATTTGAAGGCTCGGGTCTGAGAAAGGAGCGGAATGGAAAAGATCATTTGAGATTGGGTGGCAGTGTTGTTTCACTTGAGTGACACATGTCAAAAATAATTTTGTATGAAAATGACTTTTGGCGGGAAAATTTTCATTGTGGTGATGATACATGTTCTTTTTGTTTGTTGCTTTAATTAAATACTCCTCCATCCTATAATTATTGTCTAGTTTGAGTTTTCATTTCTAGTTCAAATTGTACTAAAAGTAAAATTTCAAACTGGATAATAATTTTGGGACTGAGAGAGTACTATATATATATATATATATTGATCCTCATGTTTTTTTCGGATTGACCTCACTTAAAACTAGTAGTAGTTGTAATAGCGTGAGATTTTGGTTGCATTTTTCCAATGGGAAATATCGCAGCGTTGAATATACAAAGGTGGCCCCGAGTGCAGATTTTTCTTGTAATATATGTGGTGAAAATTACTGGATAAACTAAAAAAGCAGAGATGCATAAAATCGTACGAAAATGAACAAAACAAGTCTACACGAAATACACAAAACAAATAAAGAAAGAAAAGCTTTTAAATTAGAAAACCCTGGCCCCACTATAAATAAAAATTAAGGGGCAAATAAAAAAATGAGGATGGAAAAGGGTGGGTGATGGGTTCCTTATCCATGGTTTTGGAGCTTATCTAGAGCCGCATCACAGCCAGTAGCTGCTAAGCAGGATGACATGGCCCGTTCTGATCTTGCCACGCAAACGAATCTCACATTGAAACGTGTGCTCGGGACCCTCCTTGAACGTCCAGGATTCGAAAGATCACAATAGCGGAGTCCACAGTCCATACTCCATAATTTGTGAATGATAACACCGCTCAAGTGTGAACGCAGATGGCCTCCCGAATATGCCGTTTCGTGACGACACTTTTCTTTGTTAGCAACTCATGGTCAAGACAAACACTATTCCCGCCATGAAATCATACAGTTTGTATTCTTTTTCTTAAAAAAAAAAAACAGAAAGGGGAACCAAGAAGACAAATTCCATACATTCTAAGATACTTCTAGTGCTAGGGATATTTTTTATAACCGTCTTCTATTTTTGTTTGAGAGAGTTACCCAAGCAAGAACGTAGGTGCTGGTTAGTGATTACGCTCCACGCTCCAGAAAAATTTATAGTCGTAATAATAAAATGAATACATGGTGGAAATGATGCAATTATGCGTAAAATAATACTCACCGAAGGAGTAAATCACAAACTCACCCCTAGGCATGCCCAAGGTTCCGGAACCAAACCGAAAAATAAGGTTCTGGTTCTTGAACTGTCTTTAAAAATTCTAAAATCGGAACCGAACCTTGTATTGGCAGTTCGATTAAGGTTTTATCATTTTTGAAACCGTTAACCGGCGGTTCTGAACCGTGAAAATCAACAATTCAATTATCAGTTATATTGATTTTTTTTATAACTTTAAAAAATATATATAAAATATGCTAACAGTTTTATCGTTGTTTAAAAGTAAACCAGTGGTTTAATTATTAGTGAAACTGCTGCATTGTTCAAAATATATAACACGAATTATCTATTGTTTTGATACATAATGTTACTTTGTAATAATGATTTGTTGATTTGAGTAACTTTTATTCACCATGTTTTATTATTTTTCATATAATTAAAATTTGAGGTATACATGCCAAGTATCGTCCTATTTTTCTTTCAAATAAAAAATAATAATTTCTTATTCCACAATTTATAGTACTTTTCAAAAAAAAAAAAAAGGAAAAGACTCATCTAACAAAAAAATTTTAAAAAAATAGTCCAACGAAAAACATTGTGACAAACACTATCACAATATAAAATCAAAATCAGAACCGGAACTAAATTAGAACCGACGGTTCTCCAACCGTAATCAGAACCATAGTATAAAAGAGCGGTTCTGAGTTTTATTTTTATCAAACACGCACCGCCGGTTGGGCGTGCCTACTCACACCATTCATTAATAATAAAGATATTTGTTTTTAATACACATGAAACATAGCTTTATCTTTTTTCAAAAAACAATTCATGAAAGAAAAAAGTCCAAGTATCCACTCTTAGGACACAAGTGCAAGCAACGTTTCTTCCTGGGCCTAAGCCCGACATTTTATGATTTAGTAGACGCAAGAATTTGATTACAAATTGAATGATGTCTGAGATAGAAGTTCTGACTGAAGCTGGCATCACAATTGCTAATCGCTATGTTATCCAACTCTAGGTTAGAAATGTCGAAACTCGAAAGACAAAAAGGCCGAAACTAGGGCTGTGACTTTAGTTTTGCACATGTTTACACGAGATTAATTAAAAAGGAAGTATACGATACAACCAATGGGTTTTGTACCGGCTAGCCGGCTACGACTACAAACTCAGTAGTGTTGCCACCTGCTTGGGTTGCATGATTTAAACTTTGAACATTAGACAGTTCAATTCAAAATTTCATCATGAAAATTCACGCCAGCTTAATCCCAACCAGGGATCACTTGCTACAAATATGTTCCAGGACTAGAAAGATGAAATTCTAGTCAGGTAAGAGCTACTTCCTATACATTTTATCACTAGTATAAAATGTCCAGGTAAAGCATGATTGAAAAACATACTAACATTGACTAGAAAAAAGCCTACGTTTCAAAAACTATCACCTTCTCATAATATCTTTGCATAACTCAAAGTCAATCTCGAAATATAGTGAATTGCTAACCAGTTTAAAAATGAAGCTAATGAAGCTGGGCAAGTGACTGAAGCATGCGATTTATATCTGAAAAATGAGGCATCAGTTTCCACCGTGTAAAAATTCCTCCACTTCAAGTCTCCAGCTGACTGACCAGGGAAGATGGAGTTGGTTGGGTTTCAAGAAGTAAACCAGAGCCCTTGCTTCTGACTTTTTATCCTTAGATGAATCTCCGCAAGTTTGTGGGAATTTCCAAGTCAACGACACAGGTTTATCTTCTGGGCAGTGGCAGCTGAGCAGCTTTGTGGTAGATTGCTCGTAATTGAAGATTTTCCCAAGACATTAAGGGCCTTCATCCTATTCATTTCAGTGCCTGCAATCAATAATTAATAATGAGTAGCATAAAATGAACCAACGGAAAATGACTGTTATTTGATCAGTAACGGTAGCTACTTCATAGATACACATCAGCGTCGTTCTGCCAAGTTTTTTAGGTAACTCTTATTCCAAGGTCTTCCACAAACAATTAAAGGAAAAATACTCGTTACAAAGATGCCAAAGCAATCTAATCATGATCTTCCAAAGGAAAATCTGCAAGATTGTTTACTGATCTAAAGCGATTCTGCTGCATTACAAACTATCCCCTGAAAGCCAGCCACATTTTATGACTGCGAAAGCACACAGACTAGTCATTGGCGGAGCAGAACAGAATGTCTGTCCTGCCCAAAAGTTAATCACAAACTCAAGTCACTCACGTCTTTTCCATTTCGAACTCTTACTCTCTTAGCCTCCGAAAATTATGAATTTCCAAGTCATTTTGATCCACAATATCAATGAAATTATTGTGGATACAATAAAACATACTAAAATTTCCAGTTCAGATATTAGATTTTATGTATCAAGCGAAAGCTCATAAACAAAAAAGCTTAGACCAGAAACACCCTTACAGTCATCAACGGCTAATTTATATAATCTGCTCTCCAAATCTTGTGCACGTCTGCTGAGCTCCGCAGGGGATAGGTGACGAAGACCTGAATCAAAACAGCCAATTTGTTGGCAAATAAATCGATAGTTAAGCATTAGACTACAAATACATATCCAGGAATTCATACTCTTACCTTGAAGGTAAGCCTCACTATAGTCAGGCTGATCACATTCCTTCAAGAACTTCTGCAGGGTAATATAACGTTCAGCCCTTGACTGCTCATCAGTAGTAACATTACAGTCAGTAGAAACAGCTTGCATCGCCGGCATCCCAGAGGAAATCTTCCCTTGGAAATTTGGACCTGATAGCGCACCGAATGAACTGTTAGCCGATGGAACGTTATTCAGAACACAAAGTTTACTATTTGCCTTTGAAGACGTCTGCTTCTTTTCTGGAATTTCTTGTGGCAACTGCTGTGATTGCGTTGACTGAGGAGGACTAATGAATTTGTTAATACTGCTTTGAAAATTTGCTTTGCTGCCTAGTTCTAGATCAAATCTTCTACGAGCATTCACAACGTGCTCATTTTCACAATAATTAACTACGGTGGGAAACAAAGGAGAAGTTGAAGGACGTTCTGGAGTAAGTCTCTTAGTGCCACAAACTTTAACTGTATTATCCTTATTGGATCCTCCTCCAGTAAGAAAGCCCAAATTATCATGATGGTTCTGTGTCACGGCACTACATTGATTCTGCACATCTCTGAGTGCCGTCTTTTTCATTACACCCTGAGGCTGCTTGTCTTGAGCAGTGAATCCAATAATACCACTACCCTGCTTGTATGCAGGAATTGCAACTCCACCTTCAACAACGCCATTGCTAATAGATTCCGTGTTGATCATTTGAGTCATAAAAAAAGAACCTATCCCCAAATGGAAGAATGTACAGTTGCAATTCTTGTAAACAAGACCTGAACAACACAGATTGATGATTCCAGTAAGCTTTAATCAACCAAAAAATCAGAGTGAAATCTAGTCAAAAAATTCCTAGTCATGGCTAGTACGCAACTTAACAAATTGGCAAAATCCAATCCCGAGCATTAGATGGCTAGAGATTCTGAACATCTAGCATCACAAATTCGAACCAAAACTATTTTGTAAAAATAAATGCTTCATATAGTTCAATGACAACACCAATATGGAAGGCTTTTACATCAGAGAGCCATCAAACTACAAGACCTATCTTCTCATTAAACTACGGCAATGAAAACATCACATGTCGAACATCATACCAATGGATAAACTGAAAAGCTCCAAATGCAAGAAGGGGAACAAACATGCCAAACGTCAGTATTGCATAGACAATTCCATGCAATTCAGTGGCTTCAAAATTGAGGAAACAGCTAATTCTTCTCTGTTTACCACATCACTGCCTTAAAACAGCTATAAGACCAGCGCTTCATGCGGATTTGTCAGAACAGACTCTTACAGGCTGCCGAACTTATAAACCTCACATATGCAGGAGTTCCTATGCACTCGAGCTGTAATTGGCCTACACTTCCTGGACCCCACATATGGGGGAATCTCTATGCACCAGACTGCCCTTAAATACATTCTTCTAGTAGGTTAACACAACGACCAATTCTACAATCGAAGCAACTGATTTCCCACAAATTGCAAACACGACAAAAGAAAAAAAAAAAAACTCTGAAAAAGACAACAAAAAATAAAAACTAAGAATTCATGCTATTGGGGAAGTTGCCATCACGCTCTATCCAAAACATACGAATTCATTTAGGTTTAAAAAGTAATCATTTACATATAAGAAGAAAACAAATAAACAGCAAAAAAGGAGCTAAAATTAGTCAGGAGAATAACATTAACCAACAACAACTCAGCTACCAACATAAGAAGGATCCCTATTGCTTCTCTTTTACCACTACGAACACAGGTAAAACCAAAAACAAAACAATAATAATAACAAAATTTACTTTTCAAGACTTCTCAAAAACCCCACTAAATTTACTACGGACAAAAAAGATAAAAAAGAGCTACAAAACAATCCTCGCGAAATTCACCAACGAATTCAACCAACAATCCGACGATGCTTGAAAGAAGATTAAATTCATCTTTCCATTAAAATAAAACTACACTAACAAACAAATACCAGCGATAAAAAAAAAATTAAAGAAAGAAACAAAGGAAAAGAGATTTAGAAGATGGAGAAGAGAAGGGTTTAGTTACCGATGGAGAGAATTGGATTTGGGCGGAGCGGGTCGGGATGGATCCGAGAAGAGAGAGAGAGAGATAGGGACGGCGCCACTGAGAGAGAGTGAAGAGAGGTTTGAAAAGAGGGAGCTTTGGCTCCAAAGACCGACCACTTATTTACTCCCTTCACCCCTTCTCCCCCTTCATTTTTTTCTTTTTTTCATTTTTTTTGGTTCCCTCTTTTTCGAGTTTTCTTCCATTATTATTTGGAAAAAATATCGAATTTTCTTACATGGCATATAATTTATAAAAAATATGTTTATACTTATCAATGCGAGGATTTAACATTTTGTAATAATTATTTGAGATGTTAATATATCTAACGATAGAGGAAGTCTTACTAGCTTATTCTATATGATTCTAGTTTAAAATAAATGAATGGAGGTAACAATATGGTAATAAGTTGTTGTGATAGAAAATAGGTTTTAGATTCAAGAAGGAAAACTTATGTTTGGAGGATTTTTTTAAGGTTTTAATTATTTTATATTTTAGTTATTTTTTTATAAATTATATTAATGCAAGTTATAGTCTCTTGAGTTAAATTGTAATACACTAAGATATATTAATATTTTTTTATTTGAGATAATATTTTATTTTTACGTGGAATATTAGTTTCATTTAAATGTTTTTAATCTTTATTTTAGGAAAAATAAACTAAATCAGAAAAATAGTGTCTTAATTATTTTATATTTTATTTATTTTTTTATGAATTATATTAATGTAAATTATAGTCTCTTGAGTTAAATTGTAATACACTAAAATATATTGATATTTTTTATTTTAGCTAATATTTTATTTTTATGTGGAATATTAGTTTCATTTATATGTTTTTAATCTTTATGTTCGGAAGAATAAAATAAATCAAAAAAATAGTGTCTTTATTGCTTAAACCATATTATTTAAAAAATTAACATGCTTATATAAATACAATCACGGGTTACAATTATACAAAGATTAATTTTTACGGTAGAGTTTGAAAATAAATAAATATTTTTTTAAAACTTATAAAATAGACTCTTATGGTCAATAAAAATAGTTGAGAGAAATGAAATAAAATAGAGAAAAATAAAATAAAATAAATGAAAAGGGACTGTTTTGTTATTTTTTTATATTTTAAGGGTTATTTTTAAAAATTTTAAAAATTACTGAGGTGTTTTTATATTTAAATTTATTATTTTATTAAAAAACTAACGGAGATCCGTTAAATTGGACGGAAATAGGCCGATTGGACGAAATTGGCAAAAATTTCAAACATTAGGGTAAAGTTGGCTAACCGAAAATTTATTGGGTATGATTGACGACGAAGGCAAAGATTTGGGTAGGAACGATATTTTTTTCTTTATTATTCTTCACTTCTTCTTGAGTACAGATTTATGTTCTAATCTAACGGTCAAATTTTGCTAGATGGTATTCAATCTAACGGGCGATTTTTTTTTTGATGGTCACTGTATTAATCAGGGTTAAATTTGTCATTGCAAAATGCAATTTCTCCCCTTTCTTCTTTTGGCTAAAAAAGTTGGCGCACAAAATGGTGACGTTTTATTCTATAGAGCGTCGTATTGTATTATTTTTGGAAAAACCGAATTCCTCCTTTTACCTAATTTTTCTGATACGGGCATCGCTTTTTTCTATTTTTCTTCCTCCACCTCAGTCGAAGCCTACATCTCCTCCATCCTCCTCTGTGTCGGAACGCCTCTTCTCCTTCCCCTAATTTTCCAACACCGGCAACTCTTCTCCCTTTTTCCTTCTCCTCCTTCCCTTCGATTACCCTATCCCTTATATTGCTTCATTTTTTTCCTTCTCAAGTTCCCAATCAAACAGAAGAAATCCTCGGGGTCCTGTCCAGGAACCTGAATGCGATGATGGGGTGAAGGCTGGTGGCACTTCTGTTCCGAAAGCCGCCATTGAATAACCCGAGGGGAAAGCTCTCGGGGGTACTTTGGTGCTTGGGACGCTTTTTGCAGTTTTGGGCTTTGGTATCTGTTTAATATCTTCTTCAATAACTACAATAAACAGGTAACTCTGCATTCCTTTTTTTTTAAAATTTTTTTTTTGAATCCCGTAGTAGTTTCTTATTGTTTGAATTTCTGAGATACTTTTCTTGCTATTAAGATCTATGATTTTTGAATGCGTTGTGCAATTAGGAAATGTTCTTCCTCTGATTCTTTTGGTACACTGTATGGCCACATGGATATTTTTTGAAATTTTGTAGAAGGCTTTTATTTGTTTTTTCCCCCTAACGGTTATTGTTGGGAGTGGGTAGGTATTGGTTTTGTATTAAATTATTACAAGTAAGAATGTCTAATCTGATAATACCAAGAGCTGGATATTGTTAACTTAGAAGGATGTTAAATTATGTTTATAAATCTTAATTAAAGGTAATGTGTAGATGCTTATTTATTTTTTCAATTTTTTACCAGATGCACAGACAAAAATTAAATGTTTTTTGAACTTATTTTTCTCTAATCTATTTTGTGTTGAAGTTACTGTGCCTAGAAATCATTCGACGAGATGTTCATTAGACTTTTGGGATGTTTACTCCACGGATCCCCGCTCCCTCAAATTCATAAAAAGAATGGATGCTTTTTCTATTGAAGTTAATGCTCTTTTTGCAGGTACTAAAAGTTTACCCATATCCGATCAATGTCACTTTGGTTCAAGTTGTTGTGAGATCAGTCCTTGTTGTCTTCACGTGGACCCTTAATCTCTACAAACTGCCTTAGATCAGTGCTGGACAGGTATTGTGATGATTACTAATGTATGATCCCGTCATCTTCTAATGAAGGATAGATTTGCATGGTGCTCGAGAGGGGCAGCGACGGTGATCTAGGCGGTGACGGACGTCCTAATTCTTGCAAGACATAATCTCGGGTGTCTCTCGAGGGTAGACTCTCCAATACTTAAGTCAATAAGAGAATAGAGAAAATAGAGAGAGATGTATGTGTATCGTGTGTAGAAGGTGTAGAAGATAGGTAAAAGATATGAATTACATGTTTCCTAAAACCCTAGCGGAATAGGTTTAGGCAGTGGCTTAATCTCCAAATAACCTAATCCAAGGCCCAATAGGTCTAGGGTTCAGTTTGGACTCCTCAAGTGTCCCTAGCAAGCCATATTCTCGAGGTTCGGCGAGAAAAATATGGGTTGCTACGAGTGTTGATGTCTTCTCGAGTTTCATGGTGTTGCCTGAGTTCTTGAACTCTTTCGTTCTCGAGTGTCACCTATATAAGATAAAGAGAGATAGAATACCTTGAGGAGGTTTTTGTGTTAGAGCGTTTCTTGATTGCGTGGTGGATTGCGAATATCCTTGTTTGCGCGGTGGGCCGCAAGTATTCTTGTTTGCGCAATAGATTGCAAATATCCTTGTTTGCACGGTGGACCGCGAGTGTGTCGATCATCGAGATGCAATACAAGATAATAATTATATGTAGTAACAAGATGCTCTTAAGGAATATCCGTTCAAGCAGAGGATGTTAGGATAATCTCTCAAGTTCCTTACCCCTAGGGTGTTTTCCAGTTTATGCCCCGAGTACGTTTTTCTCGTTGAAGGCAACCCCGAAATGATTTTCCTCATTGCAGGGTAATGAAAATTTTTTCTAAAGCGTTGGTATCTCGAAAGATTACTTTGATCGTGCTTAAAGATATCGTGATATGATAGTAATATGATAATGATATCAGCAGTAGATTAAATTGATCATACTTTAAAAAAGATTTGAGAAGTACCTCGGTCTCGAGATAAATTGATCATTCGAGAAGGTGTTAACTCGATTCTGAGAAGGTAATAATTGAGTAGATAAAAGTCGAGATATACCTTCTTGAATATTTCGAGTAGTAGTAAGATGCTTGATGGTTGCCCCTTCGAGGAGATGTATCTCTCGAAATTCCAATCTTCGAGATTGCCCCTTGCTTTGAAGGACTTGAGAACTTATCTGTGTCGTCCCAAAACACCAATCAATTTCTCTTCTCACAAGAAAATTTATTTGATTGTGAAGGCCAAACAAATCGGTTCCACAGGGCGTGCTACTTGACGAAACCTGGATATGCTCGGTGCTCAGGACGGGCGGCAACGATAATCTAGGCGGTGGCGGACGACCTAAAACCTGCAAGACAGAGCCTCGGGTGTCTCTCAATGGTAGACGCTCTGATGCTTAAGTCGATAAGAGAATAGAGAGAATAGAGAGAGATGTTAGAAGATATAGAAGATAGGTAGAAGATATGAATTATGAGAGAGGCACCCTCTTTATATAGACGTGGTGTTACCAGTTTCCTGAAACCCTAGCGGAATAAGTTTAGGCGGTGGCTTAATCTCCAAATAACCTAATATTTGGGTCTAGGATTCAGTTTGGACTCGTCATCTTCTATGAAATTACACTAGCCATTAAAAAAATTAAACTTTTGTGTGTGTGTGTGTGCGTGCATGTTTAGATTGCCTCACTGTCACTGTCGTGTATTTATCAAACTGAAGCTTGGATAGAAGCTATTGAACCTAGATCCTCGTGATAAAATTGTCTTGCCAAACTGTCTTTGGATCCAGAGCACCTCACATTTATACGGTCTCATCGCAAAGCATAAGATGTATAGTACCTGTGGTGAAAAACATTGTCTCACAAATCCGTGCATGTAATAATATCATATTCTTCATTTTTTTGCTTAAAATATTGATCTTTACAACACAATTTTTGTTTTATTCCTTTTAATATTCTTAGTTTATATTCTTTATAATCTTTGTTCTACTAATCAATATAATTTTATCAATTTATGAATAAAATGTGTCGCGCGTCGAATAATAGAACTAGTCTTTATTTAATGCCTCTTATTAATATTTCATTAATTTAATCAATTTCTTATTTATTATGCCACTATTGTATACTACTTCTTCCCTCCGAGATCAATTATATCATTCTACATACTTTATGTAATTATTATTATTTTTGAAGCGCCAGAAATATAAGACAAATTTCAATAATATTTAATGCTATGTTATGCACAGTATGTATCAATAAATAGTACCCACTTCTCACCTTCACCAAATTGACTGAAATTAAAAAGTCGTACCTTTTGAAATTGAATTATTTCTATAAGGCAGAGGGAGTATTAGAATATATTACTCACTTCTCACCTTTTAATTTTTCATTTCAGATGAGATTCTTTTATTTATAAAATGGTAATAGTTGAAAATGTACAATTTCATAGACTTTTGTTATTTTCTCGGTTACACATATCTATTCTGTTTACAAATAGTTCATCGTGTTAATAAAGAAAAGCGATGTTTTATATTTATATTCTTCAAAAATATACTTTTAGTTTCATGGTTTTATTTATAGTATACGATTTAATTGTAGGAATATCAAGTGAAAAAAAAATTGATGAAGTACTTTACTTTATTTATAAAACATATTTGTTCTAAGTGGATTAATTATACTTTCCTTGTTCCAACGTATATATAGCCCAAATTTTAGTTGGTGAGATTTACTAAAAATAATACAATCTGCAAATTATAACGTAAACTATTTTTCTTAGAAGGATGAATATATTATTTTGGGAAAAGGAAAATATGGGTTAAGTATGTATGTTACTGAAATGGTTACAGAAATGTAGATAGTTACATTTCCAGTCAATAGTCATCAATTAAACAGAGAAATGGACCTAAAAAACCTTCCAAAACTACATATCTATGAAAGTGAAACTGGACTTAAAAAAATGCCATTTTTTTTAACTGAAAATATGAACACAAACTATCAAGAGAAAAACTACTCCCAAAGTGAGCTAAAAAAAAGAAAGAATAAAATAACAAACATTTGATCCAATTGGTAGAGGAATTCGGTCAATTTAACTATGACTCGAGATTTTAACATCGGCATTGACAATTGGACATACTAAAGAAAAGAAGGGAAGAAGAAAGCCACTTTGGAGTTTGGACATTATAAATTTGGAATCGTCTTTGTGATTACCAGTCGCCCCATTGTTCGATCTCATTAAGAACAGGATTTTGAAATACAATTTCTTCTCGTTTTTTCAAAGATGTTCACTCTCTCTCATCAACTGCATTAGTGAATTGGCTTTCCTTCTCCCTCTATTGGTTCCATTATCACTTATGTCCGCCAAAGGTTGATACACCCCATACTGAAGTGCCGCCAAAATGAGGTTTGAATTCTTGGAACAAAGCTCCAGCAGGACAGCAGTTGCACATTCTTTGTTCTTTGGAGTCCCATCTTTGATCAGATTCACGAGTGTTTCAATGAATGAAAGCTGCCCAAGTTGTTGCCTCCCATCCTGGCTCAATGCAAGAAGCAAAATTATGGACAATATTTCATCAACCATGTCCAAATTCTTGTCCTCAAGTAGGTTGATCAATGGTGGGATGATCCCAGCTTCAATTGCCATTGACTTGTTTGTGTGGTTCAGGCAGAGATTGAACAACGCAGTGACTGCATCTTTTTTCCCGCGAATCGTCCCGCTTTTCAGTAGTAGTATCAATGGTGGGATGCCATTCAACTCCCCTATCTTCACTTTGTTCTCATCCAGCATTGATAAGCTAAACAATGTTGCTGCTGAGTTCTCTTTTGCACCAACAGTTCCGTTTTCTAAAATGTCGATGATAGCCGGGATTGGTTCTTCTTTGGATATCAGCTTCTTGTTTGATTCATCAATGGACAAGTTCAATATTGCTGTCACAGCATGCTCTCTAATCTTTGAATCAGGATAGGTTAGCAGCTCGACAAGGGGTCGAACGCCTCCACTGGTCGCAATCAGGATTCGGTTCTCAGGGCTTTCTTTGGAGAGCATTCGTATTTTTGCAACCGCCTTCCTTTGAACATCTAGCTGGCTGGAAGATAGATTTTGCACTAGTGTTAATATTTGCCTTTCCTCTTCATTGCCAGTAAAAGCCGAATTAGGATTCTTGCTAGGGCTTTCTGGCGCAGTTTCTTTTGCGGGGAGATGGAAATTGTTCTTGGTGCACCATTGATGGATTAAGTTCTTGAGAGCAAAGTTTGGAACTAATGTTGTATGAGTCAAAAGTTGACCCGTTTTGGGACATGTTCGATGGCTTGAATCCAGCCATTGTTGTATGCTCTCTCTTTCATATGTCTGCAAATCCAACAATCATTTCTTAATCCAATGAAGCAACATTTATGTTAGCTAGAGTTCTAGACAACATCTTATTTAGAAGCGATTTCTCAAAGCAAAATTGTTCCATAATTTTTATGGCGAGTTTTAGGCTGCGTATTAGTCCTAATTGAGACGACCGGGTGCTGCCTAGGACCAGCCATTGTCTATCAATCAGCTTAATTTGAACATTTTGGGAGCAAGATACATCCTAAGTTTTGAGCATGATGGCCTAATTGGAACAACTTTGTCTAAACTTAGCATACTGATAAACAAAACAAGGCACACATCGCAATTATAGTTGTGTAAACATTAAAAATCTTACCTGTCCAGTTGATACAATCACAGGATCTGTCATAATCTCCAATGTAATCGGGCACAGGAACTCGTGTGGGATCGCAATAGAAGCGGATTTCTCAAGAGTTTTCGGTATCAGGAGAACCGGATCATCCAGGATGCCGGTTTCTGGAACACCGGCAAACTTCTTGAACTTGTTGAGAAGATCTATAATCTGCTGTGTACTTTCTGCATTGTGACCTTTTCTTTCATTCACAAGCTTTCTTACTGCTAAAGTTTCAGCTCTTAAATCCTCAGCTGTATGCAAAGCCAGCTTATTAGCTAGCCTTTCAATGCTTGCTTTCTCTGCATTTCTGTCATTTTCAGTTGACAATATCACCATTAAGTCCATTGTAAATTCCATATCTTGTGTATCTGTGCGCTTTTTCGCCCTTCTGATTTGAGTCCGCATCAGCTCAACCTGATCAAAATACCATTAGAATGTAAGATCTTGAGAACCTAAGGGTAACCTAAATTTGTCTAAGTAATCAAGACACAGACATTAAGGGTTCTGGTCTGACTTGAGAAACTGCCAAATTATGCACAGCTAATTCTTCTGGACGATAAGAGAAACTCTACCCAATCGACAACAGATTTTTTCAGGAGGCTAATTTCTCGATATTCAGATGAAACTAAATTCCCCTCCATACTACAAATAAAGAAAAGCTGAAAACCAATGTAACAATGGAGAATTCTGGAAGGCCTAATATTATTTCACATTCTTAAGAAAATCTATCATAGCTGACAATGGGATGCAAGTAATAATCGCGCCCTTAAGGCGTAATGTTACAAGTCATCGAATTCTGTTTTATAAGAGAATTTCCTGGCATATTTAAGAAAAATGAATGCATGTTTTGTCTGAGGAGGACCAAGGCCTACCTGTTCTTTCTCCTCTTCAGAAATTCCAAGCTCATCATAAGGCATTCCATCCAAAGCCCGGCTGATTTTCCCATACACATAATGAAATCTCCCCATCATGGCTTCGGCCTCTATCGCCTGCAAAAAAAAATGTAAATCAAAATCATCTTACATAGATTTTATAGCTAAACATACAACTATGGACAAATGTAGCTTTTATTCTGGCTCTACATTTGTCGCCGTACACATATGAAGATTGAGGACAGATAAAACCCGAACCAGGTAAATTTTGCTTCCACAATGGCAAGTATTCAACAATTTCTTGGAAGAAAGGAAGGCTTTCTTCAATCTAGTAAGGCATTCCATGGCGCTTTCGGGTATCTTCTTTTTCTCCTCCACCATGTCCTTAACCTCCTCCAAGAAAGGTGACAACAACTTTAATCTCCTGAGTAGGCTTTGACATTCTTTCCTTTGTGTCCTCCTATATTCTCCAATACATTTCACCTGCTCAACAATGTTGATGAGCTCTTCCACCACGTCCATTCGATCCTGATTCTGATCCTGTTCCTGATCCTGATCCTGATCCTGATCGTGATCACCGGGGCGCTTATTATTGATCATTAACTGGTTTAAAACACCAACAATGGAGTTATCATTTACATTGTTCTCTCCCTCTCTAATGATCTCTTCCCTTCTTAGAACATTGCGTTCGCCAACGCTCACCATTATAGGGGCATTTGCCTTGGTGTCACGTTTTTTTTTTCTTTTGTCCTTTTTTTTTTCCCCCCCTTGGAAAAAAGTAATTCAAGAAGGGATTAAAGAACAGAATCTCATTGATGATCAGGGAGGGAGAGAAAGGGATGTGATGGTTGAGAATTGAGGTTGATCCTAGGAATTAAGGAAAGAATTATGATCAAATCAAATGCTTGTGCTTGTGTAATTTGTTAATGTTGTTGAGGTTGTTTGTTCGGACAGCTTTTTTTTTTTTTTTCTGAATTATATTATTTGAATCGAAAAAATGAAAATGAGTGTATAGATTCTTTTGGGAGAGTTGGAAAAAAAAGGCACATTTCCCGGCTTCAATTTCTGAAAACCAAAAAACACAAAAAAAAAAAAAAAGACCAAAAATATATACAGTATAGCCAACTCAATTCCTCTTTTTTTCTTTTCTTTTCTTTTTTGTTTTGACACGCTCGTTTATATACACGGTACAATAGATGACTCAGTGGGAAATGCAAAATCTGGGAAAAAGGGATTTTAATTAGTAAATTATTTAATATTTTATCAGTCTTAAAAATAATCGTCTGCTTGTTGTGTAATTAAAAGGCTGTTTAATTTATGTTGTGAGTTGTCAACCATCAATAAAACTATGGTGTTCAAACATTATTGATCTGACATTCTATCTGTTCCCTGTTCGATGCATATTTTTTAATTAAATTATCTCCTCTGTTCAGCGAATTCCATTTTAATATACAGAAATTACAAAACCAATGCGGTGAGATTGAAAATTCAATCGAGGAACATTGGCTTAAACTTTAACGTTTAATTCTTATTTTTATTTTTATTTTTTATGTTTTTAAAAAAACCCTTGAAAGAATAAAGATGGTCCGTTAGATACATGATGAATTAGTCATAATGCCTTCTCTCCATTTTTATTCCCCCTCTCCCTAAATGATGAAATCTTTATTTCTTTTATTATTATTTTGTTTTTGGGGTAAATCTTGATTTCCAACTCATCAATTCTAAAGATTTTGAATGCTAAGGTAATGAGAACATTAGCAAGCTTTTGAACGTTCATGGTCGACAATTTTGATTGGTCTTTGAATTGTGTTATGTTAATTTATTTACTACCTTTGTATTCCCTACGGTACTTAATATAACGCATTTTTATTTGACCTAAATTTTACATAGTATGCGTTTTTAATTAAAAAAAAACACCATAAAAATATATTTTCATATTCATTGTACTCTCTTGATTGTTATGAAATATATTTAAGATTTTATTTAAAACAAATTTTAAAATGTGTATTAAGTGAAATTTAAGACAAATCAAAATGACTTATATTAATGACTGGAGAAAGTATTATTTATAAATTTGGATGACCGCTATCAACAAAAAATAATAAACCGTCTAAATTTAACAATGATTCATATTATGATCATAAACCACTGTCAATATATAGAAATTCGTAAGCACTCAAGCCACGTTGCAACCCTCGTGTACACATGATTGTGTATGATACTACTATTATTTGTCGTAAAATTGAAAATAATTTTAATGACAAATATCCTGTAAGATAATGACGATGTATATTACATCATAGATTGTTATTTATCTTTTCATAAATCACTTAAGTATTTTACCACTCAATTTTATTACAAAAACTAGCTTTAAGAGGTTACACAAATTTTATAATTCAAATGACTGAAATAGTCACAAATCCGAAATTTTATTTAGTGCATAATAACATTTTATAACATATCATCGAGAAAAGTAACGTTTTACAATGAAAATTAGGAGAAAAACATAAACTTATTTTGAAAATACGTACAAGTACTTTTATAGAAGAGAGAAGACGAACCTAATAATTTGTTATTATGAATATTTACTCCGAAATATATTATGCCAGGAAACAATATTCGAAAATAAAGACGAAAGAACTTAGTAACCGAATGTAGTAGTAGTATAGTAAGAAAACTAAACGTCAAAAAGCAGAAAAAGAAGAAAATATTTTTTTTGGGGGGTTTCAAATAAGCATGGAACGTTGTAGCCGTTAGCAGAACAACGCTGACTTTTCATCCTACGGTCAAGATGGTACTAGCCGTTGTTTTCAAATTATGAAAAGAGGGTTATTTGTCCGGACATTTTTCCGCTGTTCACTCTTCTTTTCCGTCTTCTTATCCCAATTTCCCTTCTAATTTTTTTTTTCTTCTTCTTTTCTCCTTCTCCGATTAACAAATCCGCAAAAATTATTCAGTGATTCAGAGAGAGATAATTTTCAAGATCAAATCACTCCATTGATTAATTCCAATGGAGTTTTATCTGTAACATCTCTCTCCGCGCATAAACTCCCAGTCGAGATTGTTTCTTTGTCGTCATCATTAGAGGTCCGTTTTTTTCCCTATTCTTTTTTTTTTTTTTGGTTTTTCTTCTTTAAATTGTTTGTTGTAGTCTTTTGTATCTTTTTTGTTCCAAATTGATTCAATTTTCATCCTGGTTGTTGAATTCGGCAACAACATTCTTGCCACCTTCGTGTTGATTGTTTACCACCGTAGAGTTAATTTCCAAGAACCAATTTTTGAAAAGAAACTTTCTTTTTTTCTTTTTCTTGGCGTGATTTCCCTGTTTGATTAACTTAGCTTTGTGCGAAAAGATCTAAGAAAATTAAAATCGTTGATTCTATTGAATTGGTGATGGTGTTGGCAGATTTAGCTGATCTTGAAGATATTCAAGATGGCAGGATCGAAGGAGAATAATCCAGGAGTAATCAGGCCCTCTCACCGTCAAGGTCACATTTTTATTTTTATTTCTTCGGTTAATTTATCTGAAAAAACAAAAAAACCCTTTGCTTTTCCAACCGTTCAGTATGATCAGCGTGATTGAATAATTATAATTACAAAACCCTAATTATAATTAGATGGGGTATTTGTTTTCTGCAGGGGAGGAATTGGTGGGGGCAAGAAGAGGGAAGTTTGGTACTGAAGCTGCAATCTGTCAAACCAATAGGAGGGCTTTAAGTGTCATCAATCGGAACATAATCGGAGCTCCTCCATATCCCAATGTTGTTCACAAGAGAGCCCTTTTGACAGAGTAATGATTTCTAAAACCCTAGCTTTTTATTTTTTTTTGGTGGGGGGGGGGGGGGATTCAAGATTCTACCTTTTCCTTTGTTGGGATTTTGTTTTGGTTATTGCTGACACTGGCGCTCTTGTTATTTGTTTTGCTCAGGCAAAATGCAGTCGCTAACAAGAAGATCCCTCCAGTTCCGATTCATCGGCCCATCACTAGGTTAGTAGATTCTGATCTTATGTTGTTGGGGATGATGCAGAACCTTATTAGGGTTGGGAATTATAACTGCAAGGTTTTTATGGACAGGGTTTTTGTGCTTTGCATTCTGATTATACTGGGCATGTGAAGGTGTTTGTTAGATGGGAAATGAAACGCTGGACGTACATGTCCTTTTTAAGTATAGTTAATATCCACTTAGAGTTGCATTTGCTCTTAATTCGCAGTTCGCGTATTAAATGTTAGTTTAGATTCCTAGTAATTACTTTATGAGTCTTGTTGGTTTAGGAAATAATCCTGTAATAGGAAGCACCACGAAGTCCTTTATACTTCTGAGAGGTTCCTGCTGCTTTAGATGGGATGTCCGTAAAACCAACCAGCTTCACTAATTAAGCCACCATGTTTGTCAAATTTTGTTTAGAAGACAGATAATATGGTTGTCTGCATGATAAAAGTTGAAGGAAAGATTCAATTTTGATCTCTAGTTATCATCCCAATTTAAGAAAGATGAAAAGTACATGTTCCGAACTTTCTGCTTCAAGCCGTGCATGAATTCTTTTCCTCATTGCACTCACGTAGGGTGGCTTTTTGGGTGTGCTAGTATGTTTGGAATAATGTAAGCCCTGTATGCTCTTTCAAATGTACACCTGTATCAAAGGTCACTTGCAGATATTGCTGTTGGCCTTTGTTTATTGTTCAAATATTGCTGTTTGGCCTTTGTTTCGTCAAATTAAGAGCACTACCTCTTCCCCCCTCCCCCCGCCCCTCTCTTTTTTTGTTTAACTTTTTTGTTTGCTTATGCTTGAATAGGAAGTTGGCAGCTGAGTTGGCTACCCACCAGCAGCACCCTCTGGTTCAGGTACATAACAGATAGCTAGAGAAAGAATGTAGAAGTGTCATTTAATATAATCTTTTTCAAGTAGTGAAATTTATAATGCTACAGGAGCCTAAGCCACCAGTTCTACAACCAGCTCCTGAACCTGAATCAGATGATTGCATTATTGTTGATGTGGAGGACTATAAATCAACTGGCGACTACCCTGTGCCAATGTCTGTACAACACACAGAAGCTATGATGGAGGAAATAGACAGAATGGTATTCGTCCAAACTAAAATTCACTTTCATATTGTGTAATTCTGATTGGATGTTACTAATCTTGCATTTGAAATATAGGATGCTGAATTTGAGATGGAAGATGTAGACGAGGAACATGTTGAGGACATAGATGCCCCTGATAAGAAGAACACCTTAGCGGTTGTGGAGTATATCAATGATATACATTGTTACTACAAAAAAGCAGAGGTCATCTTTTTAACCATTTTGTGTCCTTATATTTTCTGTGACTTGTCAGAATCTAATTGGTATACTTGCTTTTGTGCATTCTTAGACTTCAATCTTGAAGTGCACTTTCCAAATGTTTTGTAATTTTTGGTTTTGTTGAGCATTTGTGTCGAAATAAGTTCTTGTTCACATTCCTTCATTCAACAGAATCATACCCTTTGCACTGTTACAATCATGCTTTCTGTGAAATTTTCCTTGGTTTAATTTTGTTAATGATATAGTAAACAGTGGAGGATAGGAACAAAAATAAGTGCTTGACTTTATTTTTGCTCTTTTACGTAGACTTTTAGCTGTGTCCCACCAAGCTATATGTCCCAGCAAGCTGATATCAATGAGAGGATGAGAAGCATTCTGATTGACTGGCTTATTGAGGTAACATTGGGAAAATGTTGATGTTATTATTATTGTTATTTTATTCTTATGGTGGTGAACTGACAAGGATGAAAACTATTGGTACCTCTGATTTCGTGTAGGTGCATTACAAATTTGAATTGATGGATGAGACCTTGTACCTTACTGTCAATCTCATCGATAGATTCTTAGCAGCTGTTTCTGTGGTCCGAAAGAAACTCCAACTTGTTGGAGTTACAGCAATGCTTCTGGCCTGCAAGTACGAGGAAGTTTCTGTTCCCGTTGTTGAAGATTTCATTTTGATTTCTGACAAAGCTTATTGCAGAAAAGAAGTACTTGAAATGGTATGTCTGACATAACTAAATGCTAACTAAAAATTGTGATCTTTTGGCATTTTCTTTTCCTCATTGGTTTGGGTTTGGTCATTTAATTTGATACTTACTGGTTGCAGGAGAGCTTAATGATCAACACCTTACAATTTAATCTGTCAGTGCCAACTCCTTATGTCTTCATGAAACGTTTTCTTAAAGCAGCTCAATCTCACAAAAAGGTTGGTCTTTTCATTCCTGAAAAAGTATTAGCATGTGAATTTTTTCTACCTCCTAAGTAATGGTTTTCTGGTGGTGGTTGATCAGTTGGAGCTCTTGTCTTTCTTCATTATCGAGCTATGCTTGGTGGAATACGAAATGCTGAGGTTCCCACCTTCTCTTCTAGCAGCAGCAGCCATCTTTACTGCACAATGCTCCCTCAACGGGTCTAAGAATTGGAGTATCACTTGTCAGAGTCACTCGAACTATACTCAAGATCAGCTTTTGTAAGTTCCCTTTTCTTTTGCAGATGTTTTTTCATTCAAGAGGAGTCAGTAATTTTGAGAAAAACCAAACTTATAATGTGCCTGTGTTTTCATCCAGGGAATGCGCGAAACTGATGGTTGGTCTCCATCAGAGGGCTGGCACTGGCAAGCACACCGCTGTTCACAAAAAGTATAGCACATCAAAATATGGATATGCTGCTAAATCAGAACCTGCAGTTTTCCTTTTGGATGCAACTTTCTAGCTGCAAAGATCATGTCAAGCCTGCCCGTTACTAATTCCGTCATAAATTGAAGGGGCAACAGTTTTGCGAGCAGGATAGCTAGCTATGTGAATAAATGAATGATTTTAGCGCAGGATTAGCTTAATCCTTCCAAGCAACATAAGTTGCCTTGTTTTGTATTCCTGCAAAAGATATGTAACTCCTAGATTTGTGTCATTCTGAGTTTTGAACTCGTCAATGTTTTGTTGCAACTGATCTTAATGCAATAACATAGTTCATTTCTGCTTACTCCGAATGAAGATTGATTTATAAAGCATTAATTCTGCAGTGTCTTTCCGGGTTATGATTTGAGCATTATTATTCCTTTACACGAAGGTCCTGGCCTCTCCAGGGAGGACAAGAACTCTTCAAACCTCCTTGAGAAATACCAGAATAAACTCTTCTTGAAGTTCCCAAGTTACAATTCCTATCCATTTGTGTAATTTGGAAAAAAAAAAAAAAAATCAATTTGCAAGATACAAGTTCAGAATGAATTAAGGCACTTTAAGTTTTCCTCTATGCTAGAAAATTAGTCCACAATTTTCGTTGGAAAAGGACCAAGTCTGGAATTTGGAATTTGCGAGTAAAATAAAAAAGAAGGAAAAATTTCCGTTGCCGGGACTTGAACCCGGGTCTCTCGGGTGAGAGCCGAGTATCCTAACCACCTAGACTACAACGGACTAGTTGCCTGCTATTCCTAGCGGGATATTTTTTATTCGTTACATTACACAAACCACTTCTTTTTAAGGTGAAACCGAGACCGAATGTGACGTGGGGGGTATACAAATTGCCAATTTTTTGTTTTTTCAAACGATAATCATAATATATTAAGAACAAAAAGTAAGTAATACACAACCACAAATGGTTGAACCAAAACAACTAATCATTCCTGTCAAACCTAGCTACAGTAAATGAGATACAGACTCAACCATGAGTACAACTGTAGACCACACTACTAAGTAAAGTTGTAACAATTTCATTAATTATAGAGAAAATATTACAGTTAATAGAAACACACGAAACCAATATTACAAAACCACAAACTACACACGACACAAAAATCCAAAACCAACAGTATTTGAAACAACTCGGCACAAAAAACCATTTTAGATAGTATTCTCTTTGTTTTAAAAAAAACAGTTCATATCATAGTTTTAAATTTTAAAAAAATATACGAATCTTAAAATTGTAAACAAATTTTTTTTGTTAGTCACAAATGCCACTTTGTCCGAGCCGGGGACCCAAGTCCATTGAGTTTGTCAGCCAAGTTCCTTTTTTTTTTGCTTCATTTAAATATTATTGCTTTACTCTATTTATTTTTCTCTAAAATTACATAAACTAGATGTTACTTCCTCCGGTCCTTAATATATAAGGTATTTTGATTTGTTTTAGGTTTTACTTAGTACACTTTTTTAATTGACTAAAAAATCTTAAAATTATATTTTCACATTCGTCGTATTATCTTGGATGTTACGAAATATTTTTAAAGTTTTTTTTTATCAATTAAATATGCATGTTAGGTTAAACTTAGGACAAATCAAAATGCCTTATATTAAGGACCAAAGGGAATATTTAACTTTAAATTAGCATAGTTAATTTTAGTTTAGTTTGAATAAATCGTACAAATTTTATATTGTAAAATTATCTATATTTTACCTTTATACGACCATAATAATAAAAATGTTAAAATTTTAGGGGTGTTACATCCACCTTGTCGCTAGTGTGATACGCACCTAAACCTCAATAATGATTTCACCGGAAGCTCCATTTTTTTTTTTAAAGTCAAATATTTATTTAAATTTCTATCTCTACTAGTAATATTTATATTTTGCTGGATGTCCGAAGTTGGACACCAGAAGCTCCATAAGTATGATTAACACAACCTTGTCCGGAACTTGACGTGATGATCTCGTCATCATCATATCTGGTGGCTGGCGTGGCTGGAGACAAGGGTTTTTATTTGAGGGAAAATTTTTATTTTTTCCTTTTGTTTTCTTTTTTTTTTTTTTCCACAAACGAAGAGGGCAAAGGTTAAAAACAATTGTAATTAGTAGTAACTGATTTTATACGTTATACTATATCTATGTATAGATATAGATATAATAATAATATAAAGCCTCCAATCAATCTGTTCCATTAGTGTTTAGGAGATACTAGAGTATACGTGCGACTGTAATTTCCTTTTTCTTTTTTGTTCGTACTTTGTGATTTTATTTTATTTTTTGGCTTTTTTGTTCATATACGGTATTTGATACTATGGTACTGTATTTGATATTCAATTTAGAACAAAAAAAAAAGGTAAAGTAAAAGCATGAAAGGCAAACTGGACAAAAATGGTGGGTGGGACCAAAAACACTTCAATCTGACGTGGAGGATATAAAAACCTGGGACCCCCCAAAACTCAAAAGATCTTCAATTGCGCACTCTCCAATTCTTAATTTTACCAAAAAAACGAAAGTGAAAATTCCTCAACCCATCTTCCAAAAAAAAAAAAGATATCCAACCCCAGATTGCTAGGATCTTCTGAAATTTTTTGTGATGTTTGGTGAGAGCGTATGAATGAAGTAGGATTCTGAAAGGGGTTTTTTTTTTTTCGTTTCAAGGGGTGTTTGGTGACTATCGTAATTTAGCACAGGTAAGTTACATCAAGTGTTGCTTTCCCCTTCTTCAGGTGAACCTGGTGTTCATTTAATTGTTTATCCTTAAAGATCAGATTTTTTTTTTATTTTTTTAGTAGGAAAGAAAGAAAATTTGTGGGTTTTCTGTTTGGTGCATGGATGACCATCAGCTGGAGTTGTTTTGTAGAACTGTAGAAATGTGTTTTTCTTGGGTGGGGCCTTGGGAGAGGGAGGGGGATTTGCCTTTTTTTTTTCTATGTGTGCATTCATTGCAGTTATGACTATTCTAGGTGCATGATGATATTTGCCAAGAATGTGGTTCAGAATTTGTGACACGTTCTTTTGGTTGATATTTGTACTGGGATTTGTGGGCTGGAATTTTTTGCCTTATTTGTATGGTTTCTGCCTTCTGGCAAGTTATGGGGGTTCGGTTTTCTAGATAGTGACATCCGGAGCTATCCATGACTGATTGATTGTATCTTTTGCCATTTGCATTCAGTGGATAACGAAATATCACAGATATGCATATGATATTTTTAAGATTATGGTTGCTGACTTACTGTCCTTTTTGTGGGGTTCCATTCCATTTGTCCACTTATCATAACAATGTTGTTTGTTCTTTGATGATTCATTTTCATTAACTAAAACTTCTCAGTGTGCCCTTGTATGTTTGCACTTGCTAAGTAAGTTGTGGATATAGAATTCATAAGGGTTATTATTTTTGTTTAAGGATGGAGAAGAAGCCTAAAAAGTTCCTCACAGTTGCACCGTTTGAATGCGCCTGGCGAGATGACTTGAGGTTCAGAGAAGCAGGGAGAGGGTGTGTGGCTTTTGATGCTTTTGCTCACAATGATGTGACGATTGTGTTCCGGGAGCACGTTGGCAGTCAGCAGTATCATTACAAAACAGACAATAATCCGCACTATACGGTGATCATCGGTAGTCATAAAAACAAGAGACTAAAAATTGAGGTCAATGGACAAACGGTTGTGGATGTTTCTGAGGTTGGCCTATGTTGTTCTTCAGGATTCCAGAGCTACTGGATTGGTGTTTATGATGGTTTAATTAGCATTGGCAAGGGGAGGTATCCTTTTCAAAATCTTTGCTTTCAGTGGCTTGACACCAAACCAAATTGCGCCGTGCAGTACATCGGATTAAGCAGTTGGGACAAGCATGTTGGGTATAGAAATGTCAGTGTTCTGCCTCTCACACAAAATCATATGTCCTTGTGGAGGCAAGTCGGCTGTGATGAATATGATAGGTTCGACTACTCTGAAGAAGAGTTGGAAAATGAAATTGAAGACTATGAGAAATGGGGACTTGAAAACTTTCTCGAGAGCTGGGAACTGTCAGACATGTATTTTGTTGTTGGAAAGGAGGAAAGAGTTGTCCCGGCTCACAAGCTGATTTTAGCTGCATCTGGTAAATTTGAATTTAACTCCGCTGCAGATGATGTCATTAATCTCCCTGATGTGAATTATCAAATTCTACATGCATTTCTGCAATATATTTACGAGGGCTGTACTCAGGTCAGTCATGTTGACTTGTAACATTTGTAGGTTTCTGTTTCTATGAATTAATGAGTATTGTTAGTAGATAATCTCATTTAGTTAGGGAAGAAAACTTGCTGTCTGATATTATGATCCAACGAAAACTCTGTCCAGTTATGTTCCAAGATAACGCTTTTTAATGTCGATGTTTCCTAGAGGGAGGGAGGGAGTTCTTCATTTCCATTAGTTTATGTTTGTGTGATTTGCATATTGGTACTAGAGTAGCGCCATAGATTTCTTCGTACTGGTAATCAGATGGTGTAGGTAAGATGTGCATGTCGAACAGGACGAGCATTCATCCTGTACCTTCAGCATATTTCTGATTTCTTTACGTTGTTAGCAGAGGACTGCAGTCATCACCATTTTGCTATAGTTTTTTATTAAGACCTAACTTTTAACGTTGGTCTATTCAAATGCGCAGATTCCCGAGCCACATCTTAATTCCTTGAGAGATCTTAGTTTACGATTTGAAGTACTACCTTTGACGAAGCAATGTGAGCAGGTCATTGAAAGGTTTAATCTCAACCGACAGTTATTTGACTCGGGTAAGAATGTGGAGCTTGCATATCCAAATCCCGGGCTCCGCACCTATGCTACCTTCCCAACTGGCCTACCCATCGATGCACATCGGCTTATGCAATTTCAATTGGATGGTAAATACTGTGATGTTGGCCTTTATATCGAAGGCCATGGCCTAGTCATGCAGGCACATAGAATTGTTCTTGGTTTATGGAGCATTCCTTTCACAAAGGCATGTCAGTTTCTTTTTTCTATATGGTTGCTGATTTCATGCTTTGATTCTTTTAGGTTTTGCAATTTCTATTGTTGCGAAATTCTTTTGGACATTGATGAGTAGCAAACAAAGACTGGTTTTTGTTATGCTTTTCTACATTCAACATCGCTGCTGAAGAATAAGCATGATATATCTCATGTTACAGATGTTCACCAATGGAATGAGCGAGAGTGTTGCGCCAACAATTTGGTTGAAAGATGTATCTTTGGATGCCTTTCGAGTTATGCTCGAGTTCATGTACCGGGGCGACTTAACTAAAGGATCCAATTTGGATGTTGGAACGAATTTTCTCCAGCTTCTGTTGTTAGCAGATCAGTTTGGGGTTACTCTTCTTCATCAAGAGTGCTGTAAAATACTCCTGGAGTGCCTCTCAGAGGTAATGATGGCATCTCTTTTGGTACATAGATTCATTCATGCAATGTTGAATGTCACGGTTACCTTGGTAAAATAGGCTTGTATCTCAGGGAAGTAAACTTTAGAGAACGGGAGGAGTTGTACGGTTGAGACCTATGAACACAATGAGCCCTTTGTTGATATGAACTTTAATATATTGATACGTCTACATATTATATGCAGGGATGGAGTTCTATTGGAAGAAGGTCCTACTACCAGTTTTACTTTAAACAAAGTTTTATGGACGAGGAAGCAGGCATTTATCACAAAATAATTTTTTTTCTGGTCAATGCTTTTCTAACTGCTGAACTTTGTTGCAGGATTCAGTATGCCCAGTTCTTCTAGTGATTGCATCTGTTCCTTCATGTAAACTAATTGAAGAAACCTGCAAGAAGAAGTTCTCAGTGCACTTTGATTATTGTACTACTGCAAGCTGTGACTTTGTCATGTTAGATGAAGACACATTTGAGAACATCTTACAGGTGAAAATCTTGTTTTGCAAACTTGTAGAGATAAGCTAGACTATGATTATATTTAAGTTACCATCATTTTGGTGCCAAATTATTCAGTGATTAATATCAGATAACATTCAGTTTTGCCACCTCAATATGTAGCTTCCCTAGTATAGTTATAGAATAAGTACGATGAGAAGTATCCTTTTGGTCAGAAGTTTTCCGTTTGGAGTATTAACATTGTGGATGCTGCAAAGAAACATCGAGCTTGGACTTTCACATAATAGAAGTATGCATTTTTTTTTTCAGCATCCCGACTTGACTGTGACTTCTGAAGAAAGGGTTCTCAATGCTATCTTGCTCTGGTCTGTCCAAGCCAATGAGTTGTTTTCGTGGGAAAAGGTTGATGAAATGCTTCAAAATATGACCCCCGAGATTCTTTTTCGGGAGAGGTTGCAGTCCCTTAATGTTTTGTTACCTCTCGTGCGCTTCACATTGCTTCCATGTTCCATACTTAAAATGGTAGAAAGACTTGCCTATCTTTTATTTGTTTCCCTCTTTTTGAACGGAAAGGCTGATGGCCTGGTGTTCTATTGTTTTTGCAGTTACAGAGCAGCAACTTAAGTAAACAGATTCCTATTTTTGATCATCTGGTAAGCAAATTCCCAATTCTATTATCAAAGAAGAACAAAAAGATACGGGTCAGCAGTTATTGCATACTTTTGCATTTTGATATCAACTGTTAATGACAGGTCAAGGAAGCCATCTCGTTTGTAGAATATGGAGTTGTCTCTTCAGGAATAGACAATATGTAAGTATCAAAATCAACTGCACAAAAATATGTCTGATGTAAATTTGGATTTTTTTTGTGGCTTGATTCTCTAAAGCCAGATATGAATGCGGATCAGTTCGTGCCTGGTTTGATCTTTTAATTTGTTTCTTGTGAATTGTTTGCTAGCATTGTCCTGGTCATTTAACATGAAACTGGAAGCCCTTTGAATGGCCTAATTATCTCGTAAATGTCTTTCATGTGTTAGTTATTTAAGTTGCTTTGATGTGATTCTCCTTTCTGGTTCTTAATTTACTTAGGGGCATATCTGTGCTTTAAGAGCCTCATGTTATGTCTAAGAAGCTAATCGTGATTGACTATTTTCTCTTGAAAGTGTCAGATGTCAACACCGGCAGTCAAGTTTCAAGGAACTTCAATACATCTGCAATGGGGATAGCAACGGAGTCCTTTACTTTGCGGGCACATCATATGGGAAACACCACTGGATAAACCCTGTCTTGTCGAAGGTAAAATTTCCTGACTTCTGCATCATTGTATTCTTTTTTTTCTTTTAGTTTCTTTTGCTTCTTACTTACATACATAGTGGATTGTTTCAGAAAGTAGCTATTACCGCCAGCAGTCCTATTTCAAGATTCACGGATCCAAAGGTTTTGGCATCTAGGACTTATCAGGTATGATCTGCGCCAAACTACAGTCACAATAAAGTTCCCTCTTTGCATGATGTCTGATATAGGCTTCGTATTGGATATCAGGGTACATCTTTTGCCGGACCTAGGATGGAGAACGGAAAAAACACATCGTGGTGGATGATTGATATCGGTGCTGATCATCAGGTTTGACTGTTTTCCATGGCAAATTTTATTTTTTTTTTCCTTTTCTGTTCCACTTTTTTACTGAACAGAATTAGAGGGGTTCACGTCGGGTGGAATTCTTCATAGATAGTGCTGGGGTTGATTCTTGTTTGCATGGAACGTGTTTGTGACTGAAATATCTTGATTATGTTTGTCTCACAGCTGATGTGCAACTATTACACATTGAGGCAGGATGGATCCAGGGCTTTCATGAGATCTTGGAATTTTCAGGTAACAGCTTTCATATCCGGATTAACTTATCCTTTATGGACAGCGTTTGAGTCTGTGCTTGCATTTTGATCATATTGGGATTGTAAAAAGTATTCAAAAACTAGAATCACCGCATATCTGGTATGGCAGAGATGAAGGCAGTAACATTACACAGTGTATAATCGGGATTTTTGGATTCCAGGGATCATCTGATGGAAAGAACTGGACTAACTTGAGAGTACATGAGGATGATGAGACGCTATGCAAGCCTGGCCAGTTTGCATCCTGGCCGATCATCGGCCCTAGCGCCCTGCTTCAATTGAGATTCTTCCGAATCATCTTAACAGCCCCTACCACTGATGATACCAATCCATGGAACTGTTGCATCTGTTACTTGGAACTCTATGGCTATTTCCATTGACAAAATGTGTGCTGGGAAGTTTTGTGTAATAGGTTTTCTGACAGTTTTGTTCCTCTACTTGTGGATACGATGGAAACCATTGTAAAATAACCCCAGATAACCACAGAAACACTAGCTTCATGATAATCTAATAAAGAAAACGTTTTGGAAGACAATGACTGATTGCCATAACTGTCTTTAAGTTAAAGTTTCATCTTCGCGGATTATCTAGAGAGATAAATTTCAGTGAAATGAACAACTCGTACTATCATCACGGGATTTTTATTTTATTTTTGTTTGTTTACTAGATCCGTGCCTTATTTCACAACAATATCTAAGCCACTTGTGTTTGAAAGAGGACTCGAATTAATAAACCATGAATAATTACTCTCTTTCAGATCATAAATTGCTTATCAGAATCATAGACTACAACTTGTAACAAATCATCATCAACATTACTAAATAAAAAGGTTGTGACAGAAATTAACACAGCTCAAAGGGCTCAATTCCCAGGTTGCGGGAATCACTCAACAATCTTCTGATCATTTATTTACTTTTAATTTATACGGATTTCATGGACTACTGTTCATGATATTTTCCTCATTTTTTTGGGGCATATTTATCGTGGGAACTAACGTTGTTCAATCATATCAGTGATATCACGTGCCACGGTGAGATGTATAGCTGAGGTCCGTCAATGGGATTTGGGTATATGCTTTGCTTCAATAAGATACTCAAGTAAAGAAGCCAAAAGCTCTGGCACAGTTCTTATATACTAAAATGTCACTTCTTTCCTTTCTGGGGAACTGTGGGCTACCTTACTCCCTCCTGACCCTACCATTTTCTTTTCATGTCTTCTTCTTTTCATTCTTCTCTCATTTCCAGTTGAGTGGCAGAGGAGGAGGAAGAAGCAATTATGATGATGTATTCTTGTTCCTGGAATTTTGCTTCAGTAAGGTCCTTAAAGCCATCTTCTTGCTGCAATTCAAAGGTAATTTCCATTTCATACTTTGAGGCTGTGGTAATGAATGCCTAAAAATGTGATCTTTGTGTCTGTTTCCATCAATGTTTCCTGAATTGGGTTGTTATTCGTTCGTACTTCGCCCCTTCTCGTATTTTGGATTGTACATGCAGAAAATCAGCAAATTTTACTGTATTGATTATTCTTGGCGATGTTGATGTGGCGGGTTGTGGAGTCATAGTGACTGCTCTAACTTCTTATGGATGATTGTGTGTTAGTACTGTAGTAGCCAGCAAATGATGTTGAGCCAACCCTTGTATAGAGTTGTTATCAATGAAATTTATGCTAGAGAAACCTTCTTTCTCTGAAGAAGTTGTTTTAAATTCGTGAAGAATGTTAAAATTAAAAGTGACCCTAATGTATTAGGACCCATACAAATCAATGACATCATGCTAACTAGTTGAAATTCTTTCAAAAAATTTTGTGCATATATTGTTCCAGAACAGATGGTTCCAAACGTTTATAAGTTGATTTCGATTTAGCTAAAAGGGGAATGGATAATGGTGAGCAAAACAAGGTTGTTGAAGTTTTTCATTGTTGCCTAATGGCATCACTGTCCATTTGTTGATCTTGGTTATTCCCAAAATATTTAGAGCTTTTTATTTTACCTTCCTTTTGGTTCAGATATAGGATTGGCCGTTTCAGTGTACTTTCGTTTTTGTTTCTCGCTGCAACAGTTCACCTAATAAGCTCGTGCAATCTTCAATTAGATATATACTGTCTCATGCAATCCTTTTCCCCAGGTCTCAACAGGTACGAATCGTGCTATCTTGAAACATCACAAAGTATCAGGCTTTAGTTCTTTGTTCTGTCATATGCCGTTTCCTTCCCCACGACATTTCAGTAGACATGGAAGAAGGGTATGTCACTCACATGGTCAAGGCTGCTGATGTTTTGCATTATATTACACATTTCGATGGTCACGGCAATTCTACATGTATCTATGTGTGGGACTAGAGATGGAGAACATTAAGAGGATAGTCCTCTCCTGTCAATGTCACTTGTGGAGTCTAAGAAGAAGTCCTTTTGCTCAATTAGTTTCTGACTTTCTAATTAAACATAAACTTAAAATCTGTTGCATTTTCTTTGTAGATAGAGCATACTTCAGATATCCAAGCTGTTACGACTGATGATAACTCAACCATGTCACCCGTGGAGCAAGAGAATGAAAATATAGGCCTTTTTTCAGTTGATCCTGCATTGGAATCATATAAAGATCACTTTAAATACAGGATGAAGAGGTATTCTGAGCAGAAAAGGTTAATTGAAACATACGAAGGGAGCCTTGAGGAATTTGCTCAAGGTAACACCGCTAAAATTTGCTTTACTTCTATTTTAAGTCAATGGTTACTTATCTTTTTGGTAAAAGATAAGGTAACACAGCATAAATGGTTACTTATCCTTTTCAGTTCCTGGTCTTTGACATGATCTTTATGACAGATTACTTTTCACTCCAGGTTATTTGAAATTTGGATTTAATAGGGAAGAAGGTTGCATATTGTACAATGAATGGGCTCCCGCTGCACAGTGAGTGCCTTTAGACTTACTTTGTGTTCCCTGCTTTGCATTCTCAGTTTACCAATCCACGAGGTTGGTTTTATTCTTTTGTCAGGGAAGCAGAAGTAATTGGTGATTTCAATGGATGGAATGGATCCAACCACAGAATGGAAAAGAATCAATTTGGTGTATGGAGTATCAGAATTCCAGATAACGGAGGGAACCCTGCCATTCTACATAATTCGAGAGTCAAGTTCAGATTCAAGCATGGGAATGGAGCTTGGGTTGATAGAATCCCTGCCTGGATAAAGTTTGCAACTGTGGACCCTGGAAAATTTGCTGCACCTTATGATGGTGTTTACTGGGATCCTCCACCCTCAGAAAGGTAACAGTTCACGATTTTTTTATGAATTGTGATGAGGATCTGAAAATTCCTTTGCTCAATAGAAGTGACTTAGTAATTAAAATGTTTTGTACATCATCGCATAAATCTGCTCCGATAATTATGGCCTTTTTCACACATGGTTGTTAAACATTGGTTGTATGTCCAAAAGTGATGCAAATCGGTTTTCACTTCAACAACATTTGTCAAATAGCTCAGTGTATGATGAAGCACATGTTCCAGGTATCAATTCAAATACCCTCGACCTACAAAGCCCAAGTCTCCTCGAATATATGAAGCACATGTTGGAATGAGCAGCTCAGAACCACGTATAAATTCATATAGAGAGTTTGCTGATGATATTCTGCCTCGCATTCAGGAAAATAATTACAACACTGTCCAGTTAATGGCTGTTATGGAGCATTCATACTATGCATCATTTGGTTATCATGTTACCAACTTCTTTGCAGCAAGCAGTAGATCTGGAAATCCTGAGGATCTGAAGTATCTAATTGATAAGGCACACAGCTTAGGTCTGTGTGTATTAATGGATGTCGTTCACAGCCATGCAAGTAACAATATAACTGATGGCCTGAATGGATTTGATGTTGGGCAAAGCTCCCAAGATTCGTACTTTCATGCTGGGGAACGTGGCTATCATACATTATGGGACAGCAGACTGTTCAACTATGCCAATTGGGAAGTTCTTCGTTTTCTTTTATCAAACCTGAGATGGTGGATGGAAGAGTTCAAATTTGATGGCTTTCGATTTGATGGAGTGACTTCTATGTTGTATCATCACCATGGGATCAACATGACATTCACAGGGAACTATAATGAGTACTTCAGCGAGGCAACAGATGTCGATGCTGTGGTTTATATGATGTTGGCTAATGATTTGATTCACAAAATCCTGCCTGATGCTACTGTAATTGCTGAAGATGTTTCTGGAATGCCTGGCCTCTGTCGGCCTGTCTCTGAGGGAGGTATTGGTTTTGACTATCGTTTAGCTATGGCAATCCCCGATAAGTGGATTGATTATTTGAAAAACAAAAAAGAAAATGAATGGTCCGTGAAAGAGATCACTTGGAGTTTGACAAATAGGAGATACACTGAGAAGTGTGTGGCATATGCTGAGAGCCACGACCAGGTGGGAATGCACTACTTTTGTGGTGGTCAAAAATCATTGTTTCTTATCATTGGGATCTTATTTGATTCCTGCATACCCTGTTCCTTACTGTTTTGTCTATACCTTTTATCTTTTTGTGTGTCGTCCTCTGAGTAGGCTATTGTGGGTGACAAGACTATTGCCTTTCTTCTTATGGACAAAGACATGTATTCCAACATGTCATGTTTGATGGAAGCCTCGCCAATCGTTGAGGGAGGAATAGCACTTCACAAGGTTAGGAATACTTTGCTTTTATTAATACATAAAGTTGTAGCACTCTATGGCAAGTCATCAATTATGTTTTGGAAACCAAATCAAACACATTCATTTGGATTTACTGTTCAAGTTCTGGTACTTTGATTTATTCTGATTAGCAAGGAAAAGGAAATTGGAATCTTTGTCTCTCTAATGTTTGTTCTGTGTTTTATTTACTAGGATTCTCACAGTTAAATTTTTTGTTTGCAGATGATACATTTTATAACTATTTTTTGTTTGCAGATGATACATTTTATAACTATGGCATTAGGAGGAGAAGGCTACCTCAATTTCATGGGGAATGAGGTGAGCTGCTTGTTTATTTCCAAATGTTCATGATGTTGGACTAGAGACAGCATGACGTCAGAAAACAGAGGACTCTTTTAAGTACCTGAAATCTGACCAAAAGTAAAGAAAGTATACCAGCCCGACCCTTAAATTGAAGGGATGCTCATTATTCACTGCTTGCTATTTAAAAGTATGCTGAACGTAACAGATAGATCCTACCCCAATTTTGCTCAGCTGTTAATTGAGATAATTTTCCTATCAAAGACGCGTGATATGAATAGTATGGTCCTGTATGTTGTTGGTTTCTTGTATGAGAACTCCATTGCTTATCATCATGTGATACAGTTTGGTCATCCTGAGTGGATTGACTTTCCAAGAGAAGGCAATGGCTGGAGTTACGAGAAATGTAGGCGGCAGTGGGACCTTGTGGACACGGATCACTTGCGATATAAGGTTTAACCATTCCCTAATAGTCTTAAGTCATGGAATCTGCTAGTAGTTTCTTTTGCCTAGCAGCTTATGTGGCTGTTTATAAGATTCTGCTCTCCACAGATCATTAACATTGCTAACGATTTCCACATTATGTGCAGTTCATGAATGCTTTTGACAGGGCCATGAATTTATTGGATGAGAAATTCTCTTTTCTTTCTTCATCGAAACAAATAGTTAGCAGCATGGACGAGGAAGAGAAGGTAGCTTAATTGATTTGTGTTCTTGTCATCATCATATTTGGTGCCAAGTGGAACTTGCATCTGTGTATGCAGTATAGAAGTATGAGTTCACCCTTATCTTATTATTCAATTTCACAATCATTTCCATTAACTATTCTATTTTTTCAGGTTATCGTGTTTGAACGTGGAGATCTGGTATTTGTGTTTAATTTCCATCCAGATAATACATATGATGCGTAAGCGTGTTATGTGATGCTATATTTTTTCTTTTTTACTTCTATTTTGGGCTAAATCAGCGAAACCGAAGTCTGATTTGTTTTGGTACATGGATTCAGGTACAAAGTTGGATGTGACTTGCCTGGAAAATATAAAGTTGCTCTGGATAGTGATGCATGGGAGTTTGGAGGGCTTGGACGGGTAAGACTTTTGTTGACCATGTTAACATTTCGCTTTTAGACTCGAAAGAGGATGACATTACACCCACTATAAACATGTCAAAAAGTTAAAACTATGAAATCCTATAATAACGCAAGCCCAGGAACAATCAGTTGTTGAACATTGAATTTATTCCATATGCACAAGGCATTAAACATTCACGTCCGATGCATAAGAGTATTTCCTATTGCAATCTCCAAATAGTATCTGAACAATCTACCCTGATAGGTGGGACACGACGTGGAGCATTTTACATCTCCCGAGGGAATACCTGGTGTTCCTGAAACCAATTTCAATAATCGTCCAAATTCCTTCAAAGTTCTCTCCCCAGCTCGCACAGCTGTGGTATGATAACCATTCATCTATATAATGTTTCTTCATTGTTGCACTTTCTCAGATTTTGCTTCTGCTACTTTGTTGCTAAAATGATCCATGGCTTTTGTTCTGTTGTTGCTACTTATCTTTTTTTTTTTTTTTCTTCTTCAAAGATTTTGCTTCTGCTACTTCAAAACTTATGAGTGTGAATATTGAGAAAATGCGCTATCTGATGTTTGACATCATTCTTATAGGTTTATTACCGAGTTGAAGAACCATTAGAACCGAGCAATCTAGACAATGATGACAAGTCAGCTAGCATCAGCTATCCCAGTATCATAGAGAATGAAGAGAATGTTGAAGAAACGGAGGAATCTTCTGGTGAAACTTCAGTCGGCTCCAGCGAGACAGAAGTTATCTAGCTACATTCTATACAGCAGAAGACAGAAACTGAGTGTATATAACTTTAGGCTTCATCTTCGAGAAAAAAAAAAGAAAAAAAAAAGAAGAAAACTTTAGGCTTTATGTGTAGTTCATCTCAAAAAAATGATGTACCTTTAACAATATCCAGCCCCGATTTCGGATATGGAAGAGGGTAATAAATAGCTCATGTTGATTAGAGTTTCTTGCTGGTTCTATCTGATTTAAAATAACCTTCAAGAGTTGCATAGGTAAACACTAGAAAAGTTGTTAAGCAACTGGGATTTGCAGAGATAACAATGATTATCCAACACAATTGCAATATCAGCAAAATACAGCTATAATACCATCACCAAATTTTGTGTATAAAATTCAATCATTCACACTTCAAAGGAAGAAGAAGATCCATAGCACACACAAAAGCTATGAATGAGAGTTACATAGCCAAGGATCCCCATTGCCCTTCCCATCAAGTAAACCTTAAAAAACAGCAAATCTGAAGCTACCCCAAAATCCAAAGCACCAATCTTTTCAAGCAAATGGACATCAGAAAAGAAGTCAGATCCTCCTAGCCCTTCTGACTCCAGTTTTCTCTCCAACGACAGCAGAAGAGGTTAAAGGCGGCTTCTTGTTCTCCTTATTAGTGCTACTCCTAAGCAAATACCTTGAAGAACTGGAAGCAGCAGCAGCAGCAGAAGGAGGGGGAATGATGGTCCTTCTGGCAGTCGTTGGAGTGGAAGGAACAGCAACTTTTCTCTTTATACTAGTTGAAGTATTATTAGTACTGGTGATATGATTATCCCTTCTCTTTTTAGTGGATTCAACCCTGACACCAAGAAGATGATCATAATGATGATGATCATCAGCTATTAATTCCCCTTTCTTCTTCCTCTTCAGCCTCTCATTCCTTCTTGCAGAGTACTCATCATAGAACCTTCCCCTTTCAAACAACGGACTCCTGTTAGCATTCAGGGCCTGTAGAAAGTAGAAACAGTGTTTTTAGTTTGAATTTTTTTGCATTCAAAATAAAACTGTTTTTGTTAATAAAGAAATGAAATTTCAACCAGTGAGTTTTGCTTAACAACTAGTACTCACCAAATCATCAACGCCGACGGTGCCGGCGCCGGAAAATTCATGATGAACCATTTTCGCCAGAGCCCTTAATTCACAAGAAATGGTACGGTATTCAGGCCGAAGAATCTCAGATCCCCCTTCCACCAAATCACAAGCACTTTTCACCATCTGGGTTTTCACTAAAGAACCTGTTTCCATTCCAACAATTTTTTTTTTTTAAAAAAAAGAGACACACACACACACACACAAAAAGCTTACAATCAAAACATGAATCTCTAGGTTTAAAAAAAAAAAGAAAAAAAAGAAGAAGCATACAACCAAAATGAAAAGCATAAAGGAATAATCTTGGGTATGAAAGAAAATTAAAAAAAAAAAGGGGTGTAATCTATGGAGAAGAAGAACCTGGTGGGGTTTGAATGATGTTGGCGGCGGAGGATGATTGGAGCGGAGGACGGCGGGGGCGGAGGCGGAGTTGAATTGGGGTTCCTCTGGGCAGCGGTGGCTTTCGAGATGACTGCATCATCGTCTTCGATCACAATCTTCAATATTGAACCAAAAAAATCTCTGTGTTTCTTTTTGATGTGGGAATTGTTGTTGTTGTTGTTTTGTTGCAGAGTGGAAGAATTGGTTTGATTTGAATTTCTTAGTGAAAGAGATGGGGAGCGGTTTTGTGTTCAACGGTCATAATAATATCCTTCCTTAATCATCCATTGATTATCTTTTTTTATGATCCCTTTTGAAATGGGTGGATGTGGATATGGGTTTTTTGGATACGGACATTTGAAAATTCAGGAGCCCAACCATAAATCTATTCTTCATCCAGTTCTAGAGTGGGCTACTTAACGTATTAAAATCATGGACCTTATATCTTAGCCCGTAAATAAAAAAATAAAAAAAAAATAGTGGCAACATTTTCGACCCTCCAAAGATGATTATACATAAAATATAATTTGGTATTAACCCCTTAAAACGTTTTTCACGGAACAAGAAAAAATCGAATAAAATGCGTTAATCACACAATACCAGTCAGTTGTCCTTGAAATCTGTGACTGAAATCCGGCAGCGGCTGAGGGTGTGGAACTGGAATCATGGGGGCAAAAAAAAAAAAAAAAAGAACAAACCTTGATGAATTATCCGAATATTGAAAGAAAGAACCTCGCTCGAGTGAAACTTCATTTGGTTGGTGTATTTTGGTTATGACAATGAAGTACGGAGAATCGATTCAACAATATTTTCTCAGTCTCAAAATTATTTTTTTTAGTTTTACTTACATTAAAAATAAATAATTTAAACTGAACAATACTTTGAGACGAGTAATAGTATCATTATATGGCGGGAATTAAGCAGATATATCGAAACTGGGTGTGCAATTTTATATCCCAAATTGTAAAGGCTCATAAATGAATGCAAGTTCGTTCGAAAGCAACTTCCCCATTAAAGACCAACTTGGTATCCCGCAATTTGGTGAAATCTGAAGCACCATTTGGCAGATGATGAAGCAAAATACGTATGCATTCTACTACTAAAAAGAAGAATCATAATGCATTCATTAAACCCAACTAACTACACTCTCTCAGCTGCCTAATTTATTCATGACTTGATAAGTAGACAGTGATGGAGCCAAGGGAGAAATACATCGCAGTCCTTCCATGGAACGATTTCTGACTTTGTGGGTAAGAGACCCTCTGATTAGTAGTAAAGTTTACATGGGGCCGCAGTTTTCTTTCAGTCGATAACGATCACTTCAAGACCTGAGAACAAAAAAAAACAGAAGACTCTGGATACGCAAATTTTTTATAACATGCAACGCTATGCACATACAATCATATGAACAGTGCCCCACTTGCGCAAGGAAAAAATCTCACTAGTAATAATAAGGAATTAAGAAGTCTACATTTAATGTGGATGAAATGATCTTAATCACAACCCACAAATTAAGTTGGTTTCCATGTGAAATTTAATGCACTAAAACAAAAGAGAGGAGTGATCATACGCAACATGCTATAATAGTCTAATAGTATCACTTGATTATTATACTACTACTACTCTATATTGGATGGATCTTACTATTCAAGCTCTCCATTGACTTCCGAGCTTTTGTGATAGTTATATTGTGTTTTGTATGTGAGAAATTGGTCCATTAATTGATCAAACCTGTTAAGACAAAAACAGTGACAAATATGGAAATTACACATAAAGATCAGCCCAACTCGAGGAAAACCATAGGGGTGATAGGAGCCGGAATCAGTGGGTTGCTGGCATGCAAGTACGCGCTCCAGAAGGGATTCCTTCCGACAGTTTTCGAAGCTCACGACTCCATCGGTGGGGTCTGGTCGTCCAACGTTATAACCACTACTAAGCTCCAGACTCCAAAGTACCAGTTCCAGTTCTCCGATTTCCCTTGGCCGGATTCCGTGGCAGAGGAGTTCCCACATCACCGCCAAGTTATGGATTACCTTACCCGGTATGCGCTTCACTTCAAGTTGCTCCCACATATTAAGTTCAACCACAAAGTCATCGGCATTGACTATGTCTCGTCGTCATCGGAAGAAGAGGATCAACAATTCCTCTGGGGTGGGTCGGGTCATGCGTTCTCGGATCGAGGCAAGTGGAATGTCACGGTGCAAGACAATTCGGTGAATCCAAATCCTTCCCACCACCAACATTCTCACCAGGTTCACAAATTATTAGTGTGTTATCAGTTATCACTGATTTCATATTATCCTCCGTCACAAAATAATTATTGATTATATGTGCCCTGTCAAAGGACTAGTACTTCTTAATAACTCTAATGGAGTGAAACTGATTGTTTTGTGACACCTAGGAATACATATTTGATTTTGTGATGGTGTGCATTGGGAAATACAGCGACGTTGCCAACATTCCACAATTCCCAATGAACAAAGGTCCAGAAGTGTTTCAGGGCAAAGTGTTGCATTCCATGGACTATGCTGCACTACTAACCGACAACAATGCCGCCGCTTCTCCTCATGACTTGGTTCAAGACAAGCGGGTCACCGTCATTGGTTTCCAGAAATCCGCCCTTGATATTGCTTCCCAAATCTCTCAACTTAATGGTAGTAGTATTTTATAATCCATTCATATCTTATAGTAGTATATCAATATCACTCTTTTTTTCCGCATAGTAGTAGTAAGTTCTAATTCTACAAGTTTGATTAAATGATTAATTAAAGCCAAATGCTCACAAGAGAATATTGATTATGCGAGATTAAGCAATGCAGGGACGAAGAATCCATGTACGTTGGTGTTTAGGAGAGCACACTGGTCAGTGTCGGAGGACGTAGTTGTACAATCATTCAAGAACCTCAACCGATTCTCGGAGCTCATGGTCCATAAGCCCAACCAAGGTTTCTTCCTATGGCTCCTCGCTCTTTTGCTCTCTCCCATGGTAACTTTAATTACTTCTTCCTTTCTCCATTGCTGTACTTCTCTTCATGAATATTCCTTTTTACGTACGTTGTTGTTACTAATAATAACTTATCACTAACCTCATCATTGTAATGAAGAAATTACGGAAAGAAAAGGGAGTGTGTCACGGTCCATGATAATCATTTATCAAAGCTTACTAGTACTTTGTAACTAATATTTAATTGCTTTTTTTTCAGCTATGGATATATTCAAAGATCACGGAGAGGTACCTGAAAAGGAAATACCCTATGGCAAAGTACAACACGATTCCAGAACACCCCTACCTGAATCAGATACGCACGTGTACTTTGGCAGTTTTGCCCCCAAACTTCTACGACAAAGTCAGCGAAGGAAGCATTATCCTTAAGAAATCCCATTCTTTCCACTTTTGTGACAAGGGTATAGTGGTCACTAGCGTCAACCGACAAGAAGGAGAAAAAGAAGCAGAGGAGGAAAACGTGGAGATAGTGGAAGCAGACGTTGTCATTTTTGCAACAGGGTATGCAAGTCAACACAAATTGGCCAGCATTTTCAAGTCAACCGACTTCCAGAAATGCATATCTGGACTGTCGGCTCCTCTCTACAGGTACTATAATATACCTTCAATTCAACATTAATGTTAGTCCATAGGTCTACCTACTTGACAAGCCCAATTGGTTACATATATCTGACCTTCTTATTATTTCGTTTTCGTCCGGGGTTGCCCCAGTTTTATTAATAATTTATTACTCCCGTTCAAATGATTGTTGTATTTTCATTTTTTTTTTTTGAAAATACAAAAATTGTACTACTAAGAATAAAAATCAAAAGTGAACAATTATTTTGAAGTACAAGAGAATTTCATATACACATAAATAATAAGATTCATGAAAAGTATCTCTGTATAAAGAATTTGTTAATATCCATTTGAGGCAATGGCCATGTATGTGAGAGTAGTTAGACCACTAGAGAAACATTATTGATCAATAGTTAAGTTTTGGTGAAAAATTAGAGACCGAATTGAATAAGATTTCTAAAAATTTGAAGGACATGCAATGTTGGTGTTCTAAAAAACTTTTATAGAGATTAAAAAAGCTGCTACATTGTTAGTAAAGTGGGTACATATATATATATATATGTTTTGTACTTCTTCATTTCTTCAATATATATATGATTTTCTCACCAAGTCATTGTATAATTAAAAATGATGGGTGAAATTCATAACATTGTGATGAATATAGGGAATGTATTCACCCAAAGATACCAAACTTGGCAATATTGGGATATTCAGACAGTCATGCAGTATTGTACTCAACTGAGATGAGAGCCAAATGGTTATCATGTTTTCTTGAAGGAAGATTTAAGCTCCCAAAGATAAGAGACATGGAAGACAATGTGACAAGGTGGGAGAACTGCTTGAGGAAGCAATACTCAGGTGTCGGCGGTGACCATAACGGTGCTCAAATTTATAGACCAACCTGCGTTAGCGTGATGCTTCAGATTTACTGCAATGATGAGATATGCAAAGACTTGAATTGCAATCCCAGAAGGAAGACATCCATTTTTTCTGAACTTTTTGTTCCTTATGGTCCTTCTGATTATATTGATGTGGGGAATTAATTCAATAACCAAAATAGTCCGATATATTCATTTACAGATATCTACTCATGTATTTTTTTTTTTTTTAATACTATCTCAATGGAATTACAACCTCAACCTCATGATAATAACAAAATTTTTCACAAAAACACTTTAACCACCCCACCCAATTACCTTCCTCCTATTCATGTATTCTTACATACAGAGGTCTCCCTCACTTTTTTTATTATTTATCTCTAAAAGAGAAGATGTATTGGTGTTAAAAAAAAATGTATAACTCGTAATGATGAGTTTCAAAAATCACTTATTACATCTTTTGCTTTCTTATAATGTACTTTCTCTAGCTAGATGTTGTGTTTAAATTTTCAAGATGGATAAGGATGTTAAAAGGAACAAAAATATGAATTGAACAATTTTTTATGAAAATGAAATGTGATTGGAAATAGATTTTTTATAGGATGAATTCTCTCCACATGGCATTGCATAATTGTTACAAATAGGCAATTTGCAATTTTTTAATTCAAGCAAATCCAAGTCACGAATGAATAGAAAGGCTAGACTTATTGCTAGAAAGAATTCATCAGTCGACATTGGCAGCTGAATTAGCTTCACTAATCATTGATGGCTGGTCTAAGACGTCCCAAAGATATTGCTGGTAATGGACAGTGGTTCATCCCTATTTCCATGGAGGAAGTAGGAAATTGTTATCCTACTATCTTCTATTCGTTCCATCCACGTTTTATAATGATGAGAATTGTGGCTTAGTAGAGGAGAATGAGTAGGAGAGTTGTTACAATTTTGCTCTAAGTCGAGTTTTGTTACACATAATTACGAACGTATTTGTAGTTAATAAGCGTTTACACCTACAGAAGCAGAACTACTTAATTTTTGGCGGGTCAGTCTTCCTGCTTAACGATAATTTTTTTTTTCTTTCGAGTGTTTGCTGAACCGCAATTGTTTCTTGAATCTTAGGGAGGCATTGATTGATTTTTATGTTACGTTTCGGAAAAGGAAGTATGAGCTGATTTCCATCTTCAGTCAGATATGTTCTCATTTAATTGAAGAGAAGTAGTGTGGTAGATGCCATTAATTGTTGTGGCATTTCTCTTTCCTTCTATTAAGCTGGAGCTTTCCAAAACTTGAGCACTGACTAATCTTGCGTAATTTTCAGCGATGGTGGCAGTGAATCGCAATTTAATCAAGTTTTGAACATCGAACTTGACCAGATCATGATTGAGGTTTGGAATGCAACATATTTAACTTTAATTGTAGATAGGGTTTATGGCCAAACAAATGGTTTTTCTTGAAAGTGGTCTTAGTTATTGTTCATTGCCAATCCGGTGCTGTGGGTTTTGAAAGTAGATGAGGGACTTTTCGTATCATTTCAAAATGGTTAGGTTAGATGATTGGTGGTTACATGCACCACATGAATCATTAATACAATTGTCTTTATATATATTTATGAAATATTCGGGTGGGGGAGTACTTAGACATGAGCTTGGGGCTTGGGATAATGTTGTAGAGTCATCTGAGACAACATTAATTGAAAAAGGCCAAAGATTGAGTACTTGATGTTTGACAATTTACTCAGGAATGTCAAAGAATTTTATGGAACTCTAGCAAGAACCAATAAGAAGATTCATAATATATATATATATATACTTCCTTAGACCTGCAATTAATGGATGCTGGAAAACAGTGTCATGCGATTTACATATTGATGGGTGAGGCTTTCATCTCAACGCCATAAGAATACCCCCAGAGTGGAATTTTTTCTCATCATTAACGGCAGCCCTATCTTAAGATGTGGTATGTCCCTTCACTTTGGAGGAAGACACTTTATCACAACAGTGAGAGGTGTAAGGTATACTGCAGTATGCTTTTAGATGGATGTGCAGGAATGTGTGAATCAATAGAAGCTACAGATCTTGTTTGTTTGGGCGCGTAAATGCATTTGAGATTATAGGTTTTTGTGTGTTTCAATTAGAGAATGATGAAAGATTGAGTTTTGGAAAATCCAAAGTTTGCACCTTTTCTTTATTTTTTTTGTTGCTTCTTGGTTATGTCTGATGAGAATTCAATTAAGTTCTCTTGTAATTTTTTTTTTCACGTCTGGGCGACTATGATATGATGAGTGTGTGTGTGTGTGTGTGTGTGTGTGTGTGTGTGTGTTTTGAGTAATGAATGATGAAAAATATACTATTATTTTTTTTGGGTGGGTGCAGGACTGACCATCTAGTGCTTGCAATTTACCATTATGGACCACCAACTCCGTGGTTCCCGTATGGAACAGTAACTCATCTCTTATTGTTGGAACCGTTGCTTCTATATGCTGTTTATTTATTCTTCCACATTATAATAGTAGTTGTCAGCTGAGTTTTCTATTTCCAATCTGCCATTGAAACATCTAGGTATGGGATATAATTCATTTGCCTTTGATGTCTGTATTTTTTTGTTAAACAAACTACTCTCATAGCCTTAGTCTGTACGTCAAAGCCTAATGCTTCCCTCTCTAAAATAATACTAATGGAATTCGGGCATCATAAAAGCCGACAAACGTTTCATATAGCCACCCCATATGAGGGGAGAAAAACGTAAATTTTATGGTTGTTGCTATCTTTCGAAGCACTGAATCCTGAAACTCATGCTCAAGTTTAAAATCTACTGTGCCTCAGACTTGAGAAGTTTTGTTGTTTTTTGTGGATTTGATGTTATTAAGTTTTTTGAGATTTTGATGTTCTAACTTTTATTTTTCTCTTCTTACTCCTATTTTTCCAGGTCTCTTCCTCCTTGAAGTGCTTGCTGGAGGATGAAGTCTTCGAGGCTGGAGGATCAAATCATAGTCATGCTACCCAGGATCTGTATGATTCTGTCGCAGCTGGAAACTATTCGAAATGGATACTCTTCATCCAGATCATTGATCATGATCACGAGGGCAGGTCGACTTTGATCCTTTTGATGTTACCAATCCTTGGCCCGAGGACATTTTGCCTTTGCAATCAGTGGGCCACTTGATATTGAACAAGAACATTGACAACTTCTTTGTTTGAAAATGAGCTACTTTCTTTCTGTCCTTCCATCCCGGTATATCCTATTCAGATGACAAACTGCTTCAGACTCGAACATTCTTATATGCTGATACCCAGCTTCACAGTATCGGGCCAAACTATCTGCAGCTCCTACCAAATGCACCCAAGTGTGCTCATCACGACAATCATCATGAAGGTTTCATGAATTTCATGCACGGGGATGAAGAGGTAACATCCCCCAAAGTTCAGAATGAGAAATCATTATGCCCTGTTTAAACTTGTGTCATGGCTTTTAACTGAGTGACAGAATTCAAGTCCTATTTTGTTGTTACACTGATTGTTTTCCTGCTTAAAAGGTTATTCTTTATTGGTAATTAAGATATGTTCTGCATCTTTGCTCGGATTTCCCTTTGAATGGACTATTTTGTGAATAAGATAATTACTAGAAACCTCTGTCGGAGGAAAAGTATTTTGATTCAACATTAGCTGTGGTTTTAGTATATTTATGAATGAGTACTAGAATTGTAACTACTAAATAATGTTTATCTTTTCACTGACTAAGGGTTAGATTATTTTACCTCTACTAAATCTTGTTATGTTCATTCCAGGTCAATTATTTCCCTTCAAGGTATGATCCCGTTTGGCATGCTGAGGCAATCCATACTTCATCTCATCTTGACCAGAAGATGTGACAGGGTGAGTTTCTAGAATGAAGGTTAATAATTACATACTGATTGGACTGCATTACGTGGGCAAATATGAAAATGTGGATGCATTGTTTTTCTAGCTGTTGCTTACAATCCACTTCTTGTCCCCTTTTAACACTGTGGTTTCATGTTATGAATTTAGTTATGATTTATGGCTTGTGGTATCTCGAATATGTTACATGAGCATGTCTGTGTGTGTTGGTTAGAATTATTGATTGTGTCATACAAGTCACCCTCTTGAGTAGAGTAGGTTCCACAACTAAAGCACATCAATTTTAAATGAATGGTGGTGTTTTCATATATTGCGATATAAATAAATACCTTTAGGTTTCTTATGTGTCTGTTCTGGGTCTGCAAAAGTTTGTATTGTTTTATTTACATGAGGGGCATGTTTATGGTGTGTACAGTGCAATATCGAGGAGAACAACTTCAATCAACCGGGAGAGAGATACCTCTCCCTTGATCCTGAGAGGTACTTGTTTTTTCACCCTATTAAAGGTCTTGATGTTCAAAATTCGAATATGCATGTAAACATTCAATTGAATGATTGGGCTGCAGAAGTGATGCAGATCACAAAGGCGATGCAACTCATGTGTGGATAAGTCTTCCTTTCACTAGAACCTAGGCAGATGACATCATCAGACCCTTTGATCGACGCAACATCTGTAAAGAAATTTTCCAACGCAGATATAATAGGTAAAACCTTGGATTCTCAGAATATTTCGGACGTGGAATTCTTAGATGTCCACATTGGTGTTAATTCATGCATAAAGGTTCCTTTGAATTTGGATGCCAAGCATGTTGTAGTGGTGGAAATGATTGAGAAATTTCGGGTTTTGTCTAAAAATGATTATTAGAGTTTAATTGATGATTCTGTGAATTATGATGACGATAATCAGTATGTGCCTTTGAATTTTATGAACAACAGAGTTGTTAAATTTGGTTTGGAAGATTTTGAAACTGATAATTCCCTTTGTGATCAAATAGTGGTTGATCTATCATAGTGGTTGATCTTGATAGTTTTAAAGGTGTAAATGGATGTCTCAAACTGGGATTTGAAGGTTCTGTGACTGATATAACAGCTGAAATGAATCGTAATCAATTAGCGGGAACGGATGACAAAGTTGGTGTGTTTTGTCCCATGGAAAGCAGTACTGATGTTCAATGTCCTTTTAATAAGGGAAGTCGTCTAAGCTTTTTTGTTATTGACCCTGGTGGAATGGCTGCAGATTACCTAGTTACTTGAACCCAACAACTTGTTTTGAAAGGTGTTTTGCAAGAAGATTGTTTGTTTTGAATTTTGGAAACAAGGATGCTGTGAAATTTTTTGATGAGGTGGGGAATCTCTTGGCAACGTGTGTTTCAATTGCATTGAAATATGACCTTCTGGAAGTTAAATTGATTGATAATAATTGCATATATGCTGATTGTGCCTATGAGATATCCTGTGCATCTCAAGTGAAATTTGTTTGGAAAATTAGGTGGCTTCTTTTTGAAGGTGTATCATATTTGCATGATTTGGTTCAGTATGCGGGAGGTGCTGAAAATGTGTTGTCATATAGAATGACTAAAGCCTGTGGCTGCACTGTTGGTATTCATTATGGTCATTTTCTGCATTTAGAAGTTTATTTCGAATTTAAGAATCATACAGGACACTGCCACTTTACTATTATTATAATTTTTTATTTTATTTATTTTTTTCATTTAAGTTCGACGCCCGAGCCTGATCAAGAAGAACAGGACACCGCCAGTACCTGTCTGCCACCTTCCCATTCGTAGTATAGTTTTATTAAATAAGATTGGAATCTAAAAATTACATTTAGAAGGAGAAGGATTAGAAGAAGAAGAAGCGAGATGACACAGTCTGGGGCTGCCAGCACACACAGTCGTTACCAGAAGAAGATGCAATGACAACAAGAATGCCTTGGTGTCTTTCACTGTACACCAACAAAAGAGGACTTTAAGCTTAGGTTTTTTCTTCTGGATACCCAGGCCTTACTGAATTCAGGTGATTTTCTTGGACTTTTTACTTTTTCTGTTAATTTTGTTGCTCATTTCTGATGAATCCAAGTTATCAAGATTTTATCTTTATTAGGATTTGCACAGCTTCTTTTCGATCCAACTCTTTTATGTATATTGAATGTATATCTGGAGATCTCTGCCTCTGATTTCTGAAGCCCCTCTTTCCCCCTTGTCTGCTCCTGCTGGAAATTGATATATTGGATTTTATGTTCTTTTTCTGACATATCAGAATTTCATTTAACTTGCGTTACAATTTGAGGTCTGATAAGATCTTGGACTTCTTTGCGCGTATTTATTGTTAATCCTTTGTTATGGTGTTTATCTGTTTGATAGTAACCACTCCTCCTTTTGAATTGTGCAGTGGGAATGATAGTTTATTCCTAACTTCACTTCTAAGGCTATATTCTCCATTCTTCATTTGGGTTTTACCTTTTTGTTTGTGGCTGTTAGTTGAGCTTTCATCATATAAACTCTTTAATGTATATCTTCTAGCTAATCTCAACAATGCAAATGTTTCCTCCATCTGCTTTTCATTTCTTTTCTTTCCATTCTACAATCATTCATTTGATTCAGTTGATCCCACATTTTCATCTTTTATAAGAATAGTCACTGCTCTAGTAATTGCTTACTTAACTGTGTGGCCATTTTTGCGTCCTCATAATTTGCATCAAAATTTAAGGCCATCAACCTTCATGAATTCCAGGAAAAGAAAAATGTCGAGTATTTAGTCCACCCAAAATTTATTCCAAATGCAGCTAGACGTCCCCATAAGTCCAAGCAGTAGTATTTGTCATTGCGGTAAACAAGAGTACCGTTAGAAACTCGAAAGTCATACTCGTTATCATAATTCCAGTGCCGTTCTCCACTTTGGATGGTACCAGTTATGATAGTGTGCCGCTGGAGGGAGTTAGGATAATAGAAATTACTCTTCATTGATTAATTAATAGAGACGTACACCGTATATATATACACATAAGGAAAAATCCTATTTCTAATTTACCCTAATTCTATTTTTCTTTCAGTAATTAAGAAATAAAATAATAATAAATTAAAATAAAATTATTTTTCTTTTTTAATTTAAAAAAAGTATTTTATTTTAAATTAAAAATAATTTAAAATACTTTTATTTATTATTTTAAATTAATAATAAAATATTTTAAAATTAAAATTAACAATAATTTTAAAATACGTTATTATTATTAATCAACAAAAATTAAATACTTTTAATATACTTTATTATTATTAATTTTAAAATAAAATATTTTTAATTTTATGTTCATTGAAAGCATGAAAGAGAAATGGAATGAAATAGAGAAAAATAAAATTAAAAATTAAAAATAGACTGTTTTATTTTTTATATAATTTGGGGGTTATTTTTATATTTTTTAAAATTTATTGGGGTGTTTTTGTAATTAAATTGATTATTTTATTAATAAATTAACGAAAATCCGTTAACTAGGACGGAAAATGACACGATTAGACAAAATTGATGAAAATTTCATTGAGATAGAATTGGCTAACAAAGAATCTGTTGGGTAAAATTGACGCCGATGATAAAATTTTGGGTAAAAACGCCATTTTTCCCCTTCAAATTGATTCTGTCCACAATGGCAATTCCAATTAATTCGTCAAGAAAAAGAGACCCAAAAAGTCAATATAGAGAAATAGAACCCAAAAAATAAAATAAAAAATAAGCAATGTCATATGAAAAAAAAACTCACCTGTTCAGTAATATTTTTGAACAATTAGCACAATTGGATTGTTGAGAGCGTAACTTCAATCAGATTAGCAAATGACTTAGATTTTGACTGTGGTAGCTCCTTGAAGGATCAAATCAACGGAACCATCTTCAGGCTTGAATTGCTGGAAGCTTCTCACAATTGCAAACGGCGGCAGATGATTTAGTATCAGGGTTTATTTTGAGAAGATTTGAAAAGACATCAAAGAATTAAAGGTTTTAATTACGGTCCAGATGAATTAAAATGGTGATTTGGATTGGTGTTCATCTGAATAGATGTGGATTCATTGCCAAAAAAAGGGTTTTTGAATGGCGAATAATCTCATTGAAATTAATTCCTATAAATTTTCTGAGTGCGCGGAATCAAACGCTAGAATCCCACATTTTGCGCCCGCGTGTAGACAACTATGGTTCACCTTACAAAGTAGACTCTGGTCAACTATATAATATATGTTGGTTCCCATTCTTATTATAAAATATTTTAATTTGTCATAAGTTTCACCAATTATGTTTCTCTAATTGTGAAAAAAATCTTAAAAATATTTTTTAATAATTAAAAGAACATAATAAATATGAAAATATATTTTTAAATTTTTTCTTCAAGAAAAAAATAATACTAGCTGAAAATTTGTACAAAGCAAAATATCTTATAATAAGGACCGAATGGAGTAATTGCAAGAACTACCCGCTGATTTTTTTTATTTTTTTTTATTTTGAAGGTCATTGGCACCTGAATTGTTTAGGCCATAGTCCAGCGAGTTGGGGATGATTTATTAGGAATTAACAAACCCAAAACCAAGGAAACGATAAAATTAGCACCAAAACCACAAGGGAAGGATAATGAGATTTGTCCAAATTAAAATGAAGTCACAATCGTACTTGTCTTGATTACTACAATATGTTCACACAATAATACGTATCTGAACAACAAGAAAAAGAAAGAAGACAACATTAGGCCGATTAAGAAGGCATCCTGATGACGATACATTTGGTGGTTGCTCATAATACTGCCCGGACTTCCGACGAATGATCAGGATTCAGGCGGCAGCGGTTTGGTTAAGTGATTGGGACAGTCACAAGTGGCTAAAAATGTCAAAGATTACAGTAGCATTCTCTGCCTTTGTGTTACGGCAGGCCCGTCATGTTTGTTGGTTTGGCCTCAACCATTTATATATTTACTCTACTTTTATTTATGGATGATTTAATCGTCTTAAGAAGAAAGTCATATTTGTTTAAACTGTTAAAAAAATAAGAATTTCTTCCTAAAAAAAAAAAGAAAAAAAAAAGAGGTCAGATAGAATAACATCTATCTGTATACTTTTTGTAGTGTAAGTGTAACTCAACAATACATAAAATTGAAAGAAATTAAGGTGAAGATCAGATCTGATATAAACTGCAAAGATGTCCACTAATTGACGTTTTAGCCAATTAAATGTTACTACATGATAGTTTATTCTAAATAAATAAATTACTGATATATTGCACTAGTAATAAACAAGGCATTTCGGGAGAGTATATCCTGAAATTGATGGAACACCTAACTATTCCTACTCAAGGAAGATGCTTTTGATCAATTAGCAAAAAAGCTTAAGAATACATCTCAAACTTTGGGCGGCTGGGGCCACCCGATTTTGATCCCCCTCGTGCTTTGCGTAATTCATTACACTATTTGGTGCCACTTTAATATTTTTTGGGTTTGCTTAATTAGAGATTGCTAATCAGCAGTGTTCAAAACTTCAAAATTCATATTAGTTTTATGCAAAACATATACTCCCTCCGTCCCATAATTATTGTCCACTTTGTCTAAAAAATTTTGTCCCAAAATTATTGTCCAATTTGACTTTTTATGAATCAAGTTATACATTTGCCCTTAGTAAAAAACATTATCCATAAAATCTTTGTGGTTAAACAATTACTTATGTAGGGGTATATCTGGTTGTTTAAGGTAAAATATTATTAAGTTTGACAAAAAATAAAATCTTTCATTTTACTAAAACTGGACAATAATAATGGGACGGAGGGAGTATATACTTTGGCATTATTTTATAATAATGTGAATAGAATAGGAAAAGGGTTGAAAATTGAGAAGGACTACTAGTCATGCCCCCAAATTCTTTATGAATTTGTATGGAAAAGATTCCTTCTAGTAGATTAGTGTCGTGACAAGTGTGTACCCGTCAATTTTTTAAAAACTCAATAATAATTCTAGAAGCAACTTTCTAGGTTGAAATTTAATAATAAGAAAATCAGAAAAATCGATATTCTCTTAGTGGAATGATAAGTTGATAACATGGCATGTAACAGTGGTTGATGTTATTTAGTAAATACCATTTGCTTGGAAACAATTTTAATTTTGCGTTACACATATACACACGTGTGTATATAAATGTAAAAAAGAATGTATCATAAAGGCAAAATTTCGTCTCAAAAAATAAAAGCAAGCGGAGTTTTTTTAATTAAAAAAAAGATTAAAAAAAAAAGAGAGTATTCCCTCCATTCTAAAATAAGTGTTGTCCTACACTTTGCACATAGTTTAAGAAACTTTTAAATAGGGTAATAAAAGTACTTGAATATCCTCAACCAATCCCATTATAAAATTTTCCACTAATAGCATCAACTCTTTTGAGGGTAGTTTTGGAAACTTTTGACAAAAAGTGCATTGAAATGTGAGAATGACACTTATTTTGAAATTTTTCCATTTTACTAAAACGACACTTATTTTGGAATGGAGGGAGTACTAGTTTAGAATATAAAACTAGAAAGTAAAGAATAATGAAAATGCATTGTTTTAACGTCACAATTTCATCTTTTAAGACTTTAAAAGTGCTTCATGTCTCAGTCCGATTCTGTTATCTAATGGCATGTTAACGTTTAACGCTCACGATCTAAGTTGCGACACAATTACACATGTAGTGTACGATAAAAATGTAAATGAATAACTTGGCAAAAACAATATTACTACTTCAAAGAACTCAATTTAAGTTTGTCACGGGAAATTTGTAACGTACTGTCAATCACAATTTTGTACTACTAATAACAAACTAATGGGATGATTAAGATGGTAAAAACACAATTATGATGTCTTTGGATGCCACAATATCCTTTACAAAAAGTACTGTTATTCTAGAAACAAACAAACAGGTGATCTTATCTTGAGGAGTACTACAATCAAGTGGCCATTCATTTATAAGCACCCATCCCGAGTTTCAAATTCCTCAAACTTCATGATCAATTTCATCATCTCCACTTACTCCTCCTTCTTCTCCACTAATCTAATCCTCCTTTTTTGCTGGTGTTCTAATTAACAGCTAGCAAAATCCCATCCAAAATTCCTCCCCCCCAAAAAAAAAAAGAAAAAGAAAAACAACAACAGAAATGGAAACTAAACTAATATCCCAAGTAATTATACCCCCATCATCTCCAACTCCAACTCACCTGAAAATCTTCAAGCTTTCCCAGTTAGATCAGCTGATTCCTGCACCTTATGCACCAATTGTCCTCTTCTACCCCAACCCAAACTCTGCCAGTTTCCCTCAAATCATTAAAAGAGTCGAAAGCCTGAAGAAATCCCTTTCAAAAACGTTAGCCCTGTTCTACCCTTTAGCTGGAACCATCAGAGATGATTTATCCATCGACTGCAATGATAAAGGAGCTTACTTTGCTGTAACAAAAGTAAACTGTCAGCTTTTCCAGTTCTTAAACAAGCCGGATATTCAGATGATCTCTAAGTTCTTGCCTTGTGACGCTGGGTACGTTGGGCCCATGGAAGGAACCCGGGTGACGAATATCCAAGTGAATGTGTTTGAATGCGGTGGAATGGCAATTGGGCTTTGCATTTCACACAAGATCCTGGATGGATCCGCCCTGGATACCTTCCTCCGTAGCTGGGCAACGGCGGCGGCGGCGGCTGGTGACGGCGAGGTGGAGGATATTACTGAGCCGAACTTCATAGCCTCGTCTCTGTTTCCGGCGAATGATTGTTGGCTGAGAGATACAGCTATGGGGATGTGGAAGTCTTCATTTAAGATGGGGAATTCGGTTACAAAAAGGTTCGTTTTCGATTCCGCCGCCATATCCGGCTTGAGATCCCTGGCGGCCGCCGGCCTGAGGAGGAAGCCCACCCGGGTGGAAGCCGTCTCTGCTTTCCTCTGGAAATGCGTCATGGCCGCCGGAAAATCAAAATCCTCCATGTTAACTCACGTCGTCAACCTGAGGAAAAGGGCAGTTCCGGCACTGTCCGGAAATTCAATTGGAAACCTGATTTGGATTTCCAGCGCAAAATGTAGCCCCGGAAAAGAACAGCCGGGCGGCTTGGAGTTAGAATTGCCGGCGCTGGCTGAAAAGATACAGTTTTCCATATCCAAAATTAACGGAGAATACATCAAGAAGATGATGCACGCGGGGAATGACGGATCATCAACCCAGATGAGGAAATCCCTGAAAGAGATTGCGGAATTCGGGTCAATCTCCGGCGGAGGAGCAGAGTACCTGGGATTCAGCAGCTGGTGCGGGTTCGGATTCTACGAGGTCGATTTCGGGTGGGGAAAACCCGTCTGGGTCAGCAGCTACGCTTTGTCTGCGCCGGTGTTTATGAATCTTGTGATTCTGATGGAAACCAGAAATGGGGATGGGATTGAAGCTTGGGTGACTTTGGATGAACAAGAAATGGATGTATTGGAACAAGATCAGCAGGTTCTGGAATTCGTTACACTGGATCCTAGCCCTTTGGATCACCTGAAACTTTGTTAGAAAAAACAACATAGTACTGGTCAAAAACTGTAGATTGCCCTTGTCTATATCTGGCATTTTCAACACACGTTGTGACAATAACATCAAGTATGCTTGTTCATGACATTTCCTAGAGTGACTTTTGATGAGATCAATGAATGGAATAGTCTTAATAACGTCAAAATTATTAGGATTCAATTCGATCCTTCCACCATCAAATCTCAATATATGAAGTTTGACTATATGTAAATTAAATGTCAATGGTCACTTCCATTTCATTTCAATCATACTCGCTTCTCAAAAGACATTTCAATAGCTTTTTCTTTTCATTGGAAATTAACCAATCAATACAACAAAAATAAGTACTAATAATGTAGAATACTCCCTATAATCGTTATTATAAGACATTTTGATTTGTCATAGATTTCACCTAATATATATATATATATTATTGAAATAAAAATCTTAAAAACATTTCGTAATAAGTAGAAGAATATAATGAATGTGAAAATATAGTTTACACGTTTTTTTTTTCCAATCGAGAAAATATATTAAGTGAAATTTTAGACAAATCAAAATGCCTTATATAACGACTAGAGAGAGTATAATTTGTGTTTCTTTTAACACACTACTAATCATCAAGTAAACTACTAAGATATAGTCATATAGATGGTTTATAGAGTGGATTAACTAGTATTGCCGAAAATATAACCAAGTAAATATTTTTTCTGTCCTAAAATTATAGTTCTGTTTAGTTTTTCAAATATAAATTTGGGACACAGGGACTATAAAATAAGTTGGAATTTACTGCGACAAAATAATAGTACTAGTTGGGAGGTTTAAACCAAAGTCGCAAAGCTTAGTGGGTAATTTTGAAATAAGCCAAAAAATTTCAGGTGGTTTTTTAATTTTCCGTTGTTGTGGAGTGATATCTATCAATCCTGACCGTTGAACGTGCCGTTTCTCCTCCTTCCCATCTCTTCCCCAAAGACCGATTGCCACCCGGCAAAGATTCAATCCTAGCTCCCTCCTCCGATTCCGATTGATCCATTTCGAAATTAATTCCGAAATGGGCGGACACCGCCGCCGTCAAAAGCGTTTTCTTGATCGTTCTTCCTGCTCCTCTTCGCTAAATTTTGTAACGATGATGCTAGTATTATGTTTCTTATTGTTTTTTTGGACTGGGATTTGCCTGGCTGACGGAAAACAACCTAATGCCACTCATCATCACTCTTCGTTTACCCCTATCAACCACGATCTTTATCACACCAGGTAAAATTTCTTTTTGTTTCATTCGTTTGACTATTATGTGGCTCAAATGTGAAAAGAAATCTTCTAGGCTTTTATGATCCTCTTTAAATTTATGGAGATTTTTTTTTTTTCCCCTTTCTGATTTTGTTTGTAGCATTTAAGTTCTGTTTATGCCCTTTTTAAAAAAGGAAAAAAAAAGTCCTGTTTATGGTCAAATTCAGGAATATCTCTGTTTTGGGGTGAAATTAAAGTGGTGAAGGTCTGTTCAGTTGGAATGTTTAAATGATTTTATCTCCAAGGTTCTGGTCGGGATTTTTTTCTTTCTTTCTGATGCGTGTTTTTATGGCATTGAAGTTTTGCAGACCTGGTTAGAAATGAGTTTTGTGTTTTGATTGATGGAGAGATATAGTAATCCTTATTGTTGTTGCCGAGCTTTTAATATGTTGCCACTAGTCTTATTAATTTGCTTTCTCCTCTGTTCTCTGTGTGGTGAACACCCGCAATGCAGTGGGGCTTTGCTGGAAGAAATTGAAGGCTTAGTGGATCGCCATCCGGATAAATTATCGGTCGGTTGGTTTCCTCATTTGTATTGGGCTATTGATCAATTCCTTTCCAGCTTATCCTCTCATTTCTCATGATTTTGTAACTTTATTGTTTGACATAAATTAATGTTGTAATGAGTAGATTGAGACGATATCGAGTAAAAATAAGGGGTACCAAGCTAAGATGAACGTGGTCACTTATTGTCGTGAAAAGAAAGAATGCGATGGCAAGTCGAAACTCAGAATCCTTCTTGTAAGATTTCTTTGCTAAGTCTAATTGTGATAATGCAATCGGTGTTTTTTTCTGAATAAGCAGGCGTTGTAGCGTGCATCTTGTTCAAGTAGCTTTTAGGTCAAATATTTATTGCAATGTATAGAAAGTTAGAAACTGTTGCTAGGAAGGAGTGGCATACTGAGCGTGAAATAAAACAAAACCTCAAACTCCCTCCTAAAAGAATTTGTAGAAAAAGAACATTTGAGAATGTTACAGGAAGCAAAAAAACATTTACAAGAGACTATTAAGGTTATTGACTCCTCAGCCATGTCTTCTCATGTAGCTTATCTATCTGTTAATAGTTTGTAGAAAATCTCAGATTTGTCATTGCTGCTGTTTTGACAGATGATTACTTGTATTGCCAGAGTTTTGGCCAGCATGGAAGGGAGCTCATTACCTCCGAACTTGCATTACGGATCCTTTCTATATTAAGTGAAGAAGAGTTTTTACCTAACACAGACAGAAGGTCACTAAATAACACACTTGATAAGCTTGTTATAAAGGTAAACTTTGGTTTTCCAGCACTCCTATGTAAAATCCAAGATTACATGTTTATACTGTCATCTGTATGCTTTTTTATTATATTTCCTATCTATGGTACCTTTTTTCTTTTTTGGGATTGAATTTGCCTTTTCTAAATCTTACTGCACGATCGTCTGCCAGGTTGTACCAATGGAAAATATAAATGGCCGCAGACTTGTTGAATCGGGGGAGTTTTGTGAGAGAAGAAATGGTTGTTTATCAGACTGTCAAACCGTGTCCTTAATTGTTGCATTTAAAAGTACAAAGGTACTAAACAAATTCTACTTTTTTTGGCAGGAAGAGGGGTCGATTTAAATCGAAATTGGAGTGTAGATTGGGGAAAAAAAGAGAAGGTTTGTTTTCTTTCCTATCACAATATATTCACTTATATATACTCATGCTTCTTCCTCACTGTCCATTTTTCCACATGCTAAATGTCCAATTCTGCACATACTATAATTCTCCTCGACTTTTTAAAGACACAATTCCCCATACGAGATTCATCAATGCTTCTCTTTGTTCAGGACTATGATCCATACGAAGAAAATCCTGGGACTGCCCCTTTCAGTGAGCCTGAGACTCAAGTTATGAGGAAACTATCCATGTCTTTTGAGCCACATATATGGGTTAATGTGCATTCAGGAATGGAAGTAAGCCCTTATTCATTAATTCGGTGTTTCTGTTTCCCCGAGTGTACATTCAGATTGGACTATGATCACTGTATCTGCTGTATTGTTTTGCAAATAAGTTTGTTGTGCAGTTGACTTATATGCTAGTGCGTATCTAGGCGTTGTTTATGCCCTACGACCACAAAAATACAACACCGGAGGGAGCCCCTTCTCAGAGAATGAGATCAATACTTGAAAAGTTGAATCATCTGCACTTGGGAGATCGATGCTTGATTGGATCTGGTGGAGGCTCTGTCGGGTTTGTATCAGCATTGCATTGATGTTATGCAATGATAATATTAATGTCATCATAATTTTCTTTTCTAGAGGCTTAACATAGTTCGGTTCCTATGTGTTCAGGTATCTTGCACATGGTACTGCAACTGATTACATGTACGATGTCGTGAGAGTTCCAATGGCTTTCACTTTTGAGGTTTGGTCTATTTTCTGGCAATCCATCCAAAATTTTAGCTGTCTATTATCATTTTCTTGAATGCACTACAATTTGTGCTTTTCTGCAGATATATGGAGATACTGCAGCCTCCTCAAAGGATTGTTTCAAAATGTTCAATCCCATGGACATCACCACCTTCAATGTAAGTTAGTTTTGATGTGACAGATTAATAAAGTGATCCAAGATTCATACTTTATTAGCATATAAATCAGTGGTTAATGCCCCCGCAAATTGTCAAGATTTCGAACACATATCAACACTGTTGGTATTTTGAATTTTCAGAAAGTTCTCAATGACTGGTCGGCCGCTTTCTTCGCGATGTTCAGATTGGGTGCTCTGCAGGTGGAGGATGGACTACTGCATCCGGGCGGGGTTGCCGCTGGGTCAAGTATGAATAAATGGATATCCATAGATGATTATCTGAATGGTTATTTGATGGAAAGGAGGAATAGATATGGGAAGAAAATGGAAGTGCTTGACCTAGGAATGCAGGAGATTAGGACGTATTTCCGATTGTTTATGTTATCGTCAGTCCTTTTGATGTTCATGTTTTGTTCTAGGATCTCAAAGAAGAACACTAGACCTATTGTTACAGCTATTTCCTTATAGTTTGATTGATTTGATTATATATTTGCCCCCTCTGTTTTAGACAAGTGAGGGAGTGTGGGATAGAGATGTATACCCCTTGGTTTGTACTTGTAATCCACGTGTAGTTAGGACCAATTGAAATAGAATTTTGCACGGTGTACGCGAGTGAAATGATCTTTGTAATGTTCTACATATTGTTCATAGACTACACAGTTTTTTTTTTTTTTTTGGACAAAATAGACTACACAACCTTTTGCCATAAGTTACTTCATTCAATAATGATGGAAAATACTACATGAATATTAAATGTCAGCACTAATATTCATTTGCACCTTGCTTTTAATTAAGAACAATCTCGATACCACAGTTGCGTCTACACCCTACAGAGATTGCGAGTTAAATTTTCCGGAACTGCACAAATATAACAAACTAGCCCTTTTTATCCCAAAAGATTTACTCTACATACTCTCACTAGTTCCCCAATATTAGTCCACTTTGTTGAACCACTACAAAACAACACAAAATGGCCAATCAAAGTGCGACGAAGTTGAGTAATACTCTTGAAACTTCAAACAATAATAATAACCAACTTGAAACAGCCAGTAGTAAATTAATCTGAAAACACGGATTGAATCAGACAGAAATATGAACAAATAAAAATCCTCTTATATTCTTCATTCAGATGTTAGCATCCTTTTGGTATTGGCAAAGTAGAAAAGATCTCACAAATTTATTGTGTATACAAAAGCATATAAACCTGTAATCTAGCTGACTATACATAATAAAGAATTAACTAACTCAGAACGTAAGTGGATCAGAATGCCTAGATTTCATGTCCTTTCGTCATAAAACCTGATCTGTTCGGGAGTGCTCCTGTTCAACCCAGTTATGATACTATGTTTCAGACTTGATCCTATATCAGGATAGGCCAGGATTGTTCCATCACATAATCAACCTGCACGAAGAAAATAATTAGCACATGTAGACAAAGAGGGAAGAAAAGAATCACCATTTCATGATCTCACTGTAGTAGTAGTAATGGAACCAATAAACACAAAACTTTGCACACAAGTTCAAAATGGAATCTCAAGATAGCCCCTTCAAGACAAGTTTTTATGTTTGTAAGTTCATACAATTCGGAAGGTGCTATGGATTCCAACTTACCATTTTAAGGTTTGCACCAATCAGCAGCATCAGATGGACCGATACAAGCACATCGCCTTTGATTTACTTTGGTTGCAGAGGGTTAATATTTACTGACACAGTTAATGACGCCAATTACAATTTCAGTGAAGATTTCATGTATCGCAGTGCAGATCGTAACATTGCTCTGGCTTTCCTATCTGGAGTGCATCCAGACGATAGCATTTCTTCATAAACAGCTGGAACCTAAAACAACAATCGTGGTATAAAGTTTTTGAATACAGAAAAGATAGAATATTTGTAACAGAACTACAATTACATTATATGTAACTCGCTACCATGATGCAGGGGTCTAACAATTACAATGAAAGCCCATCTATGCACAAAACATCCATCCACCACCACTTATAAGGACTTCAATACATTGAAGAAGTTTAATGGTTTAATGCCTAACCTTTTCAAATTTCTCAACACGAATGAGAGCTTTCATGAGAGTAGTATAAGTAACCACATCTGGCTTAATGTCCTGAAATCACACAGTGATACATTAAATAAAATGTGCAAACAACTAATCTGAAATAACAAAATTTAGAAAAATGATCAAACATGGAAGAACTCTTGGGGTTACGTAAACTCACATTTTCCTTCATATACTGTAGCACAGAAAAGGCTTCAGCATCTCTCCTATCCTCGCCAAATGCATTAATTAATGAATTTAGAGCCAATGAACTAGGCTTCAGACCTTCTCCTCTCATAACGCGAAATGCATTTATTGCTTGCTCGGACAATCCCTATTCAAGAAGTCACATAGTATAGCAGGTTAAGTAAAAGGGTTTGCAACTTTGACATTTTAAGTATTATAATGCATAAAATATGGTTTTGTTCTCCATCCTTTATTGACAGCAACGAGCGAAAGTATTGAAATGCATAGAAGCTTTCTAGTCCAATATGATGTAGTTAAAAACCAGAAATGTAATGGTATAAGCAGGCAAAAGAAAGAGGAAAACCATACTCTCTGAGCATAAGCATTAATCAATGCATTATACATGGTTGACGACGGCTTTAACCCCGCAGATTTCATGACCTCCAGACACTCAATTGCGTCACTAAATCGCCCTGACCGTCCATAAATGTCGACAAGTGTGGTATATGTAACAACATTTGGCAGTAAACCATGAGCTTGCATCTTTCCCAATAAATCCTTTACGTCATCCCATCTTTCCTGCTCCCCGAAGGAATGAATCATTATATTGTAAGTTGTGGTGCAGGGCAAACACCCACTTCTCTGCATAGCTTCAAACAACTCCTCAGCTTTATTATGATGGCCTTGTTTACAATGGCAATCAATGAGTGTATTCCATGTCACCGTATCTGGCTCAATCCCTTCAAGTTGCATCCTTTCAAACGTATCCATAGCGTGATCTAAACAATTATACTTCCCAAATGTATCAATCATCACATTGTAAAACTGCCTGTCAGGAGTCACCCCGCTACTTTTCATTTCCCTAAGCACCTGAAACGACCTTTGCCACTCTCCCCTATCCCGATAACTAGCCAATATCCGACTGAAAACATAACTACTAGGCTGTACATTATTCGCTTCCATTTCTTTCAAAACTATCCTAGCACTCTCCCACCTACCCGCATTGCCGTAAGCGTCGATAAGCAAACTATAAGTGAACTCATCGGGAGCTACCCCGCTGCTCTCCATCTCTGAAACAATATCCTCAGCATCCCTCAAAGCTCCTATTTTCACATAACCTTTGAGAAGGGCATTGTAAGCCCTCGTCCTCGGCCTCAATCCACCTTCTTTTATTTCCTCGAAAATCACCTCAGCCTCCTCAGTCCTGCCAAAGTTTCCCAACTGCGAGATTATGGCAACCAAAGTTGCTGTCTTGGGGCTCAATCCATTACCCTGAATCAGGGACAGGAAATACAAAGCCCTATTTACATCCCCACTTTTCGAAAAACCTACCGTCATATCATTCAAGAGCTGCCCATCAAGCTCAATTTGATTTTCCTCAATTTCGACAACAAATTTCTCTAAAAGCGCAGAATCAATGGAATTGCTTCGGATTAAAGACTGAATAATCAAACTGTAATTAACAAAATCAGATTGGTACCCGTCACCTCGCATTCGGGCCATGAGGTTGAGCGCTTTCTCCAGGTCGCCGTTTCGAGCGCACGCGCCGATGAGTGCGTTGTAAGTTAAAGGCGTCAAGCCCTGGCGCTGGGAGAGCAAAAAAGCTTCGTAGAGCTTCTCGGAGCGTCCCAAGGCGTGGATGAGAATCGCGTAGAGAAGCTCGTAGGAGAAGCAGAGGTTGTGCTTCTGAAGCCAAGTGACGAGGGCGTACGCCGTCGAGAAGGACGATGACGTGGCCGCAACATCAGCTTCTCTTTTCCCAGTGGCCAGGGATTTCAATAGGGAATGCCAAACCGGGGCGGGTACAGCCCGGTACGATTCAGCGAGCCGGAGCTCAGTCGGGTCCAGCTGAGTTGGGGACCCTCCGCTTTCGTCGCTGGTGTTGTAATTGTAATGGGTAGAGAGGAAGTGGAGGAGTGGAGAGAAGTCATAGTAGCTTTTGTTTGTGTGTTCTGCTTCTAAAAAGTCGCCCTCTTCTTCTTCTTCCTCCTCGACGACGTCGTCTTCTTGTTCGTCTGGTGAAGTTTCCAGAGGCTGCTGTTGGGTTTGGGTGGAAATGGTGACGAGTGGCTGCCGGAGAATTTCGTGGTGGTGGCGGTGGTGGTGGTGGTGGAGGTTGTGGTGGCGGAGAATTGGAGAAGTGAAACGGATAGAAGGGGAACGGAACAGGAATTGGAATTGGAAGGGAGGAGGCTGAAGTGCGGTGCTTATCATCTTCTTCTTCCGGCAACCGAATGAATCAAATTAGAGTGAGAATTACAAAGAAAGGAACTCTGTATCCTTTTGATATTTTGTTTTTTTGACTTTTTGTTTCCGTCTTTGAGGTTCTTGGATGCATCATGTTATACTCTTTGGTAATATTTTGACACGAAAGTAATCGCAGTAAAAAAACTACCGAAAATATTTTACTTTTTGGAGCATTTTCGTGAGCTTTGTCCCGATAGGTAAGATTTGTGTAATCATGCATGAATGTCTTTCGTCATTTCATAAATTGTGAAATGACTGGAATCATAGTAGAAACTTTTTTCATCCCAACACAACATTTACAAACTAAAGCTTCAGAAACTAACCCATGAGTCGTTTGACTCGCAGTAAAACATGTTCATGTTACTATTAAGAACACCACACCCTCTCCATTTTTAAAAAATAACCCAATTTTTTAAAAATTAAAATAGTAGTAGTAAACTTAGATTACTAAGATTATAGATTTGGCAAATAACCATGTTATAGCACAATACCGACTACATCTTCTTCAAACAATATTGAATTATCCTACTCGCTAGCTAGAGATGTACAAAGTCACATTATGAACTGAAAAAACATAAAGTTATTTAAGATATGTGTGAATATGATCATCAAAACTCTTACTACAAATTAGGGATCACAACCCGATTGGTGATACCATGTTGATGAATCATAAATGGAACAGATTTGAGCAACATTAAATCCCAATAATCCAAAATGAAACCCTAAGAAGAAGAACCCTAAAAAAAAAAAAAAAAAAACCACTCTAGAGACTATTGTCAGTCCATGAGAATTAGTTTTCTCTTCTTCTTGTTGACCATAAACCTGGTGTTCATGGTAAGCTTGAGCCTCATATTCAGCAAGGATTCCACCTTCTTCTCATCACCCGCCATCCTCACCAGTTGCTGTGCCCGGGTTCCGTAGTCACCCAATTGGGTCGGCACCGGAATCTTCACCCGACCCACCACATTCACCCCGGTCGACGACGACGACGCGTTCCGCCCATCACCACCACCACCACTACTACTACTCCGCCGCCGCAAAACCTCAATAAACAACCAGATTTCCTCCTTCCCGGTGGGAAGCTCTTCAAGCTCGATGTGGACCGCCTCTTTCCAAACCGGCCCCACCTTCCCCTCCGTCTGGACTTCCTTAGTACTGAATTGCCTCTGGTCCATGCTCTCGGTGACGCAAACCTGGTACCATGCTGACCTGTTCTTGAATGGGCCCCTCTGACGGTCAATGTCCCTGGCCGCGTAGACCTCCAGCGTCAGCACGTAGTAATTTCGTTTCACCAATTCTTCTTCTTCCAAATTTGTTGCTGGAATATCATTGTTATTAGAGCCGTTCAAGTTCATGATTCCATCGTTATTCCGACTCCGCCGTCGGCAATATGGTAGTAGTGAGGAACCACCACCTCGACTCCGCCGCGGCCCTCTTTCTTCGCGGTCATCTTCTTCCCGTTCATCATCGTGATCGCCACGGTGGTTTTCGATCATTCTGCCTGCCGTTTTATAAGGGATATAATAATATACAAGACTGGAGTAAGGATGGTACTTAATTGCTATGTATATATATATATAGATATATATACGTACATAAATGGTAGTACATTTGTACTTAGAAGAAGTTGGATGAATTCGGACTCCTTGTTTGGGGGGGTTAAGATTTCGACTGTAATTACGAATCTCCCATAATAATAAAATTAAATTAAATAAAAAGGGAATCTTCCATATTTCATGGAAGAAGAAGATAAATACGAAAATGGCTCCTTTTTTTGAGGAGGTGTGAAAAAAGGTATCCTAATTTATATAACTTTCATCGTCATTCATTAGTTTACTTGGTGACTTTTGGATAGCGAAGAAAAAAGAAGGGAATTTGTAGAGTTGCTACTCTTTCAGAGTTCTTCTGGCTTACTCATCTAACTTCAAGATGTATCAATACATTAGTGATGGTGTATCTATCTGTTTTCAGATTCCTGGATTTGTTAGCATTAGTTTTCCAAAAATCCACTGTACTCAAAACTAAAGCAGCTTACTAAAAGCAAGTGTTTCATCTGTCAAAGTTCATAATCTTTCCTTGCATTTCAGCTTTAGTCCACAATAGGGATTCGAATATGATAATTCCATTTTCTATCTTTTGGTTTAAGTTGTTCACTTAGGAGAATGAGGTGGATTATTGAGCAGATGCCCATATCCGTTTAAGAGGAATTGTAAAACAGCAAGGCGCGATTTTGACGGAATTGTGAACTCTGGTGGTGAGAGAATTTGTTGATTAGGGTTTGGGAGAAAGAAGAAATGTGAGACAAGGGAAGCAATAATAAATGAGTGTTAGTATTATTTTATGAGAATTATAAAGCTTTTATCCTTTCCAAATTTGAAGGTCATAGCATCAATTGTAATCGGATTCTACCTTCTTGCTAATATATATCTTCCAAAATTAGTGGCAGCTCTCAAATTATTGATCAACTGGGTAAAAAGAAAAATCTTTCGATTAATTTTTTTAGCAAAGGGATTGGCTACAATTTCATGTTTTTGCTAAGCTCTCCACAGTTGGTTTCATATCTTACCCTGGTGGTTGGAGATTATTATGATGCTATCCTTTTAATGCTTCATATCTAGTCGGTGCTCAGATTTTCGAATGCAAATTACCAATTTTCTTTTCTTTTCTCGTTTCTGCAAAGTAATTTTTTTCTTTTATTTTTTTGGTTGATGCTTTTATTTATTTATTATTATTTGGTTATTCACTAACTATCCTAACAACGCCAAATTTCATATACTATGAAACATAACTCTTTTCTTTCGCTCTTTCTTTCTTTTTTTTTTCTTTTTTGGTTCAAGGACTTCAAGAATTAATTTTTTCTTTAACATTTAGGAACAAAAACAATTGGCTTTACCAGACATGACAGGGAAGATGCAGCGAGTTTTACAGAATTCAACTTAAAAACTACCATCTGAGTCAGATTTGCGATGTATTTCACTGTGCTATTAGATTTGGTGAAGAAGGATTCAGTTATAGTTGCTGGATCTTTCTTTTTCCTTGGAAAGTTGAGTTGTATGTTTTTTTTGATATTTGGTGATGATGGATTAAAATTAAATTTATCAAACAAGAAATACTTTGTGTGTTTGGGGTTTAAAATGAGATAGTTAACCAAAGATTTAAATTGCTCTAATAGAGATTAAGATTCCTACATAGATGGGACCGAAATACCGACAATAAATCAAAAGATTTACGGATGATTGCGGTGAGACGGTTAGTTAAAAATTTAAAATTACTTTAATAATAACTGTTACATCTCAGTAAGTCAAAAATTTAAAATTACTTTAATAATAACTGTTACATCTCAGTATTTGCGAGTAAGATATGTCAATGAGCAATATATATAATGAATCAAAATATTTGGTGCTACACTACCAATAACTGAGGCGTCTAAAGGGGTGGGACAATTAAGAAAATTTAACAAGACTAAGACGTTTTGACGGGTGTGATAGATTAAACGAGTGAGCACTTGGCCTATACACCTTAATGGGTAACACTAAGATGGTTTAACGTGTAGGAGAATTGGCCATCAAATTTAAGATTCTTCCATGCATATTGGTGATTATGACGTCAACGGGTAAAACTAAGGTACCTTAAAGAGTTAAGAGTGGGTTGGATAGCTGACTAAAGCAGTTCAGCATATGGGACTAAGACAATACAACACGTGAGATAGCGTCAACGGGTAGTACTAAGGCATTTTAACTCGTGAGATAGTTCCTTCCGCTTAGCCCTAACTCCTTTGCTTTGATTTGTTTCAACATCTCAACATTATATGTTAGGTTAGATATACATTGTTCTATCTCGAGTTACATCACGAAAATGACTTCAAATTTTAATATGTGGTAAAGATAGAAATGAATAACAAGATGATCAATATATTATGCAAAGAACTACTGCAAAGATCTTTAATTGATCAGTTTGTTTTTAATGTTGTCAAACTTTGTTTTTCAGTTCTTGACAAATTGTTTTCTCTACATTTTCTTTTTGCCCTGTCCATGGGACGGGTTTAATATCTTAAAATTAAATAAAAAGAAATCTTCCATATATCATGGAAGCACAGACATAGATAAATACAAAAATATTGCTCCGTTTTTTAAGGAGGTGTGAAAAAAAGTATCCTAATTAAATTTCATCGTCATTCATTAGTTTAGTTGGTGACTTTTGGATAGCCAAAAAAAAAAAAAAAAACGGAATTTGTAGAGTTGCCCACTCTGTAAGATTTCTACTGACTTACTCATATAACTTCAAAATGTATAAAGAAATTCCTCGTAGTTCTATTTGTTTTCATTTTCCTCGTCTATAATTTGAGGACTATATATTCGGAAAGCCGTTGGCTTATTTTCTCTACTGTAATATTGTCAGAACTATTACATGTGAATGAAGCAGAATGCTTAGGTTATTGTGGGAATAAACCGGTCATATACCCAAAATTATGTAATCTAAGGTGGAAGCCGGGGAGGTGAGACAAGATGTCCCTTCCCGGCGGAATTGACAAAATTAATAAATATAGTCACACTGAGTAACCGAAACCAAGCTAGCTATTGCTATTTTGTTGTCTTGAGCAGTTGTTTCTACGATACGATTTTCAGCACTGATTTTCTGTGGCAACTTCCTCCGACACTTCTTATTGCATCATTCAATAACTTTGTATAAATTTTGTCATTTAAAATCACTTTTAAATTTATACATTTAGAAGTAACGGTTCACTTTAATCAAAACAGACAAATTTCATTAAGGATAAAACATTAATACAAAACTAAAATAACTTTATGAAAATAATCTATATTGACAAAAAATATTTATATGATTTATGAAAGAGAATTAAATTGTGCAACAAATAGTGTTATAGAAAAGTGGCTCGGATTTTTCACCTCCTTAAAAATCGTAATTACTCTGTTTTAAAGGTCTGCTAAAATTTATAACATATTGGGCCGTTAAACATGGAGTTTAAAGCCTCAAAGCTACATGGGGGCAGTCCATTCCATCCTCAATTCCTTTCCACTTCTTTTATGGGTTTTTCTTTCTTGAAAGGAAGAAGAATTGGGGACGGGACAATGTGGTCTTTTAATAAGTGAAAACTAATTAATAACGTTTTATTAAAAAATAAATGTAATCAATGCCCTTCATAATAAATATGAATTTTTCAATTCTCTTAATAGAAATTCTCTCTCTTTTTTTAATATACCAAAATATCTATAATTTCACAAACACCGTATATAAAAAAAAACAAAATGTAATACACTAAAATTATAAACGTAATTAACAAAACTCACCTTTTTCATATTTTCTTCAATGCTTAAAAATGAGGCAAATTACTCCGGAAAAACTTAAAAATCAAAACTATCCAATTATCGAAATGGACAGGCGTTTCTTCAAAGTTTTCTTCTTTTTTTTTTTTTTCTTACTTTAAGTTTTTGTTTTTTTGGGTATTTAGAATGTGAAGAATAGATTAAAAAATTATTGAGAGGAAATGAATTTTAGCGTGGTGGAAAGGCTTTTTTTTTTTTTTGGAAAGGCTTCTTTTAGTGAATATATCGGCGTAAAATTAATGGTTCTAACCTCTAAAACCGAAAATAGAGATTGAAAATTTGAAATATTGAGAAAGTTTTTCTCAAAACACCTTCATTCTTGAGAACTCAAAGTCTCAAACCGACCTAATTGACAAAAATAATTAATTGTTATAAATATTTAATGTGGATGCCCATAAGTTAAAAGAGTTATACAATAAATCAACTATTTAGAGATAATATTTAGTTAGCTAGATCTTATCATTCGTTGATATTATCCTTATATCTATTTTGTCTATAAAAAGAGATCATTCTCCACAAAATAAGATACATATGAATTCTCTCTTCTCTTTCTTGTTCTCGTCCTACTTGTGCTTTCTCTACAGTTCCATATCTCTTATTGTTTTGATTTATTTTATAACATGTTATCAGCACGACTCTCTATCCAACTGAAAAGATCTTAATCTGTAGATCAAGATGTGTGGTAAGTTAATTTTGATCTAACTGGGAAGATTTTAATCCGTAGATCTGGAAGTGCGGTAAGTTGATTTTGATCCATAGAGCAAGAAGTGCGGTAAGATTTTTCTTGTCTTATCGTTCTATAGGAAAATCTTACAATACGGGAATTTATTATTTATCTGTAATACTAATTTACTTCTGTTGTATTAATTTTAAGATACAATTAAGTGCTCCTGTAGTAGCCTTTTATGTTATAAACTTTTCGTGTATTGAATTTACTTAATTAGTAGCAATTTCATGAAAAGATTCAAAGAAATTTTCTTCACTTCCCGAAGTAAGTGAATTTGAATAAATTAGAATATCATAGTCATATAGATTGGCCACCTGAAGTGGCAAATATGAATAAAGATAAACGATATAAAAGTTATATTGATATGAGAAAAGAAAAAAAAAAGAATTGCTCTTGGAGTAGCAGTTCATTATATTTTTATTAAATGCATCATTATGATTGTGTTTAAAGAAATCACAATACTCTCTGATTTGAGAATTTTCACTTCCTGAAGCAAGTGGACAACTACGTCATTTATGAGTCAAATTATGATAATGGATATACTATAATACGGTAACCACGTATAAAAATAATATTTTCACCTGAAGTGGAAGATTATTAACAAGAACAATAAGAAAATTGCTCATGAAGTAACTATATAATTCTTATTAGTATTGAACAAACTATTGAGTTTTATTGCAAATAATATTATACTCGTGGAAGTTAGACGACTGCATCTCTTGAAGTAAATGCAATTATCATGAAATTTAAAAGCAGCAAACTGAAATCCCAAATATAATTAGGATTTGGTAATGATACAAAAAAATTTTCTAATCACCAGAAGTGAGAAATTTTGATAAAAAAAAAAAATAAACCTCCAGAAGTTGGAAACATATAGAGAGTAAAAGGTAAAAGATAGCAAGTACTATTTATTGTGGTATAAAATAAAATAAAAAAATCACTAATCATGTTTCTATTTGTAGGAAGAACATATTATTACTCTCTGTCAAGAATCAGAAAGGCATTTATGTTAACCATAATATTAACAATATTATTGTGGATGTTTAAAATGATCACCCAGAAGGTGTGTTACTTATATGTTCAAAATGAAAGCATCCAGTGGCAGTTTATTTTATATTTTAACTTGAGTAGTTTTTTTTATTTAATGTTTTACTATTTCTTGTAATTTTATGAATATAAGAAATTTCAATGTTTTGCTAGAAAAAATTTAATTAAATGCTCCCGTAGAGCATATGTTAATTTCTCCACAAAGTTGGACAAGAAGCTCCAGAAAAGCAGAATTTATCATTGCAAAGTACAATAACTTGTATGTTCTCTAATTATGGGAAATATGTAATTGAATTCTTCCATAAAGTTGGATGAAATCTCTCGCAGAGAATCAATTACTAAATATATCTTAACAAGACTATATGCATGCTCCTGCAGAGTAAGAATATTTTGACATAATCAAAATAACTGAATAAACAAATACTCCTGAAGAGTATACATGCTCCATCAGATTAAATGCTCCCGTGAATAAGAATTAATTCGACACAATTAAAATAAATCTATTATTATCTCCTGAAGAGAACTTGTACATTTTGCTCTAGAAGAATAGATGATATATGCTAGAGCAAGTAAAATTTTGCAATGATGTCAAATGAATTGGATAAAAGTTTTTCGAATGTCAAAAAATGCCATCATATACTTTTACGTTAAAGAATACAATTTTCAGAAGAAACTTGTTTTAAGGTTTGAATTCTTTGTGTTAAAATATTATACATATATTCCTAACATTGGGTTTTATAGTAAACCGGAAGTTTACTAAGGAACCAGAAGTTCACTTCTCGTACCAACAAGTCAAACCAAAAGTTTGTGAATTATATTGACTTAGTTTTTGAGAAAACTGGTTTACCATCCCAGTTTTATTACGATCTATAAAGGGTAAAAAAAATTTGCGACTACTATAAAGAGCCAGAAGATTCTTCTATATGATGACTTTGTATATGCTTTTGTATTCGTATGAAGTGATTACTACACTATTACCAGAAAAATTTAGGCTAAATATTTGGCGCAATACAAAGCATACATAATAAAGCCTGTGAGTTTATTCTCCCATGTTGTAAAACTATTTAATAATTAGGTTATTAATTGGTGTACTTACGAGATAGCCACATGTATGCTTATTATTAACTTGCAAACCTGAAGTTTGTGAATTTCTTACAGAGTTAAAGTGAACTGCGTATTTACATATTCTTCTATCATGAGAATGAAATATCAGAATAAATATGAAACAATCCTGCAGAATCGTTCGCTAAATGTGTTCAAATAATTAAAAATCATTACGTAAAAGAAGCAAATACCTCATATACAATTGAGGATGTTTTGAAACACAAAAGGCAAAAAATGATATACATAAGACTAAATGGGTCTTTATAAATATTCTCTCAAACGTTGGTTTTCAGTCAAAAACCATATCTATCCATATTCAAATTTTAAATGTGCAGTTTATATTAATTGTTCCACCAGAATGCACAAAAAGATGGAACCTCCAGAAGAAGTTAAAAGTATATGATGAATTTTGAAACTCCAACCTTTGGGGTTATTGATGTTGGGTTTTACTATTCGTTTGACTTATTGTGTGTTTGACGAGTTAGTTACTCCAAAGGGAGATCTTTTTGCTACTCGATTGACTGACAATCAGTTTGACGAATTAGTTATCCCAACATCAGGGGGAGAAGTGAAAACAGCTGATTAATAAATTAAATGGACGATATCATTATCTCATTAGATCCTTGAAAGCATGAACCTGAAGTTCAAGAGATAATGTTTAAAGACCAGATATTTGTATGACTAAAATGTGTGATTATATTACATGCAAAAGGCTGTTAATGTTTTGATGTTACATCCCTGAAGAATCATCTACCACTATTGTTTAATTTAATGTTCATTTGATAAGTGGTAGAATATTGATCCGAATGATAAGAATTCTCGTAAATTATAAAGTTTAAATCTATTGAGATGAAAAATACGAGTGATTAAAGGGTTTTCCAATACTGTGAAAATAAACTTCCAGAAGAAGAACAAGAATATTTAGAAAATTTAGTAATTGTAAGATCTCATTACTAAAAGAAAGATGACATTGATTGGCAATAAAATGTCGACATGAAATTTTACTTATACTGCAGTTGTTAGTAATATGAACGAAAATGAGGATTATGAAATAAAAGTTTGTTGTGAGTGCAGATATTAAACTTATTGCCATAATAAATGAAAAGACTCAATACACACACCTGAAGATGTGTAGGTACAATGAAATTGCTTGAAAAACTAGAAGTTTTGATAATTAATATACCGGCTTAATATTATTGGATAATTGTGCAAAAGATAGAGCGCAACCTACTTGTTGCACAAGGTTTTTCAAAGTCCGGATATTAATCATGAAGAGATATATTCTCTTGTGGTGGATGAAAAAAATTCTTCTGTTATTTTCTACATCTGGCTGCAATGAAGACATAAAAATGCGTTTATTGGAAATAGTGATCACTTGAAACTTGAAATTTGATACTTAAGATTTTGATAATGACGTCTATGTGAAATCCCCGAAAAATTCAATAAAGGACATGGTTCCGATTCTTGATAAATTAATTCGAAAGACTTGCACAAGTACGAGTGTCTTCATGCTTTTAGACAAATGTAGGTGCATATTTTTTGAATGTTTGCATTATGCACTCGTCTTTATATTTGTTTTATGAGAATATATTATGTTTCGTGGTTTGTGATTGCTATATGTCTATATGATCATATTTATATGATATTGATATGTGTTCATTACATTTGTGTTTAGAACACAATTAACACTAAACTCTTGAAAAGTCTGAAAAAGACTGAATATTATCAAAACTTATTATGAAGTTCGAATAGCCTCAAAAGCAATATAACTCCTGAAGAGTTCATCGTAGTTATTAAAACTTCAAAAGAAGTTCAAACGGTTGCTACTTGTCTGAAGTAAAAAAAAATGAAATATTTTGTGTAGAATCTCGGTCTTAGTTTGACCTTAGTATATATATTTAACTCCTGTTGAGCATACTTAATTAAAGTCTTGATATGCGTATAGATCCTTTGTAGACCTTCTAATAATGATGTAAACCGATTTGGTAATGAAGTACCATATTATAAAGTATCGGTTTATTTTATCAATTACTGAAGATATTGAAATATTACAAATATTGATACATTTGAGGTACAATGGTTATGGATCTCTGTTATTTTGAATCACTCAAGATTAAACATGACATATGAAGATCATCGTCTGCATGAGAAGTTGAAGTGACCGTGTAGCAAATTTATCTACTATGAATTTCAACATCAGTGAAATTAGCCAACATCTTAGCATGCGACGAGAAGATTACAAGTGATATACTCAATAGGGGGAGTAACCCCACGCTGTACTCTTTTTCCCTTGATCGAGGTTTTGTCCCAATGAGTTTTCCTGACAAGATTTTTAACGATGCAGCGTCATATTCGGGAATGTACTCTTTTTCTTTTATTAAATTTTTATTCCACTGGGTTTTTTTTCTAGTAAAAGTTTTAACGAGGCATTATCCCAAGGAATGGACATCCAGGGGGAGTGTTATAAATATTTAATGTGGATGTCCACAAATTAAAAGAGTTATACAAAGAATCAACTATTTAGAAATAATATTTAGTTAGCTAAATCTTATCATTATTTGATTTTATCCTTATATCTTTTTTTAAATATTCTTATATCTATTAATTTTGTCTATAAAAGGAAATCATTTTCCACAAAATAAGACACAGATGAATTCTCTCTTCTTTCTCTTGTTCTCGTCCTACTTGTTCTTTCCTTACATTTCCATATCTCTTATTCTTTTGATTTATTTTATAACTTTAATAATATTTTCTTGTACAAATTCAAGTAATTTTTCTGATGTTTTAGGCTTACACATGAAATTTACAGAAGAAAAGCAATTATTTTTCTGAAAATAAAAATTATAAAGCTGCCCCTCTCATAATTTCTGGATAGAATTAAAAACACGTAGAAGCAATCCAAACAACTCTTTGATTTTATGGCTTCCATTGAAGCACAAAATCAACTTTGAAAAATCTTCTTCTTTCTCCTTAAATTTCCAATCTCTCTTCACACTTTCGAGAAGAACTGTTTTACGGTCAATTCATTTCGTCCAGACCGGAGAAAAGAAAATCTCCCAAACCATCCCCAATAGAATAAAAATCCCATCTTTTCCACTGAAACATAACTGTAATTGAAACTTTCTTCACCAAAATTCTATCCATGGCTTCCACAGCCAACCATGTACTATCCTCCAACTTCTTCGGCTCCCAAGTCTTCCTCTCCCCTCCAACTCCCAAGACTACTACTAAATTTCTTCCCAAATCAATTCTTGGAAAGAAAGATAACTCATCACAATCACTGTCCTTGAAGGATATTCCATCAAAGGCCGCATTAGCTGCTTTACTGTTTTCCTCAATCACCCCACAAGCTTTTGCTGTAGATGCACCACCGAACCCACCTCCAGTAATTGAAGCTGAAGCCCAACAAAAATTGAATCTTCCGGGTTCCTCATCTCCTTTTGCCCAAAATCTTTTATTGACTGCTCCGAAGCCACAGCAGAATTCTTCTTCTGACCTCCCGGATGGCTCTCAATGGAGGTACAGCGAATTCTTGAATGCGGTCAAGAAGGGGAAAGTGGAGAGGGTTAGGTTCAGCAAAGACGGGAGTGCCCTTCAGCTTACAGCCGTCGACGGACGGAGAGCCACCGTGATTGTTCCCAACGACCCGGATTTAATTGACATCCTGGCGATGAACGGAGTCGATATTTCGGTTTCTGAGGGTGATTCCGGAAATGGGTTGTTCAATTTTATTGGGAATTTGCTTTTCCCTTTCCTAGCTTTCGCCGGGCTGTTCTTCCTTTTCCGGCGGGCTCAGGGCGGGCCTGGAGGTCCTGGGGGGCTTGGTGGGCCTATGGATTTTGGAAGGTCCAAGTCTAAATTCCAGGAGGTTCCCGAAACCGGTGTGACCTTCGCTGACGTAGCCGGAGCTGATCAGGCCAAATTGGAGCTCCAGGAAGTTGTGGATTTTCTCAAGAACCCGGATAAGTACACTGCACTGGGTGCAAAGATCCCAAAAGGGTGTCTTTTGGTTGGTCCTCCGGGTACCGGGAAGACCCTTTTGGCTAGAGCGGTTGCTGGGGAAGCTGGAGTGCCATTCTTTTCATGCGCAGCTTCTGAGTTTGTGGAGTTATTTGTGGGTGTGGGAGCATCACGAGTCAGGGATTTGTTTGAGAAGGCTAAGTCTAAGGCACCTTGCATTGTGTTCATTGACGAGATTGATGCTGTTGGAAGGCAGAGAGGAGCAGGACTGGGAGGTGGGAATGACGAGAGAGAGCAGACCATTAATCAGCTTTTGACAGAAATGGATGGTTTTTCAGGAAATTCAGGTGTTATTGTCTTAGCAGCAACAAACAGGCCTGATGTTCTTGATGCTGCATTGTTGAGGCCTGGAAGGTTTGATCGCCAGGTTACAGTTGACCGGCCTGATGTTGCTGGCAGAGTCAAGATTCTTCAGGTTAGAGCTAGCTTGAATACTTCATTTGATTAATTTGGGACATTTGGTTCAAAGTTTGTAAAGCTCATATGGTGTCTGAATTTGGCCTTCATAGACGAACTTTACAACAGAATATGCATTTATTTTCTGCGTAATGGCCATGTTTATGAAACTGAAAGCTTGAAAGAGACTATGATTATTATGGGATTGTGGAAATAAAATTTGCCATTAGTTTGTTGGAGCTACTTAACATATTCTGGATGTTGTCTTGACTCTTGACCATTTTTCTTATTATATCTTGATATGTAAGTTTGGAACTTGTCCAACTTTGTTAGCTCTGAGAGTTTCTTTGTCACTGTCGAATTATAAGGTGCATCTCAAATTTGATTTATTGAAAGCTCGTATACAGCAAGATATGAATCTGGTTCATTTTCTTTACTTTTTCGTGCAGGTTCATTCCAGAGGGAAAGCTCTTGCAAAGGATGTAGACTTTGAAAAGATTGCCAGGAGGACACCAGGTTTTACTGGTGCCGATCTGCAGAATCTGATGAATGAAGCAGCCATTCTTGCAGCTAGACGGGACCTTAAGGAGATAAGCAAGGATGAAATTTCTGATGCTTTGGAAAGAATTATTGCTGGCCCAGAGAAGAAAAATGCTGTGGTATCTGATGAGAAGAAGAAGCTGGTTGCTTATCATGGTATGGAAGAAGTAGTTTAGTATGTTTGGCTGAAAGTTACCCCTTTTCAATATATGATAAGAGCGTAATTTTTATCCGTAAATTGCAGAGGCTGGCCATGCTCTTGTTGGAGCTCTAATGCCCGAGTATGATCCTGTTGCTAAAATCTCTATCATTCCTCGTGGCCAAGCTGGTGGTCTTACATTCTTTGCTCCAAGTGAAGAGCGGCTCGAGTCAGGACTATACAGCAGGAGCTACCTTGAGAACCAAATGGCTGTTGCTCTTGGAGGAAGGTTAGTGAGGCTTCAGTTTCAATATATTCAAGCTCTGGTAGTAATGAAGCCCATGTTATTACTGTTTGGCATTCAAGATAAGAAAAGGATTCAATGCATTATCTAGTTTCCACTTCTTATTTATTTTTATGTTTAGGGTTGGTTCTGATAACATGAATTACATCTGATCCTTTGCTTTTGTTGATGCCGCCTATGCATAACTGATTCCTGCATATTTTTAGCAAAATGATAGTGTTTAAGTAACGGATTTTTGCTTGTTCCTTTATGTCCTGCCAGTTGGAAACTGTGATATCATCTGTTCTAATCGCTCATGCTTGACCATGATGTCCAGGGTTGCCGAAGAGGTCATTTTTGGTACAGAAAATGTTACAACAGGCGCATCAAACGATTTCATGCAAGTCTCACGGGTGGCAAGACAGATGGTTGAAAGATTTGGTTTTAGCAAAAAGATTGGGCAGGTTGCCATTGGTGGCCCTGGTGGCAATCCATTCTTAGGACAACAGGTACTTATTTCCTGGCAAATTTTCTTTACATGTACGGACTGTTTTCAGTAACTGCTTGAGTTGCTAAAGAACATGTAAAATGTAATTGCAGATGTCATCCCAGAAAGATTACTCCATGGCGACTGCTGATGTGGTAGATGCTGAAGTTAGGGAACTGGTGGACAGGGCATATTCCAGGGCCACACAGATCATTACAACTCATATTGACATCCTACACAAGCTTGCTCAACTGCTTATAGAGAAAGAAACAGTTGATGGTGAGGAGTTCATGAGCCTATTTATCGATGGCAAGGCGGAATTGTATGTTGCATAAATGTAAACACAAGGAAGTGAGATTCTGATGCCCCAAAATCTGTTGTATTATAAGTTTCAAAGGTACAGCACTATATACACATTGATCTCAAATTCAACTAATTAATTATTTTGACAAAGACAGCAACCAAACATGTATCTTCTCCCTCTATATTGTACATCTTTTTAATGGTAACACAACCCCAGAACCAAATGATGATTACATAAACGACAATTTGCCAATTTCCAACGTGACAACACAATGAATTTTTAGTCATTTGCAGCAACAAAAGAATCTTGATACAAGCAGCGTAATAGCACGACAATCATCGCACACCACGTTGCTTTTTCTCTTCGAGCGTAGCAGCGTCATTCAACATGTCAGCTGCATCTTTGTGCATGTCTAGCTTGGCAAGGGCAACTGACTGCATGTAGAAAGCTGTAGACCAGTCTGCGTAGACGCATTGCGCTTGCATTGCATCTCGAAGAGCTGCATCCGGTTGATCACACATTAGATAGCAAAGGCTTCGACGGGCATAAACAGTTGGAGAGACCATGGTGCCCACATCTACAAACTGCAAATAGTATCAGGGAATAAGTGGAACATCACATAGATAAGCCAATATCTCACGCCAGAAAACTGGAATCTTAAATAAATTGTAACAAGCTATTTAGTAAGCTTTATAGAACTAATACCTGGGAGTAGCAATCTATAGCAGTCTTGAAGTCTTTATCTCGAAATGCCAAGTCCCCACGCTTCCTTGCCTCTAACATATCTCTCATTTGTTGAGTCCATTCTTGGAAAGATAACTGTGAATTCAGAGAGATAAATATCCTTGTACATAAATGTCAGGAAAAATTTGAAGTGTTCTAAACATTACACACATCAGAAAAATTACCTCGTTGGTACCCTCATCGTCTTTGTAGTGTATAGCAACCAAAAGTTGATGAATAGCAGTTAGATCCATCCGTGAGCAAGCATCCCCCATTGGTGAAAGTGGGTGCTGAGGAGTAGCTGGTGCTTCAACTTGCTTCGGAATACCAAGCATAACATGAGATGGAACCTGCAAGCAAGAGTAAACTGAGTAAATCCAAGTACCTGGAAAATATGCTCTACAACAAGTATTACTGCATACTATGACAATTCATCATCTACCAAACTCCAGCCTTGTCAGAAATGTGGAGAGAGAGAGAGAGAGAGAGAGAGAGAGAGACCATAATCTAGCCTAGTGGTCTTAGATAGTAAATCAAGGTGCTGGAAAAACACGCATTGGAGGCTTATGAAGTTATCCAAGACAGACTAATCAAAAAAAGGAGGAAACACTTGAGGAGCTGAACTCACATCTGATTTATTCTGCAGTGGAGAAAGTGTTGCAAGGAGATCTTTTGTGTTTGGACGTTCCCTAGGTTCATATTGCAAGCATTGTGAAGCAAGATCAAAAACCTTAGTGGCCTCTTCAGCTGAGAAGTTCCCCTCCAAATGTGAATCCATTAAGAGAAGTATGTTTTTGCCTCTAATCATATCAAGTGCCTAACAAATAAAAAAGAAAAAAGATAAAAATACACGCAACAGCATCTTCATTCCCAAAAAGTATAATGGAAAAAAAGAAAAAAAGAAAGATTACAAAAGTACTCAATTTCTTTCTCAGACTAAAAGAACTTAAGCTTTCAACCTTATTCTTACGAAGAACATTATACTCGAAGTCAGGATTTAGGGACACTGAACTCAAATAGACACACTACGCGTGCATCGACCGTTTAATATTAGCATCAAACTATGAGTACTAACATGCTTGAGAGAAATAAATTTAGCTATACATCCAACAAACAATTGAAGTACTCCTAAATGATGGCACCAAGGTATGAATTACTTACATGACTAGGAGGAATATGCTTCCCACTGAGCAGATCCAGAAGCACAGTTCCAAAGCTAAAAACAACACTTTCTTGGGTGACCCTACCTAAAATGATGACATTAATCAGTAATCACTGGTATCACATGAAGCAGAGCCTTCAATGTGTTGAGATTATATCATAGACAAACGACGTAGGAAGAATTCAGTTCAAAAAATGAGCTTGCGCCATTAATCAGTTTCCATAATTCAGACAAACTGCATGGACGAAAGAGATATCCCAAACATATATGGATATCAGCTAAACCTACAGTTGTAAGCTACAACTTGAAGAAAAAATAAGATGAGAAGATTCAAAAGAATCACCATTTCTTAGATACTCAGGAGGTGTATAAGCAAGATTTGTGCTGTAGCTTTTGCCATCCCGGCTGTTTTTCATCAATCCAAAACAAGAGAGCCGCGGATCACCATTCTGTCAAAGACAAACCTCAACATTAACATTTTTTCTCAACGTAAACAGGAAGCCCGACTACATAATCAGGGGTCATGCCAGAAAAGGAAGTCAGGATAAATTGAACAACACCTCATCAAAGAGAACCCTATACGCGTTCAAATCATGGTACAACGGACGACCTTCTGTACTGCAATAATCCAGTGCCTCAGCAATATATAGAGCCACTCTTAATCGCATAGCCCACTCGAGAGTTTGAGTCTCAACTGCGAAAAAGATGAGAGGACTCATAACTATAATTCTTGTGAAAGTTAAATTGGGAGCTTAACATCAGCCCTTACAAGAAGGTTGGAAGCCACAGGTACTATATCACTCAAATAGATAAACTGGGACACAAGGAACGCTAATCATACATGTGGCGGATCGCCAGCAGGAAACAGGAAACACAAACAAGGATATTCAAGCCTTTCTACCAAAAGTAGTAAATCAAAGAGTAAAACAGCGATGCCTAAAAGTCTTCCAACAAGCATACATTATGATCATCCAGGAAATGTCATCTCTTATTTTTAACAAATTGTTAGTTAGGCACGCAAAAAACAATGGAAACATTTACAAATTCCATGGAATAACAAAATAAACAAGACGATATAAGTTCACCACTAAGCACATCACAGTAAACTTCAACATAAATATGAGCATCCTACTCCAAATGTAAACTAAATCTAAGCTAAGTTGCAACATCAAGTAAGCCTTTGCCCCAAATAGGTGGCATCAGTCTGACTATATATCAATCATATTATGCCCTGGCGTTCACTCAAAACGCCCATTCTCTTAAAGTAAGCTAAGTTGTTAGAACAACAGAGAAAATCCCAATTCATCACAAGTAAAATGGAATGCAGGAATACAGTAGCTCGAGGAAAATAAACAAGAAAAAGAAATGGAAGACGAGAAAAAAAAAAATACAGTGGAAAAGATGTTTGGCAAGAGTATCATTGGGCATAAACTCAGCAACAAGTAGCCTTTCATCACCCTCGCAGCAGTATCCAATCAAATTCGCCAGCCTCTTACACCTCAATTTCCCAACACCGCGCGCTTCCTCCTAAATGTATCAAAATCAAATCTTCAGCAACAAAATAAAAAACTAGAAAAAAATCAAATTTTTTTTATGGGTGTGTTTGGGAAACAACCAAAATGAAAAACAAAACGAACCCACCTAAATAAACAAGCCCAGAAAAACAAAGAAAAAAAAAAAGAAAAAGAAAAGGATTGAAGTTGGAGAAGTACAAACCACGAACTGTTTAGGGTCAGGCCAGGCCATTTTAGTAAATTTCTTGACAGCGATCCACCGGCGGTTCTGCAACTTTCCTTTGTAGACCACATTTGGAGCTTTCTCGCCGCTCTCGGAGACAATGAAATCGGAGCTGAAGTTATTAGTGGCGGTTTTCAGCTCAGCTAGAGAGTACTCGGAGAAGCCGGGTACACCACCACCGAGTCCGGCAGCTCCACCGCCGTCGGCGGAAGCGGCGGTGCCGTTAGAGGAGCGAGGGCGGTGGGGAGGGCCACCGAAGGGGTGGTGGTGATCCTTGTCGGAACGAGGGCCTTTGGGGGGAGATGAATGGCAACACCCCATAACTCAGCTCGAGTTGACTCACTGACTTTTGCGAGACAAATTAGAAATGAATAAATATATAGTATGACTTAATATAACTCTATAAAAAAAGTCTAATTCTATTATCAACGCAAAGCAGAAAAAAAGGGGTACCCTCTCTATTATTTTATTCTATTATTACTATTATTATCTTTTTTGTCTTAATGTAAATTTAAATAGTAGTACTAAGATTATGCCTTTTTTTGGTTTTTAGTTATTTCCACAAAATAAAAAAAAAAAGAAGATAGTTATTTTGAGGAGAAAATACAAGTAGGACACTGATTGGTGTTATACTGTTATTACAGCTCGGGGAATCCGACAGGTTTTGTTCGTGCGGGTTGAAAAGATTAAGGTAAAGAGAGAGAGAGAGAGTTGGGGAAATGGCCCAATTTATTGCGGACCTTAAACTTAAGGTTGTTTTTTTTTTGGAAAATTTACCTTCAATAGTCGGAGCCAAGAAATTAATATAGGGATGTAAAGTTTAGGAAAAAAAATTGCTAATGTCCCGGAAATCAAGGTAGAGGTGCAAAAGATTATATAAACATAGTTTTTCATTAAAATTTAAGATGTACAACTAATTCCTGTACAAAAATTTGAGGAGGTTCGACTACACTTTCCGTCCTTCCAAGTTCTGCCGCTGCCATCAATTACACTGGAAATTACAATTAAGAGAAGCATATGAAGAGTTTTTTTCCTTTGTATAAAAATTTTAGATCTAATTTGTTTCGAAAAAATGCCCAATGGTATAATATTATTTTTTAAAAAATAAAGGAAGACGAGTAATATGTAATGATACGGTATTTTGTTTCTTTTTCTTTTTAATAGGGATCGACTTGAGTTTAAATAGTATAAAATGTACAAAATGTTTTTTTTTTTTTTCTAAATAAGTGATTTTGAATTGAACTATGTGTTTGTGGGTGGATTGTGGATAAACACATTGTAGATTGAGAGTAGTTTTGCATATTACAAGTAAAATCTTCGTAACAACTTATAATATAGTTTTACAGTGTTTTAATAGTAGGACGAGCAGTTTAAATATGGTACTATAAAAGTTTGTTTATACACGTCGAATGTGAGTCGATATCTATCTCTCTAGATTTTATTTAGGATTCAAATGGTTGACCACATATAACATATTGATGGAAGAAGATAGTAGATTTACATCCATTTTTCCATTCACACGAATCCGATAATGATCCTATAATAGTAATATATATGTAGTTTACCGGTTTACTTTACCCTGGATCTGACCCTATTCTTTAACGTGTGCGCATAAGGCTGTCCGAAGCAAGAGCACAAAGACAGGACGAGGTCCAAATGTGGATAGAAGAAGTCTGAAGTCAGCCAAGTTTCTGTCATTTTCAAGTCTCTTCTTAGTTTGTTCATACCTTGTTTTCTTAAGACTAATTAATTGTCTCTTTATTGTCAATTCTTGATGCGTTATTTCGGCATTTTAATCCCATGACGATCGTTTCTGCTAAGATTTGACTTCTTTTTTTTTTTTTTTTCATTGCATTGTGATGCAAGTAGTTGATACCCACAATCACCTCATCATTATTTTAGCCAGTATAACATAAATTGATTGTGTCTTATTTAATTAATTTAGCGCTAACTCGGCCCTCTTAAGCTGATAATGATGTTCGAAACAGCACACAAAAATATTCCCTCCGATCCTAATTATAAAGCACTAATTTTAGTGTTATTTTGTGTTTTATAATTAGGACTATAAGAACTATAATTTAGACTTTGAAGTTGTTGATGATACGGTTACGTATCTATTTTGAGAATAAAATTAATATCTAAATGTGAACTATGTTCTAATTTGGAGTCCATCTTGTATGGTTAAAACTAAATTTCAGAGATATATGTAACAGCGTAATATTAAAACTTGTAATTGTAACTTGTATTTATTATTATTCATAAGTTATTTCTACGGATTGAATTATTATTATTTATGATTAGTGGCAATCACAAATTCAATTATTTCAACGTGTATCAAATTTATTATTATTATTATTTTTATTTTTTTTGAGAGAGTATCAAAATCATTAGCTTATCATACGTTTTCAATAATCTTTTCTCCAAACCTTTTTAACAGTCTTGATTGATGAGACTTGTGTACGTAGTCGGTCCATAAGTATGAAAAGTTAGGAACGGGGAACGAATCGGGCCAGCCCGGTGTCTACGGACGGACACCATAGAATAAAAACGGCCACCCGCTCCAACACGCAATCTACCCCACACACGCAACCGCAACGCCTTTCCCACTTCACAGTTCTGCCCAAGTCGATTCAGTCCGTCTTAGAAAAAATAATTTCATATTAAATTTTAATTTTTTTGAAAATATTTATATATTTTTGTTTTCTAAATTTATATTATTTTTTAAAACGGATAAACTAAATAGTACTGAACTTGGGTGATGAGATCGTAAAGTTTATAGTATACGAAGGTTTTAAATTGATAATTTTGCCCTTAAAATTGTTAAATTGAATTAAGTAATTAACTAATAGTTAATTTCGGAAAAAATAAACACTGTCTTTGGTAATTATTGACAAATATATGACATAAGAAAATATTAATCATCAAATTAATAATTGTATTAAGAATACAGTTTGAAATTAAGTCTGGATACATTAAACGTAAATTAATATTATTTTTCAGATGATTCCGTTTGATATATTTTCCAAAATTAAAAGATATTAGGACAAAAAATTTTTTTTTACCACATAACTATATTACGAATACAATTCGAAACAAAGTCTACCTACATTATAAGTATGTTAATATTATTTCTTAGATGATTGGTATATTTTTCATAAATAAAAAGAAACTATTTACCAAAACGATGAGATTATTTACTAAATAATTATACGAGTACAATTTAAAATTAAGTCTTGATACATTAAACATAAGTTGATGATATTTTTCCGATGATTCTATTTGATATATTTTCCAAAAATAGAAACAGATTAGTTACCAATAACAAAAAAATATATTAGTTATCAATAACAAAAATATATATTTGTTACCAAATAATTATACTGTGAATACAACACAAAACTAAGTCTGGATAAATTAAACGTATGTTTGTATTATTTTTCAGATTATTCCATTTAATATATTTCTCAAAAATAAAACAAGATTAGTTACCAAATAATTATACTACAAATACAATTCGAACCCAAGTATGTATACATGCAAGATATGTTAATATTATCTTACAAATAATTCCAATTAATATATTTTTTTAAAAAAGAGATTAATTTAAAATAAAAGAGATTAGTTACAAATAATTATGTTATGAATAGAATTTGAAAACCAAGTATGGATTCATTAAATGTAAATTAATATTATTTCTCAAAACATTTTATTTGATATATTTTCAAAAATAAAAAGAGATTAATTACAAAAATAAAGAGATTATGTACCGAATCATTATATTACGAATACGATTTAAAACTAAGTCTAGACATATTAAATGTATATTAGAATTATTTTAAATAATTCCATTTGATATATTTTTCAAAAATAAAAAAATAGTTCTAAAAAATATAAGATTAGTTGCCCAATCATTATTATTACGAATATAATTTGAAATCAAGTTTAGATACATCATATTTATGCTAATATTATTTTTTTAAAATAATTTTATTTGATATATTTTACAAAAATAAAAAGAGTTTAATTACAAAAACTAAAAAGAAATTAGTTAGTAAATGATTATACTACGTATGTATACAATTGGGACCAAGTCTATATCCATTAAACTTGGATTAACATTATTTTTCATGATTCCATTTGAGATATTTTATAAAAATAAAAAGAGATTAATTATAAAATATTATATTATGAATACAATTCGAAAGTAAATCTAGATACATTAAATGTAAGTTAATATTATTTCTCAGATAATTTCATTTGATAAATTTTCAAAAAATTAAAAAAAGAGATTAGTTATAAAAAAAAAAGAGATTTAGTTATCAAATTATTATGTTACGAATACAACTCGAAGCTTAGTCTGAACACATTAAATGCTGGTTAGTATTATTACTTTTAAGATAATTCCATTTAATGTATTTTTCAAAAACAAAAAGAGTTAAGCTACCAAAAATAAAAAGAGATAAGTACCAAATAATTTTTTTTTACAAAATAATTTACAACTAGATTTGAATACGTTAAACGTAGGTTAATATTATTTTTTACATAATTTCATTTGATATATTTTTCAAAAATAAAAAAGATTAGTCATTAAAAAAAATAAAGAGGTTATGTTCTGATTCCCTCCTCTTCTTCTCTTCCTCTTCGTCTTCTATCTCTTCCCTCTCCCTCTTCCCCTTCGATATGAATCTCCTTTTTTTTTGTCTGAAAGATATACACTGGCATCTCTCTTTGTTGAGTTGTAATTCTAGACGGATATTTTTCATTTGTTGATCAAAAAGGGAGTATGATGGGTTTCAATTGACATGATAAGTTATACTTTAATATTATTAACTCAGTGTTTAGAGCGATTGTTAGAATTTTACTTGATTTTTTAATTTTATTTGTGTTGAAGAAGGTTCGTTAGCTTATTCCAGTGTGAATATTTGTGGACGACCTTCCATCTGATTTATGATTAATAATGGAAAATGTGGTCGTTAATTGCAAAAGGTTCATTAATGGAAAAAATCTATCCCTTTGTTTTGAACTGTTACCTAATCATTTTATCTTGCATTTTAAACTTCGACATTATAAGGAAAATTTTGGTACTACTGACATACCTAGAGGGGAGGCATCATTTTTAGACCATGCATTATATTTTCCATGTTAGGGATTATTTTTGTTGTATGTCATTGACAAATATTTATGAGTATTGATGGTTTTATTTTTAAACCATAACGAGGGTCTCATTTTGGTATATTTTGTACCATTGCTATTATAGAATAATGAGTTTAGGTAAAAAATAGTTATACATCAATCTTGGTCTAAAAGAGCTAGATAGACTAAAATGAAATTACTCATCCTCTAGAGTATGAAGGTAAATATATACTTTATATTAATAGTTAAATATATTTATTTTAAGAACATGGTTATCTATGTTATTTAGTTTTACAAGAGAAGCGTGGCACCGTGATGGTAAAAGAATAAGTACCTCGAAAAGCACTCATAACTAAGGAAAAATGTGATGAGTCCAGATAAATAAAATAGGTCCTGCATCTGCCAGGCACAACCTATTTTGCTATTAAAAAAACTAAGAAAAAAGTTTGGAGTATGGATGAGTATTTCAAATATTATTTATTAGATTTTTTTGTCATGGTTTTTCCCCCTATTTTTTGTGCTTTGTTTACTTTTGTTGTAATTTTATTTTATTTTTATTTTTCTTTATGCCTAAAAAAAGATTATTTATAATATTTGATTCAATTACTACAAGTAAATAATATATGCTTTTCAGTCAATATATTTTAAGAATATACATGATTTAATTTCTATTGTTGAAAATAATTTTTATATACTTATATACCTAAAAAAGTAGGATAGTAGCCAATTAATCATATTGATTCGTATTTAATTTAATATATATATATATATATATATATATATATATACTAACACTCCTAAACAAGAAGCATATTAGATAGTTGAACATATTAATTTGTATTTTAAAATATCCTATATGGCTAAGAAGTACTTGATCAAAGTAGTAACAGTGCATGGGCATGTAGTAATGATTGTTGGGAGAGCTTTGTCTTCCAAAAGTGACCTACCCGATTCAAAGACAGATTAGTTGGAACAATGATTTCGAGCACCAGATGCACTATATACCAAAAACGAAAAAAAAAACATGACACTCTTGAATTTGGACTCCGAATGCCTAATATACCAAAAACGAAAAAACTAAAATATATGACATTTTTCATAGAAAAATAATAGTATATTAATTTTATTCTAAAATATAGTAAAATCTACACAACGTATGGGCATAATACTAATACTAGTGAAATAATAAAACATTAGATATTAATTAATCAATTTTATTCCTCATTACAACATAGATTTTTTGTGGATACTGTTTTTGTATTTTTATGTATGCACTCCGTATTATTTTCCGTTTCCCTTGATAGTTTTTATTGACTTTATTATCTTTTTTGTGTGAATAGTTTCTTTCAATAAATAAACAGCTGGTAGCTCTCGCTGACTGGACACAACATATATACAACAGAATATTAATAAATTAATAATTGATAAATTAATAATATCTAGTAAATAAATCCTTTTCTTCGATTCCAAGACGGGACCAGTACAAAATATAAAAACAATCAATAAAATAATAAGATAATAATTTTTCAGAAAGCTCCTATGTAAATATAACTTTCGTCAATATCATAAATTAATAATGACTTGAAATATAAAAATAAATAAATATTAGGAACTGTAAAATATGAATCTAGTAACATATGTTTTTTTTCCTTGAAATTTACATTTTTTCGTTGCTTTCAAAAGGTTTGGTGTAGATTTTCCTTATTGCAACAAAAAAGTTTCGAAAAGTAATTGTCGTACTAAGTGCTTCATTTCGTGTAATTGGTTTCGAAAGCACTGAATTATCGTCTTTTTCATATTCAGTCAACACTTTAGTGATAATAGCTACAATATCTTTAAAGATTTTTTAACTTATTATTAATTCATCGATAAATTATAAATTAATATATCTATAAATTAATAATTTTTTAAGGTACTAATAGTATTAATTTATAGATATTTTAATGTATACCTAATAAAATACGATAATACACAAATACTAATAATATGAGTATCAAAGTATTTTCTCCGACAAAATTTCTCATATTAATTGATTTATTATAATCTCTGTGGGATTTTACTATGTTAGGATAAGGGATTATATATTGCATCATAAACAACTTTTATCTCATCTTATAACCATAAAAATCCGAAAAAATGAATCAACAAAATTAGACAGATAGCCAAGTTTTGGAAATTGGAAACCTACAAAAACAAAGGCGTAATCCGTATAAAAATTACTAGGAATACAAATGAATATTTCTTTTTTATTATACATTTTGGACGAACTCCTTCAGAGATGATGGATTAGTTGACATTGCCCCCACGTGAGATCCAGCTGGTCATTTTTGGAGTGTATCTGCAGTCTTCTCGACTATGTATATATCTTCTGAACTACGTTTAGTTTACTCTCTCTCTCTCTGGGATTAATTAATGTGCCTGCCCTTTCAGGTTAACCGATTATCGATCCAAATTACGGGACAAATTGAGTTGTCACCTCCCCCCATCCCTCGTAATTAACCAAAATATTCTCGTTATTAATTATTATCAAAACCAAAATACATTTTTGATGAGTAAAACCCTACTATATTTCCTTTTTTTGCAAGAAAAGAAAAAAAAAATCTTAGATATAAAAATCAATCAGTGCTCTGATCGACATATATTTTGTCATGTTGTTATGTCATTTCTAAGATTTTACTACACCATCAATTGTGTTATTTTGTAATTACTTTCTCCCTCCCATAGGGGAAAAAATACTCCCTCCATCTCATAATTATTGTCTAGTTTTGGTTTTCATTGACAGTTCAAATTGTATTAAAAGTCAAATCTCAAACTGGACAATAATTTTGGGATAGAGAAAGTACTTATTTCAATAGTTAGAACCAATGTGCCCTTTTATCATCGATATAATTGTCATATTATTGTTCTGATCGATATGTTTACCCGTTCCATTTCTTTTACCAGTTGACAATTAGTTTTACATATCTTAACTGATGCAACTTGGGGAACCAATGATCGAATATATAGCAAAAGCCAATTCATCATATTCTTTCGTTCCCTTCAAATAAGTGTCAATAATATGCAGTTTGACGAATCTCCTCGCTTTTGAATTTATTCGTACAACCTTTACCAAAGAGAAATTAATGACTTCATGCATTCAACTTATTTACATGTATTTCACCATGCACGATAAATTAATATTCAACTAACAAATTTTTTTATATACTTATTGGTAGAGTTTACCCTTTGAAAGAGATTTGTTTAATTTGAATATCAATTAGTCCCCTCTCAAAAAAAAAAAAAAAGGAAAACAATTTGACAGGATGATAACTTTGGACAGTTGACGCATAACCTATCGAAAAATGATAATGCATCTCAACTAACAAAGCTGTTTGATGTAAATTTGGCTGTAATGAAGATTAATTAAGGTGGCTATTTATATGTAATTTGACAACATTAACGTGCAATTATAGGGAAATCCAATCATGTGCACGTTCTCTAAGTTGTTGTTGCCTCCAATAATTTCTTATACCAACAAAATATATATACAAATAAATATTAATTAATCGAACTGATTTTCTCTTTTTTTTTTTTTTCCTTCTTTGAATCTAGATTGTATTTGTGCGGTTTTATTATATATTTTGTGTTTCAACCTTGTTTTTTTCCATTACAATTACATTGGATAATAGCAGGTTAGCAACATCTTCTGAGTCATCCAGTTCATGCGTCAGAATGTGTCACACCAATGCCTTGCGATAATAATACATTCTAATATTGGACGACGCGTGTGGGAACTATAGATGAACAAGGAGTATCTCTCCATATTTATATGGTTATTTTTGTTATGGTAATTCTTCCATCCTTTAATCCCACTTTTAACCGTTCATATTGTTAAAGTAAAATAGTAACACATGCACTACTAAAATGAGATGTATCAATGAAAGGAACCATTAAAATTCCAGAAAATGAGCTGCTAACTGCAGAAATTCAGAACGGAAATATGAATTAATTCAGCAACTTATTTGAATTTTTTCTCATGAATTTGTGTGCCATGCATGCATGGAGTCATATAATTTGACGATAATCTCACAGATTTTATTAATTAATGAACCAAAGATACAAATTGATACGTCAACTAGACAAACCCTTAATTTATACAACTGGAAACGATAATCACAAAATCACAATTTAGACTATATATATACGCCCAACTCGATGCTCCGGATTTCCAATAAATCTGCTGCTATCTCCATGATTTTCTCACCGAGCGTTTTGCAGTACCTCAGCAGTAATTTAACCTATCCATGTCCTATTAATTACTTCTAGTTGATTACTCAAGACAATTATTTGAGATGGAGAGAGTATAAATTGACATAATTTATTTCAACCTATAAGAAGGCAAGGATAAAGTTAGAGAGACGATGAATGCGTACATGCACGTACTGTAATGCTTACAACTTACGAGTGATATGTTACAAAGTACAAACTCAATATGTAGAGAATGGTTCTGATTTTATTTTCCGCACACGAAAAAAGAAAATAAAAAAAAAACAGAAACATACAAATTGAAAAGAGGAAGTCCAAAATTTCAAACCATGCATGTTCTATGTTTACTTTTATATTATCTTGGACGTAAATCATGAATTACAAACGTAAAAGAGAGGGGGACGTAGACCTGACCTCTCCCTACCATTTTCAACGCTTACTCAACAACAACTCCTTTTGACATAATTGGGGGAGGATGAATTTGACATAAGTGACCAAAAGGAAAAGAGAAAAAAAAAACACTTATAACCTTAATACTCTTACAAAAAGTAATTATGTGTGGACACATAACTAAAAACATAAATAAGAGTATTAAGTTAGAAAAAAAAGTGATAACGTAATTTATCTCTAAACTTTAAACTATAGACCTCTTTTCTTAATATGAATTTTTGAAGGTCGAAAAATGAAGGGAGTTTTTTTTTTTTTCCTTCTTTATAGCAACATGCAGGTCAGAATGTTGGGCTTAACCAATAATTAATTATGCAAATTAAAGTGATCATGAATGAATTCAAAGAGTGGAAAGAGAAAAAGCTGTGGTTAGATGATCATGTTAACTAATTATTTTGATTAGGTTTTCTTTCTACAGTGAGGTAAGAACATTGAGGAGTGAAACCCTGGTGCTGAACAAACTCCTAAGTACTTTCTCACTTCCATTCTCAATCCCACGGATGCAATCCTCAATCAGCTGCATTTTCTTGGACCTTGACTTCAACTCTTGCTCGTCCTTGATCATAATCTTATTAATGTTGTTCTTCCCGAAAACATTAATCTCCTCAAACTCCAGAATGCCTTCTGCTGGCCCTCCTCGCTTTTGATTTGTACTGATCATGATCGACAATGGCAAACACGATACCGGTTTCCGAGAAGCAGCTAAAGACACAGACAGGCCATTGAATAATGCAAATGAAACCGAGGCCGTGACCTCAATCACGTCCTTGATAACATTCACAATCTGATCATCATCATCTTCATCATCATCTACGTCATCTTCGCTGTCGTCATCATCAACAAACATCCTTACTCGCCGGCTGGACTTTTGTTGGGTCGACGATGACGGTAGCGAAGAAGACAACTGGCGAAAATCTCTAGCCATCTTCCTGAAATTCTTGGAGCATAAGCTCATCTTCAAGTAATCTCTCTTCTTTAAAGCCGCTTGAGCAGATGAATGATGCTCCTTCAAGGTTAGGATCAGCATCTGGAAGATCCCGTAAGCGTCTAGGAATCTGAGGAAATCATCAAGAAACTTGTCAATCAAGCCACGGCTCGCTAGCAGAGATTCTCTGGCTTTTGGAAGCTGGAGAAGGTCGTCTAAGGATTCCTCAACGGCCTTAAGTTGGCTTAGACCATCGCAAATCCAGGCCGAGTTTCGGGATTCGGGCTGATCAGCGTCTTGATCAATGTTGTTGTTGTTGCGGGCCTGAGCCCAGGATTTGAGGTGAGTAACTCCATCCCTGAGCTGGGAAATCAAAGGGTGATCAGATGACCTGCTGGGAAGACTGACGGATCTGATGTGGAGACTCTTTCTAGGACGGTTGGATGAAGATGAAGAGGATGATGATGATGATGATGAAGAAAAGGAAGAAGAGGAAGAACAACTAGGGTGGTTTGGAAAGGAGAGGGATCTTCTAAATGTGGCTACCATCTTTTGTGCCATCTTTTCTTTTTCTTTTTCTTTTTTGTTTTTTGGTTTTGGGGTTTTGGTTAGTTTGGGATTGTTATGAAAAAATGTTGGAACGGGGAAATGGAAGGAGTTTATAAAGGGAGACAAGAAGCGCGGACAGAAAGTTAGAAGGTGGGATCGAGATTAAAGAAATGATTTTACGACACAAGGAAAGAAGCGTGGACCGAAAGATAGATAGATAGATAACTCTAGGTTACGTTGCAAATTGTGCGGTTAATGAAGGGAAGATCGCACGAGGGGTTTTTTGAGGGTTGGAGACTTGGTTGAGAGGGAGTCTGGATCCGGGAATAAATCTAGCTGGTTGGGAGGCAGCCGCTGTTCTGCCAGGCTGCCCCTATGGTGTGTAGTAAGGGGTTTGGATCGATCTTTGATGCATTGTTTTTTCTTTTACTGTTATTGTTGACAAGTTAATTACTAGTAGTACTCGTGTTTGCTGGAAACGGTGACAACAGCGGATGAGGTTTATTAGAGTAACATTAATTTAATTACATTTATTGAACCATCATCATAGTTACTCTCTCCGTTTCAAAATTATTGTCTAGTTTATATTTTTAATTTTAGTACAATTTAAACTAAAAATAAAGATCCAAATAAGAAAATATTTCCAGGACGGAGGAAGTACTACCTTACTGGTCTATTTCTTCTCTCAATTTTAGTTGGTTTCTTGTAATGCCAGAGAAGTCCAGCGTCAAAAATGAAAATTTTCAGTCCATGTATTACGTATTTAGTGAGTGCCAGATTAGCTCTCATACGTGTTAGGAAATTGAGGTCAATGTAATTGACCCTGTTGTTTATTTTGTGGTTTACAGTACTAACATACATGTTGAGTGTGTTACTTAAAGGTTAAACAGGGGTATTGATACACGAGAGTAACATGATCAGGGGTGGTGCCACTTAACGTTGTTGGTATATGTTTGTTCTATAGGAACCGACAGAGATTTGTCGCCTCATTTGCGAAGCCTGGAGAGTTTGCTCGTTGATCACATACATTGCATCCTATGATTAACATCAAAGTTTAATCACTTGATCATATATGTGAATTACTATTATATTAAGAGTGACTGATCGATTCAGATCGATCAATCATCATATGCATAACTGAGTTTACATGTTACTAGTTCATTATCGTTACAAGTGTTAATTAATCTGCAGGGCGCCGTCAACAATGGAAATCTATAGCTGCTTTAGGGATGTTATGTCATGATATCTTGTAGCTACACATTCATAACTTGTTCTTATCAATTTCAATTTAGAATATTATTCCCCTCTGGTTCTTATTATAACACATTTTGATTTATCTTAAGTTTCACCTAATATATTTTTTTAATGGAAAAAAATATATTCTACTAATTAGGACACAATGAATGTGAAAAATGCATTTTTAAGATTTTATTTTTTTTCAATCAAAAGAACGTACTTAATGAAACTTAAGTCAAATCAAAATGTCTTATAATAAGGATAAGAAATAGTATGTCAATTTTGACTTGATCTTAACCCATGCTTTTTTCAAGATTTATCAGTCATGGTGTATCCAGCTACTACTGTAGGAGAGTAGTCATTTACAATCCTTCATAGGGATTTGATTTTATGAATGACAAAAAGTAAGCGAATGATGTTTTAAAGTTGACATACGAACTGAAGATGTGGCAAAAACTATATGAATTGAAATCAAGTTTAACCTTATCGTATTATTAACGGGAAGACGTGATTGGGAGATCAATTAATCTTGAAATGCAAAGCAACACTTCCATGCATAATATCTCAATCATGGCGAGGAAAAATGTATATAATGTATTATTGGCTAGTGTAATTAGCACAATTGGCCCTGGTTTGTCAAGGCACTTGATTACCATGTTGAATGAAGTTAATTAAGCAATAAAAATTTGAAATGGACAACGTGCAATTTTGACTTATATGTCAGAGTGCGTTTATGTTATCAATGATAACTAGCTGGCTTCGCTATAGCGGTCGATCAATAGTTAAATGACTTAAATCCATTTCCCTAACCTCTGTCACCCGAATTTTTAATAATGTGTCTCCTCTCTCATGACTAACTCTGATCAATATGTCAAAATATTGTAGTGAGACATACACACTCAGCAGCCACGTAATTTCATCGTGATTTGGAAACGTGGCGTCCAAGAAATATATCATAACTACAAGCAATCCAAGGTCAATATTTGAGGTGAAAGTAATCTTTCTAATTTATGCAGCTTTTGAAATTAATCATGTCAGAAATAGCCGTGTTTGTTTGTTTCACAACTCATTTTATTTTTTTCACTCATTTTATCTCTTAAACACATAACCCAATGGAAAAGAAAACATCATCCAAACAACTTTCTAATTTACATTTTAAATTCCAACTTGAAACACTTTTTGTTAGTGTAATGACCATTTTAGAAATAACAATAGTTCAATGTCAAATTTGGCAAGATTCCGTTGTTTAGTGATTGTTTTTAGAAATATTTTTTTTAAAGTGACTATAATTGACAGTATTTAATTGTTTAGTGATGACTCGTGCTTGATATTTCAAAATGTAGTTCAAAATATTTTTTTTCAAAACCAACACCCAAACAACTTTTTGCTCAAAATATCATCCAAACAACATTTTCATTTTCCATTTAATTTTTAACTTGAAACACTTTCCATTTTTAAGTGCTAAAGAAATGTAAGCTGACGTCCAAACATGTACCGAATCATCCACAAGTATGTATTTTGAGCTATGTACTACACTTTCGATGGTTTTATTTGCGCTAATACTAGTGTGTGTCACACACACACACACACATATATATATATATATATATATGTATCAATCACGCGTGTGTGTTATTTCAACTGTAGGGACATTATGTTATGAAATCATCGATCTCTACTATTACTTGTATCAAGAAATAATTATCTAATTTAAATTTCTATTTTTAACATAAATCATACGAAAGAAAAAAAATCACGTTGGACCTAAGAAGAAACAGTTATTTAAATGATTTTCTTTTGAAAAGACTCAGCAAAAGTCGTAAAAGGATGATGGGGTTGCGACCACTTGACTAATCATTTCTCATAGCGCGAATCAGGTCACCACCTCAATGAATACAGTGTCTGCTATATTAATTGTGGGATAACTCATAACTCTGACATATCATCTAATTATGAATAATAATACAACACAATTACTTATAATATTTTTCTAAGGTACCCTTACCTCTGTCCCATTTCAATACTTTAATAATCATTAGTATTTTATTTTTAAAAAATAAATTATGGTAATGGAATGCTATAGTATAAACGAATCCATTGTAGCATTGAAATGAAATTTTGCGTGTATAATTATGAGGGGTGAATCGATATTTAAAGAATAAAAAACTAAAATCAAAAGCTGTGAATTAACGTGTGAGAGTAATAGATGCAAGCTAGCTTTGGTTACTTCCAAAAACCCCCCCGAAACCAAACAGGTAAGCAACCATTCTTCTTGTCTCTCATTCCATCCTCCTGCACAGTCATCATTCAGTCACTCTCTCCCCAAAACTTAGCACCCCAAAATTAAAGAAAAAAAAAAGAAAAAAAGAAAAAGAATATTCTTGCGAATGGCTTGAGATGTAGTAAGACAGGAACTTATCCTACCCTCTTAGGTTTATGTCTGGATGATGAATATATACGATGACAATGTTAAAAGAATAAGACCAACAACCAAATTATGTGGACGAAATGAGTGATGTACACATTTTGGAGTACGTACATGAAAGCTACTACGATCAAGTACAGATGCATTAATATTCCGTATAGCCAGCCTCACATCTCTGTGAGTGATAATTTTGTGCTGAATCACAAACCTAATCAGTGTTGAATAAGAGTAGTCATTATTTCGCCACATAACCAACAAATTAAATACCCACTATCGATTATTTTATCCTGTGATCATTGTTATATAAGGTACTAAGTAATAATTTGAAACATACAGTAAGAAACTGTTACCTTTATCAAGGTGAAACAGTTATGATTAGTCCATAACAAAATGAAACCTTTCTTTTTTTTAAAAAAAATAATCCAAACTATCAATCCAGAACACAAATCATTAGTTTCATTGTCTTCTATCCGATATTCTCCAATGCATTAAATTGCAAAATCGATTAATCATTCTAGAGGAACTTTATATATATATATATGTGTATGTATATATACTGAGGAAGTTTTTGTTTAGTACAAAAAGTCAACGCCCCCGGGCTGAGTCTAGAGGAGGAACTCTTCACTTCTAAAAAAATGGACACCGCAATATTTCCCAAAAATTCAAACACATTGCCAATTAGGCCTAGCCCAGCTGGTATTCATTTAATTGTGTCCACCAGAAAAGCTTAGTTTCAAGGCCCACTACTACAAAAATCTTCAGCGGAAAAAATAAATGTCCAACAGAAGCCCAAGAAAATTTTGAAAGTTCCCCTGGTCAGAGTAAACCCACCAGGCGGACCGCCATTGGAACAGCTGAACGTCTCAGGTAGAACACGTGTCGTGACCCCACCTAACACGGAGGACTGCTGGCTGCTACCGTACCGAGGCGATAAGCTCGCTACAAAAAAGAAAAATCAAATCCCCTCCCAGGCATTCTAAATTCCGGCCCTTGCATTTTACATTATGCAATCACATCGTCCCAATCCTCAAGAAATGGATGCCAAAATGGAGTGGAAGAAAGAAGTGAAGGAAAAGCAACAAGTTTGGGTAACTGATGAACAAGTAACAGAAGAAGACGATGGTGATGATGATTTAGACGAGAGTCAGAAGCATCAACCTCCCAACATATCACCCATGTTTCCCTGTCAGAAGGAAGCTTACGGCGGTGGTTTCTACGGCAAAGACGATGATGACGCCCGCCTGACCACCAAGAAAAAAGACAAGGGCAGAAAGCCAGCTGCAAGTGAAACCCAGAGTGCTGATGGGCCGGTTGAAGCTACTATTACGCAGCCCAAACACAAGCCTCCGCCCTCCTCCGGCGACCGTGACATCGACATCACTGGCCAGTCTTACATTCAGTAGTAAAGGAGTAGTAGTTACTTTACTCCTAAGTACCAGTAATTAGGCTGCAGCCTACATGTACATAGATTTAAGGGTGACGGTTTTTTACAAATAATAATTTCCTCTCCGCCTCTTGATAATTCACTTTTTTTTTCTTTTTTTTTTTTTTTTAACAATAAATCCGTCTCCCTTACTCATGTTCAAGTAATCGAATTCGCTTATTCAAAAAAAAAAAAAAAAAAGTAATCGAATTCAAGTGCATGCTAAAAGCCCAAAAAACTATTAAATAAAAAATCAAGAGCAATGCGATCCAGCATTTCAACTTCTATTTTTTGGCTACGTAATTTTTTTTTATTATTATTTTTTTTTCCTGTAATGTAAGTCCGGGGAAAAGGTTTATGTACATATAACAACTCTTTCTCTACAGACAGAAGCTAATCTCATTTCTAGGCCTTTCATGTTATTACTTCTACTATCTCCTTATATTTCTCGTGTTGTTGGGGGAAAAGAATACAAAAACTAAACTCTCATCATATTATAGCTGACAAAGGGGACCAAAAAATTACCGTAACACCACCATTTCCAGTTGTATCTTCTCTATCTACCTACCTTTTGGAGCCCAACACCAATCCTGCATATCTCAGCCCCGGGGGGTGCATTCCACTGGGCTGTCCGTTTTCTCATTTTCTCAAAGTCTTTCACGCACCGGTCCACCTTCATTTCTTGGACCCTCTTCCGTTGGGCTGCCAGTTTTTGACCCGCAACCTTGTCAAATATTTTCTCCCAGCCCTCCTCCCACGCAGCGTGGGCATCACAGAGCTTCAGACCGTTATTGGACCATTCAGTCCAGCTCCATACTTTGGAAAGCCTACTCATAACTTGCCCAACGCAAGTGCCCGTGCAGGCAGGTGTGCAGGGTCTGCATTTAGCCCCACTCATTGGGCCCGGCGTCGACATCGCAACCACCGGAACTCCGTTCCCGACCGGAGGAAATCCGTAACTGCGGTCAGTCACCACGCAAAATGGTACCTGGCTAGTGGCATGAGTAACATTCTTGACGGTCAGCTGGGCCTTGAATGCGGACTCGGAGTTGAGCTGGCGAAAGCCGGCTTCGTCGAGCTGGGGGATCAAAGATAGTCGAGATAGCGCCACTGCTGATGTGTTGAAATCGCCAATGCCTAAGCGATCGTTCAGTCCCCAGTAAGATGAGCCCAGGGGTACCAGGTACCTGCCCCGGACGAAACTCTCTGGTCGCAGAGGAGCTGACCAATAGGTGTCCACACGGGTTCGGACTATCCAGTCGTAGGTGAAATTGTTGCGGGTTTGGTGTTGCTTGATCATTTCCAGGCAGCCCTCCACCAGGTTGAAATATTGCAGAAGCCCCTGCAAGTTTTGAGTCAGAAAACGAATCTGTTAATCACACAAACTTCTTGCGAGGAATGCGTTAAATACTTTTTCTGCAGATAATGTGTTAGTAAGGATGCACTTAAAATCTGATAAAATACTACTTCAACAATTTGCAAAACAAGTCAGTCTCAACATCTTATTCATCAATTAAATCACCTTATCACCGCCAATAAATGAACAAGGCCAAAGTGACTACATACACTGAGGGTGAACGCTCTCATTTGAATGGAAAAGAAAATGAAAACAGTGGTCTTTCATTAGACATTAATTATTACAGAAGTTGCAGAGGACACATTACCATTAATGTGAAGGTCATACACTCAAAATTCGGATACCCGATAAACTGTCAATTGTTCTTGTTGGACCACTACTTAAAAAACTCTAACCACCAACTCATAACATTCATTAGCACTATACAAAGTTTTCTTCTTTGAATTTTGTACCCGTGTATGATGTAGTTTGTAATTAATACGTCACCGTATGAGGAAGAATATAATTACCGTGTTAATACTCTATCAGACCCTAAATTATCTTACATCTATCTTTACATTTTCTGATCCACCACTTTCTATTACATTTCCAGATTTTATTCTATTATTTTCAAGGAGGATAAAGAAGAAGTATAAAGGTAATGGGCGGCGTGCCAATCCTCCGGCCACACTAACTAAAAATTTCAAAGGCCATTAGGCCAAGTCCTAATTTTGGAGTTTAAAATTTGAAAACAAAAAATTGGGCGGAACGAATGAATTCTCACACGAAAAATCTCAAACATGTGCGGTGCAGGAATTGGCACCTGTCGTCCTTAAACTGGACGTTCTTTTTTTTTTTTTTTCTAAAAAAAAGTTCATGAGAAAAAAAGGCAACACGAAAAGAAAGTAGACCAATCCTGCAATCCCACCTAAATTGGTATTCCTAACAAGCACCTAATGCCACTAACATTTCAAATCAATTCGTCATTACTGCTAAACACTAGCAATTAGACTAGCAAAGAATGTCGAAAATAACATCTGCAGCAAATTCAACTCGACCAAATATAGATTGGTCCTCAAAATGAAACCATTCCGACCAAAATTACTATAAATCATTATTAGTGAAGCTAAAGTTTACACTAGGATATAGGTCAATTTTAGAGGTTAGACAGTCAGCACAATTACAAATCTTCAAACATAAAACAACTCATCCAACTATGTCCCTTATATAATATTATAAAAATAGACTCTTTTTAACGTTTTCACTTTTGATTAGGACCAAAGTGCCCACAATCTTTTATAGCATACGAAAAAAACCAAAAAAGAGGAGTAAATTAAGTATAGTATCTTCAGATAGCTAAAACATTTTCATTTAAGACCATAAGCAGCCCAACAGAATCGTGGAAAATACTTTAATTAATTTAAAATGGTGAAATCATCAGTCTTAATTAATTGATTACCTGGATACCATTAGGCGAGTTACTAGCCGTGAGAACCCGATACTGCGACTCGGTCTCCGGGATGTGCTCCGGCCGGAAAATCTTAACGGCGGCGATCCTGGGCGCATCCTTCAGCAGCGACAGCTTATAGGCATTGGAGTCTAACGGACTGTGTAAAAAGAGATCGGAGTTCTTATAAACTTTCAGAATCCTTTCGATAATGGACGGGCCCGTTAGCTCGAACCTCCGGGCCCCACCCACCAGACAAACCGCAATTCTCGACCCATTCACCGGCGACGACGACGGAATAATACTCTTGGAGAAACTGGCGGCATCGGAGGCACGCGACGAGGACTGATGAAAGATGGAGGAGAAAGAATCGAGGAGGGCCGCGACGGCGGCGGAAGTGGTGGTTCCGGCGGCTGCGGGGGAGGAGGAGGAAGAAGAAGAGAGAAAAGAGAGGGAAATGTAAAGGATGAGAGAAAGGAAAGGGAGGAACAAGAGAAGGAGCCTCCAGTCAAGATCCGATGCCTTTCTCGTGAACTGCATCGTCACTGTTTTCAATGGGTTTTTCATCCCCCCCTTATTAATACTAATAATCCGTTTGATTTCGATCCCCACTTCCTCCCATCCAACCCAAAAAGAACAAGAACAAAATATTCACACAAAAAAAAAAAAAAAAAAACTGAAAAACCCAGAAAAGGAAAAGGGACCCAAGATCCGAGAGAAGGTGGCGTTCAGTAATTCATACTGCTGCTTATCCCCGGTGGCGAGCAGGGCCCGTTAAAGAAAGTGTTAGACTAATACAAATTCAACATTCAGTCAGGTGGGATTATCGTATCATGGGTAATTAAGTCAATGGTTTTTTTAAGGGAAAAAAAAGAACAGAATTTATGATAGATTGGAGGGAGATGGGAATGATAAAAAAGAAATAAAAAAAGGAATAATTGTGGATATACAGCTAAGAACACGATTTAAAGAGGATGAGTAAAGGAAGATTTTGGGGGGATATAGGCAGTTATGAGGTTAAATGATTTTATTTGATTTTGTTACGCAACTAACTAATAAGCATTCTTTATCCCCAAGGATTATTAATAGTAACAGTAGTCCTAAATTACCTCTGTTTTTTTTTTTATTTGATTAATTTGTCTCCTTAATCATCCTCCACCCCAAAAGGGGAAAAGAAAAAATTAGCATGATTGAGGAGAATTATGATTAATGCCAGTAAAAAGTGGATGTGTAGCAATAAAAATAAACTAAATTCATATCATTAGTGGGTGTGGATGATAATGAAAATTAATAATCAAGTAAATGCTTGGGGGATTAATCTTTTCAATTCCCTTAACTTAACAATACATCAATGCAGGGAGAGGAATTTATTATAGAAAAGATTTGTTAAATTATAAAACTAGGATGATCATTTTTAGTAGATACGTAGAAGACTAAAAGAGTAGACAAACTGTGATTAAAGAATATTAGTATAATAATTGAAAAAACTTTAGAAAGGGATGTAATTAGAAGAAGATTCGTCAGAAGGAAGGAAGTTAGGATGTAAAAAAGTCTGCCTACCGTTTTGGACTGTTTCTGGGTTTGTGGACTTTGAAGAACGTGAACACACTTCAACAAAACATTCCATACTTTTCATTAAATTATTAGAGATTTAAAAATTATAATAAGCTGGTGGTGGATGATACTGATTGTTGAACAAACATGTCAGTAATTTAATTAATTAATAAATAATGTAAGAAGAAGAAGAAGCCATTGTTTATCTATCTATCTATTCCTTTAGGACCAATTGCCTTAAATTAGAGTCTAAATTCTTACGTGTACTATAATCGTTGGTTGTGTCACGAGTGTGTGACTGCGTGTTTTTTTTTTTTTTTTTTCTTTCCCATTTCATCCCATATACTCCATCAATCAATCCTAATTTAATTTTTCCTCTTTTTTTTTTTCATTTCGTTAAATATGATGCCAAAATACTTTTAGTTCTATTGTTTCCGTTTTTCCAGAAAACAAGGTAACAGTTTCTGAAAGTACGAAACTGAAAGAACAAAAAGGTTGAACTGAGGAGGGCCTTTTCCATTTCAAAGAACACGGTTTAGGTTGTTACATACAGACTGTAGTGATGCGTAATTTGGTTGACCCCTTCAAAGTTCATACGGCGATGTTCTTTCCTTCGTGAAATTTTTAAACAGTTATATCGTGGCACAAGAATGAACGAACTAAACTGCAAGTTTGTGTATACCAGGAAAACGTTCACTTTTAAGCCCATAGAACATGTTCGAAAAAATGAATATACAATGAATCAAATGAATACTGAAACAGGGTACTTTTAACATCACAAGCGTTACTGACTACAATTAGATACCCCAATCTCCCTTTCAATGTGTTATTGTATCAATGGGGTGGAAGGAGGTTGTTCGTCATCTCCTGGAGGAGGTGGTGGCGGTGGTGACGGTGGTGGAGTTGATGACGATGAAGAACCGAAGTCCAGATTTGGAAAAACACCGGGAGGTCTCTCTCGAGGTTGTATCGACAGCAATTGGGTTGAATCACCCACCACGTCTGCCCATCCATAATGAGGTTCCGCCCTTCCATGGCCATGAGTTTTAGAGCGAAAATGTCAATATAAATAAAGAAAAACTATACCTCGTTAGGTTACACATAGCAAGAGGAAAAAACAGGACTAAGGACTTACTCATAATAAGTCTCTTCATCCACAACAATGTCCCAGCTTTCTCCTGTCGTACTCTTGCCATATTTGTGCACTTTTCTGGATTTTGTGAGTACCGACGTCAAATTCAACCACAGCGTGAAAGTGAAAAGATTCTATGATACTCTCACCGAAAAACAAGTCAAGAACTTCAAATTTGAAAATTTTTCATACCCATTGCCGAAGTGCTCTTCTCCCCACGTCCTTGACCATCCTAAATCAGACAAGAAAACAGGTTAATGGCGCCTCTTACGAATTTAAAATGCGGTCCTCACGGCATAATTGATGGAGGTAACAGACCGAAAATTCAATTAAATCAACGCAGATAGGATGCACATACTTTCACCACTGGGTGAGACATGCCATGTCTCTCCTTGACGTGAACCAATTCCAGCAAAAAACTTTTCTTCCCACTTGTCTCCCCATTTAGTTCCAAGTTCAGTTTCAGCCCATTTGTCTGTCCTGAGAAGAAAGGAATGTGAAGCTTCCAACATTAACTTTAAAAAGAAACAAGGAAAACCAACTAAATTAGAGGTATATGTTCGTTTGGGGATCTGATTAGAGGTATATGTGGTTAAGAAGGATACCATAAGAAATCCCTCCAAAATCATCTAAGATGTTACCAGATTGAATCATAAGCAAAAACATGTAGCTTCTGATTGAAGTTTCCCTATTTAATCCAATAATAAGGAAGTAAGAAAATACCATTTTAATACGGATCCTCTTCCATCATAATGTTCACCCCACTTCTCCCACCACGACTGTTCATTTAGTCTACCATATTTGTGAGCCCCTTTCTCAGTCCAGCCTTTGGCATCATATTTTTCCCACCTGTATAATAACAAAATGGATATCCAAAATATGTTTTCTTTGTTGCTAGATATAACAAAACAACCTCATCGAACAAAATCCTCACCAGTTCTCGTACCATCCTGCATTTTCTGAACCCGATTTTGCCTGCTTTTGTGCACTCCTCTCTATTCTAGCGAGATTACTGCAAGTCACAATCAAGTTGGTAAAAGATACTTTGGAAGTCCAAATTTGAACAGCGGAGGAAAAGCATAAAACAAAGGAGAAAACGCAAACCTCCATTCATCTTGATGAAGAACCTCTCGCCACGTTTCCCACCACGAATCCCCTTCAGCATTTTTTCCAGATTTTTCCACACCTATGGAGAAACCGTATTAAGGAGAAAAAAAACAACTCCGCTACCATCCAAGCAATATGGTAAGCGAACTACTTATCTCTATAGTTTAAGCTGTTCAGATAGAAGAAGGCCTGTAAGACGACAAAGGATGAAACTAAAGCATAACTTTTACCTAGTTCTTTGTATCCTGTCCAGTCACTTTTCTCCCACCACTGTCAAGGAGATCAACAAATCCAATTAAATGCATCCACCTGGGATGATACTTAATAATGTAAGGAAGGCAAAACACGAATCAGCAAAGACAACTATTATATTTATTCGCTTGCTCTCCCAAATTTCATGTTTCCTCTTAACGTCTCTATCAACTAGGAAATTCGCTTCACCTTCTTTCTTTTTTAAGTAAAAATTCCCAGTTCTCTTTCATTTCAAAGAGACCAAGCAAATAAAATGTAATCAACTTGACCATGGTTCCAATTTCCTCTGTGGGACATTGATGAAAGTTACTCTCAAGTGATCATTATTTAAAACAGGCATAATATAGAAGATGATTCAACAACCAAGAGTAACGAACACATCACTGAGCAAGGGAATGATATTTTGGCAGAGACGACAATCCAGCTTTTAACTTTGGAAAACATTGTTAATTAAGCCAAATAGTGATCATATTTCAAATAATGCTTCCACATAGGGACAGCAGTTACGAGAAGGTGATTCAAACTCACAAGAAATGTATTTTTAATTTGAATAAATTCTGCCAACCCCTAGATAATCATTGAAGAGTACATAGACAAAGATGAAATTATATACCGTCTCCTTCCACTCCGAGGTCCCATCATGGTTTTGTCCACCCATTCTGGTCCATCTACATCTATAACCATTTTCCCCGAGATCCTCTCCACTTTCTCGATACCAAGTACTTCCATCTTCATTCGTACCAGTTTCATTAACATCTTCATGTAAGAGACTGATGCCCCAATCTTTCTCATTTGCAATGCCTGTATCTGGTAAATTAATAACAGACAACATAATAAGCATTAACGTCCTAAAAGGCACCCTAACTATACAGAAAGGCATTATACTATATGGATAACTTAGATACAGCAGCCAGACTTAAACTGTTGATACCAGCAAATAAAGAAAGGATACTGGAGAATACCGCGTTTTGGAGGAGAATCACGAGACTGGGGACCTGTAGGCCTCGGAGTGCAACGTGGGAAGAACTTGTTGTCTTGTTTCCATGCGAACAGAGACCTGCGAAAACAAGATAAGATTGGATATTTCAAGCAGATAAAAGAATGAGTCCCACGTCATTATCATAATCATTATTCATGACAAAGTAATCTGACAACAACTAGGCGATTGGTTCTCGTTAGCCCCATCACTCCCCACCCTAGCCCTTTGTTGAGGAAGAAACGCATTCAAAAACAGAAACAAAAACAAAAACAAACCCAGATGTATTCATTTAAAAACTAGTGAAATTCTCTATATTCTCATGTATTGGGGCTATCATGCACAAGAGACCCAGCACATCCATACCCTTCTCCTAAGAATGTAAAAGAAGTGATCATAAACACAAACAAATCCTGCTAACTGAATGCACAGAACACAAGGCTTCAATGAAAGGAGCTAGTGTTTCCGCAATGGATTAAACCAGCCTATTCTTTTCTCCACTTTTACTCCGTGCGCAAAAGAAGGCAACACCAGTGAATAAGTGTTTCATCAATCCACAAGGGAAAAGAGTGAGTTCTTATTTTTCTAATTTTGCAAATGCAGACATCCAGACTCTTAGTATAGCAGTATAGTAGAATCCCTTAGTTAAGAATTCCCCACTGTCAAACTTCACTCTAAGATGTTTACAAATCAAAACGAGGAAGTCAAACACTTCACAGAACCACCACCCCCACACGAAGTTGGGTGTGTTTCGGGGTGTTCGTACAGAAATGAGACTGATGTTAATGCGTTAGATTATCTCCTAGAAAATATATTGATACCCATACAAAAAAATTTCAAACCTTCAACCTGCGAATACTGAACTCCAAATACTTCTACCACCCAAAACAATGAAGAATACTATGAAAGTTTCAATTTTTTTTAGTGCGTGTATCAGTAATTAAGTATACTAATTTATCAAATTTAGTGACTGGGTTGGAAATGAGCGATTAGCCTGAGGAAACAGTGTCGTAACTTTTTGCAATCTTACAATATAAACAAATAAACAATAATAATAGTAAGTCACACTAGGAAAAATACTAGCAAGTTGAAGAGAAAGGGAGAAAGGGAAGCTGACTGACTGAGGAGAAACGAAGGCCAAGGAAGAGGAAGGCTTAGTGATCCGAGGCCGATAATTGGGCCGACTTAGTTTAGAATCGAACCGGCATTCTTCACAACAATTATCCCCACCACTCTTTCCCCGGCTGTGGCCATGGGGACCGCCACCGCTGCAGCACTTGACAACCACCACATTCCGCCGCCGCCGCCAATCACCGCCGGCATTATTGAGCAACTTCTTTTTCTTCCTGGGCAACTCGAGAAAATCACAGGGGTGATGATTGTCTAGGTCTCTTCCCACCCGAACAACCAGGCCAAAGGGCGTCAATCCTCTAGAAGTTGCTGACATTGTAGCAAACACTTTTATATTGGTTGTTCAATCAACCAAAAAAAAAAAAAGAAAAAAAACACACACACACACACTCACAAAAAGAAAACCTAACTTCTAGAGAGTTGGTTGTAAAAGGCTAAACTGAACAACGGCAACATTATCATCGTCATCATGGTCGCAATTTAATTGCGAAAAGAGGGGCAAATGTGGGGGAAGAGTTTATTTATTATGGCATTATTTGAGATTTGAGGAGAAAAATATGATACACAAAGAAATGAAGAATCATTGGATTAGAATAAATATGGAATTTGGGATAAGTAAGAATCCTATTAATACTAAAATGTTGGTGGAGGTTTTTTTTTTTTTTTTTCTTTCCCTGAAATGTTTATTGTGTCGAGGAGGAGGACATGGATGGGGATGACGGACTCTTGAGTTTGACCTCAGTCTGAAACTACTGCTTCTCCCCAAACCCACCATTTTATGATCTGGTTATAAACCAGTCAAAATCAGTCCAACTCCTTCTCCATTTACAATATTGCCCTTCGCTCCATTTACCTTTTTTTTTATTATTATTTTATTTTCATGGTGGTGACTCACGAATTAAAATCAAAGAAAAATTTATTTTGTTTTTTGTAATATAAAATGATGTTAAAAGTAACATCTTATTCTAATTCCCGTTTGAATATGATTCAAATTTTACTCTAAACAAATGTGCATTTCCTTCCTAGGGGACCGAAGTTGTAACAATGGCATGAAATTAAACTTAAATTTGGTAAAGAAATCGAAATCATATCGCATGTCATGTTCAAAATCTGTTGGGGAGATAATTTCCATCTTATCAAACCCAACTCAAGTTCATGATTTTTAAAAAGAAACTTGCATCGTTGGTACACATCGCATACTGTGTAACCCGCTAGAACAAGACATTGAATTGCAATGCAATTTTTATTTATGTTGAAAGTCATTACCAATTTGTTTAGATTGTGATAATTATGGTGTAAGAATTACTCTATATGTTTTTTTTTTTTTTAAAAAAAAAGTCCATATTGTATATGTAGAACTTGTAATCGTTTCATTCCAAAACCATCATCTATTTAATACTACTTGTATTAAAATTAAATTAATCTGAATAATTATTTTGACACTGAGAAAGCATCAAAAAAAATAATTTATAATTTATAATATTGACGAGAATATTTAATTTGATTGTGATCGCCTTTTTTAGCGCAAAGGTAAAAGTTGTAAAATAAATGAAGTTTGTAAGTTGATGATTGTCACATGCGATGGTCGTAATTAGTAACTAATTTACACAAATGAATACTTTAATCATTTTACGCAAACGTTTGTAACCAAGACTAATTTACACAAAAAATGTGTTTATTAATTTTAAGCAAATTGCTAAAAAAGGAGTTCGATTTGAACTCAAGCTCGGATTTGGTGTTTGGATTAAAAAAAAAAAAAACTTGGTTGCTAAATAAATCAGCGAAGGATATAGGGCGTATCCAAATCCAAAATCGGGCGGTGGGTCCGGATGAAAATTTTCAACTGAATCTATAATGACAGGTGGACCGATCGTGCTCGTCGGGGCTCCACCAAAGTTCGTCTACTATCGGGTCGTCACGTGTCCCATACTCGTCACCAGCCTTCCATTCAATGGGCTGGTGATTCAGTTGTAGACCCCGGTTTCTCTTTCGGTTAAAGGCCCAAGTATTTATGGTTTCGTGGTTCAATATTATATATACAAGTTTGAAAATAATGTAAATTAGATTAATTAATTTTTCAAATAGAAATTAGTTTCAAAAATTTATTAGGGAGTATCTTGTCTATTTTTTTTTAACTTTACTACAATTTCTAGATTATAAGGTTCATAAATTCAATTTTACCATTTTGTTTTATTTTTTTTTTCGGAATGAAATGATTATTATTTACGAGTTAATTATTCGTAGTAATAAAAAGAACAATATTGATAATTTTCGATCTTATATTTCACTTCTGTTTTGTTTTTAATACCGTGAAGGACAAATGATTACTTCATCTAACGGGAAAAAGAACGAGGACAAATTAATTTTTTTAGTGACTCATGTTAAAATGTCTTTCTGTTTTCGTTGAATATATAATATTGTTTTTTTTAACGAGTGATGTGAAACATTTATTTCGTTGAACTCGAAAAGGTCATCTCATTTTTGTGGGCGTATTTGCAGTTTTAATCCTGGAAAATAAGTTGTGCGGATGACGTCAATGTTGCTGCCGTGGAGCTAGAATCATACAAGTGGGCACATCACATACTAATAATTTACAATTGAATCATCCTTTTGGACAAAAAAAAAAAAAAAAGGTTGCTAACAATCATCCATGATTCGAACTCAAACCTTGTCTCAAGGGAGGAAACCCATTTATATAACTTGACCCAACCAAAAGTCGAGTAAAACTATGAACCTAACATGATTTAGCATAGTTTAAGATTTGAAACTGATCAATAAACTTAAAATCCATTATTATCGAAAATGATTATTCAGTTTAATTGTGGGATGAATAGAAATGGGAGGAGAAAGAGTAAACAAAAAGATATAGTAGGGTATGTGTGTGTAGGTGGAAGCAGCGTGGCAGACGACGGAGCCCATGTGGTCAGGGTCATTTTGATGTGTGATTTGGGAGTGTAGTTTTTGTGGTAGACAGGAAAAGTAAAGCACCAAAACTACCTACCACATAAAACCATTTGCCTTCTTTCACTCCACATTTTTTAATCCATACACAGTCACTAATAAAGGTATTATTGGTCAGTCGTACAGAGTCTGTGCTACAATAGGCCGTACGGGCCACACCAAAGAAGAAGAAAGGAATTCGGATTTAAACCTCCAAATAGTAGCTTTCTCCACGTGTCAGCCTACGAAATCTAAGTTTGAGGATAAGATAGTTTCAGAACTGAGTCATCATCAATTTGCACGAATCCCACCTGGACCTCCCTTTTTGAGCTTTTTCTCCCTCCCATTCCGTTTCGTGGCCAAGAATCACTGAAAAGAATCTCCCCACTTTTTCCTGATGTGGATTGTGGGTCTCTTCTTTTTGTTTTTTTGTTTTGATGACGATGGATCTCGGGTTTTGCACTGTAACGAGGAAACCAAATCTACGCATCACTGCACCAAAATTCTTCATTTTGATTTGAGGTTGTGGTTGGGGGGGTGGTGGTGCCCTTTCCCCATTCAGAAGAAGTTGGGGGAAGGTTTTTTGGTTTGTGGATAAGTTTGAAAGACTCACCCCCCCTCCCCGGTTCATGTGGAGTTTTCAGGTCTTTATTGTTCACGACTAGTATTACTACAATACAATCCACACGATTCCATGGAAAACACGTGCTCCCCCTTACCCCTAAAAGACTTTTTGGGCCATCTATTTGATTCTCGCTGAACTTGTTGTATCATTCCCGACGTCACACTTCAGATGCATTTTCCGAATTTCGTATTGTCAAAAACTCATGGTCTTGGGATGGAGGAAGAAGAAGCGTTTAAGAACAATGAAGCTAACACGGATCAAACGCATAAACTAGCCGTATGTAACTGTAACACTTGAAATGTTGGTATAAAAAAAAGGGGTTATATTTGTCGCCATTAAATTCAACAAGTGAAGATTTGAACAGATTCCTGAGTTCAATGCAAGAGCTACCGGTCTATGTTACGGATGGATGACTGAAGTCGAAAATATTGCACACAATACTGACTAACACGCAACAAGACACGGACATGTTGAAGTACAGATTCTGATCCCAACTCACGATTCTACAAAAATGAACAAAATTACATGCTTAAGCACACCCCAGCCCGGGCTTCTGAACAGAGGCGCGCTCTCGAGTTGATGACCAAGTCCCAAGATTATATGGATTCTGTGTAATACCTTTGGGGTTTCTCTATATATGGTCTTGAGATATCCATGATACATTTTTAGATCAGATTCATTTTCGAGGAAGATGAGCCTTCACAGATTCAACCACCACCTGTTCAAACATGACATCCACAATGAGATGACAGATGATCAAATAATCCCCGACGTGTAGGTCCCATCAAACATAAAAATTTCATTTCACAAGAATCATCTCTGCTATCACACCAAGCAAAATAACTAACGAGTTTCACTTATTTGCATGTTTGGGAAACTTATGGCGCGACAAGAATACAGCTGTCTTGAAAACATATTTAGAAATCCTAGTACACGTACCCTCCCATCATACGACAATGATGCAAACATCCAGGGCTGCCGAGAACTCCAGGTGAGCCCTGATATCATTAATTTACTGGTCAAGTTCAATTAAGTTATGTTAAACCACAACCAGAAGGAAAAAGATTTGGAGCAAATACCATAGACACTGTCTTCATAGTCGCTGTATGAGTTCAGCATCTGATACACATTCTTACTGGGTGATTCCATTGAGCTGGCACAGTCAGAAAGGCTATGGAAATCAGTATGTAATTCAGTCAATGCACAGTGATACTGTAAATACGATGAAACCAGAAAGCACCTTTCTGATGTTGTATCATCACCATAGGGTGTGGAAGCCAGCCATAAGTTCACAGCCGAATCAGTCCCAGCACTCTATAAAAAATTGCTTCTGGTTAAAAAGAGTTTATTTGCAGCAAAGAAAGCAACAGAGTTTTGTACCTCATCTAATACTCAACAATAGAAAATCGCAAACAAAATTAAAGAAAAGGATGAGGAACCAGCACGAGAGAGAGAGAGAGAGAGGGCCGGGGGTGAGGCAACCGTGAGAGAGAGAGAGAGAGAGAGAGAGAGAGAGAGAGAGAGAGAGACCAAGATTAAGCCTTCATATTCCGGATTACATTTCACAGCCCATGTCCTGAAAGAAGCAGTAAAGCCACTTGGTGAGAAGTCCAATAAAGTCATTCAATATCACAATTGAGAACCACGCAGCAGAACAAAAAATGCGATATTTTTTAGGATGTGTAACACATTCAATCAAGAATTTTAAGTGACATATTCAAACAAAAATAAAATAAAATAAAGTTACCAACCATATGCGACGATACGGAGTTAACTGACTCAAAGCTGTCCAAAAAAAAACAGAAATTCTAGGAACTGCCATGTTTCTACATTAAGGAAGTATACCAGTGAGCATGTCCAGGGAGCTCTATGACAGGAAAATTTAGCATTCGGGTGTCCCAAATGTGTATTCCAGATTCATCTTCAGCAGTCACCTACAAAAAATCAGCCAGGCCCAAGTGCAATGATCAGACACAGAGGCCCATATATCACGGACGAACACATAGCATTCCCTTCCATTTGTTGTGATATTTATCCACACTTCTAAACAATACTCCCTCCATCCCAAACTAATTGTCCATTTCGTCGTACTATTTTTAGTACAATAAACACGACAATCATTTTGGAAAGGGAGAGTACGTTATTACAAACTCAAACTACAAAATGCCATGTAACAGCTAGTACTCACAAGCATATATTTCTTCTTGGTGTCATAGTCAATATTGCGTGCATGTACGTGCTCAATTGAATTTGTCTTCCTGCAAGTGGAAAAAGAAACATGAATGGACAAAGGGGTCTAGTGAGGAAGAAGGGATATTTAATTGAGAATGACCTCCCTAACCAACCATGTCAGAAAAGAATTTTGAGCCAATAGTTTAGCAGGTATATAAACACTACGGTCAGTCATTCTCACAACAGTGGCCACAGTAATGACTAACGAGTAGTCCAATGATATTCAGAAAATTACTCAGCATGTCAACAGCCATGACACACAATGTAATTGGAAGAATGGCGACGGGAAAAAAGAGTACATTCATAAGATAATAATCTATATTATATATTTTAGTTTTCACTTTTATTTCAGATAAAAGATGTTTTTCTAGTAAATTGGGTTTAATGAAGGGCAGCTTTGCAATGATTCTTTCTAAGCGATATTTCAGATAATTTAGGCTATTATGACTTCTGCATATCACAAGAACATACAGAACTTCAGGAAGTTTGGGAAGACAACTACTAAAAGCTGCCAAAAATTAATTTTCACAAAATCGTTTTCAAGGTTGACAAAGAGTGGTCAGATTTATAATAAAACACGTACTTCATTGTTCGCAGATCCCAAAATTGGATATATGAATCGGAGGTTGAGGTCAAATTATTAACATCATGCGGATCCCACGCTCCACCAGATAAATCGTGTAGCATGCCAGCTGATTCTTTAGTTTGAACCTAGATTTTGCAGCAACGCCTGAATATCAGTTAGCTGAGTAATCAAAATGTTACAATACAAAGAATTCAGAAAAATCAGGACTAAGGTCCCAGTTACGGTGTCGAAGAGCTAGAGAAGAAGACATCAATTTACTGAAATTGGATGACAAGCAAAAACGAATCCATCCACACTTTGTATGAAAAAAGAAGAAACAAAAAAGTTTATATTACACAAACATATGAAACAAGAAAAGAAAATGTAAAATTGTCTCCATCATATACTAAGAAAGAAAACCTAGGGCAATTTATGAGCTAACACGAAAGGGAAATAGTTCCCTGCTAAGTTCCCCTCCCACCTTATTCAGTATCAAATGGCCTGGACAAGCAATGAAGTATCTACAATAACATATAGAAAATGTACGGGAACGAAAAAGTGCAGCTCGTGCGAAATGAGTACACACAAAAACAAGAGCAGCTTATGTAATTGCTATAATATGCAACATGCAATCCATGATATCTCTTGTAGCCATACCTGTGCAGTCTTTTTTGAAGTGTCAAGACTCCATAGATAAAGATTCTGCTCGTCAATAGAAACTAACTTGTCATGCCTTCCAGTAGGCCACCAGAGCACACTGTCAATCACAGCCCACAAATGTCAAGATTCACAGAAAGAAAACCAATCAAAGTCACTTATTTTTCCCTTCTTTTATGTGCATGATCATTCACCAGAACAACAATAACGAAGATGCAATCTCCAACTTCAAGGGTTATTTTGGGCTCTTTTTTAATTCACTCAAATTGAAATAAATAGGAAGATCACCATTTAATCTTGGAATCATGTCCATCAAGAGCAGCAATACGCTCCAACTGCGGAGAATTCAGCTGACCATAAAGCTCAGGAATTTGCCAAATTGCAGCTCCAAACGATTCACCTTCACAATCAATTAATTAAAAAGTCAGCAAACTCCTTTTAAGTAGCATTCCAACATCCATGAACAGAAAATAAAAAAGTTCCACAGTTATCATTACCCGAAGAGAAGACAGTGGAGAAAATGCGTTGATCAAAAGGGCACGAAGCTAAGTCCCAGATCTCATTAGGATGAGAAAACAAACCCTCACAAATAAGCTCATTACCATCGGAGGAAACCCTAATCAAATGCACCTACAGAAAAGATTAGCATATTCGCAAAGTCAGTCCAATTCAATTAAAATAAGGACAGGAACACTAATTTTGGTAAAATGCAGGTTAATACATTCTTCTTTTCTGTTTTTCAAGAAAAACGAACCTCGTTTTCCTCTTTGAGGCTGAGAGTTCCGGTCAGAAAGGAGGTATGATCGGTATCTGCTTTCACGTCGGAAATGCATCTTGCCTGAGAAAATAAGCACACATTAGTTCACAAATAAAAACGAGCATTAGCTAAATCGATGGAATTATGATCGGGAGTTCACTTGATATTTAAGACCATAGCCGATTCCGGTAGTTGCTCCCTGCATTGATGCGCGATCTCAACTGAAGAATTTAAGATCAGTCAGCTGCGTTTACAGACTTCTGGATTTGCAATTTGGCACTTTTGGGCTCATACTACGTCGTTTTTGTCTGGCCACAGTCTACACTTCCCTCTTTTTTGTAATGGCTGCCGCCTGTGGCTGCGGGGGTCTTAAATTTATCACTTCCATCTTTTCAGTTACTACTATTTTTAAAAGAAAAAGTGATATGTATAGTAAAATGAAATCTACCATTTTGTTGTTATTTTTGCTGTTGAAATTTTATCTTTTTTACTATAAAATTACACTTTTATCTATAATTATATTGTACTACATGCAAGTTATTGTGATTTTTTACTTTGTCTATCATTGTTATTTTTAAAAATAGTTATCTACGTAAATACGCTTTATTCAAATTCTTTTCCTTTGTTTTAAGAATCCAAATTCTTTACAATTATTTAGCAAATCATATTCCACTAAGCGAAAATATTCCAGTTGGAAAGAATCCAGGTAGAAGTTGTTAATTGAATTCTAGTAGTTCATAGTTTAAAAAGGTGCATTTTAGAGTGTCATTTCGAGATCATTATTATCACATGAATACTTATACCACCATTTTGAAGTTTGAACAACATTAGAAGGTGTTAGGTTATGATTCAACCATAATGTTCTTAGCGTAATGTACAGGTTGTAATCACTTAATCTCTTTTTTTTAAAAAAAATTTGTCTTTCTTTAGTTTGAAACAAGGAAAAAGAAAAAAATAGAATAACTTTTGTGGCAATTATCGATCATTCCAGTGGTACGCTACTACACTTGGTTTCATTCTTACAAAGAAAAGAAAAAAATAATTTTGCCAGAATTATTGTAGAACTTTATAAACATTCTCAAGTAATTTGAAACTCATTTCTATTCATGTGGAGTGGTAAAAATCTATTGACCGAAGAGTATCATACACTTTATAAACATCAGTCACTATGTTTTCTTACTATATTATTTCACTAAAAGTATCATTTTCTTAAAAGAAATTAATTAAACAAAAGAGAAACATCTCATGATGATCGAAACAAAAAATTAACGTCGAGTTCAAAGTGTTTTTTTTTTTTTTTTGAAAGGCAATGTCAAAGTTTAATTGTTCGATCAATGACTTAATTCCGTTTCGAACCAGTTGTTTTGGTCCAAGTTGCCATACGAACTATGATCCACAGTATAAATTGCCCATTTCTGACTACGAAAAAAGAGTTTCAAGAGTCTCTGTTCTGAAAGATCCAAGTATATCCAACCATATCTGCTAGTAAACTATCCCAAACGCTAACAACATTTACAAATTTCTATTTTTTCCCCCCCTTTTGATGTTTACCGATTACAACACTGCTCATGAGAAGAGCACATTTCAACTCCTCAGGATTTAAGGATCTTCATCCAAAACCAGCTTCACAAGACCACTGTATACTAGTCTACTTAAGAAACATCGCTCCTATATGAAAAAGTCCACAAAGCTCCTCAGATATATCATTAGCTGTTCTCAGTTCTAAGTTGTAATACTTCTAAATCTGAATTAAACCTGGTACCACTTCTTGCTCATGCAACCACCATTTTCTCCCCCCATCTATTTTTGTAGAAAAAATCTCTTCCATCAATCAGACAGAATATCAACCTCTCATAAGGCAAGATTCAGATTCTTGAAAGAAGAGATTACTAACCCTCGCCCCTCGCCATCTTCAGTGAGTGATGAGCTAAATACACGACAAGTATCCATCTCACTGCTCATTTGCATAGTTGAAGGACAATCCCCAGAGGGCTACCTCCATAAACTCATCGCTTTGGATACAGGGCGAAGAAGAATCAGTCAGACAACAGGTTAGCAACATAAAAGTTTGTCACCATCTTTAGTCAGAGAGTAACAGATCGAGCTCGGGCTCCTCAACGAGAGATGCTTCATAATCCACAGCCGTTCCATTGGGCAAAATTTTTGGGCGAAGGTCACTGGCGTCTTCATCATCTTCAAATTCAACCCATTCTGGTTCATCATCTACGTTTTCACTATCAGCCAAACCACCCAATGGCTCCTCCTTTTGTTCCACCTTGTCTTTACCAAACTTCCGTGGCTGAGCTTCCGCCTTTGCTTTTGCTTCTGTATCTTCACAAATGCAGGTTGATGGGTTCTCATGGAATTCACCCCTTCCTGGTCTCACTTCTTTGGGTTCCCCCATGAAGCCTCGCTGGAATGTACGAACTTTCGACTCGAATTCTTCCCAAGTCATGTTATTTCGGTTCAAGAACAGTCTATACAACTTTTTAGCGTTTGGACGAATGGTAGGTTTATGCCCAAGGTACCTCCTACAATCATGAAATTGGAAGATTAAGATAGCTTTTAAAAATACCAATTTTCCTATATTTGCTAAAGGGATATTAGACCTCATACCTTCGCCCTGCTAAGATTTTCGCCATGTTTCCATTGTTGTTGGTCACAAATACATCACTTTCATCACATACAATAAAATCTAACGCAGCCATTCGCGAAGAAAATCCAGTAAAGGGTTCCAATTCCTCTTTACTAGCCAAGGTATCTTTTGAGTAGAAATTCGGAAAGAGAGCCTTTAGAGGAGCCAACGTCTCTTCACCGCCATACACTTCGCCGGATGCTACATAAACATGAACATCTTTACCATATCCAAGTGCTCTCAGCATCAGTCCAACTTCTTCAGGAGTGAGGGGACATCTTCCTCGTCTCCTCTCCTTGTCAGGATTGCTAATCTGAAAATTATGTTAAAAAGAATGATTTCAGATACTTTCATAACTGCAACAAATGTTTGACAATATCGGGCTGAAGAGGATAAATTTCTCCTTAGCCAGGAAAATCGTTGCATTTCTATCCTTTTCTCAAAAAGTGAAGATCTCAAGAAGTAAACTGCATCAATAAATGATTATGGCCAAAGCAAGGGATGCAGAATTCCAAATGGATATGGTGAGAATCATAGTATGGGCCTTACGTGCAATGTTTTCCACCTCTTCCGTATTTTCCCAAGCTCTGCCCTCTCCTTGTCCCCTCCACCGTAATAACATCCTGAGAAAGCAAGCATATCAGGCTCAAACCTGGAGAAAGGAATAGTATTTGTCAGTCCAGATTAGAGGATTAAGTACAGCAGTAAGCTTGGAAGTGTCTTTCATCCATGATAGTCACAAGAATAATTGCATACAAGAAAGCAGAAAACTATAACTGCAAAATGAAATCTACTTAGGAAACTAAGGGATTGAGAACTTTCAAAATACCAAGGGAAAACTGAGGGCTCACAACCACTCAACATAATTCAAAAGTAGATCAAAAGAAGCACATTCTCGATTTAGTTAACATTAGAGTAAAACACAAGCACGGACAATGATGGATATTAATTGAGAAGTTAGTAGAATCAGATCAGAAGAATTTAAAAATGATATAAGGATGAGGTTTAGGCTGTGAAATTCAAGGAAATTAGACACTTATAACGGCAGAAAGCTAGACTCCATAATTGGTAAATCATAGATCCTTGGAATTTCTAGACTACCTCAGATGAAGCGCGATAAAATGCTTGCTCCTTGTCCGCATTCGGTGCACCAATTTTTGACCCATTCTTATGATAGGGTTAGTGAACTTCAGTGCATGATAATTAACTCTGCACCGAAGCTTTTGATAATCCGTTTCCAGCTTATTTGAAAGTCTATAGTCAAACTTGTTTAGCTGGACAGCCTGTCACAAGAGTTTCAATCAAATACATTGTTTCCCAAAGCAGAAAAGGAAACTGAAAGAGGACCAACAGAAGAAAGCAATAAGAGTGGGCACTCACATCAGATAGAACTACAATATTAATGATGTTACAAGTAACCTTGACAAAGTACAGCTCTATGTAGCTTCGTAAACAAACAGATAATAAACTTAAGTAACATGTCCAGCTAAATGCAGGTTGAAGTCTGGCATGGATGAGATTGACAACACAATTCTCTGCTATAGTGTTCAGAAGAGAAAGTTGGCGACAATTATAAAACCTATGTAAACATTATTGGTGACTTTACGTGAGTGGAAAATAGAAGACCTAACATAGTTAAGGACAAAAAACAATCACCACACATTTAAGACAACATGCGAAATCAATGATAAGAAAGCCAGTTACAAACAGCAAATAAATTATCCCAACTAAGCAAATATTCCATCACCTATGTAAATATTCCATATTTTGGATTAATTTGGGACCGTATCTGTCACCCTAATTGCACCCATACAAACTTAACATAAGTAACGTTCAAACATTTGTCGGATTAGTCTGGAAGGTGATATGACGGTCGTGCAAGGAGACAAAAAGCATTATAGAGCAATTCCTTCGCCTAGCGGTTTTGAATATTCGTACTGATCTAAATCTTATCTTGCGTTCACTGTAAGCAAAATTACTGCATTGCACCAAGGTTTGAGGATAAGCACATGGTCGTGTTTTTTAATAATAACATTCTCAACTGAGATACTACCCAAGGAATTCCTGCCAGATGTCTGATAAAACGAATGGGAAGACAGAAAACAGATAAGGTCATACGTAATCATGCTCAAAATGGGCAACAGTTCGTAATATGTTTCACCCTACTAGCATGGAGAACTACATTAAAAAAAAAAAAATTTACTGCTACAATTAGACAAGCCATACATTTTAGGGGGGGGGGGGGGAATCTACAAGATCACATTGTTATACACAAGCTTATGAAACTATTATGCAAATATGCTCATAAAAGTCACCTGTTTCTTATTAAGTACAGGTAAGACACGATTGATGTAACATTTCTCGTTGCACTTTCTGGGAACTCGCATTCTGTATGGATCCCATTGCTGTCCTCTCCTCAACGGAAGCTCTTTTATGATTTTCACATCTTTGGCTAAATGTGTGATAAACCAGTCTACATTAAATATGTCCGAAAAGTTACTGCAAAAAAGAAAAAAGGTTATAAAACTTGAAATTTGACTAAGTCCAATCCCACGGCAATTCTATCTAGCTAAAAACTAACTTCCAGACGTTATGAAGAGAAGGTAATAATGATTGATTCCAGCAGAAAAAACAATTCCCAAACTAACCTCGAATCCTTCCAGAAGGATTTCTTATCTAGCATTGGTATAACAAGGGTAGCATTCAATATACGAGCAGCAACAACAGCATCAGTTATCTGAAAAGTACAATACAAGGAAGAAAAAGTATATTAATATCAATATTCAGCCTCCTTTTGACAAGAAACCGAAGATCGTGGTTAAGATCTGTGTGCTGACTATTGACGCAGACAATCTTCAGACGAAAGTTTTAACTGTAATTTCTCTTTAAATCCAACATGTTCACTAGCATGAAGATTCAGATTGAATTTATACCACAACTTCCATGAAAACCTAAAACGAACAGTTATTTAGAAATGAAAATGGTGCCAAGGCAAAAAGGTTAACGACAGCAAACTTCACAATCTATTTCAGGTTTCCGTAAACAACTAACCAGCTTCTTGTGTAAACATTCTTGTTAGAGAAATTAGTAAATACACTAGATGGCATATAATGGTAAAGCAATCATTAGAAACAAACCAAAAAAGTACTTGTTTATCAATACTTCCCTACTTCATTCACACACAATATAGAAACACAAATCAAAACAGCCATAAAGATACCTAAATGGGCACAGATTATAATGGGATAGTCATTATCGAGTTCTTATTAAGGTCACTGATGAGAACTAATATGTGGTCCAGTTGAGCACCATATCGTAATCAAACGCTCGGCATCAGAATTCCTTAATTAGCAAATGAAAGTGCAAGACAAAACTTAAGAGGGAAAAATAAATTACCCCAGTTCTCTGTTGATTAAGACCCCCACTGGTTGCAACCAACAAATATCGATTAGGACGTGTTATATCTTCTGGTTCTGTATTAGCAGTGGCAACCAATCCACAGTCAATAAGATTTAGACTAAAGGAATAAATCAAATGTTTCTACGAGTAATAATGATAAATAGGTGAATGTACGCACTTGCAAATTTACTGCTGGCATTGCTGCATCCATAATAAAACCTGGAATTTCTTGTAGTCCAGAGATCATGATGATCTGCGGCTCCTTTAGTAGTCTAAAAGATATCTCCAGAATCCACGAAATAAAGTTCGTTTAATATATATTTTAATTTCCTGATATTAATAAGATAGTAAGAAGGAACAAAACCACTAAGAAATATAAATAACAGAGATAGAACCCTAACCGGGACAAGAAATTTAGGCTCTCCAATCCCGTCCAAATTGCCAGTTCCATCCTCCTGAATAAATAAATAGGCGAAATAACTAATGAACAGTATCGAATGCGATCACAGAGGAAGCGAAGAATGTAAAAGAAAGAAAGAAAAAAAAGGACCAAAAAAAACAGAGAAAATGTACCCAGGAATCTTTGCGGCCATGGCGAAGGTGATCGTTTTTGTCGACGGGAGAAGGCGCCAAGAGGGAGAGGAAAAGGAAAAGCAAGAGAAGAGCGGCGGAAACGACGGAGATGGCGCGGATAAAAAACCGGCGTCCACGGAAATGGTTATAATGCTGGCGACGGCGAGGGATAGCCATCGGAAACCGACGAGGCAGACACCGGAAAAAGGGGTGGCGCGGGAGCTGAAGCTGAAGCTGAGAAGAGCCGCCGACCTCCGCTCCGGTTACCTCCTCCTCTTCCTCCTCCTCTAATCGTTAACAGTAATGCACTAAAACAAATTCTGGAATTGCCAGTATTTGGTTTAATATACTAATAAACCCAATCCCTAAATCAAATCTTAAAAAAAAAAAAACAACAACAATTTTTAATCTTGACAAATCCCTGCAGTAATGTACTGGGATTGTTAATAATTAATCTAATGGTTATATTATGATTAAAGTAATGCAATTTTTTAAAGCAGAAAAAGAGGTATTATCTGAGGAAACGGTCAGGAGAGACCGATTCGGAGCTGGAAGGGTTTAGTAGTAGTAGTAGTAGGATTAATATTGGAAGAAGTAACAACTGCTACGATAACGACAAGCATTGCTGTTGTTGTTGCTGATGATTTCATCGCTTCCATGTTTTGTGCTTTGCTCTTCTCTCACTGTGTGTCTGTGTGTTTTTAAGTTTTTCTTATATTTATTTACTTTCTTTGTTTTTTTTTTTAACCCTTTTACTATTTATCTTTGATTTTTTTTTTCCCTTCTTTTGACTCAGTGACTCAGTTTTTATCTATTTGTTCATTCATTTGGATTTGGCAAAGAGAGAAAGAAATATAACAATGTAATGTAAATTATTATATGATTGGATTATTACTAAAACCGTTAATCCTGGTGTGTATGTATATCTACCTTTCTTTGTTGACGATTTTGTAGTAGTGTTTTGAGTAGTTGTTACAATTATTATCTGTTTTTATTAAGACATCTCATTAATGTTAAAGATAATGTGTTTTGTTCCGAATTTGTGTTATTGTTTTTTGCTTTTTTTTCTAGAGTTCAAATCATTTCCTTTGAGTTGTGCTTATATATGAATTAGTCGGATAGAAAATTTTATAGCTCATGAAATTGCTGATTGCAAAATCTTGTAATATGAGGAACACGCTTTAGTCGTCTGTGCTGGCTAATTCCAGTTCATTTATAAATTATCTTTTAAATAAAAAAAGTGAATTAGGTTATGTTGTTGTATGTTGTTTTTAATGATGGGGAAGTGTAGAGGTTGTAAAAGTACTCTAAAATTTTTGACCATTCCTTTTGTTACGGGATAATGTTAATAGTAGTATCAATCAATATTATTTACAGAAATTATCCCTTTTTTTTTTTATTGCTATGCCATTCATTTATGATCCCTAAATTTATGAGACACTGTTCTTCCGAGTCCTTTGCCTTCTGACTCTCTCCTTTGTCATGCTAATCGTGTAGACCATCCATCACAATTTTATCTATTTCTTTTTTCTCTTTTTTTTTTTTGGGTAGAAAAGATGAACTGTTGTTTTGGGCTAATTGCTGATTTTTTTGGGTTTTTTTTCCCCACTCCTTTTGTTTATGATGAACAGACAAAAAGATAATTAACAGAAACAAAACCACTAAAGCGACGTGCTGATCATCAACTTTATAGAACCAAAAAAAAAAAAAGAATTACTAAAAGAAAGAATTGTCTTCACGTTGGATGAGCAAAATAAATTACTGGGACTAAAGCTACATATTTGTTAAAATTGAGTTTGGGCCGGATATTAATGAACACAAAACCGCTCAACGCCAAAATGTAGCCCATCCCGGCCTTCCTACGCTGAAGTGGGCTGAAAGGCTGAAGATGAGAGTCCATACTTGAGCCCAATACTAAGATATCACCGGTAACCGAAATCCCCAGTTTCTCCACCAGCAGACTATAAAATCCCCACCACACTTCTTCCGTCAGCTGAACTCTTTTCGGTTCATCATCATCTTCTTCTTCTTTTCGGTGTAATCTTGGAATTTATCGTCAATGGCGGAGACAAGAATATAGCATTCAACAGGGTTTTAAGTCAGACCCACTTCAAATAAGCTACTAAAATTTAGTGGGGCAGTCGTCAAATATTGCTTTTAAGAAAAAAGAAAAAAAAATAGAAATGTCTACTTCTTTAACTGTCAGACCACCGCCACCAAATTTGTTCTTACAGTCTCGTCCTAATAATCAGAGGTTGATTTCTTTTCTGAATTACCCGAGGAAAGCTTGTAAGGGGAGACTGGTTTCAGTCAGAGCCCAAAGTAAGAATAACAACAACAAGGATGAGGATGGCTCCACCAATGCCGGCGATACCTTACCCGCCAACGGAGCTTTTGTAATTCCCTTTCCCTTCTTCTGTTGTTGTTTTTTTTTTTTTTTTAAAATATTTTTACTGTTGCATGTTAATTTTTTGGGGATTATGTGGTTTTTTTTCTTTTTCTTTTTCTGGGCAAAATTCTCAGAGTCACAAGCTCATGAGGCCGCGCACGGATAAATTTCGAGTATGCACAATGTGGTAGTCTGATAAGAGTTTAAAGATTCAACTTTTGATATTTTTTCCCCGGTTATGTTTTGACCTGTGGTGAGTGATTGTTAAATGGGCATCTTGAATTTTTGGGTTTTCTTCTTGTTGTGTGGGAATGGCAGCCGAGGGAAGTGTGCTGTTGTTTTTATTTTTTTTATTTTTTTTATACAATCAATTTTTACCCTTTGTTTTTGGTTTTGGTTTTGGGTAATGGATGTTGCTATGGGGTTTTGTATATTGGTTTATGTGTTTATTTATTTTGTATGGTATGGGAATGGCAGTCGGGGTGAAGATTGAGTGAGAATACCTTTTCCCACATTTCCTGTTCTGTTTTGTTTGGGGCAACAAATATAGAAATGATTATTTTGAACATCTAACTTTTTTTCCTTTTGTTTGTTTTTGTGTCTGGTAACGGCAGCAGAAGACAAGGAAAGAGATTTTATTGGAATATGTACAGAATGTGCAGCCAGAATTCATGGAAATGTTTGTTAAGAGGGCGCCTAAGCAGGTAACTATTGGTTTGCTCCTTTTGTATTTAACTTTTCTGTAAACAAGATAATTGATGAATGGATTAGTTGGAGCTGGGTAGTTTGTTCCGTGAAGGTTTTATTCCTTCCTTTCAGGTTGTACTAGGTTGATTGGTTTGTTTATTTAATCAGAATATACGCGCAGGGGTTGATTGTTGTGCTAGCTGTACATTGAGTTTAATTTAATTCATTGACTATCTTTATCAAGCAATTGGTGTTACGTGGCACTACTTATTTGGGTATCATTGGTTTTGTCTTCTGTTTTAGGTGGTTGACGCAATGCGACTTACTGTGACGAATATGATAGGGACTCTGCCTCCACAGTTTTTTGCAGTAACTGTGACCACTGTATGTATTTTAACTTACGTGATGGCATATTATGTTGCGGCTCCACGTGTGATCATTCAACAAGTTTATTTGTTTGGGTTATGCTGAGTGTATCTATACCTTACTTGGATTTGTGAATCTCTTTTTACTTATTGCAGGTTGCTGAAAATCTAGCTCAGCTCATGTATAGCGTCCTCATGACTGGATATATGTTCAGGAATGCACAATACCGTGTGGAATTGCAACAAAGTTTGGAGCAAGTTGCTCTCCCTGAACCACAAAATAAGGTCAGTTTGCTCTCGTATTTGGAATCTTGTCCATTTCCTCTTTCGTGTGACGCTATCCACGTGTGGGAAAAACATATGTTCAATCTTTGTCAGCTTTTGGGTATTTTGTGAGACTCATAACAATACTTATCCAGGTCTGGGACTCATGGTCGTATTAGCCAGCTTTGCATGAAATTTGGGATGCATGGTAGTAGTTAATATGTGGTTTCCACCGACCTTGGTTTCACATGGCACTGATAGCTTTTCAGCTTGTTGAGGAGGCACGTGTTTTAAGTATTTTCTTTGATACGTGTGTGCATATATTGAAGTGCACGTGTCTTGTTACTGAAAATGGAAAGCTGTTGTCTCAGTTTCCTAAGTTGGGAGTGTGATATGTTTGCATCGGTGCTATTATCATCATGCAATCACAATAGCAATAGGAGTTATTGACTTTGGCACCTAAAGGATAAACTTTGTGATTGATATCGTGGCTTATTTCCTTTTCTTCAAATAACTGTGCGCTACGCTTTCTTCATAAAACTACTCTTGACATCCACAAATATTGTCTATATCTGCATACATGTTAATGACTGTAATTGCACAAAGTTCTGCATATTGCATGTAGGTTATTTGATTGCATCACAATCTTTTGTGCTACTAAATATGCAATCAAAATCTTCATTTATGGTTGCGTAGGATGTGCCAGATTTTGCACCTGGCACTCAGAAGAAAGTGACTGGAGAAGTTATCAGGTGGAATAATGTCTCTGGTGCTGAGAAACTAGATGCGGTAAAGTACATCGAGTTGCTGGAAGCAGAAATAGAGGAACTCAACCGTCAAATTGAGAAGAAATCTACTGAAGAATCAAATGACATATTGGAATATCTGAAGACCCTTGAACCTGAAAATCTGCAGGTTAGAACCATATTTTTAAGTAAAAAAATAAATTAAAAATCATGGACTGACTTTCGCATATGGAAATTGTTTCATCGGCTATCTTGGAATTTAAGTCAATTTTCATGTGTTCACATTTGGTACCTTTTCCTTGCCTTCGAAAGGGCAAAAGGGCCCAAAATGATGGGGACGTGATCTTGATAGTTGTCCTCTTTCCTTGCATGGGCATTTAAGTAAATTTGTCATTAAATTTTCTTATATCAATAATTGTCTAGGAATTAACGAGCACTGCTGGAGAAGACGTGATACTGGCTATGAACACATTTATCAAACGTCTCTTAGCTGTTTCTCCAAGTCAAATGAAGGTCATCTTTCTGTAACCCTTCTAAATTTAAAACAATCTTTCAGTTGTCTGTTCCTAGTTGTTCTATGCTGCATGTAATTCAAGGTAAAAGAAATGTGTTTTTGGTTTACAGACTAGTGTAACAGAGACGAGTGCACCAGAACTAGCTAAATTGCTGTACTGGCTTATGGTGGTTGGATATAGTATCAGAAACATCGAGGTTCGGTTTGATATGGACCGGATATTGGGTAACCCACCGAAGCTTGCAGAGCTGCCACCAGGTGAGGACTTATAAGAAGAGGTGCCAGCTGGTCAATCTCCATGTACAAGTACAGGGAAGGGTGTATTGGTTATATTATTTTTAGTTACAAAGTAAAGAAAGAGGAGTTAGGGCTGCATTTCAGCCAACTGAAGGGACTTTACAAAGACTAGTTTCATATTAAGTTAGGTTAACATAAGAGCTTCGACCATATTGTTATTCTCATCTGTTTGTAACTATAATACAAACTGGAGGAACTTGATGATGTTTATAGAAGTGATAGGACTTTTTGTTGAGATTGATTAGTATATGAGAAATTTTGCTTCATCTCTGGTTTGCTGAGGTCCGAATTACTAGTCGTATCAGTTTCTTAACCTTTCGTTGTAGGGCATCATTCCTTATGTCCATCCAAAACTGACTTCTTGCCTTCTTAAAGATACTGCATTTGCTTTTAAAATGAAGAAAAAAAAAAGTTAATCCTTTTCAAGTTATGTATTCAGTCAAGCAAAGATTCACTCGCGGCAGAAAGAGGTACTGTGAAGAAATGATGTGGTTTTCTATCATAAAACAATACAGCAATACACTATACGTGCAAAATTGTATACCCTGCCCTGCTGAACAGTGCCTGGGCTAGGCAATGTTGAACCTAATCTGACTGCACTAATTCTATGAACGACAAACTAGATCTGCATCAACAGGGTTGATTCTTCAACTAAACACAACTGGACTCATGATACACAATGCTCTCTCAACTTACAAAACTAGAGCCGAGCCAGAAGAAAAAAATAAAATGATAAACAAATGAGTAATCTGCAAAAATTGAGCAAATATCTAAAAACTTTCAGTTTACCGGTTAATCGGTTTCGGTTAATTCCAGTTTTTTCAATTTTTGATAAAACCGATTAAACCGATTAAGTCATCAGTTTAACGGTTTTAGTTTATCAATTTTCGATTTAATTATCAATTTTTACCGGTTTAACCGATAATATTTGTCATATGTTTTTGAACAAAATATTATTAATATTTAGCTTCACCTTTAAATTTTGTTATACTAATTTATGTAATTCATATCATATTTTACGCCCATCAAATAATGAAACTCTTTTTTAAACTTTCAATCTACAATAAAAACAATCAAAACCTTTCTTTTTTATAATATTCTATTCAACAAAAAAACATGTTATTACAACAAAATTTTTTAGTAAAATAATTTGACAAAATGAAAAAAAATTAATGACATAGAAATATGAAACATATAAAATTTTTCTAAATTTATCAATTTTAATTTTTATAATCGGTTATTCGGTTTAACCGAGAAAGGTTTAAGTAAAACCGAAAATCGAACCAATTAACCGACAAAAAATCGTTTAACCGGAACCTATTAACCAATTAACCAATTTAATCGGCTCGGTGGTTCGGTTAATCGGTGCTGGTTTTTTTGAACACCCCTACTTGCAGCATTCATTGACTAACTGGATATATCGGCAGTGACAGTAGTTGATTGCAACCAGAAATCTGTTTATCCAGCAACTTCCTTTTGACTGCCACAGCCACTGCCACTTGAGTCATCTTCCAGTACGCAAATCAGGAGCAGTCCCAGAAGCATAATTATGAGAAAGTCTCTTAGCCCATGGACTCTGATTAGGTGACCAAGATATCGTTTGTCCTAGCATGGCACACCATCTCAAGTGGAGCAGGGCAATTGGAAGATAATCCATGGACTCTTTGAAGAGCTCCATAATTTGTGTTTCACATTCCACGCTATCCGAAACAATCAGATTTTGATATTCAGTCTTTTTTTCTTCCATAATTTCATCATCCTCCGAAATCATCCGCATGCTGAGAACCTGCAATGCTTCCATTGCAGTGCTGTGAAAACCTTGGACTACATATGCAGAGAAAACATGGTGGCAGGTACATGGATCTGGCTGGATCTTTTCTTGGTGCATCTGCTCAACAATAAGCTCGAGCACATCAAGTTTTCCCTGAATGGAACAGCTCAACTCATTAAACCAATACAAGTACTCCAAACCAGAAGAAAAAAAGAACAAAGAAAAAAACAAAGAGCAGAAGGCAACAACTGCATAGCGTGAATGAACTAGTGTATACCTAGGAAATGGATTTGGTCAAATGCGAAATTAAGAAGGAACGCGCCAGTCATCTCTTTCTCACAAAAGGTAGTGATACAATCTCAATATTCATAGGGTAAATTGCATATACATAAACATAATGTCCAACAATCGAGAAAGCGTTTGACAAATGTCAAAAAAGAGGCGAAAGTTGTGTCCAACAATCTAGAATTCTGGTTTATCAAAATCATGTTAGTATTTTGCTTAGAAGCAATTCTGAAGTCAAATCATCTGAGAAAATCTTGATAGACACAACATAGTTACACAACAATTAAGTGAAAATTTACCTTTTCAGATGTCACCTGAAGAAAAGTGTTGTACAGGATTAAATCAGGCTCGACTCCCTCCAACTTCATTTGACTAAGCAACTTCAGAGCTTCATCAAAGTCTTCAAGTTTCAACAAGATCTATTACACATAAAAAGAAAACATTAGATGAAGCGATAAAACCATCCCAATCTTAACGATAAAGACTTCCTCCCCCTAACGTTTAGATCAAGAGGATCCGTCAGTTCAACCTGCTTAGACAACTAGATTATTTATTCTACCAAAACAATGGCAAGGTGAAAATTCATCTATTTGAATCGACAATGGGCGGCATAATTGCATAATTTCAAGAGCGTAAGGAAAGTGAATTTGTTTGGTAAATGGTCACATCAAATCCTTCCAACCATGACAATCATGAGAAAAAGAATGCACTTCCAGAAGTACCTTAATGAGACTGGTGTAAGTAACTGTCGCTAAAGGGAAACCATCCCGGATCATCATCGAGACAAGTGCATGAGCAGATAGTAAGCATTTCATATCGCAGCAAGAATAAATCATGATGCTGTATGTAGCAGCATCGGGGGGAACTTTCCATGATTTCATGGTTTTGAATGTTTCTACCGCCATCCGAGTCTGGAGAACAAATCAAAACATCAGTTAGAATATAGACATTTCAACAAATATTTGGAGATAAGACATGATCCCGCGCAAAATCAACAAAAATAATCAATTCTTTCAAAAACTACAAGATACGTAAGGCATACAAGTAAAAGGTCCTATTAGTATAGGAGGAAAACCATGCAATGAGTATTGAATGATTAGGAATATCAAGCAATTTAGCGCACTCACTTCATTGGCCTTAACAAGAGAATGCAAGACTATATTATAGATGGGAGTCCCCAGAAATCTGTAAGCACTAGAAAATGGTTTCTCTGCATCACGCAATAATTGGACAAGCTCTGTTATCATCCCCTCCAATCCAAGCGCATTTAGCTACACCAATTCCAGGAAATAATGAAGAAACTGAATAATTAGACTCTGGGGTCTTGGAACTCACTGAATTGGCCTGCTTCAACTAAATGAATATGTCACAGAGCCAATTGAAATTTAAAAAAGTAGGAAGATAGAAACCAACCATATTCTTGAGTGATACATGGCTATGTTGAATGCCATTCTTCATCATATCCATTTCTATAGCATGTACTCTTCTCGCAACATCTAACCGTGACAAAAGATTTCCCTCCTCATAAGGTGGATTCACATTACCAAACAATGAAAAAAGCAGCTCATAAGTCCTGATATCTAGCTGGATATTCATTTTTTTCATTTTCGCCAACATCTGGATAGCACGTTCAGGGCAATCCTAATAATAAAGTTCCACAAAAACATCAACAGTGAGGACAATGACAAAGCACTCTGTATTGTCTTTAGTGTGCCAGAAAGTGCAAGTACCAGTATTTTACGAAATCTGCATATATTGATAGGCAAAATTCTAGTTCTAATAAAAATTACCGACAACACAAACCAGCATATTAAATTTGAAAAGTGCCAGAAACTGCAAGCAAACAGTGGAGAGCAGAAATAAAGAAGAGAATCTTGAATAGAAAAGGTCGAACTAAGGGACAGCTATCTGGCAACCCAAATCTGATAATTGCACAATATATTCAAAACATATTGAGCTAATACAGACAACATGCCACTTACTAGAGTATCACATGCTTCCAGAAAGGCATTGTAAGGATGAGGACTTGAACAATTTGATATTTGATCCAGAAAGCCCTCAGCCAAATCCAGTTGCAAGGCTTTGCAGCAGCCGACGGCCATAGCAGCAAGAGTTGAATCATGAGGCTTCAGCTTTTTCTGTTGCATGACTTCCAGCTGCAAAGAGATTAGAAGTTATGGCTTTTTCATGACAACACTTAATTTAGTACAGAAGTATTATACTTGAAAAGCATATGAAGCGCCATAAATGCCAACAGAAGAAAAAAAAGGGGGGCCTCGTAGAAGTTCCTATATTTGGGGGGTCTGAAGAAGGATCATGCCATTAAGACCTAGTATAGGCAGCCGTTATGTTTCTATAAAAGGTTGCTTATAACTCAAACCACTATCTTCAGGCCACATGGAAACATCTATCCAGACTCCCTTCAAATGTCAACACTTCGCATCAATCAAAAGTGAAGTATCATGGTCATGTACTTTAAATCAGGTGTATAAGACGCACACATCAAGATAATGTGAAGGTGAAACAAGCGATTGATCCATCAATAATCAGTTATCAAAATGGAATAATTTATTCTGGAAGACTAAGCTATTAATGTTTTGATCATTTTCTTAATGCATATCTTACCACTTTCATGCCATCGTAGAAACCTCTTGAAGTTACAACTGCTCTTAAGAAGCCATCATATGTACCTGAGGAGGGTTTCACTCCGAGAGTTTGCATCTTAAACAAAGAGACATCACAAACTAAAATTAGCAATGATGTTACATTCCTAGTTAAAGCATTAACTAATTTGAAAAGAAAAGTGGCAGAAAAGATTACTCTAAAGTGCAATAAAATCTTGTATTTCTACCTCAGTATTCATCTGAAAAAAGCACCCTCTCAAAACAGAGTACTGATGACAAAAGGAGATGGTAAAGTATTACTAAGGAATTTTTATTACCTGAGACATTAACTGCTCAGCCAATGCACAGTTTTGCACCTTTACACAAGCATGTATAACATCATTGAAAGACCATCTGAGAAGCTTTCTAACAGAGACATTTACATGTTTTGCAGGCACAACTCTGCTACTTGTATGATCATAGGTTTCCATCAGATGACTAAAATTACACAAGCCATTACTTCTATTTACATCCATTCTCTCTTGATAGTCAAAGACAGATGGCAGTATGCCATTATTCTTAGTATAACTCTGCAGTGTCGAATCGCTATAGGACGGAATTGGTATGTCCAACTGGGGAATGATAATTTTTCCTCCAGCAGTTCTAGAGACTACAGAGTTTCTTTGGAAAGCCAAATTCACCATGTGCTGCAAGGTCTCATAAGCAGAATCCAGATCTTTCAACTTTGTGAATGACCATATAAACTTCCTCATCGAAATGAGGTTTAACCTATAGTACTGAACACACTCCTTCCATATTTCATGCACTGCAGGTAGATTTTGCTGTGCAACTGCAAGCTGAAAAAATGAACATAGAGAAATTATAATTTTGACAACTCAATGATGAAGGGAAAAAAAGTAAGAAAGCACGCACGCAAACCATGTAACATTCACAGAATGGCGAGGGAAAAGATCAAAATAAATGGTAAAGGAAAAAATTCAGACACTTCATCCTTTAATGTTTTCCAATTAAAATGTCAGATTAAACACAAATTGTCCAAAATGACATTAGTGCCTAAAACCAAATCTTTTCAAAAGAATAACAACTGTAATGGTTGCGACCAACAGACATTGTGATACAGCAATACATGGGTCACTGACTTTACGCTTATAGATATACATCCCAGCTTCAAACAGTTAATTCAAATCTCATATACATCAACAGCTCTATGATAATTAGCTCCATATCATTATCATCTACCACCAATATTCTCCAATTAAAAAAAGCAAAGCAAACATAATAAACAGATGCTGTTGCTTCAGACAAACAAAAAGATTGAGGAAGAGCTTCAGACGCACAATAGAGTTATCCATGTGAAGCTCTTACCTACCTTGAGGAGCAGAGAATACGTCAGTTCATTCTTGCCCACCATCTGGTGATCCATGAAGTCTAGGCAGTCCTTGACATAGTTTATTGTATGATTTTGGTCACAAAAACTAAGGAAATCATTACACACCGTCAAAAGGGGGTACATATCAGGATTCTCTCGCAGCACGCTAATTAGATTGAATGCCTACACGTTATGCACACACAAGATAAGTTTATTAGTGCAGCCTGATCCGATCATTATTACACAAACAGGCAGAGTAAATGTGGAGATCATTATAATTTAAAGCTGATTATAAATTAATAAACAGAAAAGAGTGTCCTTTGACCTGTTCGTTGAGAATGTAAAAGAACTTCATAAACAAGAACCAATACCTCTTTCAGATAACCTCCCTTGCACAATGCTCGAATAGTATAGAAGTAGCATTTGCCACCTGCATAAATCTTCTTTTCCTCCATGAACTTCCATGTCATCATCGCAAACTGCAGCCAACCCAAGCAAAAATAAAACAAAATTAGAAATAAAAATAAACCAAAAATATTAGAAGTAAAAAAAAAAAGGGTCTAAATGAACAACAAAATCCACAATATTGAAGCCAAGGGCTAGAATCATGATGTCAGAAGCAGCAAGTACACATACCCAATAAATGAAGCAACAATACAAAGAATAACCAAACATTCACCTCCTTATCTACCAGCTATAAATCACTTATGCACAAAAACTGTGGCTAATTTTGTGCGCTCACATAGATAGTTTTTGTGGGTCTCAGTTCAAAGACATCGTTAACCTTTTCCAGATGGCAACACAAATGAATCTTCAAGCCGTAACCTTTCTGGCTATAAAATAAGGTTTAGAGGTTATGCTTCAGAACTGCCATTTCCAATCTGTTCTAGACAACTACTCAGTAACCCTCTCCAACTCCTACTGATAAAAGTTGTTCATAAAAATGGTATTCAAGAAATGACAGTAAAATTAGAATCTAAATATCATTTATGCACACAAGATCGTCAAATGGGCAGCAAAAAAAATCAACGATACCAGTGGATCTGGCAATCTTGCACAGCATTGAAGAATGGGAGCAAAATTACTGGCATCCAATGATTCCCTTGTGTGCCTTAGCTCTGATAGCAATCTAGAAGCTTTATCTTTCTGTCCAAGACAAAGAGCATCAACTATTCGCTCCTGCAGGTGATTTGTAGTTGAATGCGCTGAATACCCTAAATCAGTAGAAATACACTCATAGTTCATGACCTCCACCAAAATCCTGGCTTTTAAAAAGAATTTAACTTAAACCTCACACAACTCATGCTTTCATCTCAAAACTAGAATAGGAAAACAAAACCAAAACACAAACAAAAACGAAAACGAAACAGTTGAATGCATACAGAACCTAATCCCAAATAAATTCACTCAAAGTAAGACATTTATGCCCAATTCTGCCATTTCACAAACCAGAGAAATTAACCATACAGTAATTCACGTCCTTCAACCCATACCAATGCACCGAGTCAAGACCTTTATGCTCAATTCTGGCTTCTCATAAATCACAGAAGTTTAATCCAACCTAATTAAACTTACACCTTAGAAGTTATTACGAATAGTTGCGTCTAAACTAACAAAATTTAGCCCTTCAAACTAATTTCTGCTCCGATGACAAATAAAGCCACAATCATTTTTTGTTTCTTTTTCTTTTTTTCCCCAAAGAACAATGACTCAAGAGTTGTGGGATGACGAGATTGATACCATCAGGAGAAGCAGTGAAGCCACGAACTTCTCCAAGCCTTCCAACAGCCCAACTGCTCTGCCACTATACAATAAGTTTATACTTCATAAACTTTTAGACAGCAAAAAGGGAAAAAAAAAAAACAGAAGGAAAAAGAAGAAGAGCAAAGGGAAATGAACCATACGTGTTGGGGGAAGTTGAACTTCAAAAAAATCGAGTTGAGCTTCCGTCTGTTCATCGGATAAAATACAAAGCATTAACCTACGAAACTATTATTTGTAGTTTGGGTGGGAATTCGTGGAGATAGGTCATTTTGAACTTACAGATGTTGGCACATTATACTGAGACAAGATGATGTCAGTGAAGGTTTTTGAGGACTTTAGAGATTCCTAGCAGGAGTAAGGTTTAACGTAATAATAATTTGACATTGAAACTGACGGTCAGTCAGCAACGCCGCCGGAGTTGTCGAGGTTTAGGCAATTCCGGCGAACCTGAAATATGCCAGATTATGTCAGTCCAACAAAACGATTCCTTCCCCTCCACTTCTCCTCTCATATTTTAGTTAGTATTAGTACTACATTTTCCAGGGACCAAATTGTTAAAAGATCATAAATTCCAACCCCTGATTCAAATTCTTATAAAATGTAAGATAATTTCTCTTTTTTGTATTTTTTTTCCTTTTCTTTTCTTAAATAAAATGTCCAGAAATTTTTTTTTACAAAAAAAAATATGTAACAGGTTTATTCGGTAATCGGTAGTACCCGTTTAAACCCTACGCAGCAGAAACGCCTACATTCAAGAGTTTCATGTTCATATGTTTTTTTTTTTGCGGGTTTAGGGTTTATCAGTATCACCAATCTCAAATTAACTCAATCAATCCATCAAATACAACCCGAAAGGAAGATTGTCAGCCATGGCTGGCTCTCGACTTCAAGCTAATAAACAGCATAAGTCTCGATTTGCTTCCAAGTCCTCTCGCAATGCCCACAAAGTTCCCTTGAAAGGTTGATTTTTATAAATTTTTTTTAATTATTTTGAATTATAGCAAAAAATATTTATGAATGTTCTATTGAATTCCTTCTTGTTGTTTTGTGTTGGATTCTTTAGAAAAGCACAAACTCACGAAATCTGATGGCAACGTTGGCAAAGGAGCTCGAGCTGTTCGTTTACAGCGTGCCAAGATGGTATTATGATACTATATATAGCTTCTGACTTTGAATTTTTTTATTTATTTTTTACTTTTAATTGGAGTTTGATGAAGTAAAACTTCTATCCTTTAGCTCAGAGACCAGAGCCGGGCTGAATTAATGAAGCAGAAAAGGTCCATGTCTGGATCAGGGGCTCCACCCCGTGTCATTGTGAGTTTCTTAGCTCTAGATTGCCAATCAAATAGGTTTTAGTTTTCCAGTTTTGTCATCATGTCTTTTTGGGTTTGGTTTTTTAGGTTTTGTTTGGTTTGTCGTCCGCTGTGAACGTGAATTCACTCGAAGATGATCTTCTTGCCTTATTTTCGTCTTCGTTGCCCCAGAGGAATGAGGTTCAGTATCCTACAGTGGCTTCCTCCGAGTACAAGATGAGAGCAACTGTAAGCTTCATTTGATCATTTCCATTCTATTTTACTAACAAAGTTGTTTGCTGGATATGAGTGTTCTGACTAGAATTAACTTTTCAATTAATTATCAAGGTTTGAAGTCTGTCGGCTCATTTTTAGTGGTAGTGATAGTATAATTCGATACCAAGAAAAACCTTGACTTCTCTCTTGCAATGAGGGACTGAATTAAAACCCTTGAGTTTTATTAAGGGCAACAGAAATAGTTTTTGTCCCACCTAAATTGAAAATCTTAAGGGGCAAGTATGTTAAGTTGCAAATATTAAAAATCTTGCCCCATCACATCTTTGGGGCTTGGCTCCACCCCTGCTCGGTTTCACCTTAAAAAATATTGATACTTGATAAGTATAAATAAGTTTATCTAGTTGATTTTAAATAGTTATTCATGTGTTATTTTCTTTGTTAACCTTATTCGTGAAAGTTTATTAAGTCCTGTCATTTCCCCGTTTGTAGATATTGAAAGCACCTTACGGCGACTTGTCCAGTTGCATGGAAATGGCTAAGGTATTGATTTGTTAGTTGATCAAGTACTATAATCATGGTGCAGGGCTGCTAATCGTCTTAGTGTCAATTCTTTTTGTTAATGATACAATGGTGATTGTCTGTAGGTTGCTGATCTGATTGCTTTTGTGGCATCAGCCTCTTCTCCAAGTGAAGAAGCGAATTCTGAAGCTTACATTGATGCATTTGGATCTCAATGTCTTTCGGTGTTCAGGGCCATTGGTCTACCTAGCACTGTTGTCTTGATCCGTGTAAGTTAGTTTTTTCCACTCCACCTTCTGTCTTTAACAAGTTTTGTCTATGAATTCATGCTTAAAGGTTGAATCATTTGCAATTTATAGGATCTCCCTGAAGTGCTGAAAAGAAAACATGATCTGAAGAAAACGTGCATCTCTAGCCTTGCTTCAGAATTTCCGGAAGATTGTAAGTTTTATCCAGCTGATACAAAGGATGAATTGCACAAGGTAACTTTTAGACTGTCAACCTGTTTGGATATAGTATATAATGTTCTGTTACATCCAGCATAATTACTGATGATGTTGGATGGGAGAATTGGAGATTTGATTCACTACAATGATTCTTTTCAATTTGCAGTTTCTGAGTCTTTTCAAGGAGCAAAGACTTACAGTTCCTCATTGGCGAAATCAGCGTCCGTACCTTGTTTCTGAAAAGGTTGCTTTCGGTATTTTTGCCCTTTCACTTTATCGCTAATCTTGATGGAAATTTCGCTCCCCTCTGTTACTTAACTGCTTGAATGTACAGAATTGTGAAGACTATAGAAGTACATTTTCACTTTTTCATTTTGTAATTCTATTTACAGTTTTGAATCTCTTTCTGATTGTATTGTCTGGCTTCTTAGCTGTCATTGTTACTGCTTTCTTGTCATCACTTTTCATGGTATGTTGGTGTTTTCTTATGAGTTGCCTCTCCTTCTGCCAGGTTGACTTGGTTGATGAAGATTGCTCTACTGGAAAATGTACCCTCCTTCTGACGGGTTATTTGCGTGCTCGCTCTTTGTCTGTAAACCAGCTGGTAATGTAGTCAGCCTTTCAACTCATCGTCCCTCTTATTCTGAACAGTGTTTGATTTTATTTCTTTTTGGATTAGGTTCATGTTTCGGGTGCAGGGGACTTTCAGTTATCGAAAATTGAGCTTCTCAAGGATCCATGTCCTCTCAGTGTGAGGAAAGGAGACGACTTTATGGATTCAGATGATAACATTATCCAGGTATATCTTCTTCTGTTCAGATGGTATTTCTTTGAGTAATCAGTAAAATTGTTGTGTTTATTTTTAGTCAGGAGAAAGAAAATACATACATCATTTACATAAGCTATCTTCCTGTATCTTATAAAAGAGGAAAAACATTCATTTCCTTTCCATCTTTTTTCTCACCTTTCAGATAACTCAGTCTCAATGCATTCTTTATTTACCCCCATAATTTTTTTTGTCTTTTTTACTTCCGATCATGAAGGCCCAGTATTTGCAATTCCTTATGTTTCTTTTGCACTTTCAAATTCTTCGAAACAAGCAATATATGAGGTGGTTGGGGGATACTGTATCAGGCTGTGAGCATTTTGAAGGTGGGATTTTCTGATAGCTAGTTTGTGGTTTTATTGAAATCTTTCCTTCATTGTGTTTCAGGTCACGAGGTGCATTATGCCTGATCCAATGAAGCAAGAGCCATTGCTTGTTGAAAATATTCCTGATCCATTGGCAGGGGAGCAGGTAGCTTGTTTTTTTTTTCTTGGTCTTTTTGTTTTTTTTTCTTGCTAAAAGAGATAACTAAAAGGAGTAACTTGATGTGAACCGAACCTTTCTGCTCAAATTAAATTTTCAGATCCCAATAAAATGTTTTAATACTTAATATTTTCTCATTTTTTCTTTTCTTTCCTGGAAATCATGCATAGAAGACAAGTTTTTCTGACATAATGCTTTGAGGGAAGGTTTTTCCCAACCCTTTTTTACTTTCATGTTATTATATAGTACTTTTACGGGAACTCTGTGTTGTCTAAATTAGCTTACTATTATTGTCCTTTCATATTGCATTTGGAACTAACACATGTTATGTTACAAATTAGACGTGGCCAACAGAGGAAGAAATGGTTGAAGCAGACAAGAACCATAAGGATAAAAAGCTGAAGAAGAGGATGCTTCCTCCTGGGACATCTGAGTATCAGGTCGCTGCACAACTTAGTTTCCAGACTTCTTTGCTGTCTTTTTAAGTTGTTTGGTTTAACATTATGCTGTGAATTAATGTGATATATTTCAAATCTGTGATATGCAGGCGGCTTGGATTGTAGACGGTTCTGATATTGACTATTCAGATACTGATGAAAGTGAAAATGAAAATGATAATGATGCCATGGTTGTGGAAGGAAATGAGAATGGATTTGGAAATGGTTTCGAGCCTGATGATGATGATGCTTCTCTTCCAGGGGAATATGATGATCACACTGAAATAGATATTCAGGTATTGGCACAGCCTTATGATGAAAGAGTTGCATGTCATAGTTTGATTGCCAGTTTAGATTTGAAGTTGGGTTCTATACCTAGTAATTGGTCTTAACTACAGATGCTTATTTATTTTTCTTTTTTTCTTGCCCGAGTCATACTGTCCACGTTCAGTTGTTCTGTAATACCAATATTACCTATTAATGTGAAAATGATCTATTATACTCCCTACTGCTATTTGTGTTAATTGGTTGTATTTGTGTTTAGGATGCTGAAAACCTGACCAAACAACAAATTGAGGAGGATATAAGACGAATTAAAGAGGCACATGCCGAAGATGAGGGTATACCTATTAAATCTTTATCTCTCCATGCTCACACACCCCTAAATATTCAGTATATATGCATATGTATTTACGTATGCGTGATTGTGTGTATGCGATAGAAAAACGTTATTTATATAAATTTCGATGTCCTGTGCAAATTCTGACAATTTAACTTAATTTTGGCAAAGAAAAACCGAAAACAAGACTAAAATTTCTTGACATGAATTATAGGATGTGCTATAGGTGTGCTATCTGTTGCTTCATGCTCACAGATAGGTTTACTTTTCTAAGAATTCAATGAAAGAAACTAATTTGAAATTTAGTAAATAATAGTTATTCTCTTTTTGGCATGTCAAACTAGAAGTGCTTTTATGACACATTTGTTGCCTTTCTCATGTTATTTCGTTCTGTTTTTGTTCTTTTCCTTTTTTCTTTTTTTGGTTATTTTTCCTTGAGTTTATGTGAATTTTGGGTATTGTCAGAATTTCCTGATGAAGTGGATACGCCAATTGATGTTCCTGCTCGGAAGCGGTTTGCCAAGTATAGAGGCCTCAAATCTTTCAGAACCTCTTCATGGGATCCAAAAGTATGCCTCCAGATCAATGATTAATACATGGAAGAGTTTTTTTTTTATGTCATTTAGCACTGACATGGTCCCATGAATCTCCAGGAATCTCTTCCAGTAGATTATGGTAGAATTTTTGCATTTGATAATTTCCGAAGGACTCAAAAACATGTTCTTGCAAAAGCTGAAGAAATGGAGCAAGGCGATTCGGATGAGTGCATTAGAGCTGGTTCATATGCAAGACTTTATATTAAAAATGTGCCTAATGATGTTGTGTCCAAGTTATCGGACTTAACAAAGAGAGCACCCATAATCTCTTGTGGTCTGTTACAGCATGAGTCAAAAGTTTCAGTCCTTCATTTCAGGTAATTTCTTTTGTTTGTTCCCTTTGCCGGTGCTGCTGATTGTGGCATTGTGATTTCTATTTGAATCTGACTGCTTTCATGAGCTTAAAATTTTTTGAATGATGTTCATATAGTGTACGGAAACATGACAAATATACTGCACCTATTAAAGCTAAAGAAGAACTTATCTTTCACGTTGGCTTCCGACAGTTTGTGGCAAGGTGCGGTTATTTCTGGATCGTTTATTGAAATCTTGAAAGGGACAGTTCCTGGATGACTTGTTTTAGCCTTTTGCTCTCACTGTACCTCTGAAGATTTTTGTTTTGTTGCTTGCAGGCCTTTATATTCATCTGACAATTTGAATTCTGATAAGAGCAAAATGGAGAGATTTCTTCACGCAGGGCGGTTTTCAATAGCTTCTATTTATGCTCCAATTTGTTTCCCGGCGCTTCCTGTAATTGCCTTAAAAAATGGTGAAGAATCTACTTTACCAGCTGTTGCTGCTGTTGGGTCACTGAAGAGTGTTGACCCAGATAGGATTATTCTGAAGAAAATAATTTTGACCGGGTAAGTAATATTTTTTCCCCCTTTTTTTTTTCCCTCCTGATGATAATTAACTATTCACTAGGCAATTAGCTGAAGCATCTAATCGCAAGTATGGGAGTGGCGAGGATAAAAGAGACGTGCATAGTGTATAAAGTTGCAATAAAAACCAATTTTATAATTTTAATTTAACACTTTGAGTTTTTGCCTTGTAGATATCCTCAGAGAGTCTCAAAAGTAAAAGCGACTGTACGGTACATGTTTCATAATCCAGAGGATGTGAGATGGTTCAAGGTGAGAGAAGTTCTCTTCTAAAACTGTTTGTCTCTTCCTTTGGCGAGTTACTGATATTGAGCCTTTTGCAGCCTGTTGAAGTTTGGACAAAATGTGGGCGCCGTGGCCGGGTGAAGGAGCCAGTTGGTACACATGGTAAGTAAATAAATGACCCCTACAAATACAGACTATTTTGTTGAGTAGTGAGTTATAGGCACTGAGACAATCTTTTACTGACTTTCCATCATTACTAGTTTGGTGCTCATTGATTAGTTAAATATTTATAACACACTTTTGGTCATCATACTGACTAACAACGAGTGAATAACCATAACAGTGTCACTGTGTATATCATTACTCTTGTTGTGTTATGACCTTTCAATTCTTTTCCTGATCTATTTCATTCAATCCTATGTATGATGTGTGATGAAATGCAATGAGATTGGTGTCAAAGTTTAGCCTCTATGTGCAAGGAATTTCTCTGATGATTCCTGTTTATTGTTATCTTCCGAATTCAGGTGCCATGAAATGCGTCTTTAACGGAGTTCTTCAGCAGCATGACACTGTATGTATGAGCCTGTACAAGCGCTCGTATCCCAAATGGCCTACACAGTGGTTTCCTCTTCTAAATGCTTAAATAATGTTAGAAGTCCGAGGTGCAAACAACACCTTTCTGGCAATCCCTGTTAAATGATGTAGAGCAAGGCTGATTGGCAACAGGGATTCTGGGAATGAAGCTCTGGTTCAGAATTTGTTAGTTACAATGAGTATGTGGTTCCCACTGTCGTGCTCTTGCAGCTAACTCAGTGGTTCCTGCAAGGTCTCTCCTCTAGGTTTTGGAGATGCCGAAAATTTTGATTTGTGTATTTATCATACTCACCGTTTTGTTGAAGGTTGTACTTCAAATTATAATGGAAAATGAGAGTTGCAATTCAATTTTTTGTAGGTGACCGTTACAATTGCCATTACAGTTATTAACAGTTTCCAGCCAAATTATGAATTAGATCAATAGCTGTTTTATACTTCGAGTGAAGGCATGTCAAAAGATCTCATGTAATACTTTTTGTTCTACACTGCTTGCAACGGTCGCTGATGTGCAATTGGCTTTCCCGATTAATAAGCAACAATCTTACTTTTAGAAATTTAAAATTTAGTTAATGCAAGCAGAATTTTCTAATGGAAAACTGGAGGTCTGGTAAATAGAGAAAGCTCTTTGTTGCACTATTAATGTAAAGATTTCGGTCAAAATCTGTTGAATAAGTTTCTACAGAGTTTGTATGTACACAAAATTGTATCAGTGCTCAGTATTTTGCTCTAATGGTTAAGAATGTTAAGAAGGGCGACTCTGGTTTTGACCAAGAGCCTAAACACAATGTCTAGAATTTCTCCCAATTCTTGAATGCTGGAATCAATTTCTTCAAGTGCTTTCACAACTTTTCTCATTTGGGCAATGTCCCCTTCCTTGTATGACTTCAACTCAACTTGCACCTTCTCAATCAATGGAAGTTCTTGAGACGATGATGTTTTCTTTTGTTGTAGAAACTTTGACACCAAAGACTGCCCTTGCTTTGATGGAGATATCAAAGATAGGGTGGACTCCAACACGTTCAAACTTGCTTCTTGGACTTGTTTCATCAGATTCAAAAGAGCAACTGTCTCTGATGATGAGTCCTTTTTAATTGCTTCCAAGTTCTTGATTTCTTTGTAACATCTGGAAACCATTTTGTTCAAATTCTTTCTAGAGATGGTATATGTTTGGATTTCGCTTTTCCTTCGGAGAGAAGACTCGAGGTCGTGGACGGTTTCTTTCATCTTGGAATAGATGTCTCTCACTGCACCACAAATATCCAACAGCCTGAGGGATCCATCCAGGATTTCTTCTCCATGGGAGAGAGCTTGTTGGCTAAGGGGCAGTTGAAGCACATCATCGACACATTCGTATAATTTCTTTAGGCCATCCAATCTCTGGCATACCAAAGTATGTGAAGATGAGGAGGTGGACGCATCTGCTGATGATTTCAACCTCTGCAGATGTTCCTCAACATTTGTGATGAGTGGATGAGATGAAGAAGGCAAGCTAATGGATCGAGCATGGCTGGATAATCTTGGAATTGGAATTGAGGCTGCCATTGTAGTTCTTTTTATTTTTGTTTTCCTTCTGAAGAAGAAAAAAAGGTTTTTTTTTGATGAAGAATGTGGAAGAAGCTTGTGGAGCTGTTGATGAACCAAACTCTTCCACCCCTTGTATATATAGGAAGGTCAACAAAACAGAAGGAATCTCATCCCCTCTTTCTTGACATTAACTACAGCTAAGGAAGAGATACATATGTTCCAAGTTTGCCTTATTGTTGTCGGATTCAAGATCTCATATTTAATGCAGAACCACCATCTCTGATGCGAAAAATGCTGATCTTGCCGAAAGAAAAATCAGAAATTTGGTTGTCATGTTTAAAGATGTAGGACAAGAGGAATCTGTATCCATTCCTGGGAGATTTTTATTTCGGTCAGGGTTGCTGAAGCAGATCATGTCTTGATGATTAGCCTGATCTGGTTCCCATTATAAAATTCCGCAATTAAATCTGACCACATGCATTTACCAGCTAGAGTGATTAGTGGTTAGAACATAGTAGTTTATGTTTTACAAGTAAACTCTTGTCCCCCTTACTACAAGATCAAATGGTTGGCCTCAGCTCCAATGCCATCGAAGTTTAGATCCACAGGCCACAGCCGTGCATGTGACAATTTTTAATTCTTGAGAGGAAACATTGTGAATTGGATATATTCTTTCTGTTGCCTTTGATCAATTTGGTGGCCTCCTATATATGATCAGTTTGAACAAAGAGAAGATTTTTGAATCTCTTCCTTCAGCATCCACGTCGAGTAATACACGGCTTGGCAAACTATCCACGAGGCTACTTGCCATACATAATTTTGAGCAGGGATGCCAAATCAGAGCTCAAAAGTCAAAAGTGATTTTGTAAAAGAACTGTATGTTTATTCTGCTTGATCCTTACATTCTCAGATGGTCAAATTGAAAGATGTGTTTTCTGTGATGGATTGTGCTGAAAGTTTCTTTGGACTACACACTGCATTGGCTTTTCAAATCATCTGAAAGATGAATAACTATGTAAATCTTAACACTGCAGCAGTATCTGAAAAAAGAGCGGTGATAACTGATTAGATTATTTCAAACATATTCAGCTGTAGCTGGCAAGGCCCTTGAGCAAATCAACAGGTCCCAATATTGTAAATTTCCTGAGTATATAGGCAATACCATTTTCTGGACTGTTCTCTAAGTTTGTTCTCATCAGCAAAAGTTCATCAGCTGAACCTGATTCCTGAAGTCGAAATCTAGTCATTGCGCAGCATGGCACCACAAGAACAATGTGCCATTTTGCTGCTTATCATGAACTTAGAAGATGCACCGGGATTTGTGCAGAAAGCTTTGTTGGGCCGAGAGAGTGCAAGTCAAAGGACTAAGAAATGCAATTTTGTTCAAGCTATGTTGAGGGGCTTTTAAGGTGTTGATCAAGTCGGCATTTGTTCTGGAAGTGGTTCAGTTCAGACCTCGCCTACTTGAGAAAGTACACAATATTCTCCATGAAGTTTTCTGCTAGATTGTTGACACACGTCGAGATTATCATGTTGACGACCATGTCGATGAAGTTTTCTAATGGCTACCTGGCTATTCTTTTCTTCAATTTTTTACCAACTCCTCGGAAAATTGTCCAATAAACATCCAATTCAGATGAGAAGGTAAGTAGATATGATCGGTCCAAGTCATGCTACCACGCTGCATGATTCTCCTTGTAATTTCCTTATATTCCACCACATTTATTTTTTAATCTACAAAAAACGTGTTAAAAAAAGGATGATGAAAGCATAACAAAAAAAAAAAAGAAAGAGGATTATTTGGAAATGAAAACATGTAAACCCTTATGAAAGCAATGCTAAAGGATAATGGAAATCAATGACGGTTTGGCTCATATAAGTTGCCAAGATTCCATTTGCAAAACTATGTGTAATCCGTCCCAAAATTTTTAATGACCGTTTGGCTCATATCAAAGCAATGCTAAAGGATGATGGAGAGGTTGAAGACAAGACAAGGACGACTTTCCTTTTGAAACATGCTAGTGAAACTTTTTCAACTTAAATATCACTTCGTCGACTTTGTTTATCGAGAAAGTGATCTTGACGTTAAAGTCGACGACACTTGCTTTACTCAAATTTCAGTACGTCGACTTTTTTTATCGAGAAACTAATGTCGACGAAAATGTCGACGCTATTTTTTTCTGATTAAATTTTACTACCTCGAGTTTGTCATCGTGCAAATGAGATTAAAGAATAAGTCAGAAACATATTTTTTAACTTAGATTTTTATCCTTGGACCTTTTTGCCTGGTAAGTAAAGTAAAGCCAGAAAGTGTTAAAAAAATGGCATTCATGAAGGCTGAAGCTATATATATAAGGGTAATAAGAAGTTTTGAAAAGTTTCTAGAGAAAATGATGTAATTTTACATGAAATACTCTCACATTCTCATCGATGTTTGGACCTCAATATAATGTTCGAACATCTTAGAAGTGTTGAGGAACGTTGCCCTGTATTTCATTTTCATTATGAGTTCCATAATTGAAAGATGTTCAAATTTCGTCTACTTAGTGAAACTGTTTTAAGTTAAAATTTAACTGTGTCTATTTTTTCATCGAGAAAGTGATCTTGATGAATAAGTCGACGAATCTTTTTTCACTTGAATTTCAATAGGCCAATTTTATCATCTAAAAAAATAATCTCGATGACACTCCTTTCACTTAAGTTTCAGTACGTCGATTTTTTCATTGAGCAACTGATCTCGATACATAGGTCGATAGAACTTTTTATTGTTTTTTAAATTAAAATTTTACCATGTAGATTTTGTCATCAGCTAGTGATCTTGGAAACGCCAACCAAGAGCACAAATGTGAGTTTAAGGATCTAGCTCATGTTAGCCATATAAATTGAGAAATTATGTATGGAAAAATCATGTTAGGGACTAGGGAGCCCCAAAAGAAATTCAGTAGGAAGGAAATGATTTCATGTACTCACTGATGGTTCAACACTTAAAAGAAGAAGATGTATAATAACATAAGGTGAAATAACAAATTGGAACTCGAAGATTAGAGTAATAGTTTCAACTTGTATTGATTTGTACAATCTTGTGCTACATCTAAGACTAATGTCCTACAAAATTGGATTCTCAACTCAACTCTATCTAATTAGTTAATGGTTGAGCATATTGAGGAAGGAAACCCTGGTTTTCAAAAGTTGCCTGAAAACGCTTTCCAACAATTCCTCTGATTCTTGAATGTTGGAACTGAATGCCTCCAGTTGTTTAACTGCGCTTAAACTGTCCGAGCTCTTCCCTTTCAAGAGATGCAACTCAGCTTCAATCATCTCAATCTCCGATTTGCTTTCCTTGGATGATGAAGATCCCTTTTGCTTGATCAGTTTCGAGACTAAAGATGCATTTGATCCTGTCTTAGATCCAGAAATGTATGATACAGCTGATTCCATGATTGTAAGGCTAATTTGCTGGATTTCTTGAATCAGGCAAGAAGGGCCATTTGCCAACATTGTTTTCTTCAGTTCTTTGTAACATTTGGAGATGCTTTTGTTCAACTGTTTTTTGGAGTTTTTGTAAGTGGTGATTTCGTTAGTAAAATCGCCAGTTCTTTTCCTTCTAAGAGAAGACTCGAGTTGCTGAAGGATTTCCTTCATCTGTGAGTAGATTTCTCTAATTTCTCCACAGATATCCAAAATGCTCAATGATCTATCCAGAACTGATTCTTCAGAGAGGATTTGTTGAGCGTTTGGGAGCTGGAGTGCATCATCCAGCGAGTTGTACAAGTTCTTGAGTCCATCCAGGTTTCGACAGGTGGATTCGTGTGACGATGAACCAGCTTCTGATGATGAATTCAACCTCTGAAGATGTTCCTCAGCATTGGCTACAAGAGGATGTAACGAGGATGAAGTCCAGCTAGTGGAACGAGCATGGCTGGAGAATTTTGTGTTTGCCATTTTTTATCTTTTGAACGTTTTTTTTTTTTTTTTGGATCAAAATTTTTTGCTTCAGGGCTTAGGAAGTGACTGAATGATGAGAAACTCAAGTTTTCTGCACTCGTTTATATACAAGATTGGTAGAAAACAGAAGGAATCTCGCACGCTCTTCGCGTTGCTGTAATTGTTGGTAATGTCTGTATCTTGTCTGAATTCTGTTCCAATGACGTTGGATCCAACGGGATACAACCACCATCAAAACCGCGAGTTCATTATGTTTTTTTAATACTGATAATCAAAACCAATCGTGCCGTTTGAATGATTTGAAATCGTTCATCACATGGAGATGACAAGTAAAGGAGTCAGAAATCTTCCTGTCCTGCAAATTCGATGGGGAACAACAGGAATCTTCACACGCTTGGAAAACTTATTTTTACAATCAACCTACTTGTGATGTATGATTCAGCTGGAATAGAACTATTAATGTACGTGTATGCATTAATTCTTTGCATGTGCATTATTGGAAGATGAGCAAGAAAACCAAGAAAAAACGCTGCCTGGTTCGCCTCTTACGGAATAACCATGTGCTAGTCTTCAATTCAGCTGAAATTGGAATGCGTTGTGTTGGTTTAGCAGATGTAGGACAAGAGGAATCTCTCTTCCCGTTCGTGCGATAATTTAATTCAGCAATTAGTGTGTGTTGCGGAATTCAGCTGATCAAATCTCGATGCTTACCCAGATTTACATTTCATTTATCAATTCCAAGCAAATTTGGTTGGGCCACATGCGTAACCAAAACGTGATTAATATGCCGATACCATAGTTTATACTTCACAGGTAAACCCACGTCTCCCTTCTGCAACAGCAAATGGTTGGCCTTCCTTAACATCATCAAGCCAATTCACAATTGGCCTCATGAGCTGCGTTGTTTGAGTTTATTAGTTCCAATATGCCAGTTCTTGTCCCAAAGTCAGAGGACACAGCAAAGCGTGTGACCATTTTTTTTTTTTCGTCGACAGGAAGCATTATGAGTTGGATGATAGTATTCTTTGTTACGTGAGTTAGTAGCCTCCTATATATGACTACTTTGTTTGATCGAAGTGATTGATGATTTTGAACACGATGATGTATTCGGGTGTCAAGCATGGCTTCTGCAGGGAAAAACAATAGTAGATTCTCAATCAAATTACCAACCACAAGGTCAACAGGTGGAGTCACTCGTAGATTTAAAGTTCATTGGAACATGGATAAAGATGTAGCTTACAGAATTTGGCGAGGCTTTCGATCAGGGCTCAGGCCTTGTTTGACCTGGAAAATGCCACTCATTGCGGCTCAAAAGTGATTTGGACGGGTCTGTATGTGATTTTCAGCTATTCAAGACTGATGTTTCTGGAAACTGGAAAAAAGTTACCCTGAAAATGAAGGAGAAGGGCTTCATCAAAACGTTCCAGGAAACCATGCGTATTCAAGCTTGCCTGCATTTCCTTGATCGCCATTATGGATGGCTTGAGGTTTTCTGACAATTCCCAAAAGAGTGTCCAAGTGATTAGGCCATGGTAACAGATCGAGTTGAAAGCCTGAATTCTGAATAAACAGCTAAAGTTTCATTGGCCTGTAAATCAAAAAGATCTTCATGGAGGTTCTTCAGGTCTGAGATAACCACGTGGAACAAAAAAAGGTAAGTTGAGAGTCTTTGCAAAGGAGGACAACTGGTTTCCCGTTGCTTCCAGCATCTCCTTAGAAGTGCCAACAGCTTGAGAGTTCCAAGTGGATAATCATACTTGACAGCAAACTGTTGCACGATTAGAGTCCAATGGGAACCGTTGTTGATTCCAAAATCTATCAAATGTATCCTTTTGGAGGATTCCACGGCATAAAAAATCGCCTGGATTGCTGTAGACTCTGAGGCTAGTCGAATTGGGACATCTTGTTGGGATTCTATCATTTCTGGGTGCAGATGTATTTCAGCCTGTCGCACATCTATTCCCTTATTCAGCTTCAGTTTTTCAAATTCTTCGGAAAGAAATATTCAACATTCGTGGTCGATTCTCTCTTGTAGTGCTTCAGAAAAATAGTATACAATTCTTCGAACTGGATTAACGTCCTGAGAAGCTGACAGAAAACAAAGAGCTCAGAAACTTTTGTGCCTGAACCCATTCTTTATTCTCAACACCTTTTTGGCTGCTGCTTGAAGTATAGTAGTGCTGGTTCCAGGTCTTCTGAAGCTTCAAAGTGGAACTCAGATTGAGCTTCCAGCCCATAAAAGAACAAGTTCAGAAACAGCTCCACATTTTCGACATTCCATCATATGAAGTAACCGTTGTTTTGCTAACTTCATTATATCAGCTGCTTCCAAAACCTGATTCGTGGCCCTTAAACGCTTCCCTTAGTTATTATGCTGTTTCAGGAGGTCTAAGGATGTAAATGGCAACCATGGTCCTTCATCTAGAGAAGAATATTTCATTTGGTTAAACCGTGCAGCCTATTGACTTATATGTAATGCCGCAATGCCAAGATTTTTAATTAGAGATTTCTTGAACAAGCGATGAAACAGGATTTCCTGTTAGCCTATTATGCTGGCGTTAATTTCCAACAATTTAAAGTTCCTCTCATTAATTTCCAACAATTTCAATTTGCAACATGCAATGCTTGCCTTGATACTCTTGGAATCCAAAGTTCTTCTCTATTTGCAACATTTTAATTCGCAAAGTTAGTATGTTAAGTGAACATATATGTTGGTGAAAAATCAGGGCAAATGTGTAGGATAAGCTAGATCGTTTGCTGTATTGTATTGATTTCTGTCAAAACTTTGTAAATTATACATTTGTACAGAGTTTATACACAAAATTGTATAACTATGAGCATTTCCTTCCCCCTGATCTAGTGGTTGAGAATGTTGAGAAGGGAAACTCTAGTTTTGACCAAAAGCCTGAAGACAACGTCCAGGACATCGGCCAATTCTTGAATGCTGGAATCCATTTCCTCGAGTGCTTTGACTACTTTCCTCGTTTGGACAACATCTCCTTCCTTGTATGACTTCAACTCAGCTTGCATTTTCTGCATGAATGGAATTTCCTGTGATGATGCTTTATTTTGTTGTAATAACTTCGATACCAAGGACCACTTTGCTGCAGCCTTTGGTGATGTAGAGATCAGAGAAAGGGTTGAATCCAACACGTTTACGCTAACTTCTTGGACTTGTTTCATCAGATTCACCAGAGGGATTGCCTCTGATGATGAAGAATCTTTTTTACTTGCTGCCACGTTCTTGATTTCCTTGTAACATTTGTTGATCATTTTGTTCAAGCCCTTTTGAGAGAGCACAGTTGTTGAGATTTCGGTTTTCCTTCTCACAGATGACTCGAGTTCATGGACAGTTTCATTCATCTGTGAATAGATATCTCTAACTGCACCGCAAATATCCAAAAGCCTTAGAGATCCCTCCATGACTTCTTCCTCCCATTTGTCGCATCTTTCATTGGAGAGAGCTTGTTGGCTAAGGGGAAGTTGAAGCATATCATCGACACATTCGTACAATTTCTTTAGGCCATCCAATCTTTGGCATACCAAAGTATGTGAAGATGAGGAAGTGGATGCATTTGCAGATGACTTCAACCTCTGAAGATGTTCCTCAACATTTGTGATGAGTGGATGAGAAGAAGAAGGCAAGCTAATGGAACGAGCGTGGCTGGATAATCTTGGAATTGGAATTGAGGCTGCCATTCTAGTTCTTTTTATTTTTTGTTTTCCTTCTGAAGAAGAAAAAAAGGATCTTTTTTTTTTTTTTTTTGATGAAGAATGCAGAAGAAGCTTGTGGAACTGTTGATGAACCAAACTCTTCCACCCCTTGTATATATAGGAAGGTCAACAAAACAGAAGGAATTTCTTCATATTAACTACAGCTAAGGAAGAGATACATATGCTCGAAGTTTGCCTCTTATTGTTGACGGATTTGATATCTCATATTTAATGCAGAACCACCATCTCTGATGCAAAAAGTGCTGATCATGCAAAAAGAAAAACCAGAAATATGGTTGTCATGTTTACAGATGTAGGACAAGAGGAATCTGTATCCATTCGTGGGGAAGAATTTTATTTTGGTAATGCGTGTGGGTTGCTGAAGCAGATCATGTCTGGATGAATGATTAGCCTGATCTGGATTCCATTATAAAATTCCATGCAATTAAATTTTGACCACATGCATTACCAGCTAGAGCGATTAGTGCTTAGAACATAGTAGTAGTTTATGTTTTACAAGTAAAATCTTGTCCCCCTTACTACAAGATCAAATGGTTAGCCTTCATGTTTATCAGCTCCAATTCTAATCAAAGTTTAGATCCTTATCAGCGATCCGTGCGTGTGACAGTTTTTATAATTTTGAGAGGAAACATTGTGAGTTGTATAATATTCTTTCTGTTGCCGTTGATCAATTTGGTAGCCTCCTCTATGTATATGACCAGTTTGAACAAAGAGAAAGATTTTTGAATCTCTTCCCTCAGTATCCAGGTCAGAGTATTCGTGTCCTTAATGGGTGTTGCTAAATGCAGCTTAATTTAACTTCACGTAACTTATAAAATAAATTAAAATATCCCTATAAAACTACATGAAATAAAATCAAGCTGTACTAAATAAAAATAAAATCGATCAAGAGATGTAATTTGAACCTTCTGTTCTCCTTTTCCAAAAAAACCTTCTGTTCTCCATAACACCAAAGCTGCCGATCACACAAAAAAATAGAAAAAAATGGTCCCACCAAAAGAAAAGAACGATCACCCATTTCGAAAAAATAAAATATAATCACCGATCACCGATCATACCAAAGCTAAAAAGTTTAGCCCATAACATTTCGGAAAAAAAATTTTGAAAAAAAAAATCCGCCAGAAAGCCCATAATACCAAAGTCGCCCGATCATACCAAAACGAGAAAAAAAACGATCACACCAAAAAAGTAAAAAATTTGCCCAAAGAATTACCTCATTTTCTCCTCTTATTTGGTCTCCGTCATTGTAAATAGTCAATAATCAGTAAATTCTGTATATTAAAACAATATGTGTGAAGTTGTAAAAAAATGATCGAATAAAAAATTTGAGAGAATTTAAGGTTTAAGAGTATTTTAGTCTATTTTACAAGTTACGCGAAGTAAAATTATGTTACGTTTAGTAATTCACTTTTTGAATTTTTTGAAATAAAAAAGAAGCCTTGCCAACAAATTCTCTCTTCTCTTTCTGATTTTTATTCTCCAATCTTTTTGCCCTTTTTGACTAGGGTTGTTTGCCTTTTTTAATCATCCAATAAAATTAAAAAATCTCCATTTATAAAATGGAGATGACGGTTTTCACAAAATCAAATTAATTAACTGTAATACAGTTTTTAAGTCTATTGTCGAAGTAAAATTTTGTTCTAAGTAATCTATCTATTTATATACTATACTAAGGTAAAAACCAGAAAGAGAAAACTAAAGGCATGGAGCACATGCCACATAGGATTTAATCCTATGTGGCATTTTCTTAATTTCTTAGACTTAAAAATGCACAAAACAAAATAATAAAACAAAAAAAAACAACTAAAATAATTTTATAAAAAAAAACAAAATAATAAAAACCAAACCCTTATTTTCATGAATCAAATCCTAATACAGAGATTGATTGGAGAGAGTACCAAATCCTAAGAAATTTTAGAGAGATCTGCATAAACCTTATCACCAGTGAATTTAAAATGTCATTTAAAAAAAACAAATTCCTGTAAATCCAGAGGTCATCATGTTTAAAACTGAAGTCATTACATATTTTATAAAAATACAAAATTTATGTAAAAATGTCTAAATGTGTATGTCTTCCCCGTCCATCGGACGGGTCTTACACCTAGCGTGATGCTATACAAAAGATGCATGTGGGAAAAGTAGCAAATTAAAGATCCATGCCCGTATGAGATATGACCATACGCCGTAGTAAAGTTAAAATGAAATAAAGAAGAGATCGAGTGAATATTGGTGCTTCACCATTAAAAAAAAAAAATTGCACATTAATTCATTTTTACCTAATCAACAATCGAAAGTTATTTATATGAAAATATTCCATCAAAACGCGAATCAGAGCAGACTTGAAAAATAAACCAAAATAAATTTTGGAAAGTATTACAATAAATCTTTAAAACATAATTAATGAATTTTTCGTTACTGGAATTAACAATTAAATCACTCTAAACAAGTACTCGATGACAAGTTCGGAAATCGGACATTCGGACGTTTATGATTGAATTTGTCATCATAATTACCCGTTTAGACATGCATGTGGGTAAAGAAGAGCCAATCTCTTACTCATGTTGATCGAAAAATTAAATTCAACACCTCCTCTTCAGAATAAGAGTATCACTGAACCAACACTTCAGATCCCCTTTTTAGTAAATCTTCTGTAGTACTCCCTTTGGTCCTTAACTTTTTTTTTTTTGATACAATGGTCCTTAATTTAAAGAATTTTGATTTATTATAAGTTTCACTTACTACGTATTTTTAATTGATAAAAAAATTTAAAAATATTTCATAACAATCAAGAAAACACAATGAATGTAAAAATATATTTTAAACTTTTTCTTGTCATTTAAAAATGTGTATTAGTTGAAATATATGACAAATCAAAATACCTTATATTAAGGACCGGAGGGAGTATATAATTTTTTTTCCTCTTCATTTTTTGGGAAATATTAATATTAATGTCTTTGGTGCAATTATATATACATAGAGTTTTTTGAAAAAATAATTATTATGTTATCATTTTATTGATTGTGTTCATGTTTCATACCCTTTTTCTTTTCCTTTTTTTTTTCCAAGCTGGGAGTGGAAAAAAAGTTGAAATTATTAAATTTATCCTTATATATTAAGAGAGGAAGATATCAGTACAAATTAGGCGTTCTGGTTGAATTCAAAAAAATTTCTAGACATGTGTCAAATTGATAGGAGGCCTAAAAATATTATTTTAAAGTAATACTTTTTTAAGTTTCAAGAAATCAATTATTTGATGAAGATGAAATTCACTATAATGAGAGAATATACATAAGATTAGGGATGCTCTTTTGGAGAAAACCGACTCGAACCGAATCGATCCGATTCGAACCGTTATTTTGGTTCGGTTCAGAAACGGGTCAATTTTTTTGGATCACAAATGGTTTTGGTTCGGTTCGGTTCAGTTCGGGTTACGGGTCTAAACTGAATTGACCAGAAATGAACCATTTTGCTAGTGATGACGTCATCAAAAGTGACGATGACGTCATCACGCCGGAGACGGTCACCGGCCGCCGAAAAAAAATAAATTTCCGGCAAAGTCGTCGGAATTTTGGCCGAAAGTTGTCACCGGCTGCGACCCGTGGTGGTGGTCAAAGGTGGTAGCGGCGGTCAACAACGTCATTATTAAAATATAATTATTTAATTTTTGGTTTTGGATTTTTTCGGTTCAATTTAGATTTTTTTGACCTGAACCGATCCAAGCCGTTCCAATTTTTAAAATCTTTGACCGAATCGAAATTAGAATTTCGGTTCGGTTTTGGTTCAGGTCGGTTCGGATTGTCGGGTCGACCCGAACCGCGGTTTAAAATGACCAGCCCTACATAAGATATAATTAATCGGAATTAACAAGAATTAACTATTTAAATTTGAAACCATAATTCCTCTAACAAATTTATTATATCTTCATATATTGACAGGATGAATAGAGATTTGTATTTTTGAATTCGATTATTTTTAGAGAGGAACATTCAAGAAAACCTTCTGCATTAATTAAAAAATCTCCCCCGGCACGTGTTACACTTCTAAGCCACCGTAAAAGAAATCATTTTAAAAACATTATCACTTTTATTACTTGAAATTTTTTTATGAGATAATGCTAATAAATTTATGATCTACAAAATGTCATCAAAACTAAAACAAATATTTCAAAACAAAATCTCAACAGAAAGATAAGATTAGTTAAAATCTTTTAGAAATCTATTTAGTATTTATCCTCACTAATTATTCATCTAAATTAATTGGAAGGGTTCTCATGAGTTAATTATATTTCCTCTATAAAATACCAAATTACAAAAATCTTCAATTTGGAAGTTAAATATATTTAATTTATTTGATTTTCAAGAATAAGATGAAGTGTTTAAATCATCTGAGCTTATGCTTATTTTGGGCTAGAGTACTTAATCGATCCAGAGATTCTTATCGAAGATCACTGTTTGGTGACCAATGGTTAGGAGATTTCTCTATTATGAAATGTGTGCATCAAAACCATAGCAACAATATACATTTAATATATATTTTTCTAAAACTAGTTCTATCATTCGTCGCGCAATACCCAACGTATCCTATAATTAATCTAGTGTAATTATTTTATTACCGTGTTACAACTCAAACCGGCAGCATAAAACCTGATACAATTTCGAAATCATCTAGTTACAATAATAATTAGAAGTACTTTGTTGTCAAACTAATCAAAACCACTAATAAATCTATAGAAGTATTATATTACGAAAGAAATTAATGAAACTTCTTTACCGAAATAAAACTTCTATTCTCAAATAAAATTTTATTACTTTAACAGTTAAATAAACCACAATCTATTCTCAAATAAAACTTCTTTACCGAAAATTTTTTAAATTCTGCACCAATTTCTTTCATTCACATATTGGTAACACAATAAGAGTATTGTATGGAATTTAAAGAATTTACAATTTAAATGTTTTTTTTTAACTGTGCAGCCACTACAAGTGATGCAATAGAGAGAAAACAACCAAAACGAAAGAGAAAGACATGTCACCCTTTGAAAATGTCACACAAAGATCTTTTATGTTACACTTTAAAAGTTTTTGTCAATATTAGTGACACCAAATTATAATTCAACATCTCAAATTTGTTATGTGTTGTAACTTGGTTGTGATTGGCGAATTAAAATTAAAATTTGAAATTGCTTAGAAGAAAAAAAAAACATTAGTCTTTTTAAATACCGATGCGAAAGCAGGGCCCATCTTTTTACTGCTTTTCTTTCTTTTCTTTCGTTTTTTTTTTCAACTAGCTAGTAGGATCGACCTCAATACTCCTCCTTTCTTCAATTTGGTTGGAACTTTGAATTCCTCGTTTAACACAATCAAGTCCTAAAAGAGAAGTTACCACCCGGGACCAATTTGTGATTTTCAACTGTTTCTCGTACAAAAATACTCTACCCTTCTTGGCTCAATCCTGTTTCCAGGACCATCAATTTGAACAGTTGAATCTCTTGTATACAAATCCTTCAAATCCCTGTAGCAGCTAGCTAATCCGTTGGTGTTTGCAGACTGAGCCGCAGCAAAGTCTGCGGGTTCAAAACACACTTTCTTTCATGAATCAGCCCACTCTTTTCTGCAGATCAGTGAGGCGAGGGCGTGCATGGATTCTGAGGTAATTAAGATCTTGGATATTTCCAGGGCCTGTCATTTATAGGAGGATTCCATTCCATTAAACGAGCGCGAAATATCAAGAACAACATTAAACTCATAATGTTTCCTCTCAATAAATATTAAAAAATGGTCACACGCATTTCAGTGTTTCAGTCACTGCTTCCGAACTTTGGGCCAATAACTGGATTAACACGAATAACACAGCTCAAATGAACCCAATTTTGAATCTTCAGGATGCTAGTATTCATTAAGTGAGGCCAACCATCTGCTCTTTTATTAGGCAGACAGGAGTTTACTTTTAACACATAAACTATAGAGTCTCAATTCTCTCAGCATTCATCACTGTTTTTGGTCTATGCATGTGGCCAGCCTAATCAAATTGTATGGAATTTTATAAATGAAATGTAAATCTCGCACGAACGGGTTGATATTCCTTCTGTTCTCCGTATGCTAGACCGACACCAAACATTTCGATTCCAGCTGAATTGATCAATGCGATTATCACATGGTTGTTTCCTGAGAGACAAACAGGGGAAGCGTTTTTCTTGGTTCTCCTGGTTTATCATATACTAAGTCAATTAATTTATGCATGCTGATCGAATTGTATCATATTAAAAACACCCAATGCATCACCACAATTGTTAAAAGTTTTCCCGAGCGTGTGAAGATTCCTGTTGTTCCCCCCTCAAATTTGCTGGCCAAAATGATTTTTCTGACTTGTTTATTTGGTATATATCATCCTGTGATGAACGATTTCAAATCATCCATCCACACCAAACTGCACGATTGCTTTTGATTTTCTGCTGTAATATATTGCATATTTGAGATCTCGATGCTAAGCAAATGCATCCCGTTATATCCAACGTCATTGAAACAGAAACGAGACAAGATAGATATAGACATGAACAGCAATTACGTACAGCAAGGCGAGGAGCGTGCGAGATTCCTTCTGTTTTCAACCAATCTTCTATATAAACCAGAAAGCCTGAGTTCTCATCACTGAATCACTTCCTAAGACCTGAATTAAGCAAAAATTCTGATCCAAAAAAGAAAAGAGTTCAAAAGATAAAAAATGGCAAACACAAAATTCTCCAGCCACGCCCGTTCCACTAGCTGGACTTCATCATCGTCACATCCTCTTGTAGCCAATGCTGAGGAACATCTTCAGAGGCTGAAGTCATCATCAGAAGCTGGTTCATCGTCACACGAATCCACCTGTCGAAACCTGGATGGCCTCAAGAACTTGTACAGCTTCCTGGATGATGTTCTCCAGCTGCCAAACGCTCAACAAATCCTCTCTGAAGAATCAGTTCTGGAGGGATCATTGAGCATTTTGGATATCTGTGAAGAAATTAGAGAAATCTACTCACAGATGAAGAAAACCGTTCAGCAACTCGAGTCTTCTCTTAGAAGGCAAAGAACCGGCGATTTTACTAACGAAATCGCCGCTTACACAAACTCCAAAAAACAATTGAACAAAAGAATCTCCAAATGTTACAAAGAACTGAAGAAAACAATGTTGGCAAATGGCCCTTCTTGCCTGATTCAAGAAATCCAGCAAATTAGCCTTACAATCATGGAATCAGCTATATCATACATTTCTGGATCGAAGACAGGATCAAATGCAAAGGGCTGGTCTTTAGTCTCGAAACTAGTCCAGCAAAAGGGATCTTCATCATCCAAGGAAACCAAATCGGAGATTGAGAAGATTGAAGTTGAGTTGCATCTCTTGAAAGGGAAGAGTTCAGACAGCATAAGAGTAGTAAAACAACTGGAGGCATTCAGTTCCACCATTCAAGAATCACAGGAATTGCTTGAAAGCATTTTCAGACAACTTTTGAAAACCAGAGTTTCCATCCTCAATATTCTCAACCATTAACTAATTAGTTTGAGTTGAGAATCCAATTTTGTATGAGATTAGTATTAGATGTAACGCATAATTGTACAAAGCATATACATACAAATCAAAGCACATTCAAACTATTACTCTAATCTTCCATATCCAAGCCATTTTTTTTGTTACTTAGTTTTGTTTCTTCTTCTTCTTCTTTCTTACATTTTAGGGTCAAACCATCAATGAGAACATGAAATCATCTCCTTCCAAATGAATTTGTTTTGAGACTACCTGGCATGAATTTCCCAAAGAAGCAACAACAATTTTCCTGTTAAAGGAAATATATATTTGAGTAGCTAGATAGACGTAGAGATCCTTAAAATCACCATTTGTGCTCTTGGTTGGTGTCTCCTAATTCGAGATCACTAGCTCGATGACCTAAGTGGATGTAAAGAAATTTCAGCTAACAAAAGTGTGTTCAACTTACAAAAAAAAAAAAAAAAATCACTTACCAGACCAAAAAGTCCACGGAAATTTTAAATAGTTTTAAACGAGTGACGTCGACTTACTCGATGAGATCACTTCCTCGATGACAACGTAGACTTACTGAAATTTAAGTTCAAGAAATATCGTCGACTTTCTCATCGAGATCACTTTTGTGATCAAAAAATTGACGTATTGAAATTTGGGTAAAATAAGTTTCATCGAATTGCTACTTATTGAGATTACGTGCTCGGTGATAAAGTTGACGCGCCAAAATTAAAGTTAGAAAAAGTTTCGTCGACTTTCTCGTCGACATTACCTTCTCGATGACAAAGCCGACGTAAGGAAATATTAGTAAAAAAGCGTCGTCGGATTAACTCATCGAGATCACTTCATCGATGACAAAGTTGACGTACTGAAATTTAAGTTAAAAAGTTTTCAATCTCAATGCTGGAACTGAAAGAATAAGAAAAATTAACTCATTACTCTTTATTTGTCTGCAAATATTATCACTAATACTACTCGCATTAATTTCTTGAACGCCGAAACTGTGAACCAAACATAAAAATTACATTAAATTTAAAAAAATTAAAATAGTAAATTTAATTTAAACTAACATGCCGGAAGATTTCTTTATTGATTCTGATTCTATAGGGTAATAATATTTGTATTCCATTTTTCATGATGTTATAAAGGGGATATTGAGATATGGAGATTCGACGTAGGAACCGTCCGATGCGTCGAAATCGAAAACTTCGCATCCATGCATGCATTAAAATGGAAATATAGACTTGGAATTAAACAGAAAACTTCCTCTTAATTGCTTTCATGATATGATTCTCTAAAATTCGGAAACAAATACTATAATTTCCTTATGTATTAATTCAAGATCGATCAATCAATTGGAGAATTACCATATATGGAGTTTGCGTGATTAATTATAGTAAGATTTCTTCTCCACAAGTCAATAAATATGCGATCATCCACCCATCCATGCATCCTCCATCGTACCAAGATTTTCATATCACACAATACTTTTTCTTGAGAAACTTTTTTTTTTCGTTTATTTGTTTTTTTAGCTTGTGCAGATGGAGAAGGAGAGCCATGCATCCCCGTTTCGCATTGTTATGCTTCCATGGTTGGCTCATGGACATGTCTCCCCTTACCTTGAATTGGCCAAAAAACTCACTGCTCGAAACTTCATCATATACTTGTGTTCTACCCGTGCAAATTTGACTTCAATAAGGTCAAAACTAAGTAAAAAATTTTCAGAATCAATCCAACTTGTTGAACTCGAACTCCCTGAAAGTGATCAGCTTCCATCTCGTTACCACACTACCAATGGACTTCCACCAAATTTGATGGCAACTCTCAAAGATGCCTTTGACCGATCTTGCCCTAGTTTTTGCAGAACCCTCAAACGGTTGAAGCCCAACTTGGTGATATATGATCTTCTTCAACCATGGGCTCCTGCTGCTGCTGCATCGGTTTGTAATATCCCTTCGGTGGTTTTTGTTAGTAGCAGTGCTACTATGAGTGCTTTATGGTATCACTCCCTCACTTTTCCAGGTACCAAGTTCCCTTTTGATTCTACTATTTTTTACCGAGAATATGAATCCGATTTCGCTAAAAGAATGGTGAAGCCAAGCAAAGACAAAAGGCGCATCATGCAATGCATTCAAAGATCTACTGATATTGTTTTGGTGAAGGGCTTTAGAGAAATTGAGGGCAAATATGGTGACTATTGGTCCACTCTAATTGAGAAAAAAGTTGTGCATGTTGGCCATTTAGTTCAGGATCCTGCTATTAATAATGATGATGATGATGATTGTGAAGTGATTGAATGGCTAAACAATAAGGCGAAGGGTTCCACCATATTTGTTTCCTTTGGGAGTGAATATTTTCTGTCTAATAAAGATTTGATAGAAATTGCTCATGGCTTGGAACTTTCCAATGTTAACTTTATATGGGTGGTTAGGTTTCCTACAGGGGTGGAAAATATTTCTCTTGAAGAAATATTGCCACAAGGATTTTTCACTAGGGTTGGAGATAGGGGAAAAATTGTGACAGGTTGGGCACCTCAAGTGAAAATTCTTACACATCCTAACATTGGAGGTTTTGTAAGCCATTGTGGCTGGAATTCGGTTTTGGAGGGAATGAAATTTGGTCTACCCATCATTGCCATGCCCATGCAGCTGGACCAACCTATTAATGCTCGTTTGATCGAAGAAGTTGGAGTTGGTATCGAAGTTTTGAGAGATTCAAGTGGCAACCTTCAAAGGGAGACAATATCGAAAGTTATTAACCAAGTGGTGAAGGGTATTGATGGAGAGCAAGTTAGGAAGAAGGCAAAAGAATTGAGTGAGGAGATTGGATTGAAGGGAGATGAAGAGATTGATGAGGTGGTGAAAGAATTGGTGCAACTTTGTCTCATGGAGAAGAACACCAAGATCTACCCTTTACCATCTGATGATTAGTTAGCAAAATTCCAAGTCTTCTCATTGTCTTAGGTAGGCTTTTGGTGTAACGGTTATGATCTTATTTGCAAATTGTAACCATCGAGTATTGATGTCAAGCTTCTTATTTCTAGCGATAGGGTGGATAATTACTATCTTAATTTTATTTAGTTTGTTTTCTTGTCTTTTGTGTCATTTAGTGAGGGAATTTGCCTTAAAGTTTGTGGCATTCACCTTCTTTATTCTAATAATATAAATCGTTTTTTTACCCCCAGGATATTTCAATTTTTGTTTGTGATGAAATTTTGAACCAATGAGATTAGAACACACATAAAACGTGAAAATTATAGCATAAGCTAGCAAAAAGCATCCATTTTCATGGAAAATAAGTACACTATCAATTTCAAAATCCATTTTGTTAAACTAATTATAAATAGTAACAAAATGAACTGTTAAGCTGTGACGGAGGGGAATATTTGATTATGCGTACCTGCCTTGTTATATGGATGTCAGTTGGATCAAATCCGAGACAGAGAAAAGTCTTGCGAGGCTTATGAATCGCATTTTCTATGCTTCCTTCTGCTGACGAAGACAAGGAACAGATGGAACTAATCATGATAGCCTTAGAAGAAATACATAAGATTCATAGTGTATGATTTTGTAGTGTAATTAAGAAAAACCTAATTCAATGGAGCAGACAAGCGATTCTGTAGTCAGTTTCTCCGAATTCGCAATCTTTTTAGTAGCCATCTAGAAATGTTGTTCCTGGAGACCTCTATAATCTTGCGACAAAACCAGAAAGCTTTCAGTTTTGTTGCTCCAAAGGAGTGACTTAAATTATTACGACAGATTCTTTTCATGCAGTATACAATTAATGTCTTTCTGTCCCGGTTTGTCCATCTAAGATTTTTCTCTTCACCATTTTTACATCCTTTTAGCTGGATTTATAGTGCTTCCTGGACCAATCGAAGTTATATATCAGATCACCAACTCTATTCAACTTCTTCAGTCGTTCTATGTTGCTGCAGAATGAAGGCGGCAATTTTTTCGCATACGAAACCTTAAACCTTACTAGAGACCATTCAAGCATTAGTGTTTGTGAAGGCCGTGACATACCCTTTGATTTGAGCATGGAAAAATAGTCTTGTGCACAGTTTGCTACCAATGTTTTCTGCAGAAGGGTTATGATTTTGAGAAAAGGAATACACATGAGATGAATGAGGTTAGAAGTTCAAACTCATCACTTTGTTCAAATTAATCATATATAGGAATAAGGCTACCAAAACCAAATTATTCAGAAGGCAACAAACGGAATAATTTCCAGCTCTTAATGTTTCTTCTCAAAATTATAAATGGTCACACGCATGGTTGTGCCTCCAGATTTTGAGGCAAGTACTGATAATAACATGAACGCAGCGAACACGAGCCTCATTATGCAATTAATTGAGGCCAGCCATCTGCACTTGCAATAGGGAGACAAGAGTTTACTTGTAAAACATAAACAATGGTCTAAGCAGTTTAGCATTAATCAGTCATCAGTCATGCATGTGGCCTCATTCAATTGCATGGAATTCATAAATGAAAAATTAAATCTTGATGAGCATCAAATACCCGATCTGGTTCTCCAACACACGCATTACCAAGATAAAAATTTTCCACGAACGGGCTTGTTGTCCATCTACTAACATGCCAGCAAGGTTTCTGATTTTTCTTTCTGCGTATATGATCAGAATTTTCCGGATCAGAGCTGGTGATTTACATCGAATTCGAGATCCCAATTCCGACAACAATGAAACAGGCTTCAGACAAATGTAACGCTATCTTACCTGTAATTAAAGGAAGAAATTCCTTTAGTTTTATTGACCTTCCTATATATATACAAGGGGTTGAAGAGTTCAGTTCATCAACAGCTCCACTCTACATTCATATCCAAACAATCTTATTCCCTTCTTAAGAAGAAAATAAAAGAAGAAAATGGCAGCCAATCAAAGATTAAACAGCCATTCTCGTTCCATTAGCTTGCCTTCCTCATCTCATCCACTCATCACAAATGTTGAAGAACATCTCCAGAGGTTGAAATCATCAGCAGATGCATCCACCTCCTCATCTTCACATACTTTGGTCTGCCAAAGATTGGATGGCCTAAAGAAATTATACGAATGTGTCGATGATGTGCTTCAACTGCCCCTCAGCCAACAAGCTCTCTCCCATGGAGAAGAAATCCTTGATGGATCACTCAGGCTGTTGGACATTTGTGGTGCAGTAAGAGATATCTATTCACAGATGAATGAAACTGTCCATGAACTCGAGTCTTCTCTCAGAAGAAAAAGCGAAATCCAAACATATACCGTCTCTAAAAAGAACTTGAACAAAATGGTCACCAAGTGTTACAAGGAAATCAAGAACTTGGCCGTGGCTAAAAAGGACTCATCATTAGAGACAGTTCCTCTTTTGAATCTGATGAAACAAGTTCAAGAAGCAAGTTTGAACGTGTTGGAGGCCACCTTATCTTTGATATCTCCATCAAAGCAAGGGCAGTCTTTGGTGTCAAAGTTTCTGCAACAAAAGAAAACATCATCATCTCAAGAACTTCCATTGATTGAGAAAATGCAAGTTGAGTTGAAGTCATACAAGGAAGGAGACGTAGCCCAAATGAGAAAAGTTGTGAAAGCACTTGAAGAAATTGATTTCAGCATTCAAGAATTGGGAGAAATTCTAGACATTGTTTTTAGGCTTTTGGTGAAAACTAGGGTCTCCCTTCTCAATATTCTCAACCATTAGAGCAAATATATTGTGCTCTAATACAATTCTGTGTACAAAAATGAGATCACAAATCTCATGTACAAACTTAAAACGACAAATGTGAATACAATAGTTGAAAAAATTTACCTTCTCTTACATGCTTAGTGTCCTATATCTCTGTTCGTATTTTTCATTGGTTTTAAGTTTTTCCAAATTTACCTCGTGGCGAGTAATGTGAGTGAAAACATGCCAGTTATGCCGAATCAAATGCTTTAACATCATTGTAGCAAAAAAATAAAAAGATGGTGGAAATTTCAAGGATAAACTGGCAATGTGGTAGCAAAGAGATGCTTACCAACTATGAAGAATTCCATAAGAGAAGTACATTAGGAAAAAGAAAATGGAACTTTTTAATAGGAAAAACTCCCCACTCCTATTGTGCTTGCCAAGCATGCTACAGAATAACTGCAGCTTCTAATTTTTGAATTTGCAATTTGGTTGTATGGTAATTTCAATGGCTGCTAGATTTCACAAATCTTTCAGCAGCATTATTCTCAAGTGGAAGCCACTTGCATCTACATTATGCCAAACCATCAGTGAGAATATCAAAACAAAATCATCTCCTCAGCTGCAGGATCTTGACATGAATTTCCCAAAGATAATATAACTTCTCAATTAACACATACGGTAAACAGTGAACTTTTAACTACATGTTGTTAAAATTAATTCACTTTTGTGTTCTTGGTTCGCGGTTTCTCAGTTACTTACCCGTGGAGATACTATCATTCCATGACCAAGCGGACATAAAGAAATTGTAGTTTGGAAAATTGTGTTCAACTTATGACGATGCCTGGAATTGTACTCCTAGCTTAACCGTGTAACTTCGATTAAGGTTACCTGGAAAACATAGCTTCGGGGTCTCCTGAGGGTAAACACTCCGATGCTTAAGTAAGAAAATAGGGTTATCAAGGAGTATGTGTGTGCGAATTGGTGCTAGAGATAGTGTACCCGTATTGTGGTAAGATCCACCCTATTTATAGGTATGGAATTAGTTTGAGGGAAGCCGAATCCCATATTAGGATTCTTATTCCCGAACCGCCTCTGCAAGGTTGGTTAGGCCCTAATTGACGGATGAGCCGATCCGATAATCCTTAGTGGATATGGACTCGTCAACTTACTCATCCAGATTACTTTACTTACCAGGAAAAAAGGTCAAAGGATTAAAATCTAAGTCAAAAAATGTGTTTCTGACTTATGCTTTAACCTCACTCGCTTGATGACAAAGTCGAGGTAGTAAAATTTAAGCAGAAAAAAGTACCGTCGACTTACACATCAAGATTAGTTTTCTCGATACGTACTGAAATTTGAGTAAAACAAATGTCGTCGACTTTAACATCGAAATCACTTTCTCAATCAAAACAAGTGGCATTTAACTAAAAAAAAGTATTGTCGATTTACTCGTCGAGATTACTTTCTAGAAAAAAAAAAAAAAAAGTCGACGAAGTGACATTTAATTGAAAAAAGTATCGTCGACTTACTGGTCGACATTACTTTCTCGATAAACAAAGTCGACGGAGTGAAATTTAAGTTGAAAAAGTTTCAATAGCATGCTTCAAAAGGAAAGCCGTCTTTTATCCTCAATGATGCAACTCAAACAATGACAGGAATTTACCACAACACTTCTGAGGGTTGAGAATTTGAGAATCACTTGTGAATAATCCCTTCTAATGATCGAATCAATTCTGGAGAAGTTTCTTTTAGCTAGATTTCATGAATTCTCAATTTCAGCGTCAAACAAGTAGATTGGAAGAGATCAATACCGGAGGTGCTTCAAGGTTAATCTCGAAAGACATGCAGCCTTTTCAACTAAACACTCAGTATCGATCCATAAGTAATTCGATTTGGATATGCTTTTACAACACTTAGCTCTTCTTCAGTCAGCAGCCATGTCATACTTCTTCTGTGAGAGTTTTGATCACATCTCTTTTCTGTTTTTCCTTCTTTTATATCAGTTTTTCCAACTAGCTAGTAAGATCCAACTCAATACTCCTCCTTTCCTCAATTTGGTTCACAATCAAGTCCTGAATGAGAACTTACCACGAGCTCAACTGGTGAGTTCCGGCGTTCGCGTGCAAAAATCCCCTGCCTTCTTGGCTTAATCCTGTTCTCAGAAACATCCATTTGAGCAGTTGAATCTGTTGTATACAAATCCTTCAAATCACGTTAGAGCTAATCCATTGGTGGTTCCAGGACAAACTATATAGGCCTGAGCCACAGCA